GTTCGTCGAGAGAGAGAGAGGGGGGGTTTTCGGATCGGCTGAAGTGAGACCTGCTTGGTGAGCGCGGAGAGTTCACGCGACGTCGAGAAGAGGTCCTATCTGGACGGATCCGACGGGCTTTTTCGTCAACTCCATGCATGCCACGCAGCTGCAGCTCAGCCCTCTCTCGATCAGTATGCGCATCGGATCTCGGCAAGCAAGTATCGGACTGATCAGATCGTCATCAAGCATGTCTCTCGGATTGCCACGTTCAGCTGATGTTTGGCTAATCCTCAGCTTCAAGACGAGTCCAACCTGGTTGTAACACCAGCTAGGGAAGCCTCCTGTCATTACTCGTTAGCCCATCCTTCGGCTCATCGACTCTCGACCATCAAGAACCTCAGCTGACTTGAACTCCCTCACATGCTCACAGCTCTACGACACTGACGATTCAACATCAGTCATCTTGTCTCAACAAACATTGCATCGGAACGGACGGCAAAAAAAGGGGTCTGAGATACATCAATGAGTGTAACAAGTGTGTTTTTGCGTTTTTTTTTTCTTTTTTTTTTTTTGTAGTTTGGCCAGGCTGCCGACTGGGACTTTGAATTTTGGACACCCCAGCAAAGCTGAAGCTCACGTGTGTGCGTGTGTTTGCATGTTTCATCATTTTTGGATACTTTTAGGTTCTTTTTTTTTTTTTTCTCCAGGGTTTCTCTTTGGGGGATGTCGTCGATAATTCTTTTTCCCTTTTCAACTTTTGATAAACCCGGTTCATGATCGGATGAAACAAAACCGATCAAGGTTATCATGTAATAGAGGGAGAAAATTCTCTCTCATTAGACTCAAAAGTGGACGTACTGGAGTAAGTGTAGTAATGACCAACCAAAGTTGTGTAGAGCCGGGCGCAGAAGTATGGCGGATGGTGAAGATGGTGCAGAAGAAAGATCGAGGCTCACGAATCCGAAGGGTCGATAGCGTAAAGTCCGCTCGGTGGGCCCATGCCCCGCATAAACACCCAGTCCACTTTCCAAAAGAGGCAGGCGGTGGGCGCTGGACTTTGGGCTTGGAGATGCCCCAGCCTGTCAACACCACGAACCCTTAACGTCAACTCCAGGACGACCGACTTGCTGACTACGGGCTTGATCCTGCCAACTGACCATGGTTGCATCACGTAACCCCCAAACAGCTCGCTTCTGCTGGCAGTACCTTCAGCTAGAGCAATCCTTGGACTTCCCCGACGGCGAGCTCCTCCGCGATGAGGCCGTCCAGGAGACCATCTACCAGCAGCTCTTTGCGCCCAACGCACCGACACCCCTTCCTCCGGCGCGGTACCGGCTGCGCGTCCTGAAGGAGCTCACTTCCCGGATAGAATCTGCGATCGAGGATTGGGAAACGCATGTAAGAACCAGCCCGGCCCGGTATCTGTGCTCTGGGCTGGTGTTGACAGTGAGAGTCGCGCGTAGGGTATTTCGGATAACCTGATGGACGCCATGGCCGAGCTCGTTGCGCAGCCGCTGCCGAGTGAGGCAGAGGCTGCCCAGGAGAGGTGCTACGTTACATACTATCTGTCGTTGCTGGAAGGAGGACTGGAGAAGCCGCACATCACGCTGCTGGAGTCAAGATCGCTCATTTCTGCGTCTGGGACGACCGGCCTTAGGACCTGGGAGGCGGCGCTGCATCTTGGACAATTCCTCTCCGTTAACTCGGGACTCGTCAAGGACAAACGTGTGCTTGAGCTGGGCACTGGCACTGGATACTTGGCTGTTCTCTGTGCTAAGTATCTCGGGACCAGTCATGTCATTGCCTCTGACGGTTCAGAGGAGGTCGTTGAGAAGCTCTCAGACAACCTCTTCGTCAACGGACTTCAAGACTCGGACAAAGTGCAGCCAATGGAGCTTAAATGGGGCCATGCTCTGCTGGGGACCGAGGAAGAACACTGGAACGGAGGACGCAAGATAGATGTTGTCCTCGGCGCAGACATCACCTATGATGTGAGCGTCATTCCGGCGCTGATAGCGACGCTAGAGGAGCTGGTAGACTTGTATCCCGGCATCTCCATCATCATTGCTGCGACCGAGAGGAACAGGGAGACGTATGAGACCTTCCTGGCTGCGTGCGGGCGACGGGGTTTCTCAGTAACTCCGGAATCATTCCCCGTGCCGTCCAGAGCTGAGCAGAAAGGGCCGTTTTACAAGGACGGGACGCCTATCCATATCTGTCAATTGAGGAGATGATGTGTGGTTCGTGCAGTGCTACGAATATGCAAAGGCCAAGTACGCGACGCGTGTTGCTCCACTCGATTGGCCTTCACGCGCCTAGACTCCACATAGGTATTCCGAGCGCTGTGCGCGGGTTAGGGTAGCCCCACAGTTAGGGCTCGACCTGATTACCTAACCAGTCACGGGACAATTTTGCAGGCCCACTCGGCCCGCGCGCAGCAAAAATCCCCAGGCAAAGGAAAATCCCACTTCGAAACCACCCGGTATCGAGATCGTGGAAGTCTCGCAACATCGACGACCCCCAACCGCGAAGATGGCCGACACCGACTCCCCGGTAACGTTGCGCACGCGCAAGTTCATCCGCAACCCTCTGCTTTCCCGCAAGCAGATGGTCGTGTGAGTGTCCCCCGGTTTGCGTTCTTCGCCGACTTGTCGCCATGCCGACCGACATGTTGAAGCCGACGATGGTCGAATCTGGCTGAGGAGACCTCCATCTAACGCAGCTAACACGGCTGACGCAGTGACATCCTCCACCCTGGCCGCCCCAACATCTCCAAGGATGAGCTCCGCGAGAAGCTGGCCACCATGTACAAGGCCCAGAAGGACCAGGTCAGCGTGTTCGGCCTGCGCACGCAGTACGGTGGCGGCAAGACCACCGGCTTTGCCCTCATCTACGACTCGCCCGAGGCCTTGAAGAAGTTTGAGCCGCGCTACCGGCTGGTGCGCGCTGGCCTGGCCGCCAAGGTTGAGAAGGCGAGCAGACAGCAGCGTACGTTCACTCTTAAGACTCGGCTTTTTTTTCTGGGCTTGGATAGGCTGACATGTTTTCTGCCTACAGGCAAGCAGCGCAAGAACCGCCTCAAGACCCTGCGCGGCACGGCGAAGGTCAAGGGCGCCAAGGCCAAGAAGGAGAAATGAGCGGCGGGCGCGTCTTCCCCTCCTGTTTTGGCGTCGTCTGCAACACCGGGTACTTGGGCGGGATGGTGGTTCAACGGCTGTGGCTTTGTGCATTACCCTGGACTCTTCTGCTGGTTGCGTTTGGCACTGCGTTTCGCCATACTTGTCTGCAACTCGCAAAAAGTTATTTCTCTCATCATGAACGGAGGAGGCGCGATGGTCGGGGCTTCGATGGTCATGGCAATGGCAAAACCATAGCATTCAATACACGGCGTCGGTTACCAGGTCCGGTTCACATACGTCGGTGCGGTTTTGCCAGGGTTATCGGTTATCAGACTGCGAGACACTGAGGGCGCGTACTCCGAAGGCCCCACAGCCGAATTGGCCTCGCCGCTTAATACACGTCATTGCAGGCTGCTTGTTGAAGCGTAGCTTCAGTTGATATCTTGGGGGGTGTGTGTATGTGTGTGTGTGTGTGTGTGCGTGCGTAAGGCGTCGTGATCGTGCGGTCGTCGATCTCTTCATGGACAATGACCAGATGATAGCAAGAGTCAATCCATGCTGAAGGTTGGTGGATGGAAGTGTCTTCAGTGTACCAGCTGCAGTAACCCACACATCGAATTGTATGTTGTTGGCTGTCGTGGCTGTTCATCGACTTGACAGAAGGGGGACCACGCCGCAGAAGCTGGTTGCTAAGCAGTATAGCTCATCCTCGATGTCAGTCAGTCAATACCTACATCTCATCCCTGTCTACCTCGACATCCTCAGCATAGCTGTTAATCGGAGAACCCTGGGATTGGACTCTCCCACCCTCGGAAGTAAGACAGGCTGGCTCCCAAGTCACTGGGGTACCTGTCCTAAAACGGTTCTCTTTACACTTATTCTGCTTCTGTTCCTGAAACTATCGGTAGGAACTTACTTCGTACTAGACGTTTACTGGATGCGTGGCTTAGGTTGTTTATAAGCAATCATCTGGATTCTTTCTTGCTCTCCCACTCCACCGACCTAGCGCTATTTTTATTGTGAGCACATTGTCCTCGGGTTGGAGTCTTTCAGGACTTTCTGTTGGGAGGAACGAAGTCCGCTAGATTCTGTTTCAAGCCATTGATGCTGGTTATGTCCAGTCATGGGAGTTAATGGCTTGAAGTGGACCGTTAGGGCTAGCTCGACATGCCACCGTCAATTTAGTTATCATCGGCCATGCGTAACTATTCCCCGTAATTCTCGATTTTACCAAGGGGTTCTTACCTATGATTTCCGGTGTGCTACTCGGGGAGATGAAGTCAAGACAAGGGAGAAAAAAGTGGGATGATGATGATGATGATGATGATGATGATGATGATGTCTGGAGGTTGTCCCACGACTTTGGCGCTTAATGAAAGTTCAAGTTGTGTTTTATGCGTAGGTACATGTGACCCACGGTTGGAACACACCACATATGTAGCTGTTGCCCCCAGATCTCACTACCATAGAGCCATCGACACGCAGGGGAAAGATAGCTACGTACTGTACTGCTCGAGCGTTGATAAGAGCAACCTAGATGTAGGTAGTTAAGCAATGGAGAATCTGTTATGTCCTGATTTCGCGCCCGCACTCGTAGAAAAAAAAGAGTTATCTGTTATAGTTATGAGGGCCACGGATGGGCCGATACAGTTCCTCTGCTGATCTGGGACCTGAGCCTGAGTGGCACTACAGCATTTGGTGGCAGGGAAGACTGCCATTCCAAAGAGTAGGAGGTTCAGAGGTTGTTACCTAGCAAGTTGAGTGGTTTGACTTCGGTCTGGCCCGATCAATGAGATTGCTATGATGATTATGACAATGGCACATCGGAAGGACATGAGGAAGTCTTTCTCATCCCAGGATGTTGCTACATTGTATCCCTGCTGGTTTGGCCATCTCAATATCCGGACATGTCTCACAGATTACGAAGGACTCAACAGTTTACATGAACCCCACATTATGATCCATAAGCGCCAGCAAGCCAGTGGCCTCCTGGCAAATAAGTAGGCTAAGCTAAATATTATACACCAGAAGACGAGTAATCCGACATGATATAGGGTACTCGCCCAGCTAAGCTGGACAGTTGGTAGCAGCTAATCCTTCAACTCAGCAACCCTCCAGCAGAGCAGAGTGAGTAGAGCCATCCGCCAGTGGTTATCGACCTGACCGGAAAGTAATCTCACATGCACTCGACCGAAGTGTTGAATGGATAAAACAGAGACAGACAGGCCTCCCGAATCCTGACCGAGTGAGTGGAATAGGTAGGTATCCTGCCTTCATGAATTAATCTAATAGGCATCTATCGCTGTGACCATCACCATGACCATCGTTGTTTCATTTACCCTATCCACACCTTTCCCCTCCCTCCTCTCCCCCTCCCCTCCCCCCCCCCCCCAAGCCGGCCAAACGCCATAAGACCATATACCATGTATGCATACACAAAGCCAACAAACAAACATTTTACCCTCGTTTTCTGTATGACCGATTTCCTTCACAGTACGCTCATGCTCTTCTTCTCTGCTCAAATCACCCCAGAGGAGGTAGTGTTCAACCTCAAAAATTCCTCACTCTGCCCCCTTGAGCCCCTCGTCATGGACCTGGTCCGTCGCCGTTGAGGAGTCTGGGAGGTCTCAGACTGAGAGTCCTACTTCCCAACCTTTTTACTTCCCTTATACGACGCGGTCCCCGCCTTTCTGGCAGAAGCAGAAGTACCCCCAACGGGCTGGGAGGAGGACGACGATAACACCGCGGCATTCCTCTTAGCAGGCGCCGATGCAGACGGAAAATTCGACGAAGGCGGCACCGCCCTCCCTGTCCCCTTCTTACTAGTAGCAGGTTTACTTACCCACCCCGACCCCACAATGTCCCGTCCCGGCTCCCACGTATCATCGATATCCTCTTCCGCATAATGCTCCTCAAGCGGTTCAAACTCTGGTTCGGGGGAGGAAGAGATAAGGGAAATGACCTGCGAGCCTTCGGGAATGACGAACTGCGAGGCGGGGATGGGCTGGGAGTGGGGCTGTGTGGATGTGCCGCGGGATATCTGGCTCCCGACTGCAGAGGAATTCTTCGCGGTAGAGGTAAAAGATATCGAAGCGGAGCGGGCGTTGCCCACGGGCTTGGTAGGCGACGGCAGGCGCGTCGAAGGCTGGGACTTCTTCGTGGCAGGGCGCTCGATGGACTTGGTGAGTTTCTTTACCAGATGGGACTGCTTGCCGCGGGCTTTGAACTCGTCATTGTCGTTGTCAGAGATAGGATCGGAGATGAAAGAGCTGGACTCAAGTTGGCGCATTGCTTTTTCATAGGAGTCGCCGTCGTCGTTGTCCGAGTCAAGTTTCTTGTCCTTCTTGGAAGACTTTGTCTTGACGCCTTCTCTCTTGATCGGAAGCATGGGCAGGTTTGAGTCGGAGTAAGAGCCGTCAGGAAGGGGGCTGCAGGGCGAAGGGCTCAGATCGTGATCGATATCGTCAACACCGCTGAGCCGAAGAGCGGTCTTAACCTTGCGCTCCTTCTTTGGGCTGAGCAGCTCTTCATCGTCACTAATCAGCTTGCTGCCCTTGCCCTTAGACTTGCACCCCTGCTTCAGACACAGGGGAGACTCATCCGTAGCCGTCTTAGCAGCATCAGCTGTCCTATTCATCTCCTTCGTCGGCATGGGCACATCTGCATTCAATTCGGCTTCTTTTTTACTAGCCTTCTTGGGTGTCGGCAGAGTCACCACAACCGTTTCCTCTCCAAGCTCGCCTCCGAGCTCAATACTAAAATCCGGATCAACGACCTGCCTCGTAGAGCGGACATTAACCGGATCCGACGGCGGGACCTCCAGTTTCGGATAGCTCATATGCCCACTCTCCTTGTCCTGGTGCTCTTGCTCAGTAACGGCATCCGAGAATGCCTTAAACGACTCTAGAATAACCGGCTGTGAGTCCACATCATTCAGATTCGAACTCTGCCAAATATTCACCTGCGACGCCGCCTTGCGGGGGCTCTTCAGCGGACTGTTCTCCCTGAGAATAGGATTGAGCTCTTTTCGAGGGCCGAGTCCTTTCCGGGGACTCGACGCCCCGGAATTAGCCGCGCCAGCAGACACAGGTGCGCTGCTATCGGCCTGCCGCGAGGGACTGCTCAAGTCCAGTGTGACAGTCGTGCTCTTTGTCAGAAGGGACGGGTCCAGATCCTTGCGGAAGCCGGCTTCGCTGATGAGTTGGCTGATATCGCGGTGGCGATCTTCGGAGATCTCTACTACCGCGGAGGCAGGCTGAGCGGGGAGGGTGTCGTCCTGGGGTTTGGAATCAGGTGAGTTGGCGGAGGAGGCCTCTTTGGAGGCTCCTTCGGTCGCGGTGGAGGGGACGGCTTTGGGGGTATCAGCTTTCTCAAAGTCGAGCTTCTGATCCCAGGGCTTTTGAGCCTGCTCGGCCTCGTTTTCGTTGGTCATTTCAGCCTGTGTCTTGTCAGTCTCGCCTTTCTTAACTTCTTCAGTCTCGGCGTTCTCAGCATCGACCTTCTGCTTGTCCTCAGATTTGCCCTGAGGTTGCCCCTTCGCCCCTTTTAACACTCTAGCATCCATCATATCAACCACATTCACCATCCTAAACCCCCTCTCCATCTCTTCTTCGTCTTCCTCATCCATCTCGGGCGCCTCAAACCTCCCCCACACGCGATTCCCCTCCAGATCATACTCCCTCTTATTCATATCCACCCACCGATCCCTCTTGGCGAGCCGCACTTTCAGCAACCCATCGCCCTGGACCTCAACAATCTTGCCCGTGCGCCTGCAGATTTGAGGTTGCCAACTCGTCGCCTTGGAGAGGATGAGCTGATTCCAGGTGAGGATCATGCCAGGGATGGCAGTGTCGGGGTTGAAGGGTGGGAGGACGGAGGGGTCGGCAGGGGGGAAGGGGAGGTCTTCTTCCTCGGATTCATCCTGGGAAGTGGCCTTCGGGAGATAGTCGTAATTGCGCTCCTGCTCAGGCTCATCGTAATTCAGCTCCTCTTGAGGCTCATCATCATAATTCAGCTCGTCCTCCCCAGCCGCGAGCTCATCAGGATGGCGGTGCTTCCCGCCCCTCTTCTCCTCAAAGTCCTCAACCTCCTCCTCTTGAGTATATCTCCTCCGCTTAACACCCGCATAACTCTCTTCATCTTCATAACCCCCTTGCTGCTTGCGCTTCCCCCGCCCGTTCTGGCCGTACTTATCCTTGCTAACCCAGAACTGCTGCTGCGGGTCCCAGCGCTGCTTGAACGGGAAGGGAGGCTCGCTAAGCTCGACGCCTTCCTGCACGCACTCGACGGCGCGGTAGATGATTTTGGAGCGCCAGGCGTCGGGGTCGTCGGCCTTCTGCTCCGTCTGGGCAGCTTCCTTAGACGGCTTGGTATCAGACTTGGTAAGAGGCCGGGGGGGAGAGCTGGCCGCCTGGGAATTGCCATCCTGCTTGGTAGCTTGCTCATCACTCTGCTCGCGAGCGCCAAGCTGTCCTTCTGAAGAAAGCAAGCTCTTCAACAACTCCCTCTTCCTCTCCTCAATGCTCCCGTACTCCTCAACCTCCATGTTGTCGCCCTCTCCGCTCACGGAGAGACCCTCGAAAGCCCGTCTGGTAGCCTCCTCCTTCTTAGCACGCAGAAGCGTCCTCCGCCGGGCATTCCTCTTCCTGGTCGCTGCCTTGCCATGCCCGGGGGGTACGGGCATTTGTTGGCCTTGCGGAACCTGATTTGTATCTCGCGAGAAGGGCGCCGAAGCGGGCAGATCCTGAGATTTGGACTGAGTACTAGCGCGAGCTTCCTCTGGCGACTTGGATACCCTAGCCTTCGTAGGAGAAGACGTGGCCTTGGAATGGCTCTTCTTGGACTCCTTCTCGCTGGCGCTGCTGCTGTCCGAGCTGGAAGAGGAATCCGATTCAGACTCTGACTCTGACGAACCGGATGAGGACGAAGATGAAGAGCTGGACGACGAATCGGAATCGGAGTCACTCTCGCTGCTAGATGACACTGAGCTGCCGCTATCCGCGGCGCTGACACTCTCTGAGGAGCTTGACCGGACGCTTTTGTCACTGTCACTATCACTCTCGCTGGAGCTAGAGCTATCGCTCTTTGAGCTGCCGGAGAGGTTAAGGCTGCTGCTCTTTGAAGGACCTGACAGGCTAGGTTTGGCGCTGGCAGAAGAGCTGCTGCTGCTGCTACTACTGCTGCTGCTGCTGGAGGCAGACCTAGACCGGACGCGGTGCGAGCTGCGATCGCTAGACTCGGAGTTATCACTCTTGCTAGACTTGCTACTCTTGCTGGACTTATCGCTGGAGCTACTGCTCTCGCTGTCCGAGCTGTCGCTGTGGTTGTCCCCATCGCTGCTGAGATCGCTATCGCTTGACTCGTTGGAGCTGGAGCTACTGCTCTCACTCTCACTCTCACTCTCATTCTCACTCTCACTCTGGCTCTTACTCGAAACAGACTCCTTGTCAGACTCCTCAGTCCCAGGACCCTCAACAAACCTCTTAGACGACTGCTCCTCCGGCCCACTATCCTCACTGTCTCTGTGGCTCTCACTCGTGCCGTCATCACTCTTCTCGCTGGCAGCAGACTCGTCGGAGAGATCCTCATCAAACCGCATATGCACCGGCATCTTAACCTCTTTCCCCTCCTTCCTCATCTGCTCAACCATCTGTGCGGCCGCCGTCCCCTCCAGGACCGACCCGCTTGGAAAGCCATGCTTGTCAAAGTGCTTAATGAAGGAGGAAACAGACTCAACATCACTCTCTTCGTTCTCTGGGGCAGCATCTTCAGCCTCCTTCTGTGCCTTCTTTCCCTTCTTCTTCTTTATCTTACGCAGTATCTTCTTCTTCCGCTGCTGTTGCTGGTGTTCATCCCCCTCACTCTCCTCCCGTTGGGCATCCTCTTCTTCCTTCGAATGAATCTTCTTCACGTTTCCCACTCTCCCCTTCAAACTAACATGCCGTGTGCTCCACCCCTTTATCTCATCCAACATGAGCAGTCCCCGCCGCGATATCTTGGGCTTGTATTTCTCTTGCAGCCGGTCGTATGTCTCCCTCAGATCCCCGTCGCTGTCTCGAAGCGCTTTTTTACACGTCTCGAAGGTAGCACCAGGGAAGGTCTTACGCAACAGGTGGATTATGTTGGAGAGGGAGTAGTTCAGGTCGGATTCGGTGGGGGATTCGTGGGGCTCGTCTTTGTCCAGGTCTTCGTCCTGGTCCTCGTGCTGTGAGGAGGAATGAAAGCGGGAGTGCGAGGAAGAGCGAGAAGGCAAGCGAGGTGAGGGTTCGCCCTGGTCAGCGCGCAGGCCGCGCAGCTCGTCTTCGAGCTCAGACTGGATCGAGGCATCGTCCCGCCCGGAGTGGTAGCAGCCCTCGCTCTCACTATAATGCGAGTCATTGTCTTCATCCGAGTAATGCTCCTCGTGTTCCGAGCTACCATCATATTCCCGATCCTGCTCGTCCTCCTCTTCTGGGGTTGGCGAGCGAACACGGACCCTCTTCTTGCGATGTCCCTCGCCACGCTCGGTGAGCAACAGCCTCGGCTGCCCCTGCTCATCTTGCTCTTGTCCCTCGTCTTGGTAGCCATTATCGTAGTCATAATCGTCATACTGATCATCTTGATCCTCCTCCGGATCATACGAAATCCTGCGCCGCTTCAGCGGGGGGATCTCAACGGGGGGTCTATCACGCGAGGTCTTCAAACGCGGACGACCGAAGGCGACGCCGTCGTACAGCCGTCGGCCTTGCGCAGATATCTGGTGGCGGCCCGCCAGTCGGCGCTTGCGGTAGTCGTTCGTATCGAGGGGACGGATGCTACAGTCAATTCGATTAGTTTCTGATTTAGTCAACCGACTTTCTCGAATAGCGAACATAATGAAGGAAAAAAAAAAGGAGGAGAAGGGGGGGAGGGGGAGGAGAGAGAGATGAGATTTTGGAGAGTAACGTACAAAACCTCTTCATCTTCCTTCAGCACCTCTCCCACGCTCTGAAAATGCAGTAGCTCAAAGCCATTCTCCAGCTCAACAGCATAATCCTCTAATCCCCAACTACTCTCATAGCTCTCGAGGGGGATGACGTCGTTGACCTGCTCTAGGAGGTTTGCGATCGTGGGATCGTTGTCCAGGCGTACGGGGAAGACGATGCGCACATCGGGAAGGGCATGACGGCGAACGACGAGGCGCAGGCGGAGGGTGTTGGGGGTCATCCTTCCTCTGGGCTCGTCGGCCTCAAAGAATTGAGGGAAAAGGTGGGTCGGTCGATGAAAAAGGTGCTTAATGGAAGGTATAGAATTGGATAGTCGTAGTGTTTGTGGTAGGTAATGCAGGTAGTTAGGCCGATGGAAATCTTGTGTGCGATAGGATGGAAGATGTTTGAGAAAAAAAATCGATTTTGTGCCAAAAGGCAGAAAGAATCGCGGCCGCCCTCAAAGAAAGAAATGAGAGAATGAAGCCCTGCGATGCCCGCACGTCGCGCCTCGTCAACTGACGCGCTGTGAGCTTTTTGGGGACCACTGATGCTGTTCCGCGTTGAGGTTATCGATAAGATGTGGGGTTGTCCCACTTGGATGAAGACGGGTGACACGACCCCAAGGTCTGCGAATGCAGGGTGACGAAAGCCGCGGCAGGGTCGAGGTTTGTTTCGTGTTGTCGGAAGGGCAATGGACGAGAGGTTGTGATACAGAGCTGGGATGGTCTGTCTTGAGTATCTACAATGGTACGTGTCATTGAAAATAAAACTTGAGGATTGAATATATTTGTCAAGTCAAGCAAAAAGCCCTGACCTCGACTAATGGATTACTGTATTTTGTTCCTCCAAGCAATCGTCACTCATCATCAACCATGGCCAACACCATCACCACCGTGCTAAAACAAAGACTAGGACTGCTTCTAAATTCAATGCAAATAATACAGTGGCATACAAAAGCCCCTTTTTGAAATGCCGGGATTATCAAGTGAGATCTATCAACACGTGTAGCCTCAGGTATCGTTATCGCTGTATCTAATCTTTATATCCAGTATGTAAAGGTGACTTGGAGAATGAATGACATGCGAAAACACAACGCCGGTTAAAACGCCATGTTTTAACGCGGCAAGCTGCCCAGGTCTAACATGTGGCCCATCTTCTCGATCTGTTTTTTTTTTTTTCTGTCAGCGCGCCAACCCATCAAACAACGTAAAAAAAAAAAAAAAGGTAAAAGGTACTTACCTTAGTCTTCAAATACCCCTCCACCTCCGGTGCCCTAAACCCTCCCTTCCCTTTCCAACTCAACGGAATCATGGGCACCCTCTCCCTGACCACAATCTCCCGATTTGGCCCCTCCACAGCGCGAATCTTATCTGGGTTATTCGTCAACAACCGGATCTCCTTCTGCCCCAGGTCCAGCAACATGGCAGTCGCCAGCCCATAGCTCCTCGCGTCGGCGGGGTGTCTGAGCAAGAGGTTCGCCTCGACAGTGTCATTGCCCAAATCCTGCAAATTATACGCCTTGAGCTTCTCGCCCAGCCCAATCCCGCGGCCTTCTTGCCGCAGGTAGATGATGATCCCACCGGCTTTGTTGTCTGGGTGAGACATGAGACGCGCGGCCTCGTCGAGCTGCTCGCCGCAGTCGCAGCGTGCAGACCAGACGGTTTCGCCGGTGTAGCACTCAGAATGTATCCTCACCAGCGGGGGTCCGTACTCCTCTTTCGGTCCATCCTCCTTTTGTGTGCTCTCCTCCCCGGGACCCAATCCGCTCGTCGTCCGACCCGGATACAACCGTCCCGTATACGCACCCCGAATCAGCCGATCCATCTCTGTCTCGCCCGGCCGTGGTGCATCCAAACTCTTACTGCGAATATTATGCCCGAAGACGATGGCGAGATGCTCCTTGTTATCCACATTATTCGTATAAAGATGAAGGAACATTTCTGCGCCTGTGGTGGTTGGGATGCGTGCGCGGACGACGCATTCGACTTCCGGCAGGGGGTCGAGCAGGCGGGGGTGTGACGAGCCGCAGCCGCCGGTGTTGTCAGGGAGAGAACTGTCGACGGGGACGCCTCTGGGGACTGAGATTGGGAGGGGGGTCGATGTACCCGGTGTTGAAGGGGGTGTGAATTGAGGGGAGATGAGGGAGGGAGGGGGTTGTGTCAGTTGCTCTGCTGAACTCGACGCTGATGATGCTGATGCCGATGCTGATGCTGATGACGATGATGATGATGATGATGATGATGATGATGATGATGAGCCATCCTGCGTGTTGTCGCCGTTGGCTGGGGCCAAGGTCCCGTTCGTGCTGGCGGTCAGCACAGAGAAATCGGCGTCCTTCACATCTCCCTGCTCCTCAACAGCCGTGCGACGAGGAGAATAAAACGATGGTAGGGTCGTCGACCCCGAAGCCTGGATCGGCTCCGAGTCGGTGGTAGAGGCCGGCATGGCGTTGGGGCTGCTGCTGCGGCGGCGGCGTGGCTGGCTGCGCGGGTACGGTGCAGGGATGGCTGTGACACCGACACGTGCTGCAATGCGGCGCAGGGAGCGATCGATCGATCGGGTTGGATAACGGCAGCGATCGGAACGTTAATCGCAAGGTCGCAATGATTAGTTGATTGATTGGTTGATTGTAGAGAGCGCGGTCAAAGACAAGACAATTGACTCAAGATGGCGACAGCGAAACCAGTGAGCGAGCGAAACGGGGGATGAAATGGAGATGGAGATGGAGATGGAGATGGAGGGGTCGGCTTAGGTCGGTGTTTCTGGAACTTGACTGCCGAGAGTGACTGGAAGAAACAGTGAGACTGCAGACTCGAGATCTAACCTAATGAAGGCAACTTATTCTCGTCAGCAGCAGCGCTCTCATGAAGTGTCAATCGGCCGTCCCGAAGCATGTACGTAAGCAAACAACCTTTTCACCTCTTTAGTCAGGTCCCTCTCCAGCTCTCCTTCTGATTGTGTCAACGTTTTGGTGGCACACTTCTGTAAGCAATCACCAATTGGACAACCCGAGACTCAAAACATCCCGTGCTCACTGCCGCGGTCTCGTCTCAGTCGCACAGCGCTCTCGAAGCCCACCTCTCCTGGGGCGCCCCACCGTCCCCGCCTTCGCCCCCCCTCCCCCCCTCCTCTTCCTCGCGGTTGGGGCGCCGCGGCCGAGGCAGAGACTCGTGCTTCTCCACATCTCGAGAAGGCTCCACGGAGTGTAGTGTCTGACAAATCAGAATGAGAAATCAGCTAGGTGGGACCACACGTGCAGATAGATTACACCGATACGGAGTGAAACAGGTAAGTTACGTAGACCGGGGGAAGCAAGACCACGAATGTTCAGGCGCCCTAACCCCTAACCCTGACCCGAACCCCACCTTTGATTCGGATGCCAACCATCATGCGGACCCTAATTTGCCCCAGCGGTATCGGCTCTAACCCTATCAGTGTGGAATTGGTGATGACGAGTGTTTTAAGTTGTTGAAGCTCGCCGAGTTGCGACGGTGGTGGCTGTTATGATTTTATGATTCATGACGACTTTTTTTACTCCATATTACGCACAGCGAAGGGATTGAAAAGTGAGATGGGGTGGTCCGTGCTTTTGCCTTCGATTGGGCTTCCATCAATTCCATGCGTGCCGAGGAAGGTTCTGTGGGTGCGTTCTGGTGTGTAATGGTACAATAATTTACGATTAGCAGTATTCGCATTCGAGAAGGTTTTACGGTAAGTCACAGAGGCAATCACCCCTCGATTTTGTGTTGAGCTTTGCTCTGTATATTATGTCTCTTGCTAAGAGCGTTCAAAAACGTAGTCACAGGGACAATATCATTGAGAGAGCTTCTGAAGTCAAGTCAGAGAAAAGTTAGGCCTGGAGTCAAGCTCAGGCCCTGACAATTGTCGGCGACATAGGCCGTATGAGTTACCACCGCCGCCGCCCCCTTCTGCGTAACTTACACCTAGCAATCGCGTAAAAAACGGGCTCCTCCCCCTTTACAAAGAAAAATCGAACTCCATAAGCCCATCGCCAACCTTATCGTCAATATAGACGTTGAGCACTCACTACACTACATCCCGCATCAAATCCCTAAAATCGATGCAGGAATCCAAATATAGGCTCTCAGCTGCCTCCCTCATTCTTCTAGAAATATGCGCAGAATATATGCATTGACCAGGAAACACGCAATTTATCCAACCCGCCCGCTAGCCTAGCGACCTTCATGCATTTGAATGGCCGCGCCCCTGTCCGGTGTCAAACCCTTCCCCCCTCCCGAAGGGGCCCAATCGAGGCTGAGGCGATCGGATGTTCACGAAATTCGGTATGTACTTGTAGACTGTGCTACCTTGGCTAACAGCATCGAGGGAATGGATCAAGAACACTGCAACGTCGTCGAGTTCTCAACGTTGGAACTGCAACGCTCTCAAATATCCCCCACTCGATGATGCAATCTCGATGCTTTACATAGAGCAGGGTGCCTACCTTGGGTATTCACCCGTCCCGGCCTGACCCATCTTCCATGGAACAAAGCATGGAACTACCTTTCATCAGTTCCCCAGCCCAGCGCCACACTCTATCCCCATCACCATCCTAGATGACCCTAACATCAAACGTGTTCGGGAATGGTCCCTCGCTCCCGCAAGCTCCGGCCCGGCAGGACTGTCCTTACAAGTAGAATGTGGAGACCCCACGCGGATCTTCGGCTCACACATCCGGAGCCGCACGTGTGACGCGACCGAAAATCTTGGCCAGTCCTGTTTGGGCAGAGGCTCCGTGCAACGTCGGCGGTGTTGCTATGGTTCCGTTGACTATCGTGGAGGTGACAGTTGGCGGGCATGTTGGGCCAATTTCCCATCGAGGCGGCCAGAGAGCGGTTCCTCCATCTTCCCCACGTTGGGATTTGGATGTGATGGGTCCGCGATGATATGCCGGGCCGGATGATGGAAAGGCAAAAAGGGTACATATATGGATCGGGAACGGAGGGTTCCGTCCGTGATGAGAGTTGTGACGGGATGAGAGTTGGATATAAAAAGAGTTGAAGGAATCCCTTGATGTCGATTCTCTCAGCAGGCTCGCCTCTGGATACCTCACCTCTGGCATCCATCGTCTCTACGACATTCCCTCTTCACTCTTTCATTCTCAGTCCAACTCCAAGCCCCAAGCAGCCAACAACAACAACATGCGTCCCTCAACGCTCCTCCTAACCGCCCTCTCCACGGGCTCCCTCGTCGCGGCCGCGCCATCCTTCACGCCCAAGCCTAGCACCACCAAGTCCACGAACCCCTTCGAAGGCAAGACGCAGTTTGTCAACCCAAAATGGGCCGCCAAGCTCGATCAGACCTTCTGGAACCTCCTCAAGAAAGGAGACATTCTCAACGCCCTGAAGGTCCCCAAGATCCAGGCCACCATGTCCACCTTCGTCTGGGTGTCGCGCCGCTCTGAGCTGGTCAACATCGACGACGCCATCGCCGCGGCCCGCAAGGCCCAGAAGCTGACGGGCAAGAAGCAGATTGTGGGCCTGGTGCTGTATAACCTTCCCGACCGGGACTGCAGCGCGGGGGAGAGCGCGGGCGAGCTCTCGAGCGCACAGAATGGGCTGGAGATCTACAAGGAGGAGTTTGTCAAGCCGTTTGCTGAAAAGGTGGCCGCCGCGAAGGACTTGACTTTTGCCGTCGTGCTGGAACCGGATTCGCTGGCTAACCTGGTCACCAATATGGGCATCGAGTTCTGCGCCAACGCAGCCGACGTGTACCGTGAGGGCATCGCGCACGCCATCAACGCCCTGCAGTACGACCACGTGCATCTGTACATTGACGCTGCGCACGGCGGTTGGCTTGGCTGGGATCCTAACCTTCCCTTGGCGGCGAAGGAGTTTGCCAAGGTTGTTAAGCTGGCCGGGGAAAAGGGCGGGAATAAGATTCGGGGTTTCGTCACGAATGTGTCGAACTACAACCCGTTCCATGCGAAGGTCAGGGAGAACTATACCGAGTGGAGCAACTCGTGGGATGAGAGTCACTACGTGAGCTCGCTGGCGCCGTTTTTGGAGGAGGAGGGCTTGCCAAGCCGGTTTATTGTCGATCAGGGCAGAGTTCACCTCCCCGGGGCTCGTAAGGAATGGTGAGTTTCCCTAATTTTCTTTCCCTCCCCCCTTCCCTTTTAAACTCGCAAAGAAAAAGAGGCTAATGATGATGACAACAGGGGCGAGTGGTGCAACGTTGAGCCCGCAGGCTTCGGCATGGCGCCTACGACTAAGACCAACAACACGCATGTTGATGCGATTGTCTGGGTCAAGCCGGGCGGCGAGAGCGACGGGCAGTGCGGCATGGCTGGGGCGCCTCGCGCAGGCGAGTGGTTTGACGAGTATGCGCAGATGCTGGTCAAGAACGCCGATCCGTCGGTGTTCAAGCTGTTTTGAGTGGAGGAGATGAAGGATGGGAATGAGTAAATGAGTAGCGAGGGGGTTTTGTGTATAGATTCGCTTCGTTGTACATATATATTGGGGTATATATACATTGTGCTTGGCTAAGGTCGACATGTCAGTGGTAACATTTTGCAGCATATAGAACGCTGACCTCTGGTTCCTGACTTTCCCTTACAGAAGTCGTCCCTAATGTGTCAACAGAACGGCATACAGAACGATAGAAACTTGTAAACATGTCAACAGTAAACAACACACACACACACACACACACATTTCATTCCCTTACTCTGCTCTATATGCATCTCATTATCATAGTCATAACAATCTATATAGATGCAAGTCGTGATCATCATCATATCGGATCATGTCATCAAGGGCCATAAACAAGACTGACAAAAAGACAAGAGCTAAGCAAACACACTCGAAGATTCAACAACAAAAATGCCGCCAATGTGCTGCTCACTTGACTTTCCTCCTCTTCAACAAAGAAACATGCATGATCACAACAAACACCTACCTCTTCCCCGCCCCCCCCCCCTCTCCCCTCCCTCGAACCCACCCAACCACCTTTCTCCTTATCCTTCATCATCCTCACCAACCTTCCCAATCATACCCATACCCGCCACCACCAGTGGCATACCCTCCATACGCCCACCTCTGTCTCCCCGTACTCCCCGTCCCATAATTATAGTACTCAGACCACCTCCTACTCCCCGGCACCCGCCCCTCCATCACATCATAATACCCATACCCCCTCACCTCCCCTTCCACACTCTCCTCCTCCTCCTCGGGCGTCATCGTCACCTCCTGCCGCGGAGCATCCAACTCCCCTTCCCTGGCTCTCTCCCCGGCGGGCCGACTGCGCGATCGTGCACGGGACTTAGACCGCTCCCGCAGGAGACGAGTTTCCCTTTCTCTAGCAGGGGCCCGGCCGCGGGTGAGGTACTCACGGTCGCGGTCGTACGCGTTGCGCGAGCCGTCTAGACTATACCCTTCCGTGTCATACTCCTCCGTCGAATGCTGGATCGGGATCGGTCTGTCCCTAGTCAGAGGTCTGTCCCGTGGTGAGAGGGGCTCACGATCACGGTCGCGATCACCGCGGGGTGCGCGGCCCGAAGTCGGCGATGGGATTGACCCAGGGTCAGGGGGTTGGGCGGTTCGGCCTGAGCGCGGGGTGAATGAGACGTGGCGAAGACTGCCGCTGGGGTAGGCGTAGCCATAGGCGTATCCCATTCCCGGACCTGGGGGAGGAGGAGCGTAAGGGCCGGAGCCAGGGCCGGTAGTGACGGCGCGGCGGATGTCTTTCTCCCTGTCGCGATCGCGATCGACCGGGGGACCCCTCGACCGCGAACGGAGACGCTCTCGAGCTGCCTTGTCGTCGCGCTCGAGGTCGCGGTAGGAGCGGGATCGGCGAAGGGGGGCTTCGCGGTCACGATCGCGTTCGCGTTCGCGAGGGCTGAAGGCATAATACTCGCATTCAGAGCACAGTCCGTCTACAAGCTCAGAGAGGATGCCGCAGCCGTCGCATTGATCGTAGAGAGGGTCGCGGTCGCGGTCGTGCGGGATTCCTGTAGCCGTGGCAGGGCGGGGAACATCACGGTCTCTTTCACGGAGATCCCTACCCCTATCCCTATCCCTCTCCCTCTCCCTCTCCCGGTCTCTCTCGCGCGCTTCCGGCCTAACCCTCGACCGTGACCTCTCCCTTTCCCTCTCCAACTCCCTCGTCCTCTCTCTCGACCTCTCCCTTTCCCTCGACTCCCCCCTCACCCCTGGCCGCGAAACACTTCTCGCCCGAAGCCTCTCCCTCGACCACTCCTTATCAAGCGCCCTCTCCTCGCTAGCTTCACGATCGCGATACCTAGCTGCCTGTCTCTTCCTTGCCTTCTCCCTCTCCATCGCCTCCCTGACCCCCTTTGGCGGCGGCAGATAGTCGGATTCATCACTCCCCGCACCCTCACTCTCACTTTCTGACCCGGAAGACGACTCCGGCGTGATATTCCCGCCGCCGCGTTCACGCTCCTTAGCGACGGCTCCAGCAGCCCGCGCCTTGAGCCTCTCCCTCTCCCTTTCCCGTGCCTTAGCAGACGTCCTCTCCCTCGATCGGGGCTTTGCTCTGTCTCTGTCTCTGTCCCTTTCCCTTTCCCGATCCTTCTCTCTAGCCCTCGCGCGCGCAACCCTCACCCCGCCCGGCGGACCAGGTGAGTCGGTCTCGCTACCTTCCCCGTCTGGATCGCTCTCAAAATCCATGGTCACGCGTGCCGTGCTGCTCGGCGAGACATCCCTCTCTGCTGCGCTTGCTCGTCCGTCGCCGCGGGAGGGCAGTGCCATGATGGTGTGCACTGCTCTTCCCGAATGTATATGCGAAACAGAATGCGCGCGTCTTCTCCCTGCCGCAGCACCCGCCATGACGGCGCGACTCCTACTACGCCTATCCCGATCGGACTCGTCCCTGTCCCGTTCGCGGGACCTGTCCCTATACAACGGGACCTCCCTCCTCCCCACCACAAGCCCTAGCTCCTGGCCTGGCGGCGGTGGAATCCCCGCTCCGCGATGGATATGCACCGGCCCGTAGTTGAAATAAACATTCACTGCCCTATCCTGACCCACATCGTCAAGTAGATCAGCGACAATATGTGGCTCGGTTGTGGCTGCAGACGTGACATTCCAGAGGGCGCCGTTGACTCCAGCGCCACGATGCCGTTCGAGAGCGTTGGTTGGCGACACGGGAATAGTAGCGCTGCTGTTGTGGGTGCCTGCGACTGAGGCCCGGCGGGAGACGGGGCCCGGCAGGGGCGCAGGCGGGCGGTAGTAGGCGATGGCGTGGTCGTAGGCTGGGTCAAAGTCGCGGTCGCGGTCTCTCTCTCTCTCTCGGTCTCGTGTGCTCTCTCTGTCTCTGTCCCTGTCTCTTTCCCTTTCGCGCTCCCTCAGCTCGCGATCCCGCTCCCTCTCCCTCATTTCACGATCCTTCTCCCTCTCCCTCTCCCTCCCATACCGATCATCCCGATAATACCCCGCAAAGCCGGAGTATCCATACCCATTCGCCCCCGTCGGCGGCGGAGCCGGAGCAGTCCCATACCCCCTCTCTCTCACCCTCAACAAGTCCTCCGGCTCCCGGATATACGGCATCCCGGTATTGGCCACATTCCCGGACATCCCCATCCCGCCCGCCGCAGCAGCAGAGGGATTAGCAGCCTGAGCAGCCGACATAGACTGTGCGCGGTGGCGATGCGAGCGATGCGAGTGGCTTGTGGAGGGGCGGCCTATGGGGGGAGGAGGAGGAGGCGGGGGAGGGGCTTGCTGCCCGATGGGCATGGCGCCGGGCATGCCCATCCCTGGGGGTGGGGGAGGGCCGTAGGGCCAATCTGCGTAGGTTGGGGGCATTATATTTTTTTTTTTTTCCCTTTATGAAGATAATGCTCACGATTGTGAGCTGAATGGTTAACAAGTATGGCGTATTATTGGGGAAAGTTGGGCTGGGGAAGAGGAAGAGAGGGGGAGGAGTGGAAAAGATGGGACCGGGGCAGGGGGTTATGTTTTTTAAAGCAAAGCTGGCGCTAGCCTAGCCAGAGCCCAATGCAAGCGCAAGTGACCGGTGACGAGTGACGTGTCGAGATGGTCCAATCGATTATCACTTCAATCGACCAGTGTTCGCTTTCTGCCTGCCTGCCCGCCTGCTGCAGTCTTGTTTTCGTTCAATTCCTGAGGCCCAACTGACCGCTTTGCTGCTTGCTGCCTTTCAGAGCCTAGCGAAGTCCAGCCTCGCTTACACCATCCCAGTAGGTACGTAGCCCATCATCAAGCACGAAAGCATGAGAGCATAAACTCGCGTGAGAGCGCGAGCGGGGGGTATCTCGAGTCGATTCCCGGCTAACCTAACGGACCTAACGGCCTGGCTGCAGCCCAATTGTTGTAAACACACAACGTTTATTATTATTTACCGCAGCGAAGATAACCTGACTTCATTGGCCCTTGAAAACCCACTCTCGACTACCCACTCTCGACTACTGATCAGGTACAGTAATCCAATCCGGTCGTGTCAATCAATCATTCAATCGCAGGTGCAGGATGCACGACGCGTCCGTTGGCCGTCCCCGCTCTCGGGCACTCTCCAGCTGCATTGGTCAGTCGCTGATGTAGAGGCTTGCTGCTCAGCAAGGCTAGACCCAGAGCCGTTAGCGGCAGTAAGTAGTGCTTCTTGATTGAACGAGTGGACCATTGAAAGAGAGGAAGAATTTGCCCGATCTTGCGCGGTGCAACGTCTTGGCGTCGGCGACTGGTTGACCTTGACTTGAATATGAGGGGTATAAGGCTCTGTGGCGAGGGCAAAGCAAATAAACAAACAAACAAACAAGAAAATTACAACTGCTTGGAGTGGTCAGAATGAAGATACGAGGCTTCGAGCCATTACCGTCATTGATGTCGTCGGAAAGGGGCGTTGCCTGGGGGATGGGAGGAAAGTAAATATTGCGCTCATGGTCAGGGGTAGGGTTGGAGTAGGCAACAACCGAAGATAGGGAGGTAACAATGTTGATGGCCGATCTGGTCTGCAACTCTCGGTCGGGTCACTCTGGTTTCTTGTCGTGACGCCATTTATGAAGTACGCAGCTTGCACGCAAGCCTCTGCTGCGGTTCAGAAACCATGCGTGATCGGGTATCTTCACCACGCAGCATGAAATTCAACAGCATAATAGAAAGACATATAACGCTTGAATACTTCGGTTGCTGGTCTTAAACTTCGCGACTTTCTGGTTCTCTCCCCTGACATGCAGGTGATGAAGGTACAAAACAAACATATCTCCGTCGATCTCCTATACAGTACGACTGTATGTACAGTCTCTAGTGGTGCAATGCAATAAATGAGTGGATTTAAACACCTTCAAAAGGATGCCGAGACAGCGACTGGAGCGAGCTGACTAGGCTGGCCTCGTTTTGACCATAACAAGGACAGGTGTTGGAAAGATAAAATCGTACGTCAGAAGCGCTAACCGGGCTCTTTTGATCCATTTCTCCAGTCTCTGCCTCGACAATTGACACTCGATCAACTGGAAGCCTTACACGCTCCTTGTCTCCCAAAGTTGCTTCCAAATCTCGAACAATAACCCGAAACGACACACCTCAGACCCCAAAGTCTCTGCACGGTAAACTCTTTTCTGGCAGCATCAATCCGAATGCCAAAAGCGTGCTAGACCTCGGCACAAGTAGAGGTATCGGGACCATCGTCATAGGGATATGTTACCCAGCGGTAAAAATTATCTTAACTACAATATCCTTCGAAGAGTTGCAAACGTAAGACCAGTATTTTTCTCACAAATGTGGGCAGCAGTTACCTCCCCCTTGTTAGAGACAAAACGATTGATAATCTGGGCGAGGTCTTTTTCCTATATCTCACTCCGTTTCCTAGGTTCAAGCAATTCTAGGACCAGCGTCGCTATTACCGGTTATCCATTGTGCAAGAATGGAAAATTTACCTCGTCACACAGAATGTTTATATCGATGCCCTCTATTGTCAATGATACCCGGACTCTGGTTACCACATTTGTACTTTCAGCAGGTTAAAATACAAAATGTAACCCCAGTTGTGCCCATACTTGGCTCTAACGTTAGAGTTGACTTGACCTGAGTCTAAAAGGATTTTCAGAATTTCTGCTTGCGCATACCCTGTTATTATCATAAGCAGCGTAGTGTCGACAATGCACGGTTGATTCGCAGTCGAAACATTGCATTAGGATCGACACAGGTTAGAGTATGGCGTATCTGGAAGATATTAATTGTAATATCTTGAGGTTTGATGCTCAATATAGTGTATACCTCCTAAAAAACTCAAGTTACGATGCTCAGTTTTCGGGACAGTACTCGACATTTCTTGTGCTCCTGGAAAATATATGGCTTATGATAAGACTGTCCAGCCATTGCATGTCTTTGCATTGATATCAGCATCTTTTCTTCTTGGCTAGCAAGAAGTATACCATATCCTCATTCCCCACTGAGATAGCAGCGATAAGAAGGATAAGTCGTCCATTTTGCCTGTGGCAAGGAATTCTTCTGCAATATCAATATGGCCATACACGCATTGATAAGCGCTTGCTTGATCAAGAGTCCACCGAGTCTATGACTAACAAGTAGCAGTAGGCGTTGCGGATTGTTCATTCGGCTCAGCTGGACATCCTCAAGAACATCATTCGCTTTGTCCAGGAATGCCCTGCGATCGGAACTGTAAACGACGGATGAATTGCACTTGGATAAAAAGATGCGAGCATTCGAAACTTTTTTTTTTATTTGGCAACATGTCCCCCCGAGCCACAATTTTCCCTGCTCCCCAGATGGAATGCGCCAAGTATCCCAAGCATGCTTCTTATCATCTCTATTCCTTGGATTCAAGCCATTAAACGGCAATGATACTACTCTCAGTCAGGACTGAATAGGAGACTTGAAGATGCTTCTCAATCAATCTCAGCATTGTCAGGAGCATCCTCGTCGTCAATTCTCTCAGCAGGTGGACATGAGTAAAGGAGACGCGACGGTTAAAGTAACATTAGAGTGCGCTTGATCCTTAACTCGAAGAAGAGGTTCAGGTTGGAATATACATACCATTGAATTGAATCCAGGTTCTTGTTGCACACGTCAAGAGCAATACCGAGTGATAGAAATCGGAGTATCTAGGAGTCTAACTTTGGACTGTATCAAGATTTACAGGAGCGATGAAAAGAGAGAAAAGGCCATGGGAGCTGTGCGGGGTCGCTTGGTCGTCTACGTTGAACAGCTTGGGCGCGCCCAAGGCACGCAAGAAACACAGCATAGCCAGCCACATTCTATGTGCTCTACAAGTATAATATAACCATACTCTAAGCTAATATAGTATATCCATATACTGTAGTCAATAGTAGCTGCGGGAGTCTGAAGGGCGTCTAAGATACATTATCTAACTCAAACCCACTCTATCTTCTCAATATTTTTTTTTTACCTAACAGGCTCGGGGCGACTTCTTAATACTGCTAAATACTCAATGTAGTTTTGTACTTACATCCCAAGCTGATTCCTCTGGCCTACCCATTTAACGACCTGATCTTGGCGGATTCGTTTTTGCTAAACACTCGCACACCGTTTCTCCTGTCATATCCAGCGATGCATCAAGCAATATGGAGACTACGAATTATGATTGCCCACATACGGCCATACCTACTAAAAAAAAGAAAAAAAAGAAAACTCGGGATCCCGCTCTCCCATAGATGAGCCCAAGGGTGGATTTAGTACGGATTACTCAGGTTAGTGATGATTGGGGAATCCCCCGTGTTGTATGTTTTTGCGTGTTTGTTTTCTCTTTTAACTTGAGCCTCAGTCGTTTAGTTATCGGCTGGTGAAGCCATTGGCAGGCTCTTTGTCAAGTGACTGAAAAAGGAGTAAAAATATTAGCGGGGGGGCCAAGGTGAAGACTCCCAGACATTGTGGTCAAGATTAGAGATAAGAAAAAGGAATGTAGACAAGATGGCAAGCCCTCCCGCTCAGCTCAGCCAACACACTTGCTCCTCTTACAATCACAATAATCCAGACCAACCCGAGCTTGACCAAGCGCAGAGCGCACGAGAACGTTTTATTAAAGTCCAAGGAACCATGTGCATATCTCAAATCCAAAGAAAAGCTTCAACCAAATCCAAACCCAAACCCAGGATATATCATGCACACCATCCAGCCCATGCACTCCAAGATCTCCGAGATACCACCAGAACAAAACAGCATACAACATATATAAGATGACCGCAGTATGTCCCTCATCCTGATACACCTGTCCAGTGCAAAATCCTGTTACGAATCAAAAATCGGCCCAAACGCCCTAACTCCCCTGCTCTCCAAGCCATATACTACCTTCCTCGTCACTCTCTGATTCGAAATCACCACCACCGCCTCGCATCCCTCTTGCTCCCACACTCGATAGCACAACTTGACCAAATCCGGCCTTTTCACTCGACTCGTATCAACCACGACGGCGTGTAGATCCGACCGGTACACCACGTCGCAAATATCGCGCCCGTACGTCGCCTCTGGGTCGTGCGTAGACCACACGATGCGCACGGGGTGATGTGGGACTTGGATGAGGAGGGAAAGGATAGGGGCTATGCCGGAGCCGGTTGCGACGAGGAGCACAGGACGGAAGAGAGCGGCAATGCGGAGGACTCCGAATTGTGGCACGCCGCGTGTGTAGATTTTCGACGGGGGATGGGCAATGAGGGAGGAGGTCCAGTCGCCTGCTTTGGAGACGATGACGGAGAAGCCTTTTTCTTCGGCCTTTCCCCTGGTTTGGGGCTTGTCTTGAGAGGGAGGAGAGGGAGAGGGGGACGGTGAAGAAGGAGAAGGAGAAGAACAGCAGCCTGAGCAACGACCCTTCATCATCATCATCATCATCTCCGTCCTAACCTGGGGAACGTTGCTCGCCGTCGGCAGCGGAATCACCCCAAACGCGTGCGTCTCCTTAAACGGCCGATCCGTGAGCTTCACGGCCTGGCCGAACTGCACGTTCCGATACCGAAACGTCAGCTTGACACAATGCGGCGAGAGCACCTCCGCCTGCACCTCCCTCTTCCTCAACCTCGTCCACGGATACACCACCAGCCCCGTGATAGTAACCAACATCCACAGGTTCGGCTCCCTGACCAACGTTTTTCCGATCGTGGCCCCGTCAGGACTGCGGTTTTCTGCCGCCAGTAGCACGAGCAACACCCAGAAAAGAATAATACAAAGCCACCCTCCAAACCGGTGAATTACCTCAAACCAATCATGCATGACCCTCCTAAACTTGGGGTGCGCTGTGCACAGAATACTCACCAACACCGCGAGGATGGCATACGCCACAAAGTACACCCAGCTCCGGACAACCGTCACCTCTTGCCGCGACGTAAGCTCCCTCGTCAGCAACACCAGAAAGGAAACATACCATCCCACCGCAGCGACCGCCCCGCCCGAATGAACCCCGCCGTATGTGTACACCCTCGCCGCAAGCGACCTTACCCGTAAGGGGGCATACTTCGTTGCCGTGCCCAACGTCCAAAACAGCGTGTTAACAACATGCTCGTTGCGGATGAGCACCGCTGCCAGGAGGTTGCTTGTCGTGGCGGTGATGGCGCCGTGGTAAGTCAGTCCTTGTGACTTTTCTGTCCTACTACCACTGGTGTGTCGCTCCAGAAGAGTGATGAGGGCAATGGTGTTGGCGAGGAAGACGAGGCAGAAGAGGCGGCAGTAGATCGAGAGGAAGGTATGCCGCAGGTGGCGGTAGAAGCGAGTGCCTTTTTTTGGGGGGAGAGGCAAGGGCGAGAGGTTATGAGCAAGAAAGACGTCGGTGGGATTCGCCGGAGGTTTTTCCTCGTTCAGGTTTGGGACTTGTTGTGGTGAGGGTGAGGAGAGACTGCGTGTGTTGTTGTTGTTGTTGTTGTTGTTGTTGTTGTTGTTGTTGTTGACTGGGGCATTGGATGCGTGTGTGGGCGTGCGTGCATTGTCGGCGGCTGCTTCCTCAATGTCTCTTGGGGGACTCGGAGGGGAGAGGATAGGGGTAGGGGTAGGATTGGATGTTGTTGAAGGCCTTCGAAGGAAGGAGACGCGACTCTGACGGGAGCGTGAACTTGAGAAGGGGGATTTGGGCTCCTCGGGTGACTCGTCACCGCTGGGGTCCGACTCGCAGTCGGACTCTTCGTATGTCATCACGGTTTTCCTGGTGTTGGTGTCTGCTGGTGTTGGAAGTGGTTGAGAACGGAAAGGGAGGGCAGGCATCATGAAGTAGGTTGGCAACCGCTGGGCGATATTCGGGCTCCAGGGGAGACTGTGTGATCGGACTGTTCGAACACGGGCATTGGGAGGAAGTCTTGCTTGGGCAGGGTTGGGGAAATGTGCCAGTGGTGTTTCTGGGCTGGCCATCGTCGCGGGGCTGAAGGGGTTGGATGGTTGGGCGTTGTCCGAAGGACTTGGTTGTTGAGGTGACATCTTCTCGACTTTGATAAGTGCTACTTGCTCCGTATATAATTGTATGTCGTTGCCAGGACTGGCTCTAAAAATAGCGAGCCCGTTTGAGTTGGTATCAACTTGGTGAGTCACGGCGAGAAGCACATACCCAACCCCTGGTGTATATGCGATGGCCGGACTCGGGCTGACAACCCACGGCGGCGTGGTAGACTCTTTGCACGCGTAGGAAGTTCAGATTCCAGGGGTTCCAGAACCGGATATAAGAACTTCTCTCTGAGAGTTGTGGGAAAACAGTTCTTAATAATACCAGACCTGATGATACATACGCCTACAGCGTGACGTAGTTCAGCTCTTAGTTTTCATATTCGTCGACAGCTCCGTCTACAACAGTCCCATCATCCGTGCCCACCACGTAGAGTCCGGCTCCCTTTATCGGTAATTCCTCAGACTATCCACAGCAGTTCCCAGCTGAGACTCAATAACGCCCAAAACAGGGAAAGCCTTAAGCACAATCAATTTGGAGTGGTAGCTCAGCGGCACCTCAGAATAGCAATGCGGAAAGAACATGCCATTTCGCGGTTCGCTAGACCCGAGCCGCAGTCGAGCATGGACATGACGGCTCAACGGGAAATATTGAGGTTAGTTCCCTGCGCTTGCAGAGGTCTCCAATCTCCATCTCACTACACTTGTAGATGTTCGGCAAGCTCCATGTCTCTTCATCTCCTGATGTTATCCTTAAGAGGAAACTCAGCTAGCCACCATCCATGGCCCGAGATAAGTTTACGTGGCTCCTCCAACTCACAACCAGTAGACATCTTGGTTATGTGCTTGCCGCCTGTCGACCAAGTCGCGGTAATCCCGACAAAGCGCGCAGACTAGTTGTACATACGACTTGTGCATAGGGCTGTGGAGCCTCAATGGGCCTAGTTCATTCATAGTTAGTTACTCAAGCTTACCCGATTAAAAGTCTACAGACATTTTGCTCTGCACAATCGATGGGCTCTTTGAAGCCTTTGGCGGTTGCCGCTGCGGCCCTTCAGGCATCCAAACTGCCCAGGAACCAGACGACTGGAAATCGTTGAAATACCGCAGAGGCTCCCAGACAGCCGCAGGAGTCTTGGATACCTGATGGCATGGGTTTCCTTTTCCCCGGGCCCGGACTTTGCAGTGTTTCTCGATCAGTCGTTAGTAGGTATATTGCACCCCTGGTGTGTTCTTTTTAACGCAAAACTTCGGACCGACGACAATCATAACTCAACTGCCACAAAACTGCCATTTTCCGAGCAAAGAAGTGATATCAATGTAAAGAAAAATTCATTGCTTGATGATGCTAATGCTTTGTGACCTAAAATTGTTAATTTCGAGCAAGGAAACTGTGGTTTACCATATAAGGCTGACCGGGATCCCTGTTTAAAGTTTCGCGCTAACAATCAAACAAGGGTGGAACTGTAGATGGGCATGTAAAGTTTGCGGGCTTTGCGACACTGTTTATTGAGTAGGCACCCAGTACAATTTTAAAATGGTGCAGAAGACTCCTCGAGCTTAGGGATCGCTCTCGGTAGATACGTAATGGAACTCATCGTTTGATTGGCATATCTTTCAGTTGTTTCTTTACGGGCGTGATCCTCTCTGCATCGCATCAGTGATCACTTTGCAGAACGGCCTAGGCTCAAGCCGGCGGGCGAACCCGTGGCTCACGCCGGAAATAGCGTCAAGGACGGCTTCGATGAAGTAGACATATAACATCAGCCGCGCGGCCGTTAAGATCCTGCTGATATATCGTATACGCAAGCAAGCGAGCCGCTCTAGACGCGGTCCGTCCTATAACTCCGCAATTATCTCGCCTATTGGTATCCAGCCTACGTATATCAGTGCACGATATCAAGTGAGCCTGATCTAGGTATACCTAACTATAACTATCCAGCGGCCCGGCTACTATGTGACCGGGCGCTGGGGAATGGTCCACGAATCGGCAGCCTTCGCGGGTTGCCTACTGAGCATATGGTGATACGATGCTACGTCCAACAAAGAATTCAACCAAGTAGCCGTTGACTGTTTCTGCCTCATCTGCCGCTTGCTTAGGCCTTGCCCTGGCATAGTTGGCATCGCATGTCGCACAACCGGGGGAGGTTATCTGTAGAGGCGGCTGGCAACAATACACTCTGATTGCTCCAGAATAAGGTAGCATAGACGTGTAGACCATGTCTAGGGAAGCACGCACTCCATAGAAAACAACCTTGAATAGACGAGATAGCGTCGCATTACCATGGAACTGAAGTCGGTTAGGCGGGCGCCGGGCGCAGTTTCACCGGCGGCAGTGCGGCTACGGGACATACTGTGTGTATGAAGAAGCGCGCGCGGGACCACGGGTGGTGAAGCAGACCAAACTGTACTGCTACACTACATACGGCGATGCGATCGGGTTCCATTCTCGGCAACGGATGAAACGAAACGAAACATTTCCCCCTTGGCGCTGTACACAGTAGGCAGGCAATAAGAGATACATTGAGCTGTTTACCTTATCTGCAGTATGTGCTGGTTTCTGGGTCTTGAATCATGCTGCTACTGGAGCCAACTGCAGAAGCCAAATGTTGAGTGAAATAATTGGAAGGCTAAAAAAAGAAGGTCGGAATTGGGCCCGAAAGCTACAGTTTACTTCTTGTTTGAGTTTGATTGTTAGTGCTAAACTTTGGTCAGGGGTTCTAGTCAGCCCTATTCTAATAGTTTGGGTTGCAGTGGTCTCTCAAAATCAGCGGTTATCATCAAGACTTAGTTATCTAGTTGGAGTGATTAAGAGATGAAGTCTCTACTCACTTGCGTCATTGCTTTGCTTTGTTTTGAAAGTGGCTTGTTTTTTTTTTTTTTGGTTAAGCTGTGTTTGCGTTAGCCAAAGCCTTCTCCCGAGGTCTTGCGCTAACCAATAAACCAGGGGGTTGTTGTACACTAGGTAGATAGCTTAGAGCTCGGGAGCAGGAGAAGTTCTCTCCATCTTATGGAGTTTCTGGGTCTGGAGATGCCAAGAACCGTTAGCTCGGAGCAGCCCTCTGATTGGCCAAACAAGCGCGATGCCAAAAATATGTGCAAACGGTTGTTTCGAAACCCTTTTACGAAAGCAAGCCGGAGCGGAGGCTTAGCAGTGGAAACCGACTTCAGGTCTGTTTTTGGCATTGATGTATCCAAAATAATGATGTGGGAGAGAAGATATCTCAGGATACGTTTGACTACGACCAGAAGAAGGTGTACGTAGTCGTACATATGCCCCGTACTCTCATGCTGACCCTGATTGACAGCCAAAGTTCCATGCTGGGCGAAGCTCATCTGTGAAACGGTAATTCCCAAGGTTTCGGGACGTCCCATGTAAGCCACCTTCGGGGTTAGGGGTGCTTGCTTCCTCATCGTATCCATCCCTCCATGGAGAGGTACGGTAGGCAGATAGGTCGGTTCGTGATTCCTTCAGCTTCTGGGGTTTCCTCCGCTACATGTACTGTCGAAAGGGTCAAGCAAACTCATGAGTAAACAGAATGACTGAATGAATTGATTATCAAAAAACAACAAGTCTTCATGGACCAGACCAGAAGAGGTTGGAACCAATAGAATCGAAATAGGACTTATCACGTGATTTATCACGTGAAAAATCTCGCAGCGCGATTTCTTTCTAGGTGTCAGTAAACGGCGGCCAAGGCTTTACGGCAGAGCGACAGCGAGGCTCGCAGGCCGGAACGCTCCGCTTGGATCCCCACTCCACTGCCATTAGGTGTGGGTGCGAGAGCGAGCCCCAAACATCACCACGCCGAGAGGAGCCTCAGAAGCTCGACCCGACCGAGTGAACATTCCAATTGCCCTTCGCCGGCCGCTCCTCCGACCCGACTCGACCCGACGCCTTCCCTTGAAAATGGCGACCGACGCTGCTGAGACCTCGCGCCGTATGTTGATACCCCTCCCCGAGCTTCCAGAGTCGAGGAGGCATGATCGAGATGCGCAACATGAAGAGGAGGAGCAGGAGAATTGAATGGCTCTTGCTGACGAGTACTGAAAACAGGCGCCACGCGCGAGGAAATGCGCGACGCCAAGGTGCCACTGGCCTACCGCGACAGCTGCGCCCACCTACTGATCCCGTTGAATCGCTGCCGCTACGAGACGTACTATCTCCCCTGGAAGTGCGAGGTACGATGCCTGCAGACCGACAATTACCCTCTCCCTTCGGCCGATTTTCTTTGCTTTACTCTGCCCAGTGTTGACTAGGGGAATTGGGTTATATGGCAACCAGACGGATCGGCTGACGGAGAGTGAAACAGGACGAGAGACACAGCTACGAAAAGTGCCAGTACCTTGAGTTCAAGAAGCGCGTGCAGAAGATGGAGGAGCTGCGCGAGGCCAAGGGCGGTGCGAGGAGCAACTGAGAGAGGGGAAGCTTGGCAAGGAGGGCGTCTTCTGTCTGTTTTGTCCATCTGTTGAGTCCCTCTAGGAAGAAGAGACATGACAAGACAAATCAAGGCAAGACAGGCCGGTAGTGATTTCTGGCAAGAAGAGGCAAAAAAAAGAGCGAGTTGCTGACAATCGAATGAGTGAGTGAGTGAGTGAGTGAGTAAGTGAGCGAGTGATGTGGGAGATAATATAAGTATAGACTTGATAATGTGAGACGAGTCAATGACGGCTCGCAGGTGTACAGATTCACGGTTACGGTTTACGACAACGAGGAAAGAGATGGCTGGGTGCAGACTAAAGCAACCACAATAGGCGGGCGGCGCATGCTGACTGCTACTTCACCAGCTGCAAGACAACAGGCTCAGGCTCTGTTCCATGGGTTATCAACTGGTCCCCAGGCTCAAGCACTTCATCCTCACCCGTGTTCTCTGCAGTTGAAGATCGGCCGATCTTCACTCCCATCGCCACCAGGCTCATGCCCACCTTGGCATTCATCCATCCGTCTCGCCGTCTGTCTGTCTGCCTGTCTCAGAGATCGATACTCTCCCTCTCTCTCCCCGTGTCATTTTAAACCCCATGGCCAGTGCCTTGTGCTGCCGTGACTATGACTACCGAACCCTCCGTACCGGATATCCCAGGCCAACCCACACACAGACACACAACAACGTGGAGCCCGGAGTCTTTGGTCCCGCCGTGCAAGACAGACAGACAGACCCAAGGAATGCAAAGAAATTCCTCAACCAACCAACCAATCTGCCACTATCACAATTGACTTTACTTTTGACGGAGAAGTGTAGTATTCGACAAAGCTTTTCCGGTTGAGAAATCGATGGCGATGATAGTAGACCACTCCGAACAGCCGCGATAAGAAATCCCTAAGATCAAGATGAGATGAACTTTTTCCAGCGGAGATGCATCTCTCAAACAAGAGATAAGCCTCCCCCTCCACCCCCCAGTAACCCGTCTCTTCTCCCCCAAGAACGCTTTATACGGACCCAGCAGATGCGACCTCGATCCTATGGTCCAGGATAGAACATCTCCCCGGATCGGATGGATTGAGGAGTTGAGTCAAAGAGGCTCAACTCCCGCGGAGATGGTGCAGTGCCAGTAGGCAGGTACTTATCTTTTTTTGCGGGCTGCCCCAGGGCATTGTTCCTGATAAGAACTTTGATAAGAACTTCCACTCGGATCTCACTCCAAAACAAAGCTCCCACCCCGCTGGTGCATCCATTCCTTGTGAGCTTGGTCACCGCCCTTCTCCCCCCCCCCCGGCCTTTATCGATGCCAAGAGACACGGATTCCAGCAGCCGCCGGTCGGAGATAAGCGAGGGGAGACGAGACGATAACACTTGTCCGCTGCTCTCGTTCGTTCCTTCGCAGGGCTGACAAATGTGGCGTTGGACTGGACTCTGTACCGTTTTTGTGGGGGTTCTTCCACAACCTTGATTCGCCGGCCCCGACTCTCAAGGAAGAGGTTCGGTCGGGCACTAAGTTTGTCTCTTGCCGATCTTGCTGCAGCAAATACATACTTGCTATGCTGTGTGACGTGCCCGTGATTGACGGTGCTTCTCCGGAGATGCATGTCGTGCCTTGAGCGACGCGGGATTGGGTTCGGTTGATCTCCCCCATATTCAGCGAAGTGTTGTGTCTTTGGTGTGAGTAAGGAACGGAAGGTCTACACCGTAGGCTATCGGAACCTCTCGCCCATGCCGCCACATCTTATTGCTTGGAGCTTACATCTGAGGCTCTAAGATACGACCTGTGTTATCTGCAGTGTCGACTGTACAGTGCTCATCTTAGGTTGATGTTGTGACCTCTTACCTTCTTGGAAGTTGATGCAGTGGCTTGTGTCTGGTGAAGGGGTATAAGTCTGTTGGGCTTCTCATCTCTATCAACGACTGACAGTGGTTGATGGACCAGGACAGTCTCCCGACTTCATCCCCTCCCTTTTTTCTCATTCACGGGGTCTCTTCACTTCTTTCCCCTCTCCCCCCCTAGCCCTTTTCTTAGGGGGCCGTGAGAACCTCACCTTAAGTAAGCCAACTGAGTCCACAGAAAAAAAAAAAATATGGGCTTCAAATCTCGCCTCTCAACCCTCTGGGCACCGCCTCAACTCAACCCCGTCACCAAAAAGGCCCGGTCCATCCCCCTGCTCAATCCTCTCGACCGCCATGGCCGCGTCTTCTTCTTCTCCTGGATGGGCTTCATGATTGCCTTTTGGGCGTGGTACACTTTCCCTCCTCTTGTAAGCGGCCACCCTCTCTCTTCTCCTCCCTGCCTCTTCCTTTCCCTTTAGCTACCTCTAGTTAGCAACACACTAACATCTCTGACCACAGCTCACCGTAACAATCCGAGAAGATCTTCACTTAACCAAAACCCAAGTCGCCAACTCTAACATCGTCTCCCTCTCCGCGACCCTCCTCATCCGCCTCATCTCCGGCCCCCTCTGCGACGCAATCGGCCCGCGTAAGGTCTTCGCCCTCGTCCTCTTGCTGGGAAGCATACCTGTCGGCCTCGCCCCATTGATCCACAACGCGGCCGGGCTCTACACAATCCGCTTCTTCATCGGCATCCTCGGCGCGAGCTTCGTGCCCTGTCAGGTGTGGTGCACGCTGTGGTTCGACCGGAATGTAGTCGGCACGGCAAATGGGCTCGCCGGCGGGTGGGGGAATGCCGGCGGCGGCGTGACATATTTTATCATGCCGGCTGTGTTTGACAGCTTGGTGGGAAAGGGATTGACGCCTGGGAAGGCGTGGCGGGTAACCTTTGTGGTGCCATTGGTGTGTTTGGTGGTTTGTGGTTTGGGCCTATTGGTGTTGTGTGAGGATTGTCCTACAGGGAGGTGGTATGTTTACCTATCTACTTTCAATCTACTAAGGGGCGCCTCTCCCCCTCCCCCCCCCCCCACCACACACACACACGTCCCGCCCGGGACCGGGGGACGGGGGGGGGGAATTGAGGTGATTGAATGTGTTTGAGACCAAAGACTAACTGCCTACTCCTCTGATTGACAGGGCCGACCGCTACAAAGCAATCGAAGCCAACCTCGCCTTCGCCGCCTCTGACTCAACCGACTCGTCCACCGACACCGATAAGATCGTCCCTGTCCCAGGCTCCATTACCTCCCGCCCTCCATCCCCCTCCCGCCCATCCAACTCCGACACTAGCCCCGAGAAAAAGCAAAGCCCCCCTTCCTCTCCCTCCCTCCCCCCGACCCAAGCCATGTCATCCCCTTCCTCCCGAAATTCCCCTCCCCCCTTCCCTCCACACCGCCATCCCCATCCTCCTCTCTCCGCAATGCCTCTTCCACGTTCTAACCTACGCTTGCTCCTTCGGCGGCGAACTCGCCATCAACGCTGTCCTCTCCTCCTATTACCTCTCCCTCTTCCCCACCAAACTAACCCAAACAACCGCCTCCAACTACGCCGCCATCTTCGGCTTCCTCAACTTCCTCACCCGCCCCCTGGGCGGCGTCATCGCCGACCTCTTGTACAACCTCGCCCCCGCGCGCTACAAGCTCTGGTCCAAGAAGCTGTGGATTACCACGTGCGGCGTGCTCACCGGCTCCTTGCTCATCCTCATCGGGCTGTACAAGTCCCCCTCCTTGGCTGTGACCATCGCCCTCGTTTGCGTCATGGCTTTCTTCCACGAGGCAGGGAATGGGGCGAATTTTGCTTTGCTGCCACACGTTTTTCCGCAGGCGAATGGTTTGTTGAGCGGGGTTACCGGAGCGGGGGGCAACTTGGGTGGGGTGGTGTTTGCGATAGTTTTGAGGTTTATGGATGGCGGCACGAATTATAGCAAGGGGTTTTGGGTGATTGGGATTGTGCATGTGGTGGTAAATTTGGCGGTTTGTTGGGTTAGGCCGGTGGCGGAGAGTTAGGAGGGGGCAACATTGAATGAGATTGTGATAGGGGATGGGTAAGATAAAAACATACGTTGAAGATGGACGTGTGTCGGGAGTTTTTCTTATTTGGACATACGATGGATACAATATCGATACAGGGCAAGGCTGGATGGATGAATGGTCTACACTTTTCTAAGATGACCTCATCACAAGTATAATTACGTACATGGGTTATGCTGGCGAAATATCATGTAAATGCTGGCATGGCATGAGCTTCAAGCTCAAGATATTCCTCCATCACTTCCCTAGGCCGTTCTCACTTCTCTTAGCCTGCTCCAGACCTCCGCCAACTTCAATTAGACTTAAAATCCCCCACCCCTCCTCCTCCTCTCTCGATCAGCCAACGTCAACTTATTTTACTAAAACCCCCTTTCCCAGCAAACCCAACTCCTTTCCAACTCTTTCAACATCCCCAGCCTGGTGAATGTCACATCAAACATATCCTTTCCCTTCTCGAATGAACCCATCTCTGATCCATATCCTCCAGCACCCACCAGAGAAAGCTCGCGACCCCGTATGGGGTGCAGATGGCGTCACCAAAGGTCTGAAGCTCAGAGGCAGCTTATCTGCTAACTGATTCTCGTGAATGAGAGCTTTGGCAACAAGCATCCAGGCTTCATTGGCCGTGGTGAGACGAGATTGTGTGTCTTTCTTGGCGCTTTTGATGGCTGCTTGGTAGGGAATTGGTTCGGTTGTGGATGTTTTGATGCTGTCCCCATAATTGTTTGGCTAGGAGAGTAGAGAGCATTGAACTCTGCGGCTGCTTCCTCAGCTTGTAGGTAAGCAGCCCGCAGTGTGGCTTGTGGTTTGGGGGAAGCCAACATTTGGCGGGGTTTGCGAACCGTACGTGTTGAGAGATTAAACTGTTGCAGCAGGAGTTTGAGAATTGTGAGGCTGAGCCATAGCAATGTAGGTCCTCTAAATGGCCTTTTTGCTTCATGTTCCAAAGGCAATGTGTGTTTTGTTCCAGATGCCTTATCAGTAAGCCATAGTCCTAAGCAGAGACAAAGAATCTGCAGGACTAATGATGAACCATGAACCAGATCTTGAGAGCCCATGAAAAGGTCAGTCAAACTAACAGAAAGGGTATCATGACAACAACCACTTGAAACTGCACTTGCAGAGATCGCGACGCAGAAAAAGATATAACAAGCATTACCACTGAGGTGGTGCATTCCATATCTGCTGACTAGTAAACGAGAGACTAGAGTGGAAAAAATCAGAAAGAAATCGATGCCACTGATTGATCAGTGGGCCATATCATGACAGAATGACAAAGTTAAAAGTTCAAAGTTTGAAGTTGAAGACGGATAAAGTCTCAAGACGGATCTCACCATCAGTCTCAAAATCGAGAAACTACTCAAGTTCAGCTGGGCGCTTGGGGTGGCCGATAGGCGGAAGAGGGGAGTGAGCTGGGAGCTCAGGCAGCGTCGGAACCCCGGACCTAGCAGCTGCAGCAGCTGACGACTCAGCCGGGACAGCAGTTACCATCGGAGCAGACATCGTTGAAGCCAAGTGACCATGACGATCTGAGCATATCTGGGGCGAAGCGGGATCCGATCCGGCGAGAGAGCTGGGCTGAGAGCCAGACAGGGGCATTCTGCCCAGACCGATTAGAACAGGAGACGGAACTGGGCCATCATGGCCAGGGGAAGGAGTCGCATTGTCAGGAAAGCGAGCGGTGTCTTGGGTACCTTCACGACTCTGGTGGTTTCCTCCCCTCACTTGAGGTTCGAGCGCGCAGTGTTGCGCAGTCGCCTGTTGCCCCCTACGGGACTTATACACCATGAACCAGATACAGCAGCCGATGAAGGCTAGGAAGGCGATTGCGCCAAAAATGCTGCCGATGATGGTACCAATTGGGGTCGGGCCGGAGACATAGGTCGACTCGGAGGGCGAAGGAGCACCCAGGGTCTCAGTGCCAATGTCCTGTGATGTAGTGGCGATTGTTGCATTCGGGGGAGTAGTCGCAGAAGGGCGCACCGGTGGGTACATGGTCATGACACCACCCTCAGCAAAGCAGCCAAGCATGAGGAACATACTGGTGGTAACGGTCGTTCCACTCGTAGTCTCAGTCGGATACATGAAAGTGCGACAGTAGGGGCGGTCCGTGAACTTGCTAGGGAGTGTTAGTTAAGCCGGGGTGTAGAAGAGATGAAATCAGCCCTACCAGCAAGTCGTTCTCTGGCCTTGATCTTCACAGGCACCCCTCAGAGAGGCATCGCGATCAAGACACATGGTTGGCACATTGGTGCAAGTCGACGAGGGGCCATCAGCATCCCGCTGGTGGCAACATCCCATGAAGCCGACGCCATCATTGGCGCAGAACATGTCATCCGGGCCGACGCAGTTGATGTAGACCCCTAGAGCACTGTTAGCGTGGTCTCAGAAGACAGGAGATGAACTTGTTACATCTAGAGGTCGTGATCGTGGCGCTGTCTCCCGAACGGTGCAGACCACTGGTTTGAATGATGCCACACGTGTCGGTATGGTCGCGTTCATGTCCGTCGTCTATGTTCGCGTGCGCAAGAGCCGGAGAACCAGTGAAAGCCGGGACAAAGCCCCAGGGAGTGTCAGCAGTGACGAGTTCGAGGGCATTTACGTTCGGGTTCCTGGCCTGAGCCAAGGTGCCAGTCGGTTCGACAGGACGCATGAGCGTCTGCCTGGGCGCCATGCCAGCCGTGGCAGCGCCCAGCAAAGCCCTCAGCAGAAGCAAAATTCCAAAAGCCTTGCGCTTCATGCTGATGGCTGAGACAATCTATCGGCTTCAGTCAGAGAAAAGTGGTTATGTGGTGATGACGCAGCAGTGATGGACTGGTGGTAGTACGACCTGGCCTGGCCGGGGGAGAGTTACGAAATTTTGCAGACGAAAACACAAAATTGTAAAATATTTGCGAAAGAAGAAGGACCCGCGACTGTGAGGGCTGCGAAATTTGTGCTGCCTAGCATAACAGCCTGTTATCGCAGGGCTGGTTGGGAGGGAACACAGAAAGGAACACAAGATGGAAAGAGCAACCCAACCCCCCCTCCCCCCCGCGTGAACAACGCGACACGAAAGCTTGAAACGCGTGCTAATGTGTCTACTCTCTTATTGGAGCCAGCAGTTCCATTGCCTTCCATCTGGGTCAGTGAGAGTTGTAGTTGCTGCTGCTATTGTCAAGTCCTGCTTCTGTCATCAGTCATCCTACCATCTGAATTCTGAGCTGACTATCCATGGATCTCCCTCTCCTCTAATATCGCCTGAATCATCCCAAGGCAACCAACAGTCATGTGAGCGTTCAGCCTCAGGATTGATAATAATAGCTAGAGGTGGGTATCCTCAGCGTTATACAGGTTTCACTCATTGCCTTCCAGCTGGGACCTGTCATGGTTGCTCGAGTCTTGGTCAATGGCGAATGGTGATAATGTTCGATGTCTGCATTCAGCTGTCTGTTAGACTCCAGGACTCCAGCACCCATTCTCAGGCAATGGTTCCCAAGTAGTGTTAGAACCACACATTAGCCTCCAAGCAGTGATCCCCGAAAGAGTTTATCTCTTAACTGTTTTGCTATCCCGGCCACGTTGACAGCTACCCTCGGGTAGCAATCCATCGTTTGGTATGAAACAATAAATAGAGTCCTGCATGGCTGTTGAGACAGTCTCACCCAAGACGGGCGGTAGAATCACGAAAGAATGTTCTCTTGAGTTCAGCTCTTTGATTACACCCCATAGTACAGGATCTTGCACACAATCTGTCAGATCTCACACCAGCAAGCACATGGCCAGGCCAGCCACGCTCAGGGACCCGCGACATCCTGGTCTGCTCAAAGAGATCCGGAAGCCGTAGTCTTGTCTCAGAAATAAAGGACCCAGCATTTGTCATTTGTCTCAGAGTACGGTACATGCGCTTGGCTAGGCATGCTTGGAATAGCAACAGTGGCGGCACGTCCGAGACTATGGCGTTAGGATGAGCCATGGCGGTTGGAGATGAGGCTTGATGGGGGGAAGGAAGGGGTTAAATTAATAGAGGCTGAATAGAGCTTCGATTCCCCTCCATCTGGTTCATCATCTCATCACCTCAGCGTTCGAAATACTTCGAAAGACAATAGATCACTTTCCGTGAAGTCTTCTATTTTGCTCCAACTAGTCAAGATCAGGCCAAGATCAAGACACAGCTTCAAAAGACCATCTCAACACTGCTCAACTCACAATGGCCTCGAGACATTTCTCTACTAGCTCTGGCCTTGTCAACCAAGGAAGGTCAGGCTACGACACTACAAATCTACCATCTGGCCCAGGGTCAGATAAACCAAAGGGGTCCAATGGCAAATAGCTGGACACAACGAGTGAGGGTCATCATATCGCTCTAAGTAAGGAGGAATTGCTGACAAGAGGTTTTACTGGACATGTTAGTTCGTCCTGAACATGGCAGTTCTCTTTAATTATACCATATTGATCTTAGTTGTTGCCAAGTCTTGGGCAATGCGAGGGGTATTAGGTTTCAATTCCAATATCTGTTCGAGGAATAGAGGAAAAGACTTCTGAAGCAATCCTTTTAGTTTTCTGTACGTACCTGTTGTTGTGTTATAAGCGAGTCATATCTTATTAATACACCACTCATCCAAAAGACAAAGTCTCGACCCAGCTATCCAAAAGGCATCTCTGTCGATTCCCAACAAGATAGGTATTCACCATCATTTCCAAACAACCTCCCATATCTCATCCAAACTCCGGTTCAACCCTCATGCCCAACCCGCATTCCTAGCCCACCTCATAGCAAAATGCCCCGCCACAGCGCCAAACACCGTAAACAGCACACACGGCGCAGCCTTGATCAGCTGCAGCCACCACGGATTGAAGTAGACAACCTCAACGTTGTTCCCCATCGGGTCCAGCACAAACGCCGCATAATACCCCTTCGCGTACTGCGGCCTCTCGCCCGGCTCGCCGTTGGGGATGCCGCCTGCTTGTCTGTACTCTGTCAACATACTCGCACCTTCTGTTTGTTATTTTTTTTTTTTTTGGAGAGGGGGGGGGGGGAAGGGGAAGTACGTACACAGCAATCTTGTACCACCTCTCCACCTCTTTTACTCCCCCCGCATCGAACGCAACATGCGTCGTCAACCCTTTTTTGCCCTCCTCCTTATCCTTGCTTGAGTTGAAAAGATACCCATCCCTCTCCAATTGAGCGGCGACCTCCTCGCAGGTACTGTGCAGCCAGAAGTCGGGGCCACCGTTGCGCGGACGGAAGCCGACGTAGAGGTTGGCTTGTTCTTTGTAGATTGTGTAACCTAAGGGTGAGAGGATGGTTTGGTAGAAGGCACGCATGCGGGTATGGGTACGGGGGGTTGTTGGGAGGGCGACGTGATTGATAGGCATGTTGATTGATTATGATGAAAAGGGAGAGTCGACTGATTGACTGACTGGAGATCGGGGGTATTGGCTGAGTTGGATGTTGAAAGCCGAACTTTGGGGGAACTCTCGGAGGGGCTGAGGGGAGAGAGTCGATGTGTAGGTGAAGAAACAAGTTCAGATGCGTTTGCTGAGCGGGGTCTCTTTGTTTGTCAGATCAGACGCTGACTGTCTTCACTCTTCTTGAAGTTCCCTTCTGCATTATTGACTTCTAGATTCTCAACCTCGCTCCGTAAACTTCAAGCTTCCTCCATCTTATAGCCCCCAGCCCCAACCCTAGCCCTTACCCCTTCCCAATAGTAGTGTCGGAATCACCAACCTCGCTGCTCAAGGCAACAGGCAGCAATTTGCAACCTCCACACCTGCATCCTCCCTTGCAGTGAAGTCGCTATGTGAATGGCCAGCCCCGCGGGGCTCACGTGAGACCGCGCCATGTTGGCGTTGAGCCCCGCTTCTGCAGACGCGCGCGGGTCATCATTCCTCCCGTGGGAGCAAAAAAAAAAAAGCTTGCGTGGGCTTGGGGAGGGTTCGGAGTTACGAGCGAAGGTTTGCAAGAAGAACCATGCAAGAAAAGGACCTAGTGTTTTGTTTTAATGCTGCAGCCCGGTGAAATGGAAGCGAACCTGCAATTGGCGCGCACGCAGACATCAAGACTCCATTCTATCTAGTTTCTGCACCATTCTTCTTCCAAAACCCCCATTTAAGCCCCCTTCCCAAAAAGCACCTTAACGGTGTCATACCCATACTCCACCGTCCCATGCCAATAATTCGTCGTATCCCCCTTACTCACCCTCCACGCCTCATCCAATGCCCTCACCACATCATCCGGCAACGGGCCCCTCTCCAGCGCATCCAAATTCTCCCCCAACTGCTCCAGCCTCGATACGCCCACAATCACCCCATCATTACCGTCCTTGACTCTCAGCTTTGAGTGATGCACCAACCACCTCAGCGCCGTCTCAATCAGCGTCAACCCCGCCTTCTCGGCCGCCTCCTCCACTATCTTGAGAGCGTGAAATGTACTGTCGCGGAAGTATCTGTCCCTATAAAGTTTACCCGATCGAGCCGTGTCGCTGTACCTCCCCTCCTCAGGAACCAGATCCTTGCTTTTAATCTTCCCTGAGAACAAACCGCCAGCAAGGGGGTTGTAGACAACAATATCGAGGCCGTACCGTCGGCAGGCGGGGATCAGCTCGGTCTCAAGGCTACGCGTGATAGCGTTGTACATGCCCTGGTAGAGCGTAGGGCGCACCCAGTTGTTTTGGTGGCAGGTGAGCACGATCTCGGCAACCTCGAAGGAGGTGAAGTTAGAGAGGCCGAAGGTCGTGAATTTTCCTTGGGAGTATAAGTCGTTGATAGCGCGGAGCGTTTCGGCGAACGGGGTTGCGCGGTCCTGGACGGTTACTTTGTCAACCTTCTTCTGTCTAGGTAGGTTGGCTGGAAGCACCCACCGCCGCGTGGAGGTAAAGGATATCAACTCTGTCCGTCCCCAAAGCCTCTAAGCTCTCCCCCACACTCTTCACAACCCCCTCATACGAATTACTCCCTTTCTCATGCGGATAAATCACCTTCGTTGCCAGCTTCAGTCCGCGCTCCTTCCACTTTCCATGGTCGCGCGTCCAAGCCTCTTGCTTCTGCCCAACATACATGCGCGCGGTGTCCACCTCGTTGTAACCGCGCTGCTGGAGCAGGTCGAGGACGGCGGCGAAGTCGGAGGGGGAGGTGACGCGGGCGCCGGTTGAGGGGTCTGGGCCGAAGGTCATTAGACCTAGGATGACCCGGGGTTTCTGTGAGGCCATCGTGGCGTTATTTTTGTCCTTCTAGGCTGGACTATGATCTGGTTGTTCGGTTCGTGATCGTTTGGAAGGGGAGAGGTTGTGTTGTGGCGTTGGCGTCTCGTTGGAGAGGATTGCGCGGTCACTCTTATGTCGCTCCGATCTGTTTGTTGGAATTTTCAATCCTCGCCCTTATGCTAAGCCCGAAGTAACCAATCCCTAGAGATAAGTCATCCGGAACTTTATATCCCTTCCCCAGGAGCTATTGTAAGCCCCGAATGCGACTTCGTCTTTCCCCTCGGAAATGACGACAACACCCCCACAAGTCCACATCCCATTCCATCCCGTCCCCTCTCCCTGCTCTCTGAGTTCGTATCCCGGCGGATCCGGAGTCCCGACCCCCCCGCACTGGGCCCGGAGTTGAAGGCGGCAACGCTGTGGTGGATCTTGGACGGGCGGGGATGTCGGAGTTAAGGGGTTAAGAGAAGGTTGACCGTTAACCCCACATTGCCGATCACGCTAAAGGCTAGCGCAAGAGGCTGTGAGGGGCCGCCAAGGGGCCGAGCGGGGGAGGGAAACATCGTTGCACTCATTTGTATCTTACCAGAGAGTTGTGGATTTGGAGTTGGGAATGCCGTGATTTAGTGGAGTGGATGCTGAGGACGTACAATGCCATTGGATGCTATTGCAAGTCCATGACTATATCGTGGCGTGTTATCTGGAGACCCTCTACGTGGATAGAAAAAGCGGCCAGTAAATGTAGAGGCAAGACTGGAATGTTGAGATTTGAGGATGGGAGACTGAGATTGACGAGGATGATGTCATCGGGAGCGTCGAGACAGCTCGGGTAAGTTCTTGACAGCTTCCGAGAGAGGGACAGACAGAACCTGCCTCGTCTCGATCACTTTTTTGTACTAGACTTTTTTTTTTTTTTTCTACCGACACTCCGGGTTCAAAACCTGCAGCCCCTCTAAGCACGGTCACACACACCTAATACGAACTTCGCAATACAAACCCACGGTTTTCACACTGAGCCCAGTAATCTAAATGCCTCCCTTCTGGTGATGGTAGCCTATAGACATCCAGTCTGAGTCCTTTCCGATCCCAACCTAGCTCCTTCAATGCTGTTTCCAATGTAAGCAGGAAAGTCGTGATAATCACGCATATATGAGTCTTGCCTTTCTCTGAACTCGGTCTGTCATCCATCTCGGTCATCGAGAGTAGAAGTGAAGTAGGAAGCAGGGGCGTGGATAGATGACTGTCCCTGACCTGTGCTGTCTTCTTGTAGTTAGGTCGGCCCTCTATCTTGCACAGCAGTCAAGACCACGATTATTCCAACATACCCTCCTTCATAAATCAGCTGGCACACGCATCAGACCCAGCAAATTTCCACGGCAGCTCTCAAGTTTAAACCTCTTATACAACGTCGTAGGCAAAACGGCAAACTCCGACTGCTGCTTCTCTCCAACTTTGGCCATGGTCTCAGCCGTAGACACAGCCAATTCAGAACCCTTATTGGTTGGCAGCGACAGCGGCGGCGACATCGTCATCCCGACAGTGTAGGAGGCGACTGCGACCAGATCCGTGCTCTACTCCTGGAGTCTTTCCCCCCGCAGCGCAGGGGTAGAGGATGATGACGATGCAGATCCAGATCACGAACCTTGCGCCCCAAACCCAGAAACAATAACTCTTCCCCTCAACCACACCACCGGGACGCGGGCCTTTGCATCATCCCTGGCATTCGGCCTTCCACCTGCATCCTCTGCAGTAATAAGAGGCCCCAACAAACCCTCCTCCAACACCCCCGCCACAATCGCTGGCTGAATAATCACCACAGCCGGCGACTTCTCACTGCTACTACCAGCACTCTTCTGCTGCTGCTGCGCGACCCCAGCAACAAGAGAAGCCAAATACCCCTCCCACATTTTATCCCTACACCCCTCATGGAGATGACTCGCCGGACAGCCCACCTCACTCGATTGCGCATGAAACAGCACACTCACAGGATTTTCCAGACGCCAGTCCCTCCTGGAGAGCTCGCGCATACCGCACACCCTGTGGGGCACCACGCGGGTCCACAAGCGACACGAGAAACGTAGCGCGGAGTCCAGCATCTCAATGAGCATGTGCTCGAGGAGCTCGATGCCCGAGGCGTCCTGGTCGCGGAGGAGGTAGCGCGCAGAGGAGCTCAGGAAGCGGTCTTTGAGTTTGCGGGCGTAGTTAAGGCGGGTGTCAATGTGTGCGGCGGGCTTCATTTGCCGAGGGGATGGCGTTTTTGAGGGAGAAGCCGCCGGAGGAGAAGAGCTTCATCAGTTGGGCGCGCCAGTGTTGTGCTTGGAAACGGGAGTCCTCGTCTTGGGCTGGGGATAACTGGTTATTTTTTTTTTTGTGTTGTTGTTGTTGTTGTGTGTGGCTGGGGTCGGGGAGGAAGAGGGTAGGGGGGGAAGGGGAGGGGAAAGGGGAAAAGGGGGGGCTCACCGTCTATCAACAGCCGAACCAATCTATCCATATCGGCACTCATTGGCAGGCCCAGCGCCGAAGCCGTGTTGTTGACCTCCTTGCCGCCGTTCAGAAGCTCAGGAGGGAGTCCTTCGTCCTCGGTGAGCCGGACAAACTCCTTCACTTCGCTCACGAGCTCGTCTAGTTGGGCTGGGTACAGCTTGCGCAGTCGGTCGGGGTCATCGTGGGCGAAGGCACGCGCCAAGGCAAACCACAAGAAGTCTTGCTCGTCGAACCAGCTCAGGATCTCCTCGTTGGAGAGGATGTTGGGCAGCTTTCCGGGATATGTAGCGGCCAGGTCAAGCAGCTGCTGTCCTAGATCAGCGATGCGCGCTTCATACTTTGTTTCCTTTCGACGGAGCGCCTCATTCCATTGCCTCGCCCGTCGGTCATGATGCTGCTTCAGTGCTATGTACTTGCGGGAGAGCTCCTGGTTTTCGGCAAGCAACTCCTTCTCCGTGTGCTGCAGTACAGCAATGCGCTGGTACAAGTTTCGAATCACCTGCACAAGCTCGCTCTCTGCTGTCTGTGAGCCCTGCTGTTGCTACTGCGGCTGCTGGGCAGCAATCGAGTTGAGAAACATGTGAATGCGCTCATCGACAAGGCCCTCTTTGCTGACACCGCCGTCGCCACAAGGGCGATGCGTTGACTAAGATCGGCCGCGCTCGCGCTCGCGCTCAACACGCTCACGCTCTGATCTGTTTTGATCGGTTCGCGGTGATTCATTGTCATTATGAGGAGGAGGAGAAGAAGAAGAAGAAGGCTGCTTCTCTTGATGCTTGCTGCGCAACCGGGATTCGAAGTGGCGTTGGACATACGACCAGTGGATGGATTCAACCAGCTCAGCGGCTGGAGGGACATAGCCATGAGCGAGGTCGCCGAACTCGACGATTGTAGAGCTGGGTGTGTTGGGCTCCTCGTCGAGGGGTTGTAAGAGGTTGTTTGAGGTGTTGATGTTGACGACTTGGCTCTTGGTGGAGCTCACTTCTGTTAGCCCTGACTGGGCGACAAGAGGCTGGAAGTCAGAAGCCATGTTGGCTTTGGCACTGCTGATCTTGGTGGACGTGGCCGAGTCAGGACGAATGTTGGGAGGGGGAGAGGCTACTGAGTCTCGGCGGATGGCTGCAACAGAATCCTTGGAGTCGGGAGAGGCGAGTGATGTGATGGGGGGGGAGGGCATGAGGGCGCGAGGGGCAGGCAGTTCAGATGACACAGGTTGATAATGGGACTAAGCCACCATTTAACTCAGCCACTCTCATGTTGTGAACGTGGAGGACTTGGGGTGAGTGAGCGATGATCTCCGAATCACCTTTTTACCTTCACTGATGACACCTCCCATCACGAACCCTGTGAATGCTGGCCCTGACAGTCTGTAGCATGCTGAAAGCAAACAAAGACACCAAAGACTCAAAGGCTGAACTGGACCGAACTTCAAGACAAATGGCTGCTGTGCAAAGGGTGGGTAAAGAGAGAATTTATAGCTCGCACAGCCCTGGAAAAATTGAGTGTGTGATTAGCCAAAGACTGGTCATCCTCCAGGGACTAGAAGTCTCTCCTTTCCTACCCCCGCCCCTGGGCAGCAGACAGCCAGCCATAGCCCAGGTAGGTATCTAGCATTAACAGCAGCGACAATCCCAGCAGAAAGGTGAAAGCCAGGTGTTGCGATACCCAGTCAACCGCAGGTGTCGGCAGGCCTCGAGTGCTGGGCAGGCCGAAAGGAAGGGGGATCCGCCATCCATATCCAGTAGGTCGCAAATCTTGTGCAGCAGCAAGGGAGTAGTAGTTTGGCATTTCCGTTGGTTGACGTTCACTTCAGCCAACATACAGTTTCAAGCTCTTGGGACGCGGGACTGGTCAGTCACAGCCTACTGTATGTTATGTTGGTAAATGTATGTATCCGTACAGCACGCATCCGTACTTGCATCCTGTATCCCATATCCCACGTCTTCCTAACATCCTGTGATCGCTGGGTTCTGTCTGAGACAGCGTGAGCTCTCAGATTCTGGATGAGTCGTACCAACAACGCATGACATGTTAGTGTTTCTAACGTTGATTGCCGAAGGCCCAGTGTCGTACAAAGTCGATACGATAATTCTAGAGAAGACCTCTCTATAATCTATCTTGATGTCTCGAGCTGCTCAGTTCCGAAGATGCTCGACGCGAAGCCAATGTAGCCAAGCTGCAACTTAGTTCACGGAGAATGTACCCAGACATGTACCTATAGGGCTGGGAACACAAGCGACAATGTCGATCCAGCCAATCAGGCAAGGCCTATAGGACGGCGGTCCCCACCCTGTCCCTACCCTGTCATCCCGTTTGCTGGGACGGCTGCAGCATTTTGCTTCTGCGCTTGTTTCTTTCTACCAACCAAAATTGGCACCCTCATGTCCCGATACTGTCTACGCTGCTGGTGAAACTTCTGCCAGCAAGTTCCATCGCAAAGGTCACGGCCGCCACGACTGTCGGCCTGTTGGCTCTGCAGCGATTGCTCGTCGCCTGGCTAAGCTGACGATGATGGCTCCTGTCTAACAATAGCAGCAATGTGCAGTCGAAACCCCTCTCCCCTCCTTGTCTTGTTGTCAGCTCCGTGCGGGCTCTGGCGTTGGCGCTGACCTGTCAGTATTTGTTCTGGACAGCCCAACTGCACTTCGGCCGCAGCCACAAAAGACAAGATCTCGATTCCATTTCGACGTCTCAGAGACCTCAGAGAGCGATCAACAGCTGGTTGAGCTGGGGACGACTGCTGGAGAAGTTGAGCCACAGCCCGTCTCTCTCGAGCACTGTGCTAGACGCGCCTCGATGGCGCCATCAGCCGCGTGGTGTGACGAGATTGATTTGGACGAGGCAAGGGGGAGAGGTCATGGCACTGACCACCATGGCAGGAATTCCGCTGGCTGTCCAAGAAAAGCCACGTACGGCAAACTCAGCGCGAGAGCTGTCCGCGGAGAGAACGGATAGCTGTCTGGAGCCCGCCCTGTTGAGGCGATCCGCGGCACATTGGCAGGACAACTCACAAGCATCCACCGAAACGAGGCTATCTTGCAGTCAAACAAAGTCCATAATCGGGGCAATATTACATACAACTCTGTTGCTTGAACAGCCGAGAACATATCCTGACCGAGCCGTCCAACGCCAAACTGGAGCCAATGCAGAGGGTATCGACGTCTATCTGAGCAGACAATCCCTGACCGCGGACCTAAACAAAAACAGTTGATTAAAACAAAGCATGAGAAACCGAATCCCAACGCCACAGAACCCGTTCTGACTCCAGTCTGAATTCGAGACCCAGATCACTGCTGCCTCCTCGCGCGCAAGAAGCCGAGTACCTCCTCGCCAACCATGCCCTCAACCACGAGACGCTGCACGGCCTCGATCACCCAAAGCTGACAGCTTGCGTTGGCCGGGCGAAGCCAGTAGCCCTCTTTCTGTACCTGCTCGTCAACCGGGAGTCAGCTCTGCTCAACCCCCGTCACCAACTGAAACTTTTGCAATAACTCACCTGCGCATACACACTCCCCATAAACCCCTCGCCCCCCGCCCTCGCAATCACCTCCTCAAACCGACATGTCGGCACTCCCGGCCTCTCGACAAAATAAACCCCCTTTTTCCACATATTCTCCTCGTTGTCATCCCCAAAGTTTTCTTTGCCAACCCACGCCAGGTCAATCATAGCCGGGTGTGGCGCCGCCGCCATGCGTGTGTCATAGTTGCGCTTGATCTCGAAGCGGAACTGCCCGTCACCATCGTCGCGCATGTGCAGGAGGATGCCGGTCGGGTCGGTCGGGGAGCGACGCAGGAAGAGCGCCCAGCGATCGCGGAAGATGCCGAAGCGGTAGATTAGGAGGGTAAGGAGAAGGGAGGATTCTGTTGGTGCCGTAGGGGAGACCTTGGGCGGGGATATTGTTGATGACTTGAGAGCTTGCGGTTTGAAGAACGTTGCGGGTTGAGAGGGCAGGGTCGTCAAAGTTATGGCCATGTTGGTGGACGTAAGGTGATCTGATCACTGATGTAAGTGGGCTGGAATGTGTTGAATGAGTGTCGAAGTAAGTCAGTGCCGATGCCGATGCCGATGTTGGTGTGAGTAAGATCCGATCAGATTTGGATCGATCGAGCCGTTTTTCTTCGGAAGGCCAGTATTCACTCGCCGCTGTCGGGAATGTCGTCTACCTGCCAAAACAATGGGCATGAGAACGAAGACCATCCTCCTCGGCAGAGAATCAATCCTCTTATACTCCCAACATCCCGGCTGAATGTTGCCAGCGCATCGGCAGCAGCCCCTCCTACTATAGTACGTATCGCGGTGTATACCACCTGCCTGATGCCAGACAGGTAGCCTGTCCATGTCCTTGTACGTACTGTAATCTCTCTCCAACCCATACGGATTACACGATGTTCCCGATCCAAGCGATTGGGCACAGATAAAACCCTGCTGGTCTGCCCCGTGACGTCGTGTCGAGTTTGATTACCCATCGTAGCCCCCCTTCCCCCCCCCCGCCATGAGACTTGACGAGGTCAGGCCCTGGGTCAGGCCACTTGAAGGGCCCTTGTCTGGCTGTCCTCCGTCGGTGTTGTTCCGTGTTTACCTGTCTCGGATTCGCTACGTGGATGATCTTAAGATGGGTGATTGGGGATGGGTCCATGAGCAGATCGAGCCGTGCTGGCTGGTTGGGATATTGGACGGTTATCAAAGGGAATGAATCTCAGCTTGCCAAGGCAGGGTTTGGAGACGGCGGGCGGTGCCCACCATGACCCCTGTCGTGATCCCATTGGGGATGTGCTCAGCGGGTTGCATTGCCATCTATGCTATGCCACGTTATGGGCATGGGCATATCTGTAATCCGATTCTTCCGAATTTGTTACCTTTAAACACAATACACTAGTGAAGGGGTATGAGGCAGCACAAATCACATAGTTTACAGATTTCCATCCATCAAAGCAGATTATCATCCAATTTTGATCGGAGTTGTTCACCGAAACGGGGGAGGTAGGTATCTTCTGATTATAACGGTAAGTCAATCCAGTCTGGACGTGGAAGGTGAAGCACACATAAAGTACAATGTCCGCAGCACTAACACCGATACTCTATCACAGCCATAGCAGAGCCTCACTAACATCCGGGTTCCAACGCTTTCGTCCGCCCATAGGAGGAAGACAGCTTGCATTGCAGTCCTGCCTGCACACACACGTGTCTTTCGATGCAATGGATGGATGGCTTCTTCCGTCGTTGCATTAAAACAATGTTCCACTCAGCCAAGCTCCGATGCGTGCTTCCGTCTCCCGTCTTCCCGTCCGTCTACAGGCCTCCAACGCATCGCATTTTGACTTCAGCCATGTACGACCCGTCTCGATGAAACGACAGCAGATGAGCAGTCCTTCAGCTGCGAGGCCCCTCAGAATCAGCGCCTTCTAGCCTTCCAGTGCTTTAAAGAAAGGTACGCAGTGTAGTATCGACATCAGCTCACCTAACACGTTCTTGATAGCGGTTGGCTCGGCTATCTCCAGAATCACGCAAATCGTGCCGTGGTGGCAACACACTGATGTGAAACCACGATTCTTGACGACGGATGGATGATGGTAGATGGAAGTCCCAAATCCTTATCTACCTACCTATCTCCCACCTAGGTACCCGTCTACCTAGGTGCCTGGAGTGGCACGGCTTTACTGCCACTAACCTGCCTTGCCAGCTAAGTCCTACAGTTCGCTTGACGCAACTGTCCGCTTATACGAAGCCGAACACCATGCTAAGTTGGAGGGCTCTATCGATCGATCAATCAATCGATATTTAACTCAGGACATGGATATGAAACAATCGGAATGTAACTTGATACTACCGATCGCATCTCCCCCACCTACCTATTTGATGATCCCTCTTCTTCCCCCATGGTGGGAAGAGTATCGAAGGAGCTAGAAACGGGAAAAACCGGAATGTTTGGCTGTTTGCTTTGAGTGATGAAAAAGTGTGGCTGTGGCTTTTATAGCAACGGTATAGAGTCTGAGTGATTCCGCGGTGACGTGGTGCTAATTGGCTGACTGGTTGGCGTAACGAACTTTTTAGGTGATCATTGAGGGCTCGCTAGGGGATGGCGAGCACACCGTAGGTGGATGGACCGTCTTACACTGAGCCCCCGAGTTCTGGGCCCGGTCAAGTCACAGCTCAGCTTAATTATGATGTGATAAAAGTCGATGATCCTGATACCTAACTAGGCGGAGCAGAAGACCTTGTGGTACAGTTTCTCACAGGAAATGTGGACTAGAGTGAGCATGTCATCGTAAGCATTCTCACTCCAGCCAGAAGCGTCCGCCAAAGAGGACTGAAGCGGAGATAGTAACTCCAATGCAGAGCCTGGAATCTCAATCAGGCTCGCTGACGACCGGCCAGCAAGCGATACAGACGTCTTCAAGCCTTTGAACGTTACCCGTGACAGTTAAACAACGAGACGAGACGAGCCCAATACGTACCAAACTTCATACGCTGATACCGATCTAAGTAGCAATGGTAGCAATGGACTGCTGTACTTACATAGTTTGCTATTGCTACAGAAAAAATTTACACCGCTTGCGGTGCTCTGCCCTAGTCAGGACAGGAGGAGCCGGAATGTCCCGGCCATTAGCAAGCAGGAGTTACCGTACCTCATCTGGCATGAATAGTTTGTATTTAGGTCGGCGTGACTCTTCACCTCTGACTCAACAGATTCGTTTGCCGGTCTTCGGTCTGTCGAAAAGGCAGAACCGTTGCTGACACAGATCTTCTGCGCCTGCCGTGTTGGGTTGTGATTGATTCACGCGACCAGTGGCAGCTCGACGTTCACCCTGTGGCTCCTCTATCGACAATGGGACGGACGATTCCCCAACCGGTGACCCGGGGAAGGGGGGGGGTGGATGCTGTTAGTTGGAGTTTCCCGCAGACATATTCCGGCCCGGGCCCGGGCCCGAACTCGGGCTCTTGTCATCCTCAGTTTGCTTCGCTTAACTATCCCCTGTTCGTTTTGCTGTCGATGATGGCAACGGCGATACAATTGTACTTTTTTCTCGTCCACATCAACTCTGCCCCAACCTCGCTCACCCTATAATCTCCATCCGCCAAGGCACCTCTCGCAATCGCCCTCTATGGCATACGCCGTCATGGATACAGCCACAATCGGCACAACCGGCACCAGACATCGACACGGCCCTCGCCGGCCCTGTGGCCACCCATGACCGCTGGAGCATGTTGATATCTATGATGACTAAATCAGATCGTAAGCGACGGGAGAGACAGGTTCTATTTGAGGGAAAGTGAGCGTGGTGGGGTGAGAATGGAGAGGTCGTGGAGACATGTCTTGGGGCTCCTGTTATTGTTGCTGGGTATGATTGAACCCTTTCGGGAGACATCACTCTGCCGAACCGGGCACTCAAGTGAAGCAACAAGATACTGCATCGTGAAGCTCACAATCTCCTCTCAGAGACTAGTAGTCTCTTCTTCCTCTGGTCGGTAACGTGCCAGAGTAAGAGGATTCGAAGTCGGTCTGAGGAACGGGTAGGCAATATGTCTTGTTGGGGAGAGCAGGAGGAGGGTAAAGGGGGGAAACAGAGATCGAAGAGCTGCCCGGAGTCGGGGGAGATCGGTCTCGGGCATTCTGGCTTTGTCAGCCGTTTCAGTCCTAAATTGAGTTACTGTCTGCTCTTGGAGTCTGGATGTGCAACGTTTCTACGAATTCGTCATGACTCGTTCTAGCTGCTCAGTCCGGGGCCGCTTTCACCTAGATCGAGATGAGATTGGCTTTTGCTTGCCACAGTTAGGCAGAGGGATTGTCTATGTGTGACCATACACTAACACGTATCGTACTGATCTGTGTGAATGCCAACGTATATCTTGGGAACTGTCTACTGTAGAGGCAAGTCGAGAGGAAGCAAGTCCTTCGAAAGAAAATCGGACGGATTCCAAGAAAGATGCCGTGACGGTGTGGAGGTTTGCTTCGGAGAGGTTGCTTGATGGTTCATTTCGAAAGCTTAGGTCGAGCTTTGCTTGGTTCCTTGGTTTAGCTATGGTGTTGGTGGTGAGAGAAGAGAAGATGGATGATGTCATTGAGGTGATGAGCCAAAGATTGGTAAGGTGATACAGTGTGCAGGCACGGTGTTGCACGGACGATGGACTGTACTGGGATGTTTTGTAAGTTTTCCATTACAGCTGTTACATCTCCGAACCACCTAATGTATTACACGTATATGTAAGAGCCCGCTTACATCCGTGTAATTTTTGTCCACCCGACTTTATCTCTTATTTTCTCAACATGAGGCTTGTTTTCTTAACTCAAAACTTGTTTCCTCACACCTCCCCTGTTCGAGATTGTTGCGTGGCTACGATAATCCAAGTGTTCCGTCCTGCACAGAAACAGGGTACCGCTTCCGGAAAGAGTCCAAGCCGACGATGACAATAACCAATGATAATGTTGGATTTCCGTCTTGTCTTCGTTACGGTCCCGTGACAGGTGGCGAACTTTGCCGTTAAAAACAAGGTTCTCGAACGCTCTCGCATCGTCTGGGCCGGCGCTGTGCAACAACAGCCATGTAGTGGTGCCTTTGTTACTACTACCCAACCTAAGGAACACTTCAAAAGACAAGTTCCAGCCTTCCATCTTGTAGATCATCGGGGAAGCCTCCACAGTGATCCAGCACGATCGTGCTGTTTCCAGATCATGGTGATGTCATCCATCGACAGGCAGGCTGGGAATGGCTTCCCCCGGGAGTCAACATATAAACAAGCTGGGACCAAGTGCCCTCGATCAAGGTCTATATATTCCCCGGATCAGAACCAAACCGAGCTTGACCACTTCCCTTGACTCAGCAAGCAAACACCAAACAGCAAATGGTTTCAGCCCATCGAAGCATCCACCACACAGTTAGAAGAACACTGCCTACATTGCATCGCACCTTTCTCCCAAGCACAAGTCTACTGCCTCATCATCGCACAATGTCACTCTGGTCGCCCTTCTCGCACTCCATCACCCCCTCGACCGGTCCCAGCCCCGGCCCCTCTGGGACCTTCAACTCCCTCTTCCGCATGCTAGACGACTTTGACCGGTACGCCCAGCAACAGTTGCAGTCCACATTCGGAGGGTCGCCGTCCTCCCTCGGAAAAATGACCCTCAACCCGCGCTTCGACATCATCGAGCGCGACAAAGAGTACCACCTGCAGGGCGAGCTGCCCGGCGTGTCACCCGAGAACGTCGAGATCGAGTTTACCGACGCGCAGACCATAGTTGTGAGGGGCCGGTCGGTGCGGGAGCATACCGAGGGTGACCCCTCGCTGGTCGATGAGTCCAAGCGCATCGAGAGCACCGATAAGGGTGCGAATGGGGCAGAGGGGAGGAAGGAGAAGAAGCAGAAGGCGAGGTATTGGCTTAGCGAGAGGAGTTATGGAGAGTTTTCGAGAATGTTTACGTTCCCGGGACCGGTTGATCAGGATGCGGTGAAGGCAAAGTTTAAGAACGGGGTGTTGGATGTTGTGGTGCCGAAGGCGGAGCGTAAGGGTGGAAGGAGGATTGAGATTGAAGGGGAGTGAACGAACATATTGGAGGGGGATGTTAGGCATTATGATATTGAGGGTTGAAGGATTTTTTGAGACAGAGGATATGGGGATGGTTGTAAGAGGCAATATATGAGAAGGAGTTCATGAGTTCGGCTGCAGAGTTACGGTTAGGAAAAGGAACCGATATGAGCAGGAGAAGTGAACGGTGGAGAAAAGGGGGGAATGGTTGGAAAAATAGGATTTATCGGTCAGGAGCAGAAGCTGATGCTAATATGTACACTGTGAAAGGGACTGATCTGAAGGATTGAATGAACCAGATGATTGTATTAAGTATATAGCCTTAGAAAAAAAACAAATCCCAAAGGACATTATTCAAACAGGTCCAATGTCATGCGTGATTGGTACTAAGTTGCCTAGAGGTAGATACGCGATACCCTCCCAAGCCCGAAGACAAAGCCCAACGCCATCTCAGGGCCCAGTGTCCCACCTCAGTGCCCTCTATTTTAATAAAGCCAAAACAAACCGCTCCGCATTTCCATTCAACAAGACCTTAACATCCTCCTCCAACGTCCTCCGATACGTCCTAACATACGCCTGCTTCGCCGCAGTCAACCGTTCCCTATCCCACCACAATTGACACACCCTCCACACAAACAATCTCTTCTCGCTCGTCTTGTTACCCCACAACGACTTCTGCAGCCTCATCGCATCACACTGCGCCCTGTCCCTGGCGTGCACCAGCATGCGGATCACCGCGTCCTGGAAGTCGCCGCGGAACTCTTTTTTGACCACATCAAGCAGATCTCGTTGGTACTTCGCGCGGTAATGGTCTTGCAGCGCGCGCAGCTGGGCCTGGTTGCACGAGGTGAAGATTTGCGCCACGGAAATGGCGTTTGCAAAGAACATACCCTCCGTGGAACGCTGGATTTCGGTGACCTTGGCGTCAATATCGGCGGGGATAACGGGGGCGTTCTCCTCTGCTTTCGTTGTGCCCGACAGAAGCATGGAGAACAGCCTCATGGTCTCTTCGTTAACCTCCTTCTTCAGCCTGTCCGACAGCTCCTTGCCATGCCGGCGCTTGTACTCCGCGCAAATGGCCCGCAAGTCGGCATTCGACCGGTTCAGCAGCACGTCCATCACCCCCTCCTCGTCTGTCCCCGCCCCGTCGCAGCTCTTCTCGAACTGGTAGACGTCCTGCCTCAGGGGTCCCCGCACCAGCGCGCGCAGACCGTCTTCAAGCAGCCCACCCGTCTCCTTTTTGATATCTTCATCGAGATTTCTTACAGTCCGGTCGTTGTATTGCGTAACGAGGGTGTGCATCGCCCAGGGGTCGCGGTAGCGCGGGGAGGTGAGGATGGAAATAAGGGTTGTCTCGTCGCAGCCCATGCCCTTCATGGCTGTGCGAAGGTTGCGGATGTCGGAGGTGATGATGTGTTCGGGGAGGGGGTTAAGAGGGGGCAGGGGCGTGGATTCGTAGCCGCGCGTGCAGGGCGGAGGGTAGGGCTGGTATTGGGGTTGACCCTGGGGAAAGAAAGGACGTCAGTACCGGCATGATGCTACTTGGCAATTGCAGATGGGCTATTAGGAAAGAAGAGGGAAACAAACGTACGGGATAAGCCTGGAGTTGAGGCTGCCCGGGAACGGGGACAGGTTGGCCGTAGACCGGCTGCTGGCCATACTGAGGCTGAAGAGGCTGCCCATATGGAGGCTGCTGTCCGTACTGAGGCTGACCATAGGTCTGTGCCTGAGGCTGCGGACTCGGACTCGGATACGCCCCCGGCATCTGGGGATACAACCCCGGACTAGGTACGGGCTGTCCATAAGGAGCTGGCGCCGGCTGCAGAGTCTGCTGACCCGGGACCGGAGGCGGAGCAGGCTGTCCGTAGGGGGCCGGCGCCGGCTGAGGGGGGTACTGCCCCAGTTGAGGACTCGGAGGCGGCTGATATTGCCCCGGCTGAGGAGAAGGTGGAGGCTGATACTGCCCTGGCTGTGGAGGAGGAGCTTGGTATTGGCCTGGAGTGGGCTGGTAACCGTAGTAGGGCGATTGAGGAGACTGCTGATAGCCGTAGGGAGCTGCTGCTGTCGGAGCCGGAGCTAGAGGCTGTTGAGCATAGCTCGCCGGAAGAGGGGAGCCAGGCGGCGGGGCGGTCGTGCCCGGGTACGATTGGTAATAGGGGGGCTGACTCATGATGAAGTGAGGATGAATTCGTGCAGATGGAACTGAAAGCGAGTCAATCAGTATCAAATGAGTGAGTCTATTGAGATGCGATGAGATAGATACGATGATGACGACGACGACGATGCTAGCTACTCGAACACTTCACAGGAGCCTTTTATTATAGAAGTTGGCCCATCATGTACAAAGAGGCCTCCCCAACCAACTGAATACTAGTCGGCCTTGCACTCTGCCGTCTCCAAGCGCAACCACCATCATCCTGTCTGCCAGCCGTGGTGTGCCTTGCCCTTGGGCATGGCGCGGCACACTCAAAAAGAGCAGCATGATCGGTCCCTGGGCGAGCGAATGTGGCAGTGTCGGCTCGGCACATCATCCCCCAAGGACAAGGCGAAACGACGATGGGGGGCTGAGCGTACTGTGTAGGGCTGTTGATAAGATAAGGGGAGTGACATTCAGTGGTTCGCAGTCACATTCCTGGTTTAATTCATACAGCGGCTCTTGGCGGAAGGGGTCAACTCCATGATTCAAGATGTTGTGGGAAAAATTACAGTCTCTGGAAGGATATTTGGAATCAACAGTTAGAAAATTTTTCTTGAGTTTAACTGTGCATGTTTTTCTTCCATCTTTGAAAAACTTCTTGTTGGAAAAAAACTGTTTGCGAAAGCTTCAAGAAGTCTCGCGCTAACGATCAAACAAGGGACGTACCGTACTGTATTGTGTAAGCACGCGTTATTTACAGTACTATAGAACAAAAGCGGGGACATCAAAAACTTCTCCGGAGCTTGTCTTCCTACGTCCCAAACCATAGCAAGCCATCCATGATGGTTCGTCCCGCCCCACGTTACATCGGGCCCATGGGCATGTTCAGACCGGGAAGCTTGACCAGCCCTATGAAGCAGCGGCAGTTCACTTTTCTTCAACCACTTCTCAGCGGTCCCAACACTCTCGGCAGCAGAAGCGAAACGAAAGCAAAGACCTATATCCGTCAACATCTTCGGGGATATTCTGCGGCAGCGTGCAGCGCATGGCCTCTTCGGTCGTTTGCGTGCGCAATTCCCGGCACACCGAGTTTGCACAGCGCGCGTCGAGGGCGCGTTGTAGAGAGTCGCCCTTCCAGCCGAAGATGTAGTCGCCATGTTGCGTATAGCCGACCCTATTGACATTTCAGCGAAGTCAGTTGCGGTCCATGTTCGAGAGTTGAGCATGACTCATGAGGGGGAGGGGGATCTCGACTGAAGGAAGCAAAAAAGAAGAGACAGAGAGAGAACTCACGTATCGTTGGTACTCCACACAAACGGCTGCGACCCATCCTCAGGCCACAGCTCCGGGTCATTAAACGGCCTCGTCTGCTCTCATCATCAGCATCTTCCCTCTCTCCATTTTCCCTCTTAAGAGACAAGATAGGTATCGATGAACTCACATCCCACATAACCTCATACATCAACTGCGGCAACTTCACCGGATGGCTCTCCGGACACTCTCCCCCCATTTCAAAGCTCACACCGTCCTTCGGATACGCCACATGGCTCTTATGATCCGGACTATCCACATTCCGTCCATCCCAACAAGTCGGAAACGTCACTGTCGTCCTAATGCCCCCGGGACACGGCTTTGTGGGCAGCTCGACCGAATCCCCTGGCCCAAGACACGGCGCGCCCACGACGTCGTACGGATCCTCACCCAGACAGCGATGACACAGCTGCGGCTGCATTCCGTCCTTATCTCTGAGCATCGCGTCCCCAACGAGCATCCTAAACCCCGGTCGGAACGCCGTGACTCGACTCACTCCATCATAGGGGGGGATGTAATATATCGTCATGCCCCCGTCACTCCTGAGTCCCACGTTGGGGAATTGCCTCACCCTCTTAAACGTCCCGTTTCGTGCCCTAAAATATAACACCTGGGTCCAGTAGTTGGAGAAGTCTTCGGCAAAAGTGCAGGTCGTGCAGGAAGAGAGCTGGGCTGGGTCGTGCGTGAGGGTGTCCATGGAGACGTTGAAGGCGTTGCCGCCGACAATTTGGTGGACGTGAGGGGATTGCGGCAGGCCGGGGGTCACAAGGGGGTCTAGGCGCGTTATGAGGAGTTGGGAGCAGGAAAAGCGGAGCATCTGCTGGTAAGAAGGGGCGATTAGGCCCAACAGGGGGAGAATGGAGGCCTTCATGGTGTTAAGGCGAACGAATAGGAAGAGTGAAGACGTGAGAAGAGGGGAAAGAAGGATAGGAGATGTTGAGGTAGGTCTGAGAGAGAAGAGCTAAGCTCCGAGGTTGGGATGATGAAAGGAAAAGACGGCTATGGAGATTAAGAGGAAGAGATTGGCTGAGGGCTGCTCAAGAGAAAGGGGAAGAAGGTAGGTCGAAGTCTGAGGGAGGGGATAAGCCCTGATGGTTATGGAGAAAGCAAAAGGTAGGTCTAAGGGTTGTTGAGGAAAATAGGTTGTACGGCCTGAGTGAGAAGGTAGGCCGTGGGCCGGGCAGAAGCGAGATAAGCGTGAGGACTTCCAAACTGTTGAGGTATCAGCAGTTTTCCTCGTTAAGGGACTGGAAGCACAGGGTGGTTCGGTTTCCGGGCCGACGATAAGTTCCCAGTCGAGCTTTTTCAGGAGAGGTTGCAGTGTCCCGGTCCTGTCAATGCTTTATCGAGCCAGGTCTGTCGACTGAAGGATCTGGTCCAGATATCTGCAACCGATCCTTTTTAAGCTTCCATTGAATTCTTCTCATCCCTTGCATACACTTCCCATAAATATCCCCGTGCCCTCCATGTCGTCCTCAGCGCATAGAATTCACCCGCTCATGTCACAATAGGATGACTGGACTGCCGACCTGCCCTCGCACGGTAGCATACGAGCTGTGTATTGCACCTTCATTCAACGGTTCTTGGCCACTTGGGGGCGGCAAGTGGCACGTCTTGTCTGGACTGCCCCGCAGCCGAGAATATTGGGTGTCGAGGCGGGCAGGCAGGCAATATATCCAGCGGCGGGATCATGGAACTGGGGTTACACCGAGTTGCAGACGCAAGGGAACTTATCGTACGCGACATAGGACCGTGAGTGCCAACATATAAGAAGAAGTAGGAGAATGCGAAAGAAGGATCGGACAATGTCCTCCGGTTATGGTGATACAAATGAGAGGGAAAGGGAAATGGGATATTAACTCTGTTCGAGTTTGGGTTGAAGCGACCTCCTGTCTACCTACTGCCGTCTACAACTCAGTCAGTTAGCTGGCTGTCCTCCATCTTTTCTGTCCTCTTGTCCAGCTGTCAGTCAATTGAAGTTCCCATCATCACAATGGCTCGCAAGCTCCTTATCCCTTTTTCTCTCTGCTCCCCTCTGCCCTCTCAGCCCGCCCCTGCACCCAACGAACCCACAGCATTCGTGTCGGCGACCTCCGCTACGACGGCCCCGATCCCCTCAAACGTACCAATACCTCCACCATAGGCCTCTCCCTGCTGGGCGAAGCCCTCTTACCAACCGGACCGTCCCCCCTCTACGAATGCTTCGTTCAGCGGCCTGAGCCGTGGCAGGGCTGGTACAGAGGTGAGAAGGAATTGGTCTGGGCAGATTGTATCTTCACCGGCGCCGGGGCAGGAGATGATGAGAGTGTCAGTTTCGCGGTAGATTGGAAAGAGAAAAAAGTGTGGTTGGGGCATATATTTGAGTGTAGTGATGCAGAAGGGCAAGTCCCTCTCTCCTTCAGCAGACTTTCAAGAGAGGATGCTGACGCCTTCACAAGCAGCAAAGCCCTCTCCCTAGGCTCCCTCTCCCTCAACACAACCTGCTCAACCTCGCCCACAGACGGTGGCACCTTCTGCATTTTGTCTTCGACCCTACCCCCGTCCTCCGACTTACGTATAACCACCACCCTTCTAACCACCGTCCCCTCATCCAACTCCTCTTGCGCCGCAGAATATCCCTCCTGGCAACTAACCTCCTACACACGCACCTTCACCATGACGCCCGGCTCTATTCCCCAACAACCTTTGATCGAGGCCGACTCTGGTCCGTCATTTGCTCTGACGGGGTTGCATGATGGGAGGGAATGGCGGTGCGAAACACAGAGGGTAAATTATCCCCCGGGTCCGGGAAAGGTCTTGGCAAAGGCGAGGTTTGAAGAGGACTGTGAAGCAACGGGGAAGGGAACGGTTCAGGGGAAGAATACGGGAAGTAAGAAGAAAGAGGCTAAGGAGCACGGAGAGCCTGGGAGGGTCAAATTTGAATTTGATGCCGGGACGGGGGTGTTGAGGGTCGTGCAGGAGGGTTTATGTGGGAGGTGAGTGCCTACCCATTTTATTTCAGCGTCTTTTTATCTACTTATGCAACCCGTTGAGACACTCTTAAAGGATGTCACGGCAAAATGAACTGACTATGAGAGCAGGAAACACGCACGAGCTGTCGGAGCATACTACATCCAGGCGACATGTGATCGCAGCTGGGGCGGGCATGAGTTCTCGTGCTATAATCAGGTACCATATTGGTTGGGAAGTGGTACAGTCAGTGGGTTTTGAGCCCGATGGTAAGAGAGGTGGGTAATCAGGATGGAGGTAGAGTTGTTGGACAATGTAATAGATGTACACAGGTGTCAAAAGGTGCCCAGTCTATGTTTCTCACTTCTGGAGCCCAGTCAGGAGTAAAGCTTGACCAGGAAAGACATCGTTATGTGCATTTCTCCCAATTCTTCTAGTAATACTTCATGTGGGTTTTTGGATAGGTATAGAGACTCACCTCCACAGTTTGTTTCTCAGGTCAAATTAAGTGAAGATTAAAGCGGCAGAAAAACAATACAGAATGGCATGTGGACTTCAGTTTATGATAGGTTGTTAAGACAGAAACAGATACCTATTGAGAGTAGAAGGCTCCATACAACAAGGATGGGTGGATGAGGTATTGTCATGACCAACAAGGAGCACCAGGCGAGAAAAGTGGGATCAGACACAAAAGACCAATAATGGCACGGTTCACGAGAGGTTTGAAAACAGCCAACAGGAAACAAGGAGTGTCTGACGAACAGTCACCAGAGCTAAGAATCGCTGACAAAAGACTGAAAGGCCCTTGGTAGAAGAGACAAGAAAGGATCTGAGTATATAGAGTAAATGAATTCTTCGCAGCAGGAAGGAGCCGAAAGAACTCCTAAGTGCAGCAATACAAGCAGTTGCCCAAACCAACTGGTGACCGTGGTGCTTCTGAATCTGTGTGAGAACTCTTGTCTCTCATATCCATAAACCTTGTACCAAGCCTGAACCTATCTCAGGAAGGCTAGCTAAATCATCACGCATCTAAAGAGGTTGCGGACCTACTACACCAATTAAATGAGTCTTTCGATTAATTGCGGAATTGATAACGATACAAATGGAGTTAAAATTAAATAGACAAACTATATACATCACACAAAGCGGAAAGAAGCTATAGCAAGTTAGCCAATGAGAGGAAGATACTTTATATAGGTAACCGTAGGAGGAGGAGTATAAGTATGCAAAAAGTGAACGAATCGGGAAACTAGACCAGACGGAATGACTGTTTTTTTTTTCAAACTGCATTTGTCGAGAACCTGTCTACACAGCCAAAACCTCAAGGTCTTCGCTTGCATCCTGCTTCTGCAGATCAAATACACAACGACCTAGACCATACCTGCGACGATCCAACTAGCCTTCCTGATACGGGTTCAGGCTTGGTCCACAGCTTATGGATTGGCGATTCTATATAGATATTTATACTCGAAGCACATTGGTGTTCCTGCCTTGTTGCCGTTGACCATCCTTTCGCTCTGGCGACGGCATTCTTGCAGTTCTCTCACTGCGAAAACCGTGAGAGCTGCGCTACACTTCCGAATTGGTCCACCTCCCTGGCCCACTCATGGTCCTGCTATTGGTTGCTTCCTGATGCTCAGTGGCTTCCCCATGGGCTCTCTCCGCGCTGCTACAGGGAAGCTACTGGCCTGCACTCCCAACTGTAACATATATACAGGTAGCTCTGTTTAAGTACTTTCTCTAGCATACCAGCTTGAGATAGATATATATATAATACTTTTTATTCTTATAGCTACCTTCAGAAACTAGTGGTTAAAAGTTACAGAGATTTTAGGCTGATTATGTCACGGCCAGGATGTTAGCCAATCAAGAGGTTTGTTACGGTCAGGACATCAGCCGATGTGAAGAGTGGAAATTATCAGTGCCAAGCAAGCACTGATAATCGAGCCGAACACCTGGTGATCATTGAGGAAGTGCTTGGTGATAATTGGAATGACAGAATAGGCATGTCAACAACCCTTGAGTAGAAATAAATATGTAAATAGAATCGCTCATTCCCAGAGCCATGATGAGAACTCCTCCAGTCAGCAATAGAAATAGTTGTGGAACAACAACTGGTGACCGCAGTGAATTCCATACTCTACTGTGTGAGGACCTCAGTTCTTCAGGTTCTACAACCTGGCCAATACCTTCAAACCCATCTCAGGAGGTTGTGGAATCGTCACAGGTTAAGTATCCATAGCTTGTTGATGCAGATAGAAGTAAATAGAGGTCACGACTGATGGGGATATCAGACGACAAAAAGTGGAGCTAGCACAAAGGTCAAAAGGATGCACGGAATATGTAAGCTGGAACCGCTGATAGAAACGCAAGTGTCACGATCAATAAGGGGCATCACGCGGGAAGAGTGGAGTCTGGCGCAAAGGACCAATAAAAAAGCGGCTTACGTAGACTCGAGGGAGGTCGTCAGGCCAAGAATCGCTGACGAGTGACCAAAAGAGCCCCAATGAATAGAGAAAGGCTTAAGTATATAAGGTAGATAGAGTCTTCGTAGATAGAAGAGGATTGAGGAACTCCTCAGTCAGCATTACAAGCAATTGTGCAAAAAGAACTGGTGACCGCAGCGATCATATAACCTGTGTGAGAACTCCTGTCTCTCAGATCCTTAAGCCTTGTATTGCCGATCCCATCTCAGGAAGGCTAGTTGGATCGTCACCGCAGGAAAAGATTTCACTCACAAGGGAACAGTGAAACGGTCAAAAATGGAAGAAGACTAGCGCGCCGGATGGGGCACCCGAAAGCACGCTGGTGAGCTACTTCGAAACCTGACTGTCCCGAGTGTAGCGAGGACGTAATTACCTCACTCCCCTATCTTATCTACTATCTAATTTACATCACGGACAGGTCTTACTCGCGAACTTACGGTATCGCCTGTTATTTGTCAAGCAGCGTACGTAGCCTGCCAATTTAGTACCAGTTTGGGTAAGGACTTGGCAAAATGTGCCATCTAACATATCTATGAGTTTCGATCTTAGCTGTCAGACTGAGAATATCTCTCCCAAGTCTAGAAGAAGAAGAAGAAGAGAAGAAAACACTCATGCTTCTTTACCAGGCTCAGGATTCTTGTCTGTTGACTCCTTGTTCTGGCTGCCCCATTGCGGTTTTCTGCTCCAGGTGTTAATTGGTGAGAAGTTCACCCTTAGTCATAAATCCACAAATATGTGAGGAGAAAAATCACATTATAGCATCCCGAAGCAAAATGAATAACAAGCAGCGAAAAGAAAAGGGAAAAGAAAGCTGAAGAGTAAAAAGAAAACATACAACACGGGGGATTCCCCAGTCGTCACCGACCTGAGTACTAACCCCGCCCTTGCTGGCTTATCTATGGGAGAGCGGACGGGATCCCGAGTTTTCCAGCAGGTATGGTCGTATGTGATGGGCTAGAGGGTTGAAAGTAATTTAAGTAAGAGGCGATAGTGCTTGATTTAGCGACAAAAGTCTCCGGGTCACCATACACTCCAGGTTGATCAATACTCCAATGCTTCCTAGCGCTCACCGCGTCATACTGAAAGAGACTTCAATCCTGAACCGCCATCAAGTTTGGCGGCAGCAATGCTTCAGCGCCGTAAAGCCCGCAATTTTAGCTAGATTGTGGGTATGCCTGTCCTCTCGCAGACTTTCGCCCTTGCAGAGCTCCGAAAGTGGTCGGCAAGCCGTGGATTGGAAGTTTGAGTACAGCTGGGAAGATTACCTGCGTACCCGTAACAAAAAACAGGCAGGCGGTACAGTTCGTACCTGGGTTGGGGTTTTCCGTTAAGAGATCGTGGGAGCCCCCCAGGCCACAAAGATCACCTGTGCGAAAAGTACACAAACCTCTTTCCGTAACGTTCAGCGACTTCCCATCCCTCCAAACACCTACCATATCCCCAATGCATCTCGGTCAATCGTCGCGCAGACTTAGCGATCTAGCCTGATATGTCTAGCACAGTCCTTGAGATTAGTTTGCTGGCAAATCTAAGAATAGATCACGACTCTGACGAGAATTATGCAGAAGTGGCCAAGCCGAATCGCAAACTGGAATTATGGAAGCGCCAGCCTCATGCCCTCAATTCCAGCCAAGAGGCGTCATTCCGTTGGAAAGTCACCGCTTTTAACCTCTCTTTCCATGAGGCATCCAAGTCGCGTACTTGTACAGAAGACTTCCACAAGCCTGAGTCTTGCCGTACCGCCAGACCTGCGGAAATCCCCATCCAAAGTTCCAAACGGCGGAGTGATGACTGTGCCGCATCGGCTTCAACACTGCGGGGACTCCGCACCAAGAACGCCAACTACAACAGTCAGGTTACGTTCTGGATATAGCCTAAACGGAGGAGAAGACACAATGCAAGTCAAGTAGCATTCGGTGGCCTTGTCGAGATCGGAATGGCAAGTTCTTGTTGGGACTTCTGGGATCTTGGGCTGTTGAGGACTTGAGCCATGGCTGATTGCCCAGACTTTTCCCCGCATTGAGGCACAGTTGGCTGTGCACTCCACGTGTTCTGGAAGATGCGAGGAAGGTCTTAGCGTATTGCCTAATGGAGGAATTCCCCGGATTCTCGACGGGTGGTGTACCCACATCTGCAGGGTGCTAGTCCCTTGGGCATCAAAGATCTCGAGATCGGGTCAGGACAAGGTAGTGTAGGGCGCATAACCAGCTGAGCCTGCCCAATTCCTGTTTTCTTGGCTCAACGAACTGAGCTACGCGCTGCGATCAACGTCTATTCATCCGGCCATATGGACACAAAAGGCAAAGGGAGGGTCGTGTGACCGTTGAGATCTTACTCGATGCCCGTGTGGCGGGCCTTTTCTCGGGCATCGTGAGCCGCAATTACCCAGTTCGATCAAGACCCCAGATGAGGCTCTTAAGCCAGGCGCTTGTGCACAGCTACACAGCCGCCCCCGGCAGAGGAAACACAGCACGGAAGTCTTGGGTGGCACCAGCTCGACTTTAGCCGGCGGGTGAATCGGCATTTGGTCCCCCCTGGTCATACTGGTCCAATTTTTCCCGGGAACTGGCGGACCTTGCGAGGCGCTTGCTTGCTGGTTCGACGTCAATGGTCGTCATTCCCGACCCGAGATGGGTGCAATCACCCAGCGTGATGATGTCCAATGTTTGGAATCGCCGTGTTTCAACAAAACCTGATCTCGTACCCCTTTTCATTTGCAAAAGCTGTGGGCGATCAATGCAGTACCAGGTTCTCGAAACAGAACGCGCTGCTCCGGTTGGTGCGGTTCAGACGGTTGTATGGTTCGGCCGAACAGGTTACACTTCGCGCTCAGGGGCGAAACATGCGTTTCTTGGCAAAAGGGCGTGTCGCTTGGTGAGCGCCGTTACATCATCCTAGCCTAGGCTGATCTGTGGGGTAATGTAGCTAACTCTTTCGGGTGACTGAGGCCGTTTGCTGTCGTGATGTCTCCTCAGGTTGAGTCCAGCAAGGTATTCATGGGTGAATGACGAAGATGGGAGGAACATCAGGGAATAGTAAGATGAAAAAAAAAAAAACATGAGGTTAGGGTTCACCTTGATTTAGCCAGCGACACGTTTTGTAAGTGAAAGCTGTACACAGACTTTCAGATTTTTGGGATGCATGAGCACAGCTAACTAACACAATTCAGCATAGGGATCGGCAAAATAGTCAGTATGCCAACCAAGACCCAGCATAAAAGTGAACGCCCCCCCTATGCCCTTCATGTATGGCAGGGCGGAACGCGGCCCCTGAGTGGGGTGAATCGGCGAAGCATGAGGCAGACCAGCATGGTTGCAGTCAATTGACAAGGGAGGGTCCATCAGCATGTTTCTCGGTCACTGTCTAGATGCAACTATACCCAGCAGAGGGTGTGATCGAGCTCAAGTCTAAACTTGAAAGAAGCATCCAGAGGATAGGTTCGGAGGGACCTCTCACAAATACATAAAGGCCTCGAGACCTCGGCCACAGCCTCCTCTGATCCTTTCATCCTCACCGACCTTGATACAAACAGAAAACAGCAATCGTATATCAAGATGGTCAACTTCTCAACTCTCTTCCTCGCGGCTTCGACTGCAGCACTTGCTGCTGCTGCCCCCAGCATCGAGAAGCGTCAGACACTCACCAGCAGTGCCACCGGCATCCACAATGGCTACTACTACAGCTTCTGGACCGATGGCCAAGGCAACATTCGTTTCAACCTTGAGAGCGGTGGCCAGTACAGCGTGACATGGTCTGGAAACGGCAACTGGGTTGGCGGCAAAGGCAGGTCTCCAACAAAACATTTCCAGCGCTGTGGAATGAACTACATCCTAACCTGTTAACAGGCTGGAACCCCGGTATCGACAACCGGGTCATCAACTACACAGCCGACTATAGACCCAACGGCAACTCCTACCTCGCAGTCTACGGCTGGACCCGCAACCCGTTGATCGAGTACTACGTGGTCGAGAGCTTCGGCACCTACGACCCGTCGACAGGCGCCACCCGCATGGGCAGCGTGACTACCGACGGCGGCACCTACAACATCTACCGCTCGCAGCGCGTCAACGCGCCCTCCATCGAGGGCACCAGCACCTTCTACCAGTACTGGTCTGTGCGCACCGCCAAGCGCACCGGCGGCACTGTTACCATGGCCAACCACTTCAATGCTTGGAGGCAGGCTGGTCTGCAGCTGGGTACCCATGATTATCAGATTGTTGCTACCGAGGGTTACTACTCGTCTGGCTCGGCGACTGTCAATGTTGGCGGCAGCGCTACTGGTGGCGGCAACAACGGCGGCGGCAACAACGGCGGTGGCAACAACGGTGGCGGCAACAACGGCGGCGGCAACGGTGGCGCGAACGTGAGTATCTCCAAACCCATGAGATGAGAAGTTTGGCCAGCAGAAGCTAACATACGCAGTGCTCTCCTAGGTGGGGCCAGTGCGGCGGCCAGGGCTGGACCGGCCCGACCTGCTGCCAGAGCGGCTCGACCTGCCGCTTCCAAAACAACTGGTACTCTCAGTGCCTGTAAATTTCCTGACTTCATGACAAGCATTCACCAAATTCTATCGTCATAAAATGACGCAGACTTGGAAACTTATCTCCTTTCCTTGGGTCAGGACTCGGGAATTGAGATCCGGATGAGGCCGGGCCAGAGAGATGGAGTCTGAGAATTGTTTGACACAGCTCCGTTTTGTCTGCTTCATGTACATACTTGATTTCCGCTTCAGTACAGCATGGAGCGTCGTATACAAACACTCATATTTTCATTATATCAGTTCCCGTCGTATGCGAGTGACCCCTTCCTTGGTCTGGGGGAGTTGTCGGAGAAGTGGGGCAGGACCGGACAGAGCACGGACTCTAATGGACTTGGTACCGGCGCAGCATTTCGCGGACCCCTCCGCCCAGTCCCCGAACGCCCGTTCTTTGTACCACATCTGTTGTCTGTATGGCAGGAACACATGCGTTCAAAGCCAAAAAAACACTTCGAAGTTTGAAATCCCTAAAACATCTTTTGACGGAATAGATGATACCCTAGATCTCGTGCGGAAGACTGGACCTTAGAATGTAAGTCGATAGTAGATAAGATATTTAGATAAGATAATGATGCCAAAGCAAACCACGTGGCTATCCTCTGGCTGACGCCAACCTGTCCCAGTCGGCCATCCAGGCCAAGCCTCAATCTCGGGCTTTGGTTGGTGGCTTGCCCGCTTTTCGGACTGAGTTTGGCTTAGGAACGTTCCTAAATTGTGGCGCAGCTTCAGCCACGGGCGTACGATAGCTCTCCACCGGTCACATCGCCACCTCTTAGCAAGCCCATATATAAAGGAGCTTCAGCCAGCTTCAGCTCTCTCCCTTCAACAACACACTCATCAAAACCCCTAAAAGTCAAACTCGGGGAAAAAAAAATAAAACAAAACCTCACACTAAAACCAAACCCAACCAATTAAAAAAACCCCGAAAATGCCCGACGCATCAACCAACACCCCCTCCTCCACCACAGCGCATGCCTCCACCCAAAGCAACCCCACTACTTCCCACGCTTCGACGCAGACCCATCATGCCCAGCAGCAGCCCCAGCAGGAGCCGCCGCGGGCCACGGGCGCCGGAGTGAACACGGGCGCGGGCATCACACGTCCCAAGACGGAGGAGGAGCTCGAGGCCGACCGTCGGTACGAGGAGGCCATCGAGGAGGAGTACGCCAAGCGGGAGGGTGGGGCCTAAGCCGTGCTGTTATGAGGTCATCGTCATAGACGGGCGTGACGCGGGATGAGAGCCCGAGACAGTGAAGGTCAGGTGAGGGTGAACTGATGGAGCAAGTGTGTTTGGCTTCTGAAGGCTGCCATGATGTGAGGGCGGGGTGCTCTGGTGATTGATATGATATGACCTGGTATGGGAGCGACGGTTGAGCAAGCATGGTTGATAGACGTGGAAGGGCTTTGAAGAGGACGACCTGATAGCTGGATGGGAGTAATATTGTTTATACAGAAACGACAACGAAGACGACCTATCCTGTCCATCCAATACAACTGTGTATACTCCATTTACTCTACTCATTCCCATACTTCCTCTTTCCAAAATCTAGCAATGTAATAACACGTTCAAAAACAGCTATTGCCTAGCCCATCAACTCCCTATCTATCTCTCCTTGCCCTTAGCCAAACGAATCGGATGCGCTTCAGTGTTGAAGACAAACTGGTTCGTCCTGTCTGCTTTGACATCCCACGGCCCGTCCTGCTTGTCGTCAGCGCAGTCCTCGAGGTATTCAGGAAAGAAACCCACCTCGGCCTGGATTAAATAGCTATATTTGAGAGTCTCCGCAAGCCAAAAACTCTCCTGAAAGTTGTTGAACGCCCCTCCTCCTGGAGCACCGACATTGGTTACACCTGAATACCCGCTGCCCACACGGCACGTAGCATTGATCGCTTTGAAAGCGTCCCACGCCCATTCTTGGTAACGACGGTCCCCCGTGGCGCGGTAGGCATAGTAATAGCTCTCGATGACTTCCGGCCGGAGCGCGTACTGGCCATTCCGGATCCAAAATCCATTGCGGTCATAGAATTCTTTTTGCTCAACGGGCGGTCCTGGATTGTGTGACGTATTTCGCGTACGTACCAGGTCTTCCCATCCAAACAGTTCTGGTCCGATACCAGTTGGTGTGCCAGCATAAGTCGCATGGCACCCATCAGTCAGGGCCAAGCCAAGCATGATGTACGATTGATTTAGGAGCATCAAACCGCCCAGTATGAAGTTTCCGCCATTGAAGCAAGCCACTAAGAATGTTAGCGTCATGTAAGATGAAAACGCATAAGAGATTATAGACTTACGATGTTGCCCATAGTAGTTCAACTCTTTCCCTCTCCACTCAGCCAGGAATGTCAGTTCTGGCTTGCTCGACGGATGCGATACGAGATGGATGAGGGATGAGTCCGCAGCCTTGACCCATCTGTCTTTGTACTCCCCAAACCGCTCCGGATCATACAGATACATCTTGATGAGATACTCATAGAAGCTGTCCGTCTCTGCGCCCCAACCTCCATTGCCATCCACGAATTCGCCATCCGAAAGTCTCACATGGGTACCCAACAATCCTGGAAACGGCTCTCCAACATCCTTGGGCTCTGGGAATAACAGGTAGGACTCCGCTTTCTGCGCCAACTGAGCATACTCTGGGTCACCGGTTAGATCACTTAGGCGTGTCCACTCTAAGACCAGGGTACCAGTAGTTGCCAATCCGTTTGTCTCCCGTCCAGCTCGACGTGGCGGAGAGAAGTATAGGTTGTTATCTGGGATGCCGCTAGGTGTATCAAATGCTACTTTCAGGTTGTCGGCTAGGTGTTTGGCTTGGGAAAGGAGAGCATCAACTCGGCTATCGCCCTTAAACCTATCAGCGAATGGGCCAGTTAGGAGGTCATAGCCTGTCGTTGTCAGCAAAAAAAAAAAAATTTCCAAACCCCTTCTCGTGGGCTTACCCGAAATGAGACCGCCAAGGTAGCGGATAGTAGTCTCAAAGAGTGAGATATCATTTGCCGTATTGCTCCTGTCAAAATCGATCTTCGGAACGAAATCCAGGATTTGTTCCACCACGTCCCATTTCTCCATGATAATCGCCGTACTGAGCGCATCGATGGCAGTTGCCCCCCATCCATTTCTGTCTATGTCAGTACTTATCCCCTCTCTCTCGACCTCGGCCAACACACCTGTCGTCCCACCAGGCGTTGTTGAGTGGTGTCAACGAGTCATGAGGAAATGCATGTTTGTAGTATCCGTCCCAGGAGACTTGGAAGGCTTCTTTAATAGCCTCGGCTCGCTGGCTGTGGACAAGATACTCCGGTGACTTGAGCTTAGAAGGCGCAGCATAAACCGTCGCAAGAAGAGCCAGCAACACACTGGCTGTACTCACAGAACGCATGGGTTACAGATAGTATATATGAGGCAGTTGGGGCGATAATTTGCAATCAAAGAAGTTTTGACAATCCAAAAACAGGTGAACGTGTGTGTGCTTGATGCAAATATATCTGTCAAGAGACTAAGCCAGACGAAGGGGAAAATTGAGGAGCCGGAAGCTAGAACAGTAAGGTCGGGAGTGACAACGCAAAGTTCTTATTTGTAATACTAGAAGTAGTCCATTGACTGTTCCTTCCAATATGTGCCGGGTAAGTGAAACGCTGTAGCATAGGAAAGAGGAGTTCAGCTCAGTCTTTGGTTATTAAGAGGTCCCCAGGATGGAAATCTGCCCCACAATCCTTTACATCGTGTGAGAAAGTGAGATCAGATGAGTGATGCAACAGCACGACAGAACAAGAGCTTTAAGATGCTAAAATATCCTTGGCCGATGATGCGGTGAACTCTGATAGGAGCAAAAATGAAAGTCAAACAGAATGTACATGGATCTGGGGCCTGTGTCTGTGGCTGAGCCCCAAGTGCCAAGCCAAGGCCGTTGCGAATCTGTCCGTAGATATGCTACATGATTCGTCCATAAGCCTGGATGCCTGCCTAAACGAGCAAGAGGGTGACCGCGCTTGCAGGGCGTGGCTTGTGCTGTGGCTTGAGCAAGCACCAGAGGAAAGGTTACAGATTATCTGATGCAAATTAGGCGCAAAATCCGGGTGAGCACACGTCTTTGACTGCCAAGACCTATAATTTCTTCGTTCTAAAGCGCCTCGTCATGAGAAAATTGGTAAGATGCAGCCCCCTCTGCAGCAACCCTAAAATAAATACCTATCAACCACGTTCCACAGGATCTGGTCAGTTGAAAACAAGATTTGAGTGAAATCAGCGAAATTATAAATATGCAAGACAGGATCACCCATTGGAAGATTTCGAGCGCGACTCACAGGGCATGCAGTTCTCAGAGCTTCGGAATGGCTCCGCTGGTAAACGGTTTTTTGAGTACACTGTAGGCTAATGAGTCGCGGGGCTCTTTTCACCAAGTTACTTGGTCAAAGAAGTGTGCTGTATGCGATTAACATCCAGGCTAAGTGCGCGGTCCCCTTTCCGATAGAGAAAAAAACTATCAGTTGAGCTGCAGGGACTTTGTGTCTTAAGCTCCGACATTTCCAGGCCATGCTCCTTTTTTGCATCTCGGCGACGATTCAAGGTGTAACCGACACAAATGGTATTTTTGTCCGATTTTTATCCGCTCATGGCTTTAGGCTTCCAATCAAAGCCGACACGGATTGTAATAGCCTGTTGATTAGTGAGAACAAGCTATCTACTCTGTAGCTCCTTGTTTCCTGGAACGATGCAATTTTAACGGAAGCTCGAAGCATGCAATAGTTCCAATGCTCGAAGGAACTATGCCGATTCACTGAATCTGACTCAGCCATGACTTGCAAGCCACTCCCAGTCTGTCCAAAATGAGCTGGATACCGATGAACCTCGCCATTTCTTGGATCTGCGGGTACCCATATAGCTTGTAAAGCAGCATTGATATCCTCTGCGATGATACGAGCAAATTCCCCTACTGCCTATCATTTGGCGACTCTGTAGCCGTTGTGACCCATCCCTCAACTGATACGAACCGGGAGCCCACGTGGCCATGTAAGGTTTGAAGCGGTGGTACACAGGCTACCCGGTCTTGGGCTGTATCGCCCGCATCGTGTAACGAGGGATGTATTCCGAATAAAATAGTCGCGCGCGTGTGTGTGACTACCCGCTTTCACGAAGCTTTGCCAGCTCTGCAGCTATCCCCTCATTCAAAACTTCGTCGTTTCGGGCTGAAGTGGCGGAGGTATCTGAAATCAGAACTGATGGATTCGTCTGTATACCTTCAGCAGACTGCTGCTGAATTTCGGTGTTTCTTTTATCCTTAGAGGAATCCTTAACTGCTGCCTTGCGCTTGGTAGGCTTCCTCCCACCGCGGAACGGCTGCTCAACAGCCCGGCACCAGGCCTTCACCTTCTTCTCGCCCCATCCGCTGACCATGGAGATCTGTTCTGGGTCCGCGTTAATTGCATTTCTCAAGGTGCCGAACGTTGCAACCAGAGCAACGGCGTCGGCCTTATTGACAGTGCGCGGTACCGTCACGAACTCAACCAGCCTCTCGGCATAACCAGTCGCCTGCTGACCTTTGATGGCCGAGAAGCCGGCATGCTCGTACGACTTGTACAGTTCTAAGTACCGGGCAGCCTCGGCAGCTGACCAAGTCAGAATAATAGTGACGTTGTTGACGACGGATGTTTTCGTCAGCTCGCGCAGGGCGTCCTCGTGATTCGGGATGTCGACCAGCACCAGCAGGATGCGCAAGTTGTACTTGCCCTGTAGGTTGCGAATCCGCGTGTAAATGTACTCGGGATGTAGCCGGTGATACTTAAGGCTGATACTTGCGTGAGTAGAACCGTCAACTGATCAGAGAATAAGGCACACACCTCAGGAATAGTGCACATGTTGTCAACCCTAACTGATAATCCGCCAAGATATCACTGTATTCCCAAGGTACTGACTTCAGGCAGGTCAGCACCGGGTTCCCCTTCTGCCGCGGTGAGACTAAAATGGTTGACCCTGATGACCGCGAGGGTAAGTTTTGGGGCTTTGGCTGGGTGACTTTCGGAGGCTGCTGTCCAGACGAAGCAGACGTAGCTGATGCAGCGGCGTTCGATTGAGGCGGCTTGTCGAGCCGCTGTGCAGTAGGCTGCTGGACTTTGGGTGCGAGCTGATATGGCCGCTGTCCAACTGGCGCTGACGGTTGTGGTTGCGGTACTGCTGCAAGAGCGGCGAGAAATTCTTCGTCAGCTCCAAAATCGTCATCGTCCATGTCGTTGCCTTCGATAATGATTTCGCGAAGGATAAACGCAAACGCGCCAAACGTGTTTGAGGATGGTTCCACTGACCCACTTTTCCCGTCGGCCAAGTCAACGCCGCCCCATAGCTGATGTCATTGGCGAGTGATAAGATAACGTTACTTGCATGCCAATACATGCAACACGTATGTATCCAGAGCTGGGAGAGACCACCAATAGATCAATAAGGCCAAGGGCAGTTTGAATTGCAGAGATCTGATTAAATCTTCCTATCCGTCAAAGAAATGAAGGTATAGTCAAGTCTTCGTTCCTCTAGATCTATATCCGCCACCAAAACCATTTATTCAGGCGGAATCCCACCAACGACCTCGCCCTTTGCCAGCCCATCGTACACCCCGTACAACGCTCTCATCCACAAGTTGAACACACCGTCAAGCTGCTTGCTTCTCTCCTCCGAATGTCTCTCACCAGAGAGAAGCCTCTCCCTCAACCTCTCATACGCCTCTATCATAACCCACACCTGCAGCGCTGCTGTCCCCTTACTGAGCTCACCCTGCTGTTGTGAGGATGAGCGTCTCTGTGCCATGCTAACTGCGGACGAGAGCTCGCGCGTCAGAAGATCAATGCATATCTGCAGGCTCAAATTATCCCCCACGTCGTCCTGGCTAGATTGAGCCCGGGTGCCGCGGACCAGTTGTTCACCGGCCTGTTGTGGCCTCAACATGGGTTTAGACCCAGAACGTGATCTGGTTTTTGGTGTTGCAGGCAACGGCTTTGTCGGCGGGGGTCCGACAAAGGGTGGGACGTCAGTCAACTCCGGTGGTTTCGTAGACACTACCAGTTTGACTTCGCCTTCGGGACCCGAGTCGGAGTCAAACGAAACAGGCTTGAAGTACATTGGCTCCTCCTCACACGAGACAAGTGTCCCGTCATCAGAAATCACTGTGCTTGTTGGCGATATTGTCGCTGCCGCATCATTCCCAGATCGGGGGGAGTGTTGAGCAATTAGCGATTCCCTGGTTGAGAGGTGCTTAGGCTCCCCTCCCCATCCCGGCTGATGTTCCGAATGACGGACATACTCAGAACTGTGACGGCCGGCTGGCGGTACGAACGCCTTGGCGGGTAAATATTGAAGCATTTCTGCACCATCAGTTTCATCGTCCTCCTCATAACCGCCGGAATCCCCACCAGTGTGCTCGCTTCGCCGTGGAAAGGGAGGTTTATCTGGCTGATTATTGCGACGTCTGACCCCAAGCACAGCCCCGTACTGGTCGGCAATGAGATCAACACTTGAAGTCCGGCCCTCCAGACTACGAATTGGAGCCGACACTGGAGGAGGGGTAATGTCCTGGTCATGTCGACTGATGGACAAAAAAGGTGTCTTGGCACGTCGTCGCTTCTCACGAGCAGCGGAAGTATCTGTAGCGGAACGACTCAACAGAATGGGCCGTTTAGGTGACGGAGGAAAATTACCGGTGATGATGCGAGGGAGTTTCGGTACTGGCGGCGGCGGTTCTCGAGGTGAGTCAAAGTCGGAAGGGAGAGGAGGAGACCGTAGGCGACCATGTTTAATTTTCTTGATATCACGGGTACCAGGTAATGATAGTCGGGGTTTTGTAGAAGAGGCATTGCTGGATGTGTCAGACGGGTTAGGCGTCGACGCTGATGTTGTCTGGCTTGACGAGCCCAAGCCGAACCGGCTTGCGATGCTGTTTTGCCTTCCGACACCCTTCTGTAACTTCTTCCTGAGCTTTTGGCCCTTGACCTCTTTATTCGATTCCATTAATGGCTTGGTAAAATTTCTTATGCTAGTCGTAGATGGTGAACAGTATGAAAATAGAACGAAGCCTAGCTGGATAGATAGCAGGAGAAGAAAGGCACTTCATCCGGAATTACATATACAGGTAAACTGCTTGGAACAGACATCAATACATCGAGGCTTAGGTGATGGGTTTTCCGCACTGACCAGGCCGGAGGCAATGCCGAGAGCTTAGAGTTGAACTGATTCATGACAGTAAGGGATCATCCCAGAGATTCGCTGCAGGTTCTGGAGACCCATAGCTTTTTCCGTGGAATCCACGTCTTTTCCGTGGCAAGTGGCAAGCAGATAAACGACGAGTACACGAATTTGAAACAGACACTTCGCTATTTAACGGAACTATAAACGGAAAACCTCTCAGTACCAGGACTCTATAATGGCTTGAAAGGGATTCTTTTCGTGTACTGTCAACAGACGCAAAGATTGTCCTAACAGGTTTAAAGGGAGTCAGGGGTACGTTTGTCGTTTGATGTATACCTAGGTTGCTTGGATAGTCTCTGACATTTGGCATACATATAAGCATCCATTGGCCCGATTTTCCTCCGTGGCGTTTCAGGTCACTTGACAAGCCGTGACTTCGCTCTCTATCTCGGCTGCAAGTTTCAATCATCTTCGCTTGATATTCGGAAATTATTGGTTATAGTAGTGAACGGAAGTGTGAATGCAAGAGGGACAAGTAAACCAAGAAATGGAATTAAATGCAAAGTAAGATTGGGGAAACAATTGCGAGGAAGGTTGGGACACGACTGAGCGAACAGTAAAAGAAACCTTAAATCTCTAAAAAGAACAGAAGCTTTCAAGCTAAGCTAGGGAGGTAGGATCGCTAACCAGACCTTCGGCCGTTGACCATTGCTTGTGGTCGGCCCCTCTGCCCCGCACCGTTGAAATTACCGTTGGAGCGGAGTCCCCAACTGTTCCATCTTCAAGCGTGCTGCTGCGATTTATCCACCAAAATCAATGGTAACATTTCTTTTCCATTGGAGGAAGATGTCGTGCTTTAGGCAGCCCCATGCGGCATGCCCCTGGTCGCAACTGCATCGGGTGATAAAGCCCCCGAGGAATGGGACAACTCGGATGTCAGCGATGAGGGAAAGGGCCCAACGATGAGGTTTTGCACCTCAACAGGTGCTCGCAGATTCTCTTGACAATCTACCTACCTATATTCAAGAAGCACCCAAATCCTTGATCTAGAGTGAAATCCGAGCACTATGGTCGAGATCACAATTACCGGGTGGACCACGCGGGATATCCGGTTCCCCACGTCACTTGACAAAACCGGCTCGGATGCCATGAACGTGGCCGGAGACTACTCCGCTGCGTACTGCATCCTACAAACTGATTTGACCTATACCGGCCATGGCATGGTACGATCCCTTATACACTTTCACTTGAGCTCTGACTTACAATACCAGACTTTCACGATCGGCCGGGGGAATGACCTTGTCTGCGCAGCCATCAACCATCTGGCTGCGCGCATCCAAGGCCGCACACTCTCCAGCCTTGTCTCCCACTGGGGCCAGACATGGCGGCACCTTGTCAATGACAGTCAACTACGTTGGATCGGTCCGGAAAAGGGCGTCATCCACTTAGCTCTGGGCGCCGTGGTCAACGCGTTGTGGGACCTATGGGCCAAGGTGCTGGGCAAGCCAGTGTGGCGGGTTGTGGCCGACATGACACCCGAGCAGGTGGTCGATTGCATTGACTTCCGGTATATTACAGATGCGCTGTCGCCCGAGGAAGCATTGGAGCTGTTGCGCAAGGCAGAGCCCGGGAAACAGGAACGGATCCGTGATGCGGAGAACAACCGCGCTGTGCAGGCTTACACAACCAGCGCGGGCTGGCTGGGGTATGGGGAGGAGAAAGTACGCGCTCTGTTGCAGGAGACGCTCGCCGCAGGGTATAAATACTTCAAGGTCAAGGTTGGCGGTGGCGTGGAGCAGGACCGACGACGGCTAGCTATTGCTCGAGAAGTTATCGGGTATGACAAGGGGAATGTGCTCATGGTGGATGCCAACCAGGTATGGTCGGTGCCGGAGGCGATTGAGTACATGAAACAGCTTGTCGAGTTTAAGCCATGGTTTATTGAAGAGCCGACGTCTCCTGATGACATTATGGGTCATAAAGCGGTGCGAGACGCATTGAAGCCGTATGGCATCGGCGTCGCCACAGGCGAGATGTGCCAGAATCGGGTCATCTTCAAGCAGCTTCTGATGGCGAGCGCGATCGATGTGTGCCAAATCGATGCTTGCCGTTTGGGAGGTGTAAACGAGGTTCTTGCAGTGCTGTTGATGGCAAAGAAATTCGGAATTCCCGTCGTGCCACACTCCGGAGGAGTTGGGCTCCCTGAGTACACACAACATCTCAGCACAATCGATTATGTCGTGGTGAGCGGCAAGCAGTCATTGCTCGAGTACGTCGACCATCTGCACGAGCACTTTGTCTACCCAGCCATCATCAAGGACGGTTTCTATCAAACTCCAACAGAGCCAGGGTACAGCGTCGAAATGAAGCCAGAGAGCATGGAGCGGTACGAGTATCCAGGGGGGAGGGTAGCTGGTGGCGGACCGAGGAGGCCAAGAATATCCTAGAAGGCGAGAAGATCTAGCTGTGTGATAGGTTTTCCGTATTCTGATTGTTCCTTCTTTCGAACTTCGCCCTCTTATCTTCCCCTTTTGTTTCCTTTTATTGTTCGGCTTAATATAACGCATCATTGCTCAAGTCTGATAGCTTCGCCGCATCAGTCTAATGTAAAAGCCTCGCCAACGCAAGCGCGCGAATGAAAGAGAAGCATACCGGCCTTTCTGGGAGCCACGAGCTTATTTCAACTTTTACCGTCCACTGATTCGCGAGTCCAAGCATTTTCTGTTTTGACTGGTTCCCACAAGGCAAAGCCAACTTAGGTGAGAGATGTGAGATTCGGATAGGAGAAGGATGACTTTTAACTCAAGGAAATCGATGCAAAAATTAAGGGAGAGTATTTGCGCAGAAGATATAGTTGAAGGGATCCGGCCATGAGGGATAGAGCTGGCAAAAAAGAGCTAGCTGCGACTCGTTTCGATCGAGTGACCTCCGGGTTATGAGCCCGGCGCGCTTCCGCTGCGCCACGCAGCTTTAGTAGCCAGTCTATGGTGGTCTTATCGAAGACGAGCTCATAAAGTAGAATCGGCTTGTCCGAGCCTGCGGAAGCGATCGGAGCGAAAGCGTGGGATGGGAAAAGGCCTCATGTGTGAGTCATCTTGTTGTGGAACTTCAGCCTTGTTTCGCTGTGGATCGGAGTTCCACTCACTTTGCTGGGCTACGAATGTGCATACATGTGCATTGCAGGTTGGTCGGCCTGGCCCGAGCGGGTGGTCAGAAAACCCGAGTTAGGGATTGTCATGAGGGAGGCATGCTCTTGATGCATGTTTAAACTGCCGGATAATGAGGGGCTGTGTCATAGTTGGCCACTGCAAGCTACATTGAAAGGAGACGAATGGCTCTTGTGGGCTGTGTTTTGTGCTGAAGGACCCAGGGCCGTCGAAGTATACACTTAACCTCTGGAGAAGACTTTTTTGAAGGGCTATCCTTCATATCAAAGAAAACTATCTCATTATGTCGCCTGTGCATCTGTTGTTGCTCTCCATATCCCATGCCATAAGGTCGTTTGATCTTGTTCAAATCCCCCTGCTTAGGGGGCTACTCAAGACTCAACAACACCATGTTGTGGGCACTTCAAATAAGGACTTGATAACAGATGCTTTGGAGCCAGAGAGGATGCCTGCTTCTTTTCAGAACACCTTACGGAAGCCAGTTATTCAACACGTTGGTCATTCGTTTGGCATCCAGCCTTGAGGGGGATCAGGACTTGATATGTCCCGCCGTCGCAACCTTAAGGATTTCCTTCTCCAACCCTCCAACTTGGACAACATTGATACCAGCATCGGTGAGGATCTTTCTCCCGGTGTTTTCTGCCACGAACTTCTCAGGCTCGAGGGCTCCAACGAAGACTGTAGTGATGCGCCCAGCCAGACGGAGTATCCTCTGAACACAGGGAAGATTTCCACTCAAACGTTCAGAGCAGGGCTCAAGAGTTGTGTAGAGAATCAATCCAGGTGGCAATACCTTAGAAAGATGCTCCTCAGAAACGCCACGCTGCTCTGCAAGCTTCATGAAGCAGCACTGCTCCGCGTGTGTGTTGCCTGGCAGTTCAAGGGTGTAGCCAGTTGCGAGGATTTGGTTTGACGAGGGGTCCACGACCAGCGCGCCTACACGGAAGTTTGTTGATTTTGGAGGAGACTTTTGCGCCTCCTGCAGCGCGAGCTGCATGTATGCCTTGTGGTCGCCAGGGGCAGGCATTTTCGTGAGAAGGGATGAGAGGAGGATGAAAAGACATCGCAAAAGTTATTAAGCCAACACCGTAAGATAAGAGTAAGATACAGAGTCTTGGCACGTATCTTACAGGTCCTTGCTCGTACAGTTTAATAACAGTAGTTAGTGATTAATTAACACTGTGTGGAGTATGACACGTTCGACGCGACGGGACGCGCTTCAACTTGTCACACACTCATCTTCGAACCATCTTAACAACCCAGAGAAAAAGCAATGTCTCCCCACGACATTACCGACGGCGAACCACCCGAGATCGACCCTTACGAGGTTCTCGGGCTGGAACGCACGGCAACCGCCGATCAAATCAAGTCAGCCTACCGCAAGGCGGCCCTCAAAACGCACCCTGACAAAGTCTCGGACAACAAGAAGGAAGAGGCCAAGGTCAAGTTCCAGCAGGTCGCTTTTGCCTATGCCGTGCTCTCGGATCCAGTCCGTCGTAAGCGCTACGACGAGACAGGCTCGACATCGGAGGCCGTTGTCGAAACGGAAGACTTCAGCTGGGCCGACTACTTCCGCGAGCAATATGCAGATGCCATCTCGGAGGAAGCCATCAAGCAATTTGCGGCCCAGTACAAGGGCTCCGATGAGGAGCGCGATGACCTACTGGCGGCGTACGAGGAGTTCGAGGGCGACATGGACAAGGTCTACGAAACGGTGATGCTAAGCGACGTGCTTGAGGACGATGAACGCTTCCGCAAGATCATCGATGCCGCCATCAAAGCCAAAGAAGTCCCCGCTTTCCCAAAGTATACCAAGGAGACCAAGAAGACCCGCGAGGCACGCGTCAAAGCAGCCAAAAAAGAGGCGGAAGAAGCCGACAAGTTGGCCAAGGAGCTAGGTGTTTACGAGAAGCTGCGCGGTACCGGCAAGAAGAGCAAGAAGGACACCGAAGCCGACTTGGCCGCGTTGATTCAGGCCAGACAGGTGTCGCGCATGGATGCTCTCGACCGGCTGGCTGAGAAGTACGGTGCTATACCCAATGCTGTCAAGGGGAGCAAAAAACGTAGCGCCAAAGACTTGGAGCCTGATATTTCAGAGGAGGAATTCCAAAGGATCCAGAAGGAGATGATGAGAAAGAAGCGCAAGTGACCAGGTTTGCTATCATGAATTGGCGTTGGGGACATGGCATAATGGATATGTTAGGGCAGAACATCGGCGTTTGGGTCGGGAATATTAGTAATGGGTACTCTCAAGTAAATTAAGATGTGTGCTTAATCCAATTATTGAGTCAGAGTGACAAAGCACTTTAGCATCCAAAATACCTCTATCTCTCAACTCCGATTCAGACCGGTTTGAAAGCGTCGACAACGAGCCTGTTGATGTAAGCTGAAGTCATGGGCCGTCAAGGTTCCACTGTGTCACCGGGTCAACGTGCACGGGACGTCAAGTGAAATCTTGGCATTCCAACGCCGTTTGAGAAAATGGCAAACACCTTCCCCTTTCCATCCCACCCTTTGGCCGGAGCCCGAGCAGGTTGTAGCCGCCGCAAGTACGCAGCGACGAGAACGCCCAACATTCGCACGCGTGGCCATGAATTTTATCGTTCCTGGCTGAAAAACCACCCAAAGGCCGCATGCCGAACCATGCGACACGCAAGATGCCATGAACGACGCGACGGCGCTTGAGTTCGAGTTCTACCCGCAATATTGCTTTCACCTGTCGCCCACCCTCAAGCAGTTCTGCCACCTGCGCATTGCCGACATCTGGGCTCTGACATTTGACCCAGGCTATAATGGTGTGTTATACAAGTCAGATTGTGCTCGTTGCCGCGTGATCTAATGACAATGCGCCTACAGGCCAAGATCTATGGTTTTACCTAAACTACCCGATCAAGTGGGTGCGCGTGTCGGGGCTGGTCGTCGGCATTGATGAATATGCGACCAAACACATCTATACGCTCGATGATGGCAGCGGGGTAATGATAAAGGTCGTTTATGCCTTACCGCGGCCCACAAACGGCCAGACAGCGACCGAAGCTAGCTCGATGGCGTCAAATCTCGATGGACCTGTCGACATCGGTCATGTTCTCGATGTCAAGGGTATTGTCAGGACATTCCGTGATGAGAGGAACATACACGCAGACAAGATCAAGCATCTTCGCTGCACAGAGGAAGAGGTTGCCTTTTGGGAGAAGACTTCCCGGTTGAAGGCAGAGGTCCTTTCCCAGCCATGGGTGCTTGACCCCCGGGTGGTGAGAAAATTGCGGAAGAAACAAGAAGACAAGGTTTCTCCACGACGGCATCGTGACTCTCATCGGCGAGAAAGGAGGAAAGCCGACCAAGAGGAAGATGTGGTTAAAGATCGCGACGGGACAAGGCTACCGCTGATTCCAGGGAACGAGAACAAAGTCCTTGTGACTGGGCTAGAAAGGCGGGGACCCATGCTCAAGGAGGTTGCAAAGGGCCCTCCTGAGAAGCCCGCTGTTCTGACAGGATTGGAAAAGTCGGCCCGGCGGGCACCGTCACCCGAAAAACGAGCCGTAGTGACCGGACTGGAAAGGTCAACGAATGTTTCGGTGACGGAAGAGATGCCAGTTTTGGTAACAGGCCTGGAAAGAGCTGGTCGAGCGCCGGCGCCCAAGAAGCCGGTTCCTATGACAGGATTAGAAAAGAAGAAAAAACCCAAACCTCATGTCAGACTGGTCCCTGTCGGTGAGGATGATGTTTTAGACTTTTGAACTGTTCCTGGGATACCGCTCTTCCCAGATTACGACGTGGACATATGTATTTGTGGGAGATTTCTGATACCAACCCCGAAGCAGACAGGTTATATACTGTTCTGGTGTTTTACAAAGGCAAAGTTGCTGGTATAGATAGCAGAGCAAGCAAGCTCATTGGACCGGAACTATGCAACAGAAGAGTTTCATGGAGTTGACGATAACACGCACATGAGCACACAGAATGGATACAATCAACATAGATGCATCATCCCTCCGGGACACATGTTCCATTGTCTTGTGAGCGTGACCGCTGTTTCTTGGATAATCTTAATGTCTTAAAATGCTGCGCTTTGACTCTCGGCACCTGATCCATTACTTCCAAGAGCCACCCGCGCAAAGTGGGCAAAGTAGCAGGCCACTGAAGCACGTGAAGGAGGCAGCAGAACGTCAAGTGGTTGTAATGCGCCACGATCCTGGCTTCTTTTGCTTACACGACTCAGCCAAGCATATGGGTTCGACCGGGTTCGGTAACACCAGGCGCTCGACGAGCATGGACAAGAGAGCGTCTGCCTAATCTCCGATCTCTTTATCTTGCCAGCGCTGTCTGCCAAACTTTTCACAGCGAAGTGCAAACCATCCACGACCTTTCCACAGCGCAATGCAACGCTTTTCTATCCGTCACATTCTTCACGTTAAGGACACTGAACTAGTGCGATATGTAAAGCAGCATCAACGTCGCGAAGGCGGCTTCGATTTGGAGGTCGATGCTTGGGACGATCTTTCCGAAGAAGAGAGGCATCAGATAGCACGGCGGCTCAAGTAAATCTGCCTTCCATCCGTAATGTGTTCTAGTAGCTAATAGAGATATAGGGACGTACTGCTTCGAACCAACAATGAGGAACAATCTCGACCAGTAGACCTCGATGAAGTTGCTGCGCGATTACAAGAGATCGTTGATACCCAGGGTGCGACGCCACAGGTCATACGCCGGTCGCGTTTTTGCGAGAGGTCCCCGACCCCTATATACGATGAGATGAGCGAAATCAGGGATACCGAAACTTCTGCTTACCAAGAGCTGATGCAAAGCGGTGGCAGGCCCATGTATCCCATCTGCCTCCTTGATGAAGTACTAAAAGACCCTGAAGGGCATCTCTCCTTCTTGTTGCCGTGGCAAGCCTATCCGGGTACGGGCATTCCCGACAGAAATGTGTTCACAAAGCAATTGGCTCGATGGAAGGCGTTCCGCAGTTGGCAGAAAGATTGCCGAGGGATTCGCACTGATGAAAAGGAATTTGACGCATACGTTGAGGATACTAAGCGCAGAGATCCCGAATGGAGAGGTGAATTGAATTACGAACATCAAGAATTGATGGATCAACATCTCAGAAGGCTTCAAGCTGAATTTGAGAAGACTCCCGAAGCAAAGGACAGCAACGATAAAGGCGCAGCCTTCCGAGAGTTCGTTGAGAAGAGGAGACAGCGCAATTTGGAGGTTGGATGCACATGGCCGGGAATGACAGAAGCTGAGTATCGGCAAGCGCTCAGCGTGCAGTTCAACCTGGACAAGTACCGTCGTTATCAAGCTCACCTTGGTCTGCTGGCTCTTGCCCGAGGCAAGCACGGATTTCCCGAGTACGTTGCCAAGGCTAGGCGCCGTCTATCTGAATTTGGCCTCACCCAGACATTCGAATTTGACGAAGACCCAACCCGCCAAGACAAGCTGACAACATGGATCAAATATCTCTATTACGAGTTGTTGTGGCACGATTACCATGAACGTTCCATTAATCGGATGCAAAGAGAGTATGACGAAGCCTGGGAAAAGCTCGTTGCCTCAAGAGTTTTACAGTCGATGGAGACGGACGAGACACTGCGAACAACTGAGTCCATACTCCAGCGTGCAAGCGAGAGACAGCATGCTGAACAGGCTTTGGCGGCTGCTGAAGAAGCTGCTAGAAAGGCATTATTGGAGACCGCCAAAGCTATCCATGGTGGTTCGAGTCTTTCTCTCCAGCAGCGGAAGCAAAGATTAAAAACAGCTTACACTGGATTGCTCAAGGCCAAGAAAACGCTAAAGATCATCACAAGACGAAACAATCTGATTGCGGAGTTTCTCCAAAAAACACGGGGCTATTCAGAGGCCAAATACAACTTACAGCGTCAGCAACTTCTACTCCAGTGGATTCTTGCTCAGGTACCGCATGTTGAAGAAGAGGTGAACGCATTCAACGGCAACAACACTATAACATCTGGTCTGGACCATACGCATCGCAAGAAGCGCCATCCGAGCACCTCTATAGAGGATATCGGTATTTTCGCACACCGCAGCAATGAGCCTTGGGATGAGCGGCCTGCTAAGCGAATCCGGATAAACAATCAAGGAGGTGCACTGGGGAACGAGGACGTCCAACTTCGCCGCAGCGCTCGTATTGCAGCGCGGCGCAGTCACTGTTTGGAAGACAAGAAGCAGGCCAGCATTTGCCTTCGTCGGAGCGCTCGTCTCGCTGCTAAACGCAGCTTGCAACGAACATAGGGAGATGAAAGGTCTTCAGGGTGTTTCTGCCTCATATCCCGTAAAACTGTATTATCGGCCTCCATTACGAGGTTCTTCCAGACTTCCAAGATATATCGGGTAGATCCAATCGTTTGGACGGTTACAACTTCTTCCGGTCCGAGCACAGGGTTTTCCTTAATTGAGGTTCTGATGTAGTATTTTAGAAAGGCTATCATGACGGCCTTGGCCTCCTTCTTATCGCAACATAAATCGAGCCAGGCCTGCTCGAGAGAGTACTTCCCGCATTGCGAAATCCAGCTGGTTTTATGCTCAGTTAATAACACATATTTGAGAAGGGGAATGTCCGAGGAGAAAGCAACATTACCTTGCGAACTTTTTCCAAATACGGGTGCGCTTTGCTTGGAGTGGAGGACATACTCTTCTTCTGTCGCTGTTGGGTTCTGGAGGAAAAACTGATAGTCTTGATCTGCACAGCGTTGTATTTCCTGTTGATCATGGAGTTGGCGAGCTGAGGTGGAGATGACTTTAACAGGGCGCCTAGGCATCTTCTGCGGACTCCTTATAAAAAACTGAGTAATCGACACATCGGCAACTCAGCATTCGCTGCAAACCCTCGACATGTTTTGCGCGTATTCATACACTTTCTATATATCTAGGCTGTCTGAAAGTTTCCTTGTTGTTTTGTTGCCCTTGGCCAACTTGTTGGTTTGTTGGACGTGACTAACACACAGCTTCTGTGGCAACGGTATTGCCGTGCCCCTTGCGGCACGAGCGTTGCTGTTATGTACATTCCGTTAATTCATTCCGTTTGGCTCCGTTTGGAAACCGTCTCGCTAACAGCCGGAACAGAGGGGCCCGTTTTCGGTCCCCAGCGCTAATCTTTTTTGGGCGCTTTCATCCTTGACTTGAAGGGTTGGGGTCGCACCTCAACCCCATCCAACCCGTATGTCTATCTTATCCTGTAATCTTAGAAAAATCATACACATCAGAGGCACCTGCCTGTCAGTCGTTGCCACATTTTATCCATTAAGGTGCTGATGGATCCACTTATTTTGAGACCCAGTTTCCAAGAATTGCTGCTGAAGAAAGGAGGGGTCAATCACAGGCAGCTGATGAGGTTCTTACCCTTCCCAAAAACAATCACAAGCATTTGAACAACTCAACATACATCTCGATCTTCAACCTGGGCATGACCTGTCATAACTCAAGTTTATATATTGTTAGACACTTATTGTATAATACCCAGCTACAGTAACCTATGATTTTAAGAGATCCTCTGTTTGTTGAAGCCCTCGCGTAATAACTTCGAAACATCCTGTCAGCCTCGCGTTCCAACTCACAAGGTGAGCACTCCTGTTCTCTCTGGAGACAATACGTTATGGATCTGCATTTCGGCATCTACCCGTGCATGCCAGACATTAAAACCGCTATCCCTTGAGGAGGTTCTTTCAAGTGAAACCAAGAATATGTGACTAGCTCTTGTTCCATCTTCTGGGAACATGTCCATCTCCTGGCACGTATCTTTCGCTAGTCTGCCAACATAAACCGAAGCTGGCGCGTCGTAACCGTGCTGCTAACAGCCCTGCAGGTTCCACGTCATCTTCGAGCGAGCCGACTTCTACTCCAACCCCTACGCTGCCCCCATTGCTCCTCGAAGACTCGAAAACCCCTAGAGACAACTTACATCCAGCGCAGAGGTCATTACCAGCATTGTCCCCTCGGGCACCTTCCAAGCCCTAGTTAGCACCAAGGCTCCTTTCTCCGGCTTCATTCCTTCGGAGCTCGAAACTCTCGATCACGTCACCGCTGGATGGTTGTTGACAAACCCCATTCTCAATCCGACCTCGCTCCTTGCACGAGTCTTTGCCATTCCAAGTCTCGAACTGCTGTTCAACCTTCCCGCCAGAATGTTGTCCCAAGACATTTTTGCAGATCCCATCTCTACGGAGCCACCACCGTCACAGATCCCCCGGCGCCACGACCATCCGGTACCACGGCTTGGCGTCTCTTCCTCGTCAGGACCGATCCAAACCAACAAGTTCTACGGCAACTTTTACCTCGGCCGCCAGACATCTCCGACCTACCTGCACCCTTACTCCGTTGCTTGGCCCCGAGGTAGCGGCGTCGCGGGCAGCTGGGGGTTGGCCATCTCCCATGTCGAGGCACGACAACGAGTGTTTGGGCCTACCAAGCCACAGACAGGCGGAGCAGCCTACTTTATCAATCCTATTGGGATTCACTCGGTTTGTATCTCGGCACAGGAGCTAGGCCCAGACACGATGTTGACCACAGAGCACCCGACTGACATGTCCGTACGGGTCAGCTTGCGTCCTAACGTACATGCTGTGCCGGCGGTCCAGTTCCCCTTGGTTCAAGGCTCGGCCTTCATCACAGCTATCTTCACCGGTGATCGGCCGCTCATTCAGACCGGCGTCTTCTTCCGAGCCGTCACGCGAGCCACGCATGGCCCCAAGCCTAACGTAACTAAGTACAAGCTGCATCTTGAGGATGGCGCCATCTGGCTCCTCTACGCCCATCACATCGGGGGCCCAGCTCTGGACCTTCGTGTCCTAAACAACGGCCTCGCACAAGCCACAGCCCCATTTCACGGCACGATCCAGGTCGCTAAACTGCCGATGGACGGCGACCAGCGGGAAGCTGAAGCCATCTACGACATGTCTGTGGGCGCATATGCAACGGGCGTCACCATCTCGGGGACAGCGCGCGGTATTTGCGGTACCTATACCTTCATCTTTCACAAATCCGGCATCCACAGCTCCCCCCTCATCATGTTTGCGCTACCGCATCATGTCGAGTCGTTTGACTTTGCGACAAGTGCTAGGCTCACGGGCCTACGGTTACAGACCACGACCAAGGGGGTCGCAACTGTAGTCGTGGCGGATTCATGGACTATGGTTGAGCCCGAGATGCCGGTGGAAATGGGGTTTTTGCCGTGGTCGCCAACCTTGAAACGAAGCGTGGGCCAGCTGTCCCCTGCGAGGAGGGAGTTTATCCGGAGTATCGCGCATGCTGAGGTCAGCCAGGATATGGATAGGCAGACGAATCTGGACTCCATGTATTTCAGTGGGAAGGTAACTTACTGTGGTGTCTTTGTTGCGGAGTTGATGGCTAACTTTGGTGCAGGCTCTGGCAAAGTTCGCGGGGATCTTGCTCGCTACCCATGATATTTTAGAAGACCGGGAACTGGCATATTCGGGTCTTGGAAGACTCAAGGCGGCTTTTGCACGCTTTGTAGAAAATCGTCAGCAGTTTCCCTTGGTGTACGAAAGTAAGTAGAGGTTCCCTCAGTTTGAACAAGCACTCACTCACTTCCCTAGGCGCCTGGGGCGGCGTGGTGTCTTCAGCAACCTATGTGACTGGCAATACAGGCGCTGACTTTGGCAACACCTTGTATAATGACCATCACTTTCACTGGGGGTACTTTATCTATACAGCAGCTGTGATTGCCCATCTAGATCCAACATGGCTGTGCGACAACAAAGCGTATGTTGACATGTTAGTACGCGACATTGCTAACCCTAGCCCACATGATCGCTGGTTCCCTGTTTGGAGATGTTTTGACTGGTTCCATGGACACAGCTGGGCGCATGGGCTGTTTGACTCGCTTGATGGCAAAGACCAAGAGTCGAGCTCAGAAGACACCATGCACGCATACGCGCTGAAAATGTGGGGGGCTGTCACTGGCAACAGAAATCTCGAAGCTCGGTAAGGCACCCCCTTTGGTACTTGATCTCATATGAACACATGGGACAGAAATACGCATGAAGTTTCCATGCGAATTCATGCTTCGCATAAACTTGGTCAAGCTTCCTGTTACACAAATCAGGCCTATGACATTATCAAGCCGTAGACCAACAAAGAACGTCGCTAACTTGTGCTAGTGGGAATCTTATGCTCTCTGTCCTAGCTCGCTCTCTCCGCTCTTACTATCTATACACCTCCGGCAACAATATCCAGCCACAGATGTTCACACTCAACAAAGTAGCTGGCATTCTATTTGAGAACAAGATTGACCATACTACTTACTTTGGCACCAACATTGAGTACATCCAGGGCATCCACATGCTGCCCCTGCTGCCACACACACCTCTGATTCGCACACCAAAGTTTGTGAGAGAAGAGTGGGAAACGTACTTTAGTGGAGGACGCATTGACGCTGTTCAGGGTGGTTGGAGGGGAATCCTAATGGGAAATTACGCCACTGTTGACCCCAGGGGCGCTTACAACTTCTTTGCTCAGGAGAGGTTTGATCCTGCCTGGCTGGATGGAGGGGCGAGTAGGACGTGGTATTTGTGTTATGCTGCCGGTAAGTTTCCTTTTTGTTGTTGCAAGTTTGTCTGATAGGCTTTATCTTTTGTGTGAAACTGACATGCCTGCTCAACAGCCTTGGGAGGGATGTGAATGAGTTGATGAGTCTCTTGGTTATGAAAGTTGTGAATCAGGGCAGTTTTCTTGGAGTACATTTTAATATACAGCAATTTTTTTTCCCCAAATTGTGAGGGTATTGGATCAAAGTCTGTCCCTTTGTTGACTTACCCTTGAGCAAAGTAAGCAAATCTCACCAGCAACCGAGCTCTTTCCACAGGGGGCACTCCATCCGATCCCCCACATCATGACCCCATGACCATTTACTTTGCATTGTTCTTGTTCATTCCTATTGTTATCAACAATCATTATTGTTCTTGATCGTCAGTAGAGTTCATTTTTCTTACCTTTTAACAGGCAATCGTCGATCTAATTTGGAAACCTCCTTTATCAGACCAACAAACCTCGAGCAACCAACCCCAACTTTCGATCAGCTTCTCTCCCATTAAACAGATCAACATCGATTCCGAGACCGCAGAGCGTGTGACTCATCTCTCCCAATGAATCAGATCGCGTCAGCCCCTCTCCTTCTTGATAAGCGACCCCGCATTGCAAACGTCTTCTTTGCTCTTTCCCTCGATTCAGCGAGGGTTGGTGAGGGTTAGGGTCCTTGAGGATTTTCAGGGACCGGGACTATGAACGTCAACAAAGCGTCTCCCGGAATCGTCTTTCAGTATATTCTCTTCGATATGGGCTCGCTTTAACCCCCTCGCTTCTAGTCATAGTCGAGGGAGTCCAATAATACCCTCGCTAGACCTCGATCAGGCCAAACCGAGAGGTTCCTGCTCAATCCGCAACCGCCCCATTGGCGACCTCCGAGCTGATCGTGCCTGCCCGCCGACTCTTCCTTCCGTCATCTCAGGCAGTTTCCTGGGCAACAAGGGCCTTCACCCCGCAAGGCATCCCGCGTCAACGCGTCGCCGGGCCTGGTGCCAACTTATTGGAGCCTGAATGGCGATTGATTTACCACTGTCCAACCGAGAAACCTTCACTCAGCCGGCGGGGGTATACAGTCTTCAAAGGGTGTCCATCTTCTTCTTTCCCTCTTCCCATGAACAAAGCGCTTGGTCCAGTCGATATTACTCGTCCGACTTTCTCGACTTTCTGCAGTTGACCAATTTTGTGGCTTCGAATACTTCACAACTTCATGGCTTCCACTGCATGGACACTACCCACACAAAATCACCATCCTGACTTCAGGCGATTTTCAGCGTCTTTAGGCGACTTTCTGCACTCATGTTTCGTGAAGTGAAAATTCCACGACGCACTTCTGACAATATCATTGACAGCATCAACGGTCTGTTTCACGACCTCGACAACAAAATTTAGATAGTCAACTTCATCATATCCGGCGCCAACTGTGGGCAAATCATCTCTCTGTTGCTGCCAGTTCCCGCCATCTGGGGCCTCAGCACTGGGCAAAGCGAGCCATATCGGGCCCCCTGAACATTCCCGCCCCCTGCGCTCACATCAAGCTGAGCAACTCCTTTTCACCTTTGCCCAACTCAACTTTCATCGTGGCAATCCAGCCCAAAAGTGCCCACGCATTCTTTGTCTGAACTTTTTGTCGTTGGCCAAAATCTCATCTGTCCGAAGCGCAGCTTGATCTTTCTTTTCTTTTTCACCGATCATTAGACTGCGCCCTTCTCCCGCTTTTCCATTGTCGACATTCAGTTTGGCCTCGAAAAAACAGATCACATCGCAATGGCAGATATCTTCCCGTTGGTACTGTCACGCAGTGCGATCTAACGCCATAACAAGCTGCACGAGACAGAACAAACATTCCTTTTTTCCCCACTGAGTGTCGCAACCTTCGACAAGATGCCGACCAGCTCCGTCAGCAGCCAGTCGTCGGGCATGCAGTTAATCCCTCTCAGTGATTATCTACAGAAGGCGGACGACACAAACTTTGTCTGGGACGAGGACAGTAGGGAACAGTCAGATGAGTGGCTGGACCCCATCCGCGAGGCCGGCCTGGACTACCGGAAGCATAAGGTGTTCGCCGCCCATACCGGACACAAGCGCCCAAAACCACCGAAGCCATTCACCCGCTCCGGGCCCGAGCTGGGTGACTCGGGCTCGACAGTCGTCTACCGGGTAACAGCCCCGGCTGGTGTCGACTACGGGCGCCCGCTGGCCCTCAAGGTCATCTCCCTACGAGATGGCAGCCGGCCGATGGGGGCGACCAGTCAGGCTCGCCTGCGGGCCCTGGGCGAGGTCGCTACTCTCGCCGCGCTTCGTCACCCGCACATCGTCCGGTATGTTGCCTCCTACGAGGAGTTCAGCGTCCAGCCGTGGCTCCTACCACACTGGTCTCCGCGGCCGAAGTCGCACTCGGCGAAGCAGTTGGCGAAGGCGGCGGCCCCCGAGCCGGACGATGATGTCAACAGCGGGCGGAGCACACGCATTGGGCGGCACGTCCTGGGGATTGCGATGTACCCTCCAGGGCAGTGCAATCTGCGCACGCTGATGGAGGAGGTCGCTGTTGCCCCCGACACGTCGGGCTGGATCATGGCATGCATGCACAATTACTTCGGGTGCCTCTCCCAAGCCGTTGCGTACTTGCACCGAAATAGCGTTCGGATCCGCCACAAGGACATCAAGCCCGAGAACATCGTCATTGACAAGTGGGGAGTCCCCATCCTCACCGACTTCGGCCTCTCCAAACACTTCGAAAGGGGCCAGTATTCTCAAGGACCAACGTTCAAGACGCTCAAGTACGCGGATCCAGAAGCTATAAAGGAGAGACCTCGCGATGAGCGCTCCGATATCTTCTCTCTCGGCTGTGTCTTCCTCGAAATTGCTACCGTCCTCCTCGGCCAACACCCCGAATATGCTGAGCAGCAGCTCAGCAACGGCACCAAGGAGAGCTATGACTTCCACTACTCCGAACACCTTCATAACCTTGACTCCTACTTGGAGAAGCTTTCAAACCAAGTCGCTCCAGATCTCATTGCTTCTGACCCCTCGCGCGAAGCTTCGGCCAAGGCCATCGTTGCTGTGCTCCCTTACATCCGACAAATGATGGATGTATCACAATGGCGCCGTCCAAAAGCGAAAGAACTGTACCCTTGGTTTCGCCATTTGTATGATATCCACGAACATCCCGGCCCTTGCAGGACGTGCGAAGAGGAGCGCCGAACGGGTCGTGCTATTCCCCTACCCAACGGCGACGATGACGACGACAACAACAGTCGAAGAAGCTGCTCAAGCCCTGAAAGGACTGGGCCACCCAGCTCGGCGCCAGTTTCTAGGACTGCGACATCCCTTTGCCTGGCCAATCTCGGTCGTCACAACACTCAGATTTCGCTTGCTAGCACGTGTCCTTCATCGCAACCAGCGCCACGGGTACCATTTGAGACTTATGAGCCGCCGTCCACACCGCCTATCTGGAAGACTGAGTTCCAGGATGAGATGATAGTTGAGTGGTCGGAGCCATTGGAAGATGAGGGTGGTGACACTGATATGGATTTGTGGGATAACTGAAGAGGAGTTGAGTCTTGGGAGATGACTGAATCGTTTGTGGTTTGTTTGAGTCTTCGATGATGTTGAGGTGTTGATACCCCTTATCGTCTAGGAGGAGAGAGGCATGGATAAGTACTTGGATTTCTGGTCACAACATGATGAGGCGTTCGTGCAAGTCCCCTCTTTCTCCTTTGGTTCCTTTCTTTGTAGTGGTGAAGTTTACTTCGTGGGATATCACGTGGCGATAGACAATCCAGTTATGTTCTATTTTTCTTAATGAAATTGGTTCTTTCCACTTTTAATGGACTGACACAATCACATTTAAGACCTGATGGATGGAGCGTTAACGGATGGCGGACCAACCCGGTCGGAGATCATGAAAAAGCTATTCACTAGGATTCTCAGGAGTGACCACAAAGGTTGTTAACTATGCATAATTGTCAGTTTACCCTACAAATGGAAATCACATGAAATGGGAAATCTTTTCCTTGCCGAAAGTACTATGATAATTGTGATGCGAGTGAGAGGTACATCGTATGGAGCGAGCATCAAGAGTCATGTGTGCAGAGCTCCACCAAAAAAAACTAGGGGTGGAAATATTATAAAAAAAGACGATCTCGTGATCGGGAATTGAGCCCGATGCGGGGGTCGAACCCGCAACCTTGAGATTTACGGAGAATCCTTAAGAGTCTCACGCTCTACCGATTGAGCTAACCGGGCAGCTCCTTTTTTTTGTTATTATGCATGCTCGGATGCTGTCCCCAAGAAAGGCTTGGGGTGAAGTTTGAGATCATCCGAAAAGATTTTGGACAGTGAAGGATTTAGTGTATGGAACCGACCCTTGGGATTTTCTAGGGATATGCGATGCTCTTGCTACAGTTTCATTGGTTGTGTTGCAGAGTTGCTCTTTCCACCATGAACATACTGTTACGACGAGCCCTTCAGGTCACGGCATCATCAAGTCAATGAGGGGTAACGGAGGAGCTACAATGACGGTTCCTGAATTAGGACATACAGTAGGCAGATTGTGGACCTGGCAAACAATTATCTCATCGCGGACGCTTCAAAGAAACATCGCAACGATTGCGATCTGTAAGCCACCAGCCTTGCCTACGTAATAACTAGGGCCCAGGATATCCAATTTAGAGCGGTGACAGGTGTCATGAACAAGAGAATCCTTCCTGGCCCCTCTACCCCACGCTACGGGTATCACATGCTCCTCGACAGGAAACCCTACGACAAACTCAATCAGCTCTTCTAGTCCACGCTTACCAGTCCAACTGGTCCTGTGCCTGCGAGTCATCGTCATGGTCTAGACTTTTGTAGGACATTACCCCTGAGGTCTTAATGGTCAGGGGGCGGTTCAACCAAGAGGAACACACTGAGATCTGAGTGTCTGAAATGACCCGTTTGACAGGCTGTAACCTAACCCTGATGACAGCGAGAATCAAGGATAGGTTCAACGCCGCTCCAACCATCGTCCTCATTTCCAGCACTGTTGGCGAAGACCCAGGCTTGTCCATCGACAATGAAACACTATCTCTCACCCCGTAGACTCTCCCAGAAATGTTGGCTTCAACCTGTCAATATGTTTTCAATCTCTGCCATGATTAAAGAAGACAGCCTCCACTCCCCCACAAATGTTCCACCAATTGACAGGGTCCCATGGCCGAGGCCCATGCTCTTCCCTGCTTTCAAGAATGTGACTTTGATGCGCTCTGGTATGGCAGAAAAAAAAAATTACAGGCCCTGCGGGAAAAGTGACAATCGCGCGCGAAACAAACGCTGGCAAGTGACGCTGCCACCCCTTCGCCCTGCCGCTCTGCCGCCGTGCCCACCATCCCGTGCATCCCGTGAACGGCGAACCTAGAACCCCGCGCGCCACCGCGCCAGACTGCCGGAGTTTAAAACCCCCGTCGCAGCTCCTCCCCCTCTTCACGATGCACTGCCAAGTGAGCCTGGGGACACTCGCGCGGGTCGTCCCTCGAGCAGCATCAGCAACGAGGTGGCGCCTGCTTCTCTCGCGCTGTACGAACACCAAGAGCTAGGGCCGGGCCTTCTTCCATGACGTATTATCCCCTTTCTCAGCCATCCCGATTCTGACCTTTGCACTGTGGAAAGTCCCTCGCCGACAACCCCTATCAGTCGCATCCCATCCGCAGCCGCTGCCCCTGTGTGCTTCTGGTGTCCCGATCCGGAAGTTTGAGTTACATCAGCATCGCACATTCCAATCCACCAGCAGCCGAGCTGAGAAACGGCAGCCACTACACGTCATGGCCCAGTTCTCTCCCAGCCCCGGCCTCGAGTCGACCCGCCTCGGTAACCACCCTGTGTCAGCCGGAGGGACACTCAACATCGACGGACTGTACATGAAGCCTTCAGCCAATCTTTCGCCCGTCACGGACGGGGCCCACGAGGAACATCTGCCGAAAGGCATCACGGAAACGGAAGACGAAAAGCAGAACCATTGGTTTGTCGGCAGCATTGACCAGGGCACCACATCGTCCCGTTTCCTCATCTTCAATGGCGAGGGCAACCCCGTTGCGAGCCATCAAATCGAGTTCGAGAACCTCTATCCCAAGTCTGGGTATGATAATCCCGCTCCCCACAATTGCGGGGCCCCGCGATCGTGCGCGCGGGGGGGGCTCGTCCACATTGTTCACGATCCGAAGGTCCAAACATTCGTACTGACGCATGTGATTTCAGGTGGCATGAGCAGGACCCGTATGAGCTGCTCAATTCCGTCCAACAATGCATTGATGGGGCCATGCACAAGTTTGCCAGCCTCGGCTACTCCAAAGAGAATATCCGGGCCATTGGCATTACGAATCAGCGCGAGACGACGGTGGTCTGGGATAGCGTGACGGGCGAGCCGCTGCACAATGCCATTGTGTGGCCCGACACACGCACGTCGGCCCTTGTGCGTGAGCTAAAGGCTCGCCAGTCGGCCGACAGCCTGCTTGAGCTCTGCGGCCTGCCCTTGTCAACATATCCCAGCAGTGTGAAGCTGCTCTGGCTGATACAGAACGTCGATGCTGTCAAGCAGGCTTACGAGGAGGGCCGTTTGGCCTTTGGCACCGTCGACTCATGGCTCATCTACAAGCTGAACGGTGGTGCGCAGGCTGAGAGGCCCATTCACGTTACCGACAGTACCAATGCAAGCCGTACCATGTTCATGAACCTGCGCACCCTGCAGTACGACGACAAGCTGCTGGGCTTCTTTGGCATCGATCGGAATAAGATCAAGCTACCGAAGATTGTCCCTTCATCCGACCCCGAGGCCTTTGGCAAGGTAGCCACTGGTGCGCTTGCGGGTGTGCCAATTGCCGGCTGCTTAGGCGACCAGTCCAGCGCGCTTGTCGGCCAGTGCGGTTTCAGTCCAGGCCAGGCCAAGAACACGTACGGCACGGGCTGCTTCCTGCTCTACAATGTCGGCACAGAGCCCGTCATCTCAAAGTACGGCCTGTTGGCAACGGTTGCGTATGATTTTGGCCGTGGCCGCAAGCCGGTGTATGCGCTGGAGGGCAGCATTGCCGTCGCCGGTGCCGGCATCACCTTTCTCATGAACAACCTTGGCTTTGCCCCCAAGCCAAGCGAGATCAACGCGCTGGCCGAGTCAGTCCTCGACAACGGCGGTGTCGTTTTTGTGACTGCCTTTAGCGGGCTCTTTGCCCCATATTGGATCGATGATGCCAAGGGCACACTCTGTAAGACCCCGGACCAAAACCCCTCCTCCCTCTCTCTCAAACGTATTACCCTAACCCTCAGCTAACACCCTCTTTTTCACACAGTCGGCATCACTCAGCACACAACAAAAGGCCACATCGCGCGCGCAACCCTCGAAGCAACCTGCTACCAGACTCGCGCGATCCTCGATGCTATGGAAAAGGACTCCGGGCACAAGCTTGAGTCGCTCGCCGTCGATGGCGGGCTGTCTGCCTCCGACCTCTGCATGCAGACACAGGCCGACATCAGCGGCATCCCCGTGGACCGGCCCCGCATGCGCGAAACGACTGCGTTAGGCGCAGCCATCGCCGCGGGGTTGGCCACGGGCGTGTGGCGCGAGCTGGACCACGTAAAGGAGTCTATTGCTGGCGGTGCGAACGGAAATGGGAAGAAGAATGCGCGTGAGGTGTTTTACCCCAAGATGGATCGCAAGAAGGCGGAGAGGTTGTTTAGGAAGTGGGAGCAGGCTGTGGAGATGAGCCGGGGGTGGGTGAGGGAGCAAGAAGAGGAGGATGGAGAGTAAGATGAAGATTTTATGGCGGTTGTGTCTTCGGATGGGAATTTTGGTCATGAAGCTGGCGTTTTGGGTGCTCGTGGCACTGGGTTTGGGTCCTTTTTGGTGTTGAGGAGCGCGGATACCTTTCGGTTATGACGCTCGTAATGAGTCACATGGTTGATGATGACCTTTGCTGGAAGAAAGTCAGATTCTACTGACCTTTGTGTAACCTCCTTAATAACTGTAATTGTATAATGACGGTCTGGTCTCCGGGTACCTATCATATTTCAGGGGTATGAGCTGGATATCACCATTAGGGATATGCTTATCCATCAAGGGGTCAACTCCTTCACTTGCACATCACCCAAGCACCACGACAACCGTTGAGAGATGTGGGATTTGTCTGTTATTCACAACCCCTATTTCACCACATAATCCGATATATTCCTCCTCCCCTGCATCAGCATCCCTGGCCGGGGAAAGAGGTAGGTTAGCCTTTTTCTAGAAAAGAAAATGCAGAGATCCGGAACACTTTGGTAACCACCAACCACACCAAACCAACAGCCCGTGATGATGTTGATATAAACCCAACAAATTCATTTTCCTGCCCACATAACCCTCTCTCGCCTCCAAACCCCTTCCGTTTTGCCCATGCCCACACGAGCAAGCGCAATATATAAAAAAAGATACCAAACAGCAATACGCTATTATAACAACAATCCTAACCGTGATCGGCTCCCCTTCCAAGTAGCATAGTTCTCTGCGGCATTTCGATCCTCTCTGCTATAACACCTACAGCCTGATCCTAATACCCGAGGTCATAGTGTGAATATTCGCTTCCTCTCCATGCCCGTCGGATGCATCAAACATTACATGCAGACGCCAGGTCCGGAGGTGTGTGGGTAGTGTTGCAGGAAAATTATGGTTGTAAATCGGCAAATACGTTTTAGGTTTTTTGTGAAATGCTAGAGGGGAGATTGCAGGTGTCTGTCCGTGGCCACTGTGTTCCGTCCCCGACCTGGTAAAATTTTAAAAAAAGATCGCAAGCAGAAGAGGATTTTTTTTTTAAAAAAAAAGGCGTACTTTGCATGTCGAAGAGGCATCGAAGACGAAGATGCAAAAAGAGGTAAGTCGGGGCCGTCGTTTACATGATAATGGCGGGCGAGTCGACATTCTGTTTGATGGTCTTGTGGGGCAGAATGCTACCGCCGTTGACGTACACCTCATCGGCAATGGTGACGTCGTCGCCGAGAACAGTCACGTTCTCAAGGCGCGCCCACCTGCCGACGGTGCTGTTCCAGCCAACAATGGTACTCTTGACCCAGGCGTGGTCCTTGACCTTAGAGCCGGCCAGCAGCACACAGCGCTGCAGGCGCACACCGTCGCCAACGACTACATCGGGGCCAATAACTACATTGGGACCGATCTTGCAGTTCTTCCCGATCTTGGCCGAGGGGTCGATCATGACGTTGCCTCCATAGACGAAGGGCTCCGTCGGTGGCGTCAGCAACGGGGAGCCCTTCTTGGCGAGCGACGTCAAGTACAGACAAGTGCCCGTCAGGAAGTCCTTAGGCTGGCCGACGTCCATCCAGTAGCCCTCAAGGTCAAACGAGTGTAGTTGCCCATCGCGAACCATTGCCGGGAAGGTCTCCTGTTCGATCGAGGTCGGGCGCAGCTCGATGCGGTCGAGCACCGATGTGTTGAGGATGTAAATACCAGCATTGATGCGGTTGCCCACGAACTCTACGGGCTTCTCGACGAAGCGGTCGATTTTGGACGGGTGGCCTGGCTTGTGCACCACGACACCGTACTTGGACGGCTCCTCCACCTTGGTCACAACAATGGTGCCCTCGTCGCCGTGCGACTTGTGGAAGGCAGCCAGCTCCTTGAACGGGTACTCGCATGTGATGTCGGAATTGAGCACGAAGAATGGCGAGTCGTCCTTCCGCAGAACATGCTCGGCGAGCTTCAGGGGACCAGCCGTACCTAGCGGTTCGCTCTCGATAGAAATGGTGATGTTGATACCGAATTGCTTCTCGTACTGCGAACAACTTAATCGTCTGGTTCTCAAAAGGGGCCTCTTGGGCACAAACCTCAGCGAGATACTTCTCCATAATCTCAGGCCGGTAGTTGACGGCCAAGACGATGTCGGTAACACCAGCATCGGCCAGAGCCTCGATCTGGTGCAGGATCATCCGCTTGTTGCAGAACTCAACCAGCGGCTTCGGCATAGTGAGGGTCTGATGGTCGAGTTAGCCATGTCGAACGGCGAGCTTGTCGTCGGGGGAAGGGGGGGGAGCAATCGCAGGGAGGTCAGGGAGAGCAGGCAAGGAGTCGGGCAGTAGAGATCGACGTACGAGAGGGCGAAGGCGGGTACCAAAACCGCCGACAAGAATTAGGGCTGTTGCGCGACATGGTCAGCACGGATCCACGATCAACAATCATCGCATTCTCGTGCGTCGCATACCCTTCATGGTGATCGCGAAAGGAGGTGGAGCGAGCGAATTAAGCCAAGAAAAGGGAGGTTCAACGAGTGTAAGAAGAGGAAAGGCGGAACAGACGAGGGGCGCAGCGAATATGAAAGGCAGTGAGTGGGTTATCTGGACTCTGGCTGCGAGCTATGCAAATCCAAAGGCAACGCGGTGGTGACGACGAGACGACGAGCAGAGTCGGGAGAAAAGGAGGCGTTGACAATGGCAATGGGATGAGAGACGGTGGAAGTGGCAAGCAGAAGTGGAAGCGGAAGTGGAAGAAGCTGCGTATCCTCTGCTGGACCTGGAAGGGGTTGAAACCCAAAACGGGGATGGGGGTGCTGTCCCCCCCAAAATGGCATGGGAAATGCTCCTCGAATGCAGGCCGTGCCCAAATCAGTGTCCACAGCTGTCCACTGTTGTCCACTGCCTTGTGCTGAGGTGGCCCTCTCACACCACAACTTTGCCTGGAACCCTCCCGGCCCTCCCTGGGATCGCCGCCGGTTCAGGTCTCCAGCAGCGCCCAGCGTTCGCCCAGTTGTGAGATGGTACACAATGTGGGCCACGCTCACAGGGCTGCCAGGCGGTGTCTGCCCCGCTGGATGGCCTGTGCCGGCACGGTCATTGGGCGACTTACCATCAGAGCTGGCCAATCAGCACCCGTCATTTCCCACGCGAGATTGGGGTTGCACGCCAGAGCCCAGGCACTTCAGGAAAGTGGGGGCTCTCACTTTGTGACCTCTCCGTCAGAGATTCAGGGGCAATGACGGAAGCTTTGGACTCAGGTCTCATGGATGCGCAGGCTAGAAACATAACCCCATCTTCTCTTGCATCCGGCACGCCGGTGCCGAACCTGGAGACTGCAAGATCTCGTGATAGTCACGCGTAGTTGACCAAACATAGCCCACCTGCCTACGAGGGCAGGTGGTAACATCCAGTTCTAAGATATATGCAAGATGGACGTCATCTGGAGTTTTCAAGTCTGGCCCTCATGACGGGGTCGGGCCCCGACGATCCGTGGGAATTTTACCTCCGAGCATGAAGAACAGAGGTGATTGACCTTCCATGTCAAATTTCTTCCATCGCCGATCGGCCAGCAGGCCATCGACATATCCGCCGATGACACCGGATGACATCTCATTCCCAGGCGACATCTGCTTGTGCCCAGATGTTAACACCAAGTTTTGACGTTTGGGACTGGGATAGGCTTATTCACCATCCAAGGATGCGTCACCTCATCTTCACACTCGCGACTTTCCAGTCCGAGCCGTCATCATGCAAGCAAGAAAACGAACCAAGCTCGGATTATCAGGCCGGCTAGTGAAAAACGGAACACCAAACGTAAGGCTGTCGCTCGGATTCGAAAGCCTGTCACGCCACGAAGTCTGCTCAACGAGTTCACAAGTTCTCCTACCATCGGGGTACAGAGCTTGGCCAACACTGCCTACCAGCAGCAATAGCTCCTTCAATAGCCGTGCGTCTGACATTCACAGAAGTAGTCTGCAGTGTCTGCGCCACGCCAACATGTCTCGGCCTATGAAAAGACGAAGACAAGACAAGCTTTGTAGGAGGGACAGAAATGGCATACGTAATGTATGTAGCCCATCGGGATTACCGCCTTCATACCTGTCCTGTGCTCCCCTCCGGGTCATGGAGGGGTGGACAGCACCGTTACACCATCGGATCGGTTCTGCACCCCAAGGCCCCGCAGATCCGGCGGCGGCATGGCTTCTCTGATACCGGTCATCGATATGAGCGCTGCCGATAAGATGAGCACAGAACATATATGGTTATACTGCAATGTGATAACTCCGAACCAATGACCACCTTCTCACTAAAAGTTTGTCCTTACATAGTACATCCTGACAACGAATCCACAACGGGCTTACTCGTTTGTCCATTCATCTTCGCCCCCTGGCTCTAGGTTATTCAACCATCTCACACACGTTCCAGGTTGAAACTGTTGCACTCTTTTCAAATGAACCGCGGTTTGCTTGGGGAAGTGTCTAGTCATTGATCATATTCCTCTACCTATTGGTAGGTAACAAATCGTAAGTCATAACTCATAGGTCATCACGGCCTTCATGTCCAATGAAGAACCCGTATCATAAAAGATATCAGGGTCATCAGGAGTCATCACTTAATAAATATTCAATGTCGTGCCAGAAAACGTAACCCATGAAAGAAAATAAAGGAAGCCAGATTCCATTCGAAACTCCAGATAATCCAGCTTTCGGCCTTCCCTCTTCCCGCTCCAGAAAGCAGCAATGGAAAGGCAACCCAGTTAAAGATTCGCAAGTTTGGTTCCATGACATTGACCAGACCTGTATCTAAAACTTTTGCCCATACCTGTTCCATAAACCATCCAGATCCCAATGTCCAGGTCCCATCAACCAGATCGCTGCCTTCAGAGAAGCAAGAGAAAAGGGAAACCAAGGTCATCCAGTAGTCCCGAGGAAATGGCTCTGAGCCCAAGGCAAGTCTAAGAGAACCAGTTTAACAAAAGGAAAACAAGGAATCTTCCTGGGTCACGTCTATCCAGCCCGGTTTATACAACTCCAGTGTCATGATTCCCTCGTGCCTCACCACAGAGTTGTCGCTCCCAAGAAACGACTGGTTTCATGAGAGACACTGCTCAGTGATGCTTGATAACCAGCAGGAGACGGGCTCCAGGAAAGCCTGGGCTGTCGAGTCTTTAGCAAGAAGCCTAAAAAACAAAAACAGAAGAAAAAAAAGGAAACCGAAACTTCAACCCAAAAAATCATAATGCGTCGTCAAGTCTAATGGTCATAATGGTCGTGATCAGGTCGTGAGATGCAAAGTCTTTTTAAGAGTCATGTCATGTCTTGTCCATTCCGCCCTTTCGGATCCTCAATTCCGGGAAATGGGTATCATCCGCGGTTTGTCGTGTGCTGTGAAGCCGCCTCGGTTTATAAGCAGGAAAAAATGGTCCGATTTTGAAAGTAGCCGTTGGGGGGGGGGAGGGAGAAAACCTCAACTGTTCACCGGTTCGCGCAGCGGTTCCAACCCGGGCGTGGCCAAATCCGGGCAAACCAGCTTCCCGGGATTCGGCGAACCTTGCCCTGGCAGATCTCCCGTAACACAAGGAATGCGGCTCCTCTTGGAAATCACTGGTATGAATACTCCAACGAGGCAGTCGAGCTGTTGCTGGAGTGGTATCCTGACCTGCTCTTGTGGCCATAGCTGGTTGCGACAAGTTGGCGACTGCCCTTGCGCGTCTTCAGGCTCGACTCCCCTGCGGGCAACCCCTGCACAATGCCATTGCGGGCGAGCATGCCGCCATTGACGGAAAAGTGTCTGCACACCATGAAGGCGCGCATAGCGGCGTTTTCCTGTGCCAACTGACCGGTCTCGTAGGCGAGATCGGTCTGGTATTCGCGGCCATTCACCGTAACAAGGCAAGTATAGCCATCAGGCTCACGGTAAATCTCATACATAGGTTCATGCCATCCACGACGCCGGCAGAGGCCTGTGAAACATTCTGCGTTAGCTCCAGGTTCCTGGATCCTGCCCAATAGGCATCCTACCGGTGCACTAATTTGGAAAGGGGGAAGAGAGGGTTACAAAAGCGTAGTGACGTGGGTGAATCTGCATGACAACCCAACAAAACGGATCTTTGCTCAGCCCTACCGGCTGCATGACATGACCGGGGAGTAGATGAGATCAAGATTGACAGTCTAAAGGGAGGTAGGGGTGTGATGCCAGGGGTATTAGTGGGATGAGGCAAGTACAGGTTGTGAGTGTCTAGGTGCCAGGGCAACGCAAACCAACAAATGACGTGTAAAATGTCACCAGGGACATCTCCAAGATTGTCGCCCCCAACCTGGATCTGGGAATTGGGATTGACAACGATAATACAGGATGGATATCCGGTGTTATTGCGAGTCAACTGACGACTTACTCTCCAGATACTGCATGTAAAAGCCCGTCATTGTGTCGGATTATTGCTAGTTGACCCAGCTCGGCTTGCAATCAGAAGCTAGCTGAAGCTCAAGGCAAACAAAATGAGAGAAATTGCGAAATCAAAGGACAGCTTCGGAATCGCCGACCGAGATCGTCAACTCGGGGTGATGCGATGCAGTCCTACCCAATCCGGGGGGTATAGCGGGTGTGGAGAGACAACAAAGCACGACCGGTGAGGAGAACTTGTCCTCGATATGGTGGTGGGTGGTGTGGTGCTTGGTGTTTCCAAGACTTCGAGGCTGATCTGCTACGTGTTCAAGGCTCGAGACGCAAGAGGTGAGGATCTTGAGCCGGCACCAGCGAGACATATGTGCTTTATTGCGGCGATGGGAGTGCCAATGCGGGGCAGAACATGACAAAATGGCCCAGATACTAGACCAATGCAACAAGGGGCATGACGGGAATGCTAGACAGACAAAGGGACTCGTCGATGCAGGCCTGCTGGGAGATGCGGCTCAAGGTGCGACCCATCCTGATGCGTTGGCGTGCGTGGTTGCCAGTTGATACAGCCGGAGGCCGGGTTAACTCCACACCAACAACATGGGGGATGCATCGACCGGAGAGCAGGATCTCATTTGGCAGAGCTTGGCCGGCATTCGTACCCAGCCCCGAGACTAACAAGCGCTTGGTTGACAGGACGAGGTACCGGTGATCTTCTAGTGTCAAAGACCGGCCTTCTTCGGCTCAATTCGCAACTTTGTCATGGAGAGTCGGGAGGGTGAAATTTAAAGACAGCCAGACGCTAGGCTGGTGGTGGCAATGGCAAATGCCCTCGTGCAAGCGTCATTGACGAATCTGAAGCGGCAGCACCTCTCTCACGAAGGCGCAAGATCCTGGTTTGTTTTGATCTTGTTTCTTTGCCGGCCCTCGGTCTACTTAGCCCCCCACTTTGCAGTGGATTCGGACGCTGTCAAAGGAGGGGTCGTGTGGCTCGACTATTTTTTTTTTTTTGGTTTCTGGAGATCGAAGAGCCGATTATGAGCTTCTCCAAGATCTCTGCTCGCAACTACCATGCCAGATGCAGCAATGGCGAATCGCCCAGACCCAGAAGGTTTGGCTGCCCATGGTCCGTCTGTACCGCTTGATACAGGGCTTGTGAGGTATCCATAGGCACCTAACCGCCGGCACCAGACAGCAGCATAGGTTCGAGAGCCGGTCGGCTAAGCGACTCGAGAGCACGGGCGGAAGAGCAGCGCCGCCCAGATACATTGCATGGACCTGCGGGGAACGGGAGAAGTTGCTGACGATTTTAGGAAAACGACGGTCAACGCAGTTGCCCGGGGTGGTGCAGCGACGAAGCGTCTTCGAGGCGGTACGGAGGAGGTAATTGTGCGTACGGAAAACTGGGGCCATATGCACTTCGGGCCATGGGCGATTCGCCAGTGTCATCAAGGTCCCGTCAGATTCGGCAAGCATCGACGAAGATAAACGGAACGATGCAGTGGTTCTGGAAGCATTCCCGCAGCTCCAATTAACTTATGGGGGGAAGGCCCTGGCGAATCAGGAGAGTGTACGTAATTCGGAGCGATCGCTCGCTTCACAGAGCAACGAAGGGCACAGCCGGAGACCGAAATATGTGGTAGACAGATATGGACTTTTGCTGAATCGCGCCCAAACGGTCCTCGGACTCCAATGGAGCGAGCGTCTTCCCATGCCCGTAGCAGGCCGGGCATCCGAACATCGAACATGTTAGCAGCAGTAGAGCAGAAGCACCAGCAGAACGAGTGGCCCGAATCCACCCACGAAGTCGGTGAGGAGCGATGAGATGCATGAGCCGTGGCTGGGACCGGCAAACCCTTGCATGCCCTGCATCTGCCCTAATGATGAGCGAAGGCTCTGAATGGCGGAAAGGGTTGCAAGGCGACTAGGCACAGGAAGAAGCTTAACGCTCATGCAATGATGAGTTGGCACTGCTTCCATATTAAAAACAAGAACCCCAAGACCGCATCGCGGCGTGAGGGGGGGAAGCGAAGAGCGACGATTCGAGCGTTGCGAAGGCTTGCGTGCACAGCACCACCCACCGGCGCCGGACCCCACACTGGCAGTTCTCGCCCGGCCTACTACGGATTGCGGCCCGCGGGCAACCTCAGGTAGTTAGCGAGAGCGGGGGAAGGCTGGAGTCTTGAAGTCCTGGCCTGTTGACAACCTGAAGCGGTGATGGGGATGATTGCTGCATTTCTGCGACTGCGAACCGCAGGAATACTGTGTATGTAGTAGTATGTGCAGATACCGCGTGCTGCACGCGAACGGCGTGAGGGGCGAGGGGTCAACGGGCGGCAAGTAGTAAGTACACACTCCATAGATTAGATCCTTGCTGGAAGTCGGAACTTCGAAATATTTTTGGATTTGGTCTCCATCGATTTTGGTGGGCTGAAAGATTTCCGGATGCAACCACCCCAGGCCCCCATGTGGCTGGGAGAACGTGGGGTTTCCTCAAAGGGAGGAGGCAGAGGGACTGTTGGTGTTGGACGGCCAACGGTTGAGGGGCTTGACTCTTGCCTAGAGTCTTCGAGACATGTCCCCTTGTTCTGAACAAGAGAGGGAGAGAGCAGGCATGTACGCACAAGATACACCTTCCAGGCTAGCAGCTTTTTTTTTCCAACTTGTGTGTCTTGTGTCTTGGTCAAGGCTACGGTTTGAGACGGAGCTCACTCGCACCAGGACGTTTCTTGTAACAGTCTCCGAGCCAATCCCACCTCCTTCTAGCTCCATGGCCACAGCCGACGACGCGTGTGATGATGAGGACCACTAACACCAGGCCACGACAACGTCCCCCGACTTCTCGAACGGCCCTCTTATTCGCAGCTCCTCCTGGCACTATCGGCAGACACGAGGAAGGCTTGAGCTCATGTGATGGTCGGCATGACTCTCGTCAATGAGACCGCTTGCTCGCCATTCAAAGACAGCTAACTTACACTACATGGAGCCGTCTGGTCTCTCATCAGCCCAAGCTTCATATCTTCGGGCTTCACCTCGGTGTCCGGGACTTTAAGCTGTCCAATAGCCGGAGCCGTGATCGCCAAATCCGGTCAGCTCGACTCCCATTGAGCCGTGGAACGAGCTGAAGGGGCACTTCTCCCGCCCCGCATGTGTTGCATTGTTGCACAATGATGAAGAGCGAAAAAGTGTCTGGTCGATGAGGGGCAGTTGGACCCCTCACTGCACGCCATACTGGACCACCCCCACATCTCTGTTCCTTGGTCGGGACCAACGGCATCTTTAACAAACCGAGTCTTGCTGATCCAGCAATTGGGCTGGGAAGTTGAGCGGAAGCATCTTGCCTGGAAGGCGACCAGGAAGCTACCCGCTTGCTCCCTTGTCCATAGCTCGCTTCCTCTTCCCCTGAACAATCATCTAGATATGTCGTGCTCTAGATGCAACCCTGGAGTCATACCATGTTTTGTGTTGGACGCTCGAACCCTGATGGACTATCAGCTGGCGCATTTTCTAAGCGGCTCCCGTTCCAAAAGGCCCATTACCGTGACCGCATCTTGCATGGCGAACGGAACCAAGAAGGCCCGATGCGCAAGACTAAGGCCAAAAAAAGTGATGAGACGAAGCCCAGCTGACAACTTCAGATAGGATCGCGTCAGAGGGATGTCTGAACGTTGTAGCGTAGCATGCAGTAACTTGGCTGCGTTCTGGAGCCCCATCTTGTGTGTAAGTGTAGCTATGCGCTACAGTCGCGGATCTCATATTCGGCTTGCGCGGCAAGTGAGAAAGTCTGTAGGAAACATACATGCCAGTGGTGGTTAGATAGATAGGGGGGGCAGCATGCCTAACGTGAGACCCAGGTCTCGTGGGCATGAAAGCGAGCACAAGCTGAGATAACTCTTTTCCACATTAAGCAGTTTGATAACAGCCCCTCTTCATGTGGTCTTTCTTAATCAATCAACGATGTGGAGTAAGAGGGTCATTGGGACGTAGATGGCTAACGCAAAGCTCTGCAATGTGTGTTGCTAGACCGTCGATCGACGTTTGAACGACGTTTTGATGCCATACAAGCAGGAATACGACGCTTCATGAATGGCTGCAGACGGCTGTGACCAGTGCCTTGATTTTTGTCATCTAACTCCTCGTTCTCCTCCACATCCTTCTCAGGAGGGACAGACCAGTCCACATATATGTATACCTGATCAGCATACGTGCATGGGTTGCATGAACGGCAGCGGCAGCAAAACCGCCTGAACTGGCAGGCAAGCAGACAGAAGAGTCAAGGTGTGTATGCTTCCCTCCCACCATCTTCTCTCGTCACTGGGGGCCGAGAGACCCGTCCGGGTCAAGACACGGGAGAAGGAAAGCAACCCAGAGGGGAGACCTGGCATCATGGGCTTAGCCAGATCGGAGATAAGCAACTGCACTCTCGTCTTTTGCAGTTATTTGTGGAATCCGACAGGCGGCCTCCTTGTCTGCTTCATCCTCTAGCTATGGATAACCGCAAAGGTAATGCGTGGAGTTGCTTCTCCTTTATTATTTTCCATCACGGGCCGAGAAACATTGGGTGCCCATCATCGCACGATCCGACAAAGTTCAACTCGTTTGTGCATCATACAAGATACTCGATAACAGCTCACATCTAAGTGAGAGGTGACTCTGCCCTTCATTTCATTTCTTGCCTCCTCCACTAGTCTTTTTGGACAGGTTGGGCCAAAGAGAAGACCTAACTGGGCGTACTCTCTCACCTAGCCTATTCCATTCCCTTGTACAGTCAGGGTTTATGTTCTGGCTTCAGGGTCCGCAAGGACGGCGAGGTGTGGTAGGAAAGGAATACCCTGAAGCCAGATGCGTGACGACGTGGGACACGCCAGCCACTAGGCAGTTTTGAACTCGGTCACCTAGCATATGAAACTTGTACGCAGGTATTTTGATTCGACAGTCCCCCAAACCTACAGGGAGTGTCTAGAAACCCTGCTTAGCTTGAAAGTACTGTTGGATGGCGCACACGTTCTGCTGCGGGATAGCATAGACCGGGTGGATCGGGCGGACACGGTCCTTGGGCGCAAAGACCTGGGGCCCATCGAGATACGGAAAGACGGTCCAGGCCGGCTCTGCTGCTGCTGTCGCCGCCCCGTCCCCGCCAGTGGCAGCATCGGTAGGCTCGTCAAGCTCCCACTGATGTTGAGCGGAGCTCAAGCCTGAAAGGACGTAGCACGAGTGGTAGGCATCGGACATCCTGAATTTCGTTTAGTGAGCATTAATGAATCCATCAAATCACAAGAGTAGGAAAAGACTCACTTTCCCGGTTTATCGCGCAGTCCACCCCGTTTGCTCTGGTCTTGGCAGCAACAGAGGATATACCGGGTCAGGCCTTCACGGCTGTACAGGCTCTCTGTCGCTGGAGGGAGTTTTGTCCCGTCACTGTCCGTGGCACCGCCACCTGCAAGGCATGCCTCGATCAAAGGAAAGCACCCGCCTACCCAGTGGCTGTAGCACCCATCGACCAGCTTGTTGGTGCGACCAGAGAACCCTCCTTCGGGAGCGTATTGCCGTGCCGACAGCCAGGCAATCAGCCGTGGGATGTCCAGACAGCTGTGTCGGGCTTCATTAGCATGCATGCATGCACCTTACCAGGTGAGTGGGCGACGAGAGGGTTGCGAACCTTGGCATTGACCTACTTGGGTGATCCAGCAGGGCCAGACAGCCCAGCGCACAGAAGGCATACGCGCCATGAGCTTCTGCATTTGGCTGGCCCGAGATTCCGCCTTCGAAGGTCTGGCCTAGAACGAAGGTTAGCAGAGACTTGCATAGGTTGGGCACACACACACAAAGTGTGTCTTCTGCTTACATCGTCGGATGTAATCCGACACGCCAGTGAGGAGGTTGGCACTGCCATCTTCCTTCCACGCGGGGGATTCTGGAGTCAAATCTAAGGGTAAGCGTAGCAGTGTGATTATCACTGCTGCGCAATAAGCTCCCCTGCGGCCTCTGTGAGCAAACCATTTCCTCACATCTGGATGAGTATGTGCAGACACAAATACCTGATGTCCTCCTCGCCACCCAAGCAGACCTGAAACCCGCCGTCAGGCTGCTTGAGAGAGCAGAGCCACTTCCACATGGCCTTCCGATCGACAACATCATACGCCTCCTCGCCGCCAACAAGAGCCAGCGCCAGCACTACGGCGTAGGACGTGGCCATGTGTGACAACTGGCCGCCGCCGCCGCCAAAACCTCCGGTCTCATTCTGCATAGAGCGTGCCGTGGCAATGACGGCATTTCGGTAAGAAGACACGTCCTCTCCCAGCATAGTGAGAGCCGAGAGACACCAGTACAGAAACCATGGCCGGCTTGCATCGGCGGCCACGAAACGGCCTGGGAGCTTTCCCAGACATTGACGAAGGAACCGGATATGGCGCTCGCGGTCAAGCTCTGGCACGCCGTGCTCGTTGTAGTCAAAGAAGTCATCATCGCCGCGCAAGAAGGGCAGACATGCCTCGACAGTCTCGTCCTGCTCGATGGATGTCTTGGTAACCAACTCATCCCGGATGAGCGGGAGCTGGGTGAAGATATCGGGGATCATGAATCCAAGGTTGCTGATGGGATCGGCCACAATCTCCTCGTCGACAGAATCACTCCCGTCGTCATCGTCGTCTGTAACTGTAACTCGGGGTAGTGCTGTCGCTGCTGGAGATGGTGGGGACCGTGACGGCTGTCCCTGAGCTTGCTGCGGGGTCGTTGTCGTCGTCATCTTCCACGGAAAAGCCACGCGCTTTTGAGGCCGCGATCCCTTTGTTCTGAGCGGCATGTACGCTGAAGGGGGAAAGCCGGGAACAATACTTGTGATGAAATACTGCTTAGCATTATTCCATGTGCCGTCGTCCGCAATGGGAAACCTGGCGATGTTTGCAGCCCCGCGAGGCGATGTGATTGGGTCTGTCTTGGCTGTTTGGCTTGGGATTGGGCCTGTCGTTGCTGGTCTGAGCCCTGAGTGGCATGTGGGGTAGGGATCAGCTGGTGCTCCACCTTTCGTGAACCATAAAAAGTGGGACTATGTGAGCTTGGCGCCTTGGCTCTGTCATCTTGTCAGACCCACCCGGATCCGGACCAGAGGTGACGGTGAGAGTTCGGGGAACGACACCACCGGCAACCTCCAACGCCAACCCGGCCCTATCTCGGTCATCCCAGGGACGGAGACCCGGCATGGGCTTGCCGATCGCACGAGACTTTCGGTGACCCGTTCCGAGAACCGGACCGATGCCGATGCCTCTTAGGGCCTTGCCCCATCAGGACCTGTCAGTTTTCGGCATGGATATTTGAAAGTGTGAGCCTGCAGGCTATGGGACAAGGCGTCGAGCACGGAGCTTCAGTTCTCTCTACTGTTTCCCACACCGATGCCTATGTCTTTTGATTGTCCCTTCTACTTTCAATAACTCTCAACAACCATATTTTGAACTCTCAAACAGCATGCCCCAGGCAGCTGATCCCGACGAGAGCCCTCGGAACTCAGATTTTCAACATCTTTTCCCTACCAACTTGTGTATAAAAAGATAGCCATCAAACTCGAATTGTGAGGGCACTGCAGCAGCCTAACTATGAGAGGCTGCTTACGATCCGTCTTGATATCCTTGCTCACTTGGGTAGGTCTGGTTCTGTCAAGTTTGCCAAGTCACGTTGTTGACTTTGTACTCCACGGTTAACACCACTGAAGACTGGACTCTCTGCTTGAACCGTAGCAACCCACGTAAGCAGACTCTGAGACTCGGAACACATCCCGCTCCGCCCCTGATAGCATGGGCGCCAGATCATAAGAAAGAATCGGCACCTGGCCAGGGTGGCAAACCTTGGGCAAAAGAGAAAAAACAGAGAATGGTAACCAAACTAGTATTGTTGATTTTACACACATCCTGACGTGATTTGTATGCTATTCTAAATGAAGACTTGATCTCTGGGATCTCAGCTTCGTACTCCGATACCGCTTAGCCGCGATAAAAGGAGGAGTCTAGGTATACCGAGGCTTTCGATCAGGGAAGGACGAGGTCGGCGACCACGTGTACGTGGACATCGCTGCGGAATACTCCGTGAGGAAAGTAAGAGAGTTTGAAGCTAATTCCCAGACCAGCCCCCTATCGTTGGTGATCTAAACACCCGCTTGCCGGGGTCCTGATCCGGGTTTCGATCCGTGTCGCTCGTCTCGATCCGGACTCCGACCCCGGCTGGGGGCGAGTTGCACAGATCAGAGCTCCTCCGTGCTGGATCTTGCCCCCTTTCTGGAAGTTTTGCTCACCCAAGACGACGCCGGCGCACATCAGTGGAGTCTCGGCCAAAGTCTTGGTGTTGAGGCTCCGCAAACGTCAGGGTGAGTTGTCTGGATCTTCTCAAAGCGCACAAGCACGGTCAATGGACGGTGACCGGATCAAATCGTTTTTCGGTTAGCCTTGCCTGGCGTTGAGGCTGCGCAGCACACGGGATCCATCCGTACGATGGTGCTGTGTAGCTGCAGGGCGTCCGCAGTAGCGCGGTGTATATAGCCAGAGTTGGACGCTCATACCGAGGGCAAGACCTGTCATGAAAGGCCAGATCTGGTCAGAAGTTCATGATGTGATCCAAAGTCACTATCTGGCTTGTCCAAGCGAGTCGCCACAAAAAGGAGGTGCTGATGTCTGATGTGATGATGAGCTTCTTTAACGATCAGACCAAAGCATGCTGGCGGCTCCACGAGAGCTTGCCTTTCCCGCCCCTCGGGAGGATCTGATAAAGTGTGGGGTTCAAGACCCAGTGGATCCGGCCAGACACAGTGTAGGAAAAACACGGACACGGAGAGGTACCTCTTCGCGCTTTGCCGTCTCACCACCTCAACCGAATGCAACGACTAGGCGAGCATAGCAGGCGTTGCTGTCCAAAGAGGGGTTTCTATCAGTCCTTCCCTGGGAACGTTGAGCTATGGCGCCGAAAGGCTTGGTCAGCATCGACCTCGAGGAATTGAGTGCTTAGCAACAGAGCAATGTTCCCCTGGTTTCACGGATGGATGAAACAAGCAGCTGGAAACAAGTTGTAACAGCATCGAGAAGGACAAGAGGATAAAGCTGGTTTTCCCTCTACGGCAATGCGGCAGACGTCAACCAACCAGTTTGGCGTACTGCTTGGTAGGACGAAGGAACCGTACGGCTAGACTTGCTGAGTTGTTGTCTCCTTAGGCGCCACAACTTCGAATTCGGCCGCCAATTGGCCATGGAAGCTGCATAGAGATGGTAAAACCGAGTCTTGATTCGGTAGAAGCCGAGGTGTTGCTGTACACAACAGAGGACAAGCCACGAGTCACGTTACCGTGGCTGATGTGCCTTGGCTACTCCGTACCTAAGTAGCCATTGAAGACCGTGTGCTGCTCCATGGTTCATAATTGTGAGATCGGAGTCCTTTGAAGCTCTTCGAATCCTTGCTGCTTTTGCTTGAGCTTTCAACACTAGTCAAGTGTAATAGCGTCGTGTAAGCAGAGTAACTAGCTCTCAACATCTTGGGCCTGGCCGGAGATCAGCACAATAGTCAGTCCACGATCATCGCCTTACGGGTGAAGCCGCTCCGCTAAAAAAGAGTTCTCTGATAAGAAGTTTTTTTTCAAGGCTCGTTTCAAAGCGCATTTCCACAATGCATGCCCGTATGTAGTTTGTTAGCGAGTAGAGATAAGAGGACGTTTTAGTTTGCAAGATTGATCGTTGATGGGGTACTCCCTTGCATCCTCGCATCCAGAGTCCCCCTTTTGAAGGCCTCGACGAAGCACAGACGGGTCCAAGACAGACATTCCTTCGGCATGGAACTGGAAGAGGGTTGGAAAACGGAATTTCAACTACCCACGGCGATTTTGACAGCCTTTCTCCGGCTTGGCGAGGCTGGCAGGCGTCTCGACCGTCGAGCCGTCTGGATTGAAGTCCCTGTACAGTGCGTCTGGGCCGGCTACGACGATCTTGGACAGCCACTGCCTGCCAGGCCTGGCGTGGTGGGCGGTCCTGGCATTCGCTGATTGGCCGGGCAGCACCATGCGTACATCCACCGCGTGCAAGTACCGGGGTGTTGAGCCCAATCAGCAGCGAGGCCGGGACCGGGGTGCCTATGCACCTTCACCGCCTCTTCGCAACCCACAGAGAAGCCAGCGAAGGACCAGCAGCTGGCCATGGGGAGAGGGGATTGTGAGCTGGGCAGCACTCCACCACTCCACCAGCGCAGCGCGACCAAGCGGTCCAGCAAATTCAGGAACCCAGAAACCCAGGCAGCCAGCTCATCCCATCGCCCTTTTCGACTCGACGACCCCTTTCACATTCCACACATCAAGTCGCACATCTTAGCTCGAAGGATCTCCCCTTCACCTCAACGCCTTTCCCCTTCCCCTTCCCCGTTCCTGTTCTCATTCCCATTCCCATTCCCCAGATTCTCCGGTTCTCATCTGCCGCTGTCGGCACCTCCACGACCAGAACCACAACCAACAAGAGCAACGACGGCGCAGGACTCCGTCTCGCGGCCGAGCCGTGTTGTTTTTGTTCTTGTGTTTGTTCATTGATTTGAAAGCTTCTGCTTCCTATCGCTTACGTTGCTGTCCTCGAGACGCAACCTAAGCCTTTGAACCTTGAATCTTCGGTCTTGTCTTCCATCTGGGTTCAACCCGTTTTCCGAAATCATCCCAGACGCGAGCGCTTGAGCGCTTGTCATGAACTCCTCTTGACCGACTCGTCATCGAGATCTGAAAAAGCGGTGTCGCGTCCCCTCCTCGCCACGGTCGTCCCTTGTTCGGCGCGCCGCACCTCCCAAATATCCTCCACTTCTCTCTTATTCCCGATTGTGATTTTCCGTTCCTGGCTCTAGCAGGATGAACTTCGACTTCCACGCTCCAGCCGGGGGAGAAACCGCGTTGTTGGAGCAGTTCGTCTTCGACAACGGCGACCGCTATTTTACCACTTCTTCTGCCGCACCGTCTCAGGACCTTACTACGACAGCTCTGGCCACCATGTCGCAAGCAAGCCGCCAGAGCCTCAGCCCGGACACAACCTGGCTGCCGCTCGATCTAACCGGCAACATCGGCGCCCCTATCTCCGTTCACTCGCCGACCAGCTCAAGCAGCAGTTCCAGCAGTTCCGGGAGCAGCAGCGGCAGCATTCCCTCAACCCCCAATGAGCACCACCAGAACCCCGAGTCGCCTGTTCATCGCGGCAGCGCCATTTCCAGCCCTCTCCAGCAACAGCAGCAGCAGCAGCAGCAGCAGCAACAGCAGCAACAGCAACAGCAACAGCAGACCTCGCCGTTCCAAACGACAGCTCCGACGCCGGCAACGGCCTTGATTTCGGACTGGTCTCCTCTCTCGCTCCAGCAGCCGACACCCGATCTTGCCCCTTTCCTCCCAGAGCATGCCCTAATCAACTTTGCCCCGTATGCCGTGGCCAACTTGCCCCCTACGACGCTGGACTACCTCCCGGCGACCACCCAGGCCACGCTAGAGGCCGGCCTGCAGCTGGGCCCTGCCTTCAGTCCTGTGTCTCCGGTTGAGAACATCACCCGTGTAATGCCGTGGGCGACGCGGATGCCGGGTAACTGGCAAGATTTTGACCAGCTCAACTTCCAGGCCGATGGGCTGCCCCGCGTCACGCAGACCATCGTTCCCCACTCCCCGACCGGCTCGTTTCTGTCGATCGGTTCGAGCAGCGACAACGGATGGACGACCATTGACATGTACTCCGGCGTTGACGCCTTTCAATCGTCGCCTACGCACTCGGCAGGCCACAGCCCCGCCATCTTCAACCCTAGCCAGACGCTTCATATTCGCACCAATTCGGATGTCTCGGACATCAACTCGCTCGATTTTTACGAGGACATCAACTTCTCGTCTCCCTATTCTCCTGAATCGGATGGCTTTGTGGAGGTGTCTCGGAATGGCGCCGATCAAGTTTCTCCCGCTTCTACGGAGCTTGTGAGCCCCACGGCCACTGTGGCTTCGCTACCGATCAAGGCCTCTGCGACCGCGTCGATCAACAGGCCGCTGGTCGGGAGCGGCGCAAGCGGATCTGGCATGGCCTCCCCTCCAGAGCGTCGCAACTCGGGTGCGCGCAAGAGTCCGACCATCGCCAAGACTACCAAGTCGGTCATCCGCAGGCCGTCGACCGGCAAGAAGGACGGTACCGGCGAGAAGAAGGTGGGCAGGAGGCGCGGTCCTCTGTTGCCGGAGCAGCGCAAGCAGGCCAGCGAGATCCGCAAGCTGCGGGCATGCCTTCGCTGCAAGTTCCTCAAGAAGACGTGTGACAAGGGCGAGCCTTGCGCTGGCTGCCAACCTTCTCATGCTCGCTTGTGGCAGGTCCCTTGCACGCGTATCGACATCAAGGATATTGCCTACTTCATGAAGGACTGGAAGGCAGACTACGAACGCCATGTCAACCCGAGCGTCACGGTTTACAATGTCAAGGGCTATTCGCAAAAGGAGACGCTCATGTGGATCACTCACGGCTATGGCTTCTGCTTGCCGGTCATGGTCCGCGAGGTCTATGTTGTCGACGACAGCTGCTTCCAGGTCGACTGGGTCGAGTCATCAATACCGAACCAGGAGCCCATTGAGCTGTATACCCGCACGGAGCAGCTCGACGTTGGTCAAGAGGGCATCTCACGCCAGATGCTCAACGAATACATCGACAAGCACGTCGACCAGGGCTTCGAGCAGTTCATCGACGACCACTTTGAGGGCACTCCCTTCATCACCGAGCTGTTCAAGACGGCCTACCGCTTCTATACGAAGACGCAGCTGCCCGTCATCCGTACGGCGCTCAAGCTGGTTGTGGCTTACAACCTGACCATGCATATCACAATGGTCGAGCAGCCGCCGACCGACCAGCCCATGAAGGGCCACATCGACGACGAGGATTCCAAATTCTACGGCCGCACCGTAGCCCCACTGCTTGTCAACTTCCAGATCAAGTGCGCCATGGCCGAGCTCTGGCGCGATCTGCAGAAGGAGGTGCTTGAGCAGCTCTCGCAGCTCTACTCGAGCGTTTATTCTGGCGAGCGTCTCAAGAACTGGCCCACAATCTTCATGCTGGCCTCCATCCTGCTTGCCGTATGGGAGGAGATGCAGTTCGACTGCCACTACCGCGTGCCCGACCCTGCGGCCGTCGAGAAGTTCTGCCGCGATATGGAGACCGTGCCCGTCGGCGTCATCGTCGGCCTCTTCCATGCCATCTCGCAGAAGCTGCCCGCCTTCACTGAGTGGGATACTCGCCGCCACGGCCAGGTTCTTAACAACAACCCAGCTGTGTGCGAGGCTATGACCGAGGTTCGCCAGCATGTCCTCAAGCACGGTAAGTTTGTTATGCTGCAGTTGTATATCTTGGTTTGGTCGTGGGTCTAACCCGTACTGCAGAGGCTTATCTGCGCACACGCGCCGACGCCAAGTTCAATCGTCTCGACTTCGATTCACTCGCCAACAAGTTCTTGTCGAAGCTTGTCATCCGGTCGAATTAATCATATCTAGCCTTCATTCGACCGCGATACACTGGTTTAATTGTCCCCTGCCTAGGGCCCGTCGAGACGCAGTCTTTTTGGTATTCGTGTTTCCCCCTTCGACCGTTTTTTGGGCCTTGCTGCTGCTGTGATGAGCAAGTGCGATGGCGTTTGAGTTTACGGATGTTTTATTCTCGCATTTTTGGGTATCAACTTTTTCTTTTGGATGTTTATGCTTCTCACGCATTCGTTACGACCCCCGTTGCTACGACGACCACTCGCTTACGACCAGACTTGATGTTGTTTTGGACACGTTCTCTTATTTTAAACTTCTCGAGCTGGCCCGGTCCCGCGGGCTATGCTGTCACGAGCCATGACTGACGTCCAAATTCTTATGACGGGATACAAAAAGACATTGAGTTATGACCAATCGCACAATTTTATTACTCTCCTCACTTGCATCTCGACGAGGTCTTTTGTTTCTACAAAAAACTCATGTCTCCCCGCATTATGTGTACAGCTCCAATTCGACGATCTATGCCCACCCGGATTGGACACGTCGTATCTTTGTTTTTAAAATATCGTTTTTTTTGCGATGTTGGAGTTTTTGTCATCGCCTCGATGAAAGCAGGCATCGGACAGGCAGACAATGCTGCATTTTCAATGGAAAGGTCGAACAGAAGCAAGCATGCTATATTTGCCTTGGAAAATAAAGGGAATGATGAGATTCCGTGCAAGTGTCATGAAAAGGAAAGAAGGAAACGCCTGACGTCGGAGAGCATATAGAGAAGAGGAAGTTCAAAGGGCTTTTCCATGGATCTGTTTTATTTGCATCTATTATTCAGATGTTGGTTGTTGCTAGTTGTTGTTGGCTTTGCTCTTCGAGCTCTCTTGGGTGGCAGAGGCAGATGAATCGTTGACTGATCGGTTAGGGTGTTGTGTCTGTCGGGCGGAGAGATAGGTCATCTAGGTAGTTTCGGTCTTAGGGATTGTTTTTGTGTTTGTCTTGGTAATTGATAGTTTTGTGTCCAATCTGACTTCATGTTATGTGACATTGTCTTGGCCTGGTGTGTTTGGTGTAAAGTTGTGCCTTGTGCAGTAGCATTATCAATGTCTACGGGAACAAGGTTTCGGAACTGTAAATGTACGAAATATATTCAAACTCCTAGCACCACCCAAATCTATCTACTACAAGTGCAACATACCAATCACTTAACAACAAACAAGACCCCCCTAAGCAGAGCAGAACCACCTAATCAGCTCAAACCTCACTTCATTCCCTACTACTATCACCATTTACCTTAAATTGAATCCCTACTCGATTAAACTACCTCTCTCTTCCCCAAACTCATATCTGATCAACCCCTAATACGTCCCAGCCCGGTAATAACTCTCCGTCCCTGTCCCAGCCCCAGCGCCCATCCCATCTGGACCACCCGGAGTCGCCGTGCTCTGCCCCGCGCTGGGACCGCTGCCCGCCGACCCAGGGGGCACATAAGGCTTATACTGCTGCGGCTGTGCCCGGCTAGGCAAGGTCGCCCTAGCATCGACTGGCGCGCCCGGTGCCGACGGCGCTCCTCCGGCTTGGGAGCTCTGCTGACCCTGCTGCTGACCCTGTCCGTATTGCTGCTGGGGAGCGGAACTATGGAACGAGGCATACGCCGAGCCGAACGGCGCGACCGAGGGGCCTGAGCCCGAGTGATGCCGCTGCTGCGAGGGGCTACCTGGTACTGGAGGCTGTGGGGCAGGGATTGCGGGGGCAGGGGGGATGTTGGATGCGGCGACTTTGTTGGGGTCTTCGCTATCCAGGGGAGGGGAGGAGTAAGTTGCGGGAGGGAAGGTTGGGCGGTGTGTCGGCTGTGGGGAGTCATAGACTGAGGTCGAGAGTTCCTGGGGACCCGGGGGATAGGAGGTGTTTTGAGGACGAGGAGACTGGTAAGGGGCGTGCGGAGCCGGGGGGGGCGATGTAGTTGAGGTCGGAATAGGTGCTGATGGAGCGCTACCTGAGGGCAATCGCTCTTGAGGATGCTGAGGATATTGCTGAGGAGGGTACGGCTGGGGCGTGGGTTGAGGGGGTAGGTGTTGAACTGGAGGTTGAGTTGGTTGAGAGGGAACTTCGGCGCCAGCTACGTAGAAGGGGGCAGGAGCTGCGCCAGGGGTACGCTGGAAGTTGGGAGGAGGAGAGGATGGGGGGTACTGTGGTTCTGTTCTTTGTTAGGCATCTGCTTGACGGCTTCAGCGGTTCTAACAGAGCTCAGTCAGGGCGTACCTTGAGTAGGAGCAGGTGTGTAATAACGCTGGGGCTCTTGGGTAGGCACGCTGTAACCAGGCCCAGCAGGAGGATACCCTTGAGGCCGCGCTGGATATTGCTGGTACGAGTGGGACATGGACTGCTCCAGCAGAGCCTCGTAGTCTCTCCTGGCCTTGATGAACTTTTCGTTAAGCTGGGTAAAGTCCTCTGCAGGGCGTTAGCAAAGGTTCCCAAACCAACCCAGCTATGGCGACCTACCCTTCTTTTGTGTGTACTTTTCGATGAGCTTGATGAGCTTCGGACGGATCGCCAGCGTTTGATGATAGAGCCTCTGCTTTACGTCAACAACCCCTCCCGCTTCCAATCAAAGAATGACGCAAACTTACCGAAATCTCTTCATTATCCTCTTCCCTCAGCGTGTTCCCCGAGCTAAGAAGCGCCAGTAACTTCTCGACGTTCTTGATTTCGGCAAACACCTCAGCCTCCATCTGCGCCTCGCGCGCCAGCTCCTCGGGCGTCGGATCCGCCAGCTTCTCAACGTAGTTCAGCGGGAAGATACCGGTCTTTCCGCGCAGCGAGCCACGCCACCAGTCCTTGTAGACGGCCTCCAGCACGCAGATGACATCGCCTTTCTTGAACTCCAGCTCACCCGGCTCAGAGGGAACAAAGTCGTAGAGAGCCCGAACACGCGAGACTGTTGCTGCTGTAGTGCCCGAGGGAACCGGCTGGCCGGACGTTGACTGCTGCTGTCGTTGCTGCTGCGCCGCAGAGGAAGAAGACCCAGCTGCTGCCGATGAGCTTGACGCTTGCGGTTGCTGCTGCTTCTGCTTCTTGCGCTCCTCCTCTTGAAGGCTTAGTTTCAGTGCCAACTGCAGTTCCTCCTCTTCTTTCAAGCGGTCGGCTTCGGTAAGCTGGTTCTTCTGCGGGGCGGCGGGTGGCTCGAGGTTGGGGTTGCTCTGCTTCAGGCGGTAGTAGGCATCCTGCATAATACCCAGATCCGGATCGGACTTAAACATGTCGGACCATTCCTTCATGCGCTCCAGGATCTTGACCTTGACCTGGTTGTGGGTGTTGCGGTCGTTGGCTAGTTTGAGCAGGGCGTCGGTGAAAGCGCGGCTAGACAGCTCGCGGTGCAGGTTCTTGCCGCAGTTTAAAGAAAGGGCATTGGCGACCTGGGAAGTTAGTAAAGGGATTGATAGTAGCGAAAACCAGCCATGTCCTTTACCTCAAGGGTGTACAGCTGGACATTGGCGTTGCGATGGGCCAAGCGCTTGATCAGGCTCTGGACAGACTCCTTCGGCCCGTTAGGGTCGGCGGATACCCGGTCACAGATGTCAATGATGGCGCCCCAATCCTCCGATGTGAGGTTCTCATCGGTGGCTTTGTCTATCAGATTGCAAAGTCACTTCGTCAGTGGCAGGTTGTGGAGAGCTAGTGAGCGCCATTGGCGCAAGCTTGGGCGGACATACTGATAGCCTCATCGTAGGGGCCGGCCGCAGCCGCTCGGAACATGGTGATGATCGATGGTGTCGGATGTGTACTTGGGGTAGCAGCACAGAAAACACAAAGGCGTCGCGATGTGTTAGGGAGTTGGAGGTATCACGAAGAAACGTAATATGTCCAGGTCGAGGACAACAAGGCTGCCTCGGCCCCGATATGGAGATATAGGGTATGGCGTACGTAGTAGTGGGCGGGCTGAAGCTCACCTTGCCTGCCTGCCCCGCACAGTCGCTGTCGTTGTCTGACAGCGGGATGCACCAAGCGCACGCTGGTGTAGGTATTTGCAAACCGATCAACTCTTTCAAAACTGAAATCTAGAGTCGATGAAGGCGACAGCAAGACCAGAAGATGGAATCGCTTGCTTGGTGTTGCGCAACGCCTCATGAGAATGCAAAGGCGGAACACCGCGGGCACAGCGTGGTTGGCTGCCTTCCATGGATGATGAGGCGCAGCCAAGCAGCGGAGACTTCAAGTGCAATCGCCCCACCTGACATCCTTGTCATAGTTCCTGCACAGGCCCCTGTTCATCTGCTTTCTTGGCATTAACGTCAGCTGCTGATTCTTGTTCCTGTTTGGATAAGAACTTGTCATTTTCGAGACAAGTGAGACTTAACCTTGCTTAAATATGAGGCACGTTATCAGCTTTGCATTTGAGTAAGAGGGACAAAAGGGCAAACTGAATGGACCACTTTTGAGTATCATGATAAGTATCCGGACTATCTATGAGTCACAAGTTGCAGTTCGGATTTCACGAGAACAAAGTTCACCTAAGCAGTGATAGAAGTTTCAATCAAATTCACCAGTTCCATTTACCTTATAACATGCAACATAGTGCTACAATATTGATACTGTAACTTATCGACGATGTTGAAATACAAACTGATGAACAATATTGTGAATAAGAACCAACTAACTCAACCCTTGCCCCTAAACCTAAACTACCCAAATGCCAATGTGGTATGGAATCCAGACCCAAAAGTCAAACTCAATCCAAACCCCATCCATTGCCAATAATAAGGCCTTGAGTTGACTGGTATATATATTCATGTATATATATATATATTGCTGTTGTAATAGCATAGGCAAGTAGGCAGTCAAGGTAGACAGGATAGGAGTGCGTTTCTAACCTATGCATAACCTAAACCAGCCAGCCAGTTCAACGACCAACCAACCTGCAGACCCCGCACCATGAAATGAATCAAACCCGTTTCCCGATACTTAGGTAGTAACCCACAATACCGGCCAAACCAGAACAAAACTTGAAGTGGAGTGTCCCTTGTGTCTCTCTTAACGTAGCCTAGACCCAGTCAAACCCAACTGCCAAAAGCTAAAGGAAAAAACACAGAATGAGAAAGAGAAAAAAAGAGCATGGATGAAGTGAGATAGTTAGGTACGGAGGGAAAAAAGGAGCAACAGCAACACAGCTGAGCATTATAGTATAACCTCTTTCCAGTCTTTCCTGTCAAAAAAGCCACCACCATACCAATGCCAACAAGAACGCCACCAAGCCCGCTGCGACCGAAGGCCCATAATAGAAGTAGTAGATGTGATAATTGTAGTGTTGAGCATATTCTTGCCTCTCAGGCTTCATCTTATGCCCTTGATGCTGTTTGTGCTTCGTATGACGGTGACACGTGGGGAAAGCCTCCTTGCTCTCGTGGATAGTAGGATATGTAGTAAGTGTAGGGAGAGATACTTGGGGACTAGTAGTAGGACTAGGAGGAGGAGGAGGAGGAGGAGGAGGAGCATACCCGCCCCATAACCAGAACCTAGCTCAGAACGTCCGGGGTAGTCGGTAGGTAATCCAATCCCCGAACTAAGGGACACACACCACGCATGCACACAAAAGTAATCTAGGTAGAAAAGAAAATGTCGCTTACCAGCCCTTCCTCAAAATCCCCCTCGGCTCATACGGCTTCTCTCGTCCACCAGCTGGTGTTCCACTCCGAGGAGCAGCACCACCAGTAGTAAGCAAATCACGGCCACTACCAGCTTGTCCTTCGTTCGACGGCGATGGCTGCCGTCCCTCTTCCAAACTGCGTCTCGACTCCCTCTCTAACTCGCTCATGGCAAACAAAAGCGGCTCCTCATCCCCCTCGACACTGCTCCCTCCGGCAAACCGCCCTGACACGCCAGAGCGCTGCTTGCTCTTGATATCTCTGCTCTCCGATCCCTCTGCGCCTTCCGAGCGAACCTGGCTATTACCCGCCTGTTGCTGAGCGTCTTCTCCAGCCTCGCCAGCAGGCCGGGAATCAGCTCCGATCCTCTCTCCTCCTCGCTGAAAAGCCAGCAAGGCACTCAAACTCGGAACCTCACGCCTCCCCAGCGACGCATCCTCCACACTAGCACTCCGTTGATGTCTCGCCCCAGAAAAATCATCCAAATCAGCCAGCAGCGAGCGATGCTGCTGATGAGCCACCGAACTGGCCCGTCGATTACCGGCAGCACTGACTTGCAGCAGGCGCGGCGACATGGGGATATCAATGGCAGCAGTTGTAGCGGTGCCGGTTCCAGCAGGTGAAGCGACAGAACGGTCGTCGCGTTGTGTGGCGAACGGGGTCTCGCTGTTGGAGGTTTCTTCTGACGGCGGCTCCTCTTCTTCGGTGGTCGCAATGTTAGGCGTGCCGCGATGGCGGGTCGTCTGCCGGGCTTCGGCTTCGTAATCGATAATAGAGTTTTCGCTCAGGCGGGACGGGATGGCTGGCATGTGGGGCGTATGCGGGGAGACGGGTTTGCCAGGGGAGGACGAGACGGACAAAGTAGAAGGATTCATGGCAGGCACAGGAGTGATCTGCCGGCTAGAGGAGGTTGTCGACGGACGTTGTAAATACATGCTTGATGCCATCGAGTCGGTCAGGGCGGCATGCGAATCGCGCAAGAGGATGAACTTTGAAAGCTGGGCAGCTGTCCTCTTTGAGGCAGTCGCCTCGCCAGCTCTGGACGGTTCGAAGCTTTTAAGAGTCTTGCGGCTCTCAAGAGCCTTCAAGAACTCAGAGATATTGTCATCGTCCGCTGCAAAGGACCCTGAACTGCCAACGCCTCCAAGTTCTGCCAAGAACCCCGAACCTGGTTGAGCCGATGAGGAGAGACTCTGTTTCCCGCTGCTAGCTTGGTCATCGTCACCTTTGAGGCTCTGTCCCCCAAAGCTGGGTCGCCCCCGTCGATGCCCAAAGCTGCTGCTGTACCGACTTGGGGGTCTCGGAGATCCTGTAACTGACGGCACATCTTGTGGCGGTGCGACAGGAGGACCGCGCAATGATGCCGCCGAGCCGGCTGTCAGTGACGACCGAGCCCCTGTTCGCGAGGGTCCGCTGAGCCCAGGACGTGTATAAGACTGAGGAGAGGGCGGCACTTCGCCCTCGGAGATTCTGGGAGACCCTGAAAGCGATCCAGCTTTGAACGGCTGGAACGACACTGACGGGCGCCTGCTCGGTTCATACGTTCTCAGCGACGGACGAGCCGTGGCACCACGAATAGGTAGTGAATGAGGCGGCTCCGGCTGCTCCATGCTCGTTGACGTGGATGCCGTTGGAGAGCTGGTATCCGACCCCGGAGGACGCACAGATCGGAGGGCTGTGATGGGGCTGGCACCGTATGCTCCGGGACCGTGGAATGTCGACAAACTACCGTATGTCTGCTGCGGCTCTGGGACGCCGCGTCCCTGGTTTCGAGAAGGGAGAGAACCCGGCTCAGCGAACGAATCCAGTGCGACTGCATGATCGCGCCTTGAGGCAATTGACGGCTTGAACAATGCATCATCGGCGCCCATGAAGCGTGAGCTGAGCAGAGACTCTGCGTCGTCTACCCGAAAGTTGACGTCGTTGCGATACGTGACAGATGAGTAAAACCGACCAATTGGCACCTCTAGATCGGGGAAGAAGTATTCGGTGACGGGTTCTCCCCCATCGTGGAGGGGGATCCGTAGGGGGTCATAGCTCGTGTACTCGGGCTCTGTGGTCAGGATACGACACTTCACCTCGAGCGCGGGATGGATGCCCTTCGCCAAGGCTTGCTGTGAATATTTCCAGCACGGCATCATCCGGGTCATCATGAAGAGAGCCCGGAAGTAAACAATAGCCCGTTTGTAGATAGCAGGCAAGCTAGGCCCAAACTCATCTCGGTCGATGTTGGGCAAGCACCTAAGTTCGACGCGCCAGCGCTCCAAGACCACCTCGGCACTGCGTCTCTGACCCCGACGTCTCCTGGGACTATCATCGGGCGTCTCTGACGAGTTCAGAGCTTCCAGGACATCCCATCGCTTGCCGTTTTCATCAATAAGCACGAGGCTCTGGCTGCTCGAGATGCTGGAGGCATCGATATAGGTCTCGACGATCATGGGAGGAGGGGGGTTGTCAAAGGCGCTGCACGTCCTGTACACTCGCAGCTCCTCCTTGAACTCCTCGATATCGTCCGTGTCGATCGAGAACTGGCCCATGCCATTAGAAATTTGTTCGCGATCGCTGTCAAGAGGTGTAAAATGTGAATCATGCTTACCCATTTATTCAACTTCCTCCCGTCGCTGTTCCTCGCGACAGCCGGGGTCAGGTTAAGCCGCGACTGAAGGATCAAGACGGCCGCCTTGTAGTAGAAGTTCTGCCAGCCGTCAGCCCATCATGCTTGAAGAGGGAACCGGAGTGCGCACCTGGATGATCTGGTCCAACTTCTTGATAGACTCCCGGCTCGGACCGGGCGCGGGCGTTTCAGAGCCGTTCGTATCGAGACCATCGCGACGAGTGGTGATGTCTAGGCTGCTGCGGGGCCGATCCCTGGGGTTGTTTGTCCGTGCAGGGTTTGTTTGAGGAGAGGAAGCGGGAGAGGCCACCCGCGGGGGGTGACGGGGTTGTTGATGCATATCTGCAGCTAGGAAGGATACAGGGAGACGCGGAGACAGCACTATGATGACATGGGTACGGGCGGGAGGATTGATATTAACGGCGATTTCTCGACTAATTCATGCCAAATCCAGCCTCTCGAAAGACCGGCAGGCCGCACTGGAGCTGGGAAGGGAGCGGACAAAGAAGACTGAAATCGTCGTCCGCGGTGCGAAGGGGGGGGGGCGGTCGAGAGTCTAGAATGACGTGTTCGAGAGCAGATGGGCTGCAGTGTCCATGTCGTCGTCCCTAGGCAGAAAGATGAGAAAGACGGGGATAAGACTGAAAAGACGAAGGGTCAGTCGTGTGCATCAGCACCACGAGGTAGATGACGATGTAAAAAGCCCTAAGAGGGACGACGGACGAGAGGGAGGAAGGACGGACGGACGGCAAGCAAAAAAAGAAAACAAGATGGTGAAATGTGACAAGACTTCAGAAGGGAAGGCGGACGGTTCTTGAGAGATGTCGGATCGCCGAATCTGGTTGGCGGTGACGCTTCAAGGCAACCTTGAGCCGACGACCGAGCATGGAACGGGCAACAAGCCATGCAGTGACGGAGATGGAGCCGGTCCTGTGTGAGCCACGGACGCTGCTGGAGCTGGCGCTGGCAACGGTTGACACACCCCACTGGCCTAGCAGTGGAGAGGGTCAGAGGCTTAGGGCAGTGGAGCTCCACAATCCACGGGTTCTGGGGAAGCTGGCCCAGTGTCTCAAGAGCACATTGAAGCTCGCAGCCAATCGCCGTGGGCTGGTTGATACCACCGGATGGAGCCTTGGCGGCTCCAAACTATCCACTCCTGGAGATGATTTCCACAGCGTCAGGGCTTCACCGGTGGAGTTTGCGAGGATGTTCTCAGTGTACGCCTGCAGATGGCTTGCTTGCACAGGTTGCGGGTGCGCCTCCGGTTGAGTGAGCTGCGGCTCCGTGCGAGAAACGCACTTTGGAAGTCGTGGCAGACAGTACCGTCAAAAGTCTTGATAGGCAAGATGATGTTGATTTCAGATCGAACCCCGATTCGTTGTATTGTCGATCTGCAGAATTTATACACGTCCACGGGACCTAGGATGACGATAGAGGGTTGAAAACAGACGGTGCGGTGCGCCAGCGATGTCGGAAGACGACGGCTGCTTCGTTGTCAAAGACGGGTGCGTGGATCGAGATAAGGAAATCGACTAAACGTACAGTATAACACACTGTGTAGGTTACGTAAGCAGACCCCGTGGACAGGGCAGGGAACGAGCGTTGGTCCAACCACTGTGGGTAGTGCGTCAGGAACACGCCGCAGACTCGTTCACTCCCACGCCCCATGCCCATGCCCACACACCCGCTGGCGCTGACCCTCTTCACCTTGGTCAAGACTAGAAAGCTTGAGGTGAGGTCATGGTCAGGTGTGCCGTGCTGTGCGTGCTGTGCATAGACTACGCTACTGTAAGTGGCAGCAGGTGAGTCCATATCGGTTTATCCATAACTGTTTCCGTTTTCTGCTCGGTAATTAGAGCATTGAGAACAGAGAAGGGAAGCTGGAAGAAAACATGCGCATCAACCAGCCATCCACCCTGGCTGCCTTCCGCCCATTCGCGATCTTTCGGCGATCTTCCGTCATGGGCATCGGAGCCGGGACGCGGCTAGAGCATGGCTGGCTGACTTCCGACTTTCCAGGGGCAAACGGGGCAACGAGGGTAACGATGATGCATTGATTCACACGGGCAGGACCAGCGCCAGCGAGATAGGCGAGACAATGGAGACAAGGGGGATTGATAACACCCACACTGTGGATGGCTGCCGTTGTGAACATTGGCAAGGAATGGCAGGGAATCAGGGACCTCAGTCAGGACACTGGCAGGTCCGGGAATCTTGGTTCTGCTTCCTGATAACACATGCACGTGTCAGGAGGACGCGATGTCTCAAGTTGCTGGAGCAGTATTGCCAACTTCAGACGTTGCTGTTCTGTGCCAGCCTGGCCTGCCATTTCAGTCTCAACGAGCAAAGTGCATTTGGACATCTGGACGTTCCAAAATGTTCGGGAACTGGAAACGGAACAGAGTCAATAACTCAGAACACGACGACAGCCTAGTAACCAGTAACCGCACGGAGCTGCGTGGTCGGGACAATCAGCGGCCAATGCAACGCAACGCAACCAGTCCATTACCCGTTCAGCGCTGTCAGTCATTCACTCTTCTCGGCGATCGCCAGTCGCTCGGATTGCGCTCTGTCATTCGGGTGCCTGCCAGGTAGACCATGACGCTGGTTTTATCACCGCTGCCTGGGATCAGGTAACCAGGCAATCCATATCTGAAGCTTACGTTGTTGATGGACTCGAGCTTGAGATGCACAACGTTTGAACAACGGGTTCACAGAAGACGGTCACCCACAGCAAGGATTGTTTCCGTCCCAAGTGGCTGTACCCGATTCATCCACTCGCAGACAAAAAGTACGGAACACGCAAACACACAAACTCCCGCACTACACAAGCTATGCGATCCCTCAGCAGTCACTGTATAAGCTATGTGTCCAACATTGCTGCTGTGCGGCCTTACACTAGGCACCACCCGCGAACATAGGCAGGTCTGGAATGTGACCACGAAACCAGGACATGCAGACCAGGACATGCAGAACGCCGACGGTTAGCGTGTGAGATGATGCCGAAACGAATGAGATGCTAACAATGGGCGGCCCAATCAGGGGCGGTAGGGGGCCAATTGGTTTCAAAACAACTGCAATTCAGCGAACTAAGCCATGATTTGCTGTTGGCGAAGTAGGCATACAAACTCCAGGCAGCGATGAGGTAAGTATGAGAGCAGGTATTTAAGGGAAAGATCGCAGGAGGGAACAAGCACGGAGACAAGATAAAATGTAAGGCGCATCAGCCATGCAAAGCTTCGTCCAGGTGTCGATCTCGATGTTTTAGTAGAAAATCGAGGCTGTCTAGATGTCAATTAAAACCACAATTCTCAGTCTCCAAGTCTTTTCGACTTTTATTCACGGAATTACTCAAGATAGCCATCGTTCCCAGCAACATCCCGCCCCTCTACCACATGGCCCTCCCAGAAAATGCCACATCGCTCCATGGCTCGTTTTCCCATCAAGTGGTGGCGATCTTTGCGGATGTCGGCACATACGTATCTATTAAGGCCACAAATCAGACCGCGGGATCCGGCATGTGCGATGCGGTTGGCGTCTGCAAGTAATCTACCCTGGGGGCAAAAAGGCAAAAAGCGACGAGGCTCGAAAAAGGGTGTCAGCGAACTGGGCACGAATCATGATAGAGAGGGATGGATGGGTGTGTGACCCGGGTCTGGCTTGAGTTCGGGACAGGAGAAAGGTTCTTACAAAGGATGACATGTCGAGGTTTGAGGAAGGTTGTCAAAAGATTGATTATTGATTATTGAGAGATTGAACCTTGTAACATGTCCTAGCAATGAGAAGGGTAATCTTCGATAATCCCCCTCGGCGTTGAAGTCCCAAGACTGAGCATGCTATCATGCAAAATAGACGATGTGTCCTGGCGTGGATGACAATGTCATATAAAGACGCCAGTACTTCAAATATCTACAATTGAAAAATCATAACCCTCTCAATCTCAATTCCCCCCTCCAGCGCCAGCAGCAACCTGCACCGTCTCCATTTCCCTCCCCGAAGCAGCGGCAGCCCCACGCGCCCCCCCAGAACCGCCACCACGCCCTTTACTCTTCTCCCTTCCTCCCCTCAAACTCAACTTCTTCACCCTCTGCTGCGTCCCCTTTCCATTCCCATTCTCATTCCCATTCTCATTCCCATTCCCATTCCCATTCCTATTCCTATTCCCATTCCCATCCCTCTCTCCATGCCCCTCGTTATTATTACCCCCACCGCCACGGCCCCTCCCCCGTCCCCACCTCTTCCCCTCTCTTTCCCGTCTCCGTTCCTGCTCCTCCCTCTCTTTTTCTCTGCGTTCCCTCTCAAGTCGTCTCCTCTCCTCTTCAGCCTGCACCCGCCTACTCTCAGCATCCCACCACTCCTGGAAGGCCTGCTCCTGCTGGATCTCTTGTAGAGACCGTTTGGCTACCGCCTCGCGAACGATCTGTTTGTCGCGGGACTGCTCAGAGATGATGTCCTCTAGGCTGAGGCCCAGCACGGGCTCGCGTGATTGGGACGGGCGGGGGATGTAGACTCTTGAGTGAGGAACTATAGGGGTTGTTGAGGATACAGATGATTGGGAAGGTCGCGAGGGGGTTGTAGACGAGGTTCCTGGTCTTGTTGTGGCGGCAGGGCTGCTACGAGGCTGGCCTGCGAAGCGTGTATCGGGGGAGGCGGTACGGCGTGGGAGAGGAGTCGTCGGCTTCGCAGCTGGGCCTGCGTCAGGGGCAACAATTTTAGGGACTGTAGGAGAACCTGACACGGGTTCAGCCGCTGGAGCGGTAGCAGGTTTCGCAGGCTGCGCAGGTTTGCCATACGAAATCTGCTTCCAGGGTGACGGCTTTAAGGAGTCGTTAGACCATGGGTTCTGCGGCTGCTGGGGGCTAGATTTAGCTGCCTGTAGAGCTGCCAAAGCGGCCTGCTGCTGTCGCTTCTTTTCCTTCTGGGACAGCTTTGTTGGAGTGTGCTTAGGCGTAACTTCCTGTGTCTTCTGAGCCGTCAGCCCGGCCGAGAGGGCTGACTGCTTGGTGGTAGCCGCCTGAGACTGGAGAATTTCGCGGAGATCTAGTTTGGACACTGGGGTCACGGTCTCTCCCCAAGGCTTGCCAGTCTTAGCTGGAGTCGAGGGAGCCAAATCGGGGCCGGCAGAGTTGGGTATGGATTTGGCAACCGTTGGGCTGGCTGGCGGTGAGGGGGCGAGGCTGAGACGGATCTTCTTGCCTGTCACCTTCCATGAACTGCCGAGAGAGGTAGGAGCTTGATCCAAGGCCGGTGATGCTTCAACGGATTTCCGAGGTCTCAGCACGGGACTGGACAATGGCGAGGTATCCTCGTCCATCTTGAACATCAGATCACCTTGGGATGACTTAGCCCGGAGACTAGGACTTGACGGCTCAGTAAGGTCAATCCGCGACGGCTTCCTGACTCTATCCGGAGTTGGCGTAACGGGACTGGCTTCCTCAAAGCTGCCACATCTGCCTTTGGCAATCGACTGTCGCCTCTCCTCTTCCCTATGTGCCTTGTATGCCATCTCCTTGATCCGGATCTGCCGTTCTTCCAGAATCTCCTCAGCCAACCAGGGGTAGGTCTCGTGGAGCAGCTCCTCGGCCCTGCCGCTTCTGGCAAACGGTGACTGGGCAAGTTGGTTATCCCTGACAACCTCATCCAGCTCAAGCAAAAGATCTTCATCCAGCTCGTCGAGCAGGTGATTCTCCAACATCGTCTCAAGCTGCAGGCAGATATACTCCAGCCCGACATCCTTAAACTCCGTGACTGAGCAAGGGCTAATGGCGTTCAAGAGATGCGCAATATTCCGGACGGTCACGAACCGGCCCATGACTTTCTGACAAATCTGCGACAGCCGATCCAACATAAGATAGTTGGCAATCGACATGACCTCCATCACAAGATCCAGGAAGTCGTCAAACGAGTCGCACACGGCATCGTCAAATAGCTCGGAGCCACAGTCGCTGTAAAGATAACGCACCACATACTGGAAAGCCTTTGGCTCCGCATGCTTCAGGTCGATCCGAATCTTCTCTGTGTCCGACTGCCGGCGACTGTCCAACCACATGCCGCCAGACCGACCATGGAAGAGACCCTCGAACCAGGGACACCGGGCGCAGACAAACGAGCTGTGTACCGGGACCTCGGCACCGTCTAACTCAATAAGAGCATCGCCATCAGCGAAGTAGCGATCATCCTTTATGGCCAGCCGGAAGTCTTGGTCCATAGTCTTCTTGGCATCCACCTGTGATCTGGCAGCCGCCTCAAGAGCGTTCATGCCGAGGCGCGTGGCAAGTCTCATAACCTCCTGGCGAATCTGGCGGTAGCGGTAGGCCAGCGACCGAACAAGACCCGTAAAGTTCCATGCCGGGATGACCTTGTCCTCGTAGGCAAAGAGGATGAGGTTCAGCAGCGAGATCAAGTCCAAGCCCTGGAAGCAGACGATGGCTTGGCCATTGACATTGGTGATGCTGAATGCCTCGTGGGTGTATGACCCCGCCTTGCGGAACTGGAAAAGCGCACTTCGCAGAACAGGGCTACGAGCAGACAGCAGCCAACCGTGGACAGGGATCTTGATGTCAGGCGACGAAGACGTGCAGACCGCTACATCCAACGGTTTATTCCGGTAGGTCCATGAGTTGATGTACTTTGCCAAGTCCCTCTCCAGCGTGGAAGATTTGAGCACTTCATACGCCACAGACCCGATGCGCTCCTCGATGCTGGGGTTCTCCCAAAACTTCCGGATCTCATCTGCTGGATCCTTCAACTCGGATGCTTGGAAGCCGTTGAGACAATTGAATGATGCCACATCCTCCCATAGCGTCTGCTTGCCAACGTTCAGTTGTTCCTTCATAATGTCCGAGTCCTTGCGGATGGCAGCAAAGGTGCCGAATGCTGAGGCCCTAACGGCTGAGACCTTGCTGATGCACGGCACACGTTGGAACTTGAAATCTTTTTGCTTGTAGTCCGACGCACACGTGGTTGTGTCCTTGGCCTTATTGCGTTTGATCCGCCGCCAGACCGCACCAGACTCGGTACTGATGATGACAGAGCCATGCTCGCCCACACCAACGGAGCGAACACCGTCATGCCTTGCGTGCCAGATGCACTGCGGCGGCGTGACAGCATTCTTAATCTTGGATGGGTTCGTTGTGGATGAAGCGGTGTTATTGGTGTCAACTTTATGATCGAGATTCATCGTGAACAGGTCGCCACGCCTTGAGAGAGCCGCGATGGTCTCTCCTCCCGACGTAATGTAGGAAATCTGATTCCATCCAGGTTGGTACCGCGTCGATAACTTGATATTGCCGACCATGTCTAGGCTCGTAAACGGGAACTTCACGATGTGGTAGCCATATGCAGTGAAGACACAAACGGTGTGGTTTTGAAGCAGGACTGTCGTCGCCTTGTCGATAGCTGTGACCATAACGATGGGGGATGAGAATAGGGACGTGGCGACCTTCCTTGGCGTTTGTTGGTACTCGAGAGACCTAGAATCAGCGTCCATCAAGGCCAATTGGCCCACATTCTTACCCCAGCAATACAGCGAGGAGCCAGTGTGAGCGACGGAGTGAATCGAAGAAGCGGCAATCCCAATGATGACCTCCTTTTTCAAGGGCCCAAATACCTGGCGAGGGACCGTGCTTATGGGGTCTTCGTCCTTCTTCGCCGGCTCGGGGAGAGTATACCCCAGTTGATGCTGAGCATTGCTGCCCCAAGTCCAGAGCGCCCCTGTGTCATCAATGGCCATAGTGTGATTTTGACCTAGGGCAACCTGGACGATCCTCTTGTCGGCCAGCGGCCCCTGAATGGGGGTGTAAGTGAAGCGCGTGTTCTCGTCTCCAAGGCCCAAGCGCCCACCACGGCCGATGCCACAAACATAGAGGTTGGACACCGGGTCCGTGGTCAGCACAGCACTGTGCAGTTTCGACAACACAACGTCTTGAATCTCGATAGGCCGATTTCGCACCAAGGTAGGAATCTTGTCCAGGTCCAATGTGGCAGGCTCTTCTTCGCCGATCGATTGCAGGTACTCGCGGTAGAACCGTCGTAAGAGGTGCTCGGGACGCTTCAGGACCACACGCTCTGGGTACTGGCGGTCATCTTCGTCACCGAAACCCAGCGATAGGTTCTTGTTGCTGCCGAATGCGTAGAGATCTTCTCCTAGGGCGGTCGGAACCTTGTTGGGGTGCCTTGTTCATTGTACATTATATCAGAGTCTGCACCAAAGGGACGGCAAAAATACAGTTAAACTCACACAGGAGTATCCGAGGTGGAGTCGCCCGGGTCGCTCTCAGAGCCGTCCTCTTTCTCATGCTCCGCCGTATCTCTGAGACACCGCTCCCCGATGGTCGAACTGTATAGGTCGAAGGGGCTGTTACCCTCGTGGTCCTTGGTCTTGATGAGCTGACCGACCCTGTTCAAAGCGCCATGGTGACCCTGGGCCAAGTCATTGCGTTCCTTCTCGAGGAGAAGCCGAGCAATTGAGATGTTACCCGCATACAACGCCCGGTGAAGTGCATTCCAGCCACTCTCGGGATCCTGTACGTAAATATCGATGGCTGGGTGTTCGAGCAGGGCCTTGACGAACTCGATGGCGTTGGCAGCAGTAGAAGAAGCGGCGCGCAACAGGATGGTGAGACCGGCATGATCGCGACTGTTGACCTCGGCACGCCCAAGAACGGCCTGACCATGACGCGCATTTCCCGAGCCTGCCCCTGCAGCTCCGGGGATCTTGCGCGACTTGGTCACATTGCGAGGAGATGTGCTGTATCCTGAACTCCCCGAACCTCCCGAACCTAAGCTGGAACCATGGCCCGCGGGTGAGAGCAGGCGACGGAACCTGTCGACATCGTCCTCCCAGTAGTATTTCCACAGCAGGTGAGTCATGTGCCGGAGAGTAGGTTCGCAGTATCTCTCGGATGCTTCGAGTGCACCTCGCTGTGGACTTGACGGAACACGGCCCGGTTTCAAGGTGCGAATCGAAGCTCTCGAGGAGGGCGCGCGAAAGGGATTCGACTCGTAGTGTGGTGCACACCAATGGCCGCAAATTTACTCGCAGTGGCGACTGAATCAAGGACACGGCTGCTTCGGGGGAGCAGACAGGGAACGACGAAATTGCGACTTTAAGAGCTCTACGTGGATCGGGTGCAGATAAGCAGCAGCGCTGTTCGTGACGTCAAGACGGGAAAGCGAGGGAGCTAGCAATCAGGATGCGCGTGGCTGAGCGGGCGGGATTGAGTGCGCCGGGCGTCGACGTTGCGAGACGGAGCTGACCAAGTGACCGGGACCAGTCGTGGTGGATTGTTGAGGGGTCCTGTACTCGATTCGTGGTCGTTATCTGGCATTTGATAAGGTCATCCACCTGCCCCGCGTCCTCCAGGCTCCCTGGCCGGCAGATCGATCAGAGCCAGCCAATCGGGACGCTGGTTGCACGCATGCCCTAGGTGACTCCACCGATGTGGCACTGTACGATTAGCACAACGCTGTTCGGAAGCAGACGTTGGATCGATGTTTACAAGATATTCGAGAGTAAAAAAAAAAAATCTCTTTCAGTTGAGTTTTCGAGATTACACAGCATCTCCAACACTCTCTACAATGAGAAGAAGGCATAATCATGTGCATGGGTATGAGTTTAAATATTCACATAGGCGACACCATGCCATTCCGAAGATATCTATCAAATGTCCAAATTGCGTTGTTAGCTGCTTGTTGATGGCTTTTGTCTGAAGCTTGAGTCAAAGATCAGTTGATAGGAAGTAAACTCAGGAATAAAAATGAGATAAAAGATGGGTTTTACCTAGAACAAAGCAACTGGGTAAAGGTCATGCGAGGGTCGAGGAAGTATGCATCATCGAGATGGACCGCAGTGTATGTAAGGGTTAGGGCTTAGTAGGTTACTGATCCACGCACCCCCGTGTGTTACAAATGGAAATCTGGGGTTGGACCCTGCAGCTCCGATGTCGTCAAGCCCCACGAGCATTTCTGCCAAAAGGCGCATGAAAGGTGGGGTGTGCAGCTGCTTCCATGTCACGGCTTCATACGGGCTTACCGAATTCGGTTGACGACAGCGCGCTCACCCGCCATTTGCGAATTGTTGGTGGCATTTCTTCTGATTCTTTAACTTTTTCCCTCCCCCTTCTTCGCTGTCATCTTTACTTGCCCAGCTCACCGTCTCGTCTCGCTCTTTGGACAGCGCACACCTCCAGACTCCACCATGGCGAACGACAAGGCCCCTCTCCCATTCGTGTACAACTTCGCGGCCGGTAAGCTCTGCCTCTCCCTGACTTGGATTATTGCTTAGCCTTGGAGCGCATTGTGAACTGTCGCAAATGCTCTGCTGGACTTTCAAGAGCTAACCATTGACACCAACCAGGCGCGATTGCTGGTATCTCTGAGGCATGCCTCCCAGACTCCCTAATTTGACCCAATCATATGCTAACGCCAAAGCGCATGCGAATAGATTCTGGTGATGTCGGTGTCCCTCCTGAATTTCGTTCACATGCTCCGGGCGCAAGCTAACAGTGGCCGAACGCAGGTACCCTCTGGATGTCGTCAAGACCCGGGTGCAGCTCCAGACAGGCAAGGGCGCCGGTGCGGATGCGTACAGCGGTATGATTGACTGCTTCTCCAAGATCATCAAGAATGAGGGGTACGTTGCCGGTCAGGCTGGAACGGAGGAGGGGTAACGAAAGTCGCGCTTTGGTGTTGACAGCTGGACAGCTTCTCTCGCTTGTACCGCGGTATTACTGCTCCGATTCTCATGGAGGCGCCCAAGCGTGCGACCAAGTTTGCTGCCAATGAAAAATGGGGCAACTTTTACAAGGACCTGTTCGGCCAGCAGACCATGAACCAGCCTCTTTCCGTCCTGACCGGCGCCTCGGCTGGTGCTACCGAGTCTTTCGTCGTCGTTCCCTTCGAGCTGGTCAAGATTCGTCTGCAGGACAAGGCCTCGGCCAGCAGGTACAACGGCATGGTTGATGTCGTCGTCAAGACGGTGCGCAACGAGGGTGTCCTGGCGCTGTACCAGGGTCTTGAGTCGACCATGTGGCGTCACATCCTCTGGAACGCCGGCTACTTCGGCTGCATTCACCAAGTCCGGCAGCTGGTCCCCAAAGCCGACACCAAGCAGGGCCAGATTGTCAATGACATCATTTCGGGTACCATTGGTGGCACTGTCGGTACCATTCTGAACACGGTACGCCCTCCGTTTTCGTTTTGCTTTAGTATAACATGCTGACAGCACATAGCCCCTCGACGTGGTCAAGTCTCGCATTCAGAACACCGTCAAGGTGCCCGGCGTCACTCCCAAATACAACTGGGCCTGGCCTGCCGTGATCACCGTGGCCAAGGAGGAAGGCTTCGGCGCGCTGTACAAGGGCTTCATTCCCAAGGTCCTCCGTTTGGGCCCGGGTGGCGGTATCCTTCTCGTTGTCTACACTGGTGTGATGGACTTCTTCCGCAAGATGCGGGACGGCACGGCGTAAAGGGGAACCGAGATGGGGTGTACATAGAGAGACAAACGGTTGTGCTGGTTTTCTTTCAATCTTCATATATAGATAGACATGTAACCCTGGGTTGGATATACTTGATATCTCTGGCCGGTCACCAGGGGCTGAGAAAGGTATCATTGCGGTCATGAGGCCTAAGCTTTAGGAGAGGTCATCTCCAGTCATAGATTGTGATTCCCTTGACACATGGGTTATTGTGCCCATCCCCAGGCCATCGTACCTGAAGCACATTGGCAGACTGCCTCGGCACCTCTCTCGATGTTGAAAGATACCACGTGGGGTTGTCAGCTCCCCTCATGCACATCCCGCACTGCATATGGCTCAGGGTAAAGAAGCCCCATTGGTTCCAGATGGCTTTCATCCCAGCTAGCTGCCTGCCAGGGCTTCATAACAGTCCGAATTTCCAGAGCTTCTGAACCCCAGATAGACATTCGGCCTACCACAAAGGGATACGAGGATCACTTTGACACGGCATTTGATGTCGGGAACGGCGCAATGTAAAGCCAGGGCCAGGGTTGTCTGCCCTCGATCGCCGAAGCTAGGGCTACCCTTGTTATCGATAAGTAGCCGAAACGCCCCCACAAAGTGGACCATACCCCACATGCATGGATCCCAATTCCTGGTGCACCTCATCTCACCAGCATGCATTTCCCTTTTCATGTTCATTTCTTCCTTATACAAACCGGTCGTATTTCACAACTCAAACACATCCAAACAACCTTTATATCATTTTTTCGGCGCGTAGCTGCATGAATGGCCTGGAAAATATGTCGCGCCCAATTCAGATGCCGCCCCCCCCGCCGTTGCTTCTCACGAAGCGCGTCACCGCCTTCCTCCGTGCAAACCTCTCCCCACCCATCATTCACACGGCGATGCTGACGACTCCATCCGGGAGCTTGCTCGCTCATGCTGGAGACATGCCCGCGAGTGCTCTACGTCGCCAATGCGCCGTCGCTGCCCAGCTGTGGGCTATTCAAAGCCAGGCGCGAGCTGCGAGAGCTGCTGCAGAGCATCATCAGCAGCAGCCCGGTGAAAGTGCAGACACTGGCGCGGAAGATCTTACTGCCGTCGCTACCCCGGGCGCTACGACAACAGTCAAAAGGCGAAAAGACAGGCCTCCTGTCGTCACAGTGCAGCTTGACACCGGCGCAGTCTTTGTCATCCGCCGCCTACGCTGCGGCATGCTCTTCATCTGCATGGGCGGCAGTGAAGGGAGCAAGTCCAATCCCAACGACAACACCGCAGGGCAACGCACACCAACACCATCTCACCTCCCCCATGGGCAACAACTCACCAGCCCCAGTCCAAGGACAGTACCCCATTCCTCACAAGCCCTCGCCGACCCCTTAGCAACAACCGACCTCCCCCCTCCGGCCCTCCAACTCCCTCATCACCCAGCTCCAACCTCCCACAGCCACAAACAAAAACCCTCTGCCTCCCCTCTTCTCCCAGGACAAAAAACTCCAACCCCGTCTCATCCCCATCCCCAACCGCCACGAACACCTCCTAGCGGCACTGGCCAACCAACATCCGGTCCTGGCTCCCCTCATCCCTCGGAATCAGCAATCAGCATCGCCAGCGTGGCAAGCAACGAGACGACGGCGACGTGTTCGACCATTACAGGGTCGAATAGTACCGTGTCGCTGATGAGGAGACAGGTGGAGGAGTTGGCGAGGTGGTTGGATGAGAAGCTGGCGGGGTTGTGTGTGCCGGAGGAGGGCATTGGGGTTGCGGGGACAGGAGTCTCAGGGATGGGGATGGGGATGGGCCAAGTCGGATACCATATGGGGGCAGGGGGGATGGGGATGTCGTATTCGGGGCAGGGTCAGGGTCAGGTTTATGGTTCGACATGAAGCTGGGAATAGTGAGTGGGTGAAGGGATTAGGGGGATTGAAAGGGAGTTGTGGGTTGATGGGAATGAGAGTTTTTGGATATACCAATTGGATACCTATATCATTCGGTGTGTGGTTTTGCCTGCATTGAGAGATTGGAAGCGTGAAGTGGATGGTCGACGCTGCCTCAAGTGAGATATCGGATATCAAAAAGACATCGGACTCTTCGGTCGCCCAACGTCTCCCTGAAAACCTTTTGGGCATGGGATTAGGGAGAGTGGAAATGGCCAAGCATTTCACCATCAAAGTAAACCCAACTTCCTCAAAACAGGTCTTTCGCTCAGTATATCTTCGCAACCAACTAAGCAAAAATAATTATATCTTGCTGCTGCCTAAGCAAAGCTAAACTTCAAAGCCAAACGAGGACTGCACCCACATTGACAATGCCGTCTGTTTCATTGGCAATAGGTAATAGGAATAATGCTTTGCTTCCCCATAGAAGTAATCATCCGAACCTGTCCATCCCATCCAGTCCAGTCCAGTCCAGCCCAGCCCAGCCCAGTCCAGTCCAGCCAACCCGATCCATTTTTAGTAGCATATGTGCATACGAAACCCATCCAATGCAGAAAGCAAAAACACCAAGGTGTGGCCATCCCACCAACCGTCCAATGCTTGTTGTGTGTTTGTCCCCTTTCCCCAATCGTCAAGTAAAACCATCACTATAAAAAGCCACGACAAAGCATGCAACAATGCATGCGCCATCTCCCCTGTCAGCATTTTCTTTGTGCAAGATGAAAGAGGCTAATCCCAGCCTCTTCTTGACACAGCCCTCACCCCTCCCCCCCCGGCCTTTCACTCAATACTCAACCTAGTAATCCCATCATTCGTTTCCACCATCCCCTGATACCCAACCCGTCCTTGCAGCCCATAATGAATACTCTTTCCTCGTCCCACAACCCCTTCACTACCCCCCTTGGCACTTAAATCCCCTACGCTCCCCGGCCTCGCGCTCGTTCCCTCACTCCTTCTCTCAGGCCCTCCCCATGGCGCACCCTCGCCAACCCTCTGCAAAGGGCTCTGCATCACTGGTGACCCGTGTACACTCATTCCTGGGCTCACAGCGCGGCGCTTGATGGAGGCGGGATCGAGGTCATCATCGGCACGGGCGCGGCGTTTTGAGTTGATGCGGCGGGTTAATTCCGCTGCACTAGGGCAGGAGGGGCCGGTAGTGTTGGTACTGCTGCCGGGAGGTCGGGGACCTGAAGACTGTTGGGTGTTACAGTTGGGGCCTGAACTAGACGACGCGGTATTCTGGTTCGCTGTGGTGGTGGTCTGGCTTGCGCCAGTCGAGCTGGCCGATGGCGAGCCCATGGTTATATCTTCCAGGCTTGAGCGCGCAGGATGGAAGGATGCCGGAGGCGGGGTTGTCACACGCCCACCGCCGACACTGCTTGTTTCGGAGATGGTGTCCCAGGGGGCTTTGTGACGATTGGAGTTGCGCAGGGCTTGCTGCTTGAGGGACAGACCAAGAGCATTGGCGCTCGGATCGACCATCATGACATCCTCGGACAATTCATCGAGACTATCATGGGTTAGTTGGGTCTGGCTGGAGCCAGCTGTTGTGGCGGCCGGGGTCGCCCGGGGATGGGGATGTGCTGGTGGGAAAGGGCGCGGTTCCAGGTCCATGTCGGTACCCCGTACTTGGCGAATGACCTCAGCCTCACGGCGGACCTCGTGCTCGATTGGTGCGCTCTCTTCCATGAGAGCGGCGCGGACGCGAGCAAAGCTTTTGATTTTGGGCTGGGGACAAGACCAAATCAGTGTGCAGTCACATAGCAGAGAACAAAGGACTCACCAGCAGGTTCCCCCTACGCGTCACAGCCCGGCGCACTATGCTTGGACGCACGGGACTGTCATGGGTGTCAAGCTTGCTAAGGCTGTCATCGCTATCGTTCCCTGAGATGTGAAGCTGGTTTGCGGCCCAACTGATGCTCTCCCTCCTGGAGTGAGGAGACATGTCCTTAGGTCCGACCAAGCCACTTGGGGGTGATCGTGACAGGGCACTCGCAAAGCCAAGAGGCCCGCGAAGCCGCCTCTTGGGCTGCTTGATCTTTCGTGGCCTCTGTCGCTGCTGGAAACTGGGATTGTTCAGGGCAGGAGAGCCTGCGAGCCATGGTGCTGCTCCGGACATACTAGGAGTCCCAGCCACGCCTAGCCTCGATGCCTGCGGTGTAGTGACATAAATCTCATCTATATCCTCGTCCATATAGTCATCATCGTCTGACGAGCTAGACGACACATCGGAAATGACAAGGGTGCTGCCGACAGAGCTTGAGACCTGCATTCGTTCCTGGCTGCCCATCATGGACCAGAGCGAGGTGGAAGCCTGGTCGGCGCCGCTGCTACCGTCGTTTCTTCTACTGGGGATGTTCATGGCCCGCGACCCGATGGTTGGAGACGAGTCGGGCGATGCCTGGCTGGCGAGTGTGGAGTGGTGTAGACTCGTGGCAGCACGTGAATAGTCCAAGCCGCGTGATCGACGCGGAAGGATGCTGGACGGTGAAGCATAGATGTGCGAGCCGTCAAGTGTAGGTGAGAGCGGGGCTGGCCGGAGATAAGAACCGGATTGCGGGACGGGAGACGCAGAGTCAGTTGTAGTGTTTCCGGTGGGCATCTGTAGCGAGAGGCCCCTCAAGAAACCGGCCCGGATGGGCGTCGATGGGTTTGCCGAGACTGAAGGAAACGATGAGAGCGAGGAAAGTGAAGACAGACCAGACCCGAGAGAAGGTTGCCCGGACGGCACAAAGGGCCCAGGGCCGGCCGTACCACTTGGCTCATGGTCCTTATCCCGGATGGTGATATCGTCCTTTGACCGACGCGGGGCCTCGATGATATGTGGTGACGGCCACAGCTTGGGTGTGTTGCCACCATCGGACAGCGAGCGAGTGCGCGACGTGGCAGTGCCTGGCGCCGATGTCGACGCGGGGCCGGCGGCCTGCGTGGCCTGCGTGTCTTGGGACTCAGTAACGGCGACCTCGTTGTCGGGGTCCATCGGACCGTGATGATGGAAGTTTCTTAATCTCTGTGATGCAGCCATAAAGCAGTGTGGCGCGTATAGGCTTGGAGGTATCCGCGTTACGGGCAATGCAACATTCGCGATGCGATGGAGCTGCGATAGAACGATGGACAACAGTGAATGAAGCTCACTTCTCAAAAACTAAAAGTTTGGTTGCAGGTCAAAAATTGCCAAAATAAAAAAAAATTGGCCAGCAATCGTGCCGCGAGCCGCAAGTCAGCAGAATAGTTAAATGCAGGCAATCACTGACAATTCAAATCGTCCCGAGCCAGGCACAGCTGGCATTCATTGGTGGGTTGTGGACGGTTGGCACACTTGGGTTCAGGCACTGGACTCAGTGGATGGCGATGGGCATGGGCGATGGAAGATTGACGCTCTCAATGGCTGTGAGTGAACTGCTTGGACGCATGGGCTGTTAGGTAAGAGAACAGCAAGCAGCAGAAGGGAAAGCTCATAGGGGAAAGCTCAGTTCCCGCATCTTTCATGTTTTGGCGTCCTGTCATGACAGCGCCCGTGACTCCCCGCCCCACAATGTGCACCAGGGTCCGCTTGCGCGGCACCTTAGCGCTCGGACCACCGCGTGCCAAATGACACCCCACCATTGCCAAGCCCAGTGCCCCGCACAACGGTGCTTCATGGGATCTCAATATTACGGATCACGCGTCGTTGCAATGACGTAAGGGGCAGACACGAAGTGAGAGGCTCACTGCTCTTTGGAACGCACAACACTCTTGCTTTTGTGAGCTAGAACATAATTTTAGTTGGTAGATATTATCAAATTACTAACAAATGTTTCAACAAACTTCTTTAGAAGTCTCGTTCACGAGTCGGGAAAACTCAAACATGAAATGGATTGCTGTGATACAGAACCCCTAACCCCGCATTCTTCACACCTTTCCCCTTCGGTGAGCTCCCGTCCTAAGCCTTATTGCTTAGTCTAATAGCATAGAATGTAATGCTCTATTTTAAAACAACAAAATATTCTTGAGCTCATTGGTAGCTTTGCTAAGGTTTTCTTTTGAATCACAAAGCTATTGTGAGAAGAGTATTTAGATAACCGTTTTGTGAGTATGATCCTCAGACACGCCTGCCTTTAACATGATAAGGTTATGAGATTGCTATTCAAGCATTGCTCAGTTGATTCAAATTGACTTGATTGAACATCATCACACTTGGGAAATGGAGATGCACTCTGATGATAATTGACTCCTAATCCTCTGTCTTCTCATCCCCTTCGTCATCCCCCTGCTTTCTCTTGAAAGTCCCGTCCAAAATCCTCAACTTCTTCATCCTCTTCTCTCCAACCTCATCCACCTTCCCATTTTCCCTAGGAATTACCCCAACCTCCAGCATTGTCTCCATCTGCTGCTCTATCAGCTTCTTGAAAACTCCCCCTCCTTGCCTACATGACATCAAACATGTCCCTGTACATCCCCCCTCCTCCGTCTCCTCAAACCACAACTCGAAGCGTCCCCACATGCGGTTTAACACCTTAGTTGCGTCGTTCGCCCACATACTGTTGCCCTGCAGCAGGAACTTTAATTCCTCCTTGGGATCGTCTGTGTAGGGCAGGCTTGCTATGGCTGGTTCGACGACGATGTTCCTGAAACCACAGCCATGGTTGCAGTACCCGTCGATGTTATCGTACTCCATCCATTTTTACGTGGGCACATATGCAACCCGTTTCGGGTCTGGTGCATTCCTCAACTAGAGGTACAGGTTCGTCGGCCATGAGATGGTACAGCATCTTGTCAACAGCCAAGTAATCGCAGCCTGTCGTGTAGGGGCGGAGTTCCTGTCACCCTCAAAGTCAGCATCTTCCCATTTGATAAACAAAAACGCCCCCTCTAGTGGAAAAAGGAAGACATACCTTCTCCAACCGCAACCCCTCCCTCCCCCAGCTAAAATACCTCCTCTCCAACTCCGTCAACCCAACCCCTTCCTCCTACCCCAGCTCGGGCCCAACAACCAGCAAATAGGCCGGCCTCTCTCCATCACTCAAACTCGCACTCACCAAACGCCCCTCCAGTCCCCCCTCCCCAAACCCAGCTTCACCGTTCCATGCATCTCAACCCCCCTCGGCCGACGCAAATACATATTGTCAGCACAAATCCCCCATGCAACACGGGCATCCACTCATCCTCGCCTTCCCTCTCCGTCCCATCTGGATCGAGTCTAGTCATCTTTGCCAGCTGGTCCTTTTCTGCTGAACGTCCCCCTCAGCGCTAGGTTTTATGCAGACGTTTGATGCGTTTCTCTCCCGTTTTGGAGTCGGTGATGGGCTTGAAGTTGTAGATTACGCGGGTGCCTTCGTGGAGCCAGGAGAGGGCGCACATCAGGGAGAGGAGGGGAGGTGCCAGAGGAATGATTCAGAGATGGGATTTGGTTTGGTTGGGGAGGCGAGGAGGGAGGAGAGGGTGCCGTATTCAGGGCAGTCCCAGAGGAGCATGCGGATGGGTTTGCAGAGGTTGCTGGGTGGAGCTTTGGCAGTTGGGTTGTTGTGGCTGACGAAGGACACGGGGACAGAGACGAGAGTGCCGTGGTCTGAGATAAGGTTCTCGTAGTCGAGGAAGTTGACGGCTGATCTGACTGCTCCTCTTCTGAATGACACGCCGAGCTTCACGCGGGGGTCATGCGGATTGGGTTCTTTAGCTTTACCCTTCTTCTTCCTGGTTCCGTTGCTACCGTCCTGCTTAGTCCCGCCGAGGTCTTCCTCAGTCAGGTCGGCAATAGCTTCCAGGGGCTGACCGAGAAGCAGGTTGCGCATGGGGGCAGCAGCGAACGAGATAGATGTTGTTGCCGAGATGCTTCTCGACGAAGTAGCTGATTTTGGTCCAGGGAGCGTAGAGCCCGGGTATTGGACGCATCCCCAGCTCAGGGATCTCCTCAGCGTTGCTTTCCATGGCTGACGTGAGTTCGCTTCAGAGAGAGACTATGATGATTTGCGGGCTGAAGAGAAGTAAGGACAGGTTAGGGAAATGACTGCCCGTGTTGTAGACATGATGTTTGGTAATAGTATCCTCTCCTTTGCATCGATTGTAGCTGAATTGATTGACTTCTGCTAACTAACGGTCGTTTCTTTGTCTGGTGTGACTATATTCCTGGATCCGGCCCTTGGGACAAGCTTTTGTTTGCATCTGGGAAGCCTGGTGGCTAAGAAGTTATGCTTGTCTTGAGCTCGCAAATGGACTAAGAAAGCCCTCATGTACAAACCTTGTATCTTGAACTCGTTAAAAATCGTCACAACGCAAGGAGTTCAATCTTTAATGTGGATGCAATATGTTGCAAGCTAATAGTCAAAGCCCTTCAGGCCCAACCTGTATTCTCTTCTTATCCATGAGTAGAACGGGTATCACTACTCGCTGACAAGCCACTATACACACCAAACCTCACTCAATCCTTCGCCCATGGCGCCTTAGTAACAGAAAACTGGTTGCTCGCTGTCCCCGGCGTACCCCGAGGGAAACTTGTCGGTGGCGGCGGGCCCGTGTTAGGAATCCCGCCTTTTGGAACTGGAGGCATAGGCCGAGGCGTCACAGTTCCTGGCCGAGATGAATCAGCCCATGGGGCCCTGGTCGGCGGGAATGCTGTACCCGGACCAGCAGGACCCGGCGTCCGAGTGGCAGGCTGTGCCCATGGCGCAGCAGTCCCAACCCCGGGCTGGGGAGCAGCAGGACGTGCCTCTGCCGCAGAGCGACTCGCCACATGGACCGAGGTCGGGGCTGCGCTCGCCTCGGGGTCCAGATCCCAGGAATAGAGGGAGCCAAAATGGAAATGCTGCACGACGGGGAACTTGGCCAACACCTCGGCATTGAACATCTTGATCATGCCCTTATTGATTTTGCCCCAGCCGTCTTTGATTCCAGAGATGTCATAGAGTAGTGGGCTGTGCTCCCAGAACGGGCCTTTCTTGACGTCGTTGATGAAGGCAATGGCAGAGAAGTACATGTTGGATTCGCGGTAGTGCTCAACTAGCTCTGCCTTGGTGATGGCCGAGGGCTTGGGGGCACCTTGGACCGAGCCCTCTTGCGGCATTGGCTCGTTATCCGTGATAGCGCGGGTTAATTGTGCCGAGCCGAAGATATAGGGCAGGAAAAAGTGGTCATCGAGACCCCAGACGCCATGCGAACCAGCAGGCTCAAGGTTGTACGTCAGGATTAGCTTGCGCACGACCTTGAGATACCTGTTCCAGTTAGTATCTTTCCTGAAAAATAAAACCGGGAGAATCATGTCAAGGATACTCACGGCTCAAAAACCCCAAACACTACCGCCCTCTCAACATCCCCTTCCTCCCTCTTCTCCCCCTCGTCCTCCTCAAAAAACCCCCAGCTTCCACAACGCCCCCAAGAACGCTAGGAAACTCAATTCATGCCCCGTCCCATAATCCAACCTCTGCGAACTTCCCCATCCCCCCATGAAATACCCCTTCACCTCCTCCAGCAGCCCTTTTTTTCCCTCTTCCGTCAACCCCTCCCCCCTTTTGCTATTTAGCACCGGCCCCAATACCTCCTCAAGCAACCCCTCAACCCTCTCCTCCACGAGCGCATACCACTTCCGAAACGCGACATTCCCAAACCTCCTCGGCCCCTGCTCAGGCGGCGCCGCTTCCATGACCTTCTCACACTCTGCTAAGACCGCCTCGCGTAACTTAACCACCGTGTCTGGGTCCTGGCGGGGGGCATTCATTGTAAAGATGCGAGGGCGCTTAGAATCGGGGTCGCGGCGTGGACAGAGAGCCCGGTTCAACTGGGAGATGAAGACACAGATATCGCGGTAACCGAGGGAAGACTGGAAATGGGTTAGGTCGACGGCAGTGTTGATGCATTTTTGGAGGGGGAGGAAGGTGTGTTGCGCGAGGGAGGGGATGGGGATTAGACGAGGGAACATCGGAGTTGAGGATGATGTTGGATCCGACATGCTTGGGGCGGCGAAGGGGTGAGAGGTCGGAGTGGGAGTTGGGAGCTGAGATCCGGATACCGGTGGTGTGGACGTGTTGGCGGGAGAAGGGGACGCTGAGGTGTTCGCGGGAGGGGCCGCTTGCGGCGGCGGGGGATCCATTGTTGCTGTCACTGCGATGGGAGCTTCTCGTTTTGATGACTTGTCTAAAAGCAGGAAGAAGGGCTGAGAAGTGCTGAGATGTGAAAGCAGAAAGCAATGCCAGTCAGTGTTGAGAGTTCGTATTCGTGCTGAAGTCGATGATGGAGGAAGCGAAGTTGGGGAAAAGAGATGCGAGCCCAGCTGCAGCTACAAGGAGTGCTTACATTCGTGCCTCAGCCTTCCGTCAGGCCAAGGTGAGGGCGGGGGAGGGGTAAGCAGTGGGGTGGTGGGGTTGACCCCGAGCCTTTCAGTCTTCGCCCTCTCCATCACAAACAAGCTTGGGCGTGACTTCGATCATAACGCTATAAGCTCCTTTGATCCGCGCTTGTGGTCGCAATACCTTAGGGTACTGACAAGAAGCCGCCAAATTTCAAGAAGTTTGTTCCTTGGCGGGAACATGGCAAATGTGAGCTCAAGGCTAGACGCTCCAGGAACCATAATTTAAATTTAGAGGGTGTATTTAATAAGTTTGTGTTTTACTCTGTAGTACTTCTCAGATCAGACATTTAGGTAGCTTCCACTTGTCAATGCATGCATTAATGTCGTTATTTACCATGACCTAACCAAATTCCTTACCTTCTTAACGCCAAATGGCATATGCGCAGCCTTCCTATCCCATCCACACCCGTGTAGTGGCCGTTGACTTAACAATAGAAGAAAAAAAAGGAAATGAAGAGCATGCAGAAAAGGTACAAAAAATTATGCGAAGAACCAACGCCGCAGCAAAAAAAAAAAATCAACCAACCAACCTCCCAGACAGCCCTCAAACCATACCTAAACCCCAACATCACAGAGAACACCATAACCAAAACAAAGCAAAAAAACACAAAGTCAACCATAACCCACGGTCCCATCACCTCCCCCTTTTCTGTTGACTCTCCTCCGCAGGATTAATAAATCTCCCCCGAAGCGTTCCCCCCGAGCCTTCGCTCCCAGCCTCACCCCTCGCCCCAGCACCAACCCTCCTCCCCGTAACAGCAGCATGCACCTGCTGATGATATCCTCCACTCCCATACCCAGCCTCAGCGGCAATCCTCGCCGCCGCGCCCGTCCCACTTCCACTCCCATACAACATCTCCAACAGCTTCCCCTTCTGCCGCGACCTCACGCCCTCCAGGTACATCCCGACATCCTCCAGTCCCTTAATCTGCTCTTCTAAAGTCAACGTGCTGCTATTCACGCTCCTGACCAGCGGAGAGACTAGCTTCCTGCGCAGGGCTTCCAGATTCGCCTTGAGCGCGAGCAGCTTGTGGTTATGCTCGACCAAGATCCCCTTGTTGCGAACCGTCTTCTCCCGTACGTTAAGCAGCAGTAAGCGGTTGCGCTCATACTTGGCTACTTCGGACGCCTTGGGTCCCAAAATGCGGGTCCAGAGCGAAGACAGAAAATTATCGTGCATCTCGTCCTGGAGAGATGCCTCCCGGACGACGGTGCGTGCTAAGTTCAGGAACTGATGGTCGATTGCTTCGAAGAGGGCAAACAGCGCGAGGGAGTGCTGCAGTTCAGAGGAGACAGCTTCTTCGAGGACGGTGAGGAACTCGTTAAAGGTGCGCTGGAGGGTTTGCTTGGTGCGCTGCGGGGTTGATTGGCCGAAGATGGAGGTTGCGAGGGCGCCGAGGCGGGTTGGTTGGCCAGTGACGGGGTCTTCGAGGATGCCGAGGGTGGAGAGGAGGTTGTGAATGTTGTCGAAGAGGGAGGAGAAGGGGAGGGGAGGGAGTTGTTGGACTTGGGAGAGCTCGCGGCGGGCCCAGTCCATCACGATGAGGATCCTAAGTCAAGTCAGTACGAGTTTATGAAGAGTATTACAGCAAGAGAAGTGTGGGCTTACCCATCAATGTCGCCATCGACATTGGCAAAGAACTTGGTCAGCTCGATGGCAAGCGTCTTGAGACTCTCGCTGAGCTCATCCAGCTCCTTGACGATGATGGGAGCTGAGGTAAGATTGCTAGTGCGTACGCTCTCGCTCAAATCCCAAACAGCAACGCCCGTAGCCTGCAGATCGCCTACCTGCTGGATACCATTCTCAGAATAGTAGATCAGAGGCTCTAGCGATCGCGCAACACCAGCTACCTTGACCAGATCCGGCACAGGTCTCATCGCAGCCGGCTGGCAGGACCAGCGCAGCAGGGCATATGAGAACATGGCGACGAGGAACGATGCAAACATGGACGTCCAGCTGCGCGTCATGGCCTGAAAACGGCCACGGACGAAGTTAATTGCCATCTCGATGGGCTCAGTACGTTGCTGGACCTCTGCCCGGACGGCGAAGCGGATGACTGATATTGGGAATATGTCAGCCCCGACCCCCTCATTTGATCGAAAAACACATAAAGAAAAGAGTTGGATAATTTTTTTATAAAAAAAGTTGATTAAGCCGGGGGGAAGGGTCTTTGTCTTACAGTTATCGTTAACCTCCTTTGATCTAGCCGAGACGTCTTTTAACCTGCTCAAGACAAAATCATCTGTCTCTTCCTGTTTGATTTTGATGCCTACATCGCCAGTATGCTGCTGCGCATTGTGGTATTCCGGCTCAGGACTCCTCTCCGGAGATAAGCTCCCCGTCGGCAGTCTCGTTCGGATCGCCTGCGCAAGGATATCATCATCGCCCTCATCGGCGCTCTCATACTCAGGACTTGTGTCTCTTGATCGATTATCGTCATCGACATCATCGACATCATCAACGCCATCAAACAACGCAGCCAAATCGGCCTCACCCTTGCGCCAGAACCCGCTGCTGCGGTCGCCGTTGCCGAGCCGTCTCCACGCCGGCGGACTGTAGCCACCGGCGGAAGCCTCCGAAGATTCCGACTCGTCCATCTCGCTCGCCACGTCGCTGCTGCTCCGAAAGCCCGAGTGGGCTGACGCTGTTGGCGGGTGGTGGTGATGGTACCCGAATGGCATCTGCGCTGCCTGCGCTGCCGGACGATTGCCAATAGAGGGCTCGAATTCGTCCAGTGAGGCGTCGAGCTGGTCGAGAGGGACGATGCCCCCCATCGTGGCTGTTGTTGTCGTTGTTGTCGTCGCTGTCTGTGCCATGACGACCGGCACCTGCTGCTCCTGCGCTGGCTGCCCCCCGTTTACCACTGCTGCTATTGCTAAGGTCTTTCTTGTTTCCGCTACTGCGATGCTCGTGCTTGCTACGACTTGACTTCTCTTTCTTCCGACTTTCTCTTTCCTTATCCCTATCCCTATCCTTATCGCTGTCTCTGTCCTTATCCTTTGCCCTCTTCCTCCTCCTTTCCCTGTCCTTTTCCTTACTGCGAGCGTCGCCGGTTACTTGCTCGCCAGCGCTTCCGGAGAGCCAGCTGGTATACCACGGATAATTGGTGATCAGTGGGGGCAAAGGCGTATCCTCGATATGTCGTCGCTTAGGCTGCCTCGGATGATCGGATGTGTCGTTCTCGCTATCGCTGCTCTCCTCTACAGTCGGCTGGTTCGATTCGGACGCTCGCTGCTGCCTTCTTCTGCGGAACAGTACCAATGACCTCCAGCGTGAGGAAGCCAAAGGCGGGAGATACAGGAACAGGAAGACTAGTGCTAGCACGAATGTCGCAACCCAGGTGCTTGGAGCGATAGAAACGCTGAACAATGATAAGTTCACGTTATTGTGGACCGAGAAGAGCGACGGCATCAGATCGGCCACACGCAGGGTTGTCGGCAAAGCGTGTGTGCGGTGTCGTCGCCCGGCAGAAGGTTAATCAGATAAGCGTGCGATAAGAAGGATGGAAGTTCCGGACCCGTTTGCTTCGTCTGCCAGGGAGAAGAAGACGATGGACGAGACCCGACTCCCGAGCTGGTGGAGGAGGGGCCCGGGGCTCTGGAGTGGCGCGTTACCCTGCTTGGAATGGCGTGCCCGAGTGGTATGATAGCTAGTGGCCGCTGTGATTGGGGCGATAGGCAGCAGCCGAACAGCGAGCCAAACAGCGAAACAGCCAACGGTTTCTGGGGTGTTTCTATGCAGCTGTGGGTGCTGTTTGCGGCCTTCCTCAGGGTGGAAATAGAGATGCCGTGATGCTGCGATGCCACTAGGCCCGTCCTTCCCCTGTTCACAGGTGATCATGGAACTCCCCGCAGCTGTCAGGTGTCTCACAGTCGCTCCCCGCGCGCACGATTCCTAGGACGCTGCGGGCACAAACAAAAATCAAAACCCTGGTCGCGTTAGCAAGGCGACTCCGGCTCTGCACTTTTCAAGCAACAAAATGCCAATGGCGCACTCAGATCGGGCGCTGCAGTTGTGGGCGTGGACGTGGGCGTGGGTAAAACGGATTATTGAACTGCGAGCTACTGTGGAGGTGGAGGTGTTGCAAGATGACAGGAGCAACTGGGCGCTCAGTACTCTGTAGCAGTTTCTCCATCCCACCTCTGCTTCCCGTCACTGCCTAATGAACGCTGTTCGCCCAAGGAATGCACCAGAGACCGGCCTCCCCCAAAACGAGAGGTTGGGGGGCACAAACCAAATATCGACGGCAGCAGAGTCACGGCATCCGGCAGTTCTCCACGGGAGCCAGCCATTTCATGCATGCCATTCTGCCGCTCACCCCTCCTTTATCCTCCCTGCAAAGCTTTTCCCTTCATCTATCCCGGATCCCCATGGAAGCTTTTTGAGGTGTAGAAGACAACAGATATTTTACATCACTGACTCTTATTTTGACCAAGAGCTTTCATCCCGGAAGGAAGCATGACGTCGAAGGGCTCAGGGTTCGCTCCGGGAGGACTCGGATACGCAGCCTTCGATTGATCATGTGGATCCTCTCCGCTTCTCCGCGAACCCCCGGGGCCCACTCATCCAAGCCAAGCATCGCGGGCCGCAGCGGCTGTTTCTGATTTGATGGACACCTCCAAACAACCAAAGTACAGCGACAGTGGTGTGACTTTCGTGAACCGGAGCTCCAGTGAGGACTTGAGAAGTTGGAACGTGCTTTTATTTTGATGCGTCTTCTTACATACATTGCTGAGGAAGTATTTCTGTGAAAAAAGAAGAAGGGATTGAATTTGTCTTAAAAAAAAGCAGACGAAAGAGCGCCCGTTGCACCGCCGCACCGAATCGTTGCTTCAAACAAGTCCCATGATTTAAAACTAGGGAAAGGACTTCATGGTCACGATCGAGCTGTTGAGACGGTGGTACCACTCCCGGATTAGACCAAATAGAGTGGTAGTTACTCAATTGCTGGTAGATGGCCAATAGCGTGACAAACCTATCGAAGACACAGGCAGAAGGTACGACGCCCGTAGAGAGCACAAGATGGCTATCTTGGAGATGCTTGCATCGAAAGAGAGGATAGGTCAAACATAGAGGTATAGCTTAATTCCATATAAAACTAACCCCGCTGTATTTACCATCTAAAATACACCCGCCCATGCCAAACCCAGTGACGTATGACTTTCATTTACCATCATGTAGAATAGAGTATACAACGAAAGACCCGATACCTTTGCGCTGCGTCACGAAGCAAAGAGAACCTCAAACAAACAGTAACAAAAGAGAAGAGTGTGCATCCCAAGCGGAGATCATCAGAAGGAAAACGCTCCCTCCGCGCAAACCTCGGCTCCATGAAGGCCTTCTTCAGGCCAACCACCATTCAAGACTCGAGCTTCGACTGCAGCTGTGGCTTCTGCTGCGCTTTCGCCTTCTTAACCTCGCCCTGCTCTTCATCGCCCACCACTGAGCCCGGCTTAACTCGAATGCTTCCGCCTAGTCGATCTTCGCATTGGCCAGGCTGCGTGCCGCTGGGTTGTTGATGTTGTTGACTTGGTGCGTTGATGGCAGGCGCTTGTTCTTTCCCTGCTTCCTCAAGCGTTTCCGTGCCACCATCACCGGGACGGATGACTTGGTGACAAGATAGTTGGAGAAGGAGCCAAGGATGACGCTGTAGACAACCGGTTAGCTACTACTGCCACAACTGGAAAACCTTGACATGAAACTTACCCTTTCAGCGCACTCCTCCCCCGGCTACCGAGAATTACCAGCGTAGGATTGACAAGGTCAATCACCTCTGTGATCAGGTGCTTGGGGTTCTTGCAGTGCAGCACTTCCACAATGACCCTTACTTGCAGTCTTGTCTTGCGTAACAGCCTCAGTACGCGCGAGCTGATTTCGCCCACAGCTCTGTACCGCTCCTCCTCGGCCCTGCTGCGCTCCTTGCGTGGAGGCTGCGACTGGTCCCTATTCCCGTTCTCATTTGTGCCGGAACCAGAAATAGTGTCAGTATTGCCATTAGCCGTAGCTGAGGGTGCCGGAGACACAGAAGTGCTGCCATCCGAACCCTGCTGCTTTGAAGTACCAGGAGCGGTATGCAATGGGAGATTGGTCCCGCTGGCAGAAATGGGTGTGGTGGATGAAGTAACAGTATTAATGGCTGCGGCCTGCTCCTTCATGGCTTTGGGCTCATCAGGCACCTGACCGCCACCGGGAGTTGACGCGTCGACGCCACCGATGCCCGCTTCCTCATCAACGCAGTAGATGGCCAATAGGGTATCGCCATCTCTGAGCACTGTACCAATAGCCCATTCGAGCGCATGAGTTGACTCCTCGCTCAAATCTGTTGCTACCAAGTACTTGCGCGGGGGACGATGCTCTTCCTCAGCCTCCTTCGCCAGTTTCTCGTACTCGCCACGGGTAATGATTTGGATCGTGCGATGAGCCTCAGGTGTGTCGATGATCTGTGTCATGGCGAACGACAAGTTCTGTGCCTGCTTGATGTCGGACAGATCGGCCTCCGTGTCCGAATCCATTGGCGTTTGTGTGCCAGAGCCCGGGGGATTGTCGAAGCTGGTGGCAGGGTGTACATGGGGTTTGCTGTGTTTGATCCTTTCACCAGATGGATTTGCAACTGTGATCTTTGGATCATCCAACAGCGACCTGTATTGGTATGTCGGTTGCTGGGTCGCCACTACCTGCAAGCCTGTGGATTTGGGTTAGCCACATCCTGCCAGCATATTCTTCCATACTTCCTGATGTCAGCTTACGTTCATCTTCTGCTGCCTGGAGCAGCGTCTGAGCCTGCCTCTTCCCTTCGCCGGACGCAGACTTGCTGCCTTCGGTAGGGAGTTTATCAATACTGCGCGAAGCCTTCCTGCCACGCTCATTCTCTTCCCCGGATGAGCGGTCACTCTCGTCACTGCTCTCTTCCGGCAGTATATCTCCATCTGGACTCAGATAGTCCTTAGCTAGCCTGCCGGTACCCTCAGCATCTTCTGACTTCTTCCTTCCCAGCTCCGAGAGACTACCGCCTGATCGTGCGAGGGCCGCATCTGAGAGGCGAGTGTAGGCAAGGTTGTAGTCGATTTCATGCGTCTCCTGGAGAAACTTCCGGCCTGCCGGGCTGAGGTGACGGCCAAGGATAGGAGCGGCTGGTGAATGCGAACGCAAGCTGAAACGATTGTGTGGGGACTTCGACTTGGTGGCACGTAGGGATGGTCCAGACGCAGAGTGTAGGCGTCCCCTATCGCCCACAACAACAAGGCTGGGAATGTCATTAATCTTGGGAATATCCGAAGCGCGCCTGTCTCCCTGAGTGACACGTTTCGGAAGAGGCTGTCCTACGCCAGTTGTGATGATGCCAGAGAACTGGTATTCGGACAAAGGATCAGGCTGCTGCACCGACATGCGCGACCCAAAGTCATTAGGCCTGGTCGACACCTCGGACATGCTTCTCGGATGAGTGCCATGGGTAGTGTGGGTACGAGGACTCGAGTCAGTTGGTGACGTAGGCTGGCTCTGAACCTTTGAAACCGCAGGCGGCGGGGAATCGACATCTAGCATGCTCCGAACCGGCTGCACCGGCGGAGCATCCACGTCAAGCATACTCCGGACGGGAGCTGCTCGAACGGGAATAGTCTTAGCAGACAAACTTTGGGGAGGAGTTTGGGAGCGAGGAGGTTCACCAATGTCTAGCATGCTACGCACAGGCGAGCGCGGCGTTGTATAAGGCGACGGGGAGCGCGCCCCGAAAGGACGAGGACTGGAACTGCGTCCCTCAAGCAACGCAAGTACCTCCCTCCGCTCCTCCTCGAGAGACGCCTCCATTGACATCGGCGGTCGTCGAGACATGATGGACAACTTTGTAGTGTTTTCGTTCTGCTGGCTGAACGGTTGTAGGTCGAGTACCGCCCACTGACACGCAGGGCAAGGTAGAAGTTGTTATCTATCGGCTGGATGGCCCAATGACAGGGCCTGTCGAGTGCTCAAGGTTGCCGCCGTGCTAAGCAGACGCAGGGCAGGGGACCCTAAGCAATTAATGGGCGGTGTGGCAGGCTTTTGCGGAGAGCTAACGGGAGTTGTAGCAGCACCAGAGACTCCTCAGCTGGGGAAGGATACGGGGTCAATGCTCGATAAGAGAAGGGTGATGATGAAATAGCTACTGGGCATCGTGGGTTGCGGAAGAGGTTCCGTCTTTGTGCGATACCCGAGTCTGGTCTGGCCCTCAGATGATGGCGGGGCCCCTCAGCCTAGCCAGCCGCCCGTCAAAGACACTGCCAAGACCCCAGAACGCAACGCCGGTCACAGTGACCCTCCTGTTGCCAAGAGAGGCGCTTCGCGGGATGGAACGACGCCAGAACGGGGTGTGTAGGCAAGCTTCCAGGTTGGAAGCTTCGAGGAGAGAATAGTCAACTAAAGACTGAGACGAGAAGGGGGAAAGAAAGCCTTGAAGCTGCTTGCAAAGTTACTCGAAGGAAGTTCTGGACACCGGTACTTGGAAAAGCTGTGTGGAGAAGTTTTTCAGTTTTTCTGACGGAGCTCTCCGAGCACCCTGGACTTTCCGCCAACAGAGGAAGGCGGTGCTGCAAAGCTTGGGTATGACGTGCGGGATGTGGACCCTGTGGATGCGCTAGTGTGGAGAATTGGGCGTGAGCCTGTGACGCCGTTGCGCTCCATTCGAACTTCTCATCTGCTGTTACTTGGTGTTGTGATCAAGCAGAAATTTACGACTCCTTGCATGCAGTCGATAACTCTCAGTTGGGGTTCGAGGATTCTGCGGATGTCACCGTGCAATGCTATTATTGGCAGCTTTGCCGTTTAATCTGGAACCAAGAGTAGCTCATAAGGGTTCTTTGCTAGTAACTGGGATGCGAGTTGGTACCAATTGACGGCTTGAAACCTATCGTAATGGACTGGCCCAGCTGTGTCAATGCATCGGGCGTGCATTACCGACCGTAGCTGCCTGATTTTGCTTGATCAGTCGATCGAGATCTAATTTTTTTTTCGTCCGAGGAACCGCGCCGGCGGCTCAGGCCCGACTCTGTTTCTGAGCCGAGTTGCCTGAATGCTTCCCGGGGAAGGCCTGTTGTCATCTGATGTCATTGGACATTTCACCCAGAGCCCATACGACGGGCTTCTGAGGCAGCCGACACCCTTTCAGAGTATACTCCTAACATGTGACATATGGAACACAAAACAGCCTTCGAATTCAGGGCCACATACGAGGTGCGACCCCAAGTAAAGGCCAGATTGTTCAGCGGCAGTCAGTACGCATTATCACGAGAGAGGTGGAGTGGCTGGCATCAAGGCCAATCCTTGACCCAGAAATAGGGGTGTATCAACCACATTTGCAAAGGCCCCAAAGACCAAAGATGTACAGTCAACAAGTATCCATACAAGTAATGTACAGTGCAATTGAGATCTCGGCGAACACAGCACGACATCGTAACCTCTCTCTCTAGTCGCTTTGCTCCCGAAGCAGACATCCACAGCCTTCCCAGGCAAATGATATCCCGTATATAACACACACATGAACCTGCTTCCTACCATACTCCATCTCCGTCTCTATCGCATCCATTATCCCCTTCAGATCCTGCCCTTCACCTGCGCGTGGTTTAAGTTGGACCGGTTGGCCGTGCCCACCTTGTGTATGGCAGTACGCTTGTCCCATACAGGTGAGCGACCCTCAACAACAGCAATGATCTCCTCAGCGACCCGATGCGGCCACGTGCCGCGGCCAGAGCCACGGTTGGGCTTTTTGCGCGCAACCTCGAGAATCCAGTTGATGGCGGTGCGGCGGCGCTGACGTGCCTTGAGCGGCACGGGAACTTCGAGGGACCGACCACCACCGGCCAGGCCTTTGAAGCCGCGCATGCGAATGAGCGGCGCCACGGAATCGATTGCCACGGTCATGTAGGTAATAGGGTCGAGCGGCAGGTGTTGCGCGGGCGGATGGCCGGGGATCAGGGGCTTGGAAGGGTCGATCTTAGGAGGAGGAGATGTGCGAAGGTAGTTGAGAACCATGGCGACGTCCTAGAAGCAGCCGTGTTAGCATGTGCACATTATTTCTCCCTCGATTGGAGCCAGAACGGCGGGCGTTTACCCTCTGAGCCTTAGCCAACTTGCCATCCTTCATCATTAACCTTGTGACCAGCTGGAGGACGTCGTCATAGCGATGTTTTTGCGTTTTCTCAGGAGGCAGTGGGAGATCTGGCAGACCGAACTTGTGGCCCTCCACGGCAGGGTCCAGGGGATCCAGACCATATTCGATCATGCGAAGCTGGTTGATAGCACGCTCGTTCTCTGGGCTGGTGTACGTTTCGGTCTCGGGTTCTGTCTGGGCCTGAATGGCAGGCTGCGGCTGAGGCTGTGGCTGTCCTTGACTGGGACTGTACGGAGGGATGCCTTGCGGGCTCTTGTTCTGTGGGAAGAAGGGTGGTTGGCGTGATGAGATGTTGTCGGCCAAACCCCGCGACAGCAGTGCCACCGGGCCGGACATCTGCGGCGCCTTTACGGCGGCGCGCGTCCTGACGGCGAGGCTCAGACTCCTGCAGGCCGACCAGATATTCAACCTCGGCGGCATGGTTGCTGTATGTGGGATCGGCAGTTATACCGACGACGGGGGTCGCGATGCGTCTCGCGGCGGACTGCCCATCTCGAAAAATTGCGGATGCCCGCGGTTTAGCCGGATGAGGGGCAACCCTAACCCTTTACCATTGACTCCGCGGACCCTAACCCTGATTAACTATGTGCACAAATCAGATCTGTGGGTTAGGGCTGTCCGGTGCCCGATCTTGGCTGACATTCTTGGTGTTCGGGCTTTGCAACCCCAACTGTCGGTAGCCGGGCCATGTCGATCTTCCGCCCCGCGGGAGCTTCTATCCCCGATCTCCTCATCCAATCCCGAAAAGGTGTCCGCCACATTTTCCTCGATTCTTGCCAAGAGAAGTATTCTATTTTTGTGGTTGGATTACGGAGTGATTTCTCCGTTATCTTTCACGGTAAAAATCTTCATCCACGACGTACTAGCATATTAGCGGATTGCTTTTTGTGGCGGCGGTCACGCGAACCGACGCTTTCTTTGCAGGTCCCGCCCCGTTTCATCGAAGTTTATGTACGGGGTACACATACGTGGACGCGGGCACTGCATCGCATCCTCTGCTCCACCGAGAGCGGTGAGCCAGCCCACGAACAGAGAGGCCCCGAAACATTCATGCAGCCGCTTTTCTGACTAGTCAACTTACCAAGCGCATGATGTCCTCGAACACTGGTGGTGCACGGGAAGGATGAGTGCAATGTGAGAGGCGATGGAGTCGTCATCATCGAAGATCATTACTCATATTCATGTAGGTATTCTAATCTAGATCGATGCAGTTCATAACAATATTTAAGGAGCCGAGCAAAACCCTGCCCAAACCCATTTCCAGTCTAGTATGTAGTCTAAGCCAGTGTTGCCCGAGCTAACCTTTTCATGCCATCCGAACTCTCCGTGCTGCTTGCTTCGACGAGGGCTCTTGTCCATCTCAAGATTAGGGTGATTGAGACCACAACAGGCTCAAACTCCACAGATTAGTGAAAGCCGCCGCGAGCAAGCAATGCGAATGCTTTTGAGCGCCAATGCCAACCAATTGTATCCAGAACGGTCCAGAGACACCCTCCCAAAACTGCCCCAGCTCGTAACAAACTGCCATCCCGGTTTCTCTCCATGCTTCATGCCGTGTTATGTTCATGCCAGTGTGATGATCGTGTGAAAACAAAACAGATGATGCTAACAGGAATTATATGCCAACCCAAACATGCAAACGATTATTAGCCTCATGCGCCGCGTGGCAAGCCGATGTCAACCCCTAAACACACGATAAGATGCGAAGTGTCATGATTAGGCGAGTGTGTAGTTGTATGCAGACTGAAGGTATAGCCCAGGAAACGAAGCGGTATCGTGTCGTACAGCGACGAATGCAAGACGTCCGGCCAGATCAAAAAGACAGAAACGATTAGGGGTTGATGGTGACCGAATTAGAAAGGGGAGACCAAGGGGGGGGACACGAGGAAATGGGATGAGGATTTTTCAGAGCTCATGACAGCGTAGGCAGAACGAGCAGGAAGCATGCTCTGACGAGGGATCAAGCAGGAAACGCGAGTTCAACCCCGTACGTATCACGAGAACTTCCATCGCTCGTTGTTCGATCCTCGCTGGCCTCGAATGCCTTCCCTCACCACCCCAATCTTCCCTTTGTCCAACTTCCCCGGCCGGTTCTCCTCGCTTCGCTGCTTCATCGTCGGACGTCAAGCTTAATAAAAGTAGGAACCCCTCCCCGTGGAGCTTGGAGTGGTAGGCGACATTGACGCGGGCGACATCGAAGCAGGCGGAGAGCCAGCCGCACTCGGCGTAGGGCTGTACGTGCCGGACTGGTTGTACCGATGCATCGGAGGAGCGATTGGCCTGGGAGACGGAGCGCCATACTGACCAGCAGCGGCGGTGGCAGCACCCCAAACCGGACTACCACCGAGAGAGCCGCCGGCAGCAGTAACACCCATGCCAGGGGTAATTGGAAGAGCGTTGATGGGAACGGCGGCGCCCATTGTCGCACCGGGAGCGTACCCGCCGGCCTCGCTGGCCAGCCAGTTCAGGGCAACTTCGGCGGCATCCTCGCGGGCGTTGTCGACGTACTTGCCATCGTACCAGAAGCGGGCGGAGTGGACTTTGCCGAAGGCAGTGACGGTCGAGGACCAGGCGGTTCTGCCGCCTGTCGCCTCAGTCAGCATTCATCCGTAAAAAAAGTCCATAGTGACGGAGCAAACATACCTCGCCTGTCTGAGACAATCTGGAAGAACGGCGGATCAACTTTGCACTCACGGCAAACCTCTGTTGTGGGTTGACGTTAGTCCATGTTGTAAACGAGTACGCAGCAAGGTGAAAGTAGCCAAAACCGGGGGACCACAAGGGCGATATGTCATACCACCGAGCTTGTCTTGCCAGCGGCTGTACGCCATCTTGTCTTAGGGGATCAAGAGGTAAGTTCCAAAGGTTGGTGGAGATCTTATGGCGAATTAAGAAGACGAAGTCGTAACAAGATGACACTCAGATGGCTGTGAAGGTCGACGCGGGTTGCCTTGCTTCAACTAGCTGACCACGGTATTCGAGTGGAATCGCGGGTGAGGATGATGATCAGAACAACGATTAGGATTTGATCAAAGACTTCCTAGGTGCGTGGGTTTGCCTTTATTATAGACACCGTCCAGGAAGATAGTCGAGTATTATGGAGAGATCCGTTTGGGAAACCTGCCCAACCGGTCTGCAAAGGCGACAACAGGGGGGGGCTGATGTGTCCGAAATGGATTCGAAGAGGTTAATGCTAATTAGGATGCAGAAATGCTCCTAATTGTGCGCTCTGGGTTGTTCTTTGTTTTGCTATCACCGAGGGGGAACGAGCTTGTTTGTTCGCAAAGGTGCAGATCAACAGCGAGGAGAGCGAGGGCAAGACACGGGACAATGCATCACCAGGCAGAAACAGACGGGTCGGTGAGATAATTCCAAGAGATCAGTGAGGCTCTTTGATGCTCTCGGGATTTCCTTTTGGAGTGTGGATGAAGTGAGCTCGAACGTCTAACACATCAAGAACCAGGCGGACGAGGGAAAGAGGGCAGATATTTCAATAACTTAGATAGTGCATCCGGTGCCGGCTCAACAACCACGCCTTGTTGGGATTGGCCAGCCACCGGCTCTACAGGCTGCGTGCCATGTCTCTCGTTTGCACAAGGCGGTGGACAAAAATTGTTCTCCATTCTTGCTCCTCTGCCTCTTTCCCCATGCTTCGTTTCCCCCACTGATCTTCGGCCATCTGCCGCCTGTGGGTGCCAAGTCACCGTTCGCCCGCAACTACGGTGCCACTGTGAACGGAATCGATTGGGATTCGGGCAGGCCATGACAGTCGGTGCAGGGCCTGACGTTGCTGCTGCGGAACAAGCGTTGACTGGAGCGAGAACAGCACACGGCAGCACCCGCGGTGTGCAATTACCCACTACGCCGCCAGACAAACAAACCCTGGAGAGACACATTCCGCCAGAGTAACAGCAGCATCACGCGGCGTTAAAGCATGCGGAAGAGGCGGTCTCAAGCTGGTAGGATTCCTATGGCCGCTCTTTGGCTTGTTAATGTGCAAGATCCAAACCATCGGCGCCCTGCTAGCAACCGGGCAAGAAGGCAAAGGTGAAGAGATCACAACGGAAACCGGGGACGGAGACGGAAACCCATGCTTCTCCAACTCCACCCCCTCCCCCTTGTCTGTTGGAAAAAGCTTGGCCGTTCGCCGCACTGGATTCCGAGCGCTGAGCTGTCAATGGATGCCCGTAGCCGCCATCCCAAAGAGGAAAAACGCCAAACCCCACGAACAGGGGTCCCAGACGGTGAGTGTGAAGTGGCACTTTTTGACCTGCCAACATGCTAGAGATTGGGATGCAGGGCCGATGTTGTGAGAAAATAGTAGCTTCTGCAACTGGTCACATAACCTGACGGCCATATGAAATGGAGCGCAAGGTCGGAGCAGAGCTCTGTGAGTTGTCACAGTCAGGCGACGCTGGGCAGAGCCATAGCTCTTCTTTAGAACCTGAGCAAATGAGGCCGACATGACGAAAGCTATTCGAGTGTCACCGGATCGCTTCCGTCTGTGTAACCTGAGGTTCAAGATGCTCAAGAACAAATCGGGCAACAGAGACTTCGTGCCGGACGCTACCGTGTTATCGGATAGGGTGCGCACTTCTACTCAGTCATCTTTCTTAACCATGGAAGCTCCTCGAATTGACAGGGTTAATGTCCATGTCCCTGTCAGCATGCTACCTCGAAGTTCAGCCTACCTTCGTTCGCCATGTGTTAACTTGACCACGGGTTATGTTCCGTCTTGCAAGCCGTGAGTCGGCGTCGTACATGAACAGGTGCTTTGGAGCTTGGACGCCTGGAGCCTTAGCTACAAGCCGCCGTAAGTCTGACCAAATGCTGTCGCTTTTGCAAATGGACGGTGTTTTCCAACTAACCGGCGGGTAAACACGAACCAGTCGGTACCGGCCCGCCGGACGCCCCATATGCATGGTCGCACGACGAACGGTTGCGAAACAGTGTATGTTGCGCAGAGGTGAGAGAAGTAGGAGAGCAAATGATGATTGGTGCAGCAAACCACATCCACTACACGGCCGCCAGCGTACCGATGGTTGGTGTGCCGAAACTGCAGCGGCTTCTGGAAGCAACCTGTCTCTGGTTCGATGCGTTAGATCAGCACTTTTTTGTGTGTACTTGCTGCCCAAGCAGAACGCTCCGGAGGTCGGAGAGGGCTTTGGCAATCCTCATCTGGGATTCGCTGGTATTGTCATGTGAACTGCAGGGTAACACATAGAGAAGCCGGAGCCGGAGAAAGCTGTTCGGGTGGTCAGTTGAAATTCCCAGAGTCAATGACAGGAAGTTGTAAATGTCTTGGTCGCTTTTGTAAAGGACAAGAGAACGAACGACACGCTAAAAGCATGTCAACCTCGTTGAAGAGCCCTGTTTTAACCCTCGACGCTCTGCGTTTGTTCTTGACAGACTCGGTGAAGGCATCATCCAATCCTCCTTCGGTTGGATGACACGCGGCTTGTTGACGTACGCTTTGCGATCGACACTTAGGCTGTGGAACAACCAGGCCGGTGAAGCAACGGCTCACATCGCAGGGCAGTTCCTCACCTCTCACATTTGTCTCCTATCAATCGGAGAAGAGCATATAGGAACCCGAGACATCGGCTTCGGGAACTCCTTCGAGACAGCTCGCCAGAGAGGCGGAAAGGAACCCGAGGGGCTTCCAATCCTGAAATTAGCCGTGTACATAAATTTGGAGTCAACTTGTGAAAGCGGTGCGCTGCCGATTATATCACAATAGACGAAATAAGAAGGCTTTGGCAGCTGTGAGACATGCCCCCGTACCACACAATATTTCTGAGAATCAGTGCGAGAAAGGTCAAACTTGCTCTGGATTGAGATACATCGGATAGAACTGTCTCTCAAAGAAGGGGCTTCATGATGATGTCTTTTTCTGGGGGAACTTCCCTCGTCTGACGTTGTCTGAACTCAGGCGAACAATCAGCCTCTGGGCATCGGAGGAATCAATCATCACTCAGTCCTATGTTCCACGAAGCAGTTGACGGTAGCTACCATGTTCTTGAAGCGTAGTCCGTATGCTGACAACTAAATTCCTGACGGTTGTCTCAGATGCAATGAGCCGTCATCGGGTGAGAGTTGTGGGTCTTTCCATGGTGTCATTACAGTTGAACGACATGATAGCAACCTTGGACATCGCAGAAAGAAGCTGGGACAAGCTGAGATTGAGGAGCAAGAGAGAAGACGGAAGTACTCTGGTTCGCATTGTTGATCATCCTTTGCCCAGTTGCTATCGGATGAATTGTACTAGTAGCACAAACTACGGCCTGGGAGGATATCCTGGGCACATCTGGCAGCCAACTTCGCGAAACCCGTCCGGTTATAACTCCTTCATCCCAACTTGGCAATTGTTGGCTTACACAGTACGTATGTCCAAGATCCTCGGGCCCTTAGCGCCGTTGGTGGTCGGTTGCCAGGCTCCTCATGTTTCCAAATTGAATCATAGCGGAATCCGTACCGTGCGGAGAACCTGGTTACTTGGTGTAAGTTACCGCTTATATGCGGGGTTTCTGTATTGTATGTAACATGACGCCCTCACGTTACACTACGATAAGTTACGGCTTGGAGAAGCACATGAAAAAGCCGACTCTGGAACTTGGGGATGGGCGAGACACAGAAGCGAAACAACCAGGCTTCTGGTATGGTTCTGTGGCACACGCAGCACCTTGATGCTGTGATGCTACCTCTCGACTCACTTGTTTCACCGGAAAAGGAAGTCCCGGTGTTGGTCGGGGTGCTCAGCCTTCCCGTCAGCAGGCACACGCGCACGTCTCGCACGTCTCGGCCCTACCGGCGTCTCCAACTGTTTAGTACAAGGTCAAAGTGGACTTACCTCGGCTCGCTAGAAACCCCCCCCCGGCATGTCCCACCATCTCCGTGTTCCGTCCGGCTGGAGACCGGTCGATGGCCATATGAAACAGAACAGCCTGCCGTCGTCCGGTTTCCTGTCGCTGTTTTGTCCGACATCTCTCTGTTATAATCGCGGTCCCGATCCGACCCGTTGACGCGCGGAGCCGTCGTTTGCTTTTTTGTGTTGTTTCTTGCCTAGTCCTTGTGTAGCGCTCTGTCATTTACTTGTTTGTTTGTGTGTGTGTGTGTGTGCACTCATCGCAATAATGCCTTTCGACACTGAATTGACCCGTCGTCTCGGGATCCGAGGTACGTAACTTGTTTGGATGCGCAACACCAACCGATAAAGAGAAGCAAATATCGGGCTGACATAGCGTGATTGACGATATCAAGTCCCTGTTATTCAGGGTGGCATGCAGGCAAGCTTTTCCTATCGCCACAACAAAGACTTACCTTTCCGCAAACCGACTAACTTTTGAGACAGCATGTCGGCACTGCTGAGATGGCCAGCGCCGTGTCCAATGCCGGTGGGTTGGGTATCATTACAGCGCTCATCTGGCCCGAGCCGGAGGGCCTTCGCCAGGAGATTCGCAAATGCCGTAAGTTGACCGACAAGCCGTTCGGTGTCAACATCACACTGCTGCCGGCTCTGGTTCCTCCGGACTATGGCGCCTACGCGCAGGTAGTGATCGATGAGGGCGTCAAGATTGTTGAAACAGCGGGCAACTCCCCCGGCCCGGTTATCGAGAAGCTCAAGAAAGCCGGCATCATCGTTATCCACAAATGCACGACTATCCGGCACGCGCAGTCAGCTGTCAAGCTGGGCGTTGACTTCCTGAGCATCGACGGTTTTGAGTGCGCTGGCCACGTTGGCGAAACAGATATCACCAATTTCATCCTGCTCAGCCGGGCGCGACAGACGCTTAAGGTGCCCTTCATCGCCTCGGGTGGTTTTGCTGATGGGTATGGTCTTGCGGCGGCCCTCTGCCTGGGCGCGTGCGGTATCAACATGGGCACACGCTTCCTGTGCACACAGGAAGCGCCTGTCCACCATCGCATCAAGGAGCAGATCGTCAAGGCCCAGGAAACCGACACTGCGCTAGTTCTGCGGCGCTGGCGCAATACGACCCGCCTGTACCGCAACAAGGTCGTGGAGCAGGCACTCAAGGTCGAGAAGGAGAGCAAGACGGGCGACTTTGCCGAGATTGCTCCCTACGTCAGCGGAAAGCGTGGCCGTGAGGTATTCATCAAGGGCGACCCCGAATATGGTGTCTGGACAGCCGGTCAGGTCATGGGCCTGATCCACGACATTCCCACGTGTAAAGAGCTGCTTGAGAGGATCGAGAAGGAGGCTGAGGAGACGCTTAAGAACAGGATGGGCCTGATTACGCCGGCGCCTAAACTCTAAACAGTTTTTGATCGTTTTGCGGCATATTGTCTGTAATTACTAGAGAGAACCGTGAATGTCTCAATATACGAGCAGAGAGGGTGCTGGACTTGCACCATGTACATACGGATGTACCAAGTTTAAAATTGTAAAATGTGAAGCTTTTCAGATTCTGAGCCAGAGCACGGGAAAAATTGGGCCTACCCAAGTCAGTAAAACCCTAACCCCGGAGTAAACCTGTAGCCGCTGGGGTAAGTGGGTCCCTGGGCCAGCAGCAGACACCTGTCCGTCCGGCCCCTGAACGAAATGATCATGCCGAGAAGGTCCCCGCTCTGGGTTGTTCGCTGGGGTCGCCTTCGGCTGGCGACGCGGGCGGTTCAATGGCGCATTGAGCTGCTGCTGCCTCGGCATGTGAGAAGCGCCGCGCGAGCCGTTTCCCTGATTTCCATGGCCCATCGCCGTCTCTTTGTGACCATCTCGGCCATCCCTCTTTTTCGCCAGGACGTCGACGCCGGTCATCGATTCCCATCCTCTCCTTGACGCCCGCACAGCGCGCACACGCCGAAAACTCCCATCATTCCATCGAAACGAGCTGAAAGCCGTCTCGACGTCAGGCCTCAAAGCAGCAGCAACACCCGAAACTTTCGGGAAGCACATCCGACCGCTAGCCGAACCACTTGCGGTCTCGCCGCACCTACCTAACATACCCACTCATTCACAAGGCCTTTATCAGCACCACATCCGTCCTCTGCAACAGTCCGTTCTTTCATCCGACCTCGACAAATCCAATTTCTTAGTCTAGACACAACTAGCCATCTAAAATGGTCGCCGACGCCCTTGTTTATCACCCCGCGGTGAGCCATTACCTCAAGTTCGTTGGCACCACCGTGGGGCGTGACAAGATCCTGCGCACGCTGCAGTACTTTGCGCGCTTCTACGCTTGGTACCTCCTGCGCACCAACAAGCCCAAGACGGCCATCCAGCCATGGGAGGCGATGAAGAAGCAGTTCGGCCTTGTGCGCAAGGTGCTGCGTGCCGGGAAGAACGTCGAGCATTTCAAGGCCGCCGCTGTCGCCTACGACGCCAAGACCGGTCGTCTCGCTGAGGACCCCGTGCTGCGGTACGCCACTATCGGCCGTCAGCTGGGTTATGCTGGCTATCTTACTCTCGATCTGGCGACTCTGCTTGATGCTACTGGCATCCGCAAGTCGAAGCATGCCAAGGCCCTGCAGCAGGAGGCCTACCGGTTCTGGCTTGTCGGTCTGGCTTGCAGCGTGGTCGCCCAACTGTACACGCTGTGGCAGCTGCGCCGTAGGGAGGCCAAGGTTGACCGCAAGGAGGGCGAGGGTGTGGTTGAGGCGAAGACGATTGCAAAGTGGGTTGACCCTCAGTTATTTTGAGATCTGATATTGCCGGAATTCGTATGCTGACTGTCATGAACAGGGAGCGCGTGGTTAGCCAGCTGCAGCTGACTTCGGATCTGTGCGATCTAACTGTTCCCCTCGCCGGTCTCGGTTGGGTGCCCATCGACGACGGCTTCGTCGGTCTGGCTGGCACGCTGAGCTCGCTCATCGGCGTGTACAACCAGTGGAAGAAGACTGCGTGAGTGCATCTATGCGGGGATGATCAATACGGTTGATCTGGTAGTGAGGTTGTTTAGGCACTTGTTGGCAGGGGCAGGCAGGTAATCAGCGGCAAAAAAAGCGTGAGCGTGGCTGTGGCATATCATGGCGGGTTGGGACAATAGATGGATGAGTATGGTTTTGTTTTTTGATACCTCTGCTTAGCCTTTTTGCAAATAACGTTTTCAAAACATCTCACTCGATTGATCTTTGTAACCTCTTAGGGTCTGTGCATGCTATTGTGTTGATTCGCCTAGCGATGTTTTTGCTAAGCTCCCTTCTCCCAGCTTACTCGAAGGCTGCGTCCTCACGTCCCCTCAAAAGGAAAGTTGAGTTGTCCTCTAAATTCAAAACACACAAGCCAAAGCTCGGCCTGACCAAGGAAAACTTTTTTGAAATCTACGGTCTCTTGGAGCCGCTCATCAAACGGGTTGCCAAGCTAAACCAAATGCCAATCTAGTCGGATATACCAGCAAAAGATTCGTTTCAGGTTACCAGAGTCGCGGTCCCGAAGAACAATGACCAAATTCCCTTCAAAGTGTCTGTCTTGGTAAATGAAACGAACTATAGTATTGATATTCAACCACGGATGAAGCACGACATAAAGAGTTATCAGTGTCGCTCATCATGCAGGAGCTGGTAGCCCGGGGAAACCGACATAAAGCTTGTCTCAATCCCCGCCACGTTGATCCAGTTTTTTTCCAATCCTAAACCGGGAGAACGCCAAGTTTAATCCTCCCTGTCGTTAAACAGCTGTGAAACGTCAAGCTTTTGAGATTCAAGCGTTTATCCCTCTCTCGTCAATTCAATAATTTAGTGGATTGGAACCATGGCCGTGACCACATCGCCCCTGCTCTGCTCAGTTCATGTGCTTGGTTACCGCTTCCCCTCAGGAGCTGCGAGCCACTTAACCCAACCGCTGCAGGTGGTAAACCCTACGGTTGCAATACAACCTATCTCCAGCCTTGGACACAAAGAGTTTTCGACCTGGGGAAGGACAGGAATTGCTGAAACCGGAGTGCTAATCGCAACTCTACAGATATCCTCCTTGATCAAGCAACAATTCGCCCGTCCGGAGCTCCCGCGGAAAGTAGAAGACCGTCAGCAGCACTAATGGCTTCATCAAAGGGTCTGGAGGGCCTAGGGCTCTCTATCGTGGGCCTGGCCAGGCAATATCCGCCATATTCGCTCAAGCCTGATGCCCTGGAGGTATTGAGCAAGCGCTTCTACTCCCAAACGGCAGTGTAAGCGATCCTGTTTAAGCATTTGATAACTTTAAGATGCACCGATTAATCAATATCTCATCATATAAATGGCCGTTTTCACAGCATGTCTAAAGTCCTCTCCATCAATCGTTACACAGGGATAGAGCAGAGGTCCTCAATAGGCACGCCCGACCATCCCTTAGTCAACCAACCAAACCCTCCCACTATAACACAACTCCATGAGGTCTTCATGTCAGATGGCGTCCCCTTAGCAGTCGCCGCTGCGCGAAAGGCCCTCCAAGAAGCACATGTAGCCCCGTCGCAGGTTACACACATGGTCTCAACAACCTGCACCGACTCAGCCAACCCTGGATATGATCACTTCGTTGCCCAGGAGCTCGGTCTCAGTTACAACGTCGAAAAGGTACTCCTCCACGGCGTAGGTTGCAGCGGCGGCCTCGCCGCTCTCCGAACAGCCGCCAATCTCTGCTTAGGCCACAGCTGTCGCGGCCTGCCCGCCCGTATTCTCGTGGTAGCACTCGAAATCACAACAACCCTAGTACGCAGCGAGCTCGAAAGCATAAACGCTCTCAACCAAACCCGCATCGGCGTTACCCTCTTCAGCGACTGTGCCGGCGTCCTTGTCTTAAGCAACAATTTCACCTCACCCTCACACCCGCCCCCCTCCCCCCCAATTTACTCCCTTTTAACGTGGTATCACACAACTATTCCGTCAACAGAATCAGACCTCGGCTTCGACATCGACCCGACAGGCTGGAAAGTAGTCCTCTCCCCGGCCGTCCCCAGACTAACGCAATCTGCGCTCCTCCCGGCCTTTCACTCTCTCCTGCCCGATCATCTCCTCTCCACCTTGCCGGAAAACTACCGCTCCCCGGCTGACTTTGACTGGGCGATGCACCCCGGGGGCTCCACAATTCTTACGGGCGCCGAACAGGTACTTGGTATCACGTCTCTGCACATGCGTGCGAGCTACGACACGTACATTCGGCATGGGAACAGTAGCTCGGCGACGATGATGAGTGTGCTGGATCGGTTGAGGGAGAAGGATATGGATGAGCTTGCGCCACCGTGTGGTAGTGATAGCTCAGGGACTGGAAGAGGAGGGTTCAATGATGGTAAGGATAAGGGTGCGTCCAAGGGAAAGCCTAGAGAATACATTATCGGATGCGCCTTCGGGCCCGGGATTTCTGTGGAGATGTGTTTGTTGAAGCGTCATTTTGCTGGGCCTAGAAGAGTCAACTCGACGCCGGGGATGGAAACTCCTCCTGAAACAGAAAGTGAATTGAGTCTTGAGGGGAGCGATAGCGACTCAAAGAGCGATAGGGATGACGAGATGACCGGGAAGCATGGCTCTCCAGACTCTGCGAAGCCACCACAGAAAAATAATGAGGGCTTCATAAGTGAAGCTCTGGAATCGCCCGAGGTTGACTAAGAGTGTCATTACAAGGTCACCGCTTTGCTTCGTGAAGAGAGAGTATAAGGGTTGTCATTGATAGATCTTTCAATGCTTTACTAGGTCTCTATTGGAAGACATACCAATATGGTGTGACCCAGCTGATTTCCGTGTCGTATCTAGTTTCAGTGAAAGACTCGTTAAACCTCCGGGTATCTTCTTCTATCCGACTTCTTACCGGCATGGCTTCAGAATTCCCATAAGAACCTGACCATTCTGGGCATTTTCGGAACGCCAACACGCTCCAATATAGCTCCCAGATAACTCTGTCTTCTTCGTCGAATTACTGTCCTCCGCCACTTTTCCCTCACGCCTTCTTCTCCTCCACATTATCCGCCGCAGCAGCAGCACCTTCAGCCCCATTCTCACTCATCTCCAAGCTCTCCCCCTTCTTGAGACCCAACTGCCTTGTATCATACCCATTCTGCTCTAGATACTCCCTGAACCTCTTATCTTCATACTGAATCGTATCCTGCCCAACCTGCGGCACGAATGCGAGCACCAGTAACGCGCTGAACACACACAAGCTGCTTGACACCCAAAAGGGGTACTGCGCCGACAGAGTCTCCGAGTCTCCCGCAGCAGCAATGATATGCGGGAAGACATAGGTGCCGACAAAGGCGCCGAGTTTGCCGATAGCCGCCGCAATGCCGTAGTACTGGCCACGGACGCCCGTGGCGCACGTCTTGGCAGCGAGCAGGCCGATGTTGTTGCCGGGGCCGATTTCGCCGAGGGACTGGAAGATGCCGTAGACGACGGCAAAGGCGGCGACGACGTCCGGCTTGGCGAGACGGGAGTAGCAGCCGGCCATAATGAAGCCCACAATGGCTTGAAGGGTAACACCCGCGGCGAGCGCGTAGCGAGGGCCGATGAGGTCGGAGAGGGGAGCACCCAGCACGGTTCCGGGGATGTAGAAGAGGTTGATGACAGTGTTCCAGCCGAAGATGGTGGTCAGGGGAGCATTAGTGGTATCGAAGATGTTGGCCAAGATGGTAGAGGAGTAGATAGAGAAGGAATAGGCATAGAACTGGAGAATGTCAGTCAAGATAAGAGTAGGAACGCGGTAGAGCAAAAAAAGTCACATACATCGTAGACGAACCAGATGAGGCTGATGATGAAGAGACGCCAGCCGTAGAACTTGAGGACCAACAGGTAAGGAGTCTTGGCATGCTTCATAGACTCCTTCTGGAACTCTTCCGGTTCCCTAAGAAAAAAGCGCATAATCAGAAGGATGGAGGGGAAAACGCAGCCAATACCAAGACTAGTACGCCAGATGGTGCTGAGATGCTGGTTATTGCAAGCGGCGGCCACAACGTAGGGGACGAATGCGCCAATAACGAAGCCCTGGGGATTATGTCAGATTCGAGTTAGCTCGAGCTGTGAGAAACTACCTACCCAGTCGATCATGGAGTTAGTGAACCAGATGAAGAACATGTTCCTGGTACCTGACTTAAGCTGGCCCGTCTGCTCGGCGCAGCCCACACTACCAGCAGGATACTCGCCGCCGATGCCAATGCCCACCTGCGCAACGTGTCAGCAATGGACAACTTCCCAGGTTCAACCAAGAGGGTTCACTCACAAAGAAGCGCCAGGCAGTCAAGATATTGAACATGCCAATAGTATCTCCCTTGTAGTAGGAGCCCGCCGTTAGGGCCGTGAACACAACCAGGACGATGGTTGAGACAATCAGCGAGTTGGTGCGCGACCACTTGTCCGAGCTAGTGTACTATTATTAGCAGAACTCTCCAACTCACAAGCCTCAACTATGATCCTAAGAGCGCATGGGCTAATGGTTCCCTTGTAATGGATTGTACTTACAGATACCCAAACAAAAGCTGCCCCACCACTGTCCCGGCGAAGGCAATGTCTCCCAAGTAGTGCTTGGCATTAGAGTTGGCCCAGACCTCACCATACTTAATGGAGAGGATAGTCACGACGGATCCAATGACCTACACGGGTGTCAGTTAGTCACATAGAGACATATAGGACCTCGATATGGAGCATTTGGGGCATACGTTGTTGATATAGCCATCAGAAAACAATCCAGCGCCGCAAGCAATGACAGGAAGAAGGGTCTTGAAGTCGAGCTTGCCCTCGGAGGACTCGTCTTCCGTAATCACATCTTGCGGTCGTTGCGCATCTGTCTTAGCGACGTCCTGCACGGCGTCCTGGGCTTGGGGTTCTCCATCAGATGAGGACTGGTATTTGCGACGAGAGAAGAACATGGTGCTATATTAATAGGCTTCCCACTCTTAGCTATGATTAGGCATAGGAAGGCTGGGTTGGGATGTCAAAGATAATAGGACAGGAAAGGAGGTAAAGTGACCCAGCAACGAGCACTGCAGGTTGTTGTGTCACACGAACAACCTTAGCCACAAATAAAAGCAAGAACAGCAGAAGGAAGCTGTGCACCCCGTCACACTCCGAAGGGCTGGGGAAGACACCTTGTTTATAGCTTCGCAGCCTTGAACACAGAATACCGGCGGACGTGGAGGGTATAGTGGGATTACTTTTCCGCTTACACTCTCTTTTTCACCCTTATGTCCCGGGACGGAAAAGCTCAAGAGCTGTTAGAAGACCAGAGCCACAAATGGAAGCAAAAAGCGTGGGAAGTCGGTCTCGGCCCCACGCTTGATCCTCCCCTCACATAGTTCAACCTGTGCCTTCTGTCCTCGGTCGGACGCTTGACCCGTACAACGACGCCCAGCCTCCAGGGACAGACATACCATGAAGACCCTTACACAGACCCAGGCTTACGGATGCCAGCATGACCAAGAAAGGGGCTGCAAAGTGGCTGCGTATCATCATCACATGGAGTTTTGTAACGGTCACCGGGCCGGGACTTAGGCGAATGGCAGAGCTGCGTTCGTTGGCCTGAGGATCATCGTCTTCTCCCAAACCCTCGAGTCTGCCGTTACAGCGGGTGGCAGGCGTGTGTAACCGCACATGGCTTCGGCTCGGGATGTGAGTGGAAAGGAAAGTTGAAGGTGACGTCGGTGCTGGGACGTTGGGAGGGACACTGACACGATCAACCAATGCCTCCTTCCCCTTTTGAGTTGAAAGTCTCCACAGGACCCTGGTGTGTTTCACTCTTCGGTGACGATGATTGGACAACGCCTCGGCGTTTTTTTCTTTCTAGTTCTGGGGGATAAGGGCTTTTTTCCACAAGCTTGGAGCTCTGGAGGTGAGATGGTGGGGGTTTACGTTAAGAATGTTGTCGAGAAGTGCCGGTTGTGAGGGGCTTTCTGAATCCAAGGCGACGGGTGATGTGTCCATCTACATGTCTAATTAACATCTGCGTCGCGGTTCTATCTTGAAGTCTGAAAAGACCTCCGCTAAGCAGCACGTTTGCTGCAAGCCGAGGGGAGGTTCCGAGAAAACTCGAACAAGCTTTGTGGCGGGAGCTCTCCCGTCTCGGTTTCTCTTGGCAACTTGGCTGTGCTACGGCGTGGGTACGGGTTCGGCACCAGCTTCGGAAGAATGACTTTGGGAACTAACGGGATGACGGATTCTAGGCAGTCATGCATCAAGGAATTTGGGGGAAGAGATAATTTTCCAGCGATGAAGCAGAGAACAAGGAGCTTACTGAGGAAAGGCAAAGCTATCAAGGTAAATCATTCCAAGTAAAAGCCAGAAACACAACCTGAAGCAGAGTGATTCACCTAATCGACAAGTTTCTCAAACCGCAGAATAAGCTGCTCCTTCTCTGGGCGGCCGCCATACCCATCGGTCTGATTCTCCATGCCGGTGTCGTCTACAATGTAGCTTTTAAAATTGGTGTAGATAGCAGTAATGGTTAACTTAATTTCTGTAGTCAGGATGTTAGCTTAACCGAAACTAAATAGATATCTGAACACTCATGCATCCTCACCATGTAACGCGAAGTTGCTTCCGATGCACATCCTTCCGCCCGAACTAAATGCCCAGAAATGCCTGTTCATCTGTCTCCTCTGTTCTTCATCATCCGGCCCTCTAACCGGAGCTAACCACCGTTCGGGGTCCCACTTCTCCGGCTCCGGGAAGATCGTTTCGTTCCGATGCAGCATGTATGGCATTGCAGCAACCCTGACCCCACCCGGCAAGGCGTACTGCCCGATGCGGCAGCCGGAATCGGGAGTTTGCCGGGGCTGAGCCCCGGGGAGAGGGGCATGGAGACGGAGGGTTTCGGTGACGACCGCATCGAGGAAGGGTAGAGTGTCAAGCTGCTTAGGATCCGGAAACGAGGCTGGTGTGCCGGATTTTGTCATTCGCATGTTCGGTGAGAGAGTGAGAAGTTCCTTTCGGAGTCGTGACTGTAGCTCTGGAGATTGCGACAGTCTCCAGGTTAGGTAGGTCAGGGTTAACCCCGCTGTCTCTTGACCCGCTAGGACATGGTCAAGCAGCTCTGATGAAATAGATAGCTCGAGGTTGGATAGCGCAGTAGGATAGAGAATGGAGGATGGCCCGTGTTTAGTCTCCTCATTCTTTAGACCGTTAACCAGGGAGTTCCAAACAACCGGTTCGTCTGCCTTTTCATCTGGTTGGTATCGGCCAGCATCAAGGTAGCGCTCCATTCTCAGGCATAAACGTCGGCACCATTCTTCCAGATCTCTGTTCGCTTTGTCTGCCCAGCGTGGGCACAGTGGGATCCCCACTCTTCGGCAGAGCCGCGTAAGCTCGGGAAGTTCTTGGTCAAAGAAGCCGTAGTTGTTACGGGCTCTGTAGAGGTCAAGAAAGTGGTTTCGATATTCCTTGTCTCCTAAAAAGTTGGTCCCGTGCTTGAGGCCAAAAATATATGCCGCTATGAAGTCCATTGTAGCTCCCATAAAGAGGGAGTACACATCGATCCCTCTGTTTGTCGTGGACTCTGCACAATCTTCCTCGATAGATCGCTCAAGAATGGGCAGTAATCTATCATAGAGGATGACCTGCGCCTGGGCAGCTGCTGCAGGGCTTGAATGGATATAAGACTTGGAATAAATGTGTGAGATCATTCGTTTTCTGACTGCATGTTCGGCCGCGGAGCGCGAAGAGAACATGCATGGGACGCTTGTGACAATGTGTGTCAGCAACGTTCGTGGCATTCTGCACACCATTTGTTAAAAGCTAGCTCTTCATACCCATAATTATTGTAAATAGAGTACCAAACTGGCTTTTCAAACCCTCCTTGATAGACAGTCCGTACGCTGTCGATGTCATTGATGCTCAGTTCGTTGGGGCCTACACGAATGACAGGGCCCAGACGGCAGTGAGCAGCATGAAGCGTCTTGTTCTCTCGATGAGTATACCTGATCCAAAGGATCCAAAATCGTGAAATTGGTGCCGACCAATGGGCACTTGGGATCCGGGAGAGAGGAGAGAGAAAGAAAGGGTAAATTAGAGAGTGGTATGTGATCAGAACCAGGATAACGGCCACTCCCGGGCCCAACAAGCCATACTCGGCCATTCTTAGTGCAAAGTCATGTCAAAAACAGTAAATAATAACTCTTCCTCGTCGCGCAAATAATCAACCCCACGATTTCCAGCTGGGGAGAGGTTTAAAATTGGACTTTAGGACATCAGTTGCGAACCGGAGCTTTCAGGGAGCAGGGAGGGGCAGGTTATGATACGTAATTTTACTTTGATAACATTGATCAAGGCACACTTTTTTGTAACTTACATGTCTCTGTCAGGTAATTTGCAACCAGGCAGCGAGTGGGGAGGGTTAAGCTCTGAATCGTTGTGAGAGGTACCCCACAGCAGACATGAAGTACGACTGTAACTGGTTCAAAAACGCATGTCAACTTCTTTATTTTCTTTTTCTGCCACCTATAAGTAGCAGAAAGACCAAGTTCAACGAGGATAATAATTCGCTGCAAACATCATATTAAACTAATGAGTCTATGGTTGTCCTGAACTCTGTGCTGGTTCAACGCCCAGGTGAATGCATCATGACGCAGCGTCAGCACCTTGCATCCCTGCCAGACGACATTCTTTATCTCATACTCACAAATCTCGACACGGCCCGCGATGTCGCTACTCTAGGTTCTACCTGCCGCACTCTATACCACCTTATCCAAAATGACGGCTGGCGCATCTTCGTTCGTACCAGATTTCCGTCTCTCTCGGTGCCAGCTCCAGTTGAGCGCTCAGATGCCCCTAATCCTGACGACAAATGCCAAGCAAATAATCGCCATGATGTCTCAATCACTGAGAACAGTCTCACATGGCGTCAGGTTGCTGAATCTTTAACTTGGCAAGCCCGTTGCTGGGACCGCCGTTCTCTCCAGTTTCAAGCTTTGCTGCCGCACATCAACCATGGCCATCGAGATGGGCAGCATCACTCACACGGATCTTCGACAATTAGGAGTCAGTTCCTCGCGGTTGTCGATGCACATTTCGATTCGTACAGGCAGCGGGAGGTGGTTGTCTGGGGCGCAGGAGAGGACGTTGTTGCGCGGTATCGGGAACGGCAGGGTCCTGGACGTGCGTCGAAAACTTCCTGGCATCGGTTGGTTGGCAGGGAAATCGGGCTGAGTCCTGGCGTTGACGACGTCAACGCTATCAAAGTTGTGCCACACGGCAATGGATATGGGATCTTGGTCGGGCGGCATAACGGCCAACTGGCTCTTCTGTCTGGCGATCCAGACAAGTTCGGAGAGGAAATCGCCTTATTCTCTCCTGCGTTGGACGTTCCAGATCTAGAGATCAATTCTCTAGATGTCCTTGATATCAGCGAGAGCGGCAAACGACTCATCGCTGTTGCGACGAAGTCAAGCGTCAAAGTTTACGGTTTGCCGGAGGATGTGGTCGCTAATACTGCGCCTTTGGAAAACTACAACTTGAAAGAAGATGGAGCCATCCCTCGCTCGGCTAGGGTGGGCTGTGCAAAGTGGATGGAGCAAGGTGCATCGCTTGCTTTGAGCCTTGTTGGCTGCAAAGATGCTCTCCGTTACCTGGACCTGACTCCCGACGGCTGGGTTTGTCATTCGGCGGCGAAGAATGAGAGAGTCAGGAAGCAGTTCGACGCTGTCTTCGATGGTACCGTTTGTCCCAACTCATTGGAGCCAGTCTACATGTCTGGAAGCGGAAGAGGAACAAGGCTCTTGCTCAGCGCGTGGAGAGATGGAACCATCAGGCAAGTTCTCACCCTTGAATAATCAGAGCCGCTTCCCACAGGACTAACAACTCCCCTGTAGACTTCAAGACTTGCGTACACCGTCTGCGTTTGACACAATATATCAAGACAATGTAGACCCTTGGTCCAACGCCGAAGCCCTTATGGCATATGGAACTGAGCGATTTGTGACCGGCGGAGGTGAAGGACCAACCGTCAAAATATTCGATTTCCGCTGGCCCAAAAACTACTATCATACATCAGGACTTCACTGTCTGCCATACTCACCGTTTCCAAATCCTCACCAGCCTTTCTTGAAGGTGCCCACGGATGGTTTCTTAGGTAGAGCTCGTTGTGGCTATCTTCAGGGCTTGAGCTGCCATTGGCATGAACTATCAAAACGTTTATATTACCGACCTAACGCCAAGTACTTTCTCTCTGGATCACTAAGATCGTTGAGGAACAGCAGTGTTTGGTCCCTTGCCAGGGGTTCTGATGTATCTCCCAACTTCTACATTGGGATTTCGGGAGGAGTGATCGAGGCTACCCTGGAACCGTGTCCCAACACTTATCCCCCCGACATAGAGACCGTGGACCCGAACTTTGGGTTCCAAGACTGGAGAGCCTCAGCTTCCCATGACAGCGGGTACCGGAGCAAGCACCTGGTCCCATCCATGATGGAAATCGGGGATGGGTACTCATTCAGTGGGAACGATAGATCGATCTTGCTGTCGAACTTGCTAAGGCACCAGGGCCCGCGAGAGTGGAGCGGTTTTAACAAAAATCTAATGAAGCACCATCGACTTGACAACGGCTATCAAGATGCGGTAGACTTCGATCTTATCAAAACTTGATGCTAGCCAACAAGAGTTAATTTCCTTGAGGGAGGAGGTGATCGTTTGTCATTCTCTAGAAGCCAGACTCCAGAAAATCACAATAATTGTGTCACAAAGCTGCAAAATTTTGGCCAGATCACGAAAAAATCACGAAGTTTTGGCCCTCGACGCGTTCCCATCTTCCATCTCTGGGCCATCTGTGACGTCACATAGGTAAAGCCGGGTCCAGGGTTAGGGTTTGGTCCCCGGCCATCGACGGAAAGCCGGGGTTACTGGGGTCCAAAACCGAGCAAGTCACGCGGACAGGAGGAACCATGCCAGTCCGTCAAGTATGCGGCTTCTTTTTCTTCCAGGTGACCAGCTCGCGGTCACCTGTCTCATGGAGAACTTCCAGGCTTATCCATTGAACTGGCGGAGGCGATGCCAGGACGTACTTGGGCCAATGATCGAGGAGCGCTGAAGGGTGTGAAAAACGAAAGGAAGAAGCCGATTCGTCGGATGTTTTGGAGCTGGGTCAATTGAGAGGATTGAGATCAGGAAGGGAGTGAACGCAGTGGCAGTGGGCCAAGAGATGGATGCCGAAGCGTCCCGTTCTTCGAGAATCTCGACTCTCGCGAGACTCAGGCGGGCCCCGTCGGGACAAAGCGCATGCCGGGTGCGCATGCCGTCCCGGGAAATCCTCTTTCGGGATGGAGAATTGGTGAAATGCCTTGCTTATCGCGCCCCTTATCCCCGGTTCCATTATATGCCTTGGGTAGATGGTCAGCAGTATTGCGACGATACGAAACAAGAGATGGGCGTTCCTCTCGACCGGAACAATGTGATCGCGGACATCTGAATGTGACAAGGAAGGTTTGAGGAGAACATGGTCGAATTGGTGCCTTTAACTATTCCTGTTGTGACCGACGACACGCTTTTGATCCTTTGCGGCTGATTGAAAAAGACCGGGACCTGGATAGCTCTGATGTCACACGCAGATCGCTTTGAAGGCGTAGCCCCGCAACCCCGCCATATCATCCGGCGACTGGCTGGTTCTGCAGACTGCACACCCGTTACCCCCCCCGGTCTTCTCTATGCCTGCTCCCCAAAACAATAGCCGCGCTCTGCCGACGGCGGCCGATAATGCGGGGAGAAGGCGCCAACCGGGATGGATAAGAAATTGATGTTGTGGTCTATGTGATCTTGAATTCATCAAACGGATTACAATTGCTCGCTTATTTGCATGCCCTGTGAAGAATGTGAACCTCTGGCCAATCTTGTCAGAATCTGTTAGCTTAAAATTGGCATTGTCGCCAGGGGTAGAGGAGGCTAGACCATTGGCAACGAGGCACGGGACCCAGGGGAAGGGGCCCAAGGGTGTGTAGAGGTAATCTCTTCACTTTCACACCTACCTTTGTAGATACGTCATCCATCCAGTCTAATCCATTGGATGAGCGAGAGGGAGGGTGTGCGGATCTGCCGTTCGGGTGCCGTTTCGTTAAGTCCCGGGCCAAGGGGTTTTGATAAACTTCGTTCGGTTCATTATTCTGGAGTCCATTGCGTGCCTAAGCTTGGGCCTTGCTCTGTAATCTCATACCTTTTGTTATTTAAACAGACCTCCCCTCCACAAACTCCACCCTTAAGGACTTCTTTCTGAGCTTCTTGCTTGTTTCTTGTCTCTTCTCTCCCTTCCTCCTTCCCCCGTCCTCGTCAACTCATTGTAGCAGGTTTCTGGTCGCAGAGAAAAGCAAAACTCTTTGCCGTTCATACGCTGGTATCATCAGCTTGTATAAGCGAACTTGCACTTTGTTCCCGATTGATCATTTGGGAGTTTTACTTCAAGCTATTCTTAACAATATAGCATAATCATCACCGCCAAGATGGTAGCAGCTAACGGCAACGGCAATTCCTTCACCGAGCAGGTTGATACTAATATTATCACCCTTACTCGGTTCCTTACGGAAGAGCAAGTCAAGCACAAGGAGGCCACCGGAGACTTCACGTACGTATTTGCCTGTCCTAGTTGCCTTGTCTGAGAGGGACTTTGCCTGCTCTTGACTAACCTGTTCTTTCTACAGCCTTCTCTGCCATGCGCTGCAATTTGCCTTCAAGTCGATTGCCTACTACATCCGGAGGGCGACCCTGGTCAACCTGACCGGTCTGGCCGGGTCAGCCAACACTACCGGTGACGAACAAAAGAAGTTGGATGTCATCTCAAACGAGTTGTTCATTGAGGCGATGCGGTCATCCGGGAGGGTCGCCCTGCTGGTGTCGGAGGAGGAAGAGAATGTTATCTTCTTCAAGCAGGGACCGCACGCGCGGTACGCGGTAGCTTGCGACCCCATTGATGGCAGCTCCAACTTGGACGCCGGTGTGTCCGTCGGCACTATCTTCGGCATCCACAAGCTGGCTGAGGGCTCGCGTGGTGTCAAGGAGGATATCCTCAAGCCTGGTACGGAGCTCGTAGCCGCCGGTTTCACTATGTACGGCGCCTCGGCTCAGCTTGTCATCACGATGAAGGGCGGCTCGGTCAACGGCTTCACTCTGGACAACGGCCTGGGCGAGTTCATCCTGACGCACCCCAACATGAGGATTCCGCGTAAGCGTGCGATCTACTCGGTCAACGAAGGTAACTCGCTTTACTGGGAGGATCATGTCAAGGCCTACTTTGAGTCGCTCAAGCAGGCCCAGCCTGACAACGGGAAGCCCTACTCGGCACGCTACATCGGCAGCATGGTTGCCGATGCCTACCGTACCCTGTTGTACGGCGGTATCTTCGCCTATCCGGCGGACAAGAAGAGCCCGAAGGGTAAGCTGCGCATCCTCTACGAGTGTGCGCCCATGGCCATGGTGTTTGAAAATGGTGAGTTGCCTATCTTATCCCGACCCTTCAAATCTCGCACTGCTAACACAATATTTTTCTAGCCGGCGGCCAAGCGGTTGACAGCAACATGAGGAGGATGCTGGAGGTTGTGCCCCAGGACATCCACGACAAGTCTGGTATCTTCTTGGGCAGCTACGACGAGGTCGAGAAGGTCAAGGAGTTCTATAAGAAGAAGGATGAGCTGAAGCAAAAGCAGTAGATGATTACCTGACACGAGTATGGGCAGTTGGCATGGTTGTTTCTCTGTTTGTTCTCTTTTGGGTTGTTGTTGGATGGCGGATACCTTGGTTGGTTACACTTATGTGAGCCCTCAGACTGAGCAGGGCTGTCCTGCGGGTTCTAAAATTGTTTGGAAATTGGATGTTGGGAAACAGATGTGAAACGGCGACACTTCGTCAATTACGATGATATGCAGGCCTCAACACAGCAAGCGTAGCAGCTGGCATGTGAAATTTAATACCAGATTTTAGCGAGACAACGGGCTTGCGTCTTCTTCCACGCCTTCGATGCGACAAGAACTGTAGCAGCTGGAGCTTCCAGCCCGACACTGGTGATCGTTGGATGCCAAGAGTTCCTACTCCCCGCAAACATGTGAACGGGTGCTGACAAATGGCATCCCCGGAACACGCTAAACCAAATCCGGCAATACCTCGGCCTTCCTGACATCACCTAGGACCGCCCTCCGCCGCAGCTGGCAGTCGAGACCGAGTTCCAAAGGCAGGGCCGCGCGCTCCGAGGTAAAAGGCTCCGTGCAAACTGGAAACTGGGCCGCGACAGCCTGAAAGCCGGGGAAGCTGAGCTCCTGCCGTGCCTTATTAGAAGTGAGACGTCGCCTTGTCCATTCCACCTTCTGTAGATTTCTCACCATCCATCTTCACCAAACAACAAACCCGCATTGTCTCGTCTTGTGCTTCCTTTCCCCCTCTTAATCCATACAATACAGTGTGTTTTTTGCTTCATCCAAATAATCTTTCAAGATGGGCGGTATGTGCTGCTGGACCCTGTTCCATCGTCGCATGCATTTGTATTTGTCACACAAGAGTATTGACATGTTCCGTCTCTGCAGCTATCGACAGGCTTCAGCAGATTGGCAACCAGATCTCGGGTGGCGCTACCCCCAAGGGTCGCGCTAAGCTCCTGGAGAAGAACCCCGATGACGTATGTCGACAGCGTCCACACGACCCTACATTTTGCCCTCAGCCGTATGCTAACAGTGCTCTCGACTCCAGATCGTCGTCACCTGTGCTCTCCGGACGGCCATCACCAAGGGCGGCAAGGGCGCTTTCAAGGACACCTTTGCCTCTGACCTCCTGGCCGGTGCCCTGAAGGGTATCCTTGAGCGCTCCAAGATCAAGCCCGAGCTCGTCGAGGATATCGTTGTCGGCACTGTCCTTGCCCCCGGCGGTGGCGCCACCGAGATGCGTGCCGCTTCCCTAGTCGCCGGCTTCCCCGTCACCACTGCCGTTCGCACCCTCAACCGCCAGTGCTCGTCTGGTCTGCAGGCTTGCGTCGATGTTGCCAACGCGATCCGCAGCGGCATGATCGAGATCGGTATCGGTGCTGGCGTCGAATCCATGTCCACTCAATACGGCCCTGGTGCCGTCAGCGAGTTCTCTGAGCTCCTTGAGAGCCACCCCGAGGCTGCCAACTGCAAGGTTCCCATGGGTGTCCTCTCTGAGCAGATGGCCAAGGACCGCAACATCACCCGCGCCCAGCAGGACGCCTTCGCCGCTGCTTCGTTCCAAAAAGCCGTTGCGGCCCAGAAGGCTGGCCTCTTCAAGGAGGAGATCTACCCCATCAAGGCCAAGTACACCGACCCCAAGACCGGCGAGACCAAGGAGGTCCTGGTCGACAAGGATGACGGTATCCGTGAGGGTGTTACCGTTGAGTCCCTTGCCAAGATCCGCCCTGCCTTCGCCAAGGACGGCACCATCCACGCCGGCAATGCCAGCCAGGTTAGCGATGGCGCTGCTGCTGTCCTCCTGATGAAGCGCTCTACCGCCGAGAAGCTCGGACAGCCCATCCTGGGCAAGTTCGTCGCCGCCTCCATCGTCGGCGTCCCGCCCCTTCTCATGGGCATCGGCCCCTGGAAGGCCATCCCCAAGGTCTTCGAGCTGACCGGCATTACCAAGGATGATGTTGATATCTTTGAGATCAACGAGGCTTTCGCCAGCCAGTGCCTGTGGTGCGCCAACGAGCTCGGTATCCCCGCCGAGAAGATCAACCCCAAGGGCGGTGCCATCGCTTTCGGCCACCCTTTGGGTTGCACTGGTGCCCGCCAGGTCTCGACCCTGCTCTATGAGCTGAGGAGGCGCGGCCAAAAGATTGGTGTCACTTCCATGTGTATTGGCACTGGTATGGGTATGGCTGCTGTTTGGGTTGCCGAGTAAATCATGGATGGGATCCTAAGGAGTTAGGGAAGGGGGCTTCTCTTTCGGTTCGGGTCGGCTTTCTTGTATATTCTTACTTGGGCTACCTTAATGACATGCATGCACGGTACTGTATACTAGACGAGAGCAATGCAGGTTTTGGCTTATGACATGATATCTTCCGTCTGCGCAGTGTGATTGTGTTGAATGCTCCTGAGTGTTTGGGTTTAGTGCCACATGTTGATCATATCACTAATCGGCCACGCTTAAACAGCTGGCTACATGAATATCCATAATATGTAGTATTAACTCGACGTTCTATATGATTGTCCTAGTCATAATCATGCCTGCCAACAATCTAAATCAGCCCAAAGCATCCCCCAGTCCAGCAAACAGGCTGTCCAGGGCTATCTCAACGTAATTTTCTATCTCCAGTCCAAGTTGTTTTGTGAGTTAACCACCTGAAACCATTGTTTTGCCAATCCCTCCCATTTTCAGTCCAGACGTACCATCGACAGTATCAAGGGCATCTAAGAACAAAACAAGGATGTTTGACTCCATACAGCTGGTTATACTAGACATTGTCGTGATATCATGCTCGGTAATGTGAAATCCCTAATCATCACTCTCTAGGGTGTTGATTACTTCCCCGGCCCTGGCCTTCTCTTTGTCAAGTTCCATAGCCAATCTGATATCGCTGCTGCTGTGGATCTCGAAATCGATGCTGTCGCTGCTCCCTGTGGAGGGTGTGTCTTCACCACGAGAGGAGATAGACGAGGACGAAGATGGGTCGGCGGCAGCCAGCGCCTCGTTCACTGTGGGTTTCTCATTTGTTGTTTCGGTTTCTCTCATGGGCATTGATAGCATTGATGGGGGTGATGAGGAGCTGCTCGGCGTAAGCTCAGTGTCAGCATCGTTGCCTTCATCGGAATCGGTGGGGAAGAGCAAGTCTGGACTAATGGCAGCGTGGGCAACTCCGGGAGTGTCCATGGCCCCCGTCTCTTTTTTGATGTCTTGGAGTGCAAGTTTGGGAATATCCACCGGCTGAGATCTGGGTTGTTCGGGAAGACTGGGTAACGCCAAGTCGTCATTGCTACTGCTTGAACTGCTGGAATCGCTGTTGCTGCCAATGATAAAGCAAGGAGTGAGTACAATAGCACTCTTGAGCTTTGTGAAAACTTCAGGAGGGGATTCAACATCAATATCGACGCTAATGTTGGCAGTAGCAGCAGATTCCGAGGTGATATTAACGCTAGTTTTGATCTCTTCTCTACCCTCCGTTTGCATGACGAGGCCTTCGTCGGAGCCACTGCTATCGGTTGGAGAGTCATTGGTGACTCCTTGATTCTGTATGGCGTACTCGCCCTCGGCCCCACACTCAAAGGAGCATGGGAACCCGTCTGGTAGCGTATTCTTAGCCTTCTCGCCGTCACCGAAGAGTTCTTTGTCAAACGGTGGAGAGTTTAGCGCATGTGGCCACGTCACTTCTGTTGAGTCTGCTACTTCGACTTCGATCACGATGGAGTTGTCGCGACTCATGGTTGCGGCAAACTTCGAAGCAACCGAGGGAAAGCTGCATACAGATAACTCGGCCAAGTCTAAGCTCACCGGTCCCTGTATTGGATCTCCTCCGTCACTTTCAGGCGCAGATTCTTGGGACTCAAGCTCCGACTCGAACGACTCCGGCCAGGATAACAACAGCTTGGGCTTCTAGTCCTGGCTGCTGCCCCCCAGGTCCATTGTCTTATCCCACATCATGCGAAGCAGTGCGATTGTGCCAGCGTCCTCCACACCATCCACAAGGCTCGACCCGCTGAGCCGGTGCTGGCTGGGTGCCCTGGATGCCTGCTCTTGTAACCTGTCGTTGTCAGCACCGTAGCTTGAGCTTGCGCTGTCAACGCCAAGGGAGAACTCGGCGCGGCTGCGGGGCGTTGCCTGCCGAGAGGTGGTCCTTGACTGCCCGGACATCAGGTCTGCCATGCTAGGGTCGCGCAGGCTGTCCACATCGGAGCCCGAGGCCCGAACTGAGTGTGATGTGCCAGGACGCGGGATTCTTCGACTGTTTTCAAGACCTGGCAACTGCATAACTCGATGGAGAGAAAGGGCAACGGGGTTGAGATAGCGACGAACGGTCAAGTACTCCATTCCTGTCCTCTCGAGTAACTTGCTACCACGAGGATCTCGACCCTCGAAAGCAGAAGACGCACCGGGGCCCATACCAACTCCTGGAGGCCTGACTCCGACTCCAGGATGGGGGTGGGTAGGCTCCAAGCTGGAGCTGGCGCGCTGCAAATTCAATTTCTTCTGAGTGCGATTCATGTCTCGAGGGACAATGAACTCCGCTGCACGCCTAGGGCGGAGCGCCGCTTCTTCGTCTTCCGAGTCCGAGGCGCCACCCTGGCGGGCATTGAGGGCATCCATTCCCCGGCCTTGCGACAAAGCCCCGCTGGACTGGCGTCTCTGCATACCAAGGCCAACCTTGCCATTGAGCGCTGCTCGAGACAGCCCGCCGCGATTCGCAGCCATCATGAAGGCCTCTTCAGCCGCACCAGACCCAGCCCCCTGCTCCTGACTGTTATTCCCTCCAACAAATCTTGAAGTGAGCTCTGCCTTCCCACTGCTGCCTGGACGGCATTGGGCAGCAGCAGCAGTTGTACTTGTGTATGAGGGGCCTTGACCTGGGCTTGAAGCCTGCGACGAGAGCTGCTGTGCCGACGGCTGGACGGAAACAGTCGCTGTCGACATGACTGGAGGGGCACCCTGAGAGGGGGTTCGCGATAATACTTTTGATGTCAGTAATTGGTTGAGGTTGCTTGAGCTGCGCGCGAGGTTCTCGTTCGATGTGGTCTGCTCGCTGTTGACGCTGTCGCGTCGCAATGGGTCTTGGCTTCCAACAGTCAAATTGTTCGTCTGAGCCGTATTAACAGCCGAACCACGCCTTGAGAGATATGGGGACGCAGAACTGCTCGCGTCCACCCACTCGTCCTCGCCGTCTTGGTCGTCTTCGTCGTCTCCAAGGTTGAATTGGACCTTGGATTTTAGCTTATGGACAGCCGAATTGGAATTAGAGCGTTGCAAGTTCGTAGAGGACTTGGTACGTTTTGTAACCTCGACCTGTGAGCGATTGCGTCGAAGGGCTGTATGCGACAAGTTCTTTTTTGAATTGGCCGGTAACCGGTCTTGTGAGGAAATGCGCCGGTGGTGCGCGACGCCGTTTCCTCGCTCTGGAGAGATTGCTCGGGTCAGTTTGGTCGTCGAAGCCAGCGCGTGGTGCTTGTGCAGGGCCTTAGAAGAGGGAACTCTTGCGTGTAGCCGACTCCCGGGCCCGCCGCCAACAATGTGAGGCTTTTGGGCTTTGCGGTGATGGTGGTGCGGAAGGTGTTGTTGGGGTGGTTGGTCTCCGTTGTCCAAGACACCTGAGGTTGGCTTTTTTGATTGGTTGGCGCCCGACGCCTCGCCGTCTCTGTCCTTCGCCATGACAGGCAAGTGCTGTGCCGCTTCCGTGTCCAAAGGCTTTTTGTGTAATTCGAACGTATGACGCCTGCGGCCTTTCCTATCGAGCAGCTGAGCTGTATTCGGTCGCTGGACTGGACAGCTTTCGGGGTATGCTCAACAAGTGTTGTCTTGTCCTGCGCAAGAAGACTGAGTCACGAGAAGGTCGCCTTGCTCTCACAGGACCAATGACGCCCTTTCCAGACCAATTCGCCGAAGAGAGGATCGTGCAAGGGCTGTGCGCGTTCAAGGATGGGAGGGATGGAAGCACAGATCGCAGTTTGGCGACAATATCTTCCTCGACGCTCGATAGAGCAAATCTGTTGGTGTTGCGACCAATCGATAAGTCTCCAGGCCCAAAGCCTCAGGTTAGAAAGAGAGAGGAGGGCTAGTTCCGAAGTGAAATTGATGGTATTAGTTCTGAATGGAGATGGACACCTAGCCAGGACTGTCGTGGTCGGTTGAAAGAGTTGTAGGGAATTCTCAAATCGGGTAAGGTTTAAAAGAATCAAGTCTTTGGTTATCGCTGGGGCAAGAAGGACCTTCCTCTTGGTGATCGAATCGCTGCACGGCGCTAAAGCGGTGACGGAACGATGATAACAGTGGATGCTGATTGGCGGGTTGTGTGGATCATGCTGGCTACAAAACTGGACGCGGGATGTATTTCCCTGAGAATCAGCATGTGTTCAAAGACAATTTCCATGGTTCTGGTCTGCTTGAAGAAGCAATGAGGTCCATATTGAAAAGGGGATACAAGTTGGAAACATTCTGCATGCTTCGACCATCAACAAGGCCCAAGGCCAAGCTTCTATGTGCCAAGTGTAACCAAGCGTCTTTTAGAAAATGCCCTCGGCTAGCCTATCCGAGGTACCTGTTTGGATGTACCAGCAAAGATCCCAAGGAGATAACATCCTTTTCACATAAGCATAGAGAGAGGAAACAAAAGACACATTAGGATTTGCAATTCCCAGAGAACACATGTGTAGGGGAGGATTTTTAAGTATGGAATAAAGCCCCAGGTAGGACCAAGCATGGAAGTTGAATATTCCATCAGCAGCGACAGAACTGGCTGCCGACGGCATCAAAGTTCCATGCGAAATCACTGACGACGCTTTGGATCCGGAGGAGCGGGACAGCCCAGCCCAAGCTTTGCTTGTTACATGTGGCTCGTACACAGTGCCAAGACCCCACGTCAGCAGCGCTTTAGACGCGGTTTGGAAAAGTCTTGGCACGCCACCCTGACGTTTTGGCGCCCGCGTCGAAGGCACCGGGTCGTAAGCCGCCAGTCATTTCAGATCTCAACTTTTATCGATTCCAGACAACCCACACCAAAACTTCGTTCCTTCCATCAGCCACCATCACCACAAAATGAGCGCCGCACAACTAGAGGCAGATCGCAAGGAATACGAGAGCCAGGTATGTGTGTCTAACGTAACGAAGAGTTTCCGAGGGCCTGGGCTGACACAATCCGCAGCTTGAGCTGGTTATCACCTCGCTTAAGGATGACCCGGATAACGCTGAGCTTCTTGGACTCAAGAATGAGCTCGAGCAGATGATTAAGCTCATCGATGACTCTCTCGCCGAACTCAAGCCCAAGCATGAGCCGAAAGCCGCGCCTAAGAAGGCCCAATCTCCACCACATGAGGAGCCAAAGTGGTCGCGCGAGAACCACCCAACTTTTAGGAAGGCTGCCTCTGAAGAGAAAGAACCAGAAACAATCACCTACCAGGTCAATGATAATGTCATGGCACGCTGGGTGTCTGGCGACAAGGCTTTCTATCCGGCGCGCATCACTGCGGTGACTGGTTCGTCCACGGCACCCATCTACACTGTCAAGTTCAAGAATTATGACACTGTCGAGACGCTCCGTGCTAAGGATATCCGGCCGATTGCACAGAAGCGCAAGGCTGACGGCACTCCCGTTTCGGGCGGCTCCAGCGCCATCGGTGGTGCAGCTTTAACTGCTGCAACAACCCCGGCCAGTGCTACCTCGCTTACCCCAACATCCTCCAACAATGGCATTGTCCTCTCCGCGGCCGCCGACCTTTATCCACATGCCCAAGCGGCAAAAGCAGCGGCTGAGAACAAGGACGACAAGCCGCAACCGAAATTTAAGAAGCTCAAGGCCACGAAGGAGCTTGAGAAGAGCAAATCTAAGTGGCAAGAGTTTACAGCCAAGGGGAAGATCTCCAAGTCAGCAATGAAGAAGGAGAGCATGTTCCGCACTCCTGAGGGAATCAATGGAAAAGGTATGCTTCATTAAGTCTATCTGGAATTCTCTTGGCATGTGCTAACTCTCTTCTGCAGTTGGCTTCACTGGCTCTGGCCAGCCTATGCGCAAAGACCCGGCTCGAACCCGCCATGTCTACCAACATAGTGACGACTTGGACTAGACTAACTTGGGTCTCTGCTTTTCAGACACACTGCCATAGCCCAAAGCATCACGGCAGTCGGCCATCACTTCAAAACGGACGAAATAAATACGACTGGCGTTCGGCTCATAAGAGGGAATGGACTACATCACGGGTTGGAGTTTCGGTTTACAATGATCGGTTACCTCTTTTTCCTCCCTTCGTTACCCCTGTTGTACCAGATGAAGGCTAACGTTCTGGGTCTCGACCCAGTTGTGTATTTTCAGTTCTCCGAGCTTTTGCCCTCAGGCGTGGATTAGCCAAAGCCTCGAGAGATTGCTTGGCCATAATAGTATCAAGATACCCCCATAGTTACACACTTCTAGACGCTTTGTAATCTCAACAAGGAAATCCATCGAAGTTTTGAGTTGTTCCTCTCACTTTTAGCAACTATTTGACAAATTCTCTTCGAGTGATATTTTATTTTCGGTCTTTACTTCCTACCCATCCTTTTATATCTGAAACCAAGGCCCAGATACTCTATGAGATGCAAATCCACATAAAAGGAAAGCTTCAAAACAGCAACACGATCAATCAACGTCCTGTTGAGGACACGAGCTTCGTCATACCCTCAACCCTACCTTCGCGGCCACCTTTCTTGCAACCTCCATAAATACCTTCGCCCTCTCTGATTCCGGCTCCGCAGCCACAGTCGGCTTGCCCCGACTTCCATCCTCGCCGATGTTAGGATGCAGCGGCACATCCCCGAGCAGCTGGATCCCCTTCTCTTGACACATCTGATCAACCTTGTCGTTACCACCAAATACTTCTGTCTCCCCTCCACAACAAGGGCACTTAAAGACGCCCATATTCCGCACTAACCCCAGCACAGGTACACCAACCTTCTCAAACATCCCCACTCCCTTAACAGCATCCTTCACTGCCAACACATGCGGTGTCGACACGATAACGGCCCCGTCCACTGGTACTTGCTGTGCAATACTCAGCTGGATGTCGCCAGTCCCTGGCGGCAAATCGAGAACCAGTATATCCAGCCCGCCGGCTCCGGCCCAGTCGACTTCATGGAGGAGCTGCTGGATGGCTTTGAGCAGCATGGGCCCGCGCCAGACGACTGGAGCGGACTCGTCTGGCGTGAGGTACCCGATGGACATGGTCTTAACGCCGTAATTGGTGAGGGGGATGAGCTGGTTCTGGGGGGAGAGGTGGGGTGTGTGGGAGGTGAGGTCGAAGAGTGTCGGGATGGAAGGGCCGAAGATGTCGGTGTCGAGGATGCCGGCGCGTAGGCCGAGGCGGGCGAGGGCCAGGGAGAGGTTGGCTGTGGAAGAAAGGCTTATGTTAGGTGAGGACAAGGAGTGTCAGAAGAGGGTGAGAATAAGACGCACCGGCGATGGTGCTCTTGCCTACACCACCCTTGGCTGAGGAGACGGCGACGATGTGGGAGACGCCATTGATGGGTCTTTTTTGAGGTAGGCCACGTTGGAAACGAGGAATGCTACCCTTTTGTGGCAAGCCTTGAGTTTGTGGGAGCCCCTGTTTTTTGGTTAGATGCTATTTAGGTTTGAACTGATTCTGAGATGGCTCACAAGAGGATTCTCATGACCGCGCAGCATGCGCGAGCTATGCAGAAAACGGCGCAGGGTTGGGGTTCTCATGATGGATTCTATTTAGTCGTATAAATATCATTCAATCTATCTTCCCCAGTAGTTTCTGTATTTACATGGTCAGTCTCTCACTATGCATGACGTTCACCATTCAAGTTGAGCTCTGGGCTTGGTGAGGGTAATGGTTGAATCAAAGAGACGATTCCCGTGGACCCCTGTCGTGCCCGGAACTTTGCCCCATCATGGATCCACTCTCACCTGCAGCGCCAAGTTCTGCCGGCTGTCACCGCCAAAATTTCAGGCGCTCGAGTCGCTGAAAAATTCATGTGAGGAGCCGGGCTCAAGATTGTTCCGTTGCTTCAATCGCGGCAACCATCAACCATCAAATTATTGCTCGCCATGTCGACGACACGCAACAGGCGCGCTCGGCTTTTTGCCGAGTTTGAGGCGAAACCAGCTAAGGGTGCGCTTAGGTTCAATTCTGCGGTTAAATGCCCTTGCTAATCGAAGCAATCTCAGACTTCGATATCGAGAACGAAGCCCCAGACCAAAGTGAAGAAAGTGGCAGCGAGGAGTCTGGAGATGATTTAGCGGGAACTGAACACTACGTTGAGGTTGGGTACGTTGATGTGAAACAATATGTTCCAGACCTTTGTCCCTAACTCCTGTGTAGCAAGAGCAAACTACGCCAGAAAGAACCTCTCGCATTGGGGCCCGAGTACCGCGGAACACGCGTTAGCAGGGCTCAATTAGAAGCCAGCAGCGAGGAAGAAGACGAAGAAAACGATGACGATGAGGAAGAGGATGATGAAGACAAAGAAGAGGAAGGAAGTGAAGACGAGTCAGGAAGCGAAGAGTATGACGATCCTGACAAAGCCGACCTCGAGGCCGACCATGTGGACGATGATGCCGAAATTTCTAGCGATAATGCTCTCACAAAAAGCGATGACGAGAACCTTAAAAACTTTGTCTTCCGTGGCAGCTCAAAGCCCCGTGCTCCCGTCCAAACCAACGGGCGTATTAAGAAGCGGCCAACCGCTGCCGATTTTATGTCGTCTTCGTCGCAGTCAGCATCGGAAGACGAGAAAGAAAATATGTTGGAGGAGGATTTGGAGATGGATAGTCAGGATTTCGACATGGACGGGTCCGAAGAGGGCTCTGAGCTGGGTGAAGACGGCGTCCGGCTCTTTGACGATGAAGCAGAGGAGAGTGTCGAAGAGGGTGAGAGCGCCGAAGATGATGAGGAAAGATTTGAGGACAAGGACGATGAAAATGAGAGCCATGAAGATGATGAAGAGGAAGGCGAGGATGTGGAGAACGAACAGTCAGAGAAGGAGGACGGCGATGATGAACGTGCCAAGCTCAGGAGGTTAGCCACTGAGGGTGAGAAGAGCATCGCGGAGGCCATGTCACAGGCCGCTAGGGCAGACGCCGAGAAGGGTCTTGCTGTCCGGAAGCAACGGCGGGCTTTCGACTCCATTCTCAACCTTCGCATCCGACTGCAGAAAGCGCTCATCGCTGCGAACTCCTTTCACGTCGTCGAGAAGGCGGAAGGCCAGGACAGTACCGAAGCCTATCAAGCAGCCGAAGAGGCAGCCATCAAGCTCTGGAATACGATCGCCAGCGTCAGGCACCACTTTATGCCAGAGAGCTGTCAGACTAAGGTCGGCGAAAAAAGGAAACGCGAAATCGAACTTGATACGGCAAATCAAGAGATCTGGGAGACCATGGAAGAGGTCGAAGAGGTTGTCATGTCTCATCGCCGGAAGGTCCTCGATAAGTGGTCGAACAAGGTGAAGAAGAGCAACGCCGGGCTCAATACCCGGAAGCTGGTTAACTCCGAGGGGCAAACCCTGGTTGCGGCTTTGGACGAGCAAATAATGAGCTCAGAACGACTTATCAAGAAGGCCCGCACACCACGGTCGTGTGCGCCGGTTCAGGCTGCCAAGAAGGTGGAGGAAGATCCGGCCATCTACGACGATGCCGACTTCTACCAGCTGCTGCTCAAGGAGCTGGTTGAGCAGCGCAGCGCGGATACCGGTCTGGCGGGCGAGGGCGTTGCCACAGTGCGGTGGGCAGCTCTCAAGGAAACCAAAACACGCAAAAATGTGGACCGGCGGGCCAGCAAGGGTCGCAAGCTTCGGTACACGGTACATGAGAAGTTGCAAAACTTCATGGCGCCTGAGGACCGCCGGTCATGGGAGGAACATGCAATCGACCGGCTATTTGGCACACTCTTTGGGCAGAAGATGGAGCTCAAGGAGGACGAGGAGGAGTCGGACGAAGAGATGGGGGGCATCGATGTGGAGGAGGCGGGTTTGCGATTATTCCGCAGTTAAGATTCCCTGCGTTGCCACTTCATCGCGTCTCAAGAAGTCCTGCCGGAGAGTGCATTTTGGACTTGGATATACCCATAAATGTAAATCCACATGTAATCCTTCTGCCGGCTGGTTTTCCATCCATGAACACATCGTCCTCTGTTTCAGCTTAATCATCCTTGCCGTGTCCTTGGGTGATCAATTCCCATACGGCACCTCCTATCATCGCAACCAAGCATGCGATATGCACTGTGAAGTGTACTTTTGGCCCCCCCAACACTTCCTTCCCACTCCCCTTGCCCATCCTAGCCCAAGCTCTCCAAGTAGGCCATACGTGGTAGGTCCCCAGGCACAGACATAAACGTGCTGCCAATTTCATGTTTGTTGCTGTCTCCCTGTGATGTATTTCGTAGAGAAATGCCGCGCATGTAAGACATGTTGCTAAGAGCAGGCCACCCAAGTTGCGGAGAATAAGGCGCGTCTCGCCGGCATGGTCTAGAGTCGTTGGGACCAGCTGAGATTCTGGGGTGAGCACAAAGGAAAGGGATGCTGGAACCTCAGTAATGAGATGGAGGGTTAATGGAATTGTGAGATATGTGGGGCCCATGGCTCTCGCATTTGTAGTCTTGTTATGATCTCGACGTGTGTTTGGTAAGAACAGGTGTTTTTTTTATAAAAAAATTGACTGCCATCGACGATTAAGCCAATGAGAAACAGATATCCTCGTCAGAGCTCAAGTATGTTATGTCAGTACGCGGCCTGCCGAACGCCGTATGAGACAACAGAAGTGAATTTTGAAGCGGAAGCCGCGTGCTAAGCATTAAGTACTGGCATGATGGATCTGACGCAAAGGTTTCGAGGATCCCATCGTTTAGCGTAACAAACATGTGTACCAACTAGTGTTACGCGTCTAGAACCCCTCGATACGTGTTCCAACCCCCTTTTCGTTTGCAAGCTGTATAAGATATGTCCCGACTGTCAGGTCCATAAGACCGAACCCAACACTCTTGTAAATAACATTGCCAGCTTGGAGCCATTGCCTTAAATCCTGTTTGCGGTCTCTTGGATCCTGCAGGACCCCAACACTATTGGGGTGCACGATTTCACCCAACCTGTAAGACGTCATTAGCAACTTTGAAACCACTATTCTTCCAGATGACTTACTCAACAAGCTGCTCCTCTTTTACCCCAGCAGCAATCAACTCACCTGCCTCCATAATCGCCCCCTCAACAGTATCAACCACCACAACCCCGGCATGACTCTCCCCATCATCAACTAGCGCTCTCCTTACCAGCTCCCCCGGGATCTCCCTCATCTCGGGCTTATAACTCCCAATCGCCACAACCAACCGCCTCTTCGTCTCATCCAGCATCCCCGCATCAAATAACTCCTTTGTGGAAGGCGTACAACAGAAAATCACATCCGCTGCTCTCAACACCTTCTCCAATCTTCTCTCATAATCGTCATCTTCAGCAGAAACCACCTCAAAGCTACACCCCACCCACCTACCCTCCCCCTGATACCTCCTTACCACCTCTTCCACAGCCCCACTCCTCCTCCTAGCCACGAAAATAACCCTCCCTACTGCCTTCCCTCTCGTCACCAGCGTCAGACGCACATGCCAATAAGCCTGCTCGCCACATCCAAACACAACAAGCGTTTCAGAGCCATGGGTTGGGGAGACAGGGCGGTGGGTGATAACCGAGAGTGAGGCAAGCGCCGTGCGGAAGGCAGTTAGGGCGCTGGCATGGAGGAGGCCTAAAGGGGAGCCGTCGGGGCGGAAGAAGGTTACTGCGCCTGTTGGGCGGATTGTGGGTTTTGGGCTGTTGTTTTTATGGGGGAATGAGGGGCCTGGAGAGGAGAGGGTTATGACTTGAGAGGGGTTAGTAGCAGGTTTCTAAGAGAAGGGAGGTGAGGCGTTGGGGCTAACCCTTGACAGCATTTCCCGTCTCACTGGAAGATGGCATGAATAGCGTTGTGGCTCCTGTTACGGGGTTGTAGATGGAGACTCTCTCGGGCTGCTGGATCGCGGTTGCTGCTTTGGGGCCTGCATGGCGGGCTTTGGAGTACTCGTGGAGAGCCGATTCTAAGTTTTTCTGGAAGCCTTCTAGCTCGGAGCGCGTCAGGTTCTTGAGGAGCTCCTGGATCTGGCTGTCGGTGAGCACGGTGAGAGTCATGGTGATACGTAAGAAAACGTGCTATTAGGTAAACAGCACAACAAAGCAAGAGGGTTGAGCGAGATTCTGAAGGTCACCGGGATGGGGTATTTCAAGGCCAACGGCTCAATATATATCGACCTCTGCCATTCACATTTACTCTAGGTTATCCGCCGAGGTCTTATCTCCGGTCCGAGTCTGGCCGGCTCCTGTTACTCCCGCCAGCCCGTCGATGCCGGCGTCGGAGTCGGGTGGAGCTGATGACGATGCCAAGGCCGGTGATGGCCGGCGATGGAGGGGTTGTCATCGCGGGGAGGAGAGAACTCCGTCATGGCCACAGCCATTGAGCTCCCAAGACCGTTTGATCAAGAACCAATTCAAGTTTTATGACATCACATATGTCCCTAGCAATCTTGTACGATCTTTTCAACAATTGATTTCTCATTATCAGGTTTTCTGCGGTCCAGGTCTCTTGGTGTCGATTTTCGCTCACATAGAAACGGGTCTCGGGCATGCGCCAAGCCAGCACTCATCCCCGCCACCCGCCACTCTTCACGGTAAGTTGCCTTGGAGGTTCTCACTTCAGTTCAGGAAGGGACAAAAATCCTGGAAATCTATAAAACCTTAGGTATCTTCTCCCTGGACGCCTGCGTCGAGAACAGAGGCTTCCCCTTCTCGACACCATGATGATTCGTACAAGAAACCCAGCTCACAAAGCGTGACGTCCGCTTCGTGAGTTCACACAAATGATCCGATTCACATGAGACTACCCTGCCACCCACATCCATGAGAGATAAACCACCCTACGCTACCAGAGCCGGCGCCAGACGCGATATAAACAAGACAGAACCCAGACGCATATGACAAATAAACCAAAGAACCGCCTTAACCTTGGAACCGTTAACTCCGTCCAAAAATGTCATGACTTGACTGCCATGGCGGCGTTCCCATTGGTGAACACTAACTGCGCATGCTTCCCCCTGACGACTTCATCATGATGGGCACCCAGCACCACCTTGCCGCCAGTGCCGATACCAAGATCGCGGATCTTGCCGCTTGCGAGATCAAAGATGCACCCGTGCACCTGCATTCCACGCTCCTTAATCGCCTCCTGCACGACGGGGTTGCACATCAACACCTTGATGCCAGCCTCGACATTGAGCTCGGCAATACGGGCAGCCCGGGCCTTGAGGTCCTCGATGGCGTTCAGCTCCTCGAGGTGAGCAAGGCGCACCGTCTTGAGCGGCAGGAGCCATGTGTCCAGCACACCACCGACGCGCTTGTCGCTCAGGGCAGCCATTGCACCACCGCAGTTGGTGTGCCCGCAGAGCACGATGTGCTTCACCTTGAGATGGCCGACGGCATAGTCGATCACAGCTGAGGTGTTAATGTCGGTCGGCGAGACGATGTTGGCGATATTGCGATGCACGAACACATCGCCGGGCTGCAGTCCCAGGATTGTAGTCTCGGGGCAGCGCGAGTCCGAGCAGCCGAGCCAGACTGTTGAACCATCGTGTTAAAAACGCTGATGTTGATCCATGATGTTGAAATTGATCGATAAGGGATAAGAAAGGAACTAAGGAGGGGACAGTTACGGGCAACACGGCATGGAGTGGAGCCCGTTTCATTGGTGTAAGTCGGTTGCGATGGGGACTACTTACGGATCTCAGGGGCCTGCCCACTTGCGAGCTTATGGAAGAACTCTGGATTTTGGTGCGCCTTATAGCTTGCCCAAGCGTTGTTGGAGCTCAAGGCATACAGAAAGCTATCCTCTATTGATGGTGAAAGCCGGTCAGCAGGACAGGGTGAATGTTTCTGGGACAGGACGGACGAGGGGGAAGGGAGGGACTTGGCTAAAAAAGGCAAGTCCGTTGCCAAGTGACCACTCACCATGCGCCAGCATCTTGGCTCTCAACAAAAAAGAAGAAAAAGCGATGTTGGAAATTCGACAAAAACGGGATGTAAGAGACTGGGAATCAGGTTGCAGCGCTGTAAATGCGATTGCGATGGCTCGCTGATATTTAATCCCCCAGGCTCGCAGGGCAGATAAATCGCGACGCGCGATTTTCACGAGCAGACTCTCAAACAGGTTCAGGCTCGAGTTCGTACACACCTGCACACCCCTCCCCTATTTCTTGCTTTCCGGCCGTCCGTCAGTCCGTCTCGCTCGCGTGTACGGTAACGCTGCGGCGTCAGTGTCAGCAGCCCGTCCACAGGTTGCAGTAACCTAGTGTGTCGAAGGGAGTGGTGCAAGTGGTGCAATTCGCCCTGAACTGGCTAAACGGCGTTACGTTGGTGTGCCTTGTTCGGACGACCGCGCTGCGCTGGCTGTCGGAAGAAACGCCGAGAAGGATTCGATGCGCGTGTCTTGTCACCTTATGCGATCGATATTTGATCGATCTCCGTTCTAGTGCTGTTCTTTCCCCCTTCTTCCCTCTTTCCTTTTTCTGACCCCCTATCTTGCTGTTCGGCAAGCCAGGAAATGAGATCGGGGCAAGGGGCCTTATCAAAGCGGTCCAACGGCCTTGGGCGCTTCCCACGCGACCTCGCGACGAAGGAAGCTTCGGGAAAGCGCAGGTGGAAATATACAGATGAGAATGATGAGCAGACGGAAGGTGCGGAACGGAGCGTTGTGTCTGGCTGTGTTCCGTGTCTGGGATTGCGTGTTATCTCGGACAATCTGACAATCTACTCTGGGCAGCAGAATGCAGAGTGCAGAGCGCTGCGTCTGGCTGCGTTTGGCTCCGTACACAACTGTGTTGTCGAGGACGGGAAGGCTGGCAAGTCCAATCACAGCAGTAGCGTAACACCTGGGGATACGTGGAGAGACAGCACCTGTGAGGTGGTCAGATCTGGAGAGATGGGGATGATAAATAACAGCGAGGCTACCAGACTAAGATAATATACACCAACGCTCTATGCTGTGGGAGGAAGGGATGCCGCCGGGTCTAATAAGTACCAGCTCCCCCGGATCGTCTTCCCCAGCTCACCGGGTTCACTGATATGAAGCACATGCCCATTCAATACCAAACAAGTGATCACGCATGCTGCACACCTCCCATGCTCCTTATGCTCCCAACCGCAACAGTTCCGTCCATGGGCTTACTTTTTCCCCTTGTTGCCTTCCCCTTCTGTCTCATTTCACCCGTCTTCCAGTCCCATTCCCGGATGCCACCCTCCCCCAACGGACAGTCCGACGCAGCGGCGCAAACACGTCCTAGTGATTCCCCATGCCGCATGTCGGCGCCCATGCTTCTGGATATATCTCACACTAATGACGCCGGCATCTACCTGTGTACATCACTGCTACGATGTGACCTACGTTCCCCTCCTCCTCTATCTCCGCGATGCCGGCTCAAGCGGAGGAGGGTAGTATCCGTATCCCCCATCTGGCTCCAACTATTGTACGTTGCTCCATACAATAGTGTACTTGGCTGATGACTAGCAGCCAAGCGCTTGACCGGGGGGGTACAAACCCCTGTTCAGGCTGTCCAGTCGCGGCTGTCTGAGAGTCCGGGGGTTGAACTTTAGTGAAACGGCACGAGCTGCACCCCGCCTACGCTCCCGACGTGCCCGCATCACCCACCTGCAAAAGGTATCCAGATCAGCGCTTCCTGCTGTGTAGAGTGGTGTAGGGAGCTTCTGGCAACGGACTAAGGGCGACACGAACTCTGATCGGAGGCGTGTCACCGAAGACGTACATATGTAGTGCAGTCTAGGATGGTGGGCATGCGCAGTGTAATGTGTGCTGTGCAGTGTAGGTTGGTCAGACTCGTCAGATAGAGATCATTGGGACGCTGGCAAACCCCAGTCCCGGTCGCCTGTCTGAGCCTAAGTTTCTAGCAGGATCGGCAGTGCAGCTCACAACATCCCAATCCTCCTCCTCTTCGCCGCCCACATCGCGCTAGTGCTGTAGGCTAGAGGTCCAGTCAAGCTTTCCTGCCCGCGGGATGACGGGTGATGGAGGGGCTCGGAGGGAGGGGCAGATGCGGCCGGGCAGCTGGGCTGTCAAGTCAGCGGTGAGAAACGAAGCGGGGCCCGGAACCCTGCGAATGGAGGATAGAGATGGGGCGCGGGGGTCACGCCCGCAAATGCGCAAACGCAAAAAAGGGGACAGGCAGGCAAGAGCCGCCGTCAACCGATGAGAGCACGACCGCGCCAATGGCAAGATAGGAAAAGCGCACCTAGTCGGCAGTGTGATTCAGCGGGCGAAGAGGTGTTGAAGACATGAGCCGGCTTCCGAGTCTCCCGCTAGCTCGTTCGCTGGTCCTGAAGAGCATGCCCCACGGATCCTCTGTTATGGCATTCCGGGGGATTGGTCGATCACGCTTTCAGCAAGTCTCTCTGTGTGATGAAAAGCAGGCTTCCGCAGGCCGACTGGCCGCGATAAGCTTCAGAGAAATGTTGAAGTGCATTGGCCTGAACCAACAGTGGAGGTCAAACCACCATTCCATTTTTTGGACCATGAACATCTTGAAGGATGACGCTGCCAAATAATGCTTGACGTTGGTTGTTGGCATTTACAAACAAGAAGCTCCCCCAGATCCACCGATATAAATGCATCCCTCCACTGCCTCGGAACACCGGGATCGATATGAGCTACGTGGCCTGGATGTTACACTTTTACATTACACCTCCTACCTGTTTGATGTAGGAAGACAGGTGATAAGGGATGGATCGATTTACTTGGGTTCGCTTGCTAGTAGTTTGTCTCTCACGATCCAGTACGCGATATCTGTCTTTGAAGTCAAGGGCAACTCCATTCCAACCTATCGGTCAAGTGAAACATGTTTAGTGTCTGATGGTCATCGGTTCATTAAGGCGTTGTGGAAACGTCAGAGATAATCGATATCTCTTGATCGAGATTGTGAGATTGTAAATGCCTATCAGCCTGGTCGCTTGAAATCCCATATTTCACAGCTTGGGCTGTCGATCTTTCAGCACTGTTGCATGACGCCCGCCCCAAACTCATGAAGCTGGCCTCTGACGTCTCATCCCCGACGCCACCACATACGTAAACCGTCTTCCTGCCCCAGTCTGTCTTAAAAGTCCGTCACACTTTGGTCGGCCTGAACCGGGGCGATGCGCTGCCCGCAGTCAATGGAAGTGACATATCGGCGTTGAATCGAACGCAGGGTTTTATGCCAGCATGGTCACACCGCATGGCTTTTTGACATGTTTTTGGGGTATCATGGCATTCATCATTGCTTTGTCCCGACCCAAAACCCAAAAAAACAAACAAGTGTATCGACGACGCCCACACGTGGCGGGGGCAAGCTGTTTATTTTACCCTGAGCTGGTTTTGGTATTCCCGTACGCCATTCGCAAGAACAACCAACCCGTCCCAACCATTGCAAGCATCAGATTTAGACCTTGATGGCGGTCTCAAGAGACTTCTTACGCTTCTCCTCGCGCTTCTGGGCCTTGAAGCCCATGATACCACCACCCCAGCGCTTGCGGGTATCCTCGACCTTCTCGAGGTAGCCTTCCTTGACAGCCGAGATGAGCTTGGCAAGCTCGTTCTTGTCCTCAGAGCGGACCTCAGTGATGGCAACAACGGCAGCAGTCTAGCAATGTGTCAGACTTGACTATAACCTAGTCTATGCAACAATGGATGCTCACCTTTTTGTGGACCAGAGTGCCGAGGCGGGCCTTGCCCTTGATGATGGCGTAAGGAATGCCCATCTTGCGGCAGAGAGCCGGCAGGAAGACAACCAGCTCAATGGGGTCGACATCGTTGGCGATGAGGACGAGGGAGGCCTTCTTGTTCTCAATCAGGCCGACGACGTGGTTCAGACCGTACTTGACAGTGTACGGCTTCTTGCTGACGTCCTCCTTCTTCTTGCCCTCCTTGATGGCCGTGGCCTCGCGCAGGAGACGCTCCTTCTTCTCCTGCTTGGTCTCAGGGCGGTACTTATTGAGGAGCTTGAAAGCCTGAGCAGCCAGATTCTTGTCCAGAGTATACTGGAACTGGGCAATCGCAGGAGGAACCTTCAGACGCATGCGCAAAATTTTCTTCTGGCGCTGGAGGCGGATATACTCCGGCCACTTAACCATGCGCGACAGGTTGCGCTTGGGCTGGATATCTTGGCCAATGCCGAAGTTGCGGGGCCGCTTCTCAAGGAGCGGGTTCTGTAACATTGTCAGCACACAGGAAAACGAGCAGGAAGTGCTGGATAGAGGATGTGAGACTGACCTTGGGAGCCTTCTTGGCACCAGCCTTCCCCTGAGGGAAGGGGGCCGGGGCGACCTTCTTACCGGACTTCGGAGGCTGTCATTGAGAAGAAGACATCAGCAAATGTTTTCCATTGACTGGTAGTCTTCTGAACTCTAGTGAGCTGCCTGGATGGCGTTTCCGCACATCACAAACCAGCTCCAGCCAGCCATCACCTGTGCGGTTTTGCAACCAGCAGGCGGAATGACTTAATGCACCCAAGCAGACCACGAAGGGTCGCTAGGGCGCAGATAGCAAGAAAGCATCACAAGATGCTCTTGCATCCAAGAATGAATTGATAGAACATCGTAGTCGATCAGGTGCTTACCATCTTGTCGTTGGGCGGTTCTGCTCAGGGCCGGAGCTTGTTTGTCGAGAAGAATTCTAAAAGTTTGAAAATTGGTGTTGCGGCGCGAGTAAAAAGAGGGTTGTGGATTTGCAGGCGCTCGGACCAACTGTAGGGTATGGCGGAGATCTTTGAACTGATTGGCCATCCTTAAGGGTACGTACCGACCCTGTGCGCAGCAAGTGTGCCCCGCCGGCTTGGCGCTCTTGACGGCTGTCACGGAAGTGTCAAGCTGAGAGTCTACAAGCCAACCCAAATGGCTTCATTTCAATCGCTGTTTCCGCCAAACCTTCAAGAACTGCGCGGGCCACACGACGAATAACTGATCACGAAAACGGCCTTATTAAATTTGTGCGAGTTCAACAATATCAGGACGAGGCTCACCTCCTACGGAGCATACCCATCTAAACCCAATATGGCCCCTTCTCCTTGCAGCAAGTGTAAGACGGAGAGGGCAATTATCAAACGGCCAAAGAATCATGCAAAACTCTGCAAGGCATGCTTCATCCAGGTTTTTGAGGACGAAGTCCACCATACCATTGTATCGTCAAAGCTGTTCTATCCCGGAGAGAAAGTCGCAATAGGAGCCTCTGGGGGAAAGGATTCGACAGTGCTAGCCTCGGTTCTCAAGACCCTCAATGAGCGGCACAATTACGGCCTTAAGTTAGTCCTTTTGAGTATAGACGAGGGCATCAAAGGCTACCGCGATGACTCGCTCGAGACGGTGAAGCGCAATTCCGTGCAATACGACATGCCTCTTAAGATTGTCAGCTATGAGGAGTTGTATGGTTGGACGATGGACCAGGTGGTAGAGACAATCGGGAAGAAGAATAATTGCACCTATTGTGGTGTCTTTCGACGCCAAGCACTCGATCGTGGGGCGAAGATGCTGGGCATCAAGCACGTCGTAACGGGTCATAATGCTGATGACGTAGCAGAAACAGTCTTGATGAATCTGCTTCGGGGTGACTTGGCGCGGCTTGCACGAAGCACTAGCATCGTGACAGGAGACAGCCGCTCGGATGTCAAGAGAAGCAAACCCCTGAAATACTCGTATGAAAAAGAGATTGTCCTCTATGCTCATCACAAGAAGCTCGACTACTTCAGCACCGAGTGTATCTACAGTCCAGAGGCGTTTCGTGGCAGTGCTCGGGGCCTGATTAAACAGCTGGAGAAGGTTCGGCCAAGTGCCATTCTAGACATCGTACGCAGTGGCGAGGACATGGCAAGGCTTGTTCCGGGGGACTCTTCCTCCTGTGCCTGCGACGGACAAATAACCGCTTTTATGGGACCGACAGAAGATGACGTTGGCGGATGTGGTTCACAGAACGGTAGCACGCCGGGAAACGAAATGGCCGCGATGGACAAGCAATTAAGGGAGAATGAGGAACATGCTTCTCTCGAAGACGATGTCGCAAAATCCATAGCGAAGGAGAGCGGTCAACAGCGGGAACTTCCCCTAAGAACGAGGAATGGCATGGTCAAGGGTGGTACGCGGCAGGTACTTGGAAACTGCAAGCGTTGTGGCTACATGTCGAGTCAAGATATTTGTCAGGCATGCATGCTTCTCGAAGGTTTGAACAAGAACCGCGCGCAGATACAAATTGAGTAATTTGTACGTTTGAGGTATCATCTGGACTGAGTTACTGGAGTCTCATCGGGGATCGAGGAGCGGTACTCCGTACGTAGTCTTCAAAGACCATACACCCTTCCGCGTCATGACCGCCATGCTGAGGCATCTTTATGAAAATCTTTTTTCAACCTGGATTGTGTGAGTTCAAGCTTCTGATTTTGTAAACTAGAGCAGCCCATACCTTCCACGGGTTATTAAATTCAAATCCAGGCGGTGCTATCGGATTGTCTGTTTGTCCTCGTAGGTGTCCAGTGAGTCTCCTATCACGTTCCATCACTGTACGAGTAGTGTGAAAGGTCAGCTTGTCGAGTCTCTATCTGAAATCGCCATTGTCATCGGTCAGGTGGTCATACTTTGCTGCAAAAACGTTAGCAATAAACAGAAAGGAGTGGACATCATGAGCTACCCACTTTGTCCCACTGATCAACGGACCATCTGTGCCTTTTGTCGCCGTTGAACATATGCCGGACCTTGGCCATGCCAGCACCTGTGACGCCGAACATCTAAGACCCTCATCAGCAGGTGTAGGTCGTCTGGTAGGAAGCTACGGGAGCTTACGGCAATGATGATTCCATAAGGAATCAGAGTCTCGAAGGGAACCGGCATTGTGGCGGTCGGGTCGTCCTAGCTTTCCAAAGTCAGTTTGGAAGAATAAGTAGAAAAATGGGGACTGGAGCCGTACACGAACACTTGCTTGACCTGGGGCGAGAGAGTCTTGCGCGGGCCGCACCCCTCGATGTTGCGTAAATGGCCTCGTCTGGATTGACGAATGGGAAGCTTAATGATTTGCCTAAGGCATCACGCTCTGGCCTCAAGCCTGAAGTGGGACACTCACGCACAGACCAAGCAGTTGTCTGGATGCGGTCGCATATAAGGGGTGATGACTAAGCTTTGCATCACAACGCACGACAGGCGCAACCCGCGATGCTGAAGCCTAGAGGTTGCGACTCTCCAAAGAACTTCAACCGAAAGCAATTTTGTTGTTTTTGAACCACTCCACTGAAATTTTAACCGATCGCTACCGTTTTGACGCGTTTGCGACGACATAGCGTCTAAATAGAGCCATTATTCATTGATGCATCCCTTCTCGGTGCCTTCTTCCGCGCGTCGTTGATTCTGGAGAATCGCGCTCCTTCGCAGCCGCGTTTGTTCTGCGCCTGCATCCAGACGCACACCCGCCCGTTTGGCGGTATTGGCGCAGGATCGCAGTGGCATTAGTCAGCATACAACAGCTCTTCAGGGCATGGATCACGACTTGTTGCTGCTTGAACACCTACCTACCTAGTATGCGCCGTGTTTGCGTCTCCGAGCCTTGACAAGACGGCCCTGACATTGCGCAACGACAATCCACGCGATTGAGGGTCGTTTTGGCGACAGAAAACACAGCCATGGCTGACGCACAGCTTATGGAGGAACAGCTGCAGCGCAGCGTCATGCGCGACGCCGAGATGATCCAGCATATCTCCGATGGAGTTGTAGCTGTGGGCGACGACGGCTCGTATGCCTCCCACAGTCACATTGTTGTCCACGATGGAGAGTTTGATGCCGAGGGTGACATAGACATGGATACAGCAGAGGAACAGAGACAAGACTATGACGAGGATGAGCAGAGTGAGTCGGAAGAAGAGGACAGTGGCAATAGCAACTCCGAAGAGGAGGAAGATGAAGAAGAGGACGATGACGATGATGACGATTCATTTGAGGAAGACGCTGAAGGCGAAGAGGATGACGAGGTAATCCAGCGACGTCGTCTTCCGCAGCGCAGATTAGCCAGCAGAGTTACTAGCCGTCACAGTGCTGAGGATGACGACGATGAAGGTGTTGGCGCAGTCAAGTTTCGGCCGGGAGAGACAGAGGATGAAGATAGCCGCTCAGAATCCGCGAGTTCGGCAAGCGGAAGTGACGACGATTCTGACGGTGACGAGGAATGGCACGAGGCTGACCACGACGATGGTGATGATGACGAATCCGCAGATACCACCGGGCTGTGTATCTTCTGCAAGCAGGATGAGGATCACGATCCCAGTGAGGAGTTTGAGGTCTACCTGGCTTGCACGAGGTGTGGGGATAATGGTTGGTGCATTGTCCCGCTGGAATGTGTGTTGGTGAGATTATCTAACATAGCCAAACTACAGCCCACCAACAGTGCGCTCGTGAAAATGAAGCTATTACCAGCGAGCAAGGTATGACTCAACTATCTACAACTGGCCTATGGCCATCTGCTAATGTGATTAGGCCCTGGAAATTGGCGATGCCCCAAGTGTGCTGGCATGGACTCTGATTCGGATGCTGCTGTGGAGGAGAATGAGGCTACTACCGCAATGGACAGTGCGGCTGAACCAAATCCGTCATCCTCCAGACGGACAAGCGTGCCCAAGTTGGCGTGCGACCTGCTGCCATCTCAAAAGGGAATTATTAAGCCTGATTCTCATTCCGTATTCAACCAGCTTGTCCTTGATGAGGATCCAATGGACGGGTCTCGTGTGCTCAGAAAACGCAAGACATCTTCAACCGAGGCAGATGATGGAGTTATGACGCTCCGAAAACGGCGGAAAGCCACTACAGATGGGCAGAGCAATGATGAAGGTGCTACTAACCAGGATGATTCATCCCGACCTGTCTCAAGGTCTCTGCGTATAAAAATCGCGAACGCTCCTGCATCTATCATCAAAAACACCCGCGGAAGCCTGATCGTCAAGTTCCGAGTGAACTCTTCTGAGTTACGTCAGATTTTGTCAAGGAAGCCGAGGGGCTCGCGGAAACGTTCTACGGGCAGATCGTCTCGACGCAGGACTTCCAGAAACGATTCGAGGAGGATTGCAGCTCTTCCGGTAGCTCCTATCACAACCCCTTTCACTCCTACCGCTTATTCCCAACCATTCTACTCTTTCTTCGACAAGGAGACAGACGAAATGAAGGGCAAGCCGTATGGAGGAATCTTAAGCGAAGCTGAGGCTGATACCTCGAAAACGATGCCCACTAACGAAGACCGGCGGCGCTTTGACGAAGCCAAGCAAAAGGCAGAAGAGGAATGGCGAGAGAGGGTCCTCAAAATGCAGGCAGAAATGGAGCTCCCTCCCAAGAAATCCAAGAAAGCGTCTGGGCCAGCGAGCCAGATTGAGTGCATAGAGTTCGGTGGTTGGGAGATCGACACATGGTACGCTGCTCCATACCCAGAGGAGTACAGTAGGAATCGCGTCCTCTACATCTGCGAATTCTGCCTCAAGTACATGAACTCGGACTACGTCGCTTGGCGGCACAAGCTCAAGTGCCCGGCCAAACACCCTCCAGGAGATGAGATCTATCGGCATGGTTCCGTTTCCGTTTTCGAGGTCGACGGTCGCAAGAATCCGGTTTACTGTCAAAATCTTTGCTTGCTGGCTAAGCTCTTTTTGGGCTCCAAGACTCTCTACTACGATGTAGAGCCCTTCCTCTTCTACGTGCTTTGCGAATACGACGAGCTGGGCTACCACTTTGTCGGTTATTTCTCAAAGGAAAAGCGAGCCAGTAGCCAAAATAACGTCTCGTGCATTCTCACATTGCCCATCCACCAGCGAAAGGGCTATGGCAACCTTCTGATCGATTTCTCTTACCTCTTGACCAGGGTTGAGAAGAAGACAGGCTCGCCTGAAAAGCCTCTCTCGGACATGGGCCTGGTTTCTTATCGTAACTATTGGCGGCTTGTTATGTGCCGCTATCTCCTCGAGCATTTCTCGGAAGAGAAATCTGGGAAGATGGGGCTTAGCATCAAGCAGATATCTGAAGACACCGGCATGACGCCGGATGATGTGATCTCAGCGTTGGAAGGTCTGAGGGCTCTTGTCAAAGACCCCCAGACACAGCTCTATGCGCTTCGCGTCGACTTGCAGTATTGTCGAGAATATGTCGAAAAGTGGGAGGCCAAGGGATACGTGAAGCTCAACCCAAACGCCTTGACATGGACGCCCTACGTTATGGGCAGAAGCAACTCTTTGAACTTCGAATTAGCGCCTACTCTCAGCGCCATCGCCGCCCGAGACGATGACGAGGAGATCAAGCCAGATCCACCGGTAGAAGACCCGTTGATCAATGGATCAAATTCCCCCACTCGCCGCGAGGATCCCCCTCCAGACATCAAGATCAACTTTAACACCACTATTCTTCAGTCTGCTGAGAAGGACGCAATGCATAGTGCTGTCAAAGGTGATCCCAAGCCTTCTGAGAGTGATGGCGCTGATGACGCTCCAGATGATCAGAAATTCAATTCTGGTCCGGATTCTAAAGATTCAGAAGGCGACGACTGGATGCTCAAGTACAAAGACATCCCGCCAACTCGCTTCGAGCCCGTTCCACCTGTTCCAGGCCGTCGCTCCGCTGATCGATCTCGCTCCGTTGTTATCCCTCGCCCACCCACAGTTCGGTCCGCAGGCAGCAGCACGTCTCGCCCCCGGTCCAGACGTTTGACTGCGGGCTCGCGCCGCTCCACGACATCCAGGCCCCGTACGAGCGGTAGCAATAGTAGCAAGCGCAGACCAGGTGGGACTGGGCGCGGACCGGGTCGTTGGCCTAAGGGCACTAAGAAGAGCGATTATGGCAACGCAGACAGTGGACCTGGTTTCCCTCCAGCTTGGATAGCTGAGAGAAACAGACTCGCTGCACTAGCTGCGGCGAAAAAAGAAGCTGCTGAGAAGCAAAAGGAAGAAGAGGCCACTGCAGTCGGAGAGAGCGGTGAAGTACGGGATACGGTGCAGGTACAGAGTACTGCAGTCTCGGACCAACTGAACGGGTCTGTTGCCGCGGGTTCAAAGACTCCCAGAGGAAAGGGGAAAGGAAAGGCCAAGGAAGTACCAACGGATGTGGTGATGGGGGAAGCCGATGCCGAAGGTGAAGAAGACTAGGAACGCACCGCAAAGATCATAATAGGGTTTTATTTCATGCTGGGATGCTTTATGGGATGGGAATGGAACAGCATGGCGTTGGGGATTATGGCTCTGCATAGGGTTACTTAGGCGGCTCAGGGACGGACAAGGGTTTTTTCAAAGGGTTCGCCTTGTTATCATAGGGTTTTTATATATTGCACGACTTGCGACTTGTACCATTTGTCGCCGATCTTCGTCGGCTTGTTGCTGTATACATATACATAATTGGGGAGTTTGTTGCGCCGCTTGCGCGTTTTCAGTTTCGTCAACAGATGATCGCAAGCCCTTTCTTATACCCATTTTTGCTTGGAGCGCCTGGGTTCTGGTGCTGGCATTATGATGCAATGGATTTGATAGCACCAAGAAACCGGTAAATGTCGCCCGACAGTTTTTGGATGCCATCTTTATCATGGCGCCTTCTCAGATGCCCATCAATTGGGGTTCCTCGAGAGCCGCGCTTACGTCATGGCGGCTTTTGAGACAGCGCTTGTATCAGGGTCCTGATGATAGCAAAAGCCGTTCCAGAATCATGCCTTTCCCGGCTCTCCTTTGTCTCGAAAGTCAGATGCATTTTTTTCTTTTCATTCTGTTTACCCAACCCCTTGTACCGACTACCCAAACAGCTCGCAGTGATGACCCTCTAAGGCTGGCCCCCGTCGTGGCGAAGAGTCCAATTCCAAGTCTTAGTTGTGCCCGCCCAGTCCAGCTGAGTGATTCGAGAAGGCTTCGATGCGCCCAGGTGCACCCGAACGCCTTGTGCCGAAAGACCCTGCACGTATTACAGGCACTGTGCATGCAAGGTTGTATTTTAAACAGTGCATCGAGTAGTGCTAACCCAGCAGAGATAGAGGTTGTTTACAGCATAATACATATGGCTTAGCGCCTGTCGTGGACGAACAGGGCAACTTCGCACTGTTTTCTTGTCAGTAAGTTTCCGTAGGTGATACAGTCAACCTCATCGGATTCATACAGTGCCGATGTTTCGCGCAAATTACCAACCCACTGTCCTGTGCTGATCCAGGTTCTCCTGCTGACGACCGATCAAGCTCCTATCCCCTCTTCCATCGCAAGACCTACGTGGACGCCCCAGAGTGTAGCCATCTCCCTGCCTAGCCGCGAACGGCATTCCTGTGCACCTCGTCTCGAGTCAGCTTCATACATAATCAGCGCAACAGTTTGATGAGGTCGCTATTGACCACGAACGATTGAAAGCAATTCATTCACTCTCAGACAAGGCCGTCTTCTCCAGGAGCTGAGGCCCGAAGGCGGAGCACGACACTTATCGAGTCACACGCCAACAGACTCGCTCTTTTGGTGGCGCGCGCGGCCTTTTGACACCGAACTCTGAGCAAACAATTCCGGCGCACTGTTCCATTGTTGCGACCCGCCAAGCGTGACAACGAGAGAGGCACAAGCGGATTAGTTAACCTTCCTCCGACGCTGGCTACGTACTCACACACATCTCCATCAATTTACTCGATCATTATCTATTCTCTGACCTTATAGCCGCCGCTGCTTCCGGCAAAGTTCCCAAATCTTCCCAAATCGCCTTCCTACGCCAACTCTTCGACCGGCGCCAACATGTCAAAAGTCATTCGAAGTGTCAAAAATGTCACCAAGGGCTACTCGAGTGTCCAAATTAAAGTCCGCGAAGGTGAGTCAGCTTGGCTTCCTACTTCTGCCTGACGCGGCTTTCGATGTCTCAGGGAATGTGAGAGCGCCCTTTGCTAACGTCTTTACGATGCAGCGACAAGTAACGACCCATGGGGCCCGACAGGGACGCAGATGAGCGAGATCGCTCAGCTGACCTACGGGTCGTAAGTAGCTGAATTTGTGACCCTTGCGCTGCCGCGACAACCTGCGCTGACCTGAGTCTATCGTCTAGGTCGACGGACTTCTATGAAATCATGGACATGCTCGACAAGCGACTCAATGACAAGGGCAAGAACTGGAGGCATGTCTTGAAAGCGCTCAAGGTGATGGATTACTGCCTTCACGAGGGCTCCGAGCTGGTCGTGACATGGGCCAAGAAGAACATCTTCATCATCAAGACATTGCGCGAGTTCCAGTACATCGACGAAGAAGGCCGGGATGTGGGTCAAAATAGTAAGCGCCTTGTCTGAACGCTGCGAATTTTGAGTTTATGTGCTAACAATAATCGATGCAGTTCGTGTTGCTGCCAGGGAGCTGACTGCTCTGATTCAGGATGAAGAGCGCCTGCGCGCTGAGCGGAATGACCGTAAGATGTGGAAGAACCGTGTCAATGGCGTTGAGGAGTACGCTCCTCAGCACAATAGGGACCGCCACGACCCACCCAGACAGCGGCATCGGCAGTACAGCGAAGAGGAGGACCTCGAGTATAGATTAGCAATCGAGGCAAGCAAGGTCCAGGAGGAAGAGGACAGGAAAAAGCGCGAGAGCCGCAGGCAAGCTGAGGAGGACGACGATCTTGCAAAGGCTATCAAGCTCAGCAAGGAAGAGGAAGAGCGACGCAGACGTGAACTTGAGGAGACCAATGCCGCCGCTCTCTTCAGCGACACGCCGACTCAGACCCAGCAACCCCAGTTCACTGGATTCAATCAAGGTTACCAGCAAGGGAATGCTGTTGATTTCTTCGCCAACCCCATTGACGAGAGCCAATTGCAGATGCAGAACCAGATGCAGATGCAACCCACCGGCTATTTAAACACCGCTTACACGGGCTTCCAGCCGCAGATGACTGGATATCCGAATGGCTATGTTAACCCATTTGCTCAACAGGCTACGGTATTCGACCCATATGGTCAGCAGCAGCAGGTCTTCCAGCCCCAAGCCACAGGATACAATCCCTATTTCCAACAGCAACAAGCCCAGCTCCAAGTCCAGCAGCAACCACAGCTAATTCCCGACCTTCCTGAACCCACTCTGCAGCCGGGTAGCAACAATCCTTGGGCAAACAGCAGTAGCTTCCAGTCCCAACAGGCACTGAAGCCAACGCCCACGGGTTCTAACAACCCTTTCGCCCAGCGCCCATCCACAGGCTACAAGCCAACCACACTCAGCACCCTACCGGAGCAGAAGACCCTTACAAGCTTCAGTAGCATGTCGAACCTTCAAGCCTCCTCCTCTTCTTCCCCCTTCGGCAGCAACCCCTTCAGTCAGCAGTCACAAAATCAACAAAACCAGACGCAGTCACAGAAGCCACAAAGGCAAATGACGGAGCACGAAGCTAAGCTCAACGCGCTCCTTGCTCAGGGAGAAGGCCTCGACACATTTGGTAACACAGGCCAGCTGCGTATTCCAGCGCAGCACACCGCTCCCGGTGTGTTTGTCAACAGCGCCGGGTCTGGCTTGTCTAGACTGACAGCTGAGACCACGGGCAACAACCCATTCCTCAAGCCGCAAGCCACTGGGGTGCCTTCGGCCCCGGCTCAGCTGCAGATACCTGCTGCCACGGGCCCAGCTAGCATGGGGTTGAACAATAACCCGTTTGCAAGGGCACAGCAACAACAGTCGCCGGGCGAGGCCTTCACACAGAGAGGGAATTTGATCACGTTCTAGGCAGACGGTGATGAGGGTGATGTGGCTGGAACACGGGACGGTAGGAGGGTTGTTAGTGAATAGCTCGGTTTGAGTGGGTAGTGAGAGTCCCAAGTAAAGGAGAGAGATGATGGGTAACAGACTGCTGGTGGTAATGGACGAAGGGGGTAAGCCTTTTCCCGCACAGGATATATTAGACTGCTACACAGGAGGGAGGTGAGTGCGGAAGCAAGGCTGATGGTAACGGGACTTGAGGCTGCGGCAACGGAGAGCTGCAGCGACAGGCACGACTGACTTAGGTTGAGGGCCTTGAGACTCTGGCGACTATTCCCTCCTGTGCTCGCGAGAGCAAACACATTATATTTCCTTTCCTCCACATACCCTCTAAGAGGTGGCCTTCATTTGTTTTTTTTCTTTTTTTCCCTCTAACCGTTCTCTATTTTTCCTCTCTACGCTTAGTTGTTTTATTTTTATGTTGACTGGTACCGTTCACATTTACACGGCGTTGGGATTCCTTTGCTCGGTTTCTCATTCTCCTATGTGTTCAGGGAGTAGATCCCCTGGATAGTGCTTGAAAATGGGAGCTTCGGTCTGCCGAGCGAGTGAATGCTGTTTTGACATCACAGTGGTTCCGGCGCGGAGTAGATCAAAGCTCATAGAAAAGATAGAAATGCTGGCGGCCATCGATAGAACTTTTAACAATTCGGGACTTTGACCAGATCGACTACGTCCAAGAGATATATACAAGTAATAAACACAAAGAGCTGTGGTCATTGTACTTGGACCGTAGAACTGTCGAGATGACCCGTGAATCGAGATGTACGTTGTACATCCATGGCTGCGGGGGAGGGCAGAAGAAGCACAGCGTACGGACAAATGGACGCAACCTCAGGCAACCTCGCCAGTCGTAGCAAAGCTCTCAGATGACAGCTTCAGAGTAAACAAGCAGGGAACAAGCAAGAATGAGGAGTTACAAGGGAGGGAGAAGAGGAAGAGACTGGGGGATTTGCACCTGCCTGCATGCTCTTCAACGTCTACGGAGATCATGGGCTTGTCAGGACAGCGAGCCGCAAGACGCAACGGAGACAGATGGCTAACACTGAACATCTTCAGCAATACCCGAGAAGCATCCAATCAGCTGTCGCATATCGCTCCCTGTCCGATATCTTGAAGACACGCTCTGGGCTCTCTGTGTTATCAATGTTTTAGGCATCACCCATTGATTAGTTCAGATTGCATCAAGACTGGTCTAATTGCCCGTTGACCAAGGCAAACAGGCCTATTACTCAGCATGGCTCAATACACTAATCAACGGCGTGAGTTGAGACCAAAGGCACCGTGACACGAGGCCACGTGATCCAACTTGCTGCTTCAAAAGCGTCCTTTTTATGGGAACAGTCATCATTCGAGCCGTAGAAAGTCTTCATTGAGCTTGAAAAGCAGACAACAAGCAGCATCGACATGCGCTGTTGACTGATCCATCATCATCACATTGTCTCTTGTTCCCTTTGCCATGCCAATTCGAAAATCCCTAACGAGAGAAACGGAAGCCAAAAGTCAAAATCAGGTGGCTCGTGCTTCATAGCTCGATTCACCCCGGCCACACTTTTTTTGTGGGTCACGCACGACTCGGGCGTGTCGGAGCAGCCTGATTGGCCAGAAACCAGGGTCCGCATGTTGGGCTGCACTGGGTGCCCCATAGCAACTTGCAGGAGAAGGCTCTTACCTTTCGCGAGCTTGCCAGACTTCGCCTTCGCAATTCGCGACTTTCATCATCTGTTGGAGTCGGGAAACAACGCGGTGCGGCTCCAAGCACTGGCATCGGTGTCTCCAAAGCTTGCGCCGCCCTTCTGGAAATAGCTGTTTTATTCTCGGTTTTCTTTTGGATTTTTTTCACATCCGTCGCGACCGATTCCCGATACACCATAAATTTCCTGGCGCGTAGGGCGACGGTGCCTCGCGCTTTTTAACCTCTCGATCTTCCTTTCCATCTTGCCACATCGCGACACCCCCCATTCTCGACATCGCCCATCATGTCATTCGGTTTCGGCAGTGGCGGCTTCGGCCAGAACAACAATTCATCGACTTTTGGTGGCTTTGGCTCGACTCCGACCACGAACACAGGTACGTAACGCGGTCGCGCAACTCTCGTTTCCCCCCCTCCCCACTCGTCACATTTGAGCCTCTTCTATCAACACTATTACGACTTCTCCACGTTTTTTTTTTTCAAATCAATGCAGTGGCTAATGTCATGCAGGGTTTGGTTCGACCGGCACCACGGCATTTGGCTCGACCTCCAATACCACCGGCGGCGGTCTGTTTGGCGGTGGTGGCGGCGGCTTCGGCTCCGGCAACACCTTTGGCAGCGGCTTTGGCAGCAAACCGGCCTTTGGCACACCCGCCACGACCAGCTCCACCAGTCTTTTCGGCTCCACGACCACCACTGCTGGCGGTACCGGCTTCGGCAGCGGTGGCTTTGGCAGCACAAATACCAGCTCTCCATTCGGTGGTGGCGGTACGTCACTCTTTGGCAACAAGACTACCACCGGCTTCGGGTCTGGCACATCGACTTTTGGAAGCAACACTGGCGGCGGCCTCTTTGGCGGCGGCTCAACCACCACCGGTTTCGGTGCCACTAACAATCCAGGCATTGGGACCAATGTCGGCGATCCCCCTGGCACAGCCGTTGTTCCCTTCTCTCCTACTGTCGAGAAGGAGGTGAATAATCCCTCTCAGAGCAATTCGTACCAGAACATCCTTTTCATGGATGCCTACAAGAAATGGTCTGCCGAAGAATTGAGATTGGCGGATTACAACCAGGGTCGCAAGACTGCTGCCCCTGGCGGAACTGGTGCCTTTGGCAGTTCCGGTTTTGGCGGCTTTGGCACAACTTCCAACACTGGCGGTTTCGGTTCCAATACTGGCGGTGGCCTGTTCGGTAACACCCAGCAGAATACTGGAGGCTTTGGCACGACCAATACCACTGGTAGCGCCTTTGGGTCTGGCGGCGGCCTCTTCGGCAACAAGCCTGCCACTGGCGGCCTTTTCGGTACTTCATCCTCACAGCCCGCTCAGAGCGGTGGGTTGTTCGGTAGTGGCACCGCTAGCACTTTCGGTTCCAGCAACACTGGCACCACGAGCACCTTCGGCTCTAACAACAACACCGGCGGCGGCCTGTTTGGAAGCAACAACACTTCCTCGAAGCCAGCCTTTAGCTTTGGCACTTCTAACACCAGCACTCCGGGCTTCGGCACCGCAACGACCGGTTCTGGTTTTGGCACAGGCACTACCACAAACACCGGTGGCGGCCTCTTTGGTAACACGGCTCAGAACACTAACACTGGTGGTGGTCTCTTCGGCAACCAACAGCAATCTGGCTCTGCGTTTGGCAGCGGCACCGGCTTTGGCCAACAAAATCAGTCTACTGGCACATCGCTGTTCGGCAACACTCAGCAAAAGCCCGGTGGTTTGTTCGGCTCTACCACGACCAATACTAGTGGTGGCCTTTTCGGAAGCACCAACACGGGCACTTCTACCTTTGGCCAGACTCCCGCCACTCAGAACACGGGCGGCGGTCTGTTTGGTTCCAAGCCTGCCGGCACCGGTGGCTTGTTCGGTTCTACCGCCACTAACCAACCTGCTTCTACTGGCGGTCTCTTTGGAAACCTCAACACTAATGCTCAAACCCAACAGCCTGCGACGGGTGGGCTGTTTGGCAATCTGGGCCAGAACAACCAAGCCAAACCCTCTCTGTTTGGTACCTCGACAACCACTGGCGGCGGTCTCTTCGGTAACACGAACGCTCAGCAACAGACCGGAAGTCTATTCGGAACCTCTACTGCCCAACAGCAGCCGCAAACGGGCTTGGGCGCTTCGCTCTTTGGGTCTTCTCAACAGCAACAGCAGCAGCCGCAGACTTTCTCGACTAGTATCACCGACATATCTGCGTACGGTGCCACAACACTGTTTTCGGGCCTTCCCGATGACAAGATCCAGAATCCCGGTCCCCTCGCGACGCCTCTGTCTGGCAAGGCCAAGGTTAAGAGCCGGTCAATCTTGCCCATGTACAAGCTCAGCCCGGCCAACGCATCCCGCCTTGTCACTACCCCACAAAAGCGCGCTTATGGCTTCTCATTCAGTGCCTACGGATCGCCCACAAGCCCGTCCTCCAGCGCGTCGAGCACTCCCGGTGCCTTCGGCCAGAGCATCCTTTCTAGCAGTATCAATCGCGGCCTGAACAAGAGCATCTCGGCTAGCAACCTTCGTCGCTCCCTCAACGTCGAGGATAGCATCCTCCAGCCCGGTGCGTTCTCTGCTAACTCGAGCATGCGCCTGCTTGGCGGCCCTGGCAGCCACAAGAAGCTGGTCATCAACAAAGACATGCGTACCGATTTGTTCAGTCCTCCGAATAAGGACAAGCAGCCTCAAGAGGATGGCACTGCCGCTCGCAAGACCGTGACCAAGCGCGTCAGCTTCGACACAAGCAATGTTGAGACTCCCGAGAAGACAATTGAAAGCAGCATCCCTGCCACTGATGATTCCGGCTATCTGAAGCCTGATGCCCGTTCTACCGCCAACGGCACTAACGGCGCGAATGGCGCCAAGTCGTCTCCCGTTGCTGCTGCCTCCCCCCCCGAGATGGAGCAGGTTAAGGGCAAGGAACTCGCTGTCGTCCACGAAGAGGAGTCCCCTGCTCCTGCTCAGACCGACAAGCCGCGCGGTTCCCAGATTGAGCCTGGCGCCTACTGGATGTCGCCCACTGCTGACGATATCCGCGCCATGAACAGGATGCAGCGCCAGCGCGTTGTTGGCTTTACTGTTGGCCGTGAGAATGTGGGCAGTGTCCAGTTCAAGGTTCCCGTGGATCTGAGCAACATCAATCTTGATGATCTCTTTGGTACTATCGTCATTTTAGAGCCGCGCTCCGCCACTGTTTACCCGAACGCGGCCAAGAAACCTCCTATGGGCAAGGGTCTGAACGTGCCTGCTCTTATTTCCCTGGAGCACTCATGGCCCCGCGGCGGTCCTACAATCAAGGGCCGTCGCCTTGAGCGCCACATTGAGCGCCTGAAGTCCATTCCCGATACGACGTTTGAGAGCTACGACCCTGAGACTGGTGTCTGGGCTTTCTCGGTTGAGCATTTCACGACCTATGGTTTAGGTGACGACGATGACTACGATGATGATGACTACGAGACAGAGCCCGAGTCTGCCGTTAAGTCGACTCCGCGCCCGGTGACGAGCCCGTCGATCTCTAAGAGCTCGACCTCCCCTATCGACCCCGATGACACGTTCGAATTCAGGCGCAGCCGCCGCGCCCTTCCCGGCGCCTTCGATGATGCTGCTTTGTCTGACACTGACGAGGTTGCTAACCACGCTCAACGCCAGGGTACGCTGTCTCCGGAGCCGCAGGACGCTGATACCCCCTTGCCATCGCGGGAATGGCCCGAAGATGAAAGCATGGCTGACGGTCTCGATGAATACCAGCTCGAAGCCTATGAAGAGGCGTCTCAGCAGGGATCCGTCGACGAGCAGGAGGATTTTTTACCCTCGCGTTTCGCCGCCGACAATGACGCCCCCCAGGTCCCTGCTGGAATCATGAGGGCACGCATGCGCGCGGTTAAGAAATTAAATGCGCCCACGAAAATCGAAGTAGCCGGTGGTGATGATTGGACTCAGATTTTGCAAGCGAGCGTTAAGGCTCCCCGTACGATGGATCGGGCAACATTGCGGGCTCTGAACGAGTCTGGTGCAGTGTGGGAAATGAAGGATCGTGGCAGTCCTCCTCCTCAGGCGACTGCAACTGTCTCCGACGGAATGGGCTTTGCCACCAGCATCGATTTGATGAAGTCGCTGTTTGAGCAAGCGAAGGCCCCGACTCAGCCAGCGTTGACGACTTCCGGCAAAGGGTTTGTGAAGGTCGGTGTCCCGCTTGCCTCTTACTAGGTTTCCCTTCAGCAAAGCTTGTTTTGTTTTTGTTTTTTTTTGTTTTTTTGCTTACTTTTGCAATGGCAACTTGTCTACTGTACTTATGCATTATGAATACAGACTAAGACTGGCGTTCTCTCTCTAGTGGCCTTATGAGCAACGTTCTAAGACTGATACCGAGGAAAATTTGGCAGTTCCCCGAACCAACTGGGGCCCTAACGAACTTTTGATTTCAACCCAGCACAACGAACCGAATCTGTTGCCCGTTGATGCTGCCGACGACTCTGCCACATCTCCCAGCACTCTTGCTCGTCTTCAGCAGTACATCAACCTTGTTTCGAGCAAGAAGCAACTCCAGCGGGTAGCTGGCCCAGAGTTTCGTGAACTGGCACAAGGTGATTCCGTTTGGGAGCTCGCCGCACTACTCTTCGATGACAACGGTGAAGGTGTTTCTCAGTTCTGGCAGCAGCTTGTCTCTGAGGCTACTGACCGCGCCCTTTCTTTCACCGCCGGTCTCGAGGAGAAGGCCATCATTTGCTTGGCTGGCAACCGTGTGGACGAAGCTTGCCGCCACTTGCTTGCTGCCGGCAATTTCCGACTTGCTACTCTCGTGTCGACCATCGGCAAGGTTGATAATAAGGACATCCGCGCCCAGTTAAAGGATTGGCGGGAGTCAAACGTGCTGGCTGAGTTCTCCGAGCCCATTCGGGCTATCTATGAGCTCCTGGCTGGCAATGCGTCTGTTTGTGCTGGGGTCAAGAACGTTCCAATCGAGAATCGCGTCAATTCTTTCACCATTTCTCAGCGTTTCGGATTGGATTGGATGCGGTCATTCGGTCTGCGCCTGTGGTATACTAGCGGTGTGATTCCTGATGTTGCTGCAGCAGTCCGTTCCTTCCAGGAGGATATCGAGCAGGATCGCGAGCCAGAGCCTGACAGCGCGCTGTGGACACTTCTCAAGGCCTTCGCTAGCCGCGAGTACGACTGGTCGGATACACGCCTCGGATGGCTCCTCACTAAGGCCATCTATACGACGGGAAAGGTCTCGTTTGGTGAGGATGCTTTGCAGAAGCTCGATAAGGCATCAGTCACCTTTGCCTCGGCGCTGACGGCGGCATCCCACTGGGTCCCGGCCACCTTTGTTCTCCTCCAGCTTTCCGACCCCGCTTCGCGCGAGGCCGCAGTCCGTGACCACCTCGGCCGCCATGCCCACCGCATCGGCTCTCCTCGCAACCTCATGAGTCCCTTCTTTACTCTCCAGAAGTTTGGCGTGCCGGAGGCTTGGATATGGGAAGCCAAGGCCCTGGACTACCGCTCCCGTCAGGACTCCCAACAGGAGTTCCTTGCCCTCATCTGGGCACAGAACTACGCCGAAGCGAACCGGACATTTGTCACGCGCGTTGGTCCCGACCTGGTCATCGAGCGCAACCTCCCGCGCCTGTTTGCCTTCGCCCAGCTGCTCTTCAAGGTCAAGAAGCACCTGCCTAACTGGGAGCGTAGCGCTGCTGTATACCTCCTTTACCCGATGGCCGTGATGCAAAATCAGGGCTCTGGGAAGTTGGATCGCTTTGACAACCAGCTCATCGATGGTCTGGTGGCGCTTCACAGCCAAACCCACGGCGACATCCGCCAGGAGGCGGCCATCGCAGATATGGCGGAGGAATTGATCAAGTGCAAGGGCGCCGCTGCTGCTTCAGATCCACGGTTGCTTCAGCTGCTGCCGCAAGATGTTCGGGGCAAGTATCTGCGTGCTCAGGTGCTGGAGGCGTTTTGAGGGTATGATGCTGTGCAAAGTCCTGCTGTTAAAAAACGGCATTAGGAGGCCTGTATTCATGGTTGGTGAATAATCGTGGTTGCTGGTTGGGAGGACAGTAATACATAGGACGATGGGCACAAGAGGTCTAGGAAAGCATGGAGGACCCTCAGCTCGTGAGGGGAAAGGGTTAATTCTTGTAGTTGTACTATGGTTGCAGGATTACATTGTTGTGCGCAAAATGGCCAAATAGTAACTGGTTTTCGCTTACTGGTACGAGTCTATGATCGCTATGACTTGAAGATCAGCAACTCCTGGAGCCGCTGTGGAGGGCACCGCCACATCCAAACTGGCGATAAACACCCAAACCATCAGCACTGGATAACCTTACCACACTTTTGCAGTTAATATTCGAGATTGAGACTTGATTTTGTGTTAGCTTTTAGCTTTAGGTAATTAAATCGATTATTCTTGCTTATCAATACTTTAAGGCTCGGTCTCTGTGTGCTCAGCCGGTTCTACAGCAGAGACCACCAACTCTGATTTTGTGAACTGTGATCTGCATATTGCCGTCTCTAAATGAGGGTTAGGGTTGGTGCTGCCCAATCATTCGGATGTGGGGTCAACACTCTGGTTGCCTTGGCTCCCGGCATCATTTGTTTCTTTTCCTTCCCTCCTAAGTAAACAGACCAACGCAACAACTTAAAACTCCCGTGTCCCAGCTTGCGCCTCTTGTCTATCCTCACAAGCGCGAGCCCATAAGCCAAGCACAACAGTCTGTTTCAAAATCTCCCATGCGGTCAATGCACGAGACTTCTTGAAAACAGCCGGACAAGCGTAATCTTACGCGTATATTACATGTACAATACTGAATCGACAACCACAGGAAAGCATCAAAGCAAAAAACCTGGGGACAAACCCGGCTGTCCGGCCACAGAACAGCCTAAAGTCTACCGACAAACCAGACTTTTTCAGAAAATTCAGCACTTCCTAAAGGTCGCTGTACGAAGTCTGCAGAGAAACTCAGGCAGGGTTTCTACGACCTGATCCAGGCGCAGACGATTTCCTACGGATCCTCCCCCGTTTCAGCCGTCTCGACGAACACATCATCTTTGTCCACCCTAAACAAACCAGCCATGGCGCGCTCACGCTCTGACTCGTTCAGCGACGATGATCTCGAAATTCTGAGCTCCCAGGCGGCCAACATGAGCCTGGGCCCTCCCCCGATCCAAACTCCCGTGCGGAAGTCCAGGTCACCGTCGAAGAACATTCCCGTCATCGACCTAACAAACAGCCCCGCTGTCACCCCCTCTACCGCGACGAAAACCCCCGTTGCTGCAACGCCCGTCCCGAAGTTTGGGCATCCCACACAACTGACCGCTCGCTTTGGGACGCGTGCCAATGATCCCAACCACATGTTCATTCAGCGCAAGACGCGTCCCGAGTTCCATGCCGACTTGTACAGGAGCTCGGGCCCGCTGAAGCCCAAAACAGAGCCCAAGAAAGCGCCCGCGCTGCCCATGTTCAGCTCCGTTAGTGACGAAGCTCTGCCACCGGAGAAGACCATCCTGTCCTCGGGGGCCTCGTATGGAGATAAGGTCTTTTATACAGATCCTGCCAAGGCTGCTGCGGATCTGAAGGCTCTGCTCGAGGGTAGTATTGAGTCGGAGGACGAAGAAGTGAACAAAGACAAGAAGAAGGACGAGAATGATGTTGGCGATGATGGTACTCTCGAAGGGATCAAAGTGAAACTCCTCCCTCATCAGGTCGAGGGAGTGAGGTGGATGAAGGGTCGCGAACTTGGGCCGGTCAAGAAAGGGAAAGTTCCCAAGGGCGGTATTCTAGCAGATGATATGGGTCTGGGTAAGACGTTGCAGAGTATCTCTTTGATCGTCAGCAACTCAAAGCCGGCACTGGGTGAGAACGGATGGAAGGACCACTTCGCAAACATCTCCAAGGCAACTCTTGTGGTCGCTCCCTTGGCGCTCATTCGGCAGTGGGAAGCTGAGATCAAGGAAAAGGTCTCGGAATCGCGCCCTCTCAAAGTCTGCGTCCATCACGGTCAAAAGCGCAGCACAGATCCCAAGGTCCTTGCCCAGTATGATGTGGTCATCACTACCTACCAGACGCTGGTGTCGGAACACGGCGGTAGCAATCTAGATCCTAAGAAGAAACCGCAAATCGGGTGTTTCGGAGTCCACTGGTTCCGTGTCATCCTGGACGAGGCACACAGCATCAAGAACCGCAATGCTAAGGCTACGAAGGCTTGCTGCGCTCTCCGAGCAGAGTATCGCTGGTGTCTGACTGGCACACCAATGCAGAATAACCTTGACGAACTGCAGTCCCTCGTGCACTTTCTCAGGATCTCCCCTTACGATGACCTCACCGAGTGGCGGCAGCAGATCGATCTTCCCCTCAAAAATGGCAAAGGTCACATCGCCATCCGCAGGCTTCACAGCTTGCTGCAATGTTTTATGAAACGGCGGACCAAAGATATTCTCAAGGAAGAAGGCGCCCTTGTCGCCGGCGGCAAAAAAGCTCTCGAAGAGGCCGCGGCGAAAGCGAAGGCCGAAGGGCGTGAGGCCCCCGAGCCGCCCAAGTCGTCCTTTAAGGTTACGCAACGCAAGGTTGTCACCATTGAGACGCAGTTCTCGCCTGTGGAACGCAAGTTCTATGATCTCCTTGAGAAACGGACTGACCGGAGTCTCCAAAACATGATGAAGGCCGGTATCAACTATGCTAATGCACTCGTGTTGCTTCTGCGTTTGCGTCAGGCTTGCAACCACCCCCTCCTGACAGACTCAAAGATCGAAAAGGAACTAGAGGCACTGGCCGCTGAAGTAAAGCCTCCGTCCAAAGCCGAAGCTGGCGATGACGATATCGACGCCCTCGCCGACGCGCTTGGCGGCATGGGCATCCAAACGAAGAAATGCGACATGTGTCTCAACGAGCTGAGCAGGAGAGAGATACAAGCTGGACAAACCCGCTGTACCGAGTGCATTGAGAGCTTGCGCATGGTTCACGACGAAAGCCCTCGTCAGAAAAAACAGAGCAAAGAGGGTCGGCGGATTAGTGTTGTCGAGGAGGAGATAAAAATTGAGAAGATGCCAAAAAAGAAGCAGAAAGCACGTCGGATTGTCATAGACAGTGATGACGAGGATGAGGAGGTGGAGGGTAGCTGGCTAGTGCCAGAGGATGAACGCGGCCCACTGAGACTTGGGAAGTGTGGAGGAGAAGAGGACGAGAATGCAGAGGGAGGAGGGGAGGAGATCGGTTCTGTAGACTCCGATCATCCCTCCGAAGAAGAGGAGGATGACGGCTCCCAACTTAGCAGCTTCATCGTTGATGACGAGGACGTGCCGGAAGGCGAGCTACAGGAATCCGGATCTGACTCAGACTCAGAGGACGATACGTTTGTGTCCGTGTCTAAGCGCTCACAAGCCGTTCCTTCACAGCAAGCATCTGATTTGGAAGCATCGGATGAGGAGGAAGAGGAAACTTCTGGCTCTGATCTCGATAGTGACGATTCTGAGCTGCCTCGCCTCCCTAAACCTGCCAAGCGGCCCTTTTCCCAGCCCATGCTCACTTCCTCTAAGAAAACTACCTCCTCCGGCAGTGTCATGATGTCGGCCAAGATTCGCGAAATGCTATCCATCCTCCGGAAGGAGGCTCATGAGCACAAGTTCATCGTGTTTTCCCAGTTCACCACGATGCTCGATCTGATCGAACCTTTCTTGCGCAATCAGCCCGGCCTGAAAGCAGTTCGGTATGACGGCAAGATGGCTAACGACGCTCGCGAAGCGGCTCTGCACGCGCTGAGGAATGACCCGCATACGCGCATCCTTCTCTGCTCGCTCAAGTGCGGCTCCCTCGGCCTCAACCTGACGGCGGCCACGCGCGTCATCATCATCGAGCCGTTCTGGAACCCGTTCGTCGAAGAACAGGCCATTGACCGCGTGCACCGGCTGACGCAGACCGTCGATGTGGTCGTGTACAAGTTGACTGTGCAGGACACCGTCGAGGCGAGGATCCTGGAACTCCAGGAGAAGAAGCGCAAGCTGGCTGAGGCGGCTATCGAGATGGGCGGCAGCACCCGCGGCGGGAAGAAGAAGGATGCGCTTAAGCTTGGTCTGCAAGAGATCTTGGAGCTGTTCAAGCATGATTCTCGCGCGGCTCTTGCGTCGGATGAGGGGCTCGAGGAGCTCGAAAGGAATGCTGTTGTCAATTCGGATACCAAAAATATGATCCCCCGGCAGAAGGGTCGTCCGAAGAGACAGGAGCATGAGGTTTATGGCAGACGGTGGTGATGTGACTGATTTGTAGGGTCGGAAGGGTTGTGTAGGAGTTCTATTTGTTCTAAAGGGCAAAGCAAAGGGATTTAAAGATGGTTTAACGGCAGGACATGTCGGATGTACGGATGGATGAATGACTGTGTCATGTAAAGAGGTAATGTACTGGGCGATCATGGAAAGCAAATGTGGTATTAAATTGGCGTCAGGTTATATATATATGCGTCAGCATCAATATGTCCATTAATTTATCATATTATGGCCTCTATGCTCCTCGATTTCTCAGTGTTCTCGGTCTATCTCTTTCTACAACCTGACAAAAAAAACACGCAGTATCATGCATTAGTATTACTTTCACTTAATACCTTCCTTCTCCTCACCCACAGCCCCTTGTTCATCCCCGTCAAGGTACGGATCAAATCCCATTCTCTCCTTTGCCTCAGTCCTTGCCCTCCATTGTGCCTCTCCCTTCAGTCCCGTTGTCGACGTTTCCTCCAGGAAGAATGTCAGAATGTGGTCGGGGATTGCGAGATGTGACGTCTGCTGGAACTCTTGCAAACTGGTCAAACGAACGAGCATCTCAAGCAGCGAGAGAGAAGACGAGATTTGCGCCGATCCGAAAAAGGGGTTTCGCGTGACATTAGGTAGTTTCTCTGCTGTTGGCTCTTTTTGGATTTCGCTTTTTCCAATTACAGCCTTATGATGGACGGAAGAGGATCTGGTAACAAGTTCCTGAGACTGCTGAATGGGATCGGGGCGGATAGTGATACGGCGAATTTGATCGAGGAGTTTGGTATCAACAGTGCTTTTATTGCGTGGAGAGCGGATCGTCGTTGTTGAACCTCGTTTCGGAGTTGCTGAATGCTCACTCCTCGTGTCTTCTGCATCACCTTCATCTTCGTCTGCTGTTTCGGTTTGGTCGTCCTCCTCGTCATTGTATACTTCTAGTGCCAGCCACTCTGGGTCTAGATGTGCAGGCAGATAGGTTGGCTGGAGTTCTTCCCGATGTTCTGTGTCATACCAAAGCTGGCGGTCAACTTCTTCCTGCTCGTCAACATTTCGCGAGCCGTCTGCCCCTTCACTTTCCGAGTCGTCGAGCCACTCTCGCCTCAGTCTGATAGGAGACTTGGCCTTAATGTCCCGTTTCAACAGAAGAGCTGGGTTACTGGCTTTGTCATCAGAGCCGATGTTCAGCATCCTCCCAGTATCTGTATAAAATATCTTGGAGATCTGATAGATAGGAACTGATTCCCTGATACCAGCGAGCGGCATGTCATCATAGGGTTTGGGCCGAGGTCCGTCATCGTGAATTCTTCCATCATCTAGGTCTTCGATAATCTCAAGGTAGTATGCATATTCCCCCAAATGCCCTAGCTCTGTCAGACAGGCCAGTTTAGAGTCAAACTTCTTGAGCTGTGTACTTGGCACAGTAGGCGGACGATAGCCCAAAGAAGGATCAAACACCCAGTCTATTGGAGTGCGGCAAATCCGAACCCTGGCTTTATGCATGACTTCCTGCCATATAGGCTTCCTCTCTCCATCGCTAATGCCGTAAACGTATTCTCCTTTGGAGCCGTCCTTGGGCTGAGCATGACCGACGAATAGCATGTATAACGAGAGAGTGAAGCAAGCACCAACTTGGACCGGACGATTCGGATCAACCGCAAACTGGGCATCTGCAAAAGATAGGAGGGTACTAGCCTGCATCAATCTTGAAGGTGAGATACCCGGAGTCATAGTTGATGCCATTTTTTCTCCAGAAGCAGTGATGGCAAGCTGGATGAGGGGGATGTCACGATCTATGCGGTCGAGGAGTTCTTTCATCTCCTTGATGATGAGAAGGAGTTCAGCATGATGCTCCTCGGATATACGGACTCTTGGCCTCTGAGAAGCCTTTTCTTCAGCAGCGGCTGCATTCTCGAGTCTCTTGCCCAGCCGGATGATCTCTCGATGAAGAGACTTTGCAAGGGGTACAGCCGATTCCAGGAATATGTTTCCACGAGCAGATCTACAGAATGGTCAGTTCCTCTGCCAGCGTAGGAGGCACGATAACCAACAGTCAACATACTTGAACTCGATTAAGTCTAGGGCAGGTGAGATGATCTATTGTATGTGGACATCAGCGAAGCTGCTCCGTATCGACTTCGAGGCAGAGCCACGAACCTTGATCTTGCTCTCCAATAACCGCTCCAACGATCTGAGTTCAGCGTAGATGGACTTGTCATTGATTGTTTTCAATAGCCTAGAACACTGCTGGATTGCATATTTGCCCGTAAAAACCAGGCCTGATTTAAGGGCGATATTGACAGTCTGGTATCCCAGGGTTCTCAAGAGCGCATCCATCGTGCCTCTGCATCACTACTGTGATGTTTCGAAATAGAGATCTTATTATACCATACAGTCAGTAGGCAGGTGTAGATACAGGACATGCAGTAAGTCACAATCACAAAAACAACACCAGAGCCCAGTGACTCAGATTTGGCAGTTCGGTTGCCTTCTAAACACCAAAGGCAGTGTCATGCATAGAGTCCAGCAACAATGAGTTTGCTTTTATGGAGGGGTCCAATAAGGCACACTTAAGTGGGGTGAGATATCGCACTGTGCTGCAAGTAGGAAAATACTAAGAATGTCAGCCTTAGCACCACGATGATCCAAGTATTACACACAGTGTATTTTACTGTATATCGAACGGTGCGCCCAAAACAATTCTTCCCCGCCACTGAGTGGTGGGGCACGCAGCACAATCTTCCAGACTGTCATCCTGGTTTCGTCGTGCCGCCGCTGAAAAATAAGGCCCTTTGAGCCATCGAGTCATCGTCTGTTACCGCTGGTAAGGCTTTAATCTACTGTCACTCGAGCCGTATCGTCTCAACTTGAAATTTTACTAATCGACTTGTTGCTACAGGTGACCACCTTACTGGCTACCCCTCAAACCCTTCTCTTGACACTTCGCCGTCACCCAATTTGAGGGCACCCGAGCTCCTTCAGCAGGCCTTTTTTTGTCTTTTTTTACACGAGACACTCAATACTTCGACAAATTTATCACCAGAGCGCCTCTCGCAACACGTACAAAAAATGTCCAACAACGTGCAAGATTCATGGGAGGACGCGGCCAACCAGGACGAGAACCTGGCGCGTCAGGCTCAGCAGCAGCTGAACATCGGCGCTCAGCAGGGAGGATTTCGCCCCAATGCTGCCGCTTTCCAGCCGAACGCCCCGGCTTTCCAGCCGGGGCAGGCTTATGGTAGCTACATGGGCTACCAGCAGCCATACTACGGCCAGGGCTATTATCCCCAGTACGGCCAGCAGGGCTATGCTCCGTATGGCCAGCAAGGTTATGGTGCCGTTTACGGCCAGGGCTATAACCAGGGCTACGGTAGGAGGGTACAGTTAAGTCTAAAATCCCGAACAGAAGCTCATTGTTGACGTCAGGCTATTGGCAGGGTTACCAGCAGCAGCAACAATATCACCAACCAGTCCAGCAGCAGCAGCAGCAGCAGCAGCAGCAGCAAGCCCCGAAGCCCGCGCCGACTATCGCCAAGAGAGACGCGAATCCCCCGGCAGCGGATGCCCCTAAGCCCGGAGCTAAGGTCCTGAGCATCGGCGGCGACGCGAAGCCCAAGGCAGCAAAGGTCCTGTCCATTGGCGCGACTGGGACAGTCAAGGAGGAGAAGAAAGACGAGACCAAGAAAGAGGAGGTCAAGAAAGAGGAACCCAAGAAGGATGAGCCTAAGAAAGAGGATACTAAGAAAGAAGAGGCTAAGAAGGAGGGCACCGCTGAGGCTGCTGCCAAAGTTACGGCAGCAAAGGCCATCGAGAAGTCTGACACCAAGGCTAGCAGTGGCAGGGCTTCTCCTGTCCCTTCTTCCGGCCGTTCTAGCCCGTCGCGTGGCGGCGCTCCGGCCAATCGTGTAACCCGCGAAGCCGATATTGTCGAGAAGGAGCAGGCTGCCGATGTCGACGACGAAACTCTTAAGGAGCTTTATGGCAAAGAGCATATCAACATTATCTTCATCGGCCACGTCGACGCTGGCAAGAGCACTCTCGGTGGCGCCATCCTCTACTCTACTGGTATGGTTGATGACCGTACGCTTGAGAAGTATAAGAGGGAAGCCAAGGAGTTGGGTCGTGAGACCTGGTACCTCTCCTGGGCTCTCGATCTGACCAAGGAGGAGCGCGCCAAGGGCAAGACAGTCGAGGTCGGCCGTGGCTACTTTGAGACTGAGAAGCGCAGATACAGTATCCTCGATGCCCCTGGTCACAAGACCTATGTCCCCAACATGATTGGTGGCGCTTCTCAGGCCGATGTCGGTATTCTCGTCATCAGTGCCCGTAAGGGTGAGTACGAGACTGGCTTTGAGAAGGGTGGTCAGACTCGTGAGCACGCTATGTTGGCCAAGACCCAGGGTGTCAACAAACTGGTCGTTGTCATCAACAAGATGGACGATCCTACTGTCAATTGGTCCAAGGACCGTTACATTGAGTGCACGACCAAGCTCCAGCAGTTCCTCAAGGCCACCGGCTATAACCTTAAGACCGATGTCTTCTTCATGCCCATCGCTGCTCAGCAGGTCATGGGTATCAAGGACCGCATCCCCAAGGATGTCTGCCCGTGGTACGATGGCCCGTCTCTTCTCGAGTATCTTGACAGCATGCAGGCCCTAGAGCGCAAGGTCAATGCGCCGTTCATGATGGCTGTGGCCGGCAAGTATCGTGATATGGGTACCATGGTGGAGGGCAAGATTGAGGCTGGTGTGGTCAAGAAGGGCATGTCCCTTGTGATGATGCCCAACAAGCAGAGTGTTGAAGTCGCTGCTGTGTATGGTGAAACTGAAGATGAGATCAACATCGCGCAGTGCGGTGACCAGGTCCGTCTCCGCCTGCGTGGCATCGAAGAGGAAGAAATCCTTCCTGGTTTCGTTCTCTGCTCGCCCAAGCGTCTGGTCCACTGTGTCTCTAGGTTTGAGGCGCAGATCCGTATTCTCGACCTCAAGAGCATCCTCACTGCCGGTTTCAACTGCGTGCTGCACGTCCATGCGGCCATCGAAGAGGTCACGTTCGCGGCTCTTCTGCACAAACTTCAGAAGGGCACGAACCGTAAGAGCAAGCTGCCGCCCACGCATGCCAAGAAGGGTGATAGCATCATTGCTATTCTGGAGGTTACTAGCGGCGCTGGCGCGGTGTGCGTTGAGAGGTTCGAGGATTATCCTCAGCTGGGTCGTTTCACCCTACGTGATCAGGTATTTCCTCTTTTCCCCTACTGACGGCTACTCTCGAGGCATCAACTAATGTGTATGTTTCCAGGGTCAAACAATTGCCATTGGCAAGATCACCAAGCTCATCCAGGAGTAAGCTATGGGTTAATAAGGATTGGTGGGGTGTGTGCTAGATCTAGTAGTTCCGGGTAGTTGGTCAATTTTCATAGATATGCAACTTGGGTTTTTTTTTGGCTCAAACGTGTTCATGGTTGCCCGAAATGTGAACGCTATCCTTACCGTCGTTTTCGATTTCTGTCAGTATCAGTAAGATTCGTTCGAGCGTTTATCCACGTGAAGGCAGACAGCCCGTTTCCTTCGAGCGTGGTTACCGATGCTACGGAAAAAATGTGGTAAAAGGCAACTCTTGGTATCGGCAACGTGTATCGCTTTGACACTTATCCGAAATTCAGCTAGCCTGCATTCATGCTCAGATGCTGGCCACCATTGCGGAAAATGAGTGGTTTGCTCCGCGGTGGGTACACAAGAAGGTTTAAGGGTTTGGTTAGCATGTATCCGTGATATTCGGTGATCTAGAAGACGAATTCATGAGTTGTAGTGGTGGCAGTGGCGATGCCTTGGGTGATGATAATGGGATGGCATCTTTAGCTTGTTGAGAAGGGGGAGGGGTTGGACACATTTACGGAACGGTACAGAAACATGTCCAAGCTCAGTTTATGAATCACAATGGCGAACTCGGAAGCGTTCTCACTATTAGGTAGGGCCTATCACTATCAGAAAGTCTGCCTTTTAATGAAAACAAAACTGACCAGACTGTCGAACAAGGATAGAAAAGTCAAGATAGCGGAAGAGCTACAAGATACTGTCGTAGACAGACCTAATATCACCATTACACTGCCGTCCGGTGCAGCCATGGAACCACTAGACCCCGGCATGATGTGGGTAAGAGGATCTACGCTCAATTCCCTAGTAAAACTACGGAAGGTATGCCTCTAGCATGTATTTCAAACCCTCATCATCATCAGTATCGGGTCTTCGGAACAAAAGGAAGCTAACAAGCCAGTGGAGACGAGACGAAGAAGATTGTATCGGATCACAAGCCCCTGAAAATTGGCATGCATGTAGCGGGTCGAAATGGCTACGTTACTTCCAATTTTTGACAACGCGCTGGGCCCATCACCACACTCAACAAAACTTGTATCTTTTGGGGGTTGAAGCGAAGGGCCCAGAATCACGGCTTCTGATCCTTGGCAGGCCTCAGCGGAAGGCCGGAAGCAGACGATGCTGGTGGGGCAGGGCCTTCGTGAGAATGACGTCACTTTCACAGGCCTTAATTGTTTTCGACCCCAAAGCACAAGGTGTTATGGTAAATTTCTATAGCTTTGCAACAAAGTTGATCATTAAGAATCTACTTCCAACTTTATATCTATAGTGTTGTCATGTCGATTGAAGCCCAAGTTGATGCAATTCCAACAAACGCAGCCTTAATCGGTACTCGGTGCTTACCTATCTTATCATTGGGTCAACCCCGCAAACGGCGCGTTTAGTGAGCGCCAGTTGCCCGACCCTGTGCCGAACCTGCGGGCTCGAAGCCGGACCCACCCATGTGGCCAGCCGTGTGTAAGTCAAGGAAAACGCTGCAACGAGCGTACATGCACGTTGAGGGAAAACTCTACATTCGAAGCTTCCAACTGGAGCCTCCAGTAGATCATCACATGGGATTAAAACCTTGAAAGCTGGTGGATCATGCACTCGTCATCTCCTTGACATCGTACACGGGCTTTCCAGGAAGGGACAGAGTCAGGGCCCCATTGTTATGTTGTGGAACATCCTCAACCACGACGGCAGCACCGGGACCCAGATTTAACCAACGCTCCACGGCGTTTGTTTTGGGCTCTTGAAGAGCTACCCCGCGCCCGTGGCCCGCGGCCTTGTATTACAAGCAACGCTTGACTGCCACAAGTTACTCGGCACGAAGGTATCACTTGTGGAAGAAGAGGGGTAGGCCGCGGTCCAACTGTAAAGGAGGGTCGGGAAGAGTAGGAGCGGGTTCAATACCACTGTCCTACCCTCCTGACTTCTGCCGTTGGTTTGACTGCTTGCGCGATTTGCAATTGAATCTCGTGCTTAGCTTTGAGATCGAAGTGAAACAGTCGTATAACGTTGGGATGTTGAGCATGTTAGGAATCTGGAATAGAAGGCGAGACTACGTTAAGTTGAGGCATGAGACTTCTGTCTAATACTGGGTGATAAGTAATTGTTTTTAGAAGTATCGACATCAACATGAAAGGGAAAGCATCGTCGAATCGATAGTGCATATCGACCCCACGCGAGGGACAGACACATGTGCAGCTTGTCAGCTGCACTGAGTCGGCTCTAGCTCCGTGGCTAAAGGCGGCAGGTACAGTATCTGGCAGCTGAATCAACAGATATAAGTCGACGAAAGCTGCACACACCTAGTGTTATATGAGTAGAGCAACTTAAATAAATTCTCGGATCTCGGAACGTTCTATCGTTCGTCTTGCTAGATGAAATCTCTGGGCTGGTTGACGCAATCCTTCAGAGCATGAGAGCATGAGATTGGATAGGGGAAATGAAGGAGAAACCCCTCAGTGCTTCTCTGTGCCTCCTTAAGGTTGTGCTGACAGAAATGTGGCCACCCAACCGGGCACGCGACATGCACAACTCTTCCGCACAGTATGGGACGAACGGGAGGGCAGCCCGTCCGTATGTATGGTTGAGGGACGAGTCGGCACTTGCCATATATATGACACGGCAAGCACCCGGTAGTAGAGATAGCAGAAAACTCCTGACATTCTTAGATATGCTACATCATTAACCACCAACTGGATGGAGGAAGTGCCTACTCGACTTCTCGTTCCTCAACCGGATACACAAAGCGATAGAGCTCATAATAACCGGGGCCCCTGCTCATCCTTGTCCTGGTCTGACTGAGCCTTTTTGGACAATCCCTTTTGAGATCGTCCATTGTTCTTGTTCGCTCGTCATATCCATTACACTTTCGCATTTCGAGAGCAGAAGTGAAGGAGGGGCGCAGACTGGCCTGATAACAGCTCATCGTCCCATCCTGAGTTTTCTCCGTTTCACCGTTAAGGCTGGTGGTCGGCAGACACCGCGGTTATCTCCATCTACCCGCACGGCCGACACGCGAGATCTGAGCAGCTCATCCATCCCCAACTCCATCATCCGTCGCGCTTAAATCCGGCGTAAGCTGCCCGCGACCCCACGTTTCGACCTGCTTGTCTACATGACTTACCTGTGTTTAATTCGATCGGACAGTGCTTCTTCATTGGCACCATCTAGTGCTAGCGTATCACAATCCGAACCCTTTTTGACATCCACATCCGTGCTATTCGTTGCCGGGTAAGTTTTCCATTCCCCAAATTCATTTGCAGCCTAGAATGAGAAATTTTGCCGGCCGTCTTTCCGCCCAACAACGCCTGCTTGCCCAAGATTGCGGTCTTAAGATCGGGCTGTGGGGAAGTATCACAGCAGGCTGCCGAACCGTGTCTCCCCCAAGACATCCCGCCGCAGGGAACCGGAGCTCCTGCGATTTCCGAGGGGCATTCCCCAACATGGAAGCTGACCCCAGGCGGAGCCGGGCAAGCTTCCAGGTTGCCGATCAAATGCCGGAGGCGCAGGGTCTTGGCGCCTAGCTGCCAGTCATTGGATCGAACCCCCGGTCGCCCATCGTCATGGATCGTGGGGACCCTGACGGCAACGCTGTCGGATGCATCACCGGTTTGTGATAGATGTCGTTCGGAAAGGACTGGCCGCAGGATGGCACCCACCTCAAAGGCCGACGTTAACAGCGAGGGCCGGGCAGTTGGCTAATTCAATCGCGCAGGTGACAGGGTCCTGAACACCCGGCACGGTGTCGCGGAGTGTGCTACCTGTAAAGTACAAAAGAGCTGCTGACGGTCTGTTTCAGCTCTTGTTGTGACTATCATCGACCCCCAAAGATCGTGATTCATTCAGGAGATACCACAAGCTCCACAACCTTTCTTGCTCGACGATTCGATACCAGCACACCGCGACAAAACACACGGAAGCCACGATGATGGGAACAGCGAAAAGCGATAGTGCCGTTGTGGCCAACGACTTCCTTCACACGCCGTTCATGCGGGCTGCGCTGCCATTCATCAATGGCGGCATCAGCGGTATGGTGGCTACGACAGTGGTCCAGCCCGTCGACATGATCAAGGTCCGCATCCAACTCGCAGGCGAGGGCAAGGCCGGCGGACCAAAGCCAACACCCCTTTCAGTGACTCGTGAGATCCTGGCCAGCGGAAAGGCGCTCGATTTGTACACGGGCCTTTCGGCCGGTCTGCTCCGGCAAGCCGTATACACCACGGCCCGGCTCGGTTTCTTCGACACCTTCATGAGCGCACTGTCATCCCGCGCCAAGGCCAACGGCAATCAAGTGGGGTTCACTGAGCGAGCGACGGCGGGTCTCGCTGCGGGCGGGTTGGCCGCTATGATCGGAAATCCGGCGGATCTCGCTCTAATCCGGATGCAGAGCGACGGACTGAAGCCAGTAGCGGAACGGAAGAACTACAAGTCAGTGATTGATGCGCTCACCTCCATAGCACGGAGCGAGGGTGTCGGGGCGCTTTGGGCAGGAGCTGCGCCGACGGTGGTGAGGGCCATGGCGCTCAACTTTGGGCAGCTGGCCTTCTTCAGCGAGGCCAAAGCCCAGCTTAAGAAACACACGGACTGGTCGGCCAATACGCAGACGCTCAGCGCCAGTGCCATTGCTGGCTTCTTTGCCTCCTTCTTCTCGCTGCCGTTCGATTTTGTCAAGACGCGCCTGCAGAAGCAACAGAGGGGTCCTGACGGGAAACTGCCTTACAACGGCATGGCGGACTGCTTCGCGAAGGTGGCCCGTCAGGAAGGCTTGTTCCGCTTTTACCGCGGATTTGGTACATACTATGTTCGCATTGCGCCGCATGCGTAAGTGATCCCCCGCGAGAGGAGGTATTTGGATAATTGATTCTCGGGCTGCGCTAACGAGATACATAGAATGGTGACGCTGATTGTTGCCGATTATCTCGCGTGGTTGACCAAGTAGGAGTTTTTTTTTTTGTCGTGTCTCCATTTGTTAAGTTTCTATTTCTTTAGTCGGGTAGGCAGGAGTCATCGGTTTCGGTAGACATGACCATGATTAAAAAAATCCAGCTGCATTAAGAGGGCTGCTTCTCGTCGTCATGCTGTCTTTTTGGGTCTCTTGGGTACGTAGGGTTCATGGAGGTATGGGTTATTTCTGGGAGATGGGATGTTAGTAGTATATCATCAATACCTTACGCTGCCTTTTAGAATGAGGACAAGATATAGCGCACAATGACAAGGTTACTGATATGTAAGCATGTTAGTTTTGTGCTGTTTGTTATGGGGTGTCATGTTGGAAAGTTGGCGAAGTCGGGACGAAGCTCAGGCCCCTCATGGCACACAGTTTCTGGAGAGCTAACAGAGCGGAACCCCGAAACCCGAATCTGGAATGAGGGGTCTGACTTCATACGGAGTACCTAATTTCAATGGCGCCCAGGTGTTGCACCATTAATAGGGAAGTCTTCTGGGAATCACGTAATTGTGTAGACATAACTTTTGCTTAAAATTTTCCATTATCTTACTATATGGGTTGCTATATTGTTGCTTGAATTTCTTTGTCTCCGGTCACGTGCAAGGGACCGTTCGGGTTGCACCGTGTAACAATACTGTGTGACCGACTCCGCATTCCCCAATCGCGCTTCAGACTAATATGTGGATCTCAAACCAGCCAGCAGCCAGCGCTCAACCCTGGACCATCGCCATTGCAGCTCTCCAAACGACGTTTTTGGACTGTTTCCTTTTCCTTGCACCTCTTATTTTTGAAAATGCATTTGGGAGCCGGCCATGGATGCGGACTGGGACGAGGTACGTTTGTTTTCCTTTATTTGCATGCATCTTACGCGACATCTTGGACTGGGCGCAAATCGCGTCGTTCTGCCTTGTGCGCGGTGTTGGTGCTGCTCGGCGCTACCCCGCGATATGATGTTGGCGGACGGTGTTGTACGCAGTACATCCATTACATCCGGACAGCAAGGGGCTTGACTCGGCCGGATGCCTAATAATTCTCCTAGACCTTTTTTCTCTTGTTCAAACAATAGCTTTGTTCTCTCGACGGTACACAGCTCGGCTAACGGTGCAACCCTTCTGTCCTCCAGGTCACCCGCATCGCCTATCCGGCGCCCGGTACCAATGACTTTCCACGACCGGCCACCGCTGTGGCTTTCGATCCGATCGCAGAGCTCCTCTGGGCTGGCTTCGACCGGGTATGTCATGAGCGCGGCAATAGTGGAGACCCAAGACGTTGATATCACACTCTTCGACCCTTCCGAGACTCCTCGTTGCCTGTCTTGTCGACCGCGTTCGCTGACTCTGCGAACACTAGGGTCGCGTTTGTTCCTTCTACGGCCGTGACCTGACCCGATACACTGCATTCAAGATCCAGCCCGCGTCCGAAGGTCCTGTTCGCCAATTTCTCTTCCATGACAAGGGAGTCATCGTGCTGGGCACTCGGAGCGTGCACATGGCCATGCGCCGGGGTCCGGCGTTGTGGAATATCCGGTATGGTCTTCCTGAGAAACAGAAGAATGGGATGTGGCATGCGTTCGAGGAGTCTGTGACGATGCTGACCGATACGTTGTAGCCATGAGAACATGAAGGATCTTCGATGCATGAGCTTCACCTCGAAAGGAACCCAGGAGATCATCGTCGCCGGGTGGCAAGATACCATGCTTGTGATCGATGTCCTCAAGGGGGATATCATCAAACAGGTGAGCTCTCCTGACTGGCGAGTCCGGCCGGATAGCGACGTTGAGACTGACCTCTAACTTCTTCGCTCCAGATACCAGCTCAGCATCACTACAGTATCATGAAGAAGAGCCGGTACATTTGCGCCGCCACCAAGACTGGTTCTGTTGATCTCATCGATCCGCTTAGCTTCAAGATCGTTCGGAGCTGGCAAGCTCATGCATCATATATCAACGATATGGACGCCCAAAACGACTTCATCGTGACTTGCGGGGGCTCTCTCAAGCAGCAGGCAGCCCAAACCTACATGCTCGACCCCTATGTCAACGTCTTTGATCTCAAGAACATGGCCTCGATGAAGCCCATGCCATTTCCCCCATTAGCAGCGCACGTCAGGCTCCACCCGAGAATGCTCACAACAGCCATCGTCACCTCCCAGCACGGGCAGATGCATGTGGTTGATATCATGAATCCAAACTCGAGCACAGTCCGATACGCCAACATTTCCTCTTATGTCAAGTTGTTCGAGATTGCTCCCTCGGGTGAGGCGCTTGTCATTGGGGATGCAGATTGCAATATCCATCTCTGGGGCTCACCTACCAAGATTCACTTCACGGACATGGCTATCCCAATCGAGTTGCCAGAACCTGAAGAGCCCGCACCAGTGCTCGATTGGTCGATCGAAACGTAGGGCAAGCTCCGGGTTCAAATGCCACTTGAGTTCCCTTGCTAACCTTACTTCCAGACCTCTAAGCTCGATTGGGCTACCCTACTACCGCGAGCCTCTGTTCTCGGCTTGGCCTGCTGATATCATTTCCGACGTCGGTGCACCCCCTTTGCAGCTTGAGCCTTCGTTTGTCGCTACCCTCAAGCAGGCAGAATGGGGGCTTTATGGGAAAAACACTAGAAATGTGCGCCGAAACCAAGTCGAGGATACTCGAAACACAAACAAGCAGTCCAATGCCTTACAGGCACCAAAGTTCCTCAGTGAAAGGGCGAGGGAGTCTGCTCTGTCCTCAGGCGGTGACTCCTCGTCTGATCCTCAAGTCGATCAAGAGCCCGAAGACCCGAACGAAATTGAAAGCTTGAAACCCGAAGCACCCCCTCTATACCGAAATCTTGAGATCAAATACAGCAAGTTTGGCGTGGACGATTTTGACTTTGGGTAAGATTCATTAACATGGGACGAAGGAGATATGAATTCGAGCTAACGTTTCTATGAAGCTACTACAACAAGACCCGCTACGCTGGTCTTGAAAACCACATCCCAAATTCCTATGCGAACTCCCTTCTGCAGCTTATGCATTATACGCCGTTGCTGCGGAATATGGCTCTTCAGCATGCTGCAACAGCTTGTGTGAGCGACCTGTGTCTCTTGTGCGAGCTAGGCTTCGTCTTTGATATGCTGCAAAAGGCAGAGGGTGCAACATGCCAGGCTACGAACATGTTCAAAGCTTTAAGTGGCACCCCTCAAGGTAAGTCTCGCTGCTTTCCTGCTTGAAATAGTCCTGAGGTTAATTTTCATTTTGAAGCGGCGCCTCTTGGACTCCTCGAGGAGGAAACCCATGTGCCATCTTTAGCCACAATGGCTCAAAACTTGAGTCGATTTCTTCTTGAAAAAATCCATAACGAGTACAGAACAATACCCCCGATCTCAACTGCTCTGGAACAATCCCTCTTTAACTTTCCCCACCCTCCAACCCCTGACGAGCTAGTAGCCAAGGTTCTTGCGACTTCGGCTGTTGCGACGATTAAATGTATGAACTGCCGGAGTGAGACTACCCGGCCTGGAACCACCCATGTCATCGACCTCTTGTACCCCCCACCAAAGACAGCGGGTCGGGGAGGGCGGGCGTCTAAAGTTACCTTCTCACAAGTGCTCAAGATGGGAGTCGAGAGGGAGACAACATCCAAGGGATGGTGCAGCCGATGCCAACGGTATCAAAACCTCCAGATGCGCAAAACTATTCACAGCGTTCCGGCTGTGTTGGTGGTTAACGCCGGTGTATCGAACCAAGAACATCGGAAACTGTGGTCTACTCCTGGCTGGCTTCCTGAGGAGATTGGCATCATTGTGGACCAGGGCCAATTCTTCTGCTTTGAAGGCGAGGATCTGAAGTTGCATCTTCAACGCGGCATTCATAACATCACAGTCTATTCGTTGATCGGCATGGTAATCAACATCGAGAGCCATTCACCACAAAAGTCTCATCTAGTTGGCATTATCAATGGTATGCCCTCCCTCGCAGCGAGTGCTAAATGTTGTTGGACAAGGACGCTAACAACTTACAGTTGCTCACGCCGAAGCCACACCCCCGGGAGAAAACAAGTGGCACCTCTTTAACGATTTCTCGGTACGCCCTGTGTCAGCCGCCGAGGCATTGACATTTAACGCGGCGTGGAAGATGCCTGCTGTTCTTCTCTTCCAAATCAAGTCAGCAAACAACAAGAGCAACCTGGATTGGAAGACTAACTTGGACACGTCCATCCTCTACAAGGATACCAACCCTAACACAGAGAAAAAGACATATCGCACCCTGGACCAGGAACGCGAGAGACCTGGACCCGACACGATTGTGGCTCTTGATACGGAGTTCGTCTCGCTCAAGCAGCCCGAAATCCAAATGAACTCGGATGGAGAAAGGGAGACCATCCGACCCATGTCACATGCGCTGGCGCGCGTGTCTGTTGTGCGCGGCCAGGGCGAGAATGAAGGAAGTGCCTTCATCGATGATTACATCGCGATCCGCGAGCCCGTTGTTGACTACCTAACCCTCTACTCTGGCATCACCGCCAGCGACCTTGATCCGCGAACGTCCAAACACAACCTCGTTTCTCTCAAAACTGCATACAAGAAACTGTGGGTGTTGCTTAATCTGGGCTGCAAGTTCCTAGGCCATGGCCTCAAACAGGACTTCCGGGTCATCAACATCCAAGTACCCCGCGCCCAGGTCATCGACACGATCGAAGTCTTTTACCTTAAGTCACGCCTACGAAAGCTATCGCTTGCCTTCCTGGCATGGTACCTGCTCAAAGAGGATATCCAGCTTGAAACACATGACTCAATTGAAGACGCGCGTACAGCTCTCAAGCTGTACCGCAAGTACCTCGAGTTTGACGATGCCGGTATCCTGGAGGCAATGTTGGAGGACATCTACAAAGCAGGAAGGGCGACGAACTTCAAGCCGCCGCGCCGTGAGGATAGAGAGAAGGAACTCCAGCGCCAAAGCACCCCGCCAAATTCGACGGCACCAAACGATTGCGGGGCTAAGCCTGATGGAAATGGCAATGAGAATGGTGGCGAACCTGCAACACCAGCCCGTAAGACTGGCGGTATAACGGCCCCGACGTTTGGGGCGGTGAATGTGTTTGGGACTCCGTCGAAGGCGTCATCGCCTCTGCCGAAGTGATGATGGGAGGTCTGGCAAAGGAAGAAGGGCTTTGTTTGCGATGGACAGAAAATGAGAGGTTTTGTATGGATGACTCTGATATGATTGTCTTGAATCGTACGTAGCGTGATGACGTTGATAGGCAGTAAGTAGCTTCGCATGAATTTGAAGAAAATCAATCTTCACAAACCCGACAGTCAGAAAGGGGTTTGTCGTTGGGGGTAAATGGAGATGTCGACCGGCGTACCTACCTACCTACCTGCCTGCCTGCCTGCCTGGGACGTTTATTGCCCTCTCCTGCCGACCAATATCCGCATTGATAGACAGTACAAAAGACCGAGCTGGCTGATCTACATCTCTCTAATAAGGTAGGAATATTTGGATGACGTGAGACTCTTCTTTCTCAACCCTTGTGCCGGGAAGAGGGAAACAGCAGCCCTGAAAGCAATAGGTTACTTGGTGAAAAGTTGAGAAAGCCAAGTTTGGTTAATCAGTAAGAGGTAGTCATCAGACATTAACGCGATAGTGTCTGATCAGCTCTAAAAAACCGTAGTACTCGGGGGGGTTTTGAGAACTACCTTACAGTCTTAATGAGCCCAGCAGCGGCGGAATCCATGCTAGCATACCTAGCCACAACCACGCTGTGGGAATCCTACATCTATCCAATTGGCCCCAGGGAAGCCTACAATTACCTGTCATATCATCATAAAGTCGGACTTGATACTTTATGATATGTTGATTGAAAACTGAACTTACGCCTGGTCCAGCAATATCAGAGTAGGAAGTGAGTTCCCGGTTTCGTGAAAACAAGGCACAGTTAAAGGTGCACTGAGATTTTATAGTGAAGATACTAGTCACTATATGCTCGAGATCTATCTAAAAATTAGCGAGGGCCTTAATTCTCCCTGAGCAGAGAGTCGAAGGTTCAGTTCATACCTATGAGCAAGCAGAGACTAAAGAAACCACTTATTGGGTCGAGTAAAGTTCAATAGAAAAAGTGGTACTAACAGCTGGTGCTCATTGGGTTAAATAGGATGCTTCGACAACATACGAGACTAAGTCATAAGTCATACAGGTTCCAGCCACATGCTTAGCCTCCGTCATCTGGCGAATCCTGTCGAAATTAAAGCTCCCATTACCTGGCTGCAGGACTTTCTTATCAAACAAAGTAAAGCTTCGGAAACCTGTCTTATAAGTCCAGTAAAGTACCTTTTTTTTTATCACTACGTACTGAAGAGCACTGAGGTTCCTTTTGAAGAGAAGCTTAGACTATAGCTAGGCTGGTAAAACATGTCTGCACCACTATCCGATAGAAGAAATATGGACTTTTAGTACTTCATCTTGCTCTCATCAATAGATTTCCAGAACAGTAGCCGTTTTCATAGATGTCTTGTTTCTGAATGCAAAAGGTTATTTTGGCCGACACGTCGGAGACCCTTTCTCTGGGTGAGGGCCACCAAGGTCATGTAACTTGGTAGGTAACTTGGTATTCAGGTACAAAAGAACCCAGGGTCTTACCATGCCTTGGAATCGTTGCCCATAATCAGCCAAAAGAACTCCAGTGACCACTTGGTTAGCATCAAGAAAGCAAATTATGAATGCTATAGATGAAAGTGTTGGATTTGTAATGCTCTGAAAGTATACACGAGCAACTTGGGTCCCAGTTCATTTTTCGACTTCCTGAGCAGTCGATCAACTGATATCCTCTTGATTACTTGAACACAGAATGGTATCATAGTTCCATAATTAAAGATTCCTTAGCGACATAGAACAAAAAAGTTCCCATTAGAAGTTTCCCGAATCCTTCATATCTTGTGCTCTTGTCTGCCCCTTGATATACCCACTCAGCATCATCTCATTGCTCTCACCAGGCGCCCCATGCCCAGACATGCGTCGGTCACTGGGCTGGTAAGGAGGTAAGTTTGGATCAATCGTCCCTGCTCCCATTCCCCCATCCGAAATCAACGCTTGTTGAGCTTGGGCCTCAGCATCGGCCTCAGGCGGAAGGTATTGTTGCCGTGAGTCCATACTGTTACTTGGCCCGTAATCCTCTTCAGGGAGCATCGGCATCTGAGAAAACGGAGCGGTATGTGAAAACGAGCGTTGGTGGTGTTGACTCCTGTAGTTGGGGACTGCGGTTGGTTGTCGGTTATGACTCTGCATCTGCATGCCATCAGTTACGAGGGCCGCAGAGGCTTGAGAGTCTTCATCCTCATCATGAAGGGGGACCGGCTCAAAGCCGTTTCTACTGTTGAGTCCAGTGCCTGGAATTGAGGGATTGGAGGGGACCGGCCGTCTTGGGAGATGGGGGATGGGTTGTTGGGAGGACAAACGACGGGGAATCGAGGCGGTTAACCGGTGAGGGTGAGGTACAGTTTGAGACGAGGTAGAGGCTGTGGCAGCTGTGAATGTGCTGCGAATTGAGGTCGTACGTGTGAGGATTCCTTCACTTGGGGGCTGATGAGGAGGGTTGATGGGTGTGGATGGAAGTTGGGGCGATGGGGAGTCGAGCAGCTTGAGATTAAGGTTGTCTGTACGGTTGTCGGGTTCGTTGTGATTATTATGTTTGAGATAACGTTGCTCATAGATACGAAGGGCTGTAAAGACGATGGTGAAGATGAAAACGAAGCTGCCTTGGTCAGCATAAATACGAGAGAAAGGCGGTTAAGAGACACACATCAGGACAACAGCAATAGCAAAGTATGAACGTTCTAAACCACAAAACTTGCGGAGCTCCCCTGGTGATGGTGAGCTAGAACTCGGCCATCTACGCCAGAGTTGGTTGTTATCAGAATGAACCAAAGTCTCGTTTTTCGAATCCTTCCATGGATCTAAGCCTGAGTTAGCACCAGACACAAGCTTCGGGATATATGAAGACGTACTATCATCCTTGGTCAGCCTTTCGCAGTGCTCGGGCAAACCGGACCGCGCAAGCAGTGTGATGATGAGCAGCAACACAGCACACACAAGTACATCGCCAATGAGGAAACATATCAGAACAAGGGGTTTCTTGGATCGGCCGCCAGTGTGCTGGATGCTCAGAGCAAGCGTCGTGTAGCCGAAAACGGCGCAGATCTATACTCCCGTGACGTCAACTCAGTGGTCCAACTCTTATCTCGTGCTACATAGACAACGATAAGGGAAGCAGAGCAGCATACCAGAATAGCAAGAAAGGACATGTGGTGTGTGAGGCCAAATTTTTCCGTATGAACTTTGATGGTTAAGAAGCCATGCATGACCGCAGCGGCCAGCCCTCCCACCAACTGGAAGGAGCGGGCGAGAGCGAGCCATGAAGACAATCCTGAGCCCATTGTCGGAGGAGCATGAAAGATTGACTCGTAAGTTGTAAGCAGTCCGACTTCCACTCGGACGGCCGGGCAAGAAAGCGGATGGTGGTTCAACTGAACGATGTCGAGATTCGAGCCATGGTCAAACAAAAGACAAGGAAGAGGACAAGCTGGTGTAGGGACAGGCCCAAGCAATTACTACATCGAGTCCTACCTCTCTCAGCTGTTTCCCGCAGCCCGAGCAGTACCAAGAGGAGTACGAGGACACAACCGACGAGTGGATGTGCAGCACGGCGGGGGCTGTGCCGGGCCGTCTCTCTCTTTCGGGGGCTGCTTGGGTGAGACGATAGCCGAGTTCTACTTCCATCGGTGACGCTACCACATCGGCGGTTACTGTATCCGTACACATGTCCATGTCTACTTTGATGAGATCAAAAATGACAACGTCAAACAACGGGTTCATGAAACACAGCGGCGGAGGTGGGGCAGATCATCGAGAGAGGGGAGGGGGGGTATGGGACATGTCCTTCCGGGATTGGAGAGTTGTTCGTCGTGGATTATGAGGCTGGGCAAATATCAGTTTGTCAAGAAGCTCATGATAATCCCCGTCTCGTTGCCGGTGTTGCAGAAGAGAATGTATCCAGTTGCATGCGCGCCGTCGGCGTAGAGTGAAGAGCTCCCGTGCCGAATGACAGGACGCTTGAAGGAGCTGTGGTCAACAATCCTACCAAACAAACCACCAAGCAACTTCCACAGTTGCATGTAGCTTTCTACCCGTCGCGCAGACCGCGCTGTTGACAGAGCAGCGACTCCAATGAGAAAGCAAATGAGAGGACGTCTGCCCCTCTCCAAAGCCACCACAAGAGGACGCGTCATCGGAAGCTGTCGGGCCAATTGAGACCGCACACCACGGGCACAGCCTCACTCAGGGCTTGCCAAGATTAGTGGGTGGCACTTTCGGCGCTGTATGTTTGGCTGCTGTTCGTCCAAACCAGGAACGGAGCGGCCTGGCAAGCGAGGCTCCAGGGCGGGAGCCTATTGGGTCTTGGCAGTCATCATATCAGCGGCGGGCACGCCTAACTATGACCAGGCATCAGGCTGAGGGGTTCCTGTAGCCCAAAACCCGTACCTTACACTTGTTCAGCTGCCACAGGCTGTCTCTGACAATTGGTCTCCATCAAGTAACTCGACCAGTGGCCATTCTCAAACACCTCCATTGGCGCTGCGTCCGTCACACAGTCTTTTTGTGCAAACATATCGACGTCCACGATGCCCACATGTCCGCTCTTTTTTCGGGCGCCGTTTACTGCCCGTGCTCATGACCGTGATCACAATGGTTGCAACGGGACCGACGAGTTTAACGAGAAGCATACAAGAAAACTGCGCAGCTGTTCATCTTTTCTTCTCTCTGCCTTGAGGGTCCTTCAGCTCCTGTACTTCGTGTTTGCCTACTCCGCCCTCTTTGGCTTCCAGAAGTCAGGCTACTTCCGCCACAACGGTCCTTGGCAGAACTCTCCAGACCAAAGGCATCGCTCTCTGCACTCCATATGCTGGGCACGCATCCAGGTAGGGATATCATTTCATGAACCCTGGGGAGCTAGCCATGAACAAAATAGCTTACACAGCTCATAGGTGTTCATTGTTCTTACCTACCATGCTGCCATCCTGATAGTGCCCTGGCTATTTCGGGTTCTGAAGTCATCACGCCGCCCTCTTACCGGACTGGCAACCGTCTTTGGCGATGGATGTGCCATGGTTGCTATGCTAAATGTCATCGTCCTCTTGGATGGGTCACATGAAGGTTATTGTCATGGCATAACCAATTCTATCAGTACGTCGTATGACTCGGACATTTAAAAGTTCCAGTCTGCTGACATTTACTCCAGATTTGCAAGGAGATGATAAGATCGTTGTTGGTTGGGGGAGGCACCATGTTCATATGGACAAGCGCCGTGTTGTGTGTGCTTCCCTGGACTTAGTTTTTGGTTTCGGCGCTCTCGTCATGTATGTGAGCCCATGCAGTGTGCCTTGAGAGTAACATAATGCTAACTCATTAGCAAATCAGCTTCACCTATATCCCATCTGTCCTCATAACAACTTGGCGCTCAAGGCACAATCAGCCGCGCGGCTTCTCCAAGTTTCAAGAGCAGGACGAGGATGTCGAGCAAGGCCTCTCGATACCTCATCTCGGGACCACAGGTCCCGCTCAAGTTGTCGCAGCTGAGCCCAGGCGGCCGGCAACGCCACAGTCGCCGCCGCCATCCTACCACTCCGCCGTCCTCGAGTTGGATGAAGAGTATCCGGATCTGAACAGCCACGCCCCTGGAACAACGGCCCCGGCGCGTCGGTCCTCGATGGAAACAGTCTCATCCCTAGGTGTTGAGCGCTACCTTGTGTCAGATGGATGGCGAGCGCCCGAAAATCCACCGGAGTACTCCAGTAGGCCACCAAGCCTTCATTATGCGGTACCATGAATCATGTTGTAACCTCTTTGTGCATCTTCTCATTTCGATCTCATTTCGATGACGGATGTAGGATTTTCAGCAAAGTATGCAATGATACCCAGTTATGTAATTCTTAATATGATTTAAGCCCTTCAGCCATGCAGACATGTATTCAGTTCGGAACGTTCAGCTGTGGTTTGTTTGGCTCTTGAGAGCCACGATCTCTTGATCAAACTAGGAGCTGAGCTGAGCATATGTTCCTAGGACAATTATCTGTCCTGTTCTATGACTAGTCTAATTCTCGATATCTGAACGTGCGGCCTCGTCCTAACTCTTGATAGAGGACGTGGTCCCTCGTGTTGTGATCGCTCGAACTCTGAACATAACTCCCTTTAGCCGCCGCTCAACTGCCCGCTGCATTGGCCTTCACCTCTCCGTTTCCAAGACACTCTGTCTCTGGCCATCTTAGCTCCCATCCGGTAACTGTCTTCAGGATCTCGACATCACCTGGGTCGTTTTCAAACAAAGGCCGGTCCATTTTCTTCTCCATAACTTTCTCAACTTCGAACCCTTGCTCGCGGGCAAGGTCAAAGAATGCCAAGTCCTTCTTCTGCAACCATGGCCTGTAGCTGCAGAAGACAACAAGGGCCTTGGCATCGCGCGTCCGCTTGAGCGCATGCCGGACGGTTTTGAGCATGTTTCGATGCTCAGTATGGCGGAAGAGGAGGTCGGCCAGAATAAGAAGGTCAAAGCCTTGAGGCTCTTGTGAAGAAGTATCCGACTCCAGATACTTCAAGAGCTTTGTCGTGTCTGCCCCCCAAATGTAACCATCAACGACGATATTCGTCGGCTCATCCCCCTCCTCCGCCCCCTGACTCCCTTTCTTAGCCTCCCTCGGAATCAACGCACACTCATCCACATTCCGCCACATATTCCTCACCAGATCCACGTCCGGATAATCCGTCATCACCACCATCTTGGCGCCCAGCGCCGAGGCGACCAGGCTGGGTAGCCCCGCGCCGGCGCCCAGCTCCAGCACTGTGCGCCCGCGCACCTCGTCCGGGTTGCGTTCGAAGTGCTCGGCGACCACGCGCGACGCGTTCCACAGGTGGTGCGCTTCCAGGGGCGAGTGGCCGACTAGATGCAGCGTGATGGTGTCGCCGGTGAGGGTTGTGTAGAAGGTCGTGGTTGGGGGAGGGGTCGGCGGGTAGTACCCCTCGGGCTCGACGAAGAGATCGTTGAGTGGGGGATCAGCTTCGATGTCGGACATGTTGAGTAAATTTTATTTGAAATGATTCAGAATTTTGTAATTCGTGACTCAAGGTGTGCAATTGCTTGCTGTTCGGACTCACTTACAAGTTGGTTGAGGTGAGTCGAGGGTCTGCAGAAAAGGAGTGAGCGAAAAGTCAGAATTGGATGAGGGGCAGATGTTGGGGGGTTAGGGTTCGGGTTGTCAGGGGCTCGACCTTGTTCAACTCCAGGTGCTGCTCTTTACTCTACGTAATCTCAGACTTCGGAGACTCCATCGAGACAAATGCTAGGGATGTGTCTCGCAATGAAGTAATTACATTATTAGACCCCCTCCCCTTGTCAAGGGGCTTGCCCCCCATCGCCAAACCTCTCCCTCGCGATCTCTCTCAGCTGATTCAACACCCTCCTCTCCTTCTCCCTCCATTCCCTCAACTTCTCCTCTTTCTCCAACCTTTTTGCCCTGGCAACTTCTTCTCTCCGCCTTTCCTTCTCAGCCCTTCGCTCCTCCCGTCTACGAACCATCTCCCTCCACTCCTCTTGTGCATCCATCTCCCTTCCCCCCATCAACACGCTCTCATCCACCTCCCCAACGCCAGGAGACCGCTCACGGAACTCCCTCAGCTTCTCGTTTAGCTCACGGCGCTTTTCTAGTTTGCGCTCGCGTGAGCCGGGCTCGGCGCGGTTGGGGAGGAGGATGTCGTTGTCCAGAGTCCTGGTGACAGCTTCCTTAGTCTGCAAACGCCACATCTGGCGTGAGGCGGAGAGGGCAGCTGACCTCTCTGCGGCTTCGTCGGCGTCGCGAATAAGGAGGTCAGCTGTTGTGGGGATGGAGGGGCCGGGTTGCTTGGAGGATAGTTTGAACGATGGCGGTTTGGTTTGCTGTTCAGAGAGTTGTCGGTTCAGGCCTGGGGGAGGTGGTGGGCCGTATGATGAGGAGGTATCTGAGGCTTCACTAGGTGCCGGCGAACCAGCCCTCATCCAGTTTGTTGGACTTATATGGGACCTAGCATTATCGTCATTGCGCCGTTGATCTTCCTTTACCCTGCTATTTTTTTCCTCATAACTTTTCACAGCGTGCTCAAACACAGCTGGGTCGTACCAACTCTCAGAGAGTTCTCCACGGTTCCAGTGTCCAATAAAGCTCTTCCATCGGCCGAGCAGTTCTTTCTCATCAAGTGAGTCGATATCCAGATGCTTATGCCGGTCCAGATAATGAGCAAATAGCGACCGGTGAGTCTCCAAATCCTTTCGTGTGAGCCGAGGGGCACCAAATGGGAGATTCATCCTTTCATCAGACTTTCTGTGGTGATGGTCTTTGGACTGATGGCGGTGATGGTGCGAGCGGCCATCATCGGCTTTATGATCATGATGATGGTGATGGCGGTGGGTATGATGACGACCATGAAACGGGCTGCGTGACCTTGAGTGCTCACTCCTTCGAGGTGAACGGGATCTTAGCCGATCATGATCATCTCCATGGCCAGTTCTATGTCTTTTTTGTTCTCGCTCCTCTGCCTCTCGGTCCCGGCTCCGTCGCCGGTGCCGACTCTCATTCCTAGTCGAAAGTGAGGACTCTCTCAAACCTCTTCCATCCATGCGTGGCGACCGGGACCAAGACCGGGATACTAAAGACTCAACCGACTCCTACGCCGGAAGCCGCTGGGATTCGTGGAAGTACGTAGATCCGGATCTGGATGGCGACAATGGCGTCCGTCGATTTTTACCCTCACTCTCACTCCGAGGCTTTGGCACTTGAATGTGAAACTTGGAGTTATGCCAAAACTGTTAATCAGCTTTAGGAAGGGTAACTATGTTGCTTTCACTGAGATTTAACTTTACACACAGTTTTTCGTTCCTGCGCCAGTATTATCGCGTTTGACTCCTTCAGCGCGGTCGGTGCTGGTGACCAGGTTATAGTTAGCACCAGAAAGAGTATGGACACGACCGTTGGTGCAGGCCGGCCACTGCCACGTACGTTCTCCGTCTGCTGATCGTGCAAAACGGTCACGGACCCCACTCGGCAGCCAATGACGCTGCCGTAAACGGTTGTCCTAAAGTCTCCGTATCGTACCGAATTGGGAGAGGTAATCCGTAAGCTGTCCGTTATCCGGAACCTCAAACCTCCATTACCCCAACCAGCACACGGCCGTTCATGAAGATACGGAGTTTGTTTCGACCATCAACCGTAAGCCGTACAAAGAGCTTCACACCCCTCAAAACGGATTACAACTTTCATAACATCGTATCTCGACAGCCGTAGACAGACAACCAAAGCAAACAAGGTTCAACCAACCTCATCCAAGGTCTCAGCTCAGCTGTGATTCACCATAACAGAAATCTACATCACAGATATCGTCACCATCAAGAATAAGATTCATTTCCCACCCGACTAAAACGAACCCTTTTTATTTCGGACAATGGGTATCTTGGTATACCATGCCAGTAAGCAGAGACGCTGCCACCCGCCATCTCCCGCCACCTTGAAACAATGCAAGTACTTGAGAAATACAAACACAGAAAAAAAAAACAAAGAATGGAGACAAAAAAATATATAGCCCGATGGCGAACTTTCTCCTCGCTGCGGCTGAGAGCACGCAAACTTTAAGGCGTGCTAACGAGAGCAGGCTCATCAACTCAGGGGTATATGGTAGCTTCTATCGAAATGCATCCATCCACCTCTCCAATCATCCATCATCAAAACGTAACATAACTCCAAGTCAGCGATATATTTCCTTGGCATCTATCACCTAGCGGGCAGTAATATTCTCCAGGGGCAACTCTCTCCCCTCAGTAGCGGAACTGTATGTCCGCTGCTTCAGCGTAGCCCGGTGTTGACATTACCGTGCACCAAGCATCCTGCACATTCACAGCTATCCCCGCACGGACACGACTCGACGCTGCCACCGCACATCAGGCCAGAGATGGGAATATTGACAAAGAAGTAGTCCATCGTCGACAGGGACTGCTCCTCGCGCGGCGAAGCACCCGCTCCCTCTGATGAGGCAGGCGTAAGCGCTGCCTCGGGAAGCAGCGGTGAATGTTGCTGCTGGTGTTGTGGTGGTTGCTGTGGCTGCTGATAGTCCTGTCCAGTTGTTGTGACAGCGATTTGGCTCTGCGATGCCGATGTAGTGGTCGGATAATCTGGCCCTCCCGTCCTCGGACTGCTGCCGTTGCTACCAGCATATGCGTTATTAACGTATTGGTACATCTGCGAGTTGAATGGGTGTGCCAGACACCCCACACATTGGCAGCCGTCTCCGCAGCTGCACTGATGCATCATGCCGTCCACCTGGACGGTTGTTCCAGTTGTTGTCTGAAAAGAATTCGAAGTTGTGACATGAGATTCTTGCTGAGGCTGAGGAATGGAGCTGCTCAGTGGTTGTGATGGCATGCTATTTGCGGTCTGTGCCACAATCTGCTGCCATGAAAACGGGTCAAGAGGATGCTGCCATGAGCCATAGTCGCTCGGATATGTAAAAACTGTCGGGAAGGGTACAGCTGGTTGGATTTGAGGGGTGTTGTACAACGATCCATATTCCTGTTGTGGCGTCGCAAGACTGTCTGGCTCATTTTTTAACTTGGTTCTTCCGCAACAGCTCCCACCCGCCGGGGAAGGACTAGGTATTGAAGGCTGCAGCTGTGGTGTGCTATAGACCGATGTATACCCGGGTGCTGCCGTCACAACAGTTTTAGGTTCGGCTTTGAACCTATTACCCCCGCAACAGCCGCCGGGAGCAGGAGTGGTGGAACCAGACTGGACCTTGGGCAACGAATGGTTGACCACAGGTGGGTGTGTTTGTCCATCGAGACCAGACGGCGTATGATTTCCGTTCACAAACTGTGATGGGGGGTGAGGATGGGACATTGCTGGGTCGAACCCGCCATTGACACTGGTGATGAACCCTCCATCTTGAGTGATGTTGTGTTGAAGAGGATTTGTCTGCGAGTAATGGAACCCCATGCCATACGACACTGATGGCCCATAAGCAGCAGTCGAAGGATGCGAGTATATGTTGCCAGAACTGGCTGATACCAGTCCCATTCCTTGGTTGAGTCCAGGGAGTTCGGACTGAGAAACCGGGATCGCTGAATCAGGGGCAGAAATGCCACTAGGAACACCGTTACCATTCGTCGAGGGCGCCATCAAATTGATGGAGTTTGGGTCCATCCGTTCAAGATTCGCCAGATCAAACGACTGTTTCCTGCTGACTTTGGTGCTGGAGCTTGCCTTAGAGACGCGATATGAGGGACGTGTTGGTGACGTCGGGGTCCCGGCGGGAGAACCTTCCTCACTGGCGCTGGTTCCGTTAGAGCTTTTTGATGGACAGGCACATTTTTGTTTCTTAGGGATTGCGACTCGCACTCCTCCGCAGGCACAGGGCCGACCTGGAGGGCAGGGACACGTGCTGAGCGGTCGACCTGGCTTCCGCACGGGAATCATGACTCGCTCGTAGAAGTGACTGCATTTTGTGGAACGGTGACCACGAATGCATGGCGCACTGGGAGAATGTTCCGTCAGTAAGGTGGACCGAAGGAGCCAAATGAGCCGGTAGGTACTTCAAGGTCCAGAAATAGACGACACACAGAAGCTATGTTATACAACAGTCTAACAGGAGTTGGAGGAAACACTGTGACCAAGTGGATGATGTGGCGAGTTAAGACGGTACGTACCAGGCCATCTTTTGACCGTTTATGATTGGCATCTTGACTGTATGGTGCGCGACAGTGCGCTTAGCAAGTGCGGGAGAGCTTCAGCGATCGAGATCTGCTGGAGGAGGTTGTTGTGGGCAGCGGGCGTTCGGACGGTGACCCGACGCGGCAAACCCGGGATCAGCGGTTGAGCAAGTTTCTGCTTCCAGGTGCATACGGCCCACGCGCAGCCTCCAGTGGTGCTCTCTAATTCTCTGTCGAGAGTTGCAACGTTGAAAAGCTTCTCGAACTCTCTCGGGCGGAAGGTTTGGTCGATAGAAAATTAAGCCTGTATGCGTGCGACCGAGAAGTTGATCTTGCAGCAACTGGTATTCTGTTAAAGGAAACAAAGTATAAGGATGAACGAGAGCCTTCGGTTATCGAGAAATGGCTGTTAATAGGACGGTCCCACAAGAAAAAAAAGTCTTATCTAGATGTTGAGGAGCTAGCTGATGAGCCTCCAGAAACTTTGAGCAATACAAGACCTCACAGGTTTGACTGCTGTGCGTAAGTTGAGCCGGTCAGTGAGCCGCAGGAGAGCCCCGAAAGAATGTCTGAACGGTCACTTGGGTCTAGCACCGTGGTGTCAAGGTCTCACAGCGCTGAGATGAAGCCCTAGATAGAAGACAGGCAAAAGCACGTCGTTTCGGTGTGCTACAACCGAGAAGAAAGCCCGAGGGTGGTCAAGCAAGGCGGCTAACCCACAACAGATGAAGGGTGATCAGGGAGTCAGGCCATGCCCAGGCCGGCGCCGGCCAAGTACTCCGTAGCACTTTGGAGCGGAAGCGGCGTGGGCGGGGGAATCGGCGTTAGAGACGACTAAAGTTCACCAGTGACTGCGGGGCCAAGTAAAGGCGAAAAAGTAAACGAAGCGGGCCGTCGCCGTCGTAGCGTAGTGTCACAGCCGAGATAGGATCCCTTTGCTGTCTGCAAAATTCGCGTGGATATCGTCGGCGCCGCAGCTGCACTGTAGGCTTGAAGACAGCTTGGCTGGCTGTTGGTATGTGCTGTGACAGTTTTGTTGCTTTGTTTCCTGTCTGCGTCATGTACCGCGGTAGATTTCCGCCTTTCTTTTTCAGGATGAGATGAGGCGTTGCTCGAGGGAAACGATGAGCAACAAACGAGTCGTGTTGGACCTCAACTGATATGCCGACAGCAAGGCTGAGGTACCTAGCTCTGCAGATCGTCAAAACTGTAGCCCAGAAAACAAGGATTCCACTCTGCCGACGCGGAATAGAGCTCGTTTCGTCTTGCCCAGTTGGGCTTTCGTCCAAATGTCAGTTGTTGTCGCGAAGTATGCGTGAGTGAAGAAGAGATCAAACTCAAGAGGTACCTTCGTGGTCCAGGGGCCGCTTCCCAGGTTCAGTCTCCAAGCAGAGGGAGCGAGGGGCAGGTGGGGTCCAGACTCCAGACGGTTGGGCGAAGACTGAGCAAGTTTCCATTGGCTGAAGAGAGAAAGATCCACCCACATCCACACACAAACCAGGGCGGCGGCGTGCACGCAGCTGCTTTTCAGAGAGCTTGTGCCCCGGTTCGCTCGAGTCTGGCCCAAAGATGATTTAAAGCGGATCAATCGACGAGAAGCTGGAAGTTGTAGATCTCGCCGACGGGTTTAAGGAGGATGCCGGATTGGCAATTAATCTCAGGGTCCCCGTCCGTGTATACTGTAACACATAGGCTGAGAGTCAACTACTGACACAGGTCCTGGGGTATGCCTGGATCAAATACACATCCGTCCTAAGCTACCAATTTCCTCGAGTCCCTTGTGCCTTTGCAGATGAGGGGGGTTCCTTATGTGCACTGCCTATCACTGTCACACGGGATGAATCGCCAACACGATCATGGAAACAGAAATCGTCGACTATTGGCAGCCGTGCTTTTCAACTGCCCTCAAAAACCCATTTCATTTAGCTACACGTCTATTTAATAGCGTCATAACAACATACTACCGAACCGCTAGCTTGGGGCATGTGCGGGATGGATGGCTCGCGCGTGGCACCATCGGGACGCACTCTCTCCAATATCTGGGGCTTGGTGAGGGGCATGCAATGCACATGACAACCGGATGCCCTATCCCGGGTCTAAGATGCATCTCGGGGGTTTGTAATAAAGACCCAAGACTACGGGGCGGAGGGGGGACGAGGAGTGGTTCAGTGCTCCGTACAGAGCGTGAGGCCAAGACCACGACCCTCCTAGCTATGCAACTCTCGAGCAGCCGCAAAATGCCCAGACAGCCCTAGCTTCAGGCGTTTGCACTAGGTGCCTCCATCCGAGTCCGAATCAGCAAACATATCCATGGCCCGCATTCGCTTCCGGGGAGGCCCAAATTTGCTGGAGGACAGCATCTGAAATCCGGTGATTGACTTTGCCTCCGGCTTGCTCGGCGCTTCGTCCGACTCTTTCGGCTCTGGTTCAGGGCCGCCAGCCGGGGTTATGTGGAGATTTTCAACATCCTCTGGCTCGCCGTCGAGATCCAGGTCGTCGAAAGCGTCGTCAAGCTCTGCCAAGTACTGTAACCGAACCGGGTCAATCTCTTCGCCATCTTCAGGAGCCAATCCTGGTATTTCTTCCTCTTCTGTCCCTGTTTCGTCAACGTCCGGTTTGGTTGAAACAGGGAGGAAACTCAGTCCAGTACTCGGAGCAGCTTCGACTATCTTCCACCTCCCGCCTGGCCTCTTCTCTGCGCCAGTGCCCGCATCCGCGGGGCCTTCCTTCTTGGACGGCAGTGGGGGATTTTCAAAACTGCTGACGAAGTGCTCGTGCGTCTCGACAGGAAACACACACCAGCCTTCCCACAGATTTAACACGAGACTGACGCTGCGCTTCCACTTCTCAGCACGAAGTCTACCCCAGTTCAGCTTCTCTGGCATGCTTCCTAGCAATTCAAAAGTTTTGCGCTTCCGCAGCGCCGTCTCGAACAGCTGCCGGTAGCGCCATGCATGCCGGATCCCACTGGTTGCTGAGGATGATAAAATGTCGCTTATCACGTAGAGGCCCAGGAGTCTTGGTGCGCTCAAGTCTGGTCCATCTGACGAAGAGGATGTTTTCTCCTTATCTTTATTATCGGGGCTCGGTGAAGCGTCGCGGGAAGACTCATCCTTCGCTTCTTTATCTTTCCCCCCAGGCTTGTAGTTTGGGTTTGCCGAAGTGTAGGCAAACGGGTGTTCGATGTTGGAGATTATCATGTCCACGATCTCATCAGCGCCTCTGCTAGCGTGGGTAATGGCGAATGCTGTCACACGAGCAATATCTCCTTTCCGTATTTTAGAGAGCGTGGTTGGCAGCCGTGCAAGCATGTGAGTAAGCTTGAACTTCTCGATCGGATTTAAGAAGGTGTCTTCCTTCTCATTGTTATCTTGCCGAGCCGGATCGTCTTCAAAGTCATCATCTTCCGAAGAGTCGTAGTCTGAGTCGGAGACAAACTCAGAAACATCAGTTGTATACTCAAAAGCCAAACGCCGATCAGGCGCCTTCCAAGCATGGCTTCCTTCAAAGAGTGGCACGAATTCAGGTCTCCCCTTCTTGTGTTGACCGCTTGTCACAATCTCCCATAACCTCCAACGATACCAAACCCCACCTTCACTGCGGGCATCCCAAATCCATGCCCATTTCTCGTCCCGCTGCACGTCTGGACGAGACATCAAAAGCGCCTCAAACTCTGGACCATGTTCTAGCACGGCTTCAATGACTTTGTGAATCATGCGAAGTTGCTTAATGTCTCGAGGAGGCCGGACCGGAACATGGAGAATACCAGAGCGGTTAAGGGGTCCCCCTAAGGGAGATCCATAGGAAGGAGGGGGAGCAAAGCGTCCATGTGCCCCCGTCCTCCTTGGACCATCTTCAGTCTTTTTAGCACCGAAGGGGTGCGAAACTGCCCCAGAAGACGAGAGAGCAGGCAGGCCCGACGAGAGAGCAGCAGACGAGAGATGGCGATGAAGGCTCAGGAAATAACCGAAACCAAGGTAACGGTTTTGCAACGCGCTGACTGCATTATCGATATCACTTGCAGGTGTCTCTTTCGACAGTGTGACGATCGCAGTGAGTGACTTTCGGTCGGTCCCTCCAGGGCCAGGGGGCGGATTAATCTTGATATTCTCAACTGTGAGATTTGACGGTATCAGGGCTTTGATAACAGCAGGTGATGTCCCTGGAGGTAAATTTGCTAAGCGTAATGTCGGCTTAGATGTCGCCTTCTCCTCCGCTCTGTCAGTGACCGTTGGAGTCTCGCCCTCATCATCGCTTGCGTCGAATGCTTTAGAAACAGGCAGTGAACCCGAGTCCTTATCATCGAACCCAAGTCGCCCAGCCTTTCCCTCCTCCTGATCGCGTTGGAAACCATCGTAAGACCTCTTCTTCGAGAACGAGGGAGGAATTGGACCAAGAGTCCCCGGTCCGCTTTTCAAAGCTCCTCCAGAGGGTACACTAAAGTGCCTTTTGCCAGTGGCCCCTCCAAAGGGAGCCTGGCTGCTGAAAGGCAATGGTCGTTCTGAGGGGCCAGAGTTGAACCTCGATGATGTTGGCTTGGACTGTAGAAAGTCATCATCATCGTCGCGCGCAAAGCTTTTCACAAAATCTTCGTAAACCGCAGCTGTTTCTGCTTCTTCCCGGCGGCGCTTTGCCTCGGCCTCAGCCTTCTGTCTCTCGAATGCGCTTGGCTTGATTGGCTTTTGTAGCTTCGCTTCCACGTCAGGGAACTCTGCAATCTTCTTTGACGATGACATGTTTGGCTGCACTGGCGTGTCGGCCGCACATGATGATGTACGGAATACGGAATGGGTTTGGATGATCGCGCCGTCGCAAACACGTCGCTGGTCGTCTTCGTACTCGAGGCTGCTGGCAAACAAAGCTAGCGATTGGTCCTGGGCCCAAGTTAACGTTGGATGGAGAAATCATCCGTGCACACGGCCAAAATGCTGTCAGCTGTTGTCAGCTGGATAGGTCGGCGTTCCAGCTCCCAAGCACAGGGCAGCTTGTGTGTGACTGTGTCAGACAACCCGAGCGGGACTGAATCATCTGACGCTCATCCGAGCCACCCTTTGCTTCCAAAAGGATGCCGGGCCCTTGATCCATCTCGGAGCACACAAAATCCCTTCCATTCTCTGTTGGAGAACCCTCGCCTTGCTGCAAAGAAATTGACATAGGTGTTGCAGTATGACCTTCTGTACAGCGCCCTTCTGTATCTGCTCTTCTGCTCTATCTTAACATCTTTACGGGCCATTGGCCCGCCTTATCATATCCCCCGCCCCGACATCCGATGCCCGAACATGACACGACAGACTGCGCCCTTGAATTGCTATCGTGGAATATTTTAGCTCTGTTCCACTCCCACTCGTCTCAGTGTCGTCTCTGTTTGAAGCAATGGCATCTCCACAAGTTTTCCGGGATGTTCTTTTCCTTCTAATTTATGACTTCCCAGCAATGTTTTTCACCGGCTTCCACCTGGTCAAGTGTCCAGGCTGCCTATAAACCAGAAGCAAAAGCACGCATAAAGATAACCAAGGGTGATCGTCTGGCTCTTTTTCTCTTCAGGATCTCACAGACACTACAGTTCCGAGACCTGTCTGAATCAAGACTTGGGTCATCCTGTCATTTCCTTTCCTCAGTTTTGTCAAAATGCCTTCCTTTTCTAAGCCCTTCACTCCTCCCTCCTCTGTTCTCATCATCGGCTCTGGCGTTTTCGGCCTGGCCACCGCCCTCTCACTTTGTCGCCGCGATGCCTTCAAAGATTGCTCCATAACTGTCATCGACCGATCAGATCCTTCTCAGCCGGGCGCTTATCCTGCCCCAGATGCCGCCAGCGTCGACACCAACCGCATCATTAGAGCAGACTATGCCGATCCGGACTATGCTGCCCTGTGTGATGAGGCTCAGGCCGAATGGCGGAAGCAGGAGAAGCCCACTGACCTTGGTGCCCAAGGGAGGTACAACGAGGTCGGTCTGCTGCTGGTCGCTGACGCTTTATCGTCAACGCCTACAGGCGCGCAGGAGTGCCAGGACGGTCATAAGCCCAAGCTGACGGGAATGGACTATGTCCGTGAGAGTTGGGCCAATGTCACCCGTCTGGCCTCCAAAGATCCCACCCTTGCAGCCCGAATCAAGGAACTGCCCAATCCCACTGCCATTCGCGATGCTTTGGGAACGGGCGGCAGCTCGGGAGACTGGGGCTACCTCAACCTGAATAGCGGTTGGGGCAATGCTGGAGCTTCCATGCAGTGGCACTACGAGAAGGCCCAACAAACTGGGCGTATCAAGTTTGTCGCTGGCACGGTTGTGTCTTTGGAGCACAACGACACGACCGTCACCGGCGCCCGCCTTTCCGATGGTACCGTCCTTTCTGCTGACCTTGTGGTTGTCGCGGCTGGTGCCTGGACAGGAGGCCTTGTCGACCTTTCAGGCCAAGCCGCCGCCACCGGCCAAGCCGTGGCCTACATCGACCTCACCGAAGAGGAGCAACAAAAGCTCTCAAAGATGCCTGTCATTCTCAACCTCACCACCGGCCTTTTCATCTTTCCTCCCGTCAACTGCGTTCTTAAGGTCGCTCGCCATGCCTACGGCTATCTGAACCCGACGATTCCTGTTCATCCACCTCTCCCTCTTCGCCCCTCTTCAATTCCTTCATCAGCCCCTGTGTCTCTCCCGTTCACCAGCGCCAACGATCCGAACCTCGAGATTCCTGCTGAGGGCGCTGCTGACCTTCGCCGTGCCCTGCGCGAGATGATTCCGTGGCCCGACTTACGCGATCGCCCTTTCACGAAGACTCGTATCTGTTGGTATTCAGACACCCCGACTGGCGACTTCATCGTCGACTATCACCCGTACTGGAAGGGTTTGTTTGTGGCAACAGGCGACAGCGGCCATGCATTCAAATTCCTTCCCGTCATTGGGGAAAAGGTGGCCGATTGCATCATGGGCCAGTGCCCGCCCCAGTTCAAAGAGAAGTGGGCATGGAAGATCAAGGACGAAAGTCAGATTATGCCCGCTCTGAGTGTGGTTACGGAGGACGGCAGCAGAGGAGGCGTGGCTGGTCTTATCCTGGTTGAGGAGCTGGCCAAGTCGACTACTGCCTAACGATCCGGACAACATTACGGGGGCCTTCTGGGGCAAGAGATGTGAAAGACCGTGTTACGAAAGACTCTGGGGGATGGGAGACGAAATGCCTGGCCAGGTAAGCACACCTCGATATCACATGGATTCATGTCACGACGCAACGCTAAGACGGACAAGGCAGTTCAACAAATAGATGATGCTATTATGCAGGCGGCAGCAGCTAAAACCATGACTTCCTTGCTGAAGCACACGCCCGAGTCCCTTTCCTTGTTTTTTCTCCCGTTCCCTTTCCGAAACTCAACGCAGCGGGTTTCATTGCAATCGTCACCAACCAACCAGCCCAATCCATGCACCAGTCTGTAAAACTATCAATCCAGACTGGGTCGCCCAGCCTCAATGTAGCTGGTTGAAGCTCACAGAACTGGGGAGGGTAAGCATTGATTGCTGCAGGGAAAGCAAGCTAACAGGATGAAGAGCAGCAACCGCGAAAATCAGGAAAAAAAATAGTAGGAAGGAAGCTCGAAGGCGGTAGGTAGGCTGCAATTTACGCCACCCATCATTGTCATCATCAACCTAACTGGCTAAGCGGTAGTGGCGGTGCAAAGGCACTTTCTTCCCTGTGCCTGTGGTCTGTTGCTACCCGCGCACCCCGTGGCAATGGTGCAAGTGTTCAGTAAATGATCCCACAATAATCCCACCGAGGTTATCCCTCGTTCTCTCTCGCTCTTTATCTCCACTGTGAGGATGTGCCATGTGTCGATGGTGATGGTGGGGGTTTGGAAATGCCTCGCGAAATCGATATGGCGATGCAGATGGTTCAAACCCTGAACCAAGACCTGACGACTTCAGCGCTCACAGTGTGTACTTCCTCATAAACAAAGCATTCCACGAGCTGTGAACTGTGACAGCCTAACTGTTTCGCGGTCTTCCGCTCTCCTAAACCAAGCCAGTCAAGCCCGCTCTGACAAGACGTGTGTCTTTGCCCGCCAGAGTCCAAGGCGACCGACCGAAAGATTATTAGGGTGGGCGAGCAGAGAGCTGCAAATCCTGCGCTGTGTCGGCTTTCAGCACAGCAAGCAGTTCGCTTCTGCATTCCGCCCTTGGGCTGAAGAAAATGACTAAACGCCCCATGCGCAATCTCCCTCTATGGTGATATACCGCAGCGCAGCGACGTAATAAAGGCCTCAATCCCAAATTCCGGTCTTTCTTTCCCTTTGGTGAACGAAGCATAAAGACCCTGCTGTAATGTCGTTCCCTTCCTTTCCGAACCGTAACGCCGATGCAATGCTGTGAGAAAAAACACAACTAAGAAAAATGATACAAGTGACCGATGGCGCTGGCGACAAGTGTTATGGAATAACGGTCATGGTGATGTCGCGCTAGCACCGAATCGGCCGTGCTTTTTAGACTGGGTATGTGGGTAGTGGTCGTAATTATCGTGCCCGGAAGTAATTGTACAATGTTGCCAACAAGTACTGAGTAATTTACGAGAGGTCGAGGGTGGGGAAGACGCCCAGTGACAGCAAGCATGGCAAGTTTAAACCTTGCGGAAATCTGGACGGAGTGTTAACTCCATAGTCGACTGAAACTGAAACCAAAAGAGGTAGAGACTGACCTTGCAGCACAGGATAGATCATCTCGAAGGCTTGATAGATCTCTTCGCGCACTTTGGCGCCAGTAAGAACTATCTTGCCGCTTACGAAGATGAGGAGTACGATCTTGGGCTTGATCATGCGGTAAATCAAGCCAGGGAACAGCTCGGGCTCATACGAGCTGAAGTTATGGTGCTTTGATGCCAATCCCTCCAGACGGATGGGGAATTTGATGTCGCAAGAACCGACAATGTTCTGGATCTTGAAGTCGGTGAACTTAGCGTTGAAGCCCAGCTTCTGGATGATGCGTGCGTATTTGCGCGACGCAAGCTTCGAATCGTCCTCGGACTTGGCACCAGTCACGACCATCTTGCCGCTGGCGAAGATCAAGGCAGTAGTCTTTGGCTCGCGGATACGCATGATCACCGCTGCGAAGCGCTTGGGGTTATACTGTTTCTTGTCAGGTCCGCCCGGCAAACAAGCGGTTGAAGACGCAGAAAAACTGGGGAAGACCGACCCACTCGGGACAGCCGCCACCAAGTTTCTGGTTCAACACGTACCTCCGCGTTGCGAGCATGAAGCGCAATCGTTTTGAGGTCCAGACGGCAATCCAGATTGACCGTTGCGACGATGTTCCTGAACAGGTCAGCCCACAGCCTCATAAATGAAGGCTCAAGGAGAGTCCTACTGGAGCGTGGGAGTAATGCCACTCGGCCCCGCAGGGCCTGCTCCCGGAGTCGCAGCGGGGGTTGCGGGAGTCACCCCAGCACCACTAGTGGCTTGCACACCCTGCTGCTGACCACCGTTGCTCGCTCCATTGGTTGGCGCTGTCGAGTTCGCGATCTCGCTCGCACCGCCGGGGAAGGAGAGTGAGCCAGGCGCAGTAAATGCCTTGGCCTGCGCGGCATTTGCGGGATGGGTTTGGATGGCTTCCATCGTTGCTAGATGTAGACCAACTGACGCGATAGTTCAAAAAACTAGCTGGTTCTTGCGCAGAACAGACCTGAATATCAGGAATTAGTAAACCCGTTTTTCTGAGCAAGCTGCGCGATGTCGCAAAAGATAAACAGCAAACGCGGAGAGCTGGCGACAACTCGCGGAGTTGCTGTTTCGCAGGGCTGTTTGGTGGAAAGAGGCAAAAAATGCAAGGCAACGCGGGGTATTTATAGGCGTGGCAAGGTGGTCTGTGCTCCAATGCGATGTGAATCGCTAACACAACCAAGTGTGCGAAGCACAGCAGTGAATGCACTGGCCTGACGGTGGGGCAAAAAACGCAGAGAAGGCCATTGGGATGGGATAAAGCCAAACGGACATCGCAATGGGATGGGTTAGGGGAAGATGTGGCATACCAGAACTGGGAGATGAACAAGTTAATGTGTCCCCCTCGGTGGCTGTTCACCTGCAAACACCCTTCAAGAGCCGGCCGTGATCTTTCGATCGGCGACTCAAATGCAAGAGTCCTCCCCTGAAGACCTCGTGTGTGTATGTGTGTCTGTCGACAAGACAGGCACGCAGCGCTTCAAGGCAGAGAGCTCGTGGCCAAGAATGATCTCGGTTAAAACAGGAAGACGCCAAACCGAGACAGGCTGTGGCACAGGGAGCGGGATGGCGATTGCCCAGTCAATAACTCACGGCAAGATGATTCTGATCCGGGAGAACTAGCAATGGTAATGTGACTTGGTGCAAACGGATCTTCTATTGCCCTCGACGATTAATGGTCGACCGAGACAGACGTCGGGTTCCTTAATAGAGGTCAAGAGGGCGCCACGAAGGACGATGTTCTGAAGACGGGAAGCCCTTGTCCTGAAATGAGGGAACGATCGCCTGTCTGTGTCGACAGATTAATCCTCGAACTCTAAATGAGGGATGCGCCCACACAACGCAGGTTTGTATTTCCGGGGAGGAGAAATGTAAGAAAACGTTGTTTAACGCTTCAATGCACGACCAGCAACCGCACGAGGCTGAAGTCGTGGTTGTGGTTGATGGTGGAGATCGGAAGAGGAGAGAGATGAGGGGGGTGTGGGGAATTTTGGCCGAAGGCAGAACAGGGTGCAACGGCCGGTCGGGACTTCCGCGCGCGGGATCTTAAAACAAACCGGCAGGAGGGAGGCCCGACCTTTTATAGTTTTCCAAGAAACCCGTGTTTCAGCCTGAGGCAGCAACGCTAATCCGGTGGCGGTGGGCCGCACATCCTTTGATGTTTTGCAATTGCGCGCTAAGGGACGCCATCAGCCAATCAAACCGCGCGTGGGAGAATTCTATCACTTTCTTGGCCAATCTAAACCTCCTATCTGTGCCCGCCCCCTTAGGACAAGTACCGGTACCTTGGAGAAGCAAACCTGTCTTCATCTCGACGCTCGCATCAAACACCTCGCGGCAGCTCTCCAACACAGACCTCCTGCACACCACTAACCACACTCCTGAAACATTACACCCGTCCCATCTGTCAACAGCGCTTCGTCTTCTGCAAATCTACTGCTGTGTTCTCATCTGAAGCTGATTCTGTGAGAACAGCAGCCTGGGTGTTTTCTAGTAATTTTGCAGGATTACTCGCTCGCTTTCCCAGCGCTACAGTCTGTCGATGACACAAGCGCCAGCTCTTGTCAGCCGCTCCATTTCTGCAACATGATCGTCTCTCAGAATCAAGATATAACCTGCTCAAACGCGATATGTCTAACAACAAAAGCCAGCAACATGCGTGTCAAATCTGCACACAGCAATCAACACCCCATCCAATCTTCCAGATTGCTAATACCATGCTCTACTTACCAGGCTGCTGGACAACTGCACACGGTTTTCTGACAACATATGAAGGGCAATTCTAGCAACAGTCATGGATGCACGATACCAATACCTGCTGATTGCGCTCCAGCAGAACCAGCTCACCAAGATGCGGTTCTACCTGGACTAGAATAACACGTCACCAAGCTTCTGCTGCCACCTGTGTCGAACTGATGGTTCTCTGATATCAACACCAACACGGATATCCGGAAGAAGGCCATGGCAAGCATCCCTAGGATCCCATGGCTTTGCTGTTGGGTGGCCCCCTTGTCATGGATACTGACAACCGTCTAAAAGCTGTGCAACAATCATCCAGAAGGTGGTGGGGCCATTAGTTTGCTCGTTGACAAGACTCGACCGCATTCAAAGATCAATGCAACCTCGCATTGGTAATGAGCTGCGATCCTTCTCGTGTGCGCAACCTAGTTCCCCTGCGCCGTTTTCGAACTAGAACCTGGGCACTCTTTGGACAAAAAAGACGAAAAAGAGACATGAAAAAGCTGTGCATTGTCTTGATCAACGCACAGCCAGGCCTCCAGGATCAGGATGTCCAGCTCTTTAACTGGGTGCATCAACATACATCGCTGCACCTGGTTTGGTAGGCATGGGAGAGGGGTTCAGCCAGGTCTGCCCAAAGTATTGGTACATGTTCGGGGACGGGATGGGCTGTGGCCCCATACAGCATTGTGGCTCGCGTGGCGTCTGTGTTTCGCCAAACCTGCGCTCCCTTCTCCCACCCTCAGCCCTGTGATCTGTGAGTCATAACGTTATCTCTCCCTCCCAAATTTGGTCTGCCTGCAAAAAGGGGGTATGCCCTAGCGCCAGCAACAACACCATTCAAAATGTCGTCAAGCTGGGGAGGAGCAGCGCGGCCACTTCCTCGAGCCATTTTGCCATCTCCATCAGCTGGAGAGCCAGCACGATGAAAGGGAATGGTGAGTGGACGAAGAAAATTTTGGCTTGCCACCGCTTCCGGTGTCCAATGCAGCGGGTTGGCTGGTTGCCTGGGGTCGGTGCCCGTGGGTCGCTGAGCGCGTCCCTGAGCTTCTGCCCACCCAGTCGTGCAAAAATTTTGTGTCGCGGTAACCATCCATCTCCATCCGCCCCTTCCCAAATCAATAAGCTTCCAGTAGTTGCATTTTTAGCCATTTGGCGGTTATTGAATATCCACCATGTTGGGGGACTCAGGAAACCTAGAGGTGAATAGGACCGTATGGCGGATCCTAGTGAAGGCGCATGCAAATAAGCATACCCCATGCTCCTAACTAACAATGCAGTAAGCAGGCCAAGAACATCAGAGAAGGGGACAGAAAGGGGAAGAAAGGCATGGTGCAAAAGGACAACAACATAGCCTGAAGGGTCCTTTGCACTTTATCCTTATCGCTCCTCTGATATGGCATGATTACATACATATCCCATGACCATATCTGACTTTTTACTGAGCACAACGCATGATCTACGAGCACGCGTCAGCTCAGGAACTGGCGAGCCGTTCTCGCGTTTTGCTTACCTAATACGCGTCAGGAGCGCGTCTGCTGACATGTCTTCACCAGATATCGCTTCGTCATAACTAATGGCCATGTTTGATGTTAGTACAAGCACCTACCGAGGATTGATGAGGAAACTTGTCAGACTTATTACCATACAAAAGAGGCATCTATGGAACTATGACCAGGTCAAGAGTGAGAACGAAAAACAGGAGCATGCTTCATCACAACACAGCTGAGAACTTGATAACGAGATCAGTGAGTGCAACTGGAGACTCTACCACATAAACAGTGGTTGATTAGTATGGAACCTAGTATGTCGATTTATTCCTTTGATCACTCCATTGCACAATGCTTATACAGCCCCCTAGTATACTGGAGATAAGGTCGAAGAACCCCAGAGGGACAATTTCAAATCCTGTTGAGCACAAGCCCCAAGGATCAAGCCTAGCAAAACATCAAACCCAACATCTGACTGCCAACTGCAACCAATAAGACATGTCTGCCAGCGGTTGACATTCAAGTCCAGTCTAAAAGTTTTGCAATGGTAAGCCTGGGATGTGTACCAGAAGAAGTAGTGTTGTACAACACCGCCGTTAGCTGCATTTTAACAGGAAAGAAATGACTAAACGACCCTTGAAACCAAATATATATATATACATATGCGCTTTTTACCGCTGCCTCTTACATGATAAATACATTCTAATTTGCTTGCTCGTCACTCTAAGATGCACTTAAACCACTGTTTCTCAAAACTTAAGTCATGTAGTACTTGGGACCCTCGCCACCTTGAGGCACCTGCCAGTTAATGTCCTGGTTAGGAGCTTTAATGTCACAGGTCTTGCAGTGGATACAGCTGTTAGAAACGGTTAGCATATCTGAGCTTTGATCGCCAATATCGGGAAACACAGTGACATACTTTTGGGAATTGATCTGGAACCTAACACCCTCCTTCTTACTTGGATCCTCAATATATTCATACACACCCGCAGGGCAGAACCTGTTCTCGACCCCCTTGAACTTAGGGTAGGTCTCTTCAGTGTGCTTGTCCCAGTCCTTGACCTGAAGGTGGACAGGCTGGTCCTCCTCGTGGTTGGTGCCAGTACGCGACACGCTGGTCAACAGGTCGAAAGTAATCTTGCCATCCGGCTTGGGATACTCAATCTTCTTGCACTGGTCGGCAGGCTTGGTGGCGGCGTGATCGGGCACCTTGTGACGCAGAGTCCATGGCACGCGGCCCTTGAAAATGTAAGCCTCCAGGCCGGAGTAGAGAATACCACCGTAAACTCCAAGCGGAGTGTGGAAGGACGGGCGCATATTGCGCACTTCCTTGAGCTCCTTCCAGACGGATGACTTGCGCAAGGCTTCCTCATACTCATAGAGGATGACGGAACCTCCATCGCCATTATTCCTGAGAGCATTCCACGCTGCCTCGGCAGCCAAAATGCCGGTCTTCATCGCGTTGTGAGTGCCCTTGACTTTGGGCACGTTGACGAAGCCAGCCGAGTCGCCAATTAGGGCACCGCCAGGGAAAATAACCTTGGGGATGGACTGGAAGCCGCCCTCGATCAGGGCACGAGCACCGTACGAGATGCACTTGCCGCCTTCAAGCACGCTGCGGTAAAGCGGGTGCTGTTTGAGCTTCTGGAACTCCCAATAGGGAGACAGCCAAGGGTTGGAATAGTCGAGAGCAACGACCTGGCCGATACTGACAAGGTTATCACCGAAGTGGTACATCCAGGCACCTCCGTACGTGTCATAGGGAAGCGGGTAGCCCATCGAGTGGGTGATCTCGCCCTTACGGAAGTTCTCAGGCTTAACCTCCCAGACTTCCTTGATACCCAAACCGTACGTCTGATGCTGGCTGTCACGACGCAAGTCGAACTTCTTGATGACCTGCTTGCTCAGACTGCCGTGGCAGCCCTCGCCGAAAAGGGTGACGCGGGCGTGGAATTCCATGCCACGCTCAAACGTGTCTTTTGGCTTGCCATCCCGTCCAATGCCCACGTCATTTGTTGCAACGCCCTTCACACTTCCGTCGGCCCTGTAGAGCACTTCACTAGCAGCAAACCCCGGATACACCTCAACGCCAAGCTCCTCCGCACGTTCGCCTAGCCACTTCGTGAACTCGTTCAGACTGACAATGTAGTTCCCATGGTTGTTCATCTGCGGGGGAGCAGGGAGAGGGATGGCCGAGTTCTTAGTCAAAAAGCGCATACGGTCCTTGCCAGCGGGGGTCGCTCCTGTGAAATGGTTCGGGTTCGACTCATCGAGCCAGTCAGGGATCAGCTCATTGATAGCTGTCGGCTGAATGACGGCACCCGACAGAATGTGTGCGCCGATCTCGCTGGCCTTTTCGAGCAGAAGCACCCGGAAGTCCTCGTTGCCGGCCTCGTTGGCCAACTGCTTCAACCTGATGGCCGCAGAAAGACCGGCAGGACCGCCGCCAACAATACATACATCAACCTCATCGCTCTCGCGTTCGATCGACGCCGGGTCAAACGAAGCGTTGACATCGGCGTAGCGACGGGCTGGGGTCGTAGACACTTTCCTGTGAATCACGAAGACTGGGGAGCTAGAGCTTCCGGAAGCAGCACGAAATTCTGGCCGGCGGCGAAACCGGGCCGGAGTAGCCGACGACAGACACCTGGAGCTGGAACTTGGTTGGAACCGCGCTGTCCTGGCGGAGAACTGAGTTGTGGTGGTGACCCTCCGGCAAAGGCCGGTCGACAGGCGCGTAGATGCCGACATTGCTTACAAGACTGGGTAAAGACGAGAGTTGGACAGGGAGAAAAGACTGAAGGGAACTGATATGAGGCTGCCCCGCGCCACAGGGCAACTAGGTGTTGTGACGGAACTTTTGGCTTGCCACAGCCCTGGCAACCTGCGATCCGGGGAAGATTTAGTGGTTGATTCTTTGATCTCAGGGTCTCCTCACAAAGCGCTGCTCGCTGGCGGTGCGATATAGAATCCTGGGACCTCCTGTACCTCCCCGTCTCTCTCCACACTTTCAATTGCTCTCGGCGACGGGTTCGCAGTTGATAACTGCTGCCCGCGTCTTTAAAAAATGACGTTTTGCCCGGCAACCCTCCAATGGACTTTTTTCGATTTGACTGCTGGCCTGTGCGCGCTTGTCAGGGACCCTTGTGATCATTAAAGCGGGTCCAGACATGGTAAACACACCCGAGGAAAGCCGAATCTCGGCGCTCACTGGTCAGCCTTTTGATCCTTCTGCGCCCTATGGTGGCTTCTCGAGGCTCCAAGATGCTGGCAAACTCCACTGCTCTTACACCTTCTGGGTCCCAACATATCGGAGACGGGCAGTATCCGGATGTAGGGAAGGATACGGTCCACGGTTGTATTGTTGAGAAGATCATGATGGGGTTGAGATGGAGCCACGTACTGGAGGTATGTAAAAGTCGCGCGAGGCAGGTTGCAACAGTTGCTCTGGATACACCCTGTTGGAGAGGGGTGAAAGGGGAACATAACAGAAGGCAGAAGTAAGCACTCATAGCACTAATGTCTGCAAAAAGAGCATGTAGAAAGTTATCTACCTTACTTCTATGATACAGCACATACTACAGCCCTATAGGTGTACCAGCCTGTTGTTCACTTGATGAGCACAGACTATATTATTACATCCCCATGCGTATCGAGCATGATGATACTGACTATGGTCCGAGACAGTCATATGTCGTTGAGCCATCATCCCTTGGTGCCAATACACACCCATGCTCCCGACCTTATACCCTCCTTATCCCATCATTCTCCTCGAGGCCGATGGTGACGGTTGACTTCCGGAATTTGGTGCTGCATGTTGCGCTGCTGTCGTCTGAGCATGGCCCAAAAGTCGTAAGCTTGGTCGCTGTCCCCTGACATCCTCATCTCGTGCAACTTCCTCCTCTTTTCCTCCCTGCGCTTGCGCCTGGCCTCCTTTCTTGACTCTGGCTCCAACTTCTCCTGGTAGAAACGCTTGGTCTTCTTCCACGCCATCTTCGTGCGCTTAAACGCCACCTTGACAGTCTTCTGCACACGCCAGTTGAACGCGGCCACCAACGATAAGATGATCAGAGCAACCGAAGCTGGAAGAGATATGGCACCGATCTTCTTGAGGCTTGGGATATTCTCGTCCTGCCATTCGATCGTGTTCATGCCAAACAAGCCAGTGAAGAATGTAAGCGGCAGGAAAATGACAGTATATGTCGTGAATATCATTACCGAGAGGTTTTGGCTCGACGCAAGCTCGGCCTGGAGACGCGACCAGCGCACCTCGTCAACCTGAGCTTGGCGCTGGACCAGTTCTAGCATTTTCTCATACTGCAGCACCAAGTCAGCAAGCCCACCCTTTGTGCGACGATGGCGGTTAGTTCAAGACACCTGTTTCCTCACTTACATCTGTTCGAGTCGCCTGAACACGCTTTTTCATCTCATCGGTAGTCTCTAGATATTCTTGGAGATACTCAAGAGCTTCGTTGAGATACTCTTGCCCATACTTGGTCACCTCGTTGTATTTCTCGACATATTTGTTCCTCATCTCCTCGATAGCCTTCTTCTGGGTGATAAACAGGCTCTCGAGGGTATTGAGCTCGTCTTCAAGGTCCCGTAACTCAAGCAAGGCCGACGTATTCTCTCTGTTTTCACGTTCAGACCTTTCGAGCTCACGCCGGTGCCGTTTCTTAATAGCTGATGGACTTTCGCCTTCGCTGTCTGAGTCGTCGAAGTCATCTTCCTCGTTCACATCGCCGTCATCGACTTCAAGAGCGTGCATCCGGAATCGCTTCATGTAGACGGTCATCCTCTCTGACAACATGCCGATAGCCTCATCAAACAGGCGGAAGATTTCCAAATCAGGATGCGACGATCGATCGAGGAGGACCGTGACGGCGTGGAACACGATCAGAGCAGCCAGATCTAGAGCATTCTCGGTGCGCCCCGTAAGATCACCGTTAAGCTCATTGTAAACGCTGTTTCGGAGGTCGGCTTGCTGGAAGAGCGTCCCCTCAGTAGGAGATGACTCCCGGCGCGGGAAGAAAGTCATGAGGGTTTCCGGAGTGCCAGTAGTGTCGATGGACCACAACCACAGCTGGTCCACCATGAGGACAAGGCCATCCTTCAGATCATCCTCCGGTTCAATATCGAACTCCATCCTTGACATGAGTTTACTGCGACTGCCCATGTACTGAGAATGAAGGCCCGATTCGACGGACTTCTTATTCCTGAGCGTATCGGTGGACGGGTTGCTTGCAGACTTGGTATTTTCTAGGTCTATAGGCTCCGGATCCTTCCTGGTAAGCTTATACAACATCTGATCGTCATCGCGAGCTTCCGTATCGCGGAGCGAGGAATGGCCAAACTGGTCAAGCGTCCGGCGGCAATTGACCGGCGGATCGTAGCCAATGTACTCCCAGATCATCTTCAGCTCAAGGGAGCCGTGCTCGGCAAGCTCCTGTGGAACAGGCTTTGCCCTTCCGCGACGGTAGCGCTCACGGATTAGCTTCCGACGCCTAACCATGCTGCGATATGTGTCGAAGTGAAGGTAAGGGAGGTAGACAAAAAAATAGGTTGGAGTGTTTCCTTGAATCATGGGACCGGTTTGAGTACCAGAAACCCGGGGGGAAGCCGCGCGGTCTGTTGGCGAGAGGACCTTGCATGTAGCTTTCAGGAAAGCTGGTTGTGATTCCGAATGACGATTCTGAACCAGACGGGCTTCCCAATTCTCATAATCGAAGATCCTCGAGGAATCATGTCCCATGTGCTTCTCCAGAGTACTGAACATCTCCTGTTGAGGAGAAGACGTTATTAGCCTTGATCGTTTTGTATGGTAATGGATGAGGTTGTCTTACCTTCACCCAGGCAGGATTATTGAACGGAAGATGGATCCACATAAACTTTCTCCGTGACTATTTCGTTTTGTTAGTTGCAGCCAGATAATATCGAGGTAACCAGTAGTCCAAATCTACTGGCTGAGATTGCACATACAGGATCTGGCCGAGAGAAGCCGGCAATGCCCATATCATGTTCTTTGACCAGTATTTCAGCACGTTGCTTATCTGTGAGAAATGCACTGAAGCCACTCGAGCCCACATCAGGGAAATCAGTCGCAAGCCGCATTCCTGTGTTAGATACAGTGCTGCTAACACTTGCTATGCTATCTGGGCTTGGGGGACGCATATGTGCGTCAGAGGGCCTCCTCCCGAAAGGCAAGCCTTCATCAGAGCCAGGAACGTGCAGAGTGGCAGCACCATGCGAGAGACCAACCAGAGCAGCTGAGATTCCTAGGCCGCTACCTTCCTTGATAAGCTTTTTCGAGGGCTGATCCTGTTCTGACCTGTCGGCCAGACGCTCTCGACTCCGGCTGCGTTTAACAGTCTTGTGGAGGCGATCTTGTAAGCATCGCTCTGGTCCCAGTTTCAAAAAGTTTCTATATGGCGATTTGGTTGTGTAAAGACGAAGAAAGGAGACAGACTCTGAACCAGGGTGTGGCGAGGAATACCGTGGAAGCGTCGTGGGGGCATCCGGGTCTTCATAAAAACCGGTGATCTCAACGTTGACGAGGTCTCTCAAGTGCAGGGGATGATGAGGATGGGCATAGCTAAGCTCTGCTGCCTTATTCACTGCATCGGCAAAATCTTCTAGGTAGGATTCTAGGATTCCGCGATTCGCAGGCCCAAAGGTAGCCAGTCGAGCGTGGTCGCTCTCAACAGCATAGACGTCCTCCTGCCAGATCTGGAGCATTGCTGATTTGACTGACACAAGAGGTGCGCCGAATTGGACTTCATCAAAGCCGGCTCCGGAGCCCGAAAGCTGAGACTCCTGAGTTTCGTAGAAGGACCATAGCCGAAGCTCACTAGCTAGGTCAACGAATCGGTCATGCAAATCAATCAGGCCGGCATTATTGACCCGGATTTGCTGCGCGAGAGACGCGGGTAGGGCTGACTCCAAGTTGAGAAGATCCTGAATGCTCTCCTTCAGGTTTGGCATAGACATATAGCTTGACCCCCGATGGGGCGTGCCTTTGTGGTGGTATTAGCCTGGACATTCTGAAGCTTTGGTGCAGATGACAACACCGCAGGGAGAAACTTACCAAAGAAGGCAACTCCATGGCAAAATTCCATTATTTCGAGGTACCTCTTAGACTGACTGGCGCGGACGAGGGCATTCTTGACAACCAATCCACCAATGCTGTGGGCTATGAAGAAGATAGGACGAGACGACTGCAATGTAGGATTAGCATGGCATAAGTAGGGGAACTGAATCAGGGCAAGAACGGCTCCATACGCTTTCAGCACGCAGGCTGGTGACCTGGCGTAACAAGTCTTCGGCCAAGCTTTCCAGTGTCATGCCCTCCTTGAGTTTACCATGAGTGTAGACACACACTCGCGCAGTGTTGACGTGGCTCCGCAAGTCTTTGGTAACCCAGGGGGTGGGAATCCGGAAGGAGGCCTTAGATCCATGATCACCAGGTATACTGCTGGTGTCGCTTTCCAGCGCAGGATCATAGGTCCAGGTTTGCAACGGATCAGCACCTGGGCAAGGGACAACAATGACATCGACTCGTGTCTCGTTCGTACCGGGACCGCCAACATCGCCACTTATTTCGACAAACCCCGGACCTCCTTCGGGCCTTGACAGTGTAACTCTCGGTGCTTTCTCTGTTAAAGGGTGATTAGCCACAGTCGTTGCTTCGTCCACGTCTTGCAAGCTCTGTTCACCAGGAAAGTCCCAGGTTTCGAGCGGAGCAGACGAGAGAGTGTCGAGTTGATAGGGTGCCTTCTCACGTTCAACCTGGGCCTCAGCGGCCATGCCCCTGTTTGGGCTGGTGTTCCGATTGTTTTGGCTCTCCATAGCTGGCCGTTGTCCAGGTCTAGGAGGTCTTACAACACAACAGATCCTCAAGTCTCAACACGACCACACAAACAAGGTCTGCTTAGACTCTTTGGGCTGCTGGGGGAGATGGTAAAGAAAAAGGAGCAACGCAAGGGAAGGTTCCCAGGCGCACATCTGACCGAGATGCGACGTTGCTAGTAGGCTTCTCTTAATTTCCCGCCAAGACAACCCAAGCGGCTGTGGGCGCGGGACACGGCGGGCATGCACACGCGACCAGGCCGCGGCAGGCCGACTGCGCCCCTTGTTCCTCCAAGGCTGCAGACGAACAAATTCGACGGTTGGATGCGGGATCATGGGGTCAGCGAGGAGGTTGGTGATCGATCATCATTGGCTCCGCTGTGAGAGCCCTGCGCCCACAACGGGGTGCGCTAGTCAGACGGACCGTTGCCAGGGAGCCAGTAGCGTCGGTAGCATTGTCGGGCAATGCTACCACATGCATCACAATTTTGAAGTCGGATCCTTCTGGACACCTCCTAACTTAGAAAGTCGGAGAACATGTAGGCGAGGTATATAGGGCTGGACCGGGCAGCATTGACAAGAAATATGTGGACATACATACGGGCAGGAAATGGAGAACGGAAGAACAGTTGTTGCAGGTTTTTGACTTGTGAGAAGAGACCACCTCATGTGTTGATAAACTGCCTATGCGATATGTCTGTACTGGGTATATTGTCCTGCCACATTGTCAATGTCCGCTCAAGCAGAGGGGCAAAACAGCAAAAGCCAAAACGGCCAGTCTCAGTGAATGCAAGGTTAATAAGATCCGCATACATATGCATGCAGCCCGAGTTGAAGCCAACAACATTAACGCGGGGAAACAGAAGGCCTTCTGGCTTATATTCAGTAAGGATTAAAGAGAGCTCTGTGTCTGGCAGGTATGTTGTGTTGCACATGGCCAAGTTGTAGAGACAATGGTTATGAGGCTTCAAGAATAAAGTTGCCTCTTCGGTGAGAAGGTTGGTTGACGAGGCAGGGCCATTTGGAATTGGGAGATAGAGCCTCTTCAGTTCAGAAATCCTAAATATCACATGCCCTAAAAGCCCATGAGCATTTGAAGATCCTGGCGAAGAGATGTCAGGCGTGACAAGGCAAAAGAATCTTGTATTTCTGTAGTCGTGCCTGTGATGGAGAGTGTGGTTAGTGGTGCGTGACTGCTTGGGGATTTGAAGCCTTAAAGTCATGATGGCAAGCTTTGTTGGAGATTGAGACAAGCGCAGCACATAAGTCGGGCACGCAGGTTAAGGCCTACCACGTTCACTTGTGGTATGTGCACTGTCAAGGGGGACCGCTTGGGGTCTGGGTCTTTGGCTGGTGGTCTGTGCTTACATAATCGGTGTTAAGCCTCAGGCATTCTTCTCCCTACACATCAGCCACTTGTCAGCGTGGCCACAAAGCGCCCCGCAGCAGCACGGGCCGCTGGCCACGAGCCAGAAGGCAGCGGGAGCTCCAGTGACCCATTTCTTTCCGTCAACCTCACACGGCCGAAAAAAGCACATCGATCCCCCATCCTTTACTGCCTTCTCCACGAAACGAACCATCAGTTTTCGCGATCGCTCACAAAGCCGTCTGTCCCGTCTACCTCTGCTTCCGTCTACCACTTCGCCGCGCCCAGCCCAGCCCCGGACGCGCGATACCGGCAACCCGCCATCCACCTCAAACCTACAGCCCCTCCCCTCCATCCACCCAGCGTCAAGAGTCGAGAGGAAGTGGCTCTGTCCGGCAGGGGATAGCATAACCCTTCCCATCCCTTCTCACCCACCTGGTAATCCATGGTCCCTCCGCCCAGACCAGGAACATTCTCGCCAAACCCGACTGCACAGCCCATCTACACCGGCATCAATCACTCTCCTCATCCCTCACACGCTGGTGCGCTGAGTGCGGCTGCCAGCCCCAGTACCAGCAGCCCCACTGGGTCCAACTCCCTGACCAAGATTGCAGTCGCCCAGGTTTACCTTCTGTTGAGCACTATTAAGGAGGATAAGGACGATCCTCGGAAGTGGGAGTCGCAGATTGAGTCGCTACGGAAGGTAACGTGGTGTCCTTGCTGCATCCCATCCCTCCCTTTCTCGTCCATCGCCCTATCTGGTAGTCTCTTCATCCTATTTACTCCAGTTCGCTGCTCCCCGACCTTTCCCTTTGTTACACGTGCAGCCTTATACGCGAGCACTGGCGTCTCCAACACACCTTTTCCAGCCGCATTTTGATCCCCGCAATTGTGCAATTTCCCCCCCCCCTCCCTCCTGGTTCCATTTGCTGACATAGGCGTCCGTGATGCTCCCAGCTTATCGATGACCACGGAATGGATGTGTACACGAGATACTTCGCGCGACTGGTGGCTTCCAATGCCGGCCAGATATTCCCCGGCCTTAACAGGCCGGTGACGAACCCAGGAAATTACCACCTCCTGGTGGCTGAGATGCAGAAGTTGTCCCACGACTTCTCGCAGGCTCGTAAAATTGCCGAATCCATTGAAACTGGCACCGAGGACATTTTCCGAGACTTTGATCTCTCCACCTTTATGGAGCACTTCCAGCTGGATGCCCTCGAGAAGACGCTTCTTGCCCTTGCGTTTAAACTAGGCAACCGACCCGATCTGCGGGCCAGAGGTGAGCTTCGACTGTGACAGCCTGCATATGAAGTTGAGAGCTCCCGTGTCTGCTAACGCTACCTGCCTGCTTGCTAGCCGATGCCATTCTGTCGACAAACTATCCTACCTTTGTCAACATCCTGAGCAGGGCCAACGGAAAGCATGCCGACCTCCACCCGGATTTCGTTGCCGAGCTTCTCGACCGCTTCATCCAGGTCCATCCTCCCAACTTTAATGCGGCTGCTAAGCGCGAGTTGGAACACAAGGTGCAACTCAGATACGCGCAGTCACCCGAGGCCAAGCCGCCCCCTTCGCAAGTCCTTGCTGCCCTTGACCTCATTCGCCTGCTCGCCGAAAAGCCTCCTAATGCGCTGGTTCTATACATTCACCGCACCGGACCGAACTTCACTGCTGACGAGGAATCCTGCTATGGTTTCCTCCAGAACCGACCCCCGAACGTTCACCTCAGTGAAGAGCAGGTCTCGATGGCGCTGATGTACACAACTATTAGCCAGACGCCGCACCACAACCCTTCCGTTCTCGTCGCTGCCCTTCGACGTATCCTTCCCAAAGACTTCAGCTGGCAAAATGTCGTCTCGTACTTCGACCACAGTGGCACTAGGGTAACTTCGGCACAATTCTTGCGCCTGTATAATGCCCTCCTACCAATTGCTCTCGAGGACGGCGACAATTTCAACATCACGCGGCTTTGGGGCGGAGAGTGGGAAAATCCCGAGACCCAGCTTTCTTTCATATGTGCCTTCGCATCCCTCAAGCCCGAGCAGTTGGATGCCAGTACCATTCCCGGTCTCAAACAGACCTTTACGATTGAGGAGTACGCCGAGGCTCCTCAGTCGGTCAAGGATACGGCGGCGTATGCTGTTAGACATCCGCTTGTTTCAGAGGCCGCTCTCTCTGCTGTTTTCAATGTCGCCCTCCACTCGACTCACGCCTCCCAGAGCACAGAGGCCAGGCGTTTGTTCCAGGATGTTGTTGTTCCGAACCTCGCTATCTTTGTTGTGTCGGCCTTCGGAGTGCCAAAACCTTGGCCTATCATGGCGGGAGAGACTTTGGTGTCCCTGTTCGACGGCTTCCTGAGCAGGTCTGCTGAGTCGGACTTTGTGATGTACAGCCTTTGGAAACGGGATAAAGAATGGGTCAAGCAGCGGCTCATCGATGCCCATGTCCTCAAGCCCATCTGTCTGCCCTTAATATTCGATCACGCAGTCAGGCAGGGCTGGCTCGATGAGCTTGTCTACCTCCCTAATGGCTTCGGTCTTGACCTCACAGCCCTTGCGCATGCCGAAGGCTATCTGGACTTACAAGAATGGGCACGGAGAAATGCCGACCGCAGCAACGAAATGGCACGAACCCTTCTCCAGTTTTTAATGATCAAAGCGAACTTCGAACTAAACTACCAGCGTCCTCCTGAGGGCCAGCCTCCTGTCAAAGCCAGCACGCCCCTTCAAGTTAAGACGGTCCACGCCTTGCTCCAGATCCTGGAAGAGTGGCTACCGAAGACGCCGGTCCCTGAATTGATCATAGTCCAAAGGACCTGTATCACTATGTATCCTCGCCTCATCAACTACGGAGAAGGCTTTGACGACATCATCGATGCCAACGGGCGAGACGGCAATGCACTTCCCCCGGCTGCTAACGCCAAGATGGAAGAGCACTATAAAAAGATGTATAGCGATGAGATCCAAGTCCGCGACGTCGTCCAGATTCTGGAGCGGTATAAGCGTTCGCGCGATCCTCTTGACCAGGATATCTTCGCTTGCATGATTCATGGTTTATTCGACGAATATGCACACTACGTCGACTATCCGCTCGAGGCTCTGGCTACCACGGCCGTTCTCTTCGGTGGCATCATCTCGCACCGACTAATTTCCGACCTGCCGCTCCAGATCGGGTTAGGGATGATCCTCGAGGCCGTTCGTGATCATCATCCCGATGAGCCCATGTTCAAGTTTGGCTTGCAAGCGCTCATGCAGCTCTTTGGTCGTTTGCGGGAGTGGCCCGGCTTCTGCCAGCAGCTTCTCCAGGTTCCTGGCCTTCAGGGGACAGAAGCCTGGAAAAAGGCGGAGGAAGTTGTTCGCGAACACGAAGAGGAGCTGGCACGTCAGCGCAACGGTGCTGGTATTGCTCATTCTGGCGGAGCTGGGAATGATAATAAGCTAGCTAATGGTAACGCGGATGATGGAACTGGATCGGAACAGCATTATCCTCCATTCGCCTCGGTCAACGTCGACCCTCCCCCGCCTGGTGTTGTCTATGAGGATCCCAGCGAAGAGGTGCAGGGCAAGGTCCAATTCGTTCTCAACAACCTTACCGACAAGACCATGAAGTCCTCTTCTAAGGAGCTCAAGGGAATGCTGGAATCAAAGCACTATCAATGGTTCTCCATGCACTTGGTCGAGGAACGCGCCAAAATGCAACCGAACTATCACAACGTTTATATTGAGCTCGTGAAGCAGTTCGAGGACAAGAAGCTATGGGCTGAAGTTTTGAGACAAACGTTTGTCAGCGTCCAGCGCATGTTGAACTCAGAATCAACTATGCAGAACTCGACTGAGAGAAATCATCTCAAGAACCTGGCTGGCTGGCTCGGACTCTTGACCCTTGCCCGTGACAAACCTATCAAGCACAAGAACATTGCCTTCAAACAACTGCTCATCGAGGCGCACGATACGAAGCGTCTGGTTGTCGTCATCCCATTCGTTTGCAAGGTTCTCATCGCCGGCGCAAACTCGAACGTTTTTAAGCCTCCCAATCCTTGGTTGATGGACATCATCCACCTCTTAATTGAACTTTATCACAACGCAAGCCTCAAGCTTAATCTAAAGTTCGAGATTGAGGTCCTTTGCAAGGGTCTGAATCTAGACCACAATACCATTGAGCCATCGGGTGAGATTCTCAACAGGCCTCCTGCCGAAGAAGTTAGCGGCGACATGCTGCATCCTGAGGGCCTCGAGAACTTCGAGAACCTGTCGTTGAATGGCATGCCGGGTGTTAATACAACCCTTGCATCTCATCCTGCAATCACCATTCCCGACTTGGGCCCTAGCCTGACAATCCCTCAAACTGAGGTCGTCAATACTGCCAAGCTGCACGAGATCGTCCGCCAGGCTCTGACGCGCGCCCTCCAAGACATCATCCAGCCAGTCGTCGACCGTTCTGTCACGATTGCGGCAATCTCGACACACCAAATGATTCGAAAGGACTTCGCTACGGAACCGGATGAGAACCGAGTGCGCACAGCCGCTATCAACATGGTGAAGTCGACTGCAGGGAGCTTGGCATTGGTTACGTCCAAAGAGCCACTGCGGGCCAACTTTGCCAACTATTTGCGGAATCTCTCGGCCGAGCTTCCTCAGGGGCTGCCTGAGGGCATTATTATGCTCTGCGTCAATTCTAACCTTGACTTGGCTTCAAGCGTGATTGAAAAGTCTGCCGAAGAGCGCGCCGTCCCAGAGATCGAGGAGATGCTCGAGCCTGAGCTAGAAGCTAGACGTCGCCACCGTCTCACCCGCCCGAACGAGCCGTACATTGATCACGGCCTAAGCCGCTGGGCGATGACAATCCCCCATCCCTACAAGCTTCAGCCTAGCCTGCACGGTCTGAATGCCGAGCAAATGGCGATATACGATGACTTCGCGCGTGGGACAAGGATGAACACTGCCGGTACTGTTCCTGCCCATGTCTCGACCGCATCGGATACCCGGTCGATCGCGAATGAAGCCTTGAGCGATCAGTACAGTGGAGTCAGCACTATGCCGACTCCCGCCGAGACACCGGCCATGCCTCATCTTGGTGCACAGATGCAACACTATCCTCAAGCGCATATGGGCCTGTCTAACGGGCGACCGACAGGCCTCAACCAAATCGATTCCAGGGCTGTTGCCGAGCGGATCAACAAGTACCTGGAGCAGTTGACTGCTGCCGCCACCAGCGCTACGGAGGAGCATTTCAACGAGCTTCCTAGGCCTCACGCTGTCCTGGATATCATCGATGCGCTGATCCAACTAATTATTAAGGCTCAGCAAACCTCCGAGGAGTTTGCTATTTATGCCCTGCAGCAGATTTCACAGCTCCTCTTCCGCCAGCCCGAGGGCACGCTCCTGCTGGAGAGCTTGGTCCATGTCCTTGAGACGATCCGCAAGATTGCAGGTCCCCAGGTCAGCGAGCAAGTCCGCCAGTTGTTCCATCAGCAACCCGGTCACCTGTTCTTGAGCCTTTCTCTCATCGCTGCACTGCTTGGCACCGATCTTCTTGATTGGAAGAACATCGATATGGCCATGGCAAAGGCACTAGAACAGCGCAAGGAGGGTTCTATCGATTTTCTCGAGCAGCTGATGGATCTCGTGCTTCTGAACGATACTCCGCTGGCGCTCTTCACGGACTTTGTTCGGAGCTTGGAGGCAGCATGGGCATGGATTGTGGAGGATCCTGACCTACCTGCCGCACAGCGGTTCAAGGCCAAGGTGCGGGCTCAACTCCCCGAGCCTCCCGCAGCGAATTTGTCGAAGGAAGAGCATGCAGCCCACCTGCTTGAACAGATGGAATATGTGTTCGATGAGTGGATTCATCTCTGCAACAACCCTCATGCCACCGAACGGGCTGCCATGATCTTTGTGCACCAACTGCATTCGGTTCAGCTGGTCACCAATCGTGACGAGTTCTTGCTCTTCCTCCGTCATGCCTTGGACAAGTCGGTGGAGCGGTTCGAACAAGGCATTCATTCCGGTGCTAGCATTGCGGAAAGCTTCCAAGCTGTTGAGGCCCTGGTCAAGCTCATCATCATTTTCGTCAAGTCCCACCAAGACAGCGAGGATAAGGACCCGTCTGCTGCCGTGGCCTTCATGGATTCGATTCTTGCCTTGGGCGTTTTGGTCGCCAACAGCCACCACGTCAAGCGCGGCGAAAACTTCAATCAGCGCGTTTTCTACCGCTTTTTCGCCCTCCTACTCCATGAGGTGGGACTACTGGCTGGGCATTTCTCCAAGTCCCACTACGAGCAGATCATCCTCAACTTCGCCGCTCGGCTCTTCGACATGCGGCCAAACCTCCTTCCCGGGTTCGCCTGCGCCTGGGCTGGTCTTGTGAGTCACCGTGCTTTCCTCCCGGTCATCCTTGGTCTGCCGGATGAGAAAGGCTGGGCTCCATTCACCAAGCTGCTCGAACAATTCCTTGGCTGCGTTGGCGAGCTGGTTAAGACTTTCACCGTCTCCTCCTTGGGCAAGGAAATGTATCACGCCGCGCTGAAGATTCTGATTGTTCTCCAACATGACTTCCCGATTTACCTGGACAAGTTCCGCGTGCAGTTGTGCCAGAGCCTGCCACTCCACGCTACCCAGCTTGTCAACTTGATCCTAGCGGCCATTCCTCCGAACTGCAACAGCCTGGCTGATCCTTTCCAGGCAGGCCTCAAGGTAGACAAGATTCCTGACATGAAGGAGCGCCCTCCCACCGCGTTCGACTCTGCGGGCCTGCTGCGCGAAGCTGGTCTTCTCGACATATTGGAAAGGATGCTTCAGAATGGCCCCTCAGAAGATGGTGTTGCCCAGATCAACCATGCAATCAACAAGTCCGACGGCGAGTCAACAAGTTTCGGCTATGTTCCCCTGGGCGTGAACCGCCGCCTGATTGATGCAGTAGTGGCGCGTTTTGCTGAGTTCGCTATCAATCGGGCTTCATCCCGCAGCGATTCAGCCATCTTCGTTGCCGGTGCCAACGACATTAAGACCCTGCAGATGCTAGTTACCGAGGTTTCTCCCGAAGCTCGGTACTACCTGGTTTCAAGCATGGTAAATGAGTTGCGGTACCCAAATGCGTACACCAACTACTTCAGCCAGGCCCTCCTGGACATCTTTGGTCACGATATGTCCGACCCAGAGGAGAATCTGGTTCGTGAGCAGATCGTTCGCGTGCTGTTGGAGCGTGTTCTTGGGTACTGGCCGCAGCCATGGGGTCTCATCATCACTATCCTTGAGCTGCTCAAGAACGACAAGTACCTGTTCTTTGAGCTGCCCTTCATCAAGGCCACCCCGGAGGTAAGTCGTTTCCTTGTTTCACCTAGCTCTTGTCCATTGCCAGAAGCTAACCGTTCTTGCTCCCCCTAGGTTGCTGAGAGGTTCACTGCTTTGGCTCGCTCAGCTGCTTAGAAGTTATGTTGATATGTTTCACATAGATCATCCCGGACTTACCACGTACAATACCTGCGATTCATGACAAAGCGTGCAAGATGGAGGGGGACATCTTGCATGCTTATTTTCGGGGGCTGAGGCGGGCGAGCGACGCACAAGCGAAACAACCGAAGGACAGGGGCATTTGCGATCTGAAAGCTTAAACGGTTGTTGAGAAGGATCTTATGTGATTGCTATGTGTATCTTACAATGGCAGGTTTCATTTCTTTGCCTTCCTTTGCTGTGCTTTACTGAGATGATGACGGGAGTTAATTCATGGCGTTGGAGAAGGCAACTTGGTAGAGCAACAGACAAACCCGAACCTCTCTCAATCATTTCCTGGTCCTATTGAGGGGCGGTTCAACTGTTGCGCCTGGCTGGGTGTAAGGGTACATAATGAGTACATAAAAGTGCCCTCAACTGTAGTGACATAACATGATATGACCATCGTTTTCACAGCACGCGAGATCTATGCTGTTAAGGATAGGTAGAAAGACTACCTTTAGAGCTCCAGCTACCCTTGCTCCACTTCTTCATCGGCGGCACGGCTCCAACACATAGGAGTATGCCGGTTGTTGTGTTGGTGTTCCTAACATACGCTCGCCTATCCCTATTCTCAGTGCTTCATCATGTCTTTTCCTCGGGAGCTTTCCTCGTCGCACCAAATAGATGATACAACTCTGAACTCTGCATCCAGAACGCCGACTCTTGATTTTTGCGGAAGTGAAAAGTCATAACATCCTCCTACATCTCAGATATGTTTCACTGCATTGCATATTGGGCCTCAAGGGAGGTCTGTCCCTGCATGTCATGCCGTATCCCGTCTCTTCTGAGCAGACTGGGGCCAAAAAGTATGGATCATGTTTAGGTTGCGCAGGTACCTCATGGGCTTACCGCATGTCTGACTGTTATGACTTTCTGCCGGGCGAATCCGTTCATCACGTGATTTCCTGCTCCTGGATGCTCTCGATATTTTCCATCCCAGCAAATGTTGAACCGTCAAACATCGATCTATCGCTGATTCTCCTACTGGAAGTGGTTGGGTGGTGAAGAGGGCTGTCGAGGCCCGGACCGTTGACGAAGAACCACTAAACGGGCCTTTTGGAATACAAGCGTTAAGTCTGAAATATCGTTGACGGTTAAATCAAATTCCCACCTTTTGGCCCAATCTGTGTTGAATAAAGACGGGATCGATCGAGATCATGGACCTTGCTGCAGCTATCCTTGGTCAATAACATCTCAGACATAAGCACCTAGCCCGCTGTACATCAACTGTACAGTACAATCTTAGGGTCTGGGTCAAGCGTGACCCAACAACTGTTGAATCTAAACGTTTGCAGGTTATTAAAATCGACAGCTGCATCGTGCACATTTCAGGAAGTCCTATGAGGAGATGACCCGATGAGAGCAGTAGCTTGTTCATCTCTACGTATCAATGTCCCTAACCTAACCTAACACACTACGACAGGCAGGAAGTCCGACTGGCTGCTGCGAACCTGCGGCCAACTGTCGTCGTCCAATTCGGCGGCGGCTCATCAAAAAGGTGGGGTAACGTTACGGTTACGTATGGCAACATGTCCTCTCACCTGGGCTTGAGGTACCAAACAAAAAAAAAACAAGCGTCGATCCGGCCGAAAAAAAGCATGTCCAAACGCAATTGGCGAGCGGTGACTGGCCAGCTCTTAGTTTTCGGCACGAAACAAAGCCTAACGGGATTGGTGTTAGCGCGGCGGGGAGAGGGAAGGCTTGTTCTGAACAGATCCAGGCTGTGAACCGGCCCTGGCAACGGTCAGAGGGAGGGGAGTGAGCGGAGTGATCAAAGATAAAGAGGGGACAACACAAACAGCCGACGACGAGTGCCCGCGCTGGCCGCGGCGCGGCTGCCAGGCCATCTGCTGCATGGCTGGTAATTTTTACCGGTCCAAGAAGATTACATGTATTGCTGAGACGTATGCGTTCAGCAGTCCACCAGGAATTCTCTGTAAGAGACAAGCAAGAGGGTATCATGTGCCCGAGAGGGGCTCGATTATATATTTGCCAGTTGACGCGATTGCCGTTTTGCAAGCGGTGACCCCGGAAACAGATCGCACAAAAAAAACACTGGTGGACGTTGGAAGGACAAGGTCTTAGGTCTGTGAGGGCGGGGGCTCAGGCGGTGAGGAGAGTTATGTGTGGATTGTGGAATGCAATGCATGCAACAGCGACAGCGACTAGTGACTTGAAAAAGTGTGGTGTCCCCTGTGGAGCTCGACAGCCTCGGGAAAGGCAGGCGAAAAAAAAATCAAGGTGGACGGGGATATGAAAGCACGAGTTCCGAAACCCGCTCACACACTTGACCATCTCCGATTCAGCCTTGATTTGGATGAATGCGTGTGAGCAGAAACGGTCCAGTTTTGAAACAGAGAAAAAGGGCCAATGCATTTGCTGGGCGCTGCTATTGTGTAAGTTCGCAGCCTGAAGGCTACCTAGTAGGGGAAGAGTTCCCCTCACGGTCAGATGGAGGGGAAGTGTGATGTCACTGCTTCATCCAAACCAACCGCCGCCTGCGAAGGCGATCCGTCATGGCGGGACTGCGCATTGCCATACACGGCTGATCGCCATGAACATCACCATCACCTTTGAGAACATGACTTGGCGACGTGTTTTGTGTTTTTGATGGCTACAAGTCGTCGTTGTCATCAGGCTGCTTCCTGGAATTTCCATGCTGGTGAGGCACAATCGGGCTTGATCTTTTTAGAAAAATAATTGTGGAACCATGCAACCATGCAGGTGGGCGGGTGGGCTTCTCACAGCTGAGCGAGCGCCTGAGAAAACAGAGCGACCGCGACGTTCAACTTTTTTTCTGTTGCAAGTTTTCGCAGCTCGCTTCCGGATGCATGGGGTGTCTGGGCGTTGCAGCCACACAAATCGGGCTTGCGTGACTCCACAAGTGGGGTCCGTCCGCATGTGGTGGCATTGGCTGACGCGGGCATGCGTGTAGCATCCTTGTTTGGCGGCGTGATCTGGTTGGCCGCCGTTGAATCTGTCGCAGCGTCTTGGCAGCCTGACCCCTCCCATCGAAGCCGCGGGGCCCCCTTCCATCCATCCCAAACATTCCCGCGCCTGCTCAAAATCCAGCGAGTCCACAGAGATTTGTCCACAGCGCAGTCCGCACACACCCCGGTTTGCACCGCACACGCCCCTCACTGCTCAGACAGAGAAGGCCTCAAGGCCCCAATGGCAAAAAAGTTAGGGCAGTTGCCTCGATAGTCTTCCACAGAGTGCTGGGCGCCTCCCCCCCCGGTTTCCCGAAGGCCCCGTCTGCATTGTTTTTTTTCCCAATAGTCCCCCCGTTCTGATCTCTCCTCTCATCGTCTCCCTTGCTTGCTGCCATTGTCGGGCTCCCGTCACTCCCGCCGATCCTGAGTTTGAGGAGTTTCTACCGGGTCCTGGGAGACTTGAGGACGCTTAGAGCAACGAGCAACGCAGAACGCAAGAGGGCAGCGCATTTGTTATTTGGCACTCTGTCCCTGCTTTCCCGCTTGTCCCAGTGTGCTGCTGCAGTGCGTGTCGCCTGTGCTGCTTACTGCTTGCTGCTTACACGCTGTCGCCGGTGTCGTGGTCGTGGACGATTTCCTCCATCCAACTCGCTTCCATCGTCCAGTCTTCTCTCCTGCTCCAACCCGACGCCTAACCCTTTTTCCCATCCATCTGCAGAGCCACGGCCGCGGAAGACAAAATCGCAGCCAGAACCTTGAGGTGGCATAACATTGCGGATAACACTACACTACGGAGTACACTGGTAGGGAAGAAGCCACGGAGCGATCCTCCAGTTGTCGCAATCTGCCTGCTGTCCTCTTGCCCGCGCCCTAAACGTTGTCGTATCTTCCACTTGTATCTTGTGTTTCCTCATCTTCATCTTCCTCTGCCCTGCCCCCCTTCCCAGCATTTCGGGTGTGCTCTCCTCCTCTGGCATCATGAGGCCATATAATACCCGTCACAAGACGCTGTCTCTACACTCGCTGGGCATCCACGTTCCCGGCAGTGGTCCTGCGCGCGCTGCAACAGCGAGCCGAACCTCGCCTGCCAGCAGTTGCCACAGCCACAGCAATCACAGCAATAGCAGCGCATCTTCATTAACGCCGAAAGACGACCAGCCGCCTGCGAAGAGGCAAAAGCGCGCGCACAGCGAGTCGTCAGATACAGCGCCGGCACTCGACCGGCTCCCAAAGAAGCGCGACGATGTTGCGGCAAATCGCAAGTACGAAAATACACCGCCGCCCTCGCCGCCCGCCGACGTCGAGCGCCCCTCTATCGAAACCGATGATACGCCGGCACCGAGACCAATCGACATGTCGAGCATCAATGATGAGATCGTTGAGGCCGTCATTGTTCAACTGCAAAAATCGAGGAATCGGCCCCATCTGGTCAAGGAGTTGGCGACCATTCTAATGCCGCAGCTGAAGATCGTTCAACAGTACGTCTACCTTGAGGATTCTCCTCCCCCCCCCCCCCAACCGCGCAGTCCTTCTGAAACGAACCGCTAACACAAGGTTTTTGCAGATCTGCGAACCCATGCGCCATCATCTCGTCGCGGCTATCAGCCTTCTTGAAGCGGCCGGGTTGGTCAACCGACTCGCCCTGCCCTTTGGCCAAAGAGCTCGAGTCGGTACATCCTCGCCGCACATACTTCTACTTGACTACCTGCCCACGCCAGCCGCTGCCGGATCCGGCCCAGGCGACATCGGTTCCCAGCCGATCCATTATTTCTCCCAGTCCCTCCTCCAGCTCGGCTGATGATTCTTCAGATGACTTGGAGAGGCGACGTGAGCTCAGTCCGAGCCCTGAGGTAGACCTGTCAAGCCCGGAGCTGGATGACATCGATGATGATTTCACCATGCCGGGCACGCCTATCGGGTCTTTCACGATGCGCGGCGGCTACTATATGCCGTCGCGCCATCACCAGAGCGGGTCGAACCGGATCCATATCCATCGCTCCGCGTCGCCCCCTCTGGAGAAGGACGAGAAGGAATTCACGCAGACCGCTGACGGCCTGCAAAAAAGGAAACTCAACGGCGACAACATGTCGTCGCTGCTGGACGTCCAGGGTCCGCCGTCCGCCGGCGCAACCGGCTCCAGCATAATGATCGATCTCGAAAGGGACGATCCTTTTGGTGTCGCCAGCATACCTCCGCCGTCGTCCTCGACAAATTTCCTTCTCTCCAGTCCAGCCATTCGCCCGGCGTCGGCTGCGGCGGCGAGCAGCAATGTGTCGTCGGTCAGCTTTGGGAAAAAGGATAGCGACATGATGATCATGAGCGGCGTCGACGGCAGCTGGGCCAGGCTGGACGGCATGCTTGAGTGGGATCGTAGCCCAGAAAGTATCGAGCTGGAGGAGCTCGACGGGCTATTGGACGACTACTGAATCTACTTTGAGCCTGCGGTCGTCGCATGTGTGGCTAGTTTGGAGGATGCATTTGCCAAGGCATGTGCGGGGGCCAAGCGAGCCGTATATGTACGATGGCGTTTATCTGGGGTATGTTGGGTGGTGCCGACAGCCCTATCATGAGGGGTTTGGTGAAAGTTCCCCTCTCGATCAAGGTTTCATTATCTGTTGGTTTAACTTATCGCTTTATCGGGGGCTTGTTATGTGTTATGTCTATTTTGGAGGATCTCGAGCTGCAACTTTTTCTTTCCCTCTAAATCTGGCCAGCTCTTCCCATAGAGGAGGCTAAGGTCCAAACAACGGCGTTTTACATTGTCTTAGCTGATGTGGGTTGCAAACTGGCGTTTCTGGCTGCGTGATTTTGATTGCTACTGACGTACGGAGGGTGGCCGGTGGGTGGGTTGGTTGGTTTGTTAGGCGGATGACTGGTTTGAGGATGATAGTTGGCTTCAAACAATTATGCAACACATGGCAGGAGATGGATGTAAACGGGGTGGCAGCATCGCATCGTTATATGTTGGCGGTATTGCTCGTTTGTTTGGTGGCTTACGTTGATCTTTGCTCTTCCTTCCCATCTCCTCTAGGCTCTTCTCTCTCGTACACCTCATCTCATCCCATCTCCCTTCTAATATTTTGCTTATCTCTCTGACTTTCTCCCCTCCTCCCCCCTCTCTGCCTTTCTTCTGTCCATTTTGGAGCCTGCTAGAAAAGAGGACGTTCAGGAGAGGCAGGAATTGTGGATCATGCCAGGGATATGCTAACACGTCCCAAAACTGGGCTACGAAGAAAAAAAAACAAAGATTGGCAAGTCAAAAATCAAATCAAACAGAATGGGATTTAGTGGAAGATTTTTTTAAAAAAAAAAAGATTGTGAAGACAAAAAAATGTTACGGAAGAATAAAGACAAACGAAAGTTTGAAGAAATGGTGCTTGACGAATGGTTTGCGAACATCATATACCCACCCGGCTGTGTTATGTACTTTACGTTTACTGAATGAAAGCATTCTATGTTTGCTGAGTTGGCGAATCCCAGTTGTCATCCATTCGGTCATCAATTGTGTTCAGCAGCATTATCGGTGATGCATTACGACAATGAGATTCTCCATTAGCCATCTCATACAACAATAGGCGTCAGACACCACCCAGATTGTCTGCCTTTTAAATCCCAGATAGGCCCCTCGGTTGATTTGTTGTAGCAATTTGGTCATATTAACAACCTCTTTCGAAGTTCCTACTGATTCTTTTTGCTGACATCTTATAGATGCTGAACTCCAAAGGTGATTAAAATACCCCCCACCATGTCTACTTGTTAATGATAGAACCGCAGAGGCCATTGTGGTGTCTGACACAAGGGTGGACCTCGGAAGTGTCCCAAGGACGACGACGATTAGTAGCCAACGGTGAGATGACAGTTCGGGGGCGATGCTCATCCGCTATCTAGTAGTGTAACTAAACAATCAGTTCAGAATTTGACAACTCACATTTCTTTTCACTCAGGTTTAATAACCGATTTATCTTAGGCCCTGGTTGACCATATCTTCGCTCTTGACTCGAAGAAGTATGAGAGACGTCACTTCTCTCTTGCACTAGCCATACACGGTGGGTAACTCCAACATTACGGTCTCGAGCAGATATTGTCTGCCTGTCATCTCGGTGAGAATCTTGCTGAATACCAGTTATATTGAAGGCCTATATTCTAGAATACCTACCAATCATAACTTAAGTTTTCATTGTTATAAAAAAGGGGCACATTGCCAAAAGAAAGCATATTCTACTGCTTCTATGTGTAAGACAACACCTACGGTTTGAGCAGTGTGTTAACTTACCAGTCATGTGTAGTATACAAAAAAAAAAAGTAATGGAGCATCCATAGGTAGTCAAAATCATACACCTTTTATTTTTATTTTTCATAGCCCAAGCGCTTCATCTGTCCCAAGTGCGTCACGTTGCGTTATCGCTCTATTCAAAATTCAAACTCGATACTCATCTCTAACAGCATTACTATCTTTACCGGATGAACAAGAACACACAATTCATCAAGAACGAAGTTAGAAAATCACAGCCAGACCTCACTCAGTCCTGCGTCGCTTTCACAGTCTCCTCCTCACCCCCCTTCTTGATCTCCTCCTCGATCAGCGGTTCCCCAGCCATGTTAGTAGCCAGGGACTTGGTTTCCGGCCCTGGAGTGCTTTCCGTGACCTTCTTTTCATCCTTAACCTCCTCAGCGGTCTGGACCTTAGCTTCAGATTCCGGCTCCGGCTCCGGCTCCGGCCCCTTCTTCTCCGGCTCAGCCTCTGTTACCTTCTCTTCACTCTTTCCCTCAGCCGACGGAACCGGCGTCTCTTCGACCTTCGCCTCACTCTCAGCAGCAGGCTTGGGCTCAACCTTCTCCACAGGCGCACTCTTCTCCTCCTGAACAGCCTCATCAGCAGTGCTAAGCGTGCCATCCTCCGGATCAATCTCGAACACCGTCTTAGCCACAGAAAACGCAAATGACACCTCCGGCTCCTCCTTAACAGGAGGAGGAGCTGCCGCCGCCGCCGCCGCAGCAGCAGCAGCCACAGAAGTAGGCGCTCTGCGCTGGGGACCACGAGCTCGACCTTTCCTGGCGTCGCTTAGCGGCGCCTTCTCCTTAGCCTCGACCTTCTCCTCCCCACCTTCTTCAGTAGAGCCAGAGCCAGAGGACTGTTCCTCCTTTTCCTTCTCCTTCAGCTTCGCCGCCAGCACGCCTTGCGGCCCGAGCTGCAGTCTGCGGTTAAGGTCATTCATGAAACCGGCCTGCAGAGCCGCAATCTTAGAGCCGATAGGGCGAGCAGGGACGGCGGGCTTAGGGCGGGGTGCGGGAGCAGCCGTCTCGGCGCTAGGTTCGGAAGAAGCGCCCGATGTGGGGACAGCGGCCGGTGCGGGCCTAGCGGCGGGCCGAGGCGGGATCTGAGGCTTCGGCTTGTCCGGGATAGCCGGTTTAGTATGATCTTCGCCGTTGACTGACACCTGACGGGGTTTAATCGGGCGGCGCTCGGGAGTGGCAGGCTTTTCGCTGGCCGGCTTAGGAGGTTGCTGAGGGCGCTCTGGAAGCTCAGGCTTAGCCTCCTCGACTGGTGAGGCTTCCGCTTCCTCGTCCTCCTCTTTTTGCGGAGCCGAGACTTCAGTCTCAAGTTGTGCAGACTCGGGAGCATCTTCCCAAACGTCGCGACTCGGGAAGCGGGAGGCGGGACGAGCAGGAACGACAGCCGGTCCACTTGGCTTCTCCTCCTCCTTGACCGGCGGCTTGCTGCCGCGGGCAGCGGGGAAGCCTTCGGGCCCGTACTGTTGGTACTCTTTCTCAACAAGCTCCTCCTGCTGACGAGCAAAGACTATAGCAGGAGTCTCGATCTCAGGCGGAGGAGAAACCTTGACGACTGGCTCAGGCTTCTCTTCATCATCACCGCCCTCAAAGAGCTCGGGAGCCGAGACCTCGGCAGTGTAGAAGACACTGCTGGGAGCGTCTTCCCAGATGTCGGCGCTAGGGAAGCGCTGCTTCTTATGGTTGTTCTTGAGTGCTTCCTGGATGGAAGGTCTCCGCTCCTTTGCCTTATCGTCGTCCTTGAAGAGCGGCTCATACTCCTCAGTCTCCTCCTGTGGTTCAGGCTTGGGCTCCAAGGTCACCCTCCTGATGCTGGGAGCACGGCTCGAAGAACGGCTGACAGGCTCCTCGATCGTCGGAGGCTCCACTGCAGGCTCCTTAGTGAGCACGGCCGTGGGGTCCTTGGCAACCTCATCTTCGGCTAGGATGGGAGCCGTGTAGGGGTGCTCTATTTCCTCGTTCGCCGACTCGGAATCGCTGAACATGACCGACTTCCTACGGTTGGGCTCGTCAACGTGGATGACCTCGGCAAGACTCGCGGCCTGCTTGTCGGGCGAGGCAGGGCGAGGAGAGGCAGAACGCGAAACCGACTCCTCCAGGGCTTGCCAGGCGACTTGTTCGCTCGGAGTACCGGAGTAATCCGTAGCACCAACACCGGTGCCGCGGACGGCAGTCTCCCGAACGATCTTGTTAAGGTCCTCTTGGCTCATAGAGAAGTCATTAGGCCGGTCGTAGTGGTGTGGAACACGCTCCTTCTTTAGGAGTTCTGGGTGCTTCTCGTAGTAGGCCTTCTCAAGCTTGTTTTGAGGAATGATACCATGGCCGTGCAGGCCATAGGTATCAAGGGGCAGGTGGCCAAGAGCTGAACCCTTGCGGTGGTGGTTCTTGTTGCTCAGAGCGGGCGAAGGAGCTTGGACATCGCCGGCATTCGGGTACATGGGGACTTGCTGGCCAATCTCGGGAATGCCTTGTTCGTCCTCAGGGAGTGAAGTCGCCGAGAGTTGGCTGGCGCTACTGGCCTTCTTCTTAAGACTAGGCCTCGTCGGAACGCCAGGGGCTGGGCTCGAGCCCTCGACGCTACTGGGCTTGCCGATACCAAAAGCAGCAGCTCGCTCACTATCGGTACGAGTGACTGTCTGGACGCGCTGCTTCGCGCTGGCCGCAGGCAGCGAGGGCTTGGGAGCATGGAGCTGGAGATCGCTGGCAATGGTCCGGGTCTGCTCAGGCTTTGGTTCCTCCTCGTTGGCCAAGGCCAGCTCTTCCGTCAGACGGGCATATTCCATGCCCTCCTCGCCCAGAGAGGGGAGCTCGACTGAGTGTCTCTTAGGGGCAGACTCGGCATGCTGGGCTTGCAGCAGCTCCTTGGCCTTGTTGAAGGGGACCTCATTCAAAGGCGAGGGGGCGAATCGGTCGGGGTTGGGGCTGATGGAGCGCTGGAGGCGCTTAGCAGGGCGAGGAGGAATCATGGGGGGCGTCTTCTCCGGGCTTCTCGAAGGCCTCGGGGGTATGGCAGGCGGTTGAGCAGCTGCTGTAGCCGACATGGTGGGCGGCGGCTCTTCAAGTCAAATAGAATATGTACGGTAGGCAGGTGAGAAGATTATAGGAATGGCAGGGACGGCTCGCCACAGCGCGGGTCGAAGGAAGGGAGCAACGAGTGACGAGCGACGAGTCAGAACTTGAAGAAGGGTCGGGTCGGATTATTGCGGATGGTGCTGCCGCCAGTGCCGCGAGCCTTTTTTTTTTTTTTTTCAAAGAATGCAACGCTGGTTCTAGTCAATCATGGCTCATTAGCCCGTGCACGAAGGAAACAGTCGGTGAATGCAGCATGCGAGATAACGGCAGAATGGGGCAGGGCGGCTTCGTCTGCGGCCAGAGAGGCTCATTACCAGCTCTGACGTTGCAATGTTGCGCGATAACGAACCCCAAGATAAGCATGGCCCGGCTCAATCAGTCGTTGCCAGCGTTCCCTGCGAAGCATTGCGCCGATCAAAGCCGCCCAACAGAGCTCAACAAAGCGGCCGGCGGCCCGAGGGGTAAACGCAGCAAGCGATCTGGGTTCGATAGCCATCGATAAGGCTGAGAATACGGGCCCGGAGTAGTGCTGACAGCTGCTAGCGTGCAAGCAATGTGCCATCATGCCAGGAAGCGGACACGGAGCCTGACCGATAATCGAGGCTCGATGCGGCGAATGATGCTGCAGCTAATGGTATTACGCACCAGCTGGTTGGTGTCGTGCATCTCGCTCGCATCGTGCATCTCGCATCACTGTCAGTCGCAGCTATCCATCCATTGACGTTGAGTCCGGCAGATGGCTACAGTCAGCCGGTCTCAAACTTCCCGGGAGCACTCAGCGCAACCAGAGCACACCACCTCGGCGGCTGAAGTTGCGTGTTTGCGTGTTCCGGACTCCCGTATCTCTGGAAGGAGGTTCTGCTCTGCTCTGCTGTGCTCTGATCCGGGGCCCCGCATCTCACGTCGATGCCGTCCTGCGGCCATTGCTGATAAGGGGCAGGGAACAACAAGAAAGTCAAGGTAACCAGGGCTACCGCCCAAACATAACTACTTACCTGTCAAAAGGGGAAAGAAGCTTATGGAAGTTTAAGCCGTAGATGGTGTACAAGTAGCAGGCAGCTTGGACACCTCGTCGTGATGAGAGAGTGCTGGGTTCTGCTTGACAGATGAAGAGCAGAAGACAGACAGGAGACGTTGGGGTTCAATTGACTCCCAGGATGTCGGGCTCTGTCAAAACTTGGCAGCTGTTGGCTGCTCTGCCTTGCTGTGAAGTTGTTGATGAAACTTGTTGGTCTCGAAGCTTGTGCCAGAGGCGGCATCACCACCTGCTTATATTCGTCATTTTTGTTTCTCGAGGTACCTTTGTACCCTGTCGTGCACCCTTGGGCAGTTATTCCGTTGGTTCCGCGAACTCTCTGCTCAATGGTGCCCCGTGTCCAGTTGTAAACAGGGATGCAGCATCTCGAGAGGCCAGAACGGCCAGAACGCTGGACAGCAGCTGATCCAGTGACCTGCTCCGCATCGTGAAGTTGAGTCGAAAAGACGTGGAGCTGGCTGGACGGTCTACGGTGCGCGGCCAGCGGCACTGTGGCACTGTGGCAGCGATGACATGCAGGTACAAGTGGCTCTAGCACTGTGTAAACGTCTGCCACATTTCACCAGACGCTCCTGGGGCAGCTGCTGATGCAGTGTTGTCCCAGGCAGCACAAGCTTAAAATTTTGGAACGAGTACTCGATTACTTTGAACTTTCCTGTTCGTCAGGGCTCAAAATAATATCTGGAATTTTTATCCTCATCTCAAGAACTCGACATCATGTTCTTTCACACGGAACCAGCGCTGAAGGACTTCACAGTTCTTTACACAGTGTCCACACTCACCAAACACCTGACCCCTCCGCCTAGCCCCACCAAAACCTGCAGCAGGGCCCTGCCAAAAGCAGCGGCAACCGCTCTCGAATTGGAGGATCGAGATGCAAATGACCCCAAGAATTTTTTTTTCTTTGCGCAGCCTCTCTGACATCTTTATGCAGTTCAGCGCTGGCACACCAGGCACGCGATCAGCAAAGAATCTTCGGCGATGCCCTGTCTGGCCTGAGAATCGGTTTGTTTCCCGCCGTCTTTGACAACATGAGCTAAGGGGTTGGCATGCACACACAACTTTCGTGCAGATTGTCCAGCACCCAACGGTGTATAGCGTTGCGAGCTCCTGGCAATTCTCCCTTGTTGGCTGCCTTGCCTGCCTGGCTTTCTTTGACAGTTCTGATGGCGGCGCATCCGACTGACACACAGCGGGGGTCTGATCGCCCCTTCGCCGGCCGCTTCTTGAAGCTTGTTTCGGTGTCCTTTTTCCAATGGTGTGCCGGCAAGTTGCCCTTCGGAGGCTTTCCATTCTCCACGTGTGTTCATAGCGGCCGGTTACACGGTGGACGTACCGTTCGTGTCGGTTGCCATCGCCAGTCCTTTGCAGGCCCATTAGCTCCATTCTACGATCCGTCTCGTCCGCCGGCGCCTGCGCCAATCGTCGGCTGCCCCGCTCTTCCACCAGATATTCCCCTGGTGACCGCCTTTTGGCTGCCTGTTCTAAACATAGGGGTACGTACCCGGGCACCTTTGTGGTCTGGCCATTCTCGAAGGACCTCAACGTTGGGCTTCAGGGTCTTCGAGATGCCCCAGTGAAAAAATTTTGGTGAAAACTCTTGTTGCTGCTACATTACGTGGTCCAAGTCGACAATCTCGCTCACCATCGAGTCCCGTACTCTGTTGCACACCGGATGTATGCCAAGGGTACCTAATTGCCTCAAAGTTCAAGTAGATGCCATTTCCTGAGCTATGACGCAATTGCCTAGATCTTCAGTCCTAGGGTGCTTGGTCGAGCCCCTACAATCGCAGCATATGGACAAGCTCTACCTGTACCTACCACCTTCTGTCGAGAAGACGACTTTATTGACCGCGAAGCCTTTGGGCGAACATGATGTTCTGACGTATAGATCGCAATATCCTTCATCTAGGGACATACGTTTCTTATAGATCCACCTTGAGGTTGTAGCCCCGATGTGCACTACATGCCCCCTACGCACTAAGCCCTGTAAGCCAAATTTTCAAGTCTTGGTTCGAAGTACCAAAGCCAGCTCCTGGATCTTGATGTCTGGATCTGCTCTAGCCAGGCCATGATCTGATGTCACATAGAGGGGCTGTCATACGAGAGCAGCTCACAACCAGTTCCTCCGGTTACGTAGCTGGGCACCGAGTCTCTAAAAGTCCCGATTACACTCCACCTGCCTAACGGAAGAACGGATACCCACCTGTTTCAAACCACAACTGAGGTTGGGCCTTGTTCTGGGAAGTCGATCATAAGACACGGCTCAGTATGTGATATATGCGGGGTAGGTACATCCAACACGGCTCCTTTGCATATATTCCTGCTTAGTTACTTCCGAAGCCTGACAACGAATTTGTGGTGTCCAATGAGATGCCTGACTTTTCTCACACTGCTTCTTTCACGCATCTTCACGATACGTAGAGCATCAGGCCTGCGAAATCTCGCTGGCAGCTTAGAATTATTAGAACCTTAGCAAGAGTTACGTCAGCTTCTGTTGCAGCCAAGTCCAAAAACTAGCTCATACTCGAACAAAAGATACGTACCCCTGACCGTAGAACATGTACATAGGTATAAAACTGGCCGCTGAAGCCATACAACTTGTCTTTGATGTCCGTATTTTTGAGCAAAGATCAACTTGGGCTGTTTGTTAACTCAATATAATTCAATCAGTACGCTCATATGCCTGATCAGCGACCTACGCACCAACATGGGTCTGGTCGGCTGTTTTGGAATCATAACAATGTTATATAGGTGGGTATGTCTGATGTACAACCAACCATATCGTGGTTATCAGCCTTTTCCCTGAAGGGTAGCTAACCACAACTGAGTTACAAAACTAAGCAAGTTTATATTGAGAACACACTTCCGTTCTTGCTAATGCCTGTATGGACCTAGGCAGCGGTAAAGAGAGAAAGAAAAAAAAAAACTAAACAAGGACCCTTAGACGCCCCATGGACATGAAAAGAAACCCGTTCTTTAAACGTTCTTCCCTGCACATAACCAAATACACAATCAAACGGAAAAGCTAACTTCTTTTCTTGTTACCAGTCCGCCCATCTCATCATATGGTTCTTTTCCCCTGTTACGAGCACGTAGTGTGTACGTGTGTGATGTGTCCAAGGCATACCTTAGTAACACAGAATCCCAACCTCTTCTCTCTTAAGTCCCAGCTTCAGTTTCAGTCGTGTAATGGAAAACGAGTAACCAGCGATGCCAGGCCCAGCAAATGACTTGCTTGAACCTGGAGCGCCTCCTATGACTCCCAGATCCAACCTTATCTCCTTCAACGTCTCATTGATCGCTCCGTTCCGTGTCAGAGACCCGTGTCCGAGACTTGAGTCTGTTCCTCCACCTAAACCATCTCTACCTTGCCGTTGCCACCAATCATCAACTCGCCTAACCCAACCTGAATCCTCACTTTGATCTCCCCTCCCCGTTTACACAATCATCTGCGCAACTCCAGCACCACCGAGGGTCTTGCTCCCAACGAACGCCTGGCCCTTGATGCCCGCAAGCAGGTAACAGACGCCGGTAGCGCTCAGCAAGATGGCGGCCGCGATGAGGGAGGTGGGACGCGCGATGATGGAGAGCCACTGGACGAGGGCCATGACGCCGTAGGCACCGGCACGCATGTAGTTGGTCGAGATCTTGCGGATGGCATTATCGAAGGTCGACGAGGTCGGGCAGATGCGCAGGAGAAGGGGCACTTCGACAAAGAGGATGATGAAGGAAGAGACACTGCGGGAGAAGGGAGCAAGGGATGTTAGTTGTGAGTTCAACCAACCAGAGAGGGCGGATCTGGGAAGATGCTTATGGTGGGGCTGAAAGAGGGGTGGGTGACGTACAGGCACAGCACGGAGAAGATGATGATGAAGACGTTGAAGGTGAAGATGTTGGCGATGCCGAGGGCGAAGCAGAGTAGCATCGCTAGAATACCGAGCCTGGTGTGCGCGCGGTGTGTTAGCTTTGTGATTCATGATTTCTACTGCGTATCTCGCCATGCCCCCGTATCCGTCAGGCTCTCCATCGATTGCGTCGCATTTGCGAGAAACGGCGAATCGTCCCACAGCAAAAACAGGAATAAAAAGCGTGGGAGGTCGTGCTCACCATTGCCCGTAGATACCTAGAGAACGGCACGTTAGCAAGCCCGCTCTGTAAGACCTTCAAGGAGACGGAGAAACACACTGAAGTTGCGCGTCGCGAATTCCTCTTTCAACGACATCTTGCCGGTATTGGAGATGCCGTCGCTATCGATTCAACTATCTAGCAGATCTGGTGCTTGATGTTGTGGCTTAAAAAAGCGGACTGCGCCTCAAGGCCCACGTCTCGCCTGACGACACGTCCGTCCACAGGTGGTTTTAAGTTCAAGTCAGAGCCGCACAGAGGTTGAGCCTTGCGCCGGGCAGTGCTTTATAGAAGCGTGGTGATGCAGCGGTCGTGGCTAGTGTTGGTGACGCCCTTGAGAAAATCACGAGATGCCTCGAAGGGAAACAATGGCAACGTTGCAGGAAGAGACAGGTATTTGACCGATCGGCGGCGACGGCGGGTTCGGGGATTCCTTTGGACAAGGGCAAGCGACTCGGCGCTCTTTGTGAACAAATTCACCGTCACAAGAATTTGGGCCTGGAGAAAAGGGGGGTTGAATGGGCACCTGGCCACGCAGTTGCCAACGAGAGTTGCTGATATGAGTGAGCAGATGATCTGGTCTGGGACGTAGTAAGGCAAGCTCCCGCAGTTGTGCGCAAAGATGGTTGAAAGACAGCCCTTAAAGTCCCGGGTTGTTAGCATCGCTGTCATTATTTTAGCGGGTGTGCAACACGGGCTGGGCCACAAGCAACGCCTGGAGCAAGAGGTGGGGAACTCGGGTCCAGCGGGCTGCGGTCCCGACAGCGCTGATGATTGGCTGCCGGCAGCTTCCATGCCAACGGCGACAGGGCTGTTTGGATGCCACTTACCCACTTGTTGGGAGATGGGAGAGCTTCCGAAACACCTTCCCAAACACAAGCGCCTGGACTGCACAGTGCACTATCAGATGGTGCTGCGTTTGTTGCGCCAGGTCGTTCTTTTGGCTGGGCTGGCGATATTTATCACGGACGGAAGCGCTTTTAGCTTGCAGTCTTTCCAGGGTATCCGGCAACACAGCCCAGAAGCAGACTTCTGCCTGCGTTCCTGGAGCACCCTCAATATAAGACGCTGACGTACAGCGGCTGACGCGGCGATTGGGCGCAGCCATGATTTCCCAGGACAGCAACGTAAACCTTACACACCACTTACCACGCACCATCGACACGAGATAGTGAGCTATTACTTGATTGCGCCCTCTTTTGGTTCAGAATCATCTTTTGACATTGACTGAACCGCTGACCGTCAAGCAAACACTGAAAACTATCTCCCAGCACCGAGAGCGCACAAGCTCCTCCATCTCCTCTCTCCAGAAAACGGCGCGAGCCAAGGCGTCGCAGACGTCTGAGCCATTTTCTCACATTGTTCCCATGCCTGGTACGGCTGCTTTGGGCCGCGAGAGATCCCTCTTGAGCCAAAGTGAGGTCCCGTCTTGCACTAACCGGCTAGTCCAACGGCACACTCGGAATGTGCCTAGACAACAACCAGGTTGAAAATGTCGTTGTAGACGAACCACTGGCCAGCAGGGTCCTGGACGAGATGGAAGGCCTGGGAGAAGCCCAGGGGGCGATCCGCATCACCATCAACCTGCAATCACTACATTAGCCTGAGAGGAACATAAAAGCTGCAAATCCCGGATTAAAACGCACCGCAAGCTGCCCGGTGACGAGCACAATGATACCATTAGCGGTGGGCTGAGCATCGGGCGGGTTGTAGTGGTGCTGGACCTTCTGGAACGGCAGGCTCTGCGAGACACAATAACTTCAGCAACATGATTCCTCTTTGCATACCTCACCCAAACGCTTGGTATTGGGCTTACCACAAGCTTCTCGGCGATGCTAGCGGCACCGAGGTGCTGGCTCCCCTGGAAGGTGAGCATGGAGTTGTCGCGCTGTGTTTAAGCCGTTTATGTTAGACCCTGATCCTGTTCGGCAAAGCAAACTAAACACGGGGAGTCGCGTACATAAAGACCAACAAGGCTCGCGCGGTCAGTATCAAAAGTGTTGTAGTAGTGCTTAACGAATTCCACTATCACGCAGGGCAGATGAAACAACAATCGCCCGATGTTAGGGTGGTTGTTCTGACATCGTAAACTGCCCCTCTCTCAAGGGGGGGAGGGGGATAAACAACGGTGTAGACACTCACCCGCAATGGCCTGGAAGTCTGCAGGATTATCCAATTAGCAAATGCTCACATCCTCAACACCGAAAACCTGCGCGCAAAGCCACCAAGGGGGACACACGCGATAGTGATGTTTGGGCGCATCGCGGGGTAAACAGGCAGCCCCTCCGCCTCGGCTGGCTGGCTGGCGGGGAAGCGTTAAAGCCCCTCCCTTGGGGCTGGCTCAGGGGGAGGGGGAGGAAAAAATAGAACTTACCACTCATTTTGGCTGATTTCCTTGTGAAGACGCGAAGACACAAAAAGGATCAACTGTGCAATAAAGGCAACTCGAGGACTCGAGGCTTTCTGGACGCGGGGAGGGAGGTGTGTGATGTGCGGGCTTGGGTTTGGCTTTCTGGTGGGCTGGTGGATTTGTATGGAAGTTTGCGATCCGTCGGGTGCCCAAGAAGACCAAAGCCAAGCTGATGTGAGCAAAGCCAAGCAGCCCACCGCACACACCCCCACTGATCAGTGCCCGCCCCGGCCGAACAGAATCCGATGGTGGGGTTTGCAGTTGTAGCGGCCTCAGGCAGAAATTTTGGCTGGTCCCTGAGCGGAGTAAGGGTCCTGGGGGGAGGGGGGAACCATCAACAAAAAAAGTTGCCCGAACCGCCCGGCTGGGACAAAATTTTTTAAGCTTTTTTGCTCTTACTTCTTCCCGTCAAAGTTCACCGAACTGTTGCTGGTTTCTGGAGGATTTTAGCCAGTCTGCTTTCTGCAGGTAAGAATCATATGATTGATTTTTAAAGGTCTAACACGCATATATTCCCCCAAAATGATGACATAATAGAACGGCCAACTGAAATTATCTGTTGAATGTTCTTGACCATCTTTATATACTCTCTGACTTTTGTTTATTTTTACAATCTCTTGGTTTGCAGAGCATTTCTATTGCACGTTGCTAACCATCAAATAGGTTACTCTTACGTTTGAATTGAAGATTTGGTTCAGGCCATATCGAACGAGCCATCTCTGTGCTTTTGGTTCAAGGAGAATGGAGAAGTAGCTTTTCAGTATTCGGCCAATATGAAAATGAAACCCGTTCCTGACCACGGTCCATTGTCACTATACTTGGTGCCTTATTCAGTCCAACCGCCTACAGTACTGTAGAAGAAGGCCATCTTGCCATCATCGTTATCCTTCTACGTAGAGAGCATGCTTCCCTCGAGGACCACATCGAGTTGGTCTTGTCCTACCTCAACTTTTTCGCTCTTCGTATCTACGCCGTTACCTACCAATCAACCCCGAGGGGGCGTGGTACACAACTTTCAACCGTTGCTCATGTTCACAGAGAGACAGTATAGTGCCCAACATGTCTTCTTGTACGGTACCTAACCTATGTCCAGCGCCCTCGATCCCTCTGCATCTGGAACGCCCAATGACCGATTAGACCCATCATCGTCATCACCAGCAGTAGATTACACAGATAAAACCGAACACGAAGCCCAGCACCAGACAAAAACACAACCAGGAAAAAGCCAAAATGTGCGCGCACTACTCCATAGTTACCTAGTACCTAGTGTAGTGTCGTGTACCTAGTAGTACCTATCCGAACATAACAAAACGCAAGACATAGGAAAACAGAAGAGGGATTTCGTTCGTCTCTCTCTTCTCTTCTCGTCGTTTCTCTTTCCGTCCCCTTCGGCTCTTTCTCAGCTGTCGCAAGAGACCATCATGTAGCATAGTTTTTCGTCCTCCTCTTGGTAACTCTCCGTTCCCCGTAGAAAACGGAACCGCACATGACCATGTGCCCTCACAAGTCATGCATGCATGTATTGCCCTTCCTTTACACTACCCAAATAACCAAACTCGTCCAGTTCAGCCTAGTAGTGCAGGAGACGGGAACCCTCATAAGTTCCAGAACTCTCTCTCACGTTCCCGTAGTAGAAGCCCATCCATACAATATACCCGACAAAACACCACTTCTTGGCCATAAAAAGACCGTTCGTTAGTTCTCAGCTTATCTCTCCCGCCTCACAACTCCTCCTCCTCCTCCATCTTCACGCTAGCCTCAGCCCCTTTCTGATCCGCGCCAGCCTGTCCCGCGCCAGCCTGAGCCTTGGCGAGAACATCCCCGAGCGCGGAGGGGAGAAACGGGTTACCAGTAGTCGAAGCGGCCGACGACGACGCCGCGACACCGGTGGCAGTAGCACCGGCAATGCTTGCGCTCAAGCCCTCGGCGCCGAGGCTGGGGCGCGCCTTCTTCAGCGGACTGCCGATGATGCTGTTATCGTTCTCGCCCGGTAACTGGTTGCGGCCAAAGAGACCTTGCGCGGCTGATGCGATGCCGCCGGGGGCATTGGAATCGGTCGGGGTGACGCTATCGCTTGCGCCGGGGGATTTGCGCGGGCTCTCGGAGGAGTCAGGCTCTGCGGAGTGTGCGCGCTTGAGCTGTTGTGGTTGTTAGCCAATGCATCCGTGGACACAAGAATCAGGGGGGCTAGGGTAAGCACATACCCGAATGCGATTTACACCCTCCGCCAGCTCACCCGTGTGCTTCGCGTCTTCAGGCCCAAGCTTGGACGGGTCGTACTTAGCGTCCACGTCATCCATCTTGCTGAGGTCCTCAGAGTCGCCGATGTGCTCATCATCGTCATCATCGTCGCTATCAGCATCCATCGCCGAACTGGGTATACCAGGGGCGCCGTTGTTCTTGCGCGCCTTTTTCCTGCGCGCCTGACTCTCCTTGTCACGGAAGGCAGTGAACCCGACAGTACCAGTAGTCTTGAGGGGACCCAAGTTGCTGAAGTCGAGCTGCCCGGAGCGGCGCTTGAGCGCCGGCGAAGTCGCTTGCTTGGGCGGGGGGATGATGCCCATCTTTTGCAGTTGACCTGCGATCTGCGTATCAGCATTACAGCCTTGTCAAGATATCACAAAAGAAAATGACATACGCTCACCGCGGTAGAAGAACGTAAAGACTGCATATGGCTTGTCCGGACCGTCGATGCCGGTCACGGTCTGGGTGCTGATGGTCTTGGGGTCGAGCGTCTTAGGCTTAGCAAAGCTCGTGGTGTGCTCAACGTCGGCATCAAGCCCGTTGGGAGGGTCCTTCTCATCGGAGTCGGAGTCGTCGTGGGCATCAAACTGCGGTGAGTATTCACCCTTCTTGACCTCTCCGGACGCGATGACACGATACATGGCAACCTTGATCTGGCCAGCAGCCTCCGGGGGCTCATCGTCATCAGATGAAGAGACGGAGTCCTCGTCCGGAACGGCTTCGAGAGGAGCACCCTCGTCTATGCTATAGCGCAGAGTGCTACGAGGCGCGCTGCCATCGAGACTCCTGGCGGCCGCCGCTTCGGCAAGGGCCTGCTGGCGTCTCCTGCGGCGCTCAAACTTTTGCCGGCGCTTCTCCAATTTCTCTGCAGCATCGTGGCCCTTGAGGTCTAAGCCGTTCAACCAGCGCTCCAGGCCGACCTCGCGGAACAGGAACTCGCGCTCGGCCAGTCCGCCGCCCTCAGACTCGGGAACCTGGACCCATCGGCTGTTGACCCAGGTTTCCTCGCCGGGACGCAGGAGGGTAGCCACCTCTTCCTTTGCCCTTCCGTCAAAGTAAATGTAAGCGGCGATAGTCTCGTTCTCGTTGTTGGTCAGGGGAATGTAGGGTGTGACGACGCCGTGGTACTTCCCGCGGTCACCGGTGCTGGAGGGCATAGGCCCGACCAGCTGAGGCTTTGGGAAGGGATTGCTCGGAGTCGGCTTCGGGGTCGAGTAGGGGATCGCGAGGCCGGGAGTAAGCAAGGTGATCGAGATGGCAAACTTTGCGGGCTCGGGCTTGCCAGTCTCGGGATTCACTTGAGGCTGAGGGACTGGAATATAAGTATTGATCCGAGAAAAACGGGACTGTTTCTGGATGCCATATTCGGGCAGCGGAGCACCATTGGCGTGGATGCTCACTGCGATGCCCTTGAAGCAGGGCATTGTGGCGGTTGGTTGTGGTGTTGTCGAAGACCGTGGTGCCTCTTCAACCCCCGCTAAGAATGTTGTGTGCGGCTCGAATACAGTGACGCGCTCGACTACCCCGCGCGATGCTGGCGGGCTGGTTGGTGGGTTGGGTTGGTGGGTGTTTCCGACTACCGATGGTTGCCGGGCGACTGGGTGACTTTGGGTCAAGCTCCCGTTTCGCGGCGAAACGCAAGGTCGCTTGGAAAAAGTCAACAAGTGCTGCTGGGTACTGACTACGCTCGCCTATTCCTGCGAAAGCTCTCTGCAACCCACGGATGATGCCTTGGGGAAAAGTCGACACTTAGCGAGCAGTGCGCAGACGAGTCGAGCTAGTGGTAAGGGTAGGGACCTAGATACGGAGGACTGGGAGTGGATAGACGACTTTCAATGCGAACAATCTCGAGCTGGAAGCTAAGCGAAGTTTGACTGGAAGCTGCTCGAACAGATAGATAGATTCTCACTGGGCTCTGGGACACTTCTGTGACCGACGCCCACCTAGGCAGTGGCAGGTAAGGTTCGGTTCAGCGATGACAGCTGGAAGTGGGGGTTTGCTGGGCCAAAACAAGTCAACTGTACAGTTTCTGTTGACGAGAGCCTAAGAGCCTGCTTGGGCGGCGGAAGGCTGGGCAGTCCAGGCAGGCAAGCCGGCGAGACGATGGGCTGTTAAAGGTGCAGGTCGTGAGGGAAATGGGAGAGAAATCGGAAGCTTGCAAAAAAGGTCAAGCTTGCAGTGGCTACTTTGTTTGGCGGAGAGATCAAAAATGTCGTGAAAGCACGGGATTCCGATTTGATGGGTCCAGCTCAGCCAGCAAGCAGCAAGCATACGGCTTTTGGTCGGTGGATGGAGCAAGGGCCGCTGGATATTATTAGGGTGGATGGCTTCCAATCTTTCTGGGGCTTTCTTCTGCTGAAATGGTGCAGTGGTGCAGTGGTGCAGTGGTGCAGTGGTGCGTTGGCACAAGCCTGAGGGTTTTAGAGGGGTTGGGCCGTGCAAACCGCCGCGACCTGATTGATGATGGGTGAGGGACCAGCCAGGCCCGGCCGGGGGGGGGGGGAGACTGATAACTTTGAACCAGGAAATAAGTAACTAAGGACAAAAGTAAACGGTGATGATCCGTATGGTCGACGGGATAGGAAGGTTCTCGCCTGACTCGAGATGATTGATCACGACACAGGCCAGCCAGCAAAACGAGTATCCTGACGGTCTACGATCTTTGTTGTTTTGCGCTTCGTGTAGTGCGCGCCGAATCTCTGTGGAAATTATGAGGCTGAGGAGATGACAGCGGTTTTAGGGCCCCTCGTCTCCGCCAGGTGATGATGTCTCGCCAGCAGCGAGCTCGGTCGCAGCCGTGACCTGCCCTGGCGCAGTCCAGTGGATGGAGAAGGATGGAGAAGGCGCGGAGTGCGTCACTGGCTCGCTGCCGCTTCACGTACCGGATGGGTCTAGCAGAGCCCCTCGCCACGCTCAGCGCTCGAATGCTTGGCTGATGCACGGACCACACCGCGTGCCCCCTCCCTCACATCCACTCGCGAAGCTGCCCTGGCATCTCCGTGCTCCGTCCATTGTCGGGGCATGCTCCCGTTCCAAAGCTCCCACTCAACGGGCGATGAGATGAGATCCACCCATGAGATTGGCTCTGGCGTGTTTGCTGTCCTGGATTCGATGCAGTTGAAACGCTGCACAGAGCCTAATGGCTTGACTGACTTGTCATGTGCTGGCATTGGGCAGACATTGTTGGGGCTACCTATTCGTATTATTTTTACTTCAGAGCAAATTGCATGAACAATGAAAAAATTTTTCTTTTTCGCCAAGTGAAAGTTTGCTTTTTGCAGGATTGTCGAAAAAATATCAATTGCTCTCTCAGATTAAACGCAATTTCAGCAAATTTCACCCTCACCAAATGAACATCATGAGATGGAGTAGTCAAGGAAAACTCATTCTCCGATCCAAAATTACTTGAGTAGAATAAAACACTGTGTGGGTAATAAATAGTTTGTTATGATACAGCCAATTATTGGATGCTGAGCCCGACGAGGTGGGCAACATGAAGCCACGCGCTGTTCAACCTCAGGAGGATAGATATGAGGAAAGGCTTGCCCTCGAAAAGAACACCAAATTTGAAACCCTGCTGCATTTGAATAACACAAGTTCTACCTTAGCTCCTTACACTTTAGTCCTTCGAGCCCCATCTACCTCCCATAACTCAGACAAAAAAAAAAGGGACAAAGAAAAATAAGTGTGAATAGCTACACAGAAGCGAAAGGATGGGTAATCTGCACAGAGTCAAACCCTCATATAGTCTCAACCGCCTCTCCAGAAACATTTCTTCTCCTGGCTTGGCCACCCGTTGCTTCATGACTCGAACTGGTTGCAACGATCGGCTCTTCTCTGTCTGAGCCTTCTCGCTCTTCTCCTTCCTCTTCTCTGAGGCTGCCGCTACCCACGCCTTCCGTAGGGCGGTACTCGGGTAGCGAGGCCAGCAGTGCTTTGTCGTCCTCTTCTTCCTTGATATCCGTGTCAGAAGGGGTATGCAGCTTAGAGAAGCCCTCTTCGGTATCCGAGTTGCTTTCTCCCTTCTGCTTGCCCTTGCCTTTAATCCTGGAACCAGAAACCGAGGAAGATGGCGAGGAAATACCAGACTTCGTCGCGGGGCTAGAACTTCCCTCCTGTTTCGCGCCCCGTCTCCTACCCCTGGAGCGTTTCCTGGAGCGGCCCCTGGAAGGACCGGATGGCTCAGGCAAGGCTGGCTTTGAAACTGACGAGCCCGAAGACGAAGAAGGCCCCTTAGGAAGAAGCGCTTTCGAGATGCGCGGTCTCTTAGACGCCTCCTGTTCCTCCTTATCGCCCTTCACGTCATCGCCAACCAACGCCCAAGCATAACCGAAAGGAATGCACAACGACAACACTTCAAGCGCCCAGATCAACCCCGTGCCCAGCACGAAAGCCGTGCGCCACCAGCGGAACATGAACCAGCGCAGGCCGCGGAGGCGGGCCGTAAAAGTCACGCTCGCCTGATACACCTGCAGGCCCTGCCCAGCTTGAACTTCCAGCAGGAGCGTTGTCGGTTCCGGCGCTTTGGCATCCGGGTTGTCAGGGGGCCAGGGGAAGGACAAGGGGAGATGCTCGGCCATGGGCACATCGAGACGGACGGTGGACGAAGTATCGGGGAAGAGGACATGGTAGAAGAGGAAGAATAGACGAGACGCAAGCGAGGTGAGCGGGTCGAAGTAGGGAACGAGCGCCGGACGGGTGACTGTGTAGAGGATATGGTGCTTGGATAGGAACGTTGGCATGTCGATGCGCGTAGGCTGATAGTGCACGGCAAGAGAAGAGGCAGAGGGGTTTTCCGACGGCGGCGGCGGGGAGAAGGTGACATAGGGGAGTTGCTGTGCTGGGTTCGTTTTTTTTGTGGCAGAGGGGTTCGTCGGGGTCAGCAGGTGCAGGGCAAGCATGAAGTTGCCGCGATTCAGGTTACTCGGGGAGCGAGGAAGGGTAAGAGACACAGTGATGTCGTAAGACAAGTGCTTGTACACGCGCTTTGGGGGCTCGATGGGAGCGATGCCAAAAGGGTTCGGGCCGTAGCTGGAAAGGTCAGCATCTGCCTGCTTCGCCAGGAAGAGGAGCTGGGAAGAGCGAACCCATATTGCAGGTGCACCGGGACTGTGGTGACCTGGGCGGGCATATACTTGTTGTAAAAGACGATATAGAGGCCGGCAGCTGGGAAGAGCAGCGTGAGGGCGGTGATGCACAGAACTGTGAGAAGGACACCCTTCTTGAAGCCGTCGCTGCTGATAAAGGCAACTGTCTTGTCGATGAAACGGGAAATATAAGACTGGATACCGCCCGGAGGGGCGGATTTATTGTCGTCGTCGATCATGTGTTGCTGATGGTAGTAGGAACCAGGGATGTTGGCAGCGTGAGAGAAGATGGGATTGTTGAAAAGGTCAAGATGGTGTCGTCGCGGGTCAGGACCCTGAAGGCTGAAAGGAGGCATGCTGCATCTATGCACGTTGGGCAGCAATCATGGTGGGAAAACGGCCGCCTGAGCCGGCCGTGGTGCGAGTAAGAGAGACTGCCCGAGGTTGGCGGCAGACTGATCAATGCGGTTGCCAACTCCGAGCTGCCGTCACCTCGTCAGTCGTCAGGTTGTCGTGCTGCGTGGGGAGCTTCTACAGGGGGGGTTTCATGCCGGCTGATGTCATGCTTGGCATTCATGTGCTTGCCGAGAGGGTATGTTACGGTAACAGAATTCTGTATTGATCGCTGCGATTACACATTGATATGTGTACTGATTACAGAACTGTAGATGGAGTTCAGAACTTTCTCTTTTCTGTTGCTGTGTACAAGTCAATCGGCTAGACCCACTGAAGCAGAGTCTACAGGAACCATGATTGTCTTAAAACTTAATACGAGCCCACCGTTTCAGCGCAGAATCGCCACTTATTCGATATTTATCCTCGAAGAAACGGCTGAGCCGTTGGAGGTCCAGTATTCGCAGTAGCTCATTGCGGTCTGGTTTCTTTCATTCTCTAGTGAGCTGCTGAACGTCGATCTCTGATGCACGGAGCCTCATTTTCTGCGCCACGAGATAGGGGGTTGACTTGATTGTCCCGGTACTGTTTCTCAAGATGGACGATGTCGATAGCTCGGACCCAAATGGAGTAAATGGAGAAGTCAGATTAAAGTCCCAGGTTTCCAGCCGAATGTCAGGATCACCTTACCGCTATCGAAGTCCGATCAAAACTGGAACAACCCTCCGGCCGACATCCCGGATGACGGTGGGATAACAAGCGTTCCAGATAGCCGCAAGATGCTGGCTGGTGAAAGATAAGGGCTGAAGCATCGTCAAACGAGTCACAACTACTGAAGATCTTCAGGATGATTTCAGTAGGTATGGAAGTTGACAAGATGTCCCGACTGGTAACATCCTGTCTAATACGGTTGGAGAAGAAAGCCGAGCTGCAGATGTTTGGGCAGGCAGAACGTAAAACCAAGTTTTAGGATAGGTCACCGTCCAGAATGTCACAAAATTGCCGAACCAAAAGCCAAATTTCATCGGTGTCTAGCCCACAGCACGCACACAATGTCCATATAATATGACGCCTTATATACCTTGATTAGAACAGTATGAATTACATCAAACTATAGGAAAAAGATACCCCAATGTATGCTCAATATGCATCCGTATAATTCTAGGTATCTTCGCAGTCCGGTAACTAGCAGCTACATTCATATCGAACCCTAACCCTAGTACGCTACATAGATCAAAGAGTGTGACTGGCCCTGTGTCATGACCAACAAGGGCTCGATATGGAAGAGCGAGTCCCGTGCAGCCAAGCAATTAGAGCGCAACGGGTCGTGACCAATCGAAACCAGGAAGCTTTCCTCAATGCTAAGAGGCATTGATTCTCAGCAGTCTATGCCATTGAGGAGCGAGGAGCAAAAGATGCCACAAAAGTATGTAAGATGTAGATAGGTTCCAGGTCGGGCCATCTGGCCGAGAAAGTTCTCCTGTCAGTTAATACAAACAGTTCTTTACTCAACTGGTGACCGCAGCTATCATTCAACTGTGTGTGAGAACCCTTGTCTCTCAGGTCCAGCGGCCTGGTACATCTAGAACCCATCTCAAGAGGCCTGTCTGGATCGTCACACCCTCCTGCCTATGTTGGCTTCGAACTATATCAACCCTAGCCCTTGTCCAAGGACTTAGGAAGTATACACTTTTGAGAAGGGTAAGTAAGAAAGAAAAAAAATCGAGAAAACGAGTACAAAATCAAAAGGAGCGGAGTTCAGGTGGATAAGACATAATTCTAAATGTCAATTGGCCTCTATAGAAACTTGGACCCAATGATATTGGTATATTTATGATATGAAACGCTTAGCTCTCTGTGGTTTGACAATCCTATAACTATTAGCGGCCAAGTTTTGTGGTTTCACAATTTTGTGACATTCTGGACGTGATTTCTTTCAGCCATCACAGGGAACAAGTTTTGGAAGTTCATGTCACGAACTTGTGACGCGTTTGTTTAGGCGTCTCCAAAACTCCACAGGTACGTATCAACATCGTATCGATATCAGCTGGACGGGACCCGCCAATAAGAAGCTGATCAAATTGAACAATGTCCAACCTGTCTCGAAACCGCTGAAGTGACAGCTTAACAAGTGCCCAATTGGCTTAGATATAGTCCTTGCAGGGGAAACATGGGTCTCTCGTGGACGACTTCTCTTCATATCATCTTTCATACATACATAGGTAGCTTCTCTTCATTCCTGTGTAAGTGCCATGGTTGTATGCTCATGGTTGTGTGTTCATGACCAGGCAGATGCCATAAGTCCATAGGACGCAGCGGTATAATACGTCATGTTGTCGTCGTCGTCGTTGTTGTTGCTGTTATTTTGTTGTCGTCGTTGTCGTCATGCCCAGTCATCAGATTTCAAAACAAAATCAGACATAACATCTCATACATGAATTAACATGCTGTCAACAGAAGCAGACAAAGACCCTGACAATAGAAGAGAAAAAAAAATCATCATCAAATGCCAATGCATCCTCCTCGTGAAAAAAAAAAAAAATCAAGGCATGAAATGAAAGTCGAAGGAAGGCAACAACAACCCCAATAACCTCCATTCTCCTCTTTATCATCCTCCCTCACCCCAATTCATCACGTCTATTTTATTCAAATAGGCTGCAGGTAGTTACTCGGCACGAGACCCGTCTGGCCATTACCGCCCTGCACAAAGGCCTCCCACCAACCATCATCCTGATGCCGCAAGATGGCGAGGATATCGCCCTTTGCAAAGCCAAGCTCTTCGGGGATGGCGGCCTGGTAAGCATACAACGCACGCGCTATGCTTTGTTAGCACCATCATCATCCCACAACCGATTGTCCAAATAGGAAAATAATCTTGGAACATACCATAATGCAAAATAACCCTCCCATCCCTCGCAAACCCCGCTCCCACGACGCTCCTACTCCTCGACCTACTCATCCCCCCGGCACCTGCAACCTGCACCGCCCCAGCCCCCTCATACAAGCTCATCTGTCCCCTCACGCTGCCGCCCCCATTTCCAAAACTGATCTCCCTCCCGCTGGCCGTATGACTCCTCTGATGCCGTCCCCTCATCGAGCTCCCGCTATGATATCCGGGGTCATCCATACTCGGCCCACCCACCGCACTCACCGGCGCAAGCTGCATTTGGTGGTAGGAGTCCATGCTGCTGCCGGGGCGGCCGTCGCCCGTGCTGCGATAGGAGAAGGCGGGGGAGACGGAGCGCGGGTTGCCCATGTCGACCGAGGGGGAATTGCCCCTACCATAAGATTGGCTTGTCGGGGACGGGCTATAGTACGGGTCCATGGATCCGCGCTTGCTAGGCTGGTGTGTCATGGCTAACTGAGTCATCGAGCCGCGGACTCCACCGCCGCCACCGGCGGAGTATGGGGAGGGCGAGATGCGGCCGTTGCTTTGGCCTTGCTGACCCTGCTGTGTATACCCAGGTCCAGCGCGCGATCCGGGGCGGGGTGACGCGCTCCGGTGATAGGAAGAGCCATAATGCGGGCCGGGAGAGGCAGACCTTGGCACGACAGCACCGTCGTTACCGTCACGACTGCCGTAGCTGCTTGTGCTGCTCGCCAGACCGCCACGCGTGCCAGGGCGGGACATGGGGCTTCCATCACCCCGGCTGTTGCTGCCGGTGCTGGCGCTAAAGTTGTTCCCACTTCCTGAGCTCGGACGGTCGGAGAACAGGTTGCGTGTCTGCTGCTGGAAGCGCTGGGATGCTTCTTTCATTGCCTTGGATGTCACAGCTGGAGGGGGCACGCCGAGGCGAGAGACAGGCACGATCGGTTGGACGTTCTGCGGCTGTTGGCCAACCTGACCAGAATTATCGTAGGACGGCGGCGGCGTGTTACGCATGACAAGGCTGGTGCTCGTTCCGCTGGTACCATTCCCAGTCGCACCTCCGTTACCAGCCGTGTTAGGCCGCGAGTTAGGATTAGCGCCAGGCGGTGCAGGCGTCGCGATGCCGTGGTAATGGTCAGCCGACATGCGCATGCCAGGGGGGCCACCAGCACCACCGTTCTGCCTAGCCCCCGCGGTGACTCCCTTAAGTTCAGCGAGTGCCATGGCGATCGGATCGTCCTCCGGTGTGTCGGGTGCTGGGGCCTGCTGCATCTGGCGGTCAGGCGTCTCAACGGGGAAGACATTATTGCCGATGTTGAGCGCGAGGCTGGTGTTGGTCGGCAAGGGCTCCGGGCTGACGCTGCGATCGGGGGCGATGAGTTGGTTGCTGTTGTTGCTGCTCGAGGTGCTGTTAACGTTAGCATTGTCCTTCGGTGCGGCAGCGAGCTGGGGCAGGGTAGGCCGGGCACCGCCGCTGACGCTGCTGGTGCTGCTGGACGGCGCCCAGGTGTTGCGGTTGGCAGCCGCCACCTCCTTCATGCTCTTACGCCGGAAGGGGCTGTGGTTCTGGAAGAAGCCACTCTTCTTCTTGAGCACTTTCTTGTCTGGCGACGAGGAGGTGGCTGCTTCAACTGCGCGCTCTGGCTGGGCCTGGGTCTGCGTCTGTGGCGGCTGCGGCTGCGACTGTGGTTGTGGTTGTGGTTGTGGTTGTGCTTGTGCTTGTGGTGGGAAGGGCTGATCTTGCACTTGCTGCTGCTGCTGCTGCTGCTGTTGTTGTTGTTGTTGTTGTTGTTGTTGTGGCTCCTGGCTCGAGAACGTCGTTTCGCTGCGTGATTCTCTACTAACAGGCCGGGCAGACGCAGACGAGGTTGACGGCGCAGTGCTCAGCTCTGAGGCCGTAGGCCGGCAGAGCATGGTCATGCCGTCCATGGGGTAGGGATCGTGGGGAACGGGGGGATATTCGGATGGGTCATACTCCAAACTGGCTGCCTTTGGTGGTTGATAGCCCCTCGGCGGTTCTCTCCTCCGCGCAGCAGCCGCGGTAACAGCTGTAGTAGTAGTATTATTATTATTTTTATTATTATTATTATTACCATTAGTTTCCGGCGCTGGCAGCTGTGGCTGCTGTGGTGGTGCCTTTAGCTGCTTCTGCTGGGGTGCCGGGGCAGGCTGGCTGACTGGAGGCATGTCAATGTTGTCGTTGGCTGGGGGACCGTGCCTGAGATCGCGTGCTAGCTGCGAGTCGGGATCATGGTGCGACTCGAACATCGACGGCTGTGGTGATGACGATCGAAAGGCTGGATTTATACTTCGAGGGAACTGGGCAACCGTGTAGCCTGGGTCGTCTTCTGATGCTTCGGACTGCGAGTCTAGGTCACCACGGCAAAAGTTAATGTACTTGGGCGGCTCAGGGATCTCCTGACCGGTGCCCTTCTCCCTGATGAAAAGCTCAATGTCCTTCTCCACTTCCATCTTCTCGAGGGACAGGCGGATCTTCTCGCACGAGGCATCGTCGCTAACACACACAGTGGATGAGATATTGGCAAACGTCCACAAGCTGCTCTTGGTGAAGTCGAGGCGCTCCTCTTCCAGATCTTGGAACTTATCCGCGGCGGCCTTCCACTCACGATTCCAGCGGGCTGTGGTCTCCTCCAGTGCTTTAACAGCCGCCTCATACTCGGCATTCGACTGAGCCAGGCTGATCTGGGTCTTCTCCAGCTTGGCCTTGTTCTTGCGCTCCTCCTGGCCCATGACCATGTGGCCCTGGGCGAGGTAGCCCTTGATCTTCAGACACTCCTGCTCGTACCGGTCTCGTGTCTTGTTGACCAACTGAGTCTGCTGAATCTTAGTCTTAAGCAACTTCTCGATCGTGTTCTGCACGATCTTGCGGCGCTCCTTCATGGCACCGGCAAAGGCAGCCAGCGGCTCTTCGAGCTCGCTCTTCATCTGGGCTGCCACATTCTGGTGCTGCCTAGCCATAGACTCAACCTCGGCGCGCACGACGTCGAGCGACTGCTTGAGGGTGCCCATCTCGTGGGACCCCAGCGACTTCTTGCAGAGCGACAGAAGCTTGCGGGCGTATTCATCTTCGATGGAAGCGCGAGCTATTGTTGTCGTTGTTGTTGCAAGTCAGTATAACAACCACCATACCACCATTGCCCATCGTCATTATCATTGCTTTACCGGCATAGAACGCGCGAAGCTCATCGCAGGTTATCTTCGCATTATGCATGCGCTCGAAGAGGGGGGCCACGCCGGCGTCATCCTTGCCCCAGAAGTTGTTGGCGACTGCGACACGATACACGTCAATATCACGTTGCGCTGCGCTGCATAGTTTTGTCAATAAGACAGGGAGAACACAAGAAGTCATACAGGAGAGCGCAACCGTCGGCGGTTGATCGGTGGTAGCAGCCGGCATTGCGTGTCTTCACAAAGCAAAGACAAGCGTTGCGGAGCCGGGGGCTGGCCTGGGAGGTCGCGTGCTACTGTCCACCACAATGGATCGATCGGATCACAAGGAAACGAGAATGGGTAAAGTTCCGATATCTGGCAAATCCCCTGTCGCAGGTTTGCAGGCGTCGTATTCTTAATGCGGGGAAATCGTCGAAATCTCGGCGGTAGAAAGTAGACAGACAAAAACGGCCGTAGGATAATGCTGGCAATAAGCCGTGGTCCAGCACCAAGGTGAGAGGTGTACGTGGTGTAGGTGAGGAAAATCGGCAGAGATGTTTGTTGGAATGGTGCGTGGCACAGGATGCAGGGAGTCTCGCAAGTCACTCAGGTTCAATTCCCAATGGGACATATGGGACATTAACCCTGCAGCAAGGCGGCTGGCTGGCGGGCGGGTCATTGTTGACTTTGGTGGCTGAAGGCTGGCGGGATGCCACGTTACCAGGGGCAACGATTGGCTGGCTGCCCAACCTGCGCCCAGCTGCAGCCGGCGCCTAGCATCATCCCGTGGATGCCCCTCAACCCCCCCCCCCACAACGCGACGCCCATTCGCTGGTCGCGATACACTATGTAGCTGACCGTCACGACATTGGCCATTTACGTACATGCATTTTCGCCTACCTTCCCTGTTGCTGTGTTGTACAGGACCGCGCACGAACCGCGTCGCGGTCAGGATCCCTTCTGTTGGGCCTTTCTCCTCAAGGCGAGGATGTCGCGCAATCTGACCAACCCCTTCGCTCCCCAGCCGGCCAGTCCACTCTCCACGGCCGGCCTCACCGCAACGTACCAGCCCCACGCCCGTTTGTCCAGTTCGGCCGCACTGACATGATCGGCCCAACTGTCGAACACTATTCGAAGTGCACCGAGCAGTAGGCCGAGGTTCTGTTCTTTTTCTTCCTCAATTGCTTTCAGCGTCTTAGCCTTCTTAGGGCTCTGTGTCGTAGATCCATCGCTCCCTTCCCCCGAGGCTTCTTCAGCCGGAGCGCTCGCAAAGCTCCGCAGAAGATACCGCCGGGCCGATTCAGGCTGATGGATCGGCATTCCTACGACTCCGGTAACGGTGTGCTGCCGGGTGCCGCTACCATAGCCGCCAACGGTAGCCTTGGCCCGCGCAGTCTCGAGGTCCAGGCCCCAGAGCGCCTCACCCCCGAGCGTGACACCGGCGCCGGTTACTCGCAGCCGCTCGCTCAGAGCGCCGGCTACGCAATTGCGCATCAGGCGCCACCGGTCCGGACCGAGCAGGGTGCCACCAAACCACCGGGTCAGCACGACAAGGGTGTCGACGGCCCCGGCTTCCCGCATCACCCGCAGCATCAGGTCGCCGCAACCTGTCTCTCCGTCGTCGAAGCTCTCTTCGCGGATCCGTTGATTTGGGGAACCCTCTGATGGGCGAACCCGATAGGCCCAGGCGTTGTGGGTAGCAGTCTTTAGCTTAGGATTGTCCTCGAGCAGTGACTGTATGAGAGCCCTGCGCTGGGACGGGTCGGCCATGTGAATTGCGCGGGCGACAAAGGTAGAGTCTTTCAGGCTTATGGGCTGGCTGACAGACCATGCGGGCTTGTTGCGTGTCGGCTCATGAGCGAGTGTTGCTGATGAGGCCTGGGTCTCGGTCTCTGCTTGACTCTCTTGTGTCTTTGCCTGCTCTCCCTCTCCCTGCCCCGTCTGCTCACCGGTCTTCCCATCCTCCCCCACGGTCTCCTCCCCTTGCCATCGGTACCCTCCCCGCTTGAGGACGGCAATCGTCCGGCCCATGATAGTCACACGCGGTTGTCCTTCAGCCCAGCCTTCCTCGTCTGCGCTGGGGCCCTTTTCCAGGCCGATGCTGACAGCCTTTGACCTCGAGTTGGCGCTGACAACGGCCTGGGCCAAGCTGAGCCGGCTCGACAGCGGCTGCTCAGGCATGGTGTAGCGCAGCAGCTCAACAGCAAAGGCTAGGACTAGCGGTGCCCTGTTCGTCTCAATGACTGTCTTTGAGATGCGCTCCTCGTCCGTGCAGATGGGCAGCTCAAGGGAGCGTTCCAGCTCTTGGGGGGTCATCTGTGGGGGCTCGCCCAAGACAAACTCGGTTCTAGGACGCTTGGAGCTTGAGCCAGTGGCGTCTGAGCCGGCATGCTTTCCGCCGGCTGCAGTCTGTGTAGGCGAGGTAGATGAGTTGCGCTTAAGCCATGCTCTGCAGGCGTTATGCAGCGCTTTCGCGGCCTTGTCGTCATTGATAGCCGACTGGACGGTAGCAAGAGGTGCTTGAGCAATTTCGGGGATGCTGCGAAGGGGGATGAGGCATGAGCCAAACCATCATCTCCGTAACCAGACAAGTTAAATATATTATGAATTCAGACCGGGATTTACCTCCTGAGGCCAACACCCTGAAGTGCCTTGACCTGAGCCATGGCCTGCATCATGGGTGTCTTGCGCGTCACGGTCAGTAATCGCAGGAGGTCCTGCAGGTCTTGCTGAGTGGCCATTTTGCGTTGTGCTTATGTCTCTTATTTCAGTTAAGATAAGACTCGGGTAACTTTGACTTGCAGTTCTCGATGAATCAACAGCTGAGGGATTGCAAATAGAGCAAGTAAAAGAGGCGATGATGAGATTTGAACGTAATGAAGGCATGAGTGTGAGAGAGGTAGGGGGTGTAGTTCCCTCCTATGTCTGCCTGTTCTGACAGCTGGCAACGCCTGGCAGCCCGTCCGCCGGTTGTCAGATCCGCTTAGATAATCAACAGACCTGTCCAGGAACCGCACGATGATTGGTCTGATTCCCATATCATGTCACACATCCTCATCTTAATGGCCCAAGCTCCTTGAGCATCACTTCTCACCTCTACTGCTCCAGCATCACTGAGGGCCGGTGACGAAGTGAGGGAGCATCTTAGCTCTCCTCTAACTGATTAAACACCACAATGAAGCCTCAAAGGTGCTGGGGTCGCTTGACCCGTCTTCAGCGACTCGGCTGTTCTCCCCTATGTTTTAGGCCAGCACCTCGTCTCAATATCTCCCCAAATCACTCGCCTAAGTATCCGGCCCGTTTCAATGGAACCACCAATGTCACTGGACCGTTCAAAGGAACAGATATCCTCCAAAGAGGAGCGCGGATAAGAGTCCAGCCAAGGGCCCAGGTCGCAAGCTCAACTGGAACTAGTAGTTTTGCCCCTCAGGGGGGTCAGGGCCCCCAGACGAAAGCCCAATCCCTCGACGTCCTCCTGCAAGAGCGCAAATGGCCTCTCATCGGTGCGGGTTTCATGGCGCTTGGCATAGGCCTCTACGTCTCGATCGTCATCACCTCCAGCCTCAAAAAGGACCGTGAAGAAAAACAAACTCTGCAAACCCAAAAACCAGTCCGCACCCCCTGCACCTGCACCTCCTCCCTCCCCTCCCTCCAACCAACTCCCTCCGGCCTCCCCGCCATCCTCCAAGACCCCACAATCTCCCCGGCCGCCCGGCATACCAGCGCCATCTCCTTTGACCGCGGCCTGGACCTGCCCGAGTGGCTGACGGGCATCAAGAAGCTGCGCAAGGCCATCGGCGCGACGGTTCGCGGGCATGTTTTGGAAGTAGCCGTCGGCACGGGGCGGAATATCGCGCATTACGACTGGTCGGAGGTGGTTATCCCGCCGGGGGAGGACCCTGTTGCGAGGGAGCAGAGGCAGCAGGAGAAGATTAGGAAGTTGCTGGATAAGCATTTGCTGGGGAGGGATGATGGGAGTTTGAGCAGTGGAGAGTTGATGAGTGTGAGGGAGTATAAGGAGAGGGGAATTGGCAGTCTGGATGGGGAGTTGCTCAGCTTTACGGGGGTTGATGTCTCGGGAGGGATGTTGGCGGTAGCACGGGACCGGGTGCGGGAGAATGTGCCGGGTTTGTCGAAGGTGATGCGTCGGCGCCGCGCCGAGCCGATGCCTGAGCTGGGGCCGGAGCACACCGAGTCTGAGGTCGTTGTCAACGCGCTGGATAACCGGATCAGGCTTGTTCTAGCCGACGCACTGCACGATCTGCCTGCTCCGGCGGCGCGCGATGAGCGCACTGGGAAAGTGCCTGAGAAGTACGACACGATTGTGCAGACATTCGGGTTGTGCTCGGTGTCTGACCCGTCAGCGCTGCTGGCTAAGATGGCGGCCAAGGTGCAGCCTGACACGGGGCGGATCATCTTGCTGGAGCATGGTCGTGGTTGGTGGGATTGGGTTAATGGGCTGCTGGACAAGTATGCACCGTCGCACTTTGAGAAGTATGGGTGCTGGTGGAATCGAGATATCGAAAAGCTGGTACGAGATGCTGCCGAGGTTGTGCCAGGGCTGGAGGTTGTCAGCCTGACGAGGCCATTGGTGTTCCAGGCCGGTACAACGCTGTTGATTGAGCTGAAGGTGAGCAGCCAGAAGGCTAGGAAGGCTCAATGAGTGAGGATGGGAAATGAGGTATGTATAGGTATGTACACCTATTTAGGGTCCACGTCGCCCGTGTATATACGATGATGTATTTTATATATATATAGATATACGTCTATATGAAAAGGATTATGTCGAAGTCGCGGTCAGGGTCATAAAAGTCCAAGATACACTGTTGAATGGGACCTATATAGAGGTATCGAGATATGCTTGAAACTGGGGGTAGACGAACCCCTGAACCCCAAACAAGACTCCCGTACCTACTCAAGTGGCCCTGTCTAAGGTCAGCATAACAGACACGCCCAAGACATGCTTCTCAAAAGTAAACGTCTACACCCTCGCCCCTGGCACCCAAACCTCCAACCCCTCCTCTCCCCTCCTCAATCCCTCACCACCGGGCAAAACCCTTAACACCTTCTGGAAGTACTTATCCCTAACCATCAACCCAGGCCTGATCCACCAGCCTTGATGCTCCCCCTTCTCTCCATTGTCATCCTCATCCTTCTGATCCAACGGCAACAACCTATACTCCACACTCCTCCTCTGCACCGGCAGTACATTCACTGTCGTCATTTTCGGTCCCGAAAAAGCAAACTCATCGCTCGGCTCCATCGACACCCCAAACGTGAGGAAATGGCTCGACGCATTCTCAATGGTCACCGTCAGCACAATCACCAGATGCCCACCACTCCCTTCATCCTTAGTATTCCCCCTTCGACGGTACGACACCGTCGCCAAAACCCTCGGCTCAGTGCCGAAGATATTAAACCTCGGAATCGGCAGCGTTGTCGTATTAACCTTCTCCAAGTTGCCCCCCTCCGCCCGAGTCCAACGAATCGTCAATGCCATATCCAGCGGCGCTGGTCCGCGCTCATCCAGCGTTGCCCGCTGTGCAGTCAGCTCAAACGCCGCTTGCTCGATGGTCTTGGGCTGTATCAAACGGCCGGAGCCATCCTCAGGCAGGCTGTGCTTGGTGGCGACGGCTGTGCAGCGGAAAAGGGGAGACGGTGAAATTTGCACGGAAACTTCTGTTACGCGTAACGGTTCGGAGGCGAAGGAGGCATAGCGGGTCACGAGACACCAAGCTTGGGAGAGGCCCTTTGGTATGAATGACGGAGTGTCGGGGGAGTTGGGGCCGGGAAGGGGTGCGACGGTGTCCGGGTCGAAGACGCTTGGCCAGGGGTCGGGGTGTACGCGGGGGAGGAGGTCATAGCTTGCTTCGAAGGGGTTGACGATATTAAGTTGGAAGACGGCGGTTTGGGAGATGGGCGTGCCGGGGTTGGTCGGGAGGAAGTAGGTCACTTTGAGGGTCAGGTCGTGGCGGCTGGAGCTCTCGATGGGGGGTAGGTGTAGGCGGATGGTGAGGGATTTGGCGCTGGCGATTGCGCCTAGCTGTGCGCCGGATAGTCTGCTTTCTTCGCTGCGTATGCTGGAGGATGTCTGGCTCTCGCCGCTCGGGAGGTCGACCGTGAATGATGACGGCTTCTCGCCGAATAGAGTAACGTCAAGCTTAGAGAGGGCCTCAACATCCTCGCCGTTCTCGATCTCAAATTCGAGACTGATAGGCTCATCTGTGTAGTATTGTTCCTTCCATCCTAGACTTCTCACCTCCATCTTTGGAGGCCGGGGAAGGACGTGTAACGAGAGGGGCCGTTGGTGTGCAATGTGTTTGACGGCGGACGCAGAGATGTACCAAAGATTTCTGCTACTGTTTTCCGCAAAAGATATTGACTGATTGAGCTTGAACTCGTCATTATCGATCGTGACGACAACCGATTCAGCGTGGGCATCGCCTGGCTCCCGTAGCGGGATCTCCAAGTTGAATACCAGCACTTGCCCAGGGGGCAATCTAAGATCTGCTGTGCCTTTCAAGACAGCACTCTTTTCTCCATCCGAACCAGCGGATGTTGACTTGACATCATCTTCACCAGACTCTCTAGTAGTCAGGGTGAGTGAAGACAGCACGATGTTACCGTGTTTCTGCCGCGTGTCGTCAACATCCTCGTGCTGAAGCACTACTGTGCCAATGCCACCGCTAAAGTTAACTTGCACGCTGCTGAGCTGGAGGAGAGCCGAGCCCTGATGGGCATTTGACCTGATGGTGAGCTGGCAGTGGACGGACTGACCAGCCTTCCCCTCTTCGTCTCTGAAAAGGAACGAAGCCGCAACTGGGGATATGAGTTGGCCGTGTCTGATGTAAATGTCGGGCTTCTCTGCAGTTTCTATATCCTCCAGGGACTTTGCGAGGTTGTACTCCCAGTTGGGCCGTTTTGAGAAGCCTAAATGTCGTCAGTGTTGAAACTTGCAAAACGCTTACAAGCAAGAAGACCTACTTTGTGAGTGGAGCTCCCAGTCAATCATCAGCAGGAGCTCGGCCTCATCCTCCTCGTAAGCAGCACGCCTGAGAAGCCAGTCCATCTCCTCAATGATGGGAATCCAGCCCTCTGTTCTGAAGGGCATGTCCTGCCATAGAGGGCGCAGGAGCTTAATCACGTCCTCCCATCTTTCGGCCATTCCTAGCTCCCTTGCACACTCTAGAGAGACCTCAGCAGCCAACCGCTTTTGGCCCCGTTTGAGAAACTCAGAGCGGGCTCGTATTAGGCGATCCACGATCAGTTTACCGTGCTCTACGCCACCTCCGATCCCGTCGATGGGATATTCCTCGTATGGGTCTGGGCACATGTACGTGTCGTAAGTAAAAGCAGATTTCGCCACAAGAGACGCAGGCGAAGCACTAGGCGGCTGTCTGTCAGATTCTGGGATGGTCCGAGCCAGGGCCCTTCTCGTCTGTGTATGCCTTGCCGCCATGCGATGCCAGTATCCCTGATGGTGCAGCAGCTCCCACGGCTGCAGTCTCTCTCCCATGACACTCTTCTCGGGTGGCAGATAGAGCCGTCCTGAGCTCGGCGCAAGCTCAGGAATGTCGGCTTTGTCGATCAGATCAGCCATGACCGCCGCCCAACGAGCCTCCCAGGCAGCCCAGCCATAGTTGTTGGTGCCCCGACCGCGACGGTCGACAAAGTCGGCTATCCTCTCGCGATGGAACTGCCAGCGACGGCTGGCTGCGCTGTGCTGGCCATTCCACAGCAGGCAGCGGATGCACCGTATAGCGATGATGTCGGCCAGCAGCCGGGCTTCGTTCCAGCGCGGGCTCCAGCTCGGGATGAGCTCCATCACCTCGGTGCTCAGCAATGCCTCGTAGGCCAGTTCATAGGAGCGCAAGGCCACATCCATCTCCAGCCGATATTCAGCAAATGTGGCCGTTTTGAAGTCATAGCGGACATTCCAGCCGGCTAGCGACAGAGTTTGTGAGGTGCCCGAAGTCGGGGGTACGGTTGGCTGGGGAGCAATGCCCCTGCTGCGCTTTTTGCGCGCATGTCTGCCGAGGTCGCGGTAATACTCCAGGGACACTGCGTAGAGTGTGGTAAGCATGTTCTCGGCTACGCGCTCGAGCTCCTCTTGAGACTCGTTCGGAGGCACCAAGAACAAGGCTTTCGCATCCAGGTTGCACCCCCTACGGATCACGTCCAGACGTTCTTGGACGCCCTCCATGGAGGCTGGGTTTGTCCCATCGCTCAAGAGCACAACGGCCAGTTTGGTCTTGTAGCCAGACTGGCTCAGCAGGGCCCTTATGTTGTTGACATCGGTCTTGATCTGATTGTCACAGAGTGTAGAAAGCGTAGGATCCGACACAAGTGTGTAGAAGCAAAGGAGGATGCTTGGAATGAGGTCTTGGTGCTTGCGAATCCAATCGGTATTGATCAAACCATCGGGATAGAGAGGGGACACCGGGCTCAGGGGAGAGTAGGGGGAATGTAATACGGTGGCCGAGGTTGGTGAAGGGGGCTCGAAGCCGTCGGGTAGGCGGGCGCGGCGAGGGGGTAGCAGCAGGGACTATTCACACAGCCTGATCTCAGTTTCCAGCTTCTACTGCCAACGTTCCAGGCAGTAAGTGTCCAGGTAGGACAAATACGCACCCTCTCGGCAGACTTGATGTGGAAGCGGTACTTCCTGGTTGTCTCATTCCTGGCGTTGCAAGGTGAGTTGGAAGCATCACGGTCTTGCATATAGCGCATGAGAGCGCGTGCCTGGTCCGAGTCGAGAGCAGGCAGCTCGGAACGTATGAGAATGGCTTGCTCCTTGAGTGCGTGGCTTAGTTTGGCGTCGTAGGGTGTGTCGGTACATGTGCCCAGGGTCAGAAGAAAGGGGACGCTGTGGTCCAGACAGCCAGGGGGATAGTCGTCCATGGCGGGCGTTAAATAGACGAGACAACGATCGTATTAATTATAGGGTATCTGAACTGAAGCTTTCAATATGTAGATCTGATGCTTGTCTGCGCTGAGGCGTTGAAGCTATCATTAGCTAACTGGATTATGATCCTCAGCTGCGAGTGATATCTGAGTTCTAGAGACCGTCTCGAGCTTCATTCGAGGACCACGACCCGAGATAAATCTACGTGTTGCTTGTTGGGAGAGATCACTCCCAGGGTCTTGGGCTAAGTGTCGAAGCGTATTTCTGCGATCCCGGGATGGTGGTGACAGTGAACGGATGAAGCACTTGGCACAGTGGGACAGTGGGGTTGATGATGTTCCTGAGCAACCATGTCAACTCCTTATCTTATCGGAGTACCCTCACTTGTAAATTACGGACTTTTTCCGTACCGATTACACTACCGGGAATACCCCACGCACGCGTTGGAATATGCGTCTTGACGTGACGCGTCGTGTTATTCTCCTGCGTCTGGGGGCTGTCGCGGGTCTGAGCTCGGGGGTGTGCACCCGGACACTGGCAAGCACCCCAGGCATGTCAATTCCCAGAGTTCGCCGTGTTTAACAGTTGATCTCCGCTTTTTGGACATCTCCCGCAGCAACAAGGCAGGCCAGGCGCCACACACCTGGGAGATTTGGCCATTTCTCGCTCCCGGTTGTTTTTCCTGAAGAGGCGCGCTTATTCAATTAACCCATAAACACAACAACGACACTGCAACGACGACAAGGACGACGCCAAAAGACGTAAAGCAATCCAGGACATTGGCCCATGATCTTGGATACAGTGCCATTTTGACGCTGACATCCCCCTAGAGGCCACAATGCCTCTCCAAAAGTCATATTCAGACCCTAACCGCAGCCATAAGGTCAGTCCCGGTGGTTTAGGATCCCATTGATATTGCCCAAGTTTTGGGACTTTTAGACAAGAGCTGTCCAGGACACTGTGAGAGTCTACCCTCTCAGTTGCTGACCCGATGTAGGGCCAGCGCCAATGGCAGAGATCCAAAAGCAATCCTAATCCTGCCCAACAAGCAGCCCCCAAGCCGCTGCCACCGCTGCCGGTCTCCGACAAGACTAAGAGCAAACTTCAGGCCTTCATATGCGACTCCCTGCCTGAAGTCGAGCCGGAACACAGCGAAACGAAGGAACATGCTGTCGATGACATCGTCAAGCCCGAACCCAAGCATAAGCTCAAGGCACCCAAGGATGCTTCCCTGCCAACAGCAGACGAGATCCAAAAGGTCGACAAGGCCAAAACCCACAAAGCAGCCACTCCAGCAAAGGGCATAAAAGCATGGAAGGAGATACTAAAGCCATCCGAGGCCCCAATTCAGGACAAGAACCAATCCCCTGGCGAACGGTTGTTCTGGCGCAGCGATGCGAACCCCGACAAGCCGGTGGTCATTACGCCACTTTTTACACGCAAGGGCCGAAAACGTGCTAGAAGCTCGTCTCCAGTCTCTTCGCCAGCTGCTAAGGCCACCGCTGCTACCCCAGTTGATCCGAAAAAGCTGGCCCATGCTGCCATCAAAACTCCTCGTGCCGATCCTGCTCTTGACCTCATGGAGCGTTTGAGGAGTGACGGCGTTGGCGCGACTCCGTCAGGATTAACCAAACCTTTGCTTCAACAACTCATGGTATCTTGTTCGCCTCGGCCGAACCAAGACGAGGGCGAATTGCGTGGGAGGTCCTTGAGGAAATCCATTAGCTGCGGCAGCTACTGGCCGAAGCGGCGGAAGCTGGATCGTTCGAATTCCGATATGCAAGAAGGCTCTGGAGAGGGGAATTCTTTACCTGAAACCAAGCTGTCCATGGTTTCTGCCCTTCTCGAAACCGTTAATGGCGAGATTAACAAGTCCAAGGCGGCACAAGCCCAGCAACAACCACAGAAGGAGACCATTCCATCATCATCACCCAACACTCTTCCAGGAAACAAGACTCCTCCTGATAATGAGAGCTGCGGCAGGACCTCGCCTGACCGCCCTCCTCCTGAGAGTTCGCCGTTGGCCCAAAAGTCTTTTCGTGGAAGCAGCCGCATGGACGATGTCTTAGGCAATGACGGTGGCGCTGAAGCTAAAAACGATGGAAAAGATTCCTCGGATTATGATGATGACGACCTTGACGCAGCCCTTATGGAGCTCGACCGAAGTATCAGCGGGCTTGTGCAGACTAGTGGGTCTACATTGGTCGCCCCCTCCGGAGCTGTTGCGAACAATCCAGCTCCGCCACCACCGAAGTCTAGCGACGAAGAATTTGGGGATTTGGATGATGATTTCCTGAGCCAAGCGATAGACTTGGTAACTGAGGTAGAAGCCAGGCAGCCGTCTCAGAATTCCTCTCTGCTTGTACAGCAACAGCAGCAAGACAAGCCGGTTATGCCTGTAGTAGGGGCGGACGATGATGAGGATGATGATGACGACGACATGTATGGTGGCAATGATTTTGATGGCGTTGATCTCGACGAGTTCGAGCAGGTAGCCACTCTAGGCTCCCAAGCACAAGCCGGCTCCCGGCCCTTCTCGTCTAATGTACGTACAGCGGTAAATCAATCCACTTGGTGAAAAAAACTGCAAGATACTAAAGCAGTTGTTGTACAGCCTGATCAGAAGCCCAGAGCCATCCAGCGTTACCTCGTAACCAAGGTGCTCGAGGACTCGTATATTGACCAGTACCAGCGGCAATGCCCTGAGAAGGTAAAGACAATGACTGACTCTTCCCTCCACCTTCTCCCCCCCCCCCGGAATTCAGCCCGCTGACTTGTGTAGATCATCGTTGTGCAGGCCGAGAGGGACAACAGCCTTAAAATGGTCCGTCTCAGGGATGATTGGTACGATACTCAGGCCAGTCCCAAGGCCTATGTCCACATCATTGGGAACTTTGAGCCTACTGGCGAGTTCATAATTGACAACAACAAAAACCTCATCATCCTGCACCCTGATCAGCTTATTTCAGCTACCGTAGTAGCTGATTCCTTTACCTGCATGCGCCGTGCCGTCCTCCAGGATCGCGTCAAGGCTGCCAGCGATTCCAGTCCTGCCCTGGTCTACGGTACTCTCCTGCACGAAGTCTTCCAGAGCGCCCTAATGGCAAACCGATGGGATGGGAAGTTCCTACAGTCCGTGGTTGACAGCGCGCTAAAGAAGCATCTCGAGGACCTCTACGTTATCCGAGTCTCGATCGATGACGCCCGGTCCTACCTCATGTCCAAGATGCCCGAGATGCAGTCGTGGGCACAGACCTTTGTCTCCGCGACCCCTAAGCCCAATGCTTTGGTTCAGGGTAGGAACGGCGAGAGGGTCAATATGTGCGTCAGCAAGCTGCTCGACGTCGAGGAACACGTTTGGTCGCCAATGTACGGCCTGAAGGGCAACATCGATGCCACTGTCCAGGTGACGATGCGCGACGGCAAGACCTGGAGGACGCTGACGGTGCCATTCGAGGTCAAGACCGGCAAGAATGCGACGGCGAACCATCAGGCTCAAACAGTGCTCTACAACCTGCTTCTGTCGGACCGGTACGACGTTGACGTAGTCTACGGAATCCTCTACTACATGGAGTCGTCGCAGACCCTACGCATCCCGGCCATTCGCCACGAGCTTCGGCACATGATCATGCAGCGCAACCAGCTGGCCTGCTACATCCGCGAGCGTAGTGTCCGGCTGCCGCCGATGAAGCGGAATCAGAACGCCTGCAGCAAATGCTACGCCCAGCAGTCTTGCTTCACCTACCACAAGCTTGCTGACGATGGCAATGGCGAGACCAGCGGACTGGAAGAGAAGTTTGAGGACCTCGTCAAGCACTTGACCCCCAGGCACCGCGACTTCTTCCTCAAGTGGGAGGACCTCCTCACTAAGGAGGAGAAGGAGATGCAGAAGCTGCGTCGCGAGCTGTGGACCATGGTTAGCACGGAGCGCGAGAAGCTGGGCCGCTGTTTTGCCAATGTCATCATCGAGGAGGGCTCAGCCTCGGAGTCTGGCAACCAGACCAAGATCAACCGCTTCACCTATACGTTCGTCAAGGAGAACCCGCCGCCCAACTTCTCGTTCCTCGAGTCACAGCTCACTGTGGGCGAACCGATCGTCGTGTCCGACGAGCAGGGCCACTTTGCTCTTGCTCTCGGCTATGTGACATCCGTTAAGAAGCACAGGATCACGGTGGCCGTCGATCGGCGGCTGCACAATGCGCGCGTCCGGCAGCCCGGGTTCGATGAGGTCAACAATCAGGTCTTTGTCGGCATTATGGAGGTCGACGGGGGCAAGCAAAAGACCAAGGACGAGGAACCGGTGCGCTACCGGCTGGACAAGGACGAGTTCAGCAACGGCATGGCCACTGTGCGCAACAACCTCGTGCAGATCATGACTGACGGGCCGTTCGGGTCCAAGATCCGCCGGCTCGTTGTTGATCTCGAGCCGCCTCAGTTCAAGCAAACGCCGACTCAGTACAGTTTGACGGGTCGTGATAGCCTGAACGTTGACCAGAAGGCGGCCGTTGAGAAGGTCATGAGCGCCAAGGACTACGCTCTGGTGCTTGGTATGCCGGGTACAGGCAAGACGACGACTATTGCCCACATCATTCGGGCTCTTGTAGGTCAAGGCAAGACGCTGCTCCTGACTTCGTACACCCATACGGCCGTCGACAACATCCTGTTGAAGCTGCGTCACGACAACATCCCCATCCTGCGCCTGGGCGCCCCAGCCAAGGTACACCCCGAGGTTCAGGACTTTGCCATCCTCGCCGGCCAGCCTATGTCCTCGATCGAAGAGATCCGCCGCGCCTGGCACGAGACCCCCATCGTGGCGACCACCTGCCTAGGCATTAACCACCCCATCTTCAACGAGCGCATCTTCGACTACTGCATCGTCGACGAAGCCTCACAAATCACCCTCCCTATCTGCCTGGGCCCAATCCGCATGGCGCGCGCTTTCGTTCTCGTCGGCGACCACAACCAGCTACCCCCTCTCGTCCAAAACGAGGAAGCTCGCCTTGGCGGCCTGGACATCTCCCTCTTCAAGCTCCTCTCCGACGTCCATCCCCAGTCCGTCGTCAACCTCGAGCACCAATACCGCATGAACGAAGACATCATGACCCTCTCGAACATCCTCATTTACAATGGCCGTCTCAAATGCGGCACCGAGGCCCTCCGCCACGCGGAGCTCGACATCCCTGACATGAATGCCCTCCGCTCGCGGCACTTCGACGTCGCTTCTTTCCTGGCCCACTCCCAGAAGAAACTCCACACCAGCCCGACCAAGTCCAAGACCAAGCCCTCTTCGTTCTGCCCTTCCCCTCGGAAGGGTACCTGCTGGCTGGCCGACCTCCTCGACCCCTCGGCCCGCGTCCGCCTCGTCAATACCGACCCCTTGCTGCCCCTCTCAAGGGAGCAGTGCACCGCCCGCGGCAACCGCATCGTGAACCCGTGCGAAGCTAAACTTGTAGCCCAACTTGTTGACGCCCTCATCGTAGTTGGCGTTCCTGCGCGCGAGATCGGCGTCGTGACGCACTACCGCTCGCAGCTGGCCTTACTGCGGCACACGCTGCGCGGCCTGGTAGCCGGCGGGGATGCGGTGGTCGGGGATGTGGAGATGCACACGGCAGACCGGTTTCAGGGGCGGGATAAGTCGGTTGTGATATTGAGTCTGGTGCGGAGTAACGAGCAAAGGTCAATTGGTGAGTTGTTGAAGGATTGGAGGAGAGTGAATGTGGCGTTTACGAGGGCGAAGAGGAAGTTGCTTGTTGTGGGGAGTAGGAGCACGCTTCGTGGGAGCGGGAATGGGAATGCAGCAGGAGGGGATGAGGAGATGTTGGCGCGGTTTGTGAGGTTGATGGAGGAGCGCGATTGGGTGTATGATTTGCGCAAGGACGCGCTGGATGGGCATTTCTGGCCGGCAGAAGTGTTTGCTGCGACGGGAGCTAGCGTCCCGACGCAGAGGCAGGAGGTGAATGTTAAGGGAGAGAATGGCTCGCCCGTGAAGAGCTCGCCCAAGAAGGGAGTTGTCATGGGTCAGCTGAGCTCCAGCCCTAGAGGGAAGGAGAATAGTCGGCCTGGGCAGGCGGTTACGGGTAAGACGGCAAAGACGACGAATGCTGCCGCTGTGGCTGGCAGGACTGTAATGCCGAAGAAGACGGCGAGGATTAATGAACGGGCGATGATGCGCGGCAAGCCGGTTCTCAGGGATATTCTGAATGATGCGATGGATGGGGGGTATTAGTCATGGAAATGGCGCACTGCAAGTGGGATAGGGTGTTGGGTTCCCTTTCTGTTTTTCTTCCTAAGAGCAGGATTAGCTGGATGGAAGTCACCTTGCATGTATAGGATTCGATTGTTAGCTGTTAGGGTACCACTTAGGTATGGATACTATGTTGGGTCCTTATCATGTATAAGGGGTGTCGGAGTAAGGTTGTTGGGGCTGTTAGTGTTGGTGTATGGCTAATAGAGCATATCTGGGTACAGAACACATAGGAATCATATTAACAATGTAAAGCAACAAAATAACTATCTACGTTCAAACAGTGTACGAATCTCGAGTGTTGTTGGTCAGCCTAGTGCAAGCGGATCTGCCACCGCAAGTGCTTAAAGAGCCACGATCTGACATGAACTTATCATTATACAATTGGAGCTTCGTGTCAGCAATTCTGAGTCACTTTGGAGAAGGCATGCTCACTTCCCAACCATTTACTAGTTCTTTTAGGATCTTGGCGTTGTGAGGCTTCTTGGAGGCTCAGGGGCAGTTCTTCCACTCTCTGTCTGGTTTTGGGGTTAGGGTCCAGTAGCTTCCTTTTCTGTATCACGTGACATAATCAAGCCCACCAACCTTTGCCTTCCGTCCAACGGCGCGCCAAGCACCAGGCAAGCTTAGCTCAGCAGTCAGTTGCTTGGTACTTTGCTGGTGGAGGATCGCAGCCGACCGACCGACTCCCGGGCGGGCCATCCAATTGCTCGCTTGACTCGGAGCCTGCACGACACCTCAACCTCACACACTCCACATCCGACGCCCACCCGTCGCCCCCCTCCTCTCCAGGTCTCTCTCTCTCTCTCTCTCTCTCTCTCTCTACTCTCTCTCTCTCTATTCCTTCCTCTTGACTCACGACACTCCACGACGAGGAGGCAGACAGACTAGCCGAGAAAGAGCGACAAGTGCGAACGTCTGTCCCTCGGCTTGTCAAAAAAAAAGCCGCCCAGTACCTGCGAACCCAGCCGTTCGAACCAAAGAGTTTCTGTCATCAATTCGCTCTCGGCCCAGCTCAGCTGCAAGCTTGCGAAAGCGAGTCAAATAACTCGATTGATCGGCTGATTCTTCGCCTTTCAAATTCGCCACCGAGATCAGCCCTACCTTCCAGAACTCCTCCCCTCACCAAATCACCAACCCCCTCACACCAAAAAAAAAAAAAAATAGCCCGTCACGACTCGCCTCGCCGCCGCGGCGCTCTCGCGCGCGTCCACTGTGTCTTCGAAGGCCCTGACTCCGGCCCGCTTCCGCTTCTTCTCGACTACGCAGCGCCGCGCGGGTGGCCACGGCATGCAGTACGACCCGCCGACGGGCTGGCTTTGGGGTGTGCGGCCCGGCGAGAAGTACCAGAACGAGGGGTGGGAGGGACCCTTCTTCTACGGGTTCTGGGGCAGCCTGATTGTGTTTGCCATTGCGTATGCGTATAAGCCGGATACGAGGTATGTTTTCTACCTGGAAAATATGAAGTGGACTGGAGGGAAGCACATCCGCTGATAGCCAAACACAGCATTCAGACCTGGGCGCTCGAGGAGGCGCGGAGAAGGCTAGAGGCTGAGGGGATTTTGGAGGATCCTAACCCCACGAAGAAGGAATAGATTGCATCATCAATACACAACCAGCTAGCTGGCTGATGGGATCCAAACAATGAGAGGGATTATGTAGATCATGAGAATGGACGGATGGACGGAATAAGAGGAGAGGTGTGTGGGTGCTGATGCTGGGTGACGTACGTTAGACGGGGGCTTTGCAGTTTTTGCATCACCGGCTTGAGAAAGAGAGATATACACGCGGCTGCGCATGCATTCTTCAGATAACGCACACTTTTACGTATACGTATATATGCGGCTCGAATGTGCATTTCCTTATGTTGCTTAGACCAAGGGGGGATGGGCTAGTGGTCATGGGGAAGGGAGGTGGAATTATGACCCAAAATCGACACCCGGCATGTGATACCAGAGAACCCTCAAGTGCAGCTAAACCAACGTGGTATCCTTCATTTTTTTTTTTTTTGTCGCTTCCCTGCCTGCTATGTACGACACGCCATGCTCCCAAACCCCAAACCCACTTCTTCTAGCAAATGTAGCTCCACTCGTGCTCATCATCACCATACTGCCGGGCCTCGATCCACTCCTTCATCTTGGCAGCGATCTCGCCCGACTCCTCATGGTCCTTCAAACCGCAGTTGATCAGCTTGCCCTTCCAGCTGATGTGGCGGACAGGGCTGACAATGGCAGCCGTGCCCGAGCCGAAGGCCTCAATGAGACGACCCTCGTTGGCAGCCTCGTCGAGTTCCTTCATGGTGTACTTGCGCTCCACGACGTTCCAGCCCTGAGGAACAAGACGCTCGCGGGCCAGCGACAAGACCGAGTCGCGGGTGACGCCCTCCAGGATGGTGCCGTCCAGCGGCGCCGTGATGAGCTCCTTCTGGCCCGTCTCCTTGTTGCGCAGCGCCACAAAGAAGTTCATAGTGCCCACCTCCGTCACATACTCCTGCTCGCCGAACAACCACAAGTTCTGCTGGAAGCCGCGGCCCATGGCCTCGCGCTGCGGCACCACGCACGGCGCGTAGTTGGCGCCCAGCTTCTTATCGCCGACGCCGCCGGGCCAGGCGCGCACGGCGTAGTCGGTCGCCTCGAGCGAGACAGCCTTGAAACCCGTCGGGTAGTACGGGCCGACGGGCGAGGCGATGACGAAGAGGAGGGCCGAGCCCGGCGGGCCGACGCCCAGTGTCTTCTGCGTGCCGATCAGCGTCGGACGCAGGTACAGAGAGTAGCCGCGCTCTTCGGGAATGAAGCGGCTCTCCAGCTTGGTGAACTTGGCTATCAGCTCGATCAGGGCGCTGCCGTTGAAGTTGGGCAGGGCTATGCGCGCGGCGGACTTGTTGAAGCGCTCCATGTTCTTGTCTGGGCGAAACAACCGGATGTTGCCGGCCTTGTCCTTGTAGGCCTTCATGCCCTCGAAGCACTCGAAGGCGTAGTGGAAAACGCAGGTGGCCGGGTCGAGGGACAGGTTCTGGTAAGGCACGATGCGCGGCGCTTGCCAGCCCGTGGTGTTCTGCCACTCGATCATGAGCATATGGTCTGTTGTTGTTAGCTTCCTGTGTCCAGGGTCACCGAAATTGGCGTCATGGACCTACCGGTGAAGTTGCGGCCAAAGATGAGGTCCTTGGCAGCTTTGAGCGGCTTGGGGTTAGTTGTCCGCTCGATGACGAGCTGGGACGGGTCAATATCGGCCAGTTTCGTCTCTGAAGCAGCCGGAGCAATGCTGTACTGGCGCACAGCCTGCTGCCACGCAGGAGCAGCAAGGCCAGTTCGCCCCGCGGAGAGAGCCGAAGCGTGGGCAGCGCTCCTGAATAGTTGATGCCGCATCATGGTCGCGGCTTATAGATGTTGATGTAAAGGAAGATGGAGGATGGAGGGGCAAAAGCCGAGATCTACACAGTCATGCAATGGGGAGGAGACAATGGGGGGGGGGGAAATTTGGGAAAGATGTCAAGAGTCAGAGAAAGGCCAGTAGAGGGCCGGTCTGCATACGGATATGCGGTGCTGACGGATGTCGATGATAAAGCAGGTGATAGGGGCCGCGAGTAAGCGATGAAATCCCCAAGTTTCCTTCTCTGGAACCCAAATTCTCGGAGGCGCATCGGAGCACGCTGCTGTTGCGCGATTGTGCCGAGTCAGCGGGTTCGAGCCAGACCCTTGGCCCATCATGGGGCTTATCGACAATGTTGGAACATTTGATTGGTTGATGAACAACGTTGGCTATCGCTGTTTAACAGCTTTCAAAACGCGTGCTAAACGGACTGCTCTGGGCGGATGTCAGGGCCGGGGTCGACCCACATGCCGCAGAGGGGTAGGTTCCAGGCTTTGGCTGGCGTGAGGCTTGGCTGGTGCAAAATGCTTGGCCAGTGTGCTTGGGTTGCCGTGGGGCAGTCTCAGACAGGCCCAGTTGGCCCCTAGCAATTGAACAGCGGTCGGACAAAAGTTCAGATCGAAGGCCAGCATCGACAAATCGCATCCCCATCCGTCGTCGAGCTCGACTTCAGCCTCGACTCCCAGCACCAGGAGGGCCGGTATCAGATGCTGTCTCAGCACCCATAGCCAGCGATGAGAGCAGCTGCGGCCCCTGGATGACACTTGGAGACTTTTCAGACACCATCATCATCTCGTAATAGCTAATTTTCCCCCACCACCTCGGCCATTATCCCGTCACCATGTTCGCCAACGCCCTCAAGACGTTCGCGGCATCCAACATCTCAGCCAACTACTCCATCTCCTCCAATCTGACCGCAGTCGCCGGCCCGTGGAAGATATACCCGGCAAAGAACAAGAAGACCGGCAAGGAGTGCTCCGTCTTTGTCTTCGACAAGAAAGGTCTCCTCGATGCCCACCGCGCAGGACTTAGGGGCGCTGAGGCCGCCGAGGCCAAGCGCGCTGCCGAAGTTGTTGTCGAGCGCTTGAAGAAAGAGGCTCTGGCGCTTGCCAGGCTACGTCATCCCGGGATTCTCGAGGTCGTTGAGCCCGTCGAAGAGACTCGTGGTGGAGGCTTGCAGTTCGTCGCCGAGGCCGTGACGGCATCACTGTCAGGTCTGCTTCAGGAGAAGGATGACCAAGAGAGAGGTGGCACCACCGGCCGTGCCAGCCGATATGTGACCGAGGAGCCGGACGGGACGCGACGACGCCGCGAGATCGAGATCGACGAGCTTGAGATACAGAAAGGCCTGCTTCAGATCAGCAAGGCGTTGGAGTTCCTGCACGAGAACGCCGGTCTGGTTCATGGTAATTTGACACCGGATGCTATTCTGGTGAATGCAAAGGTGAGATTCAACTTTCTTTAACCGGGTACGGACACTTGCTAACTTGCCTAGTCGGATTGGAAGCTCGCAGGTTTGGCGTTTTGCAGCCCAGCCGATTCTTCGAACGCACACTCTTCGTCGATCCCTCCAATCAACCTCCGAGAAGCCCTTAGACACGTCCCAAGCCTTCCACGATCCGTACAGCTGAACCTCGACTACACATCTCCCGACTTTGTCCTCGACAACAACATCACTCCGGCTGCCGACATGTTCTCCATGGGCCTGCTGTGCATCGCCCTCTACAACTCTCCACACAGATCACCCATTGAGTGCCATGGCAGCCTGACTTCCTACCAGCGCATCTTCCAGTCGTCGTCGAGCATACCGAACTCGTCCAACAACTTCCTCTCGTCCCGCAAGCTCCCTAAGGAGCTCGCCAATCACCTGCTCCCCCGCCTGATCACTCGTCGTCCTGCTCAGCGTATGAATGCCACCGAGTTCCAGCAGAGCGAGTTCTTCAACAATACCCTGGTGGCCACTATCCGCTTCCTTGATACCTTCCCGGCCAAAACCATGGCCGACAAGACCAAGTTCCTGAGGGGTCTGGTCAATGTGCTCCCCTCGTTCCCCAAGTCGGTGATGGAGAAGAAGATACTGCCTGCCCTGCTCGAAGAGCTCAAAGACAAGGAATTAATTTCTCTGATCCTACATAACGTCTTTAAAATCATCAGCTTACTGCCCTCGGGCCGGCGGGCGTTTGGCGACAAGGTACGGCCAGCGCTCAAGGAGATCTTTGTTACCAACGTCAAGCACGAACCAGGCAAGGAGAGGGAGAAGGACCCAGCCCGTGATGCCGGCCTCATGGTAGTGATTGAACAGCTCGGCGTGATCGGTGAGAATTGCAACGGCAAGGAGTACAAAGATGACATCCTTCCCATCATATTCAGTGCCTTGGACTCTGGGACACCATCCCTGGTCGACGCGGCACTCCAGAGCGTCCCCAATATCCTCCCACAGCTAGACTTCAGCACCATCAAAAACGAGCTCTTCCCCGTGATCGCCACCATCTTCAGCCGAACCAACAGCCTAGCCATCAAGATCCGGGGTCTCCAAGCGTTTGTCACTCTCTGCGGCGGCTCCAACGACCCAGGGGACGACGGACTGGACGGTCTCTCCCCCCAAAACAAGAAAGCAACCTCCTCCACCGCGCTCGACAAGTTCACCATGCAAGAAAAGATCGTCCCCCTCATCCGCAACATCAAGACCAAAGAACCCGCCGTCATGATGGCCGCCCTCAAGGTCCTCCGTGTCGTCGGTCGCATCGCCGACGCCGACTTCGTCGCTATCGATATCCTCCCCATCCTGTGGACCATGGCCCTCGGCCCGCTGCTGAATCTCAAACAGTTCCAGGCGTTTATGGAACTCATTAAGGAATTATCGGGGAGGGTGGAGGAGGAGCATAGCAGGAAATTGGCCGAGCTGGCGAGAGGCGATCCGACGTCCCCGGCCGTCAAGGACGATTTCATGTCGTTTGGCCCGCCGGCGACGGTCGGGTCGCAGTTAGATGCGAATGGGACGTCGGAGACGGATTTTGAGAGTTTGGTGAAGGGGAGCTCGGGGGCGGGGGCGGGGGCGAATCCGCTGGATGTGGGGCTGGAGAGTTTGGCGTCGCCGACCGGGTCGGTGTCGTCCAAGAGGTCGACCCCGGCGCCGACGTTCTCGTGGTCGACGGCCCCTGCGGCAGCTGCGCCGGCTTCATCTACGCAGAAGGGAGCGTTCAGGAGTGTTACTCCGGATTTGTCCCATATCCAGCCTATTGCGCCGGCGACGACGCAGTTCTCGCAGCCGTTGCAGCCTACAAGTGTTGGTAGTACCGAGCCGAAGCCGCCGACTTCGACGTTCTCGTCGTCGTTCTCAACAGTTACAACACAGCCTAGTACTACAGGGTCGACATCGATTGACTGGAGTGCTGCGACTAAGACGAGCGCGAGTAATATCTGGTCGACACCTTCTACTACTTCCACAACGACCAACACGCTGGCATCTTCGCTTGGCTCACTCTCCCTCAACCCGCAAGCACACCAAAAAACCGGCACATCATCCTTCTCCCTCCCTCCTCCCCCCGGAAGTACCACTACCACGACCGGTACCGCACGCAGCGGCCTATCAAGCTTCAGCCTTGCCCCTCCTCCTGGCTCAAATCTGAACAAGAAGCCCTCTGCTTCCTCCTTCGGCGGCTTGGGTAGCTTGAATGCGAGCGCTACTGGAAGTGGGCTGAACAGCCTGAACAGTCTTAATAGTCTGAAGAATCTCTCCACTTCGACGTCAACCTCAACCGGTATGGGGATGGGAATGGGTATGATTTCGAGCAGCAACAGTGGCTTTGGAACGACTATGGCAGGAGGGATGAGCTTGAGTATGCAGCCTCTTCAGCCGATGAATGTTTCCGGCGGTAGTAGCATGATGGGAATGGGGATGGACAGCGGATTTGGGCAGTCGCACGGACAACAGCAGCAGCAGAGTCAGAAGACGGGGTTGGATAAGTATGAGAGTTTGTTGTGAGTGGAACGTCTGATGGCTCCTGGCCTGTCTGTCGAGACAGTCAAAGGCCTAAAAATGAGGAAGAGAGGGGAAGGATGATGGGTTGTTATGATTCTATGTCTCTACTTATTTGTTCAAGGTGCTTGTGACTTCCTTCTTTTTTTTTTGTCTTGGTTTTTGTTAGATACATCAGGTAGTAAGGAGTAGGTCGGGATGGTTCTCTTTGTGTTTAATCATCCTTAGTTGGTAGACTGGCATAGCGAATTGGGCTTTGGTGCTGGTGGCTTTTTGTTGGTATGGAGTTCAGGGTTTCCATATCAGTATATGGAGGTATAAAGAATTATTTGCGTTGCGGTTATCACGTAAATGGGAATGGAATGTTGCATCGACGGCATGTGATCTGTCTGTTTGCTTGTTCAGTAGCCGTGTGTGCCTGAATGAATGATGATTGTCCTTTGTAATATGACTCAATTCCTTACCGGCCTTTCTCGGTGCTTGAGATAAAGTAGTTTTGACAGTAAAACTTGACGTTCTTCCCGACAATGGCTGTAAGCTATGGGATCAATACTTAGCCAAAAAAAAAAAAAAGGCCACTCGCTGTAAAGGTCCAAAGGACTCCATAAAACTGCAACGCATTTCATTAATCGAATCTTCCTGCTATGAGTTTACATGGGAAGTTACAAACGTATGTACGACCTAACTAAGCCAAAACAATACTCCAAAAAAAAAAACGTCCCCGTCTAGAACCCATTTCGTTTTCATTTTTGCATGTTTTTATTTCCTTCATCCTAAAGCCCATCATTAACCTCTGGATTGGGTCACGATGGGCCTGCTCACTTCTTTTCAGGGCTCGAGCTAACCCAACGTCAACACCAACAAACACCTCAAATATCCATCTCGCCCGCCCCTCGACTCTTTTTTTTTCTTATAAAAGCCCTTACACAAGTAATTTTTGATGGACTAACAACGTAGGATCCTGACAAGGCATTGTTGGCTGGTTTTTTTTTCGCCTCTTAGCCTCTCTCATCCCACCCATATATTCATTATTTGGTAGGTAAGAGACTTGTCGTCTCTTCCGGCAGAGTTGATAGCCAGAGCCGTAGCAACTCAGCGAGCCAGCCGTCAAGTTGGTCTGATAGAGCAAAAGAACCAACTCAGAGAGAGCTAAGAAAACCAGGTCACCCTCAAACAGGAGAGAGAAATAAGTAAATAGGTACAAAAACGGGTGCATCAAAAATAAACAGGGTATCATCTCTTCTCTTTCTCTCTCTCTCGGCTTCTTTTTGTTTTTCCCTCGGGACAGGAGAAAGGAAAAAAGGGGGAAGTAACAAGAAGGTATTCAAGGGGGAATGAAAGGGAAAAAAAAAAAAGGCAAGAGACGATGATAAAGAGCGGGAGTCAGGAGAAAGGATTAGGTAGATGGCATGCCCCCAAATCACAGAGACCACACCCTCCCACGATCCCTACCACGCGGGCCTCCCCTCCCACGTCCCCTCCCCCCTCCTCTGAAACCAGAAGCTCCCTAAGCCTGGCCACCTCTCCTACCCCTCCCCTTCCCCTTCCCCTTCCCCTTCTCCTTCGCCGACGATTCCTCCCCATTCTCCTCTCCACTCGCACTTGGACTAGCTGCCGCACTGGAGCTCGCACTCCTACTACCACTCGCACTTCGGCTCTCAGTATCACCATCCTCCTTCTTCCCAGCAACCCCCTTCTCCTTCTCAATACTCAACGTCGCAACCTCCACCTTCCTCGGCGGTGGATGCACCTGCGTAAAGATATGCCTACTCTCATACCCCTCGGCCAACTCAATCTCGACGATTTGGTCATCTGGGATCATTTCATGCTTCAACTCCCACCCGGCTCGACGGCACAGCTCGGCGACGACAACGTCGCAGTCCCCGAGGAGGTCAATATCAAAATTCACGTGCGACACAGGCGTGCGAGAGATGTAGATTTGGGGGATGTGGGGAGGTAAATAGGGAACGACCTCGCTGACGGGGGCAACTTTGAGGGAGGTGCCGATGACGATAACGAGGTCGACCCGGTCGCGGTCGTGTTCGGTTAGGCGCCGGCCGAATTCGTCCGGAAGGGGTTCTCCGAAGAAGGTAATGTCCGGCTTCATGACGCCGTTGCAGACGTTGTTAGAGCCGGACGAGCCGCCTGCGGCGGAAGAGATAGATCGAGCGTCGAACTCGGAGTCGGAGTTACTATCATAGTCTCCCGGGCGACGACGGGGCTTCTTTTCGGTGCCATCACGCTGCAGCTTGCGTTTGCGGCCGCCGCTGTTAGGGGTCGCCGTGCAGCGGGGAATGTCGCCGGCCTTGATCTGGGCGAAGATGGATTCTCCGGGTACTTTGCGGCCGCACTTAGTGCAGGTGGCGGTGGCGAAAGAGCCGTGGCATTGGACGAGCTTGTCACGGGAGATGCCGGCCTTGGCCTCAAGATTGTCGATGTTTTGCGAGTAGTTGGTCAGCAGCTTGCCCTTGTCCTGCAGCAGCTTGATGAAGGCGTGGGTCGGGGTGAAGCGGTCGTGGTTGGGGAGGATGTCGCGGGCGACAGAGTAGAAGATGGACGGGTCCTGGCGGAAGACAGTGATGTCGAAGACCTCTTGGGGGTCGTTCAGACCGAGGTGCTCAAGCTTGGAGTACAGGCCGGTGCCCTTGGATCGGAAGTCCGGGATACCGAGAGAAGTGGAGATGCCGGCGCCGGTGAGGACGATGATGTTGTTGCACTTGTGCAGGAGCGCCACGGCGTCGTCGACCGTGTTGTACTTGGTCAACTTGGCCCGCTTGGACAGCTCCCTGGTGAAGGCCAGGCTGAGAAGGGCGTAGTAGGCATCGTCTTCGCAGCCCTCCAGAAAGGCGGGCGGACGTATGCCAAAGGCGGTCAGCAGCTTCTTGGCCGTGATGGCGCCGGAGCCGATGGTCCTCTCGCAAAAGACCTCGGGACCCAGAGCGCGCAGTAGCTGGCGATACTTGATGGCCTCGTCGGGTGTGCAGGCCTCAGGGTCTGTGTGTGGCGGGTTAGCGTGTCATGATGTCAGGACAACCAAAGCAGAGATCAAAAAAACAAAAAAAAAAAAAGTTAGCCCAATAACAGTATGAGAGAAACAAATGGCTTTACCCTCGGTAAAGAAGCGATCTTCGGCCAGGTCCTCGATGGCATCGGCAAAGAGAGACTCGGTCTCCCAGGACTCGCTTAGATTATTTAAGTGCTCGTCGAGCTCACTCATGTTGGCGTTGGCGATGGCAGCCTGCTCATCGCCGTCGATCTGTTCGTTGAGCTCGGCAAAGCGGCGCTTCTCGTCGTAGTCGACGGGGTTCTTGACTCGCCCACTGGGCTTGCGCGAGCCCGACGTGCCGTTGGATCCGGCTGAGCGACCGCGCGGCGAACCCATCACAGCAATTTCAGGAGAGGTTTTTTTTTTTTTCCGTGTATGTATTTGTTTGTGTAATGAGAGGGCGAGTTGTGGTTGGACGACGAGGTTGGCTGTTGCTGCTGTTGTTGTTGTTGATGGCTGGCTCCTGTTGGCTTAGGTACCAAGTGGCGGGATGACTGGTCGAGTTATTCAGAAGAAAAAGAAAATGATATATGGGAAAGACAGGAATCGAAATCCCACAAAAAGCGACCCGCGACCCGGAGGGAACGGAGAAAGGGAGAAAAGTGAGTTAGGGTCCGGGCAGGCAGTTGAGTAAGAAATTGAGTGAGTGAGCGAGTGAGTGAGACTGTGAGTGACGGCAAGATAAAAAGCCGGAACAATTATTAGAAAAGTTCCAATGCGAAGGTAGCGTGCCAATGAGAAGTCAGAAGACACGGCAAGAGCAAGCGCCCACGTAGGCACCGAAGGAACCGCAAAGTTAAAAGAGTTGGTTTCCGCTGGCGTTGTGCTTGTGTGCTTGTGTGGGGATTGTGGATTGTACCTGAGTGTGTGTTTGTGTGTGTGTGTGTGTGTGTGTGTGTGTGTGTGTGTGTGTGTATGTGGTTGAGGGATGAAATCAGAATGAAATGAAAAATTCAGGAGAAAAAGAAGCGCAGTGCAGTGAGCGATTGAGAGATGCAAGCGAACAGCTTTCCCCCTTTCAGTCCTAGTACCTCCAATTGGGACTGCCTGGGACTTGGACCTATAAGAGCACAGGGCTTGGCGGGTCACAGTTACGCTTTTATGCTGCTGTCGCCCGTAGGTACCTAGGTACGGTTGTGATATGCTGCCTGTTTGGTGCTTGGTGTGCGGCAGGAAGAATTGCAGAGAGGAAAAGAAAAGATGGTGGCAACGGAAGGGAGATTTGCATGTGAGAGTGATATACTCAAGTCGTGCAGTGGTAGTGGTTGGAAAAAAAAAAAAAAAAAAAGAGATGACTTTCATCCATCCACCGGGGAATAGGAAACCCAGCTCAGAGTCAAGCAAAATGCATCAAATGAGTGAGCGTGGCCTGAGCAAGGAACAAGGACCTCCCTGCGATAGCAGCCTGCCACAACATCTCGACAAGGGCGCGGTCCAGAGGAAAGTCGCGAAGGCCGAGTAGCGTCTCAGTGTCAGTGCCCATTGCGCTGCCAGAGTCCCTGACTACTTGAACTGCTGTGAGAGTGCGGTACAGAGAAGAAGAGCCCACTCCTGTTACGGTGTCAGGTACCGCTTAGCTAACCGTCTCTCAACCTTCGGTCCTTCAAAGGGTTACTTTACAAATAACCTAAGCCGCTGCATGAACAAGCGGCCCGCGCGAGCGTCGCGCAAAAGACGGGAGGGCAGTGTTTCAAATTTGAACCCATCTTTGGTGGGTGAAACACTGACATTATCGATGGTAGAGCATGCCATCATGTCATGATGATACCTCACTTGACCGATGGCTCGAGACCGAAGTTATCAGGTCCTCTGTTACCGGGTACTTTGTACTTTAGCTTACTCATAACCCATCAACCCTTTGCTTGTGTCTCCCTCAGCCACGGCTCATGAGCCATCCACAGGCAGGCTAGAGGGGAGCAAAAACCAGTTTCAACACGGCGAGACATATAAATACCTAGGTAACATACTTCTCACAAAGCGGCCGTTTGCATGCATTTCTGGGCTGTTGGTGATTAGGAGCAGCTTTATGTTTCATACCGCCAACCAACACGCGGCGATGGAGGGTTTCTCACAAAGAGATACAGCCATTGACTCCATGCCATCCATCATGGTATTGCAAAAGTATTCATGAAAACTTTTATAACTTCACATCACATCTAAGTATGAGGAACGATAATTGGAGAGGTAAAGACGGTAGTAAATTACGTAGGTATGTATAAGGCATATTATCTATATACCTATACCCTCCTATCTACCTGCTGGAATCAGTTTTATCCCGTGACCGGTGGTAAATGACACCTTTTTAGCCATACGCTAACATGTTGAAAGAGAAGAGCCCAAAAATCAACGCTGTCAAACGATTGTATCTCTCTGTATGTATGCCCTACAACTTATTCCATCTATTAGTTCCCAGTGAGCAATCCCGCTCAACCGAGTCCGAAGCACAAAACAAAAGCAAAAAAAAAAAAAAAAAAACGAAACCTTAGCCGAGATAACAAAAAGAAATCCCACAAGTAAGGTAGACACCAAGTGTGCATGCAGTACACCAGTACACTGCAAAGCGAAGGACGAACTCCAAAACTCCCAGCACCGAACTGTTCCAAATAACCAGTAAAAACCCATACAGAGTCTCCAAGACTCAACCCAGGCCCCCCCAACCCCGCTCTGGCCTTGCTGACCGCCCACTATTGGCTTATATTTTCGTCTCCCCGCGCTACTTCGTTAACCCCCTGTGATCGTTGCTATTTAGTCTTTGTACAATAGCTTTACAGTATACACAGCTGGAATGAAGGCAGCAGTGAGATGATGCTGCTCCTCATGACAACGTAAGAGGTAATAACGTAAATGATCCGTAGCAGGTTGCTTTCTAACCCCCTGAGTAAAGCGAGGACGACAAGCAAAGGATCATGCCAATTCACATCACTCGCTCACTCAGGGGGCCGGCAATGAAGTGGAAGGCGACACAGAGCCGGAAGAGGGGCCAGAACCGTTGTTTTTGTTGTTGTTGTTGTTGTTGTTGTTGTTGTTGTTGTTGTTGTTGTTGTTATCCGCCGCCCGAGGAGGCTTAGGCATGCCGAGGATGGGCACATCCACGCTATCGGGGTCTGTGTGGAAAGGGCCATCCAAGATCGGGGCCGACGTCGAAGCCGCGGGAGCATCACTCGATGTGGTGCCCGGCCTGAGGTTGAGGGGGTTGTTGTTATTGCTACCGAGTTGGGCATTCGCAGCAGCAAACTGCTCCTCAATCTGGCGGGCACGATCGCGGTCAATAGGTGACCAGCCAGCGCCGATGGAGCTAGCCACGATGCCCGTCATGACGGTCGCGACACCGACGGCGCTGTTGGAACGCGAGCGGGCGCTGCGGCTGGGACGGCGATCGGGAGTCGGCGCGGCAGCAGAGCTGAAGCTATCCTGGCGGTTGGGTGTCGGCAGGCGGTTGATGGAGTTAGAGCGCGAGGGCTCTCGGCTGTGGCCGGGGGTGCGGGCGCGCTCGAGGGCCTGGCGCGGATGGCGAACAGCAAACTTAAGGTTGTTGAGACGGCCGCCCTTCATACGCTTGAGCCAGGCGAGCTCGTCGCGGACCTCGGTGATGACAGATGGGTAGGCGGCGAAGCGCTGCTGCTCCTCGTCGTCCGAGATCGTCACCTCAGGGGCCTTAGGGCTGCGGCGCTTGAAGGATGCGGGGATCAGGCGCTCCAGAAGCTCGTCGGGGATCAGGCGGATGATGACACCAACCGGGATGGAGATGACACCGAGAACGATGGCAATGCCCCACATGGCGGGAGTCTGGCCCTCGGGAGCGATGCGGAAAGCCTGACCGCCGACCATGACAATCAAGACTTGGCCACCGCACATGATGGCGCTGATGCCGATGAACCATGGGTTGCGATGCATGCCCTCGAAGATGTTAAAGTTGTTGTCCAGACGACGGTTGTTCCACTGGTTGAAGATCTGCATCCAAACGAACGTGTTGAACACCAGAGTGTGAATCTGAGCCTCCGTCATGTCATCAGGACCAGGGAGCACCTTGACGCCACCAAAGTAGACGAGGAACGTGATCAGAAGCTGGTAGACGGCCTGACCAAAGATCATCTTCCACATGGTCGTCGAGATAATCGGGGCACCCTTGCGCTCAGGCTTGCGGTCCAGCACGCTGTCCGACGGAGGATCCGTGGCGAGGGCGAGAGCGGCGAGCGTATCCATGATGAGGTTGACCCAGAGAAGCTGGACGGCAGTCAAGACGGCCGTCTGGTCGCTGCTCTGCACGGCTGACACGAAAGTCAAGACGACAGCGGTAACGTTGACCGTCAGCTGGAACTGCAGGAAGCGCTTGACCGCATCGTTGACAGCACGACCCCACTTGAGCGCCTTGACGATCGAAGTGAAGTTGTCGTCCATGAGAATGATAGCAGACGCCTCCTTGGCCACCTCGGTGCCGGCAATACCCATCGAGAAGCCGATATCAGCCATCTTCAGAGCGGGAGCGTCGTTGGTACCGTCACCAGTCACAGCCACCGTTTCGCCCATCTCCTTGAGGCGCTTAACCAGGATGCGCTTGTCCTCGGGGCTGGACCGAGCCAAGACATGCAGGCGGGGGATGATCCTCAGCTGCTCGGCCTTGCTCATGTTGCGGAAGACAGGGCCCTCGAGGACGACGCTTTCGGGCTGCAGGATGCCGCAGTCGCGGGCAATGGACTCGGCTGTGAGCTTGTTGTCACCGGTAACCATGCGAACAACGACGCCAGCTTTCTGGCAGAGCGCAACGGCCTCGGGGACGCCAGGGCGCAGGGGATCCTTGATGCCGACCAGACCAATGAAAGTCATGTTGCGGCAGATCTCCTCGAAGACAATCTCGTCCTTCTCAGCACCCATGCGGCGAGACGGCCTGGGAGGCCAGTCGATGTCGCGGTAGATGAGGCCGATGGTCCGCAGGGAGTTGCGCGCATACGTCTCGATGAGCTTCTTGATGGTGTTGCGGTTGTCCTCGGTCAGGGTGGCGGAGGCAGTGCCGTTCGACGGGTCGCGCAGAATCTGAGTGCACTTCTCCAGCATGATCTCGGAGGCACCCTTGACATAGAGACGCGCCTTGGTCTCGCTCAGCTTGATCACAATACCCATGCACTTGCGACCGGAATCGAAGGGGATCAGGTGCAGCGTCGTCGCGTTGGCCCGCTCCTGGGCGACCGGTCCCATGGCCAAGTGTTCCCTAGCCAGCAAAAGCAGCGCAGTCTCCGTCTTGGAGCCAACGAACGGCTGATCCGGGTCGCCGCCCTCGCCCTCGAAAGCCGTCGAGTTCAGCGCGATCGAGTTCTTGAGCAGCTCGCGAACATCGGGATGCAGCGACGACATGAGCTCCGAAACACCAACTTCCTTCTCCGAGGGATTCTGCTGATCGGGAGTCCTGGTTACGCCAAACCGATGAACCGTGCCGATGGTGCCGGCCACAACCTGCATCTTGTTCTGAGTCAGGGTACCCGTCTTGTCGGAGCAAATCGTGGTGGCGTTGCCCATGACTTCGCAAGCCTTCAGATGCCGGACCAGGTTGTTGTCCTTGATCATCCGAGTCGTGGCGAACGCCAGGGCGAGCGTGACAGCGAGCGGCAGGCCCTCGGGCACAGCGACAACCACAATGGTAACAACGACGATGAAGATCTCAATGAAGTGCTGGCCCTTCTGAGCGGGAGTCAGGGGCTTGTACTGTCTTGGCAGGCGGACCAGGAAAATGATGAACAGGACGAGGAACAGAAGAAGGGCGACAGCACCACCGAGCTTGGCGATGTACTCGGCAATAACGTTGAGCTTGGACTGCAGGGGAGTGATCTCGGGATCTTCGTTCAGAGACATCATGGTACGGCCGTAGAGAGAGTGAACGCCGGTCGAGGTGACCATGTAAGTGCCCACACCTTCCATGACGCGGGAGCCAGACAGAATGAAGGGATCCAGCTTCTTGACACTCTCGCGGTTCTCAATCGCCTTGAAGACCTCATCGGCGGGCTTCTTCTTGATGATGTCGGACTCGCCAGTTGCCGAAGACTCGTCGCACTTGACATTGAAACCCTCGATGAGGATGCCGTCGACGGGGATCAGGTCGCCGGGCTCAAGATGCATGACATCGCCGACCAGAACGTCAAAAACCGAGATTTCGATCGTCTTTCCTGAACGTATCACCCTGACCATGCGATCCTGCTTCTTCTTGTTCAATCTCGCGAATTGGCGCTCCTTCTGGTAGTCGTTCAGCGAGCCGACCAAGACGACAATAGCGATGGCAGCGATGATGGCGACACCCTCAATCCATTCAACACCGGGGTTTGTGGGATCGTGTTCCTGGCCGAATGTCTGGTAGAGGCCAATGGCAAGCGAGATGACAGCGGCGATGGAGAGCAGGATTAAAACTTTGTCGTTGTAGGTAATCCACATTAGTTGTAAGAGGCTCTTGCCCTTCTTTTCGGGTAACCTGTTGTCGCCAAAAACGCGTTTTCTGGAAGAAAAGGCTTCATTAGGCGAATCCTGGCGTTGGGGATTCGACGAAGCGCTCCCACTGTACGCCTTGCTGTCAGGCGACGTGGACGTGGCCTCCTCGAAAGAAACCGAACCCGTAAGAGCGGTCTCATCAACGCTCAAACCCGTGGTCCGGTTCGTCCTCAAGCCCTTCTCGATGCCGGCGAGGCCGCCTAGTTTATAAAAGGTCGCCAAATTTTTAGGATCGATCATTTTTGTTAACATTCCCGGGGGGAAGGCAAACGGGTTGTCGTCAACCTGCCAGTCTGCCTCCCTCCCCTTATCTGGTTTCATGGCATTCTGGTCGTTAATAATGCGATCATAATCTGAGAGTTCTGGGGCACCCCTCTCGCCAGGCGTTGAGCCAGCAACGATCGTCTCCCCCTGGGACGAGGCGATGGAGCGCGTTTCGTCTGCTGAATTCACTGAATTTTGGCGGGATCTTTGGACATTGGGAACCGAGAGGAAGCCCTGGTTGGGCCCATTCCCGCGGAAAGATAATGGGTGCGAAACATTATGTGGGCTTGTCGGCCGGCTGTCTCTGCTTTCTAATGTCCCGTCCAGTCGTGTTTGTGATGAGCTCCTCCTATGTGTGCTCAACAACTCGGACTGGCTTGCTAGCGAAACTGGGGAACTAGAAACGACCTGGGTGCTATCAACATTTTGTTGTGTCTCTAGGCTGGGGTTGACAGCCGTGGTGTCAATTGTGATCGTGGGTCTGTCGAACATTGTTAACAGGTGATTAATTCGTATATATAACTTTCAAGATGGCTAAAGGGCGTTGGCCAGCGAAAACATGACCAACGTGTCTCCTGTCACAGACGCGTTACAGCATGGGGAATTGGGACTACTTACGCTCTCGGACGACGAGGAGCATTAGCATCGCCATCTTGTGGGAGGGCAGAATTCGTCATCGCTCTGTCGTTGAGAGCTGAAGGAGGCAGCGCGTCACTGTCAGGCTATCTGCTCAACCTTCAATGGCGAAGAATAGGTTGCCACGGTGAGCAATTGGACCACAACACGAGAGGGCGTGGCGAGGATATTCGCCTTGCTGCCGGAAAGGGCAAAGGATTTCGAGGATATGGCGGCGGCTAACGATGAGAAGGTAGTCGGAAGCAAGCGCGTCAAGCGTTTCTGCTTGGTACTTCCACCGAAATGCACGCCGAATCAAATCAGCTCTGGAGTTCCGAGAGTTCGTTGCCGTTTGCTGTGCCGTTGGGTAGACGTTCAAGCTGTTGTTAAGAGGCCCAGCAATCGAGCGGTGGGATAAACGTATTCAAGTGGCCTCAAGGAGGTCCAACAGCGGGCAATTCGACACGAACAGCCCAGGGAAGGCGCGTTTCAACACGATAATGTTGTTGCAACCAGGAGGAAAAGGCCGAACTCCAGCATCTTCAGTCTGACCCCTTGTTTTTGCTAAAACACTATTCCCTTTTACTTTAGGTAACCTTCGAAACAAGGGGCTGGTATTGAGAATCAAACTTTTAAAGGTGGCAGTGCACATTCATTGGTCTGACAGGGGTCGTTCTAACTAATCGAGAGTCACACCCCTTAGCTCAACTCACCCCACCCATCCGGTGGGTCCAGTGTCCATAATCTTGGTATTGCACAGCTAGACATTTCAGGAGTGCGTCCATTCTACATACATCCATGTCCGCACTAACATTTCCAGGTTGTTATGATTGTCATGACCCTCTGTTTAGCTCCCTTAGGATATCAGAGTACGGCATAGCATCCAAATATGATCTCAGATCAAGCATGTAGAGGTATCTGTTCTTGTCAGACTTATGTACTTTACCAACTTGTACTACCTTCCCTGCAAGCGGAATAAATCCCTCGTTAAGAGCAGGAGAGCTCAGAACGGCAGCTGGTGAACCTTTAAAAGCAATTCCCGGAGAATTTGCTCGATTTAGAGGAAGTTTATGTGTCCATAGAACACACATTGGGTTGATGATTGCTTTCTCACGTGAAGGTGAGTCCGAAAGACGATGCAAATCCCTTACAGTTCAATGTTGGCTGACTTTTTGCAAAGTCCAGCGCTTGCTATATGTACAAGGTACAGTCGCAGTTGATCTCAATTGCACACCTGTGCCACTCTTTTGCAGCACCGCACATGGGCTGATGACGGGAGATCAGCATGCTTCTGGTTAGCCCCGAATATGAAACGCTTGAAGCTATGACCTTGGAAGTAACATATCGTTGGCACTCGAAACCAACCTACATCAGAACCAACACTGCTCATGTTGCTAGTGTACTTGATGGTTCTGACCGCTTCGTGGATGAGAGGTCCAAGAAAACAATCACTGACAGTTCTTGAAGACGCATCTTTTCGGCAACACCGTGGACAGCATTGCCAGGGGCATGAACGCATTCAGCTGTCATCTCCTAAAAAGTGGATCCAATCCACCAATCTGGCTAGCGGATTTGCGCAATCAAAAGGCGGCCCATCGAACAGGCCAGATCTGATTTTTTGCATTGCGCTGACTATGCCCTGTCATCTGGGACATTAAACGGCCCTGCCTTCTTCATCACAAGTGTTTGTTTTTCAATTTGTGTGCGCATAATTCCATCATTGATTCTCCTTGCCCTCCTCAACGTAGCCGCTCTACTCCCCAGTCGAACCCTCAGGCTACCACTAGTGTGTGGTGGCAGACGGCGCCCATCTGCTTCAACCTTCAACAGGCCCCGCAACCGAAAACCTGGGGCACATTCCTCGCCTCATAGCCCCCTCCCCCCCCCACCCCTTTTGGATATAGGGTCTCGAACAAGTGTACAAGGTACCTGTACCGTCTCCCCTACCTATATTACCCCGCACTGCAGCATACTGCCATGTCCCAAATATTCCAAAGTGATGTTCAGTTTCACCATCCCATCACCCGTCACATTGAACGAGGCGGTGCCCATACCGTTGCGCGGCTACCTTACGACGTTCCACGATGCCTTGCAAGGTCATCAAGGCTATTGGAATGGAATGAAATGGGAAACGGAGATTAGATACTGAGAAACAGCAATCTCCACTTTGCGCGATATCAGTCTCTACTAACGACTTGCAGGAGAAGGTGAGGCGACGTCCATGACAGGTTCACACAGTTATCAAAAGTCTCGAGCGAATGCCTCAATCTGGCATCAAATGGGATATTAGCGCGCGCTTTCGCGGGGCGGGGCGGCGCAGCAATAGACGTTTTAAGGCATCCCATCGCCAAACGATCGGCTACCGATAACTGTTAAGACAGCCTTCCATACTCTCATATTAAGATTAGGGCGCACATTTTTTTTACTCGGCTGGTGTTACCGAAAATCTGGAAAAACACGGCTGTGGCTTTACCTTCTTTAGTCCGCTTCATCTTTCCTGTGAGAGCACGGATCCCATGCGTCAGTGGGTTGCAGCATCTGAGGAGAGGTCAACTATCATGGTCGTTGCAGAACAAATTTTGCCCTTTCCCCACCCTTGACAACCTCAGACTTCGGACTAAGATTCAATCCTCTCTGGCGTCCAACGTTGAAGTTCGCTATGACACATTTGCCGCTTGGCCCACCCACCATGACGGTTATATTCTCTGTTTTCTCGAGGTGTTTTGAGCTGCTGAACCGTCGCCGTAAGGTGGTGTAAAAAAGAGGCCGAGGCTGGTAGCATTGTGAAAACGACGCTTTTGGGCAAACGGACATGCACTTTGATGCGGCCCAGATGCAACCTTCACAATCTTCCCTTTACACAGCTTCTTGTCCTCTGCTTCGATGTAACAGGCAGCATTGTTAAAGCCTCACTCTTCAAAGCGATTGAAACACGCGGCTTGGCTCTCCCTGTGAAATTTACCAACAAGTCTACACTACAGGCTAGGGCAATACCAAACCCTCGACGTTTAGAATTGACAAGCCACCCCCTCCCCGGATAGACTTTACCTAACTGGATCAACGTAGGTGGGTAGATCGCGTGTCTCATCCCATCTCTATCCTATCCCTGCAAAGATCGCCCTTGAGGAACACAACCTAGCCTTAGCATGACAGGGCAGGGCTCAATCTCATCAAAGCGATTGAATACATCACATGTGAATCATTGTCGATCCGGCAGGTCGAGACGGGGGGGGGGCTCAACTTTCCGAAAGGCTTAGCTGGCCCCAGGACTGTCTCATGAGGATCGAAAGCTCTAGTGTAGTCGTCAGGTTTATGCCATTCTTAGGGTACCACCACAGCCGCCGTCGCGGGGATTCGGGCAAAGTTGCTCGTTGAGGTCGTCCACTTGCCTTGCCCTGCCTTGCCTTGCGCTATCTGTACCTTACGGTATGTCCTATGCAACTCGATGGGCTGGCAGGTTGGAACTTACATCCGGCGCCGCGGCTACCTCGGTTTTTTGATTTCTCCTCTAGCGTAGAGGCTGAGTCTTATTTGTTTAGGGAGTATTTCTTAAAAAGTCGCCGCTGGGTAGTGACCGTCCGCTGACCAGACGCAGGGCAAGAACCTCCACCAAAGTGGCCCCAGTGGCGAGGAAGATCCTCTCTGAGGATTACGATGAGATGCGAATGAGCAGGAACGATAGTTAAAACCTGCTTTTTGTCCGTGTCATCAAGAATTTTTTTTTTTTTGCCATCCAATGTCAGCTGTTCCCTTCTCCACGGGACCTTATGAGCACGGAGCTTCCCGAACGGGCAGCTCGCCCTGATCCAAGCATGACAGCATACTGCCTGCTAACACGTGTAAGTGCCCGTGAGGAGGAAACTTGCCAGCTCGATCACCGACGACCCTTGGGCATTGGGCCATCCATATGAGGTGATCGACACACGCGAGTCTGATCGACTTGAATGCGGTTCTTCGTCTCCACTGCTTCAGATACGGAGAGATCCTTGGCTGTATGTTGTCAATCGGGTATCTTATCCGCGATACGCTGCTTTTAGGCTGTCAAGACTGATTTCACATTTAACGCCACAATATCAAGCTTCGTGAAGTTCTCTTTCAATATATCAATAAAACAGCGTTTTCTCTTGTGACCTTTGCAAGCATTGTTTTACTTCTTCCCCCCCCCAATATAGACAAACTGAATAGACATAACTTACCTCGGAGAAAAAATTATCCCCCAAATTTTGGCCCAATGAATCCCACCAGCCAGAATGAGCAACTGGTAAAGCGAGGGCCCATCATTGAGGCTGTGCAGTCAAGAATGTTGTCGATCATTGGTGATCACGGGCCGAGAGTCATCAGTTGCTGTGCAGATTCTTCCTTGGCACACGAGAAACAAACGGCGATGGGCAGCAGTGCGTGGGGTCGTGAATTCGTTGGCAGTATAGTCCACACCGTGGTGTATGCTGGTCTACGTAAGGCGCGTAAGGTGCACGGTTTGAATGGTCAGTTGGGATATCATGCCGGATGTTACCCGGGAATATGTCCGTATGGACGTTGTCTTATCAATCAATTAATCAATCAGTCTGTCGTCGAACATTGCGGACTTTGGGTTCTCTCTGGTTCCCCGGACGGGACGTCGTCATCCATCGGGTTGCCAAATGGAATCTTGCATCCCCCACTCGAGGTCGACGTCGGCGATGCCATCGGCAGGGCATATGCTCCTCGAGACCCTGCAGAGGGGATATCGACAACGTTAGAGATGGAATCACTTCTTTTTTTTTCACCCCACAAAGTTCCTCACCGCTGAAAAATTCTTTTTCGCCATCGAAAGTACCGAGACTTCAAGGTTTGCATACCGCTTGCCGCCGAGCGCCGACCCCCGGTGACCCAAGATCTTGGCTGGCGGATCGGTGCCAACTCCGGCTATTCTCGAAGAACGGCGGTGACAACCATGGACTTCTTCAGGGACCCTTCATTCCGCGCCTGTAAGCTGCGAGATCTCGCACAGGATCCTTCAAAAGGGATAGGAAGGTAAAGAAGTCATAGTTTCATGCCAGATGCTTTACTGTATATGTGTGTGTGGGCTGCGGTCTGTTACAACTTCCAAATCGAGTCATTACTTCAACGGTTAGTTAAAAGAAAAGCCACCTCCCTACCTACCTTCATCCGGAACGTCGCTTGTTTCCTAGCTACATACACATGGACTGTGACGAGCGACAATGACAATATCCGATCCGTGGCTCGTTTTGTCTTGCATTTCGGAGTCCGGACTTTATTTTACTTACTTACGTCACCGCATCCGGAAGCCCAGACTGCCCACTTGTGTATGTCCAAGCCTCAATGGATTGGATGACTTTCATAGACTAAATACGTAGCCATTTCCCTAGTGTCTGACGTGGAGTGAGCGAGGAGTGTCAATCAAGGCTGTGGAGAGCTTCGAAATGTCTATGTAGCAGCCTACCTAGGGTATGACGTTTGGTAATTAGGTAAGCACTTACCTGACTCCTCTGTCTTTTCCTGCCTGCCTTGCGAAGAAGTCACACCGGGCACAGCGAGTTGATGTTCGGCTGGAGCGATGAGAGTCAATCTTCTGCTTTACTTAGGTCGTATGTGAGAGATCTACTTAAGCAGGTGGATACCGTCCTATCGGTCTTGCTAGTGTACCAGACTGTGCCTGTGTCGTTGTGGTGCAACGTGCTTGTCTTGTCTTACGTAGACTCTGCCCAGCACAGCCAGGCCAGGCCAGTGTGCATCGCCCGACTTCTAGACGTGAGTATGTATTCCGAGTGTTCCGTGATGATGGCGATGATCCCGAACGCTGCCTGGGCGGCTTTAGGAGAACGTTTCTTTTCCATGTCAAGGGAAGGGGCGGGGCGGGTGGGGGAACATGATGTCGAGAATTGTCGAGATTGAGGTTGCCTGATGTTCTCCGCCGAGCCAGCTAGCCGGTTTTCGCAGCTTGCTCTCCCGGTACACAGGGATTCATACTTCTTGGGCACACAATTAAACTCGAAGTCGTCCATGGTTTAGAGGTTACAAGGCTGGGGCTGAGCCTCGACGGTCTCAAGATGGGTTCCGTGACAATTAATAAAATGACTGACTGATTCGTACAAACTTTGGCTGCTTGCTCGGATGTTGAGTAATCACTGGGCAAAAGGCTCACGCGTCCGGCTTCATACGCGTACAACGCCTTCGCCGGGCTATGTAAGCAGAAGTTGAGTGATGCAAGTGATCTGAAAGAGAGCGCGCAAGGCACTCTCGCTCGTCACAGCCTTGGGTAAGGCATATTCATTGTTTCTTGGACAAAAAGCTTGGGAGAAGCAGGCAAAGGGACCGTCTTAGGAGCCGGCTTAGGGACCGTCTAGAGGTCCATACCCAGAAAGAGAAAAGAGTAAACAGTAACATCATATCATCATACCCTACCCTCCCCCCCCCTTTTCCAAAAAAAAAAAAATTTTTTGTCCCAGAACAGACTTTTTGTAAACAATCTCTCTACCCCTTTTTACTACATCCCAACTGAACAGAGTAGGTAGGTAAACACTAAATGATACCTCATCATCATCCCCCTCTATGTACAACCCTCTATGTACCCTACTGTGTAGACAGGTGCTACTACCTTCTCCCCAAATCTACTTCCCTCACCTTCACCATCCCATCCTCTTCTTCTCCGCCAGCATTCCCCGTGACAAAACCCTTAACCGCTTTCCCCACAACCCCCCTCCAAAACCCTCTCACTACATCCGAACACTCCTGCCCCGTCTGCGCAAAATCCGGAAAGGCATTCACCTCCAACAACCACGTCGTGCCCCCCGCATCCACGAGGAAGTCCAGTCCATATGCTTCGAACGCGTGAGGCAAAGGCTGAAAATGGATGGACATGCTGCGGGCGGCGGCTTCGAAGAGGTCGGCGGTGACGGCGCAGATTTGGGTGAAGATGGACTGTTTTTGGGAGGAGGGAAGGGGGAGGGACCAAAAGAGGTGGACGAGGTCCGGGTCCGGGGTGTCGTATTTGGAGGTTTGCCGACAGGTGTTTGTTAGGTGGGCGTCGAGGTCTAGCTCGGAAGAATTTTCGTCATTGTCGAGGGAGAAGGTGGGTGGCGTGTAGGGTTTGGCAGCGAAGAGAGCCAGCATATCGCGGTAGACGTAGACCGTCAAGGCGCCGACGCAGAGGACGTAGACGCGGATGTGGAACTTGCGGTTGTTGAGCTGGGGGATAAGCAGAGGGGGATGGATGTAGGGCTGGGCAATGAAGTGACGCAGGTGAGAGGTCGTGATGTGGTCTTCGTCGTCATCCCCATCCCCCTCATTCTCCTGCTCCCCCTCTTCATCCTCATCCTCCTCATCATTCCCAACCTCCCACTGGTCAAAAATCACCTGCAACTGCTCCATCCTACAAAACAATCGAATGCCCTGCCCGCGATCACTCATACTCGGCTTGAGAATCCACCACTCCATCTCCTCTTCTTTCCCTTCCTCCAATAATTGTTCATTCTTCTCCAAACTAGCCCGCAAATCCCAAGCCTCCACCAACGCATCGTCTAGAAACTCGGCATAATCCACCTCGAACGCCTCGGCCCTCTTCACGTGCATCTTGAGCACGGAATCGGGGTGCTTCGAGACCCAGGCGTCGACCGTGGCTGACAGGAAGTGCTTGCGGATGAGCGCCTTGCGGATCATGTAGCTGTTCAGGAGTGTCGTGGAGGAGTGCGTGGCGGCGTATTCGAAGTCGAGGGATTCGTAGGGCATGATCTGGAGGATTTTGGCGTCGGGAGAGGGAAGCAGAGACGAGAGGGAGATGTCGGGGTTGGAGGTGGCTGACCAGGTGGAGGGGGGCTTGACAAGAGTATAGCCGTGAGCTGGGAGAAGAGATTCCATGGCGGAGAGGATCAGGGGCTGGACGTAGGCGTCGTTGTACTCGACGAGGGCGTAGACGGGGGAGATCTTTGAACGGAGAAGCAGATCTTCGAGCTGTTCTGCCTGCTTGGTGGTTGGCTTTTGTAATGCTGGCTCTTCAATAACTGCCCCTCTCTCCTCCTGGCTTCCATGGGCCGGCTCCATGCCAAAAGTCATGCTTCGCTTAGGCTGCCTGCTACATACACAAAGTAAGAAAACGCTCTACGCACGAAACAAATCAAAGGAGCAGAAAACTCGAGCCTCGAGTCTATTACTAGATTACGCTGCTCGCTTGTATTGCAATTAAAACCTCAAAATTGGAATGAAAGACATCCATCATCTCCCGATGCGTGATGTGATCCGTTGCTCTCGCCCCGTGGAAACAAAACAAACGCCCAAAAAAAGGGAAAGATAATAATAATGATAATAGTAATAATAATAATAATAATAATAAAAGGAAACACAGCCGCCACTTACGACAGTTTCAGCTCCGTCCCGTGCAGATGCGTTGCCGTCTGGAAGAAGTTGGCCTTGAGGGGCGTGACGCTGCAGAACAATTAGCAATCATCTTCAACAGATTTCAATAACGACAAGGTGTGTGTGTGTCACTGACCTGGTATTTCCAACCTTAACAACCCACCCATCATTCCCCGGCCCTTCGCCCGCCTCATCCACACTCTTATACACATCCACAAACCGCGGCGACCACTTAAAATGCTTATGCGTATGCGGCGCATGCTTGTGTCCCCCTTCTTGCAGTCCCTCCTCAACCTGCCCCTCCTCCTCCCTAATCCTCTCCTCATCCTCCTCCTCCCCATCCACACTCCCATCCACCTCGGTAAAACAGCTCCCCGGCCCCCAATAATTCTGCAGCATCCCCGCATACACCACTTTTCCTTCCTCCAGACCCTCCAACAACGGCACATTGACGCTATACAAATCCACGCTGCCATCCCCCGGCCACGCCCTCCACAGTGCCTCAATCACATCCACCCCGCGCTTGGTCGCCTTCCTGATAATTCCCGTATCATGATTCTTCGTAAAGAAAGCGTAACTCAAGGCGATGGCCTTCACCCGACAAACCGCCGCCTCCAGCGCCCCGCCCAGCGTCCCGCTGCTCAGCGCGAACACAGCAGTCGTATTCCGCCCGTAGTTCGGCCCGCTCACGACGAGGTCGACGGGCCCCCGGTCCTGAAAGAAATGGTACAGCCCGATCTGCACACACGACGCTGGCGTGCCGTCAACCAGAATCCATTCCTCCACTCCGGGCTTCGGGTGCGGTCTTGTATGTATCGTCCCGTGGTCTCCCCTTTCCCCTTGTCCCTCACTCAGCGCCACACCCCCGTTCTGCTCCGCTTCGTGGGACAGCCCGGCGGCCGGGGCAGATGGGGGAGGCGGGCGGTAGTAGAGGGGTTTTACGGTCTGCCCGATGATATGGGCCTTACCGATCCAGGAGCGCTGGGTGTGCGGGAGACAGACGGAGACGGTGTGGCCGCGGGACTGGAGCTCGCGGACGAGGGAGTGGACGTAAGGGGAGGAATGGGGGTTGGGGGGGCCGTCGTCGTTTACGACTAGGATGTGGAGGCCCATGATTGCGTTCTGGTCGTCGTTTTTTGGTCGATTGGATAATTGAGAGTGATTTGGTTCCCTATGGGAAATGGCTGGCTGAGGTTTTGGTAGTTTGATTGGAGTCTCAAGAGAGTCGAGTCTGGAAACTGTAGAAAAAAGGAGTAGAAATTGAGAGGAGAACAGAATACTCTCCTCCCAAAAAAAGAAAAAAAGGGAAAAAAAAAAGACACAGACAGCTAAGTGTCGGGCACCTTTTAAGGTTCTCATCCCCGATCACTCCGGTGATCAAACCACGGTTGATCACCTGGCCTTAGCCCTTGCGCCAGCTAGGCCAGCTGTTCAGTTCGGTACGAGTAGGTATGTGTGCGCTAAGATCCAGATCCAGATCCGAGCCAGACGTCCGTATCAGTTTCAATGCACAATCGCAACGGACGTGTTTGTGTGCAGCAGTGGCCCTCTCGCTGTGGATGTCTCGTGGCTAGGTAGGTTTCTTGTGCTCTGTGCCCCTCCAGCTAAAAAAGTCGACGTTTTACGCTCCCGACGCTCAGTGAAGTGGGCACCTTCGACTGTGACGATTGACGGCCGGCAACGCCTGGTGCTGGAGCTTATTAGAAAGGTACGTCGGTTGGTGCGGGGGTGGGGTCAGAGGAGCTGAGCGTCTGTGAGGGCGAGGTGCCGAAGGGATGGGGCAGAGGGAGGGGCACACTGACTCCCGCTGTGGGGCTACGATTACATAGTTAGATCTCGACTGAGCCGACCAAACATCGACGAACATGGCTTCAGAGAGACAGCAGCTATGACGACATTAGGATACGACAAGTACACTCGAGTAACCCGTGAATCATCCAAGATTCTCAATTCCTATTCCCTTTTCCCTATTTCCTATTCCCGTTACGGCATGGCACACACTGAGTTGGGCATAAACCCAGCCCAGTCCATCAAACGCCATGCTTGCTCAGTTGAAAAACTACCATTACTACCGTAGGTAGCTACAACTGAACTGAATGACCTGCCCTGTACCAACTGCCAATCATCCGTCCCTGAATAACGTATCAACAAGAGGGTAAAAAAAAAAAAAAAAAAACCTACAAGTAGTATACCGTAATCAGAGAAGTATTGTTCTTCCATGATACTTTTAGCTGAATACCGGTAACCCATTCGTCTCTTTAACCCATTCTCCATAGCTCTGTCCGCCTTCCCATCGCCAAACGGAAAAACATGCCACACTTTTAGGTTGGTAGGTAGTTTAGTTCAGGTCAGGTCAGGTCAGGTTAAATTGATATTTATCCCGTCCATCATAATCCATCCTTCAGAAGACCGACCGACAAAAAAAAAACCTCTTCCAACGAGCCGCGATATGGCTCTGACAAATTCCATCGAAAATCTTCTCTGCATGTCAGCCCATGGGGCGACGATCATGAAGCAGGATACTCCATAGAGACCTGAAGAAAGAGCAGAACGAAAATCAAGAATTGATATCAAGAACGTAAAGAAAAAAAGAAAAAAACAGGGCAGTCTGCACTTGAGTAAGTAATGAGTTGAGCTGGGTTCACCGGTTTAAGCAACCGACCACGAGCCACCCACATCCATGATCCATGATGTGATGTGATAACCAGCCCATCCCCTCTTCTTGATGATAATCCCGCTCCCAAAGAATTTCACCCATGCAACCCCACCTATTACCAGTCCATTTCCACGAGAGAGAAGAAAGCAGCATGAACAAATCATAAAAGAAACCAACAACCAACCCGCCAGCCAGCCAGCCAAAACTCCAACCGACCAACCCAACCCATTTTGTAGTAGTTTGTACGCAGCTACGCAGAAAGCAACCGAAATTACCGTCCCTCAACACTTCACTCCCTTCACGATAGGTATGCAGGCATGGCAGGCAGGTAGGTAGGCCAGCTAGATACGTAGATAGCTCAGAGCAACCCAACCCGCCCCTTAACCCAAGTCACCTAAGCGCGGGTCCTCTTAGGCGGGGGATTCACCATAGCCGGCAGCTCCTCACCAGGCCGCTTTTGCGCACCCACACCACCTGCGCTTCCAGCAGCAGAAGTAGACGCATGTGCGCCGCCCTTAACACGGCGCCAGCCATCAAAGGGGCTGCGCTTCTTGGTAGCCGGCTTCTTGCTGCTGCCTGCCGTTGTCGCAGCTGTAGCTGCAGCTGTTGCAGGCGTGGCGGTAGCTCCCTTGGTACTGCTGAAGCGAGTAACCCTGCCGGAAGTGGTCGTCGCAGTGGCGGGCGGAGAAGTGGGTGTGAAGCGCGGGGCTTCGGGGGTGTCGGGGTCCTGGGAGGGGGAGGCGACAAGATCGGCGGGGGTAGCGGGGCCGGGGCCAAGGCCTGCGTTCTTGGACTCTTTGGGCTCTTTGGCGGCGGTCTTCTCTTTCTCTTTAGCCTTAAGATTGGTGAGGACGTGGTCCTCGATGTCAGTGGCGGCTTCCTCGTCTTCGCGGCTGACTTGGGAGTCGGTCTCAGTGGGAGTGGGCTGGGTCGGCTTGGCGACGGGGAAGAGAAGGCGGGGCTTGAGAGAAGAGCGGGTCAAGGGACGGGAGATGGCGCCCTCGAGACCGCCCTCGCCTTGGTCGAGGTCTTCGGCGGGCATCTCGGAGAACTTGCGGAACTGCTTCTTGCCGCGGCTGAAAGTGAAGTTAGTTTTCTGCTTTAAAAAAAAGAAAAAAAAGAATGAGTGAAAAATAAAAAAAAAAAACTTACAAGGTAATAAGAACACCATCCTCGCGACGAACCGCCTCCTCAATCGTGACTTTGCCCTCGCCCGGGATAGTCACCATCTGCTGGCGCTTGCTTCTTCGGCGGGGCGGCTCCGGCGGAGGAATGCTGGCAATGCTCGAATTGCTGACATAAAACGGGTTATCGGGGCTCTCATCGATCTCGGGCACGCGCTCATGCGAATCGGTATAAATCTCAAAGGACGGCTCGCTGGAGCTGATGCCAAACGTGTCGAGCGCATTGGTCTGCGACCGGGACCTCCGCGGGTTAGGCATGACGTCGTCGTCGGAGGCAGTCGAAGTGCTAGCGCCAAACAGGTTGCGAGCGACCGACTTGACCTTGGCCTTGACCTGGTCGGTCGGCGGCTTCGCCGGGGTCTTGGCCGGGGTGATGAGCATGCCGGCGCCGGTTGCCATGGCGGTTGCGCGAGTAGTGGTGGTAGTAGCAGTAGCAGTCTTGGTAGTGGTAGAAGTCGAAAAAACGTCGTCGGGATGGGGAGCCAAACCGAGAGCGACGGCTGCACTGGCAGCGGCTTCAGCGGTAATGGTGCCCGAAACACGGCGAGCGGGGTCGATAGGCGGCTGGCGTTTCTTTTGAGGAGAATCTGCTGGAGTTGCCATAGCAATTGCAGAAGCGCGTGGTTTTCTAGTTTTAGGAGAACAAAGGAAAGGATCCTCAGTATTTTTGTTGTCAGAGGAAATTTTACGGCCAGTGGGCTGAGGAGAGGGAGTGCGATTGGCTGCGCGCTGAAGCTGTTGTTGGGCAATTCTAGACGAACGGCGGGGAGGACTGTAAGGCTCATAGTCGCCGTACCCAAACAATGGAGCCGGAGGAGTGCGAATCCGGCCTCTGGTTGAGCGAGTTGGCGTAGAGGGTAAAGGCGGATCTTGTGCAGAGGCTGCCATTGTTGTCACTTGTTATTTTTTTTTCGAGTTGTAAAGCGTTACCGTTTGATGATACGAGTGCAGAATCCCAAACTTCTGGCGCCGAGTGCAATTGACCGCGATGTTTGCTGAAAAAAAAAAAATCGAGCTCGGCTGGTGGTAGCCGGGGAAGAAGCGAATTTCAGCGCAGATCTCAACTCAAAGAAATGACCGCAGACCAACCCAGAGATCTCGGCGTCAACGGCGTCGCCCACGGCCGATGTGGCAAGAGTCGCTGATGTTTTACTACGCGGAGAATAGTTGCGGCAATCGTTGCTTGGAACTGATGTGATATGGTGCGATGCGATGCGATGCGATGCGATGCGCACAACACAAAGTCAGCCTGACCGATGAGCTGAGCTGAGTTTTGGTTTTGAATCGTGACGGAGTAGTAAGAAGACGAGAGAGAACGGTGAGAAACTGCACTTCGAATGCACAATTCGCTAACGAAGACAAATCGCGCAGGGACTACAAAGTGCAGATGATGTATGATGCCTGGGAGCAACAATAACAGATGCAGGGGATCCCAGGAGCAATAATTTTCTTTTTGTGTGTTAAGGAGCAGGTTGTAGGTGAAAAGGTAAGAGGAGTAGGAAAGTTGGCGATGGAGTCGATGTGTGTGAGGTGTGCACAGGTTACTGGTCGTGCGGAGGGAGAGAGCAAAGCCGGGCCACCTCAGTGCCTGACTGGCCAAGATGGGCAGTTTGAAGGGGCTGGGAGCGGTCTGCAGCTTGCTTTCGAGGCTCCTATTGGATGTTTTCTTGGGCCTGCGGACCCTTGCAGGGCCCACATGAACCCCTGTCTGCCGTGCCCAGTTGGCTAATGAGGTCACCCCAGGTAAGACGCGTCGAGGCGCGAAACTGACACGAAATATGGCTCCACTGCTGCGGGACGCGTTGCAGTCTCCACCCCCCCAGTACCCGCACCAACGGTCAAACCCTTTGCTGGATGCTGTACGCTTGGCAGCCCCGCCATCCCCGCGGTCCCCGCTGTCCTCCAATTATTGCGACAGTAAGGAGAGCAATCGAGCAGAAGTCAGCGCAACAACGTCATAGTTCCCGTCTTGAGCTGGGCAGTCTAATATTGTTTTGGGTTTGATTCTGTTGACTCTAAACTCCAAGGCCTGGCATCCTAGCGCCTATCACCTGCATCCCAGCCATCATTTATCATCATCAGCATCATCATCACTATCATTGGCAGTGCAGCAAACAGAGCACCTGCCGCACGTGGGTCTAGATCGACGGCACAGCCCGAAATTATCTTCCTTTTTCAGACCCTCAAACCTCTGGTATCCAAACTCGAGTTGGCTGTCTCTTAAGCCGACGCCAGACATCCATCATGGCGGACGAAATGGATTTCTACAGCTCAGACTACCACAACGACGACGCCTTCGAGACCCCGTCGAAGCCACCCACCTCTACCTCGGGCCGACCTAAGGGATCTGGCGCTCAGGGAGGAGGAGGGATGCGCTTCGACACGGAAGAAGCGCGCGAAGCAGCCCTTCGCAAGGAGCTCGAGGGCGTTCGCAAGATCAACGAGGTTATCGAGGGCATGATCGGGACGCTGGAGCGGGCTAAGGGGAATATGGGTGTATGTAACTGTTCCTACGCATAGCATTTCAGGCATGCATCTCTCAATACGAAAATCCACTGGACTGACTCTCATGTGTCACGTTAGACCGTCTCCCAAACCGTCACCAACGCCACAACCCTGCTCAACACCTGGACGCGCATGCTCTCGCAGACCGAGCACAACCAGCGCCTGATCCTCAACCCGGAATGGAAGGGTGCCACGCAGGATCTGCTCGAGTTGGAAGCGGAAGAGCGTAGAAGACAAGAGGAGGTTGAGCGTCGCGCTGCGGAGGCAGAGCGTCGTCGGGAAGAGGCTCGTCGGAAGGCCGAGGAGGAGGAGAGGAGGCGGGCGGCGGCGGCGGCGGCGGCGGCGGCTCCGGCGGGGAGGAGTGTGGGGAGAGGGACGACGAGGGGGAGAGTACGCGGATCGGGGTTGACCAGAGGGGCCTCGTCGTCGGCGTCTGGGTCAGAGACTACCAGGACGACGTCCGGGATAGCGAGGGGAGGGTTTGGGTATACACGGGGAACGGCGAGATACAGAGGGGCGAAATGATTACGTATGTGGTGGTGGTGCTATGCTGAGAGCAGATGAGACTCTACAACACTGCCCTGTGCTGTTGACACGCCCGTGACCCGTAGTCCAGCTGAACGCCGAACGCCGTCCCTGAACCTCCCTTTACCCAAGCTGACCCAAGCTGAAGGCAGATTCCCCTCAGCACAGCTGTGCTAACCCAGAATAACCCCACGACGAGATACCCATTTAAATAAACATGATACCCCAACAACCCCTTTCCCCCCCCCCCTTTTTTTTTTTCCTAAATTTCTATCTTCCTAAAATGGTACCTCATCAACCCGGGCATCCTACGTCTTCTTCTTAAAAAACTCACTCAGCTTCATCATACCCTTGGTATTCACCTTGGCCAGCTCCCTGACCCCCCTGCTCACATTCTGCTTCTTGATCCTCTCCTCCTGCTCCTTCTTCCTCCTCTTCTCGGCCTTCTCGTCCGCTTCCTCATCATCATCGTTGCCTCCTCCGCCTAATCTCTTCCGCGAAAAATCAGTCGTTGCCCGGGACGCAGCAGCTTCCTGCCGCACTTTCGTAAGTTGGGCGAGGTATTCGTCTAGTGGGGTGAAGTCGATGTTGAATTTCTTGGAGAGAGGGGATTGGGAAGTGAGATGAAATTTGAGGAGGGCGCTGAGGGTAGGGGGGAGGTAACGTGAGCTGAGGAAGTCCAGTGCTGTGCGGAGACGTTGGAGATGGACTACCTCTGGCGAGGCAACGATTGCTGGTCTGAGGGCGGGCTCTTCCTCGTCTGGTGTCGTCCCTTGAGACTCCCCATTCGTCGAAACCTGACTCCCGCTATCTCCCCTCTTAACAACCCTTACCCCCACCACCGGTGCCTCCAGCGCCTTCTTCACCCATCTCTCCTCCAAACTCGCTGGCAACCCATTCCCACTAATCATCCTCCTCGCCTTGACAAGCATCTCCCCCACCAGCTTTTCTTCGCTGAGCCGGTACATATCTTCATCCCCCGCCTGCACCACATCACAGACTGCTGCCAGCCGAGAGGAAAGTATTTCGCGTAAGGACGGATGATGCAGGTCGAGCAGGTCAAGCAGGTGGTTTGCTGGCGAGGGGAGGGCGTCGAGGTGCGAGTCTAGGGAGAGGAACATCCGTTTTTGTTTTTCTCGGACTTCCCACTCGTCCCGGCTGATTCAGGCTCTGCGATCAGGGCAGGGAGTAGCAGAAACACAGGGTCGAACGGGGTCGCAAGGTATAGCGTGGGCGAACTGATCGTCTGTGCTGTTGTTGTTGCTGCCCCCTCTTGCTCTCCATCTTCTTGTGACTCTGAGTGTGCGCTTCTTTGAACAAGCCAACTCCTTGGCGCAGACTTGGGCGGCGTGACCTTCGTAATTTCGAAAAAGCCGGTCTTAGGGCAGACGAGGTATCGTGTCGGGGAGCCGGTGCGCGGGTTGGCGAGGGTGATAATGCGGGCTGAGGACGTGGCAGATTTGGGGAGGATGAAGACTTGGGATGGGCGGTCGGATGGCTCAGGGAGGCTGTAAATGGACTTCGAGGAAGACGTTTGGGGGGAAGAGGAGTCTTTGGTCTGGCTGTCTTGGTCTTTGGCCTTGTCCTTGGGGTCGAAGGAGGCGGCTTTGGATCGGGTTCGGGCCATTTTGGGTTGGATTTTTTTGGGAAATAATTTTGGGTAGGAGGTAAGTATTATTGGCCAAACGGGGACATTTAGAGTTGGTTGGGCTGTAGAAGGGTTAATCCAATTATATGGATCAAGGTTGTATTGTATGGTTGTGGTGATGGGTTCTGATGTTTTTTCTCAAGATAACCTCAAAAGGCTCTCATCGATGGGTCCTTGTCCCTGTCCATCCAGAGTTTAAGCCGCCACACTAAAACGCGACCTCGACGCGTCCCGACGCGCCAACCCTGCAGACGCCACCCATAGCCTCATCCAGAGCGAGGGACACATAGCCTGGCGTCTGGTCCAATCGCGCGGTTAATTTCCCGCGCATTCATGCGTTGCAACGGTTTCTGGAAACAAGAAACAAACCACGACGTGGCTGGTGTAGCACCGTATCTGCATCGGAAAACTCTGATTTGATCTTAGCGCAAGGGAAAAAAAACTTACTATTTTGTTAACAACATTTCGACTGCGCGACCACTACGACATCCAGCTCTATCCAGCTCCGTTGACGACTGCACGGCCTGCGATAGCCGCGATAGTGTGCGTCCCTCACTAGACACTCAGCGCCCATCGAGCCCTCCACAACCTCTGCTGACCTAAGTAACCCCGCTATCGTGCCAGCCGGTACCCGAAATCGCCCACTGGTCTCTGCCCACCGGCAACCGGCCAACCACTAGACAGCAGTGCTGTCTACAGTAAATGCGGTGCAGCTGCCCGACAACCATGGGATTGTTGTCCCGCAGCAATTGGTCGACATAGTCGCATCGTGCATCGCCCTGCAGCACCTGTGCATTACTTCCGGCCGCTGTGCTGCCCACGAGGTTTAACGAGGTTACCTGACGCTTACGAGGCCACTTTGGCTTTGGCTACTGCCCGCATCCCATCACTTGGGCCCAGGTTCTGCGCTCCATCTGCCGGGCGCTCCGATCTAGTCTCTGCTAGTCTTCACCTCTGGCATCTATCAACGGCGTCAGAGGAGCCAGCCCAGATCTACCTAGGCCTAGGCTGTGGATCTACAGTCGAGCCGTCGTTGTGCATCTTTTTTTTTTCTCTGAAATTTTCTGTTGCATTTTCCTCTCGTTTACATCTTCCCTTGTTTTTTTCTTTTCTTTCCTTCCCTTCTTTCCTTTTTCTCTTTTTTCTCCGTCTCCTCGACCGCCCTAGCGTTGTCCGTCCACCCGCCCGCCCCTCTTTCCCCTCGCCTGACCTACGTACCTCCGAGTCCACTTCGCCGCATCGCCGCCCCGACCTGGAAGTCCGAACGCTTCTAGAAGAAAAAAAACAAACCGGCAATGGCTGCCCAATGGCCGCCGCGCTCCCCCCACGAAGCCCTGCTCAGCACACCCAGTGGACGAGAAAAGTATCGCCAACAACAGCTGCAGCATCGTCAAAGAAGCATATCGCCGACCTCACCCAGCAGTCGTATCCGCTCAGCCCGCTCGATCCACGCCCTCTCTGCTGCATCTTTGTCTCGTGCCGTTGCTGCCGATGACGTCCTCTTCGACGGGGACCTGTTGGACGAGGATGGGGAGGGCAATGATGATGATGATGATGATGATGACGACGAGGAGACCCTGCAGCTCAAGCTGCAGGCGATTCAGACGAGGCTGAGGCTCAAAAAGTTGCGGGCTGCGAAAGCGGCGGCGCAGGCGCAGAGGAGGAATAATACGGCGACGGCGTCGATGGTGGATTTAGCGGCGACGACAGCAAGACATTCTACGGCTGCAGTTGCGTCGTCCAACATCTCCGCCGGTGTGCCCCTTCAGTCCAAGCTTGCTGCTGCCCGCGACAGGATGGAGGCCGCACAGAATAGCGGTAATGCTGTCCAAGTACCTGCTTCGCCGGTCAGGAGAGCTACGACAGTGTCCGGCCACGGCCAGCAGGAGTCATCGCCCAAGAGAGTCCTGCTTGGTATTGACAAGGGGTTGAAAGGGGCCGATGTGTCGCTGAAGAGGGCGCCGAGTCGCAGGACGGTCAACGGGGGGCAGAGTCAAGGGACAGGGATAGGGACAGGGATAGGGACAGGGACAGGGACAGGGACAGGGACAGGGACAGGGACAGGATCAGGGACCGCTGGTGCGCCGCTGACGAGGTCAAAGTCTGTCATGGATTTTGGCAATTCTCGCCAGCAGCAGCAGCAGCAGCAGCAGTGGGAGGAGGAAGAGGCGGCCCGTCGACCAATGAGCTTCAACGAGAGGCTGGCTTCGGCGCGGGCAGAGGAGGTTGCGAAGAAGGAGAGGAGGGAGAGGATACAGCGGGCACGGAGCACGGCGTTTGATGTGCGGAGGGAGGAGATGGAGGAGTATAAGAGCCATGCGATTGAGGTGCCCGACCAGCCGGTTGAGAAGTCGCAGGAGTTTACACGGGAGCAAATCCTTGCGTCTGTGAGAGGGCGGTCCGTTGGAGGATCAGGGACAGGGAACGGGACACACTCCCAGCGAAGCAGCATCTCCTCTCGATCAGAGGTCACCGAAGAAGGCCCCGGCTTCGAGCCCTACTCTGGGCTCTTCCTCACAAAACGTATTCTCCCCCACAACGTCCTTGCTCGTGCGGTCTCTGGAAAGAAAATCTACCTGATCAAAGACCTGCTCCGCGTCGTCAAATCCCCCGACTGGTCCCTCCCCGACGAAGAAACCGACATCGTGCTCTTCGCCATCCTAGCCAACAAATCCGACCCGCGCAGCCACAAAACCGCCGATGGGCGCGCCCAACAAGACCGCGGCAAATACATGGTCTTGACACTAGTCGACCTCACTTACGAAGTAGAACTCTTCCTCTTCAACTCGGGCTTTGACCGCTTCTGGAAGCTCACCCCAGGAACGGTGCTGGCGATCCTCAACCCGGGCATCCTACCGCCTCCCCCCGGCCGCGAGGCAACGAGTCGGTTTGGTCTGGTCATCAACTCCGACGCCGACACAATCTTGGAAATTGGCACGGCCCGCGACTTGGGGTACTGCAAGTCCGTGCGCAAAGACGGTACATACTGCAATGCGTGGGTGAATTCCAAGAGAACAGAGTACTGCGAGTTCCACACGAACGAGGCGGTGCGGAAGGCGAGGAGCTCGCGCATCGAGCTGGCCACATCCGCCGGTTTTGGAGGGTCAGACTCCAAACACAGGCTCAACTCACATGCGGTGTACCTCCGTGACAAGCAGGCCGAGCAGAAGGAAAAGGAGCACCGTGCTACATTGGGGAAATATGACCGCTTCACGCAGAGCCAGTACTTCATTAGTACGGCGGCCCGGGCGGCTATCGATCCGGAGGATGAGCGTGTGACGGGGATCGCGGAGCGCAGGGAGAGGGAGGAGGCTCTGAAGAGACGGTTGGCGCAGAGAGAGAAGGAGAGGGATATCGCAAGGAAGCTCAGCGAGATGGGCGGCGGCGCGGGGAAGGAGTATATGTCTCGCGCTGCTGCTAGTGGTGGATCCAACCACAGTAAGAGTTTTTCTGGTGGCAGCTTTAGCGCCAGTTTCAGGTCGGATCACACCTCCTCGTCGTTTACGTCGAACGGGGGGCCGGAGAGGCAGACGGCCTCGTCGTCGTTTAGTTTGCCGCCGACCAGTAGCTTCGAGCAGCAACCCAGTTCTTCGCAGGGGCAGTTACCCCGGAAATGGGATGCCCGTGCATTGGGGCTGATTGGTCGGCGGCAGGGGGACGGGACCAGACCGGAGGATGTAAAGGTCGATTTGAGCCGGGCGCCGGCGCCGTCGTCGACTGTGTCTAGCTCGAGTGCGACCGGGACAAGTTCGTCAGCGTTTATGGGGGCTGCGGCAGCGAATAAAAGGAAGAGGCCTGAGTCCTCGGCGTCGAGCACCACCACGACGAGTACGGGGCTGGGATGGGGAGCTGCGTTGAAGGAGAAGTTGGGACGGATGAAGGAAGGGGAGGGGTTGCATACTACGACGAGGCAGGCAGCGACAACGACAACGACAACGACGACGGGGGGTAAGCATTCCGCATCGGGGTCGTTTTCGGCGTCTTCAAATGGGCATGGACATGCGCAGACTGCGACGGCGACGATGACGAAAACGGCAAAAACGAGCGCGTCACATAGCAACAGCAGCAACGGTAATGGAAATGGCAGTAATAGCCACCCGCCGCCGAAGTCCTCGTCGAGCTCGAACTCAGCCACCGTCAAGCCTGCCGCCACTACCAAGGTTGTGAACATCGGCAACAACAGGAACATCACGCCCCCCCTCCTCCCAGCCCACAAATCCCGCGGGGATAAGTCGCCCGTTCGGAAAAAGACACGGTTCGTGACCGACAAGGGGATCCGTGAGGCCGGGAGAGAGAGTCTGGGGAGTCAGTTGCTCAGCAAGAGGATCCAGGCGCAGGTGCAAATGGGGATGATGGTGGATGAGGACGATGATGATGATGACGAGGATGGATTGATTATTGTGAGGTAAAAGGAGATGTGACGTGATGGGGGAAGCGGACATGTTGAAGGAGGCAATCTTGTAGGTTGGGGCTTCAAGGGTAGGATAAGGGGGCACGGGTGGTTTGGGTCAGGCAGGACATTAGGATTCTGGGGTATATATCATCAGGACATTGGGGCGCTGGGGATACCACATCTGATCAAGCAGAGGTATTCGGTTGATTGGTTGGTTGGTTGGTTGGTTCCAAGGGGAATGGATAAACTTCTGAGATACCAAAGATTGGACTGGGCAGGATTGAGAAACCATCCATGTACATGACACAACTTGCACTGAGCCCTGGATGCCTACCTAGGCATGGGCACAGTCAATGATCATTCGTTGTAACGCTGGGCTTATTCACACTCACACTCCCCAGGTTTGGGAGATTGGATTAACAACATTGTCTCTTTACAGACTAGGCTTGAGGTCCTGGGGCAACAGACGGGGCAATTCATACACTCACTTCACCATCATAAGGATGAATGACTTCATGAGTTTTATGATTGTTTAGACAGTTTTACTCAACAGCATCACTGAGATACCAAATATGAAGTTCCCACATTCTTTGTTGTTTTTAGAGACCTGTCCCCATCTATGAGGCGACGTCCCAAGTTTCAACACACATTGACCATCTACTCAGTTAAGCATATAGGTGAGTTCTGGTAGCTACCATCTATCTTTTAAGGGAACTGAACCTCTAGCTTCCTGCACATACGACCATACGCGGCAGAGAACTCGGGATCCCCTCTGCTCTCCCATAGATAAGCTGCTGACGGCGGAGTTAGTACTCAGGTCGGTGACGACTGGGGAATCCTCCGTGTTGTATGTCTTGCAATTTCCATCTTTTACTTTTTCCTTTCTTTTCTTTTTTTTTTTTTTGCCTCTCCTCTCTTGATTTCCAAATAATTTCGGCTCAGGTTCAAAGATCCGTTGCGGTTGTGTGATCTGGCTCTCAAGAATACCTTCGGATAGATCTCTTTATGAGATGCGAGACGAGGCTATGTCCTCTGTAGCGATTCAAATCAATACAAACAACGCTATACAACCTCAACACTGTATACCTCACTATCAAAAAAAAAAAAAAATAAACAATCCTCACCCTGCCAACTCCGCAGCCAACTCCTCCGGACTCATCCCCCGACTAGGCACCCACTCCTTGACAGGATAACTCGGCGGTACATCTTCCTCTCTCGTCCCCCAATCCCCCTCCTCTTCGCCCACCACAAACTCCAGCACGCCTCCCTTCCTAAAAAACCCATGCGTAATCCAATTCCTCGTGTACTTTCGTCCATTCAGCCACGCCTCCCGCACATAAATCCTCCTCCCCCTCTCATCAAAATTCCGCACCCTAATCACCGCCCATTTGCCCTCTTCCCACGCCTTTATCCTAACTTCCCTAAAGAAGGGAGGCGTCAAAAGGTACACGTCCTGCCCGGCGACGGGGAAAAACCCCATCATCGCGAACGCCGTGAACGCGCCCATCGCGCAGTCGTCGTTGCCCGGGATGCCGTTGACACTGGCGTTGAACAACGACGGGATATATTTCCTCACGTAGTAGCTGCTCATTCCGGGGCGTCCAGCATAGTGGAACTGAAAGGTCGGCAAAAAAGCTTGCTCGTTGCCCATGTATGCGATGCCGCTCTCGTGGAAGTAGGCGAGGCGAGAAACGAAGGTGTCGCGCCCGCCCATGAGGCGGATCAGCGTGGCCATGTCCTGCGGCGCGAAGAAGGAGTACAGCCAGGGAGAACCTTCGTACGTGTCGTAGACTGTGTCGAAGTAGCACGAGTGGAAGTCTGACACCGGAGAGCACGTACGGACGGGCTGGTGGCGGAAGGTGCCGTTGCGAAGGCGGGGTTGCAGAAAACCCTTAAATCCAGTCAACGGGACCAGATCTGAATAGGATGAGGGGTCGTTTGGGTTGCGATACTGCGTTTTCTCGGGGCTTGGAAGATCCAGCTGGTCGGGGTTCCAAAAGTTTTGCCAGTTGGCGCCGCGCAAGCGGTATTTGTGTGCGTCGGCGGGACGGTTGAGGCCCTCGGCCAGCTGCGCGATGCAGAAGTCGTCGTAAGCGTATTCCACGCCGCGGCTCACGCTCCGGGACATGGGGCCTGTGCCGTTTACGTCTTTATCATCCCAGGGGATGTAGCCTAGTTTGTGCCAGCTGACCAGGCTGCCGCGGCCTTGGATGCCCCATTCGGGGGGTTCGACTGGGAGAGGTTAGATGGTGTTGGCAGAGGAGGGAGGGAAGGAGGGAAGGAAGGAGAGAGGGGAAGGGGGGAGCTTTACTTTCGGCGTCAGAGACGACCGCTTCGTAGGCGGTTTCCCAGTCGATGTTAGCGGTCAGGTTCTTGACCCAGGCGTCGGCGATGACGATGTCGGCGTTGGAGCCGCCTTGGGTGAAGCCCTTGGAGAAGCTCATCCTGCAGTCGGGGAGCTTGCCTTCGTGCCGGAAGATGTCGACCAGAGCCCGGATCATCTCGGTCTGCGCGACTGGGTCGATGATGGTTAGGAGGGGATGCTGGGCCCGGAATGAATCCCATATGCAGTAGAACCTGTACCTTGTCAGTATTTTGTCCAACACCCGGGAGATCAAGGGCACTCACGAATCATAGTACGGCTCTGTCGAGTTCCAAAGCTGATTCTCGCCCGTATAATTCTGTGGCGACAGCATACTTCGATACAACCCTGACCAGAACGTAACCTGCAACTCATCGCTCACCCCCCTGGGATCAATCTCAATCGCTCCCAGCTTCTTCCTCCACGCGGTCCTCGCCTCGCCCTCGACACGCTCAAAATCCCAATCTCCAATCTCCCTCTCCGCATTCTCGCACGCTTGATCAACCGAAATAAACGACACCCCGACCCTCACCAACAACTCATCCCCCTCCGGCCGTTCAAACTGCACCCAAGCGCCCGCCGACCCCGACGGATTATTCCATCCGGGTTCATGCCCGCCAAAAAACTTTGGTTCCTCCCTCGCATCATCCCCGATGAACGTCCCCGACCTCCTGATCCTCGCCCCTTTAAAATCCGCACAGAAAAAAGCTTGATACCGCCCCGTCCCAAACGAAGGCGAATACTGTCCATCCCCCACAATCCGCCCCGACTCCGGATACACCTGCACCCCGCCCGCCGACCGACTGTTCATCAGATCGACCAAATCAACCAACACCAGCGGACTGTACGGAATCCCCCTCCCTTCGAGGGTATCCACTTTTTCCTTACCGCTAAACCCGAACCTGTACAACGCCACATGCTGTGATGCCGTCATTTCCGCCCTGACGGTATTCGTTAAGTTGATGGCAAAATACCCCGGCGAAGCGAACACCTGATCAGGAATGCGGTACACGGGGCGGTTGTTCACCGCGAAGCGGCAGGCGCGGTAATCGTCGTTCGCACAGCCTGGGTGCACGAACAGAGGAAAATTGCCTAGCGATGGGTTGCCGCCTGTTCCGGAGTCGTGGAGGTGGGAGAAGCCGAGGATCGGGTTCGTGTCGCTCACGTAGCCGGCTGCGTTTTCACCGGGAGATTGGGTGTCGGCTACGGGTTTGGCCATGCCTTTGGGGGGGTGTTAACCTGGTAGGACGTCATGGTGAGGTTGAGGAGGTGGAGGAGAAGGCTTACCGTAGGGGAGAGTCGCACCGGGGAAGACGTGGCCTGTGTTAACAAGTTGTTGTGTGTAAGCTTTGATGATCGCTAAGTACGTAAGAGCGCTTGAAACCTACCTCCGTTGGCCGTCCCGATTAACGGATCAACATATTGCAGGACGTCATATCTCGGCCTGCGCTGAAACAGGGGAGGGATGATGCCGTCTCTGGATCCTAAGTTCAGCCAGGGAATGGAATAGAAGATGGCGATGAAAGCTAGTGTGTAAACGATGACTCGGGGACTTCGCGGCATGCCCCTGAGGCTGACGGGGACAGCCATCAAGGCCTTGTGGTATGGCGAGTCCTCAGTCCCCATTGTGGTGCGTGTTTTCCATGTCGCTGAAAGGCCAGCTTTCGTCCGCCCTCGACTGCGCGAAGTCGTGATAACAAGTGTTAAAAGATGGCCAATTATCCGGAGGATACCCGCGACTTAACCTCCCTTCATGCCCTGGCCCTAAGGTGGTCTTGTTTCGAAATGTACAATAGGAGAGTGCTAGAAAAGCAAGCGCATCCAATCTTGAACCACGGCATCAACATCGTCTTAACATCGATAGCATCTTCCAATACCAATGCTTTTACACGTCTCATGCGCCAACGAATTGGCTTCCGTCACCTTCCAAAAGGCCAGCTTGAACTTTCTTCAGTACATCCGCAGGACACGACCTCAAACGGCACCTTGCGCGCCAAGATACGGAAGCTAAACCGTCCTGGGCCGAGTGGATATATATAGTACGTACCTAACCCACTAGTAGCTAAGATGAAAACTTAAAGCCGGGCATATCACCAGCGCTTGGCTTGTATCATGCTCCTCCCTTCAATGACCATCCGCTCAATACAAGATGCAGGGCGTTTGGCACCGACTTGGCTGGTTTTCCATTGTTGAAATGCGGGGCTTACAACTTTTGTGTTCGAGCTCTCCCCGTCGGTCCAGAACTTTTGTTACTGCACTATGTGGGGGGGATGGATTTGATTGGATGCCCAACTGGTCGGCCACAACGCTGGGAGTGACCGGTTTGAACCCACCCCCCACCTCGCACTCCCTGGTCTTGCGACCAGCTCAACCTCCCACCCAGCTGGGCCAGCAGGTACAAGCTACGCACGGGGTTTTACCGAAAAAAAAAAAAAAGGGTTGTGTCCCCCACGATGTGGTAAGCATATTTGCCCCCCACGATGGGGTAAGCTATTTGCCCGCCGTCGCCATGGACACAGACCTGAGTACCTAGGTGGGGCCGAAAATATGCATATGTCCGACCAATCGCATAGATGAAGTGATTAGACCTGGTCGCCGGACCAGCAAAAGTATAACGTGCAAACTTCACAAGCTGTAGGTACATGTCCGATGAAAGACTTGATGACAGCCTTGTTCCGTAGAGTCGGTCTGTATCATCTATGCCCAAGCTAATTCTATAAAGCCACATAGTGAGCCCACGGTCGGAAACAAGTGATAATGAAAGAGACAGCATCAGCTTGCTGGAGCCGGCTTTGCCCATATTTAGTTGCCGAGTTTGCTTCTCGTTTTCCGTCCGTTGCTTAGTGTGATATAGCATCATCACTCTAGGGTGCACCCTCGGTGGAGTGGATCAACATGTCGCTTATTCAGACCGCTTTAGATGGCCTCGGTATTTGTTTCAACTGTATTATTATTCGAGACTCTGGGGAAATGCGACTTGGAAACGCCAATCTTCCACCTCCCAACAATCCAAGGAGCCACTATGAGCTGAGAACCCAAAACAACCTCGAGTTTGCCTCGAACGGAACAGCCAGGACAACTATGGGATATCGTGCTGGTACCAAAATGCCATCCCCACAAGCCTCTCAGATCTCAGCCCCCATTGCAAGGTATACTGGGGCACGCATTGTCAACCCAACTCCAAGGGTTGAGATGTCACAGACAGGCCGTCAACAGATTGGCATTGTTATTGCAACCACCGCTGTGATCCAAGGTTCCAACGGTTCTGTGGGGACAATTGTGGCCCGGAACACCTCACAAGCAGAGTCAGGCTAAAAGGTGTCGATGTCTCAATACTCAGTTGATATTGATTTGTAAGCGCCCTAATCTTAACAAGTATGCCCCTTGACTGCCACCATACAATGCACTCAACCAATGAACCTTGAACACTATGAAGTACCTCAGGAGCTTATACATAATTAGGCGTTCCTTTTCCTTTGTTGATTTGTTTCATTTCTCGCGTGCTTTTACTTATACATGAAAGCACTGTATGCTTTTCGTTTTTCGTACTCTACACACTCAGGTCTTATGTTTTTATCTACCAATGACAAGTCGAAGAACTCCAGCTAGATTTATGAAAGCTGGAATGCACGGTTTTCCGCTTTTGACTAGAGTGTGGCACACAGTTGGCTTTTGTCATTTGGTTTGCGGCTCTTGAGAAAGCTTACAAGACGTTGATTGTTGTAGTAATTTTAAAAGTCCATAGCCGCTCTGAAGAATTTGGACATGCTTTCATCGAGTGAAATTCTCTTATATTATCCTTGAGGACATGGCTTTCTCCTTTAGATACCAGGTATACTTGCAAAAGATGGGCATTTTGAACTTAGTTAGGACTAGCTATGTATACTGCCTTTGTTGTTATTGTTATTATTGCTGGTATACTTGTTTAACACTCGGGAGCCAGGAAACCTTCTAGCTGGATCGACAAGCCCAAATACCGGAAGTGTATTGAGGAACATTGGGCTAGGTTTTATAGGCAGTATAGATAAAAGATGAAGAAGCGAATGAAAACTACTAAGAAACTTCTACTCCTAAGATATTCCCCTGCCTATAGAGTAACTTATGCCTAGTGTCACAACCAAGTGGACCAATAGGGAAAAGAAGCGGGCAAGCATAAGAGGACCAATGAAAGGCATGAAAAAGTGGGACAGGAACAGCCGATGAACGCAAGCTAAGTATCACAGGAACTGGGATACAGGGTTCAAAGGTGCCATAAGACGGAGGAAGGATCCTGAGTACATAAAGTAAATAGATTCCTCGTAAGAGAAGGGGACGAAGAACTCTCCTGTCAGCGATATAAACTGTTGCGCATACCCAATTGGTGACCACAGTGCCGTTGAATATGTGTGAGAACTTTTGTCTCTCTGATCCATAACCATTGGTCCGATTCCGAATCAATCTCAGGTAGGCTAAGAGGATCGACACATCCAGCCGGCAACTGTAGAGCTAGTATACTAAACGCGCTTGAAGCGAGGCTATAGCTAGAGACAGATGCAGTCCTCCAAGTTGCGAACTCGTTATTGAAGATTGCCATACCAAATACCGTATGTGCGCGGTTGATCGAAGGCGTTATAACTTAGTAAATATGACACGATTTTGTTGTGTTGTAGTAAATGTTAGTTACCCTAGTAGATCGTGGAGCAGAAGCTTGCTTTTCTGGGTTATCTAATATACAAAGCCAAGGTAGTATATGGACTATGTGTGACGATTCAAACAGGTCTCCTGAGATGGGTTCGAGAAATACCAGGCTGCTGGACCCGAGAGAAGTTCTCACACAGTCAAAATGATCGCTGTAATCACCAGTTCAATAGACAAATGTTTGCATTGCTGACTGGAGAGCTTTTTTTTTTGGCTAGATGGCCCTGCCTGGAATCTCTATACATCTCACACACCCTTTTGGCTTTCCTTGTTTCTTCCTACTCGATGGCACAAACTGTTGAGGGTCAACATCCTTTGGTGTTGAGGATCAATGCCTCTTGGCGCTCAGGAACTACTCCCCAATGCGTGGGGTCGTTGGGGGCGGATATCTGGGTTTGATCGGTCACAACTCCCCTTTTCTCCGATCAGTTGGTTGCACAGAACCCTCTCTTCCAGATAGAGCCCTTGTTGGTCGTGCCACTATCCTAAATACGTGAATGAGAGGTTGGAGGTAAGAAAGCGAGCTGGACCCACCTATAGCTTGAGATGAGGATATAGCAGTGGATTTCAACTCGCTGCAGTGCATCTTGCAAAAGCAATGCTGGTTTTACTACTTGGAGCATGGAAATCTATCGTTAAAAGGTAGATTTCAGTGCGGTCGTATAGCGATTGGCGCACTCTGACCAGGTGTCTTGCCGTATGGAAATAAATGGGACACCCAACAACGACGATACTCGCTGCGTAACGATAGAATTCCTTCGATCAGAGCTATCTTTATGTGGAGGTTCGAGTGTAGATGCATTTCGACAACTTTTTCAACGGCCTGTGCACCAGGTACTAACAGCAGACATCTGGATAGGGAGGTACTTCCATAATCCAACTCTCAAATTTCAACAGTATGCAGCATCGTGGTGATGCAATGCTATAGAACTGGTGAAAAGTGCTCTGAAATGCATTGGAAGCTCGTTCAAACGCAGTTTATGCTAATTCTGCCGTGCAGCTAGGTGCAAAGTTGGCATAGCCGTATCATATATAACTCTAACCCTAGTGCCAGGGCCTTCCGAAGCGAAGCCGCTGAAGGTTTGGCCTAGACATATCACTCTAGGTAACCATAACCCTGGTAAAGCTAGAGCGTAAACGTCTGGGGCAGCTATGAAAACCAGCAGTAACGAAGGTACAACTTCAAGAAGGACCTAGTGTGGCGATTTCACAACCTCCTGAGAAGGGTTCGAAGGTAGTCCCCAGGTTGTAGAACCTGAGAGACAAAAGTCCTCACACAGTAGGGAGGGTACTTGCTGTGGTCACCAGTTGTATTGTGCCAACTGTTTCTATTGCTGATTGAGGAGATCCTCGTCTCCTCCTATCCTGGATGGATCTACCTACATCACTTTAATGTGCATATTGTCCTCACTAGACCCGTCACTTTAGGCCACGCCTATGTGATGAGTTTCAATTCCGCAGCATACCAACACTTCCATTCGCCCCTTGCACTGTAACCGCTCTCGCGATAACAGTATTTACTTGCGGTCCGCCCGATTGTGATGCTCCGTCCGTTCTCTTCCCAAAACTTGCTGTTACTTCGAGAAGCGGTTCTGGGGATTCTATCAGAATACGCACGTGGTGCGGATTCATCAGTCTGACAGTACCGTTTGATACGTGTTCGCTGTTGCTTTGCGGTGTTGGCTCAACGCCAGATAGTCTTCTCTTATCCCGAGAACGGTGGCGCCCTTGGGAAGCTTCAACATCAAAAGGCTTGAAACAACTCATGAAAAGGGATCGAAGCAAGCTTGTCATCTTGATGCGCTTGTCTTGAGAGCACACGAAGTAGAGTGTAGTATGTGCCGATCTTCCGATCTGCTCCTGTTAGCGTAATTCTTGGACGTGATTGGCAGCGTGACAACACGAAAACTTGACCACATGAAATCTAAAAAATTATGTATCCAACGGATACTTACATATGGTTTGCACAAACGATGCCTATTGAAAAAAAGGAGGTCTACCCCAAGCTCAAGGTTCTGCAATAGGTTGTGACTTGCAAATAAGTACTGCTTGGTAACTTATCAGACATATAATGGGTGGACCTAAGGGTAAAACGGCGAGATCGCGACGTGGAAATTTCCCCAGTGTGCTGCTGCTTTCTCCATTGTTTCTTTCGACCACTGGGTGACCCGTGCTGCCTTATTATAAGTCAGGTGTTCTGCGGGCATAGAACTGCAAAGTCTGGGCTTGCTCCGCCACGGCGTTCAAATACCATTCAGTCGCCACTGGGATGGATAATTTTAGGGCCATCCCTGCTTGATTTTGATGTGCGATCACTGGATTGATTTATACAGCTTCTCAACTCGGCTCACAGTCCAGGTGTGAGTTAGAAACTTCACGGCTCCCGATCAAGGGGCCATGTTTGGAAGTCCCCACGGTAGGTTCACCATTTCCACTCAATTTACACCCGCCACAGTGTACTGGCTACGGCCTGCCCAAAAGAGCTCAGACCCACTTCCTGTAACGGGATGCGACGTGCAGAGAGGGGTGCCGCCAGGCAATGGGCAAATAAACCAAGAACTGAATTGTGAGACTACAAAGGCAGTTTTCTCCGGAACGTTGAGGTTCCCTTTTTTCTATCATTTGCTCAAGAGTGTTGAGCAAACTTGGAGACTCTCCAGTCAGAAATAGCAACAGTTTTCGACCAACAACTGGTGACCGCACTAAATCACATATACTATTGTGCGAGGACCCCAGTCCCTCAGGTGCTACAACCTGGCTACTTATCTTCGAACCCATATCAGGAGGTTGTGCAACCGTCACACCAACAGTTTAAGGTGCTTTGACGGTTTTTACGGTCCGTGCACGCAAAGTACCCCGGCAAGAAATTTATGTGTTGAGGTACAACGGCACCAATCTTGCTTCTTAACCTTAGTGATATAAACGGTAGTTTATTATAGAAGCTATGAAGTAGCCCCCTCACACTAGGTGCCATGACCACTATGAGAGCGAGCAGCCAGGAGGGCTGGGGCGACCAATCGGAGAGGACGCCCGGCTCGACAGCCCCACACGACGATTCCTCAACGCCAAGAGTCATCGATCCTCAACGGTCTTGGCAATTGAGATATCGATCCTCAACGATCTTGGAATTTGAGGAGGACGCTATGAGGAGAAGCCGTATGGGTATATAAGTGAACGTTGACTGTTGACTTCGTCGATCTTTAAGAGACAGTCGTTCTGGAACAGGGCCGAAACTTGCCCGTGTAAGTGCTAAGTGGATTCTGGGAATGCCAAGACCATGGTTCGAGATCCACATCCAGCGCAAGCAAAGCATCGTCGTCCGACCTGGTCGGTGCTGCAGCATTGGGAACCAACCAAGATATTTATATTCCTGAAAGTTATGTTGCCCACATTAGCAGTGCCGCTACCGAAGCTGATATTGAGGAAAGAAAGAGAAGAATTGCAAATCGAAAAGAGAACCAAATACACTACGCAACCCTTTGAAGAACTGCTAGAGATAATTCCTGCAGCCCTGCCCAAGATGCAGCCGTGGCCCCCATAATGACGTCACGTGACATGGTCTAGGAACAAATTCTCATGATTGGAAGCGCGAAAGTCAGATCTTTCCGACACTAGCTACCATGTACGAGTGGCAGACTCCATAGAAGAAGAACTGAGGTGAGGTATTGGCTTGATTGTTGTGAGGAAGACGCAGGATGAGCGGGGACTCGAGTTTTTGTCTGCGCAGCCCTATCTTTTATCTCCCTATCTTATCAACAATGCCAGTTACATGACAAACGGGGTCAGGTCTCTCAAGATGATACCTCGGTAGCACAATGGATTTTCTACCTATGATAGCATACTCTTGTTCTATACTGGCTTTTCTCTTCAGTTAAGTTTTGATACCGTTGACTGGCCTTTGTTATATATTGTGGAATTGCGTGCCAGGCAAATCTAGACTGTGCCTTTGATCTAACAAACCTTATGCTGGGAGTGAGGAGCAAGCGTTTTATCTCCACCAAAGCAGTTGAAGAGCACTGAATATTAACAGTTGCATCTCAAATATTATAAGCGTGCAGAACAATGAAGCGGGCAAGGGGTAAGCATGCACTGCAAGGTTATGGCAGGAGTTGCTGTGTAACTCCTGTTGGTGCCTGGTTCCCGCAGGGACTGGTACTATGATCGAGTCCAGTTGCGCGGTTCCTGTGGAAACCCTGGGATGGAGCCCTATTCTCTGTTTCTGCTGTTGATGGCCGCCCCCGATCATCTCCAATTACCAGAAGCACCATACCGGATGACAATAAGGTGGGGAAGGGTGAAAGGAGAGGGAGAGAAGGGGAAAGATTAATATAACATGGGATGCTTTGCGCTGCGTAGCACAACCCCGGTGTATGTAACTCGATCCTGAAGGCCACTCAGAAGCCCAAGAAGCTAAGATCCATACGTGACAAAAAAAAAAAAAAAAAAAACAAAATACGTTCGTTCCATATCAAACGAACCATTAAAAATAGAGCAACTAAGCAAACCTTCCAGACAAAACCGCCAAATTTGCGACCAAGGGGAATCGAACCCCTCTCTGTTGCTTGGAAGGCAACAATGCTAACCACTACACCATGGCCGCTTTTTGCCTGTGTCTGGTCGTGTCGTGCCTACTGGCTCATCTGCAGCAGGTGGAGATTATGTGCCTGCAGTTCGTGTACGTGGTTGGATGATACAGCAAGGAGACCCTCCTTGCAGATGCAAATGGGAAAGTGTTGCAAAATGGGAATGTTGTATCAAATATAGCTGGAAGTTTGTATCATTACCTGATGAACGAGTCAAGATGCACTTGAAAGGGGTCTATCTCCTAAACTAAGCAGTTCATCCTCCATAGGCACCATCCTGCCCAGTCGTCAATTCGAAGACAATGCTAACCCAAGAACTCGTCCCTTGGAACGACGCAGTCTACCCAGATCATCAATCACCCCAGCCATGCAAGCGGCAAGTCATGCTCTAACCATTTTCTTCATGCCCTAAACCTCCCTTCTTTGCCCTTGAACCCCTCAACTCAAATCAAACCCCGCCCCGCTCTTAACTGCATACAACAACTTCTTCTTCAATCCCTCCTTCGTCTTGTACTGCGGCAACTTTAACAAATTAACACACGTGCTCGCACTCGGCAACCTCTCCTCATCCAACCCCCCATCCCGGATGCTAAACGGCGGATTGAGCTGCGAAAAACCCAGCAGTGGCGCGCGCGGCGAGCTCGTGACATACTTCAGCACATCCCTCTTCTCATCATCGCTCAACTCGGTCATCACCTCCCAGAACAGCTTCACCGTCGGGTGCTCCTGACCATCGTCGCCAATTTCGTACACGCCTGAGTAGACCGTGTGCCGGCGCAGGTCATCGACATCAATACCCGCGCTATCGCCGCCCACCAGGCGCTGTAACTCGGCCTGGTTAAACATGGATAACCAGGCAGGGTCGATGATCATGCTCAAGCCGCGGAGGAAGGCACGGGTCTGGGCGTAGGGCTGGACGACAAGGCGGTGGCGGGCGACGTAGCTGATGTAGAGCGGGCGGTTTTCGTTGGTAACAGGGATTTTCTCGCCGTCGGGGATGAGCGGGCGGGTGACGGTGCGCACGGGATGCTCGTCGGGCAGGGAGACGCGGTCGGTGATGGTGAAGTCTAGGCCGAGGTCGGCCACGTCGCCAGGGTAGTTCTTGAGCTGGAGCATGCCCTGGTAAAGTTCTTCGTCCAGCTCTCGCAGGTCGTTGATGTTGGCGCGGTAGGTCTCTGCTGAATCGGCGGCCGAGGTCCATTTCAGGAGGAAGAAGCCTGCGAAGGAGATGTCGATGAGGATGCCCTCGTACAAACACTTGCCGATGATACGGCCTAAGAACTCGTATTGCCGAAGAAGATAAGTAATCGTTTCCTTCCATAGGTCCGAGTTTTCTGGCACCATTGCTTCCTGGAGCCGATGCTTTTCTTGATCCAGCGCACAGGGGTTAGGGTAGAAGGCGTTCTGGCTGTTGGTAACGAAGAGCTTCTGATCTTGTGTGAAAGCCTCTGTCGTCACACTAAGAAGAAACTCCTTGGTAACACCGCCGCCATCAATACCAGCCTCTTGCATGCCGAACGAATCGACAAACGTAATTTGAATCGGCTCCTTCAACCCTTCCTTTAGGTCCCAGAATTGATCCAGGGCATCCGCGAAGGCTCGCCCCCGCTGAACCTGCGCTTTGTGCCGACTGAGGATATGCATGCCAGTAGGGCTGGGGTCAAACGGCCCGCCATGCTGGTTAACAATCCATAGCCTCCAGCGATCCGGATCAATGTTGCCTCCCCGCCTGCGGAGCTTGTCCAAATGGACAAATTGGCGGAAGATCTGAACTCGAATGTCGAAGGGGACAACAAACGGCATATTGCGCAAGATCTCGAGCTTGGGCCCGACTGCTTCTCTGAGCCTTTCCCGTGCCGCTTTTTTTTGCATGAGCCTGAGCTTCTCGATTCTCGCGTGTCGAGATAACCGTACCGCTCCAGCAGCGAAAGCCATGGGCTCATCCTCATCTGATCCACCAGGATTGTCTTCCTCATCAGAATCGGCAAGCTCGCGCTGTCTTTGCTCTTCGAGGACAACTGCCTGGAGGAAACCGGCCATGTCAAGCTTCGATGTCATGAGCCAGTGATCCTGCGGGAGGAACTGTCTCCTGGAATCGCGCTCGTACAACATCTTCGTTGCTGTGGTGACCAGTGCCCTAAATCCATAAAAATCGACGCCTGAAATAAGAGTGAAGCCTGGCGGAGTGTTTGATGATGACGGCTGGCCATAAGATATACTAGTGGCTGAACCTTGGATGTCCGCCGCATTCATGTAAAGAGTGAAACCTAGGTGCTTTAAGAAGAGTGTTAACCGTTTCAAGTCGGCTAACATGAGACCATTTGAGCGTAACCGCGACCCCAAATCGGCCTTGGTCGGTGAGCAGTTCAAAGCACCGAAGAAGTCTTCGTCATCCGTTAGACGGAGAACGAAAATGTAAAGCTCGAGGAAAAGAAGGATCGTTCGCCACTCCCGGTGCCAAGTTGAGTCCGTCTCAGCATGTGCGGTAGGTGTTTTAGTAGCCTTTTCACGCAGGACTTCAAGTGCCTTATCTGGGTCGGCGGCGATTTGAGTAAAGACCGACGTTCTGCTTGCAGCTCTCCAGAAGAACTTGACTGCTGAAAGGGGTCCTTCTTGCGTGGGAATATCTGCTAGGTATAACCTCATGCGGATGTCGTCCCCAAGAGGAGGGAAGCAGGATATTAAGGTCAATATATAACCTGCGAGAATACCGGCATTCTCAAGATCCGTGCCATCGCCGTGTTCCCTGAACTTGTTAGCTACTTCGTGAGTGTCTGTAATGGACAAAACTCACATTGCAAAAGCCTCGAGGAGCCCAGAAATCTCGTCTCGGTTAGTTAAAGACGAAGCCTGCTCCAGGACATATGGAGGAAGTGCTTGTGCCGTCCCATCTTCTTCGCCTTCGGCTTTTGCTGTCGGTGATGCGAAGCCAGCCCTGATCTGATCAGATAGAGCGGAGAGCAGGGAGTAAAGTACCTTGATAGAACGAGAGTGGAGTACGGCCTGTTTCTTCGACTTCTGGAGCGCAATGAAATGGCCCAGAAGCCACAGGAGATGCGCTTCTGCTAAGGGCTTTTGCCCAGGGGCTAGGTTGGCATGAAGAGAGCGAGAGAGGCGATCAACGTCCACATTTGCTGCGAAGAGGTCGATGTTGGACTCGAAGAGAAATAAGTCGGCCTTCGTCAGGAAGGAAAGGGCGAATTCTTGATAAGCAACGTCGGAGACTGAGACTATTCACGCTGTAAGTTCGGAATCCTGAACAAACCTGGGGAGAACAACACACCATCAACCAGGAGTGGAGCATTAACTGCTTCCCGAACAGTGTGTAGAAAGGAAGAGCTGGGACCAAGGGCGTTGCAGCAATTCCCAAGCATATCATAATAGTCACCAAGGAGATGCCGCACAGATTGAGGCCTCTCCCTGATGACCGCCACCAGGGTCTGTAATAAGGTTCCTGCTTGCTGCCCCTCGTTCCGAAGGTTAAATCTGTTGACTCAAGATCAGCATACGGCTGGATACATTCTGGTTGGGACATAGGACAATGCTACCTCCTTAGCCCGGACACCAAAACTCGAACGAGCTTCTCGAGTCTGACAAAATCTATGGCGCCGGACGTAAACGCATGAAAGTTCGTTTGCAGCAGGTCCCTCGCCAATAAGCACAACCGTCGGCAGTCATCCTCGACAGAAGCCTGAAAGACACTGAGGAGCAGTGGTATTGCGTCGGTCGTCCTTCTCGCTGGATCTTGAACCAAGTTTCCCTCGTCGTAAATCTGGTCGAATGCTTGGCGTCTAGAGGCCCGCAAGGCCTTCCGAGTACGATAGCCTCTCCATACTCTCTGGATGCGCTGTGCTGCCTTCAATCGTGTCCTCTCCTGTTGCCTCTGCAGTCGCTGGACCTGCGCTTGGGCCACGGTCTTGGATGCGCCAACCGGGGTGTTTCCAGACCATGACGGATTGGTAAATGGATTGACTGATTTCTGTCCGCTGAGATTAACGTTCCGGCGCCTGCGCGAGTTGCCAGTGAAAGTCGCGAACATGTTGGTGATGGATAATTGTCGTGTCTAGATCGGAATGCTGATAGTGTTTGGGGGGGGGGGGGGAAGATGCTGTCTAGCCTGGCTTGAAGATGTGATGGAGTTGCCAACAAATAGTTATTCCCAATGCTTTCTCTCAACCTGAAATCCTCCGAGAGGTACGTGGATCATTCGAGGAACAGTGATCACACTTGAGACAATGGGAAATGTCTAATTTGTTGGTCTAGGAGGTGGTCCCCAGGGATCTGACGGAGGACGTGATGTCAGATGCCAACGACCGGAACATCCAATATCAGGAGCTGCACAGTGCTCCAGGAGATGAGTTCTTCGATGCTAGGCGCTCTCACCAAATCCTCATGCCGATTTGGCGCCCGTGATGTATTGCTGAAACAGCAGGCGGGATGGTAGGCAGTCACTCAGCAGGGTTGGATGCTTTTTGTTTTCCAGAAAGTTCACTGGGTGATGAGGCAGGCATTTGCGGCCGCAGCGGGCTAGAAGCTCGGGTCCCCGAGGCAGCAGTTCGTTGCGGCTGTAGTGATATATGTACTCCGTACTTTACCAATCAGTCAAGGGGCCATTTGACGTGGCCGCCCAATCGACGCAGGATGTAGGAATGCAAACTAAAGTGTGGACAATACGACTAGCAGGTGATGCATTATTGCTGGAGAAGGAAGCAGATCTTGTCTCGGTCTAGACGCAGCACTGGGCATTTGGATGTCGTGTTAAGAGGTCCAAGGTACCTCTTCAAACATCCTGCTCGAAAAGCTTACTCTGAAGCCAGGGCAGTTACCCACATGCTTCGCAATGCCGTCATTGGACCCAGGGTCAGCCCACAAAGCCCCACTGATAACGATAAGAGAACCCCGCCACACCATAACCGTCTTAAGTGCCCGCAGCAAAGAAGCCAGCAGTGGCGTCTCCCGGTCTGTGCATTTTACTCTCGGTAAAAGCATAGGTTGCAAATGCTGAGTCAAAATCGGTTCGTCAAGCTGGCAAATGCAGGGACACATCAAGTTAGGATTGGATGGGATGGGAAATTGGCTGTTGCCACGCAATTGGTTCCCAAATGCCACATGCTAAAATGCCATGCCAGTGCGTTGCCTGGGCGAATCATGATGGGAGAAGACGGGGGCATGGCAAACCCCGAGGCCGCGGCACGCTGGATAATTGAATAATTCCCCGGTTTGTGGGTGGTCAGGTCTGAAACTGGGGGCGGTAGAAACAGAAAAAAAATCTGTCTCCGCAGGTGCCATCTTTGCCCTCTTCCTTCCTCCCTCCCCATCGAACGATCAAACCTTTAAAAACCTTCGGATTCTTTTCCAAAAATTCCAGAAAGAAGTCAGATCAGTTCGACACCACCTTGCCTGGTTCTGTTCTCATCTACTTCTTTTCTGAAAAACCTTCAAAAAATTCGACACAAAAAAATTTGAAAAAGCCAAAAAAAATCCAGGTACCTGCCTATTCGCTACCATCCAACAAAAAGCCCCAGAAACATCCAAAAAAGTAAAAAATAACCCCTTCCCCTCCCCCCCCCTTTCGGTCGTTTTCTCCTGGACGAGAGTCTATCGCTGGTTGCGCGCATCTGTGGCATCTCTGGCACATTCGAGTGCTCAACACAATTTCCAGCAAAGAAGGGCTATCAGGTCGTCTCGTCCTGTTTTTTATCTGTCTGTCTGCCGTCTCCCCTTTGTGTTTGCGAGCAGTGGCTAAGTGCATTTACGCACCGCACACCCCATGCCATCTACCCCTTCCCCTCGTCACACATAAACTTTGTTCGAATTTTGAGCATCTAGCAGCATCATATCGTACGTCGTTCGGTCGCCGACGCATCGCCACGAGGCTGGGAGTGCTTTCGTTATCGTGCCGAACTTCATATTTTGCCTTGTTGAGCGCTCGGCTAACCATTATCGACCCCGCAGACAATAAAAAAATTCAACAACATCCAAAATGGCTGCTCCTGCCTCGACCGCTGTTGACCAGCTTGCCGCTGATCTCAACAATGTCAGCCTGAACGGCGGTGCCAATGGTGCCGCTCCCGCTGCTGACACTGCTGTCGCTTCGGGCGAGACCCAGACTGCTCAGTCCGAGACGACTGCCCCGGCTGCTGCGACTACCACCACGTCGACTGCTCCGCACCCGCAGGCTTCGGCTTCTCTGTACGTTGGCGAACTGGACCCGTCTGTAACCGAGGCTATGCTCTTCGAGCTCTTTTCTCAGATCGGCTCCGTCGCCTCCATTCGTGTCTGCCGTGATGCCGTCACCCGTCGCTCGCTCGGCTATGCCTATGTCAACTACAACTCAGTTGCTGATGGTGAGAAGGCTCTCGAGGAGCTGAACTACACCCTCATCAAGGGTAAGCCCTGCCGTATCATGTGGTCTCAGCGCGACCCCGCCCTACGCAAGACAGGCCACGGCAACATCTTCATCAAGAATCTCGATGCCGCCATCGACAACAAGGCTCTCCACGATACTTTCGCTGCGTTCGGCAACATCCTTAGCTGCAAGGTTGCCACTGACGAGAACGGCAACTCCAAGGGCTACGGTTTCGTGCACTACGAGACCGATGAGGCCGCTGCGCAGGCCATCAAGCATGTTAACGGCATGTTGCTGAACGAGAAGAAGGTGTATGTCGGCTACCACATCCCGAAGAAGGACCGCCAGTCCAAGTTCGAGGAGATGAAAGCCAACTACACCAACGTGTACATCAAGAACATCAATCTCGAGGTTACCGAGGAGGAGTTCCGCGAGTTCTTCTCCAAGTGGGGTGAGATCACCTCATCGACTCTTGCTCGCGACGCCGAGGGCAAGCCCCGCGGCTTTGGTTTCGTCAACTACAGCACCCATGCCAGCGCCGCCAAGTGCGTCGAGGAGATGAACGGAAAGGAGTGGCGCGGCCAGGAGCTCTATGTTGGCCGTGCTCAGAAGAAGCACGAGCGCGAGGAAGAGCTCCGTAAGTCCTACGAAGCTGCTCGCCTTGAGAAGCAGAACAAGTACCAGGGCGTCAACCTATACATTAAAAACCTCTCGGACGAGGTCGACGATGAGAAGCTCCGTGCCATGTTTGCCGAGTTCGGTCCCATCACCTCGGCCAAGGTCATGCGTGACACTCCCCCGGAGCCCGCTAAAGACGAGAAGAACAAGGAGAACAACAAGGAGAGTGAGAAGGAGGGCGAGAAGAAGGAGGGTGAGGGCGAGGGTGACAAGAAGCCCGAAGTGAAGAAGCCCGAGCGCAAGCTTGGTAAGAGCAAGGGCTTCGGCTTCGTCTGCTTTGCCAACCCGGACGATGCCACCAAGGCCGTTGCCGAGATGAACCAGCGCATGGTCGACGGCAAGCCTCTTTATGTTGCTCTTGCTCAGCGCAAGGAGGTGCGGAAGAGCCAGCTTGAGGCTAGTATCCAGGCTCGCAACCAACTCCGCATGCAGCAGCAGGCTGCCCAGGCCGGCCTGCCTCAGTACATGCAACCTCCTGTCTACTACCCCGGTCAGCAGCCCGGCTTCCTCCCTCCTGCCGCTGGCCGTGGCATGCCCTTCCCTCAGGGTGCCCTCGGCATGCCCCCTGTCCAGGGCGGCCGTCCTGGCCAGTTCCCCCCTTATCCTCAGCAGGCTGGTCGCGGCACGATCCCTCCTCAGGTGCCCATGTACCCCATTGGCCAGTTCCCTGGCGCTTATCCTCAGCCTAACAACCCGCAGTTCCTTGCTGCCATGCAGCAGGTTCAACAGGCTGCTGCTCTTGCCGGCGGCCGTGGTGCCCCTGCTGGCCGCGGCGTGCCTACCGTCCCTATTCCTCAGGGCATCCAGGCTCCTGGCCTCGCTGGCTACCCTCCTAATGGCCGTCCTCAGAACGGCAACCTGGGTCGCGGCGCTGGCCCTAACCGCAGCAACTTCCCGGCCGGTCGCGGTGCTCCTCCCGCTGGTCCTCTCGGTGTCCCCGGCGAGCTGAGCCCCGCCGCTCTCCTCCAGTCGCAGTTGGCGGCTACCACCAACCCCCAGCAGCAGAAGCAAATCCTGGGTGAGAACCTGTTCCCCAAGGTCCAGGCTCTCCAGCCCGAGCTGGCCGGCAAGATCACCGGCATGCTCCTTGAGATGGATAACCAGGAGCTCATTAACCTGTAAGTTGTCTCGCTTATCGCTCATTCAAACTGTTTACTGACATCTTCTAGCATCGAGGATGAAGCTGCTCTGGTCGCCAAAGTCAACGAGGCCATGGCTGTCTACGAGGAGTATGTCAAGTCGCAGCAGGCTCAGCAAGGCCAGGCCCCAGCGGCGGCGCCGCAGGCTGAGGCTGCGGCCGAGAAGCCCAAGGAAGAGAAGGCCGAGGAGCAGAAAGCTTAGGTCAGCGTTCGCTGAAGCCCAGAGTAGGGTTGGAGCTCGCGGGAATCTTTTGCTGCAGGCGTCATCGAGACGGATAGTCCTTGTCTTTCGGGAAATGCGCGGTGCGGTTCTTTCTTCGTGATTTTACGTACGGGTTCTGGTCGTGGTCGGTCGGGAAAAGTTTTGATACCAGCTTGCCAAACAACAACAACGCGAGTCAGCAGATCCTATCCACTCTGATGATCCAGCGGAAAACAAAAATGGAAATGGCAGGATGATGATGATCAAGATGAGAAACGTTTTATCTACCCCATCTATCTGCTTTGGAGAGACAGAGAGAGAGAGAGAGGAGGGAGAGAGAGTTCATGAGCCTCTCTTTCTTTCATGTCACCTGTCTTGTTCTCTTGCCCTTTTTCAAGGGAGAGTGGACGATGCGGATTGCGGATTTAACACGGCATTCTGCTATGGTTATGGCATTGCTACGTCGTGGGCTCATGTATTGATAGACTTTGCTATTACTGGTATGTGATGACTAAGTACCTGTCTACGGATATGGTGGGTGACGGGAGGGATATTTATCTGGTCCTTCTTCTCCACGGGTGTCACTGGTTGGCTGTTTTCTTCGGTCGACTCGGATGGACAGCAACGTGCATTTCGGTAGGATGGATGGATCACGGATGTTAGGCAGGCAGGTAGGAGATATGAAGCCTTACGGCGTGCAGTGTTACCTCTTTATTTTTGTTGTGATATTTGTCGTGTGTGGTGTGTGCTGTGCGCTCCAAACAATCCATCATAACTATTGTCCCCCGATGGATCCCCTCCCCCTTACTCCTTTTCCGGATATTCTCCTCCCTAGTCTAATGATAACCACTATTCCAACTGCCCGTTTCCCTCCCCTTCTTGTTCCCCCTTCCTCTCCCTCCAAAAACCCTTCCCATAACTAACCAACACTTCCTCACCCCTCAATATCCCCACATCCTTTGCCCATCCTTTCGCATTTCTCCCCGCTCTCAACACATACACCGCCATGCACAGTTCTCCGATCCTTGGGTCCCAGGCTAGTTTGAACTCCGCGTTGGGGCGTTTGCGTTTGTTTGCCCAGGGGTCGTTTTTCGATTTGGTCTTGTTGGATTTCGTGCTATTAATTAGACTCGAGGGTGTGGGGAAGAGGGGCAGGGGCACACCACGGTAGTCGTTTATGAAACGGGCTTCGTTACCGGCGCGGGAGGCGTCGATTGCTAGGTTGAGGGGCCGGGAGAGCCAGAGGTCGTAGTTGGAGTGGGCGTAGTCGTAGTTGGGGTCGAGTTCAAGTGGGTTGTGGTCGGGGAGGTTAGGGTCCTCGTCGCTGGGGGGGATGTCTTTATGATGTTGGGGGTTGACATCGTAGGTGATGCTGGGGTCTGAAGGGTCTGAACATGACGATGATGCCTTGGTTGGTTCATCAGATGTCGATGAATTTCCTTTCTTTACTTCATCCCCCATCTCTTCTAGCCCCTCCGGCCGCCCAAACGGCTCCGTCCCAACATGTACCTCCCCCAAGTAAGGCAGAATCAACTCCCCCGGCTTCAAGTCCCTTGTCGCGAACAGCCCGGCCTGCCCATACGCCGGATCTACCTCATCCCCCTCTCGTTAACCCCATCCAACAATACATATGTGTATTACTCATGAAAGAACTTACGCTTCGGATCCGTAATCTTCTCAATCCTGACCTTCTCAGACGGCCCAAACGTGAGGTCTCGAGGGATATCTGGGATTGGATCTGAAGGATCGTGTGGGGGTCGAGTCCGGAGGGCTGTGAGGTGGGAGGGGGAGAGATAGGGAGAGTAGAGCGGACGGGTGAGGTAGGGGATGTTGGAGGGCCAGTTTTGGGGGAGGGGTTTGGGTTGGGGTTTAGGCTGAGAGTTGGGTTGTTGTGTGGCTGCGGACATTTCTTGTTGCTGTTGGGGGGTGACTTGAGAGGATGACACAACGTGATGTTGAAAGAGAGAGACAGTCAAATTTTGAGCGGGGAACATGTCTTCACCGAGATTTTGCCGTCTGCAAGCGACCTAGTGTCGATAAAAGCTGTCACTTGGAATTCGAGGAGCAAAGGTCATGGAAGTTGATAAATGTGACTCTTCACAGACTGTATACAGGTATCTGACAGTGGTATCCGTACATACAAAAGCTGACAATTATCCGTGCAGCGCCAACCATACATATAATATCCGTACCACGTCCAACATAGAAATCTATACATAAGAGTCCCCGACAAGAACCGTGCTCCAATCCCACATGGTATCCCGAACTCCCAATCCTACAAAACCAGTCCGTACACCAAATCTAACCAAGAAACCCAAACTCCAGTCCATACCGCCCGTTACTCAATCAGAAAGCCACCACCCTGATCATTATCATTATCCTCGTCAGGAACAAAGAAACCACCAGCTCCGTTATACTGCTCCTCAGCATCCTCCACCTGCACATGTTCTTGCTGTATTTCCTCAATCTTCATGCTCCCACCCTCATCTTTATCCTCTGCTTCACCCCCCTCATCAACGTTCGCCCAAACCCTCTCCCTAATCTTCAACCCCCTCAACATATATTTCCACATTGCCAGCACGCGTCTCCTCTTCCTATCCTCCTCTTCTTCCCTCTCCAAATCCTCCAAACCCCTAATCACCGTCCAAACCGCCTCCTCATATTCCTTGGCCACCACGATCCCCTTCAACACGCCCCTCCCCATCTTCCCTTCCCACGCAAACCCCACGAGCGCAGGCGCGTAATCCACGCCCAACAACCACGCCGCTTTGCCCGCCATCTCATGCTTGATGTGCACGCCGCCCTTCGGCAACATACCGGGAACAAACAGCTCGATATTACCGAAGCTATTGCGCGGCACAACGCCGTTCTGCACGGGTGGGGCTTGGTACCGCTCGGTCTGGGAGTACATGTACAGGGGGATGTTGCCGGACGCAGAGTCGCCGAATAAGCCGACATGGTCAATGTCATCGTCCTCGCAGTCGGCAGCGGACAGACTGGTGTACCCTTTGGTGGTCCGGCGGCGTGGGAGGATTTTGACGGCAACCTCGTCGCGGCGGACGACCCGCCCTAGGCGGAACCAGGCTTCTTTGCTGCGGACGACGCGCACGTCGGAGCGGAGGTAGATATTTTCTTTCTTCTTTCTGGTCGAGCCTGTAGTGAGGGTGCCGACGGGTTTCGCGTCCGGGACGAGGGCTTCGTTTTGGAGGAGGTGTCGCTCTAGGACATAGACCGGGTGGTCTTTAAAGTCGATTATGTTTTGCGGCATCGGCTCGCGCGACTCGATGGTTGAGAGCTCGGTGAGCTCGGCCTGATCGGGGGGAGTTATGCGGCCGCGATAACGGAACAGGGCCAGACGGAGGAAGCGCTCGCCGTCGGTCATGACGGCCTTGTTGGGGTTGACGAGATGGTTGGTGGGGTATAAGCTGGGGTCGTCGATACGCAGCTTGCGAGTCTTGGTCGCGTATGCCTTTGCATAGCGGCGGGTGACATCCGTGGCTCTGCCGTCGGCTGAGAAGGCGATGACGTAGGCCATGTTGTTTTGCAGGTCGGAGAGAGGAGGCTCGAGACAGTCGGTCCTCCATTGAGTGCAGGTCACCAAGGGATCGACTGGGTGCCAGGTGTTGGGGCCGGCGTCGAGCACTTCGACCCAGTAGACTGGGTAGGCAGACTCGTCACGGATCTTCTTGAAGACCGGGGGCGGCGGAGGAACAGGGGGAGACTGCGCCGGGGAGGTAGTCTGTGGCAGCTGGTAGAAGGTCGTATAATGATAAGGACGACCAAAGTGTGACCGGAAACCCAGAGTCGTCGCGACATTAAGGGTCGTCGCGCCGGCCGGAGACTGAGGGAATTTGGTTGTGTTCTTGGCAATCACGGCCTCATATTGCTCGATAGGATTCGGCTTTGGCGGCTTTTCAGGTTTGCTGTCCCTCTGTGACATCGAAGGTGCAGTGGACACAAAGGGCAGTGGCTGAAGAGAGCAAACTAGTCGAGCCTCAACGCCCACGGCACGGAGCAGGGCACAAAAGAGCTGAGCACCTACGTCGCGGGAGCCTCTCATGGTCTTTGCAGCCTTGATAAAGTCCTCTTTCTCCTTAACGGACTCCATGTCATGGGGGAGCTGGTACTGTGGGCGCACATTAGTCAACCCTGAGAGTCAGAGGCAAAGAACGGAATACTACCCCTACGTACGTTACGCAGCTGTTTTTCGTCCTCTGCCCAGAGAGCCCTCCGAAGGCCTCGCTCCATGATGGTATACTTGATCTTGAAGGCGTCGCGGGCTTCCTGGACACCGCGCTTCAAAGACAGGGTTCGGCCAAACTGGTTGAGCGACTCCCTGGGGATCAATGCGCCAATGGTCTTCTCTGGAAGAAGACTGCGGAGGATGCCTTGCACCTCGGGATCGTTACACCACCAGTTCCTACGCTCAACATGGGCGAGCAGGCATAGGAAGTGAATCTTGTGCACTTGGATGCGGCGTTGCTTTTCCTCCCGAGTCATGCGCTTGCGGCGCTCTGGACGGCCTGGGGTATTGGCATTGGCGGAAAGATGAGCTGACAGATTTAAGTTCAGACCGCTGGAGGTCTGGCATGAACCGGATTCTGGCTTTGATGATGCAGAAGGTCCTATGGCCACATCCTCAAAGTCGATGTCATCGAACTCATCTTCGTCCTCCTCGTCCAACTCCCGGACTGCAGTCTGGATGATGGGTTTCGGCATGCCAATGCTATCAACTTGGGGCTTTTCGTACTCCTTGTTCCTAGGAATACTGGCTGTGGTACTAGCTTTACGCATGCTAGAACTACCGGGAGACTTTCCTTGGGTATCATTAACAGTGTCCATGTCCTTGTCCTCATTCGCCTTCGCCGTGGTTGATCTGGCTGCGATGCGTCCCTCACCAGGCCTCTTGCGTTTGGCCGGGCGTTCCGCAGGGTCGCTGTTCTGAGTCGTCAATTGCTCGCGATGCACCTCGCGCAGCATCTCGCGGAACACTTCAGGGATTGCAGCCTTGCTGCCGCCGGCCAGTTTTTGCGGGCCCGACCGCGACGGCGCGAGGCGTTTCTTGCCCGCCATTGTCCGCGATAAGGCAGAATCCGACTTTGCAAATTGGCCTCTTTGTGGGAATCTGCCACGTTAAGATTCTCGAACAATTAGAGTGGGGGGCTAAAATGACGTCAACGTTGATCTGCAAGCCGCGTGCTGAGTCGCTTTTAGGTCGCTTAGGTTTAGGTGAGTGAGGCTTTGTCGTGGTGGGGAAGCGGCTGCTTGCAGCCTGGAAGTTCAAGCCACGATTTTGGATAGCGGATTGGGGATCAACCCGCTGCTGCTTGCATGTGGCTTGGTGTGGAAATCGGGGTTTGGAAACCAGCCACCTAGGGTAGAGCAATCTGGTAATTCGCCGACAGAAAGCACTCCCAAGAAATGCTTTTCCCATTTGCTGCCTGGAGTTTTTGTCCTCCAAAAATCCTCAATGGCTAGAAAGTTCTGCATATTTAACCACTGCTGTGGATTTTCCCATCCTCCATCCTCGAGCTTACGAAACACCACGCAGCCACGATGACTTGTCTCTGTGATGCCGGGAGGAGATCCTTGTCCTCCCGCCGAGAAGCGTGCGGAAAGGTTGTTTAAGCTCGCCTAGGTTGCTGGGGTCAAGGCCAAGATCTCTGTTGATGCGGCCAGACCAACCGAAGCACTGAGGCCTACCACCGCGCCTTCAGTTCGTCAAGACTGAGGCCTACCACCACTCCTCCAGTTCGTCAAGACTCTCATTATGCGACTAATATTATTGGTGCACAGTCATGTCGTGTTTCGTTGCTGCCCGAATGTAATCTTGCTTTTGACAGTTGTTGCCTGCCAGTCATAGGCTTCTTAGGCTGTGTTGGCCGAGTGTGCGATAAAAAGCAAACCCAAAGCTGCACCCTCACTACCCTTTTTTTCTGCCGACACACACTCTCTCTCTTGCCCAACATCACTTCTCTATTCCCATCTCCATCTCTTATCACGCTTCTAGGTTCGCTGCCGAACGGCGAACGCTTCCCCATCGATCGGAGGGTCAGCAGTCAATTCAGTTACAGATTACCAGCTAGCACGCCCAGCGGGGTATCCTCTGGGCTCTGGACTTTTCTTGAACTTTGTTCCGCATCCTCCACTTGCCCCAGGTAATGCGACCCGCCGTGATCGTTTATGGATCTTGATTTCATCCCAGCATTCATCTAGATCTTTACTTTTGCTTCGCTTCGCGGCTTTGCTGGCCGATAAGCAAACTAGACCTGTTGGTGTCCGTGGTTCGCTTTTGCCTTTTGTTTACCGATTGTCAACCTGCCGCCCACTCCTCTCAATCCTCTCCCAAGGAAGAGGGCAGACGGAAAGCCCTTGTATCGCAACGGCGTCGTACTTACGGGGGCGAGGTTCCTTTACAGCGCCTGGGAGCGGGACGTGACACCCTCCACAGGGTTTACAGCGAGCGTCCACTCAAACACTCACACCACTTTGGTGGCCTCAAGATCAGCTCATCCTCGACGGCAGCTACAGTCACAACACTAACAACGACAACAGCAGTCACATAACGACAGCTACATCACAAAGTCAGTGGCCTTCTGAGTCACTACTAAGCCAGATCTGTTTGCCGGTCGATTGGCCGGCAAACATCACTACTCATATTTATCTGCTGACAGCACTTTTTTCGTATATAAATCAGTCTTCGAGAGTCCTCGCTCGTCAACCAGTCTCATTTCTCCCGCTACCATACTCATTACCATCCTTACTTCTTCGTTCCGTCACTTCAAACTTGCTGCCGTTTACCCGTTTGCTTCGAAATGTCTGACCGTGGTCGTGGTGGTGGTCGAGGACGAGGTCGCGGTGAGTTCCGCGGTGGCGGTGGCGGTCGTGGAGGGGGCCGTGGCGGTGGTCGGGGCGGCGGAGGTGCTGGCCGGGGCGACTTCCACGGCGGCGGCGTCCGGGGAGGTCCTGTTCATGTATATTCGTAAGTTGATTAGGAATGGCGTCATTCGTGGCATGGGCTTCTCACACACTCTCGCCAGGGGCCGCAATGGTATCCCACAACCCGACCCCGCCATTACGAAGCTTGAGGACACCTACATCCAGAATTATGCCGGCGATATCACGTCCAAGCTCGGCAAGCTGTCTCTCTCCGATAAGCCGGAGTTTTTCCCCCACCGCCCAGCTTTCGGCACAGAGGGCAATCCGGTCACCCTCTGGGCCAACTATTTCCCCCTCAACATCAAGAAAAACACGCCCTTGTATCAGTACAGCATCCGCGTTTTGGACAAGAAGGTCACCAAAGAGCAGGCTGAGGCTGTCGATGTCGAAAGATCCCCTCAACCGCAGAAGGGCAAGGGCAAGGGCAAGGGAAAGGGCAAGGAGGACTCGCAAAAGCCTGCTCCTCCTAAGGAGGCCAAGGGCCAAAAACGGGAAAAGGTGATTCAACAGGCCCTGAGCGGTTTCCCGACTCATACCGTGACTACAGAGCTCAAGTCTCAGGTCGTCTCCGTCGGCCCCCTTAAACTCCCTCCGGATAACATCATCGAGGTCACCTTAGCCGAAGCCGGTAGCAAGAGCGAAACATGGTTCGTTTACTTCGACGGCCCACAGTCCATGGATCTGACTGGGCTTGTGAGATTTGTCGAAGAGCAAGGGGACAAGGGCAGCGAGGATGTCTTTCCCAAGTACCAAGCTGAAATCAACTCTCTTAACGTCGTGCTGGGCCACACGCCCCGTTCTGACCCGAACACAGAGGTTGTTGGCCGGAGTCGCTTCTTTGCCCTCGATAAAGGACGTGTCGAGGCGTCGTTGCAGTTGCAGTCACAACTGATTGACATTCTCCGCGGTTATGTCCAAGCCGTGCGCCCGGCGACCGGCCGTCTGCTTCTGAATGTCAATGTGACCCACGGAATCTTCCGCAAAGGGATTAAACTAGATAAGCTTTTCAAGTCTATGGGCTTGACCGGTCTGAACGACCCAGACAAGCTTTCCGATCAGAAGCTGAAGCATGATCTGGTCAGAGTCAACAAGGTTATCTCGAAGGCTAGAATTCAGTGCATGGTCCCGGACGTCAACGGAAAGCTCATTCCGGTTGAGCGGACCATTGCCGGCCTGGCAACCACTAAGGATGGTCCCAAGAAGAGGGGCAAGGATGAGAAAGACGAAGGAAACAGGCCCGAATTCTTCTTCCCTGACTTTCCCTACACTAGCCCGGCAACGACTAGGTTTCTTCTCCGGCCTCCAAAGACCCCGAGAGACCCGCCGAAGGGCCTCAAGTACGGCGATAAGGTTACTGTTGAGGCATACTTCAAAGCCAGTAAGATTCGTTTTTACCCTCCGATCTCATGCATCCGTTGCTGATTGAGACTGCAGAGTACAACCAGCAGGTCAACCCCGGCTTGCCCCTTATCAACATCGGCACTTCGACGGAGCCGGTATACTTCGTGGCAGAGCTGTGCACGCTTTTGCCGTCCTCACTCAAGGCGAAATTGTCGCCGAAGGAGCAGGATGCCATGATCCAATTTGCTTGCCGTCCTCCTCCCGCCAATGCCCTATCCATAACGCAAAAGGGCCGGGAGCTTTTGCGGCTTGACAGCAATCCCCTCTTGGTTCGTCCGTTCGCTTGTGTCCGCTATGAGAGATGGGCTGTGCTGACGCATCGTAGGAGAAATTCGGCATTGAGGTCGGAAAAGAATTGATCACGGTGGAGGGCCGTGAATTGACTCCACCATCCTTGAAATATGCGAACGACACAAAGGTCCCAGAGGAAGGTGGTTGGCTAATGAAGAAGGTCAAGGTGTACAAACCCAATCCCATTCCGATTAACACCTGGACATTTATGACAATCGGGTTCAACTCTCACGGCAAGCTCCAGGAAGATGTTCATAAGTTCGCGCGCTGGCTGCGGAACGATATGGGCATCAACATCGCCCCAACTCCCGTCCCCGCTAACGGTGTGAAGGCGAACAGCAATGAGGCAGCCATCCACAACGCTTTCGCGCGTCTGGATAAGGACAAAAAGCGCCCGAATTTTGTGCTCGTCATCCTGCCAGAGAAGAGCACGTCTCTATATAACATGGTCAAGAAAACCGCCGACGTCGACTTTGGCTTCCAGACTGTTTGCGTGGTGGGGAACAAGTTCACCAAAGAAGGTGGCCAGTTGGGATATTTCTCCAACGTTGGCCTGAAGGTCAACCTCAAGTTTGGTGGCGTCAACCACCACGTTGAGGATGCAGTCGGGCTCATCAAGGGTGGCAAGACCATGTTTGTTGGCTACGACGTCACCCACCCGACCAACATGTCGGCTGCTGCGGCAGAGAAGGCGCCCAGTATCGTCGGCTTAGTGGCCAGCATCGACAGGGAGCTTGGCCAGTGGCCTGCCGTGGTATTCCAGAACCCCAAGGGCCAGGAACAAGTTGACAAGGTCTTCGCCGACCACTTCAAGAGCCGCTTGCGCTTGTGGCAGAACAATAACAGCGGCCATCTCCCGCAGAACATCATCATCTTCCGCGACGGTGTCTCGGAGGGTCAGTTCAAGATGGTCTTGGACGTCGAGTTGCCTTACATCCGCGACGCCTGCCGCGCGGTGTATCCCAACGGAAAGCAGCCGCGTCTGACGCTCATCGTGTCGGTGAAGCGCCATCAGACGCGCTTCTACCCGACCGATCCGACCCACGCTCATCACAAGTCCATGAGCCCCAAGGAGGGCACCATCGTCGACCGCGGCGTTACTAACGTCCGCTATTGGGACTTTTTCTTGCAGGCGCACGCTTCGTTACAGGGTAATCTCCCCTCTTCCTCTTCTGTCGATTGAGTAGACCGAGACTAACAGAGTAAAAAAAAAAAAAAAAAGGCACCGCCCGCCCAGCGCACTACACCGTCCTCCTGGACGAGATCTTCCGCGCCGATTTCGGCCCCCAGGCCGCCAACAAGCTGGAGCGTCTCACCCATGACATGTGCTACATGTACGGGCGCGCCACCAAGGCTGTTAGTATCTGCCCGCCCGCGTACTATGCTGATTTGGTGTGCACGCGGGCCCGCATCCACCAGAGCGAGCTTTTTGACGACGAAGGCAGCTCGATTAACGATGGAGAACGCGAGAGGATCACGAGGAGACGGGTGCATGAGAGGGTGAAAGATAGTATGTATTACATCTAAGGATAGTTGACGAGGGATATGATATGGGGGATACATTAAGGATATTTTGGAATATTTAGGAATATTTCGAGTATGATGAGCGTTTAATATATAAAGATGTAGTTGATGGGATAATATTTGCTTGTGAGCTGGATGTCTCCTACGTAATCTATCCTCTACAGGAAATATCTTGAAATCCCCTCCCACTGTCTGCCCTTGGGGAAGATGTTATTGCATGGCTCAGATGCGCCATGAAAACTGGGTGTTGGTTTTTTTTTCCGGGGTTAGGGTTGTCTGTGATACCCCATAGTGGGCTGCCTGCAGGATAAAATGTTTCTCACCTCCTCCACCTGTTTCATGACGTCCTCCACCCTTGACCGTGCGCTCTCCCCTAACCCAGCCGCGCTACAACTTGCCTTTCCCCTTCCCTTCCCCGTCCCTTCCCCGCCCCCCCCCCCGGCCACAAACAACCAACATTCACTGGTTATCAATGCCAAGTTAGGTTGTTTCCTCTTCTGAGATACCTCCGTAGCTAAGGTAGGTAGGGTAGGTATATAAGTAGATATAGTTAGATCTGTGAAGCTTCTCGAAATTCGAGTGGTTGGGATTCAAGTTTAGCGCCCTAGCGCCTCCCTTCGTCGTGGTCAAAACTTTGTTTGACGCGTGAGTTGACTTGACAATATTTGACAGGTTTGAAGTTTATCAGTCCCCCTCTCCCTTCGGGTTCGTCCCCATCCGTGCGATCATTGCGCTACCCTGATACTGATACGGATACTCACTTCTGTTGGGGGGGGGGTTTGGCGGGTTTCTCGAAACTGCTATCTATGACTTACACAGCCACCCCCGAGTTGCACACGGCGACAGAAGACCAACACGACAACCGGCGCATCGGCGTCTGGGGTTAAGCTCCCGCTGTGAGAGCTTATGGCCCTCCTGGGACTTAAGGGGCTGCGGCGGGTAGTGTTCGATGTTTTGCTTTCTTTTTTTTTGTTCCTTAAGATTTTAATGTTTAAACGTTCTGTTGATTTCTCTGGAGGTACTTTTTTTTTCCAAGTCGTCGGCGAACCTGCCCAGGTTAGGTAAAGTGTCTGTTGTTGGCGTTGAGCGTGGGTTTTGATCGGGGGGTATAAGACTCAGGATTCTTTGGTTCTTTTAAGATTTCTCTCTCTCTCTCTCTCTCTCTCTCATGTTTTTGTTTTATTGACCCGAAGTTGGGCGTTTCGTGGTTCGCGGGCAAGCAGGAAGGTCTTCCACCACTCACTCATCGGAGCCCAAGTTGTGGTATCAATCCAGGTTCTTTTAACTCAACGTATCTCTCCTTAAATGTACATATGCTACACTACACACTTATACAACTAGTAAAGTGATTATCGATTGCACCCTTCTCCAAAGGAGACGTATTTCCCACCAAGTCATGATATGTAGTGACCTGTTCAGTATCCAACCAACTCCGAGCGCCGACCTGATCAATCTTCCTTCTTCCTGTAGTCCCACATGAACTCCTGTAGATACCATAGTAGCTCATCACATCACTATGTCTTTCATTGCCCTAATCTTACAACAATAAGCATCATCATCATCATCATCATCATCATCATCATCATCATCATATGGAGGAAAACGTTTTCCAGAGTCAAATCTTGTCGCATTCTCCTCTTTTTCTCTTTGAACTGACTGAAAATAGGAGCCCCTGGAAAAAAAATTGTTTTATGGTTTAAGAGAGTGGATAGTGTTGGGGAGTGATACAGGATAGTTTAGGCTGCCTTGTCTTGTGCTATATTGTGTGCCGAGCTCTATGAACGAACGAGAGAAACCAACTGGCCGGGGGGAAGAGCCCGTGTTACCTCACTCCAACACCAATATCATCGTGATAGTGGTACAAAAGTCGTAGCTTCTCGAGAGGACAGTGGTGAATTGACTTGACAAATCTGTTCTCGGGGACGAGAAAGGAGGGAAAGAGAGAGAGCGATCGAAGGTCGTTGTGCAGCGGCTGGAGGGTCGAAAGTTGGATACGGCTTGGCGTGGAGAGATACTTGTCGGGGAAACAGAAGGGTGCATGGAGATAGTAAGTATCGTACAAGGTCCGAGTTAGATGTCGTCTATTAGTCGGTCGGTAGGTCGAAGACCCGATTTACGCAAAGGCGCCGACAACGGACATGCCAGCAGCTGGGAGAGAGAGTTAGCTTCTGTATATATATATATATATATATAAACTCATGTAGTGGGGGTTGTAAAGGTCATACCTCCGAGAAGGACGCAAATAAAGGCCAACGTGCGATCCTTCTTGGTCAACGTATGCCTCGCCTCCTCCGACAAGAAGTCCTCAGCCAGGAGGTCGACCAACGCAGCGTAGAGCAGGAGACCGGACGAGCTACAATCACCATTAGCCATTATTCCCCCAGCAAACCCTCACCTGGAATCCACTCACATCGCATTAAACACACCAACGATGATCAATCCGAACGCGCTATTTGGATCATACGCATCCCTCGCAATCAACCCAATTGCCTGGCCAATTGGGCACGTCGTGCCGAACGCGAGTACCAACAACCACGGCTTGATGCTGCCGCGCGGATAGGGCACCGCCGCAATGCGCGAGCCCAGACCCAGCCCCTCAAACGCCTGGTGGAAGAGCATGGCGATGAGCAGCACGATGAACCCGTCGATCGTGATGGAGATGGTCATGCCGACGAAGACCGAGTGGAACAGGATACCACCTTCGAGCAGGGTAATGTTCATCGACATGCGCTTGTACACTTGCGGATCGACGGGCTGGCCGGTTTCGACATCGATATAAGGGGAATCGACGACCGCGGGGGCTGGGGGAGGAGGGGGCGGGGGCGGGGCAGTGGTCATGGCGATGGGGCCCGGGTTGCCGATCATGGTGCGGCGGCGGCTGTATGCCTGTTCGGAGAGCTTCTTTTCGAGGGTGCGGATGGTGTTCATCATATCTAGCTTCTGGCGCACGTACTGCTCGTAGAAGACGACGAACCAGGCGGGCATGTCGGAGCGAATCTCGATGTCCTTGTCCGAGTCGTAGAGGTACTCGCGGCGCACCTCGTACATCTTTTCGTCGTATGCCCTTTGCGCCATCTTCTTTTCGTACTCGACGTCGTCGTAGTAGTCGGTCTCAAAGTCGGTGGCGGCCGTGTAGCGGGGGGGCCGCGGCGGGGGGTTCGGGTTGGCCGGCTGTGGAGGGGAGATGAGACCGCTCGGGGCGGTCACCGTGATCGCCGGGGTCGACGATTGCTCGTAGCCTGTTGGACCGCCGTGCGAGTGACCGCCCAGCTTGTCGTTGAGCCACATTTCCAGAACGAAGAGACAGAACATGGAGGCCATCATGATGACACCTGGCATGGCCGGGTACTGGTCGGTGAAGAGATCGGGAAGACATGGGTCGGTCAGGTTACCAAAGGCAGTGGGAAGAAGCTGTAGAAAGTCAGTATCTCTGTTTCCCCCCCCCCCCCTACTACCTATCCTTCGGCGCATGACTTACGTGAACAAATGCGGTAGCAATGAGGACGCCAGTTCCGAAATGCTTGCAGACGAAGAAGACCTTGGTCGGGACTTTGACCCAGCTGACCTTCTTGGCGACGACTGGAAAGCCAGCACCAAGAACTGATGCGGCCATGACCAAGACTGGGGAGTGTTAATGGGATATAACATAGTACCTAGTTTTTAGGGTTCAACTTACAAAGCGCGGCAACGTGCAGACCGAGGTCATACTCGCCGACCTCGTCGCCGCTCCCACACACCGGCTTCCCCTCGGTAGGGTTGAGGTCAGAAACCGGTACGCTCACATTGTCAGCCATCGCGTGGGGATCAGTTGACTATATTGAACCAAGTTGGCGTCCCCTCGAGATGGCGAACCGTGCTGCTCTCCTCCTCTTCTTCCTCCTTCTCAGAAGGCAGAGCAGACTCTAGGCCTCTCGCCCAGAAGGAAAATGGCGAAGCGAAAAGTCAACTCAATCAAACCAGCGAAGCCGCCCCGCAGCTTCGAATCACCAGGATCCAAGAAGCGAAAAGGGAAAAAAGGAAACAAAGGGAAAACAGAAGGAAGACTTAAGTGGGCTCGGGCCCGATCATCGAAGGAGCCAACACGACAACGATGAACGGGTGAGAGATAGAGAGGAAAAAAAATAACACACAAATTAGAACGACGGTATGGGAGCACTAGGGAAAGAGAATGGCAAGGGTTCAAAAAAGCAGCGTCCTTCCCGAGGACAGCAATGGCAGAACCAAACGAAACCAAAAAGGAATAAAGTTGTGTCGTACCGTCTTTAGTATGTAATGCCTTGGGCGCCGATCAGAGGAGCGGCGAGTCGTGCACCCCCGAACGACAGGGGCTAGTCAGTTACGGGATAAACAGCGTTGTGCCCGGTACGACAGAGAGGATGATGCTGTGTTACTGGGGAAAGTGTCCCAGTCAGAGAAGAGCTACAGCATCGGCACTGGGGTCCTTGGAGGTAAGAGAACAGCAAGCCTGTTTCCCATGAACGTTTTTCGAAAAGGCTACACACAGACTGCAAGCCGTAACTCAGAGAACAGCACGTCACCAATTACCAATTGCCAAATGCAAACGCGGTGAGTAGGAATCTACATCAACAGATGAAGCGTTTACCACATCTGTAGATCGCCGGCCAGATCCCCCGGCGGCCGGGGCCAAGCTGGAGCGTCCCGCCATGGAGATGGGGTACATGGAGAGGACACTAAAACGAGTAGAGATTCGCATCTTTTCTCCATTGTACGCGTTATGGGCATCTCACGTCCTGCTAGCACTTCGACAGGCCGCTGAGAGACTGGAGATTGGCAGGCTGGAAGGGCTGACCAGAGACCACAGGCTCCGGCAATGGTGGCGGCAGAACAGAAAAAACCCATTGACATCAGGACGTGAGGTGAAACGGACCCACCGCTCTGGTGTGTCTCGGCTCCCGCTGCCGGCGTTGCCCATTCGGGGTGCTTGGATTTGCAAGCCGCTCCCCCAGAGCCCAAAGAGGCAAACGCCGATCTCCCGGGCCAGATATTCTACGCCCGGACGGCGAGAGGACCGCGGTTCGTTGCGAAGTACTTTCGCGTTGTTCGCCGCAGCTAAAGCGAAGAACTAAAAAAAAAAAAAAAAAACAAAAAAAAAAAAAACTTAGTGGGGTCAATGATGTTAAACTTCTGATGATGTTGTTCTCTCGTCAGAACCTGTCGTTTCGAAAAGCTGTCGAAAGAAGTGACCTTTGTCTCCAGTGATGTCAGCCAGGCCCGGCAAAACTTGCCTGCTGCCAGCCGCAGAGGATGTGAAGCACGGCCGGTGAGCCAGGGAGATCAAGCGAACAGGGGTCTTCTGCAGACGCGCGCGGACTGAGGGCCGAGATCTGTGCAACGGTGGGGTGGAGCCCCTGGGCGCAACGTTAGAGAGAAGCACGCCTCCTCCCACAAGCCCTGAACCATCTTGTGGTTTGCAACCGTCTCTCTGAGATATCTCAAATCTTCAGAGACTCGTCAACAAAACGGAGCCACAGAGCTGGGTAGCAGCCAGCAGCAAGGTTGACGACGTGGTGATCAAGGGTGAGGGGTTAAAACGGCCGAGAGGCCAAAAAAACCAACGCAGACTTGGCACCACACGTTATCCCAGGGCTGGCGCATTGCCGTGCTTCCTGTAACTCTCCCATCAAGATTCGGCGCAGATCGCGCACCAGACCTTGTTCCGTGTTTCGGCTCCCCACTCAGTCGAGACCGTTTGCGTACCTTGCTGTCCAGCATTATACCCGCTGTCTATGATCCCGATAGAGAGCTGTGGCCGACTGCTCGTGCGGCCACGCCCGTGACAAGCACTGGGCTTCGCTGCATGAAAGCTTCCCCCAAGAAGCCTAAGAAAAGCTTGACTTGTTGCAGTCAGTCAAGCCGGCTGCCTATCCGGGCGGTTAGACATGGTACGCGCTTCTAGATTTGTGGGCCACGAAGCCAGATCCGATCGACTCTTGAGCCTTGGCGTTTAATGAAGAGATGATGCATCTGGAAAGAAACCGTGTAGTCGATGAGTCCCGATGTCTGCCGCAGACGAGGCGAAGGTCTCTTTTGTGCCTGCTGTCTGCCCTTAGGGCTCTAGATCTTCGGGACGAGTAAGCCCTCCTCACCCAAAGCATTTAGAAAGTGACACTGTAGATGATCAGTGACGAACGATGATCAAAATGATTGCATCAATAATGACAGCTTTCTTTCTTTATGCCAGTCCATTACGCATTTCGGACGATGGGACTGGCCGGCGAACAGATCTGCGGCGGGATGGCAGGAAGTGAGTTATGCTTAGACTGTTAGTTAAAGTAGCATTTTCAAGCGAGGGAAAAGTCATAGGGCTTTTTTAAAAGAATGTTTGAGTACATGGTGGTTTAACAACAAAAAGGTCTTCACAACAACCTCGAACCTCGAGAGTTTGTGCCTGAGGGTGAAAGTCCAGAGCAAAACCGGCGCCAAGACAGCCAATGCCAAGACACAGCGTCGAGACCCCACCACCAAATCAGGTAGGGCGGGGTAGCGGGGCATCCATGCCAAGACGCCAAGGTCCCGGAGCTCGCTGAGTGGACTGATTTTTAGAGTTCAGGACGACGCTTACTCTCGAACCTGTTTTCATCTGATGTGAGCCCACGCCTCGAAGGAGAGCTTCTCTCCCATAATAAGATCACCGCCAATTCCTCCCATTCAGCCATTGCCCCGGCGTTCCCAAGGCTCAGCAATGGCGTTCTTCCAGCCCGGCCTGCGCAGGGCCGCCCTGAACCTCTCACGGGCGTCCTTCTGCGGGTCGTGCATGCGGACAACGCTCAGGACCCCGACGACGGCGACGACAACGCAGTCCAAGATCCTTAGGCTGCTGAATAATACGTCCAAGAGATATTCCAGCACACAGTCGCCCCTGGAGTCCCTCAGCAGCAAGGTCCGGAAGCCCTCAGCGACCAAGGCTCAGAGCTCGTCCAACTCGGGCTCGTCCAAGGGTCCCAAGTCGTGGCCCGAGACCAACGACAAGGTGGTAGGCTACTGGCTGGTTGGCAGCGCCGCCAGCGTCTTTGGTATCGTCATCTTTGGCGGTCTGACCCGTCTGACCGAGTCTGGGTATGTGCTATGTTTCCGAGGGTTCCGTTTGACTGGGGGCTAACATGCAGTCAGCCTGAGCATCACAGAATGGCGCCCCGTCACCGGCTCTCTCCCGCCCATGTCCGACGCCGACTGGCAGTCCGAGTTCGACAAGTACCGCGCCTCTCCCGAGTTCAAGCTGCTCAATCCGCACATGAACCTGGAGGAGTTCAAGAAGATCTACTTCATGGAATGGTTCCACCGCCTCTGGGGACGCTTCATCGGTCTCTCCTTCGTCATCCCGACCGTCTACTTCATCGCACGCCGCCGCGTCACCAAGCGCATGGCCGGCACTCTGGTTGGCATCTCCGGTCTCATCGGCTTCCAGGGCGTCATCGGCTGGTGGATGGTCAAGTCCGGTCTGCGCGACGAGCTTTTCGCTCCCGGCTCGCACCCCCGCGTAAGCCAGTACCGTCTAACCGCTCACCTCGCAACCGCCGTGGTCTGCTATTCCTGGATGCTCCTGGCCGGCCTGAAGGTCCTCCGAACGAACCGTTACCTGCGCGACCCTGAGACCGCGCTCAAGACCTTCCAAACCCTCAAGAGCCCCGCCCTTAAAGGCCTGCGCATCTCCGTCCTGGCCTTGACCGCCCTCATCTCCGTCACGCTCCTCTCAGGCGCTCTCGTCGCCGGCCTCGATGCCGGCCTAATCTACAACGAATTCCCCATGATGGGCACTGGTCTAGCCCCTCCCAAGTCGGAACTCTTTGACCCCTTCTACTCCCGCAAGGAAGACCGCTCCGACCTAATCTGGCGCAACATGCTCGAGAACCCGTCTCTCGTGCAACTCGACCACCGCATCCTCGCCACGACGACCTTCTTCGCCGTCTGCGCACTCGTGCTGTACGCACGCACGGGCCGCGTGCGCGCCGCCATGCCCAAGAACGTGAAGCGCGGCGTTAACGGGCTGCTGCATCTCGCTCTGGCGCAGGTGACGCTGGGTATTACCACGTTGATTTACATGGTCCCCATTCCGCTAGCGGCGGCGCACCAGGCGGGCGCGCTGGCGCTGCTGACGGGGGCGTTGGTTGTGGGACAGAGGATGAGGGTACCCAAGTCGACGGTTGCTCTGGTGCAGAAGGCGCTGAAGGCGCCGCCGAAGGTACAGGCTGAGATGATTAGCCAGAAGTTGATGAAGAATATTGCCGAGAAGAAATAAAATGAGATGGAAAGGGGGACGAAGGGGGAGGGGGGGGGTGTGGGGGAAGTGGTAAGTGGGAATAAATGTACCATATGGATTGAATGTATTGAGTAGGACTAGGTTATACCCACGGGATGATGTATAGTATAGATGATTCCACTCGATACCACTGAAAAGAATTATACTGCTTCAAGAGAGCAAATTGATACGATGATTGATGCGATGTGAGCTCAGCTCAGCTCTCCGGTCGTCTGTGCTATCTTGGAGGGCAAAAAGGGACGAATCTATGTCCACAGGGAACCACAACATCGAGTATCATGAAGCTATTACCCCCTATCCCTCTTCAACATTCTCATCTCTACCTAAGTAATCTTAATCCCCTTCAATCACTTCTTCTCCCCCTCTCCCCCTCTCTCCCCTCCCCCTTTTCCCATTAGCACCAAATTAGCCACATTTAACCCCGTCACCGCCAACCAAACCCCCAGCCCACAAGCAACCACCCACCAGCTATTCGCCATCGTCACGCCCTCTGTCCTCATCATCCTCCGTTCCCCCAACAACCACCTCCTAACCCGTTCCCATGCCCTCTCCCTCTCCCCCTTTACTCTCTCGCCATCCTCCTCTTCTCTGTGTCCACGACGGTGCCCAGGCGCAGTCATAACCCCCTTCCTCCCCGTCAACCACACCAGCACCCCTCCAACCACCGGCAACGCCACACTCAACGCAACCTGACTCCCCTCCAACGCCGCGCTCACCCCCTTTCTGCCCACTGCGGAAGCAACCACGATGCTAGGCACCAGACTTATGCATCTAATCACTAATCTTCTTACCCATACCCCTCCTCTTGTACCTCGAAAACGACCACAACAAGTAAGAAGTGAGGAAGGCAGCGAACCCTCAATGAGAATCTGCCCCGCCAGAGTACAAACAATACCCGCGGAGGCACCGGACAGGAGAAGGGACAAGGCAAAGAGGGTGCCGGCTAAAGGGGAGAGGGATGTGGTCAGGAGGGTGTGGATTGTGAAGAGGTCCGCAGGGGGACTGTCGGAAGGGAGGGGGTAGAGGCTCGCGCCGGCGACGATCAAGATAGAGGCGTTGACGAAGAGGGCTAGGGTTGTGAGAGAGAGGGTGAGGGTTAGGGTTGAGTTGCGGAGGGAGTCTATATACGTACGTAAGAAGAGGGGGTTAGCAGGTATGTAGGTACGCCACACACTCGGCTGAGACTGGTATGGTATAGGAAGGCCCGTGGAGAGAGGGAAATGGAGCGAGGATGATTTGGGGGATGGGAGGGAGGGAGGGAGGGAACTTACGTCTTATAGCCGCTAATGAAGGCCTGTACTCTTCCTTTCTCCCGGCGACCCCATCTCTCTCGTCCCTCGCGACATCACTGATACTCAGTCTCCTCGCCATCGCCCTCTTCTCCCACTCCAAAACCTTTCCCTGCACGATCCCACTCCCGAGGTACAAACTATGCGGCATGACCGTGGCGCCCAGTATCCCGCACGCCTGATACAGCGCTGTCCTCTCCAGCAGCACCCCTGACGGCACAAACCCCTTCAACACGTCCCCGACATCAACCCCGCGTATCATGGAGAGTTGCACACAGAAGCAGACGATTACGGCTAGAACGAGGAGCATGACGATGTACTCGAAGGCTTGTAGCGCTCTGGAGGGTCGGCCGGTGCTGGTGCCAGTGGTGGTGGGGCTGTAGAGGAGCAGGATGAGCAGGACTTCCAGGATGGAGAGGGCGCAGCCGGCTACGAGAGGGATGGACGGGATCAATAGGTTCAACGCGATTGCGAAGCCGATGACCTGCGTCCCATTAGTCATCCCCCTCCCTTTCCCCCAACGACTAGTAAACGTAGGGAGCAAACATACCTCAGCAACATCCGTCGCTACCACCGCCCCCTCCGCAACTATATAAACCCCCCAGCCCACCCACCGCGGCAAATACCTCCTACTCGCCTCCGCCAGACTCAATCCACTCACCGTCCCCAGCTTAGCGGCCAGCACCTGCAAAAACACGGCACAGAAGTTCGCCAGCAGCACCACAAACAGGAGGGAAAACCGGTAGGACGCGCCGGCAGCGATCGCGGTGGCGTAATTACCTGGGTCGACTACGGGGGAGGAAAGAGAGTCAATCAATCAGGGCTCCAGTCGAAGGAGAGAAGAGAAGAGGGGAGAGGGGGTGAGGCGGGCAGGAAGCAGGGTAGTACGTACTGTAGGCGACGGAGACCATGAATCCCGGGCCGATGAAACGAGCAAAGGATATCAAAGCATCTTTGATCTTCCTTACAAGGGTGTTTTCGTTTCTGTGGCGGGGTGATGTGTCTCCGTCATTGCCGGGGCAAGGAGGTTGAGGATGGTGAGTATGGCGAGTATGGTCACGGAGTCCGCTCAGTCTCGGGTTTGGATTTGGGGCTTCGGCCTGGAGCATTCGTTCCTCCATCATGCAGAGGGCGATGGCAGTCTCTTCTATTGCGGTTGTGCTTGCGTCCGTGCTGTCTTGCTTGGTCCGGTCGTTTCGTGTGTTGTTCGTGTTATTCTCCGGCCCGGCTGGCTGTTGCAATCCATATCGGCTCGAATGCTCCTCTGACGCCGTCGCTCGGAGGGTATTGTCTGAATGAAGGGGTTTTGCATCTGAAGTTTGTGAAGCCATCTTGTAGTTGGTTGGAAGCTTGTCGACCTACCTCCTCTAAAAGTTGGAGCTTCGACGCCAGATATGGATTGTATTTCCAAGAACCTTGGCCTTTAGAGACATACCTACCTACTTCTAGGTAGCATCGTCATATCGAACCCTATAGGTAAAAAGAGCTGAGGTAAGTGCAGATGAACGCAACAATTCCCGCTCTAAGAGACAAGGTAGGTAGGTACCTAGTGGTCTCGACTGGAGAGATCCCTGCTCCCTATTGGAAGGAGCTCCAACTTTTTCAAGACAAACCTCGAATGGCGAGTTTAATCAGAGGTTGACAATACCGAACTGATTTGTTTGGCTTTGTTTACACAGTTACTAGTATTTACCTAGATAGTTTGAACTTAGGTAATATTCTAGCACACCTGCCTCCATATCTCACAATCCACGCATAATTCCAATCTATCGTCGTTGAGTTGAGTGGTTGGTGTTGGGCCAGTTGATGGCCACGACATGCGGCCTTGGGCCTGTCCATGCCGGGTGCCTTCTGCACCACAACTACCGGCGTTGAGGGGAGTTTTTCAGTTGGCCGACCTTGAATGATGCTGATCTACACACCGCCGGGCCGTGGCCGGCCTGAGGGGTCTGTTGCCCTCGGCCTGCTCTTTGAGGGTATCCCTGGACGCTTCATGTCCCCTTGCTCCATGGGTCTAGATACCCGACCCCGGTTATTCGGCCATTGCCCGCCTCCCGTAATATACACGTCCATCCCAGGCGCTTCCTTAAAGCTCCTTCTTGCTCTCCTTCCCCTCTTTCCTCTCCTTGTCGCGCTTAGCATAAATCGCTGCCGTAAAACTATCCTCGAACCGAATCGCGACCAAATATACGACCAACACATGCAACGTCAGCACAATGCCAGCCGGCTTCCCATACAACAACGCTGTCCCCAAAAAGTTCATGGTCGACCCATAGTACATGGGTGCATTCATCAGGTTGAACGGGAACCCCGTCACGATGTCATCCAGCAAGATGCCGAAGTAGTCGCCCAGGAATGTACCTGTGATGCCCAGCTGGTAGGTCGAAGACAAGACGAGAATGTTGCCCACGGCCAGCAGGGCGTACGCCGCGTACTGCACGTGCGGCGCCTCCAGAGCCGGATGTGTCGGCTGGTCGCGCAGGGCGCGCTCGTACAGGAAGTCCCGGACGAGGCCGAGCGAGAAGATGGTCGCCGCGAGGAAGTAGCATGCTCGCTGGGCGTTACCACCGAAGGCGCGAGTTAGGAAGTGCGTGCGGTATTCTGGGAAAGTTAGTGAGGGGTTAGGTTGGTGAGAGCGGGGGGAGGGGGAAGGGCTACCTTTGCGGGCGACGATGCTGGCGTGTGTTAGCTGTTGGATGCTGGATTCGAATCTAATGGGGGATATATTAGGGGACTTACTTCCAGAAGGTAGGGTTGAAGGCGATGCTGGCGGCGGAGACTAGGTGAGTTAGCTAGCTTGGGCCTAGGGAGCGCCGAGGTAGGTTTGCCTTATAGAGGCAGCGTCGCAATTAGGTCAATGACTTACTCAGGAAGCTGCGCTGCCTGTAGTCGACATAGTCGAGCAGGTCAGTGGCCAGCTCGGTAACAGTGGCGAGCGACATTTTGGCAGGTCTAGGACAAGAGGTGGTCTGGACAGATGGGATGAACAGGAGCTGAAGTCGCACAAAGTTTGGAGCAAAAGTTCAGCGGCAACAAAGGAACCCGAAGACGACGGCAGTGGTTGACGTGCCAAGCCTTGGCGGAGCTTCCCCGACCAACGGCGTTGCGGGGTCGGGGGTATCTTACGTTACGGGTAAGAATGGTTTCTTTCCCCTTAGGGTTTCAGAACTTTCCATTGCTTCTTGAGCTCAGAGTGTGAAAGAGAGTTAATATCAGACACAATTGATTGTAAAATTCTCAAGTTTTGTTTTTTTTTTTTACTCGAGTTACCCTAATCACAACTTCTCTTCAAGACTCAAATTTCAAAGGACAGCTCCTTGACTCCCCCACGCTGAAAGTTACAGCTCCACCCAGATTTTTGTTGGGCCAAGGGCCCCTTGCTTGCAGCTTGCATGTGAAAGTGAGTGAGTGAGAACAGGTGTCCTTTTGCAGAGAGTTGCGAGCTGGGATCAAAAAAAAAACACGAGCAGATGTTGAGTTGTCTAAAATAGAGTGTCTACAGTGGCTGTTAAGTCAACTGAGTTGAGGCACCAACTGCTGGTGTCTCGTGTCTCTGAGCCCAGCTTCTCCAAGCACAACCCTTTCATCAAAACATATTGGCTGCCCCACTCTGTTTAGCTTGAGGGTACAGGGTTAGGGTGTACTTAGCTTGACGGTATGGTCTTTATTTTTGGGCAGTGTTGACTGATAGATCACATATCATACCTTCATAATCATAGAACAAAATGGTTAGCCACCTGTGAAGTCTTTTCAAAATCAAAAACGCTATGATATTTGCGTCTGTAAGACCTTTTCATCAACCCACGGTACATTCTCAAATGTACCTCAGCCCTGTGAGGTCATAGCTCCGGGCCACCAAGCTCCGCGCCGTCGCATCTCAAACGCCAACATGACAGCTTACGACCACCTCTTCTTAGCTTCCTCTCTCACCCCTTTTTATACCTTCCAGTCTCCTTCTTAACCTCTCTTTCTTTCCCCTACTAATCCCCCAAAGCTAGCTGCGCTAGCCCCCCACCCTTTTTTCCCCCCCTTTTACAATGCTGCCTCCTCAAGTGTCCAAACCGTCCCCCTCAGGGTCCTCCCCCTCCCCTCAAAGTAAAGTAGAAATCATCAACCCTGACACGACCAAAGACCAAAAAACCTTCGAGCATGAGCTCCAATCTCTCGCCGCTAAAGCCAAATCAGACACCCCGCTCAATTGGCTGCGTGCCCAAGCCCTCATCTACGCCCGCAGCGCGACTTTGCTTGCCCTGCTGGCCCTGGCATCAACCCTCAGCCAGCTCGCCCTCTCACCGGTGTATGGATCTCTGCCCTCGGCAAGGTACCATAGACATGTGTTGTTGAGCGGCATGTTTGTCGGGTGGGCGGGGAATTTGGGGCTTGAGGCGGGACTGGAAAAACTGGGGATGAAGAGGATGCAGTGTTTGTTACCGCTCGTGATAGCGTATATGCCCGTTGTTCAACACCTCCTGGGGGGGTACAGCACTCTGCTAGGGGCAGCCTGGGGTCCGGTGGTAACAGAAGTAATCACATTTTTGCCGGTGGTCGTGCTGTCGGTGGCATGCTGCGCGACGTGGCTTGATCAGGCTGATTTAGGGTTTGTGCCGTTGCCCGGCTGGGTGGTCGATGCGCTGCCGGGGATTGGGGCGTATGCTTTTTTCAGGGGTATGGAATGGCTCCTAGGTCCAGCTCTGGAGTCGGTTATTGGGAGTGGGAGGTTCGGCGGGGTGGTGAGCAGCCGCGTGGGAATGGAGCTGGTATTATCAGGAGTCTATGCCGCCGTTGCACCATCCAGCCTCCTCCTCTGGGCGCTCCCCGCGCTGCTGCACACCGCATTCTGGAACACACATCTCCCCACGAGCTCGGCGCTGGCGAGGGTGAATGGGGAGTTGGCGAAGGAAGGGTTCGTGGTGCTCGACAGGAGGGAGTCTGTCACGGGGTACGTGTCGGTAATTGATAACCTGAACGAGGGGTATCGCGTCATGAGGTGTGATCATAGCCTGCTGGGAGGGGAATGGACCAAGTTTATCGGGGTCGGGCCGTTGAAGGGGAATCAAGTGGCTGAGCCGGTGTATGCTGTGTTTGCCATGCTGGAAGCGGTGAGGTTGGTCGAGGTGGAGAGGCCTGTTCCTGACAATGAGGCGAAGGCGTTGGTAATGTAAGTGTCGTTTTACGACTTCATTGATGGGAAGTGTTACTAACGTTGACAGCGGCTTGGGCATCGGCACCACGCCCGCTACGCTTGTCGCCCATGGCATCAACACCACCGTCGTCGAGATCGACCCCGTTGTGCACGACTTCGCAGAAAAGTACTTCCAGCTCCCGCCCAATCACACTGCCGTGATTGAAGACGCAGTGTCCTACACCTCACGACTGGCAGCCGACGAAAACGGTCAACGCTTCGACTACATCGTCCACGACGTCTTCACTGGCGGCGCCGAGCCCATTGCCCTGTTCACTCTGGAATTTCTCCAGAACCTGCACAAGCTGCTTAAACCTGGAGGCGTCATTGCCATTGTAGGCCCCATTTCTCTCCCGGCTCCCCCCCTCCCCCCCACTTCTTAAACAGACAGGAACGGAATGATACTAACAGATACTCACACACCCAGAACTACGCCGGCGACCTCGCCCTACCGCCCCCCCGCATCGTCGTCCGCACCATCAAGACCGTCTTCCCCTCGTGCCGCATCTTCCGCGAGCACGAGCGCAATGCAACCGAGTTTGCGGAGACGGGACGCGACTTTACCAACATGATCATGTTCTGCACGAAGCAGGCTGATCGGGCGATTAGCTTCAGGCCGCCGACCGAGAGGGACATGCTCAACAGCCCGTCGAGGCAAATGTTTCTGTATCCGCGGCATGAAGTTGGCGAGGGGGATCTGGGGGAGGCTGAACAGGGGGAGGGCATTCTGAGGAGGAATGAGACTGAGGCGATTGCCAAGTGGCATGGGATGAGTGCGGCGGGACATTGGAGTATCATGCGGGTGGTTTTGCCGGCTAGGGTGTGGGAATTGTGGTGATGCCACTTCTTGCGTAATTCGGGTATATCGTGTATATCCTTCTTCAACTAACGTCTACATCCTGAACTAAGTGGTTTGTTCATTTCCCCTCAACCATGTTTTTACTCCTTCATCGCCTCCTTGGCTAACTCCTCCCTCCCTCTATTCCCCTCTTTCCTCCATTCTTCCAAATACGCCGGCACCTCCGCAACTCGATTATAACCCGCAGGCACCGGTTCCCCATACATCGTCCAAACCGGCACAACCCCCGCCCACACCCTTCCTGTCACCTCCTCGCTCTCTAAATCTCCCCTATCATCATGACACCCCCCACTTCTAACCTTCCCGCTCCCGCTCACAATCTTCACCCTCACCACCGCCGTGCTAGCCATCTCCCCCTTATTAGGCGGCACCCGCGTGTTCTCCCATCTCCCCGGGACAACCCCATCCGTAATCAGCTGCATCGCGTACAGTTTTTCTTCGACGTCCGTGACCAGCGTCGCGTAGCCGAAGACGGTGGCGCTGCGGTAGTTGTAGCTATGCGCATTTGGCGTCAGTGCCAACACAATCCCGTCCACATGTGCCGTCGACACCGTCACCGGGAAGCCTTTGCTCTCGGGGGAATTGCTGGCCTCTCGAACGAGGTTGACGAGACGAGACGAGACATATGCGTGCAGGTAGAGGTCAAGCACTTCGCCGAGGTCGGCAGAGGGGTTGGTGAAGGAGCCGAGGCGGCCGATCATGGGGAGGGAGGAAGGGAAGGGGACGTCGGAGTTGGGGTCGACAAAGGAGATATGCAGAAGGGGTGAGGTGTTGAAGATGGAGTGGATTGTGCTAAGGGAGTAGTCAGCTATAAACGGGGGTTAGTTGGGGAGGGTTGAGTAAAGGGAACAGGAGGGGGGGATAAGGACGCAGGTACCGCGGTCTTTGTAGCGCTTGACTGTGTTGTAGGGGTGTTTGGGATACTGGAGGTTGCGGAGGGGCATTTTCACTCCTTGACAAGACACTGATGTGGTTTGAAAGATTTTTTAAGTAGCTTGTTTTTTGGGGAAAAAAAAACAAAAAAAATTCCCGATAAGCTGTGAAGAGATTGAAGAGAATAGACACAAAATGCCTTCAAATAGATCGTGTTCTAAAACACACACTTATATATAAATATATATATATCTCTGAGACAAGGTGAGTCAATCTCACAAAAAAGCTTTCAACCTGACGTCTTAACTCAATCCCCTATTTAACCCCTCATCGATGCTTTCCCCCTCCCACTCCCCTCGTCTCAAGTCCAATTCAAACGGCTAGGCCCGGCTCGGCATACCGAGGGTGCCCCCAGATGACCCCACAACTCCGGTTCGGCACGCCCTTCCGATGATCAGGAGTTACGATCTGAAGAGAGCATCAGGGGATAGTGAGCAAGGCGAGATGACGCCATCTGTACTTCCATACCGTTGGATGGACCCCACATGATGATACGGGCCCGGAGGGATTGCAACGGTAGGTGTCTAGTTGGGGGACCCCACATTGGGAGTGAGATCGTGAGATCTCCATGGGCTGGTTGTCAGGGTCTTGGAGCGTCATATAGCAGCCATAGCGAAGTCAAAAGAGCAAGAGTATAATGTGTTTGTTGAAGCATTATTACTGGGAAAATCAATCTTGGATGGGTGTGTCTTGTAGTCTGTGCTGGAGTCCATGCTTGAAATCATTCTTGTCATCATTGAAATCAAAGCTGACTGTGGTAACTCGCGAGTTGACAGCGGGGTACTGAAGTCGTATTTTAGAAGGAGATATAGCATAGGTAGGTAGCTAAGTAAGCAGGTATGCTTGTTAGACAGCTGACGACATCTGTGCTCAAACTCTGGCCCTTCCAACTAAAATTCTCACTCACGTACCACACAATAAAACGTAGTATTAATTCCCTGTCTCTCCCTAACAAAGTACCTGGCTAGCTAACAGGATACTAGGGTATCTATCTCATCGACTCATCATCCTTGTTCCTCCTAACTGCCTTTCTTAACGCATACCGTATTCCTGCGCAAAGTACTTACTGTCTTCCTTTCCTTCCTTATCGAGCTCGATCTCTGCAAACCAACCAAGCTAGTAAAGTCAGACCAGAATAGTCAGCCAACAACCGCAAACTCAGCAACAATAATCTGACAGAAACGACAATAACTAAAACATAAAAAAAAGTATAAAATCCGCCTGGTCAGCCTTCCCTTCTCCCGTCCAAGCAAACGGATGCTACCTCGACACGACACCGCTACTGCCGTGGCACGTCCCGTCCTACCGCCTGCCACGCAAGCTCATCCCCCTTCTCTCTCTCTCTCTCTCTCTCGCGCGCGCGCGCGCGCGCTCTCTCTCTTTCTCGCCAACGGACCGATCGCTTCGTTATCCGACGCTGCCGATGTGGTAATTAACCTGTCCTGGTTTCATCATTGTATAACCATGTCCTTATAAGGGGCCTTCATATCTGTTCTGTTCCCCGGTCCAATCAAGTCCATTTAGGCGCTAGTCGTAGCCGGAGCAGGAGCAGCAGCAGCAGCAGCCTCCTCCTTCTTTTCCTCAGCAGCTGGAGCAGGCGTTGCGGCAGTGGCAGCAGAGACCTCAGTCACGGCCGGGGCAGCAGGAGCCGGAGCAGGGGTAGCCTCAACCGGAGCAGGGGCCGCAGCCGGGGCCGGAGCGGCAGGGGCCTCAGTAGGAGCAGCGGCCGGAGCAGCCGGGGCCGGAGCGACAGGGGCCTCAACAGGAGCAGCGGCCGGAGCAGTTGGGGTCGGAGCGACAGGGGCCTCAACAGGAGCAGCGGCCGGAGCAGTTGGGGTTGG